GTCAATTTATAGCCGTTTGGGCGTATATCAACGCGTGAAAGGCGTCCTTGGGCGCGGTGGTGTAGTGTAGCAAGCGGTATTTCGTATAGCTTCGCTGCTGCACGAATAGATTTGATACGGCCTTTTTGAAGATCATCAAGGGCTAATAAGATCTTTCCCTCTCGATTAGCCAATTTCTGCGAGGATTCAGAGCGAATTGGTGGCATGGTAGGTGGTTGAAGTTGATGTGTGGGCAGAAAGACGCGATTTTGGATGGGGTGTCTCGGTCGGCCGGGTGTCTCGCTCGGGCGGGAATTACGTTACAGACTCGGCAATGATGAGTCAGTAGATTTGATGACAGCAGTCTAACCTAAAACATATTAGCGTTATGATGTATATGGGGTTACCAGACCGGACTTTGGAGTTAAACTTATGCTTTGCAAGTACAGTAGATTGCAAAGACAACAATAATGCCTACTAGTTATGTATGTTTCCTCTGATATCACACTACTTTATCATACGGGGTAAATATTGGGGGAAATAGGGAGATCCTGAAAGTCTCGATTCAAGGAGAGGGAGGCATGATTCGATTTTGCCTTGCTGTTGCAAGGACCTGGACAAAGATAATAGATGGCAATTCAAATGAAACCCCACCTATTTCCGCTCTCAGTTCAACCGTTCCCCTCTTACAATGTTACTTCCCGGGCGATTCTTAACTCCGTTGACAACACCGAATACTTGCTTCTCCAGCCAGGCTCACTATGTCTATAAATACGAGGATATTTCAGCAAATAGATGCTTTCATTCACACTTCATTCACATACAACTTTCTCAGAACAACTAAAACTATTCTACCAACCATAATAATGGAAGAAATCTTCGCACCCGCACCCGAGCCCGTTACCCCTCTGGGTCGCTACCGGGTCCTCTCCCCCAATGCAGGAATCCGAGTATCCCCCCTCCAACTCGGCGGCATGTCAATTGGAGACAGCTGGTCAAAGTTTATGGGCAGCATGAACAAAGAGCAATCCTTCGCCCTACTCGATGCCTTTGCCGCTGCAGGTGGCAACTTCATCGACACAGCAAACAACTATCAGAACGAACAATCCGAAGCCTGGATCGGTGAATGGATGGCAGCGCGTGAAAACCGAGACCAAATGGTCATCGCAACCAAGTTCACCACAGACTACCGCACCCACGCCCTAGGCAAGGGCAACACGCCCAACACTTGCGGAAATCACAAGCGAAGCATGTTCAATAGCGTTCGTGACTCGCTCCGCAAACTTCAAACCGATTTCATCGATATTCTCTACCTCCACTGGTGGGACCATACGACCTCCATCGAAGAAATCATGGACTCGCTGCATATCCTGGTTGAACAGGGCAAAGTGCTATACCTCGGTATCTCCGATACACCGGCTTGGGTCGTTTCAGCGGCAAACACCTATGCGCGTGCGCATGGCAAGACTCCCTTCTGTATCTACCAAGGACGATGGAACGTGATGCTCCGAGACTTTGAGAGAGATATTCTTCCCATGGCACGCCATTTTGGTATGGCGCTTGCGCCTTGGGATGTGCTGGGTGGTGGGCACTTCCAAGGCGAGAAGCAGATAGCCGAGCGAGAGAAGAATGGCGAGAAGCTACGAAGTGTATACGGCGACGGGCAGACGGATGAGGAGAAGCGGATTTCACAGGCTCTCTCGACTGTTGCGGCAGAGCATGGTATCGAATCCGTGACTGCTATTGCCTTAGCTTATGTTCTTTGCAAGGCGCCGAATGTATTTCCGCTTGTTGGCGGGCGGAAGGTTGAGCATTTGCAGGACAATATTCAGGCTTTGAAAATTCGTTTGACCGCGAAGCAGATTGAGTTTTTGGAGAAGGCGAAGGAGTTTGACGTTGGATTTCCGAATAATCTGATCGGATTTGATCCGAAGACGACTGGTGGAGCGGATGGTTCCCTCGTGGGAAGGTTTGCGAAGGTTGACTATGTGTTGGCTCCGCGGGCAATTGGGTATGAGCCGGGGAATTAGCATGGGGGATAGGAATATCTCTACTCGTCATCAATCGGTTGAATTTCCAAGTTTTATTCTATATCTTAACCAATGTAGTCTCACTCAGAATTTATTGGCAATGTAGTCAGCACCCGACTTGCCTACTATGCAGCGTAATTTTTTCATCTAAGAGCTGACTAGCAAGGAAAAAGGAATAAAGAGAATGCGGCGCGGAGGCTTACAAAACGAAGGAAGCACTGGCTTCACTTTGCCCTTACTCTGGGTAGATTGAACTGCCAGTACTAATAACGGATCTACATAGGTAGCTCTACGTAGGGGATTTCCTATGACGGGTGGGCCTTTCCCCTTTGAACTGCCGCCGCTTTAGTGAGGACGCTCAGACTCAGGCTCACTGAGTAAAACTCAGTCCGGGCTCAGAGTCAGTGAGTAGGCCTGTGCATCTGGGACCCATGGGAAGTAATAATCGAATCCTATCCCATTTGCCAAGAACCTATGGGACTAATTATTAATCCTATCTAGGCATCGCCAGAGCCCAATATAACCCGGACCCAACCCAAATGGGGGTTTGGGTTGAATACTACAACCCATTTGGGTACCTATTGGGTTCCTATTTTAGTGTAAATATATCAAACAGGCCAGGGCCACTACTTATATGACTAGACTTCCGCAGAGCCCATAAAGCCCACAGCCCAGCCCAACCCAACCCACAAGTGAGCTGGGCTTTGGGCTCAGTTCCCCGGCCCATAATAGGTTTGGGCTTTCTGGCTAGGCCCACAGTCCATTATAGGGGCCCAATAGGGGCCTATCCCCTGCCAAACAGTGTAAATATACCAGCTTCTTATAACTGTATAACTTATAACGTGTTTCATGGGTCGGAGGGCCACCCGTGTAAGCGGACCACCCTGGAACACCATAGTAAAAGCGACAAATTACAATTCGATATCTCAACAACGATATTTATTCAAAGCTAAATATTGAAGTCCTATAACCTCTATTATATCCTTATTATAAAACGTAGAGAAAAATTGTCTATATATATATATATACCGTGAAACATACCTATTTTCGATAAAATACATCAAAAATAATACAATAGATGGTATTCTAGTAAAATTATTTATAAAATTAACAATTTAAATTAAATTATACTGTTCTATATCTTCAAATAGTAATATTTGATAGAATATATACTGAAAAAAGGTATGGTTGTTGAGATATCGAATTGTAATTTGTCGCTTTTACTATGGTGTTCCAGGGTGGCCCGCTTGCCCGAGTGGCCCTCCGACCCATGAAACACGTTATTGTGTGGGGGAATCGCTCTGGTGATGTCAGGTGACGTTGTAGGCCTTAGGCCTTACATGCAGTATATAAGATATAAGCCCTCGATGATAGTTAACTTACATACCACCTTTCGGGTTGATGTTATTTTTCGTTATTCAGATGCACGCTGCGGTTATACTAAGGGCTTGAATGCCGCCACATGACTTACGCCGATCATCCGACCCCGCAACCTTATGTTAAATTCGTCCGTGGTTGGCTACTCGTTGTTCTTCGTTACTGTCAAAGTCACTCACACTCCACTGACCTGTAACCAATCGGCATAAACCGGTACGAGCTTAAAGTTCATCTATGCAGCGGATAGCAGATACCCCGAAAGAGTCCAATCAAACCATTTTTCTCAAAACGGTTCAGACTATTTCATAAAAATAATTATTACAAATTAAAATATTTGTATGTAAACATACAAGTTTACAATATGAACTTTGGATATATACAATTTTAACTTAGAGGAAAAGTCAAGACTCACGGCTGCTCTTATAACCTTAACCCCAATGAAAGAGTACTGATAGTTAAATAAGATTGATCTAGACTGTAACGTTTCCATGTTTGACGGCACTGTTTCAAGCGAACTCGTGAGAATTGTAGTCTACAAACAGAAGTCTTCTACTATGGATTCGAATACTATCCTGCCACCACTTTCAAGGATGATCAAAAGATAGAGGAGTTCCGGAAGAATACCACCGTTTTAATTCTAATAATGCTAAATTCAATGTACAACAAGCGTCGTAGCGCTGGTGGTTTGTGTCTAGTGATTTTCCTACACGTAACCTCCGTCCGGGTTTTTCGTTCGAGTTTCTATTGATTGAGAGTATTTCACTTTTCCTGCTACCAATTTTCAATAATATGTAAAAAGAAAAAAGGGTTTAGAGTCTGGCGGATGCGAGCTTTCTAATAATACTAGAATAGAATAATTTCCATCCGGGCATTGTGGTGCTGTGTTCACTTCCACGGTTTGCCCGTTAGAAAAAAGTCACCAACTTCGATACGTTCTTTTGGCTCACCTAGAGATGCTGGAAAAAGTCTCAACCGCCGATTTCGACTGGGCGGGTCATCTTTGTCCTCTGTATAGAGGTCAATTTCCTGCGACCCTTGGGTGGCTCTGGTTCTAGCCATGAATTCCCCGTTACAATGGATACCCCCATGGTATAGGGATATTGTCAATATGTGTATTAGCAATACCCCGCGCTAAGCGTATGCATAAGCGATGCATATGCCAGACCAATTGGACCAATATCCAACAGACCGCTACACGATCTACGATGATGAATATCAACTATCACATCAGATTGAAAAAGCAACGAGTTTCCTAACAATCTCGTGTGCCCCCATGATTATTTCGGATTATCCTATTATTTTTACCATGTTCTAAAGATTCATAAATACTGCGCATTTCCCATATCCAAATAAACTAAGTTCAAGACTCTTGATATTATTCCATCATAGTTGTCTTCCACCATCGTGGATCATTTATTCGATCACACGACCCTTCCATAATCTTATGATAAGATTACTTATGGTCCAGATAAGACCATATGCTTCACCATTTTAACTTAGGACTTATGACTGACATATAAGTCCGATAGATATTTTCGTCTTAGAAAATTAAAATAAGTGCGTAATTTAAGTTGACAATAAAGTATAGAACACAGAACAGACTCCTGGGGGTAATTACACGTCTATAGGGATGATTTCAAACTTAAAATCTTCACTCGGAGAAGAATGCATTTCGTAAAATACCTTTAATAAGGCCCTGTCGGTTTCCTGTATCGTATATGGTAAAGTATCCGACATGACGGACGTTGGATTGATTGGGCCAACTTGAAATTTGGGCGACAGGGCAGGCTCGAGAAATTCGTGGCGTAGACCCATTATGTGCCCCATTTCATGCGCTAGGATTCCAGCCTGACCTGCAGCCCCATAGGTGAAAAATCGTGGGTATATCCACAGCGGGATTTCCCCTTCCCGTGGCAAGAGTGTGCTTGCTATCCACGTGGGCTTCTCCGGGTTGGGTGAGAATCTCATGACTACCTTAGCTTTCTCAGGAGGTGATACCATCCAAAAATGGACAGGCGCGTCAACTTGGCTGCCAATCCTTGTCCATCTAGCTGCAGCCTGGTCGGTGGCATCATAAGCTTGATTTGCTTCCATCTGATCCCGAAATGTGTTTTCGTCAATCCACAACTTTATGTTTGATCCGTCGATCCATCTCCGTATTATGCCATTTTCACCAACAAATATTCTTTCGCCTTTCTCATTGTATGCATATGTAGATGCGTTGGCACAGTCATATTTACCGTAAATTGACGAAAGTGCTGCCATCGTCGGTAAACAAATTGAAGATATCGCGGGAGGCTATCTGCACAATCGAATCTTGATTTGGGGGGAAGAGTTTTGTATCTGCGTGAAGGCTATCTGACGTTTTAAGTAACAAACAAAATTTACAGATACTGGTAGTGAAAAAAAAAGTTCGAATTAGGGGGAAATAGGGTCCAATTTATAGTTAACAAAGTACTGTTAATCAACTTTCCGAATGAAAAAAGAGGCCTGGCTTCAATGATGTCATAGCATGTCATGGATGTAGGTGCCTCCTAAAACATTTCTTGGCCAGGTGAATGTTCAGATCGTCGCTAAGTCTCTGTCATTCCGATACTTCCGGACGTTCGTCATCATACAGTCAGTAAATTCTAGCCCTTCATAGAACCGAGCCATACTTACTATCTTATGATTACAATACTCTATGATATAGCTTGTAAAGCTCAGATATGTGAGAAATCTGTCAGCTAATGATTTGAATCCATGGATAACCATTATGCGGATTTCCCCGTATTTCACAGTGTATCTCTGAAGGTCAATACATTAACTGGAGAAACTTGGAGACTCATGATTGAAAACTCTTTCACAATCGCTGTCACTAACGCTCCGTACAGTCCAGCAGTTCAAGAGGAAGCTGGGTTTGGGGCTTGGCTCTGCCTTAATAACTGACGCAGCCTCGTTATTACGGCACCCTTGCCCGTCAAGTACCAAGCCAGCCAGAACCACCGAGCAACGACAACCAACCGAATCCCGCAACAAAGAGATGCCCGCGAATTGCCCGCTGCTCAGCCCGAGGCTCAGTGGTCAAGGCCTGTGCGCTAAACTCAATTGAGCAGGCCATGTAAGAGTATACCCTGTCGCGGCACGCACAGAGGAATGTGGAAGAAGGACGAGTCAGCGGGCCAGAAAACGGAGTTGAATATACGCTCCATTATAGCGTAGAGACTAGTTAGTAACCTGGGCTGTCTAGAAAGTAGTCAGCCCCACTTTCAGCTAGAAATTTTATGAGCACCCTGCTCCTTTGCACATCTCTATCTTCTCCAGACATTTCGCTGCTGGACTGCCTGCACATCCATCCGCGTAAGGGTGGAGCGAACAGTAGCCCGATCCTACATCCTCACAAACAGTGTCTTTGTAAGGACATCCGAGGGCCAGACAACCCTGAGCTTGTGGGCATTGTGCTTCGTAAATTTTGCAGACCCGTCCCACATCTAGTACGCTAGGGTTTGATGGATTGACCATGGGTAACGTGACTGCCGAATTGACAGGTGTTAAAGTGAACCTGCCTGGAAGTGCGAAAGCTTGGGAGGTATAGTGCATAACGGATTTGACGTCATATTGATAGTCGTGGGGCCTTCCTATGCCACTGAGGATGTTAAAGTTTTGCGCGCTACCACAGCAGCCAGGTGGGGCAGTAGTACAGCAGTCGGACCCAGCGGGCATATTGACACCACCCGTACAACTAGGGGATACGTTCGCACAGTGGTAGTTGACCACCCTTTCGCGGTCAGGGCGCTGGTGTTCATGAAGGAGCCCTGAGTAAAGGGTAAGTAAATATACAGTATACGCAGATATGAGCCATTCAGAAGTAGGCTGAAGGAACTTACCAAGCACATGACCAAACTCATGGGTTGTTTCATTGGGGCCGCAGGAACCAGTGCATGTCGCATTAGGCTGCTGCAAATTCATTCGTAGGGGTATATTGGCGCCAAACCCAACATTAGCATAACAACCATCGCAGCCATTTGACGATATAGTAAGTACACCGTTGACTGGTGTGGCGTTGTCGGGAAGTTGCTGGAAGGTCAAATACGGGCTGCTCAATTGCCAACGGGCAATGGCGGTGTTGACGATGGTCGCAATTCGAGCAGCAGTAGCGGCCGTGTCATATTTGTACACAACTGTGGCACCCGGCCAGGGTTGTTGAACTGAAAAAGAGCGTAGTCCGCTACTCAATAATTGAGCCTCCGTACCATAAGCAACATCTCCGTCAATGATCGCTAGGCCTTCAACACTTGTGAAGTAGCCGACACTTCGTTCACCAAATCTATTGTCCCATATAGTAGTGACAGTAATATTGTGATTAAGTTGATGGAGCGGGTCGGCAATATATGATTGAGCAGAAATATTCGCGGTGAAAGCAAAGGTAAAGATGATAATACATATAGTTACTAGCCAACTCATTGCTATGACCCTGTATGAATACCGGTCGTGGTTGTCGAAGATCAAGATATTACGAAACGTACAAGGGATCAGGAGCGCACGTATTGTTACTTTATAAGCTGTGAGATTTGCTTGGGGTATTCCCCCCTGACCATGCTATGAGGTCAGTGCATGATCAACTTTCACGAATTCGGAAAATTTCGTGTAACACGGGACTTGCAAATTCAAAAATGGCAACTCAGTGGCGCCTGAAATGATACTTTATGCTTTGCTTCCTTGCATGGCCAAGATGTCCTGAAGCAGCTGCTTTTCTGTACTGCGCTACCATGTGTATCGAAGCCTGGCCAGACTGGATATCCGGAATAGCCCGGCTGACTGCCTGTCACATGTAGCGGAAATCTTAAACTGACTTGCGGTCTAGGGTTGCGCGGCGTGGGTCCGCTTCTCTGCTTTTCCGGTGCGCCCATACTACCAAATGCGTTCGTTGGACGGCAACAACTCTGTCCGGCCTCAAAGAAGGTAACCCTTCAGCAGGCGCATTATTGGCCCGTTTTCTTTTTCTGTCAATTTGGTTGTTCTGATTACTTAGGACAGATTGGTTTATTTCGTATTTCCCCGTCACCTTGGTCGTCAGCTTACCTTAGGACTATAGTTATCAGAAGACCTTGCACGATAGATTTAGCTCGCGGTAATAAAATTAAGCATTGATATTACCACGTAGGTACTAACAGTATCCAATTTTTGACAACATGTATCGTTTTTGTCGTTTTTGACAGGAAATGAATTTAGTTCAGGCTTAAGTCAGAAGCTGGTATTCTCACTCGCTGACGCTGGCTCGTGCCCACGAGCGGCTGCAGATGGGGCGTAGACCATGGCACCGCGATGAGCTCGAGATCGATTTAAACTTTGAAATTCATATGATAAATGAGACGTCATTTGCGCTTCTGCAATCAAAGACAAAGGGCTGGTATACCAGCCACCTGTAGACAACCTGCACGCGAAAGGTTTAGGTTTGCATTGTCAGCCGTGCGTTGGAAGTACAATTAAACCTTTTTTTCCTTAATCTGACAAAATATCCCCATGGTTCGCGTCAGAATGAAAGGTATTACTGAGTACATCAGAATTTAAGTTTTCCTTGGTCGATCAAGTGTCTAGATTTTGAGTTATCCTTAGGAGACTAAGCAAGTAATTTTGGGTTCCATAATCAAACATACATTCCTTATACGTCATTCACTAAGGTGAGGTAGCATTCAAACCCAATATTTGTCTCTCGGGATTTTCCTTGTGTTAAGAGTTGAATAATGAAGATAGATGTATAAATACATGTCGAGCTTTATTTTATTTCCCACTTACATACTCACCTGCTTTTCCAAGATACTATGAAAGAAATTCAAGTTTTCCACTTGATTCCTGTCGAGATCCATAAACGCCGTGCCCCCCTACAATGCCGTCAGAGCGACATGTTTATTGGGGCCCTTTGGCTGGGGGCAATGGTGGTGGCGAGTTTACATTTTTCAAGGAAAACAAGCCCTTTAGGCGGTTAGATGTATGGTACGGCAAAGGTTCGGGCCCTGCTGCCCCATACACCGTTATCAAGGGGATTCAGGTTGCATGGGACGGAGGAGAAGAACAACACACACAAAACATACCTAATGCTAAGGCTGCTGATGAGGCAAACATACTGCATACTACATACGTGTTCGGGAGCAACGAGGTTATTGAGTGGATGGATGTCTTTGGGCACAACCCGGATGGCCGCACTGATTCCCTCAGGTTTTTCACCCGGGATACAAAGAGATTCTTTGCAGCGGGGGGGAGTTGGGGCAGATACAGAGAAAGGCATTCAACTTGATCATGACAAGCGCGGCATACTATGTGGACTCAAAGGACGATCGGGAGACGATATTGATCAACTAGCTGCAGGGTTTTACCTCGTTTAAGGTGGTTGTGATCTCTCATATGGCTGGTCAACACACGTCCTGTTCTTTATTTGGTGTAGTTAAACAAGGGCAAGGGATCCTTTAAAATACTTATCATGCAAGTTTACGTCAAAAATTTCCACTTTGGCTATTTGTAGATTGCTTAAATCTATATCTCTCCAACAAAGCAACTTAGGCAGGATATAATAGATGAAATAATGCTCAATACGTCACGCATACTGGTACAAACTACCTAGGATATTTTCACGTTGAACCCGCACGTTTTCCAATACTGTGAAGTCGGAGTTGCATAACCGGACCGCGAAGATCGAGAACTCATCCCAGAAACGCCTGATTTCAATTAAATGCACCGGCCTCCGTTTTATTGGATCCGCCAGATCAAGTAAAATCATTGAATTTGGCTAAAGGCAATATAGACGTATGTTACAGTATGAACAGGGAATGTCGTATGTCGTACCAAAATATTTATATCGCTTAGTTCAGTACATGATGATTTATATTTCATTCTGAATCTAATTATATATAATGTCAGTTCTTCGTAGTGCCTATTAGACTTGAAATAGTCCGTGGAACAATTCGCAACTCTCGGTAGTAACTTGGGTGTACCAATTTATAAGCGTGATAGGTAGCCCAGCTGAACGCAACGAAGTTTGTCAGATCTACCTACGTACAGAGCGCACATACTTCAAGCTCCTGGAAAATTCCTACTGAATCGCCATTGACACTCTAAGGGATCTGGGAGGTACGAACAAAAATTGGTATACCTATCACCACCCTCACTCCGAACTGGCCATATCCGCGAGTATGGCCGCAAAGCCATTGCAAAAATCGTCCAGCGCAGCAAAATTATAGTTCAGCCACGGCTCATTTTCGGTCATGGCTTCAAGATAAGCCTTCAGCAATGGCTCATCCAGTATTTTATCAATAATGAAAAACCTGCCAACCCATATAAGAGGATTTGCTGTTGTCAATATTTGCTTTGAAATCGCCGCACAATTTGCAGCCGACTCTGTAACGGTAGATCCACCAAACCTCCCTTGAAAGAATCTCGAAATTCGTGTTCTATATTTCCCCCCTGGGGGTTAAAAGGTCCTCCACTTCATCGAGAATACTTCTCTTTTGGTCTGTCAGGAGCGCAGTTCCAATATTAAAACCATCTGCGTCCTCGATCAGGTCCCTCAGTTTGAAGCCACCAGTATCCCCTGGACGAGCGAAGTGCCGCCAACAATATTCGGATCCACTGCGTATTTCACTTGCTTGCCAGTTGCTATACAATTGAATCAAGTCTCCTCCCCAGCCAGCTATATCTGCGAATGTCCAGGTTGTGGTTGTAGGTCGCTCTCGTTTTAAAACGCCATCGATGGCTGCTCCCCAATGGGAGACCTTGACGTTGATTGGGTGCAAAGGATCTGTAACGAAGTCCAGCCGCTTTAAATCCTTATCTTTGACGAGAATGTGCGTTATCCAATCATTGTCAATAGAGCCGACAAGCCTATCCCACCTCATATCATTATACTCCAAAAATCGAAGCCACTCCACCACACGTTGATTGGCTCCCTCACGACCCGTCTTGTAATCAAGTGCAATAGCGTATACTCTCTTGAGGTACATTATGAAATCACCCGTACTCGCACCATGATGGCTTTCATTTGCAGAGTCGTTGATGGCGCCAGAAGAGTATATCATTTTGCTGGCGTCGTCGATAATTTCTTCGACGATTCCTTTCAATTGGGAAGCTTCGAAGGGAACTGCAAACGGCTCAATATGGAACGGGATTTTGGGCTTTCCAGTTCTCGTTGTGTTTAGATTTTCGACTTCATTCTTGAGATTAACATATATTTGATCACTTAACTGAAGACCTTTTGGTACGACGAATAGGATCTTGGTTGGTTTTATGGCATCTTTCGCGAGTTGGAATGGGGCTAGGATACCGTTGATTCGACCTTGCTCAAAATTGTCGAGCCGAGAAATATCACGAGTAATTTGGCTGCCAGTCTCGGATTTGAGAATCTGCCTCAGTTAACATGGTCACATTTCAGAGGAGTGAGGGCTCCCACCTCTAGACTTAAAACCTCTATGTCTGTCGCTGGTCCCAACCCCTCTTTATCCAGTCTGAGCTCTTCACCTGTTCTCTCGGCTGTCTCTTTCATCTCAACCCGCTCCCGGTTCGAGTACGCTCGTAAGTACTGTTGCTCACGTCGAGTAAGGCTATAGAATTCTGATTTATTGTGCCCAAGCTCCCTTCCTCCAAGACCCTCAACCTTAACTTCCAATATAGCTGCCACAACGAATATCCCCTTTCGCCAGTAGCCAAGTACTCCGTCGGATATTTGCCGGTTGTCAATCTCAGATCCTGTATTACCAAGGCGGAATGCATGCCCAGGGACAAAGTCCAATGTGCTATCAGCTGGCACTGAAATCCCAAGACTATATAGGCCTTTCTTATCACGCATGAAAGCGCAGATGCGGGACTCAGCCAACTCAGCAAGCAGTTGAGACTGCAAATGGGAGTAATTTGTACCCATCAAAAGGATTCTTCGAAGTGCATGGTCATCTAGTGAAGCAGATGATGCAAGCCAGGGGTGTCTCAATAGTAAATCAGCCCACAAATCCGTGACCGACTTTTCAATAATGAGCGGCTCAGGGTGCTCTGGCAGCCTGCCTCGGCCCAAAATGACTTCCAGTGCAGAATTTAGCACTGCTTCTTTTGCCTTGGGCAGCCTCTTGCCCGATTCCAAGATAGCCATGGCGCTGTCTAGGGCTTGTTCCTGCAGTCGTTCCCTTGACACTTGGGCTGAGTAGAATATTGCCAGTTCCCAAATCTCAAAATTGCTGCCAAAGAGCTGCGTTAGCCGTGTAGTCGAATACATGAGCCTTCCAGCTTTCACAAGCCGCCCAACACCTGGAACCAAAACTCCCATGGCAAGCACCGCGCGCTCGGTTTCAGTCACTTCTCCCATGCCAACGATTTGCTCAATGTTCCACGCCGCGTATAGGCCACCTAGTCTTCGCAAAGTCGGTGATAATTTGGCTTGCAGTTCCAACACCTGCCCTGTGATTGGCCAATCAAGCAAGCCCCGGCCCTCCACGTGGATAGTTTTAAACAGCATCAGCATCTCTTTCCGTTCGGTCAAAAATTGAACGATTCCATCTCCAGGATCTTTTAGCACAAAAACTGTTGTCGCTCTCTGAAAGTCGAACCAAGCGAGAACCTCCTCCCTGAAAAGCATCATCCATATTGTCGTCTGATCCGCCTTCTTCAGCCCCCGTGGTTTAGGCCCCCTACTAAGCTTCCGGCAAATCTCATTCCAGGACTCAAAGTTCTGCTCGAGCCTCTGAATATATACTTCATAGGCTTTACGCATGGATTCCCAGATCCGTTTTCGTGCTCTGGGAGGGGTCGCCTGCCAACTTAAGATCTCAGTTGCTCTTTCGACAGCATGATTATGCCAATTCGCTATTTTTAGGGACGTCGTAGGCTTTGTGTCGATATTCTCATCGAATACTCGTGCATTTGGAGATCTGGCAGACCATTCGGTGAGGAGAACGTGATATATTGCCCTTGCCAAGGCAATTTCTTCGCAGGATGCGGCGCCAAGGAGGAGGCCGTGGAGGTTATTGAGGGCATTCTGTACTTCCGCGGCAAGCTTCTGAGTACTCTCTTTGCTGGCCATGTTCGAGCGAAGGTTTATTTAGGCCATTCGTTAATTTTGTATACTGACTGGTGTGTAAAGGTTATGTAACTTCTAGCTGATTTTCGTGCCGGAAGTCATCAAATACCACGCGCATCTGGAAAGCTCCTTGATGGCTTCCATGATACCTTTCAAGTTGCGTGTGAATGACGACAGGTAATCCGTTACGTCACACGTTCGGTTGTCATACTGATGGTGCCAAACTACTCTTGACACGGATAACCTGCTTTGTTTTCAGAGCTGCTGGATGAGAGATTGAACAAAAGAACCTACGAAATTGGCCTTCTTCCACGTTCTATACATACATCTATGTATCAACTCGGAGTGCATGTGATTGCATCAATGATGACAAATTTGCATGCACCCAGATATGGTGTAAGGACATCTCCCTGAAGCTCCAGAATAGAAAATGCGGCAAACATACATTGGCATTCTCCATGACGTTCGGGGTAATTTTGGTCTAGGCGGGGGAGTAATTTAAGTTTAGTCACTAATACTACGTTTAGAAATTTGCTTTGCATCATTGATTTATTTACTGGCTATCTAGCCAACGAACAGCTCTTAGTCTGGTAACGCCTCGCATGAACGGATTTTACGCTTGCAGCGTCCAACTGTTCTAGGCTTGATAGCGCTGCCGTAAGAGGAAAATACGAGCTAAACCTAAAATCCAAACCACGGAAAGCAACTTGGGGATGGATCTTCGAGTGAAAACTTGGGAAAACTTAAATTTTAGAACTGTCACGTTCATTGTGTGAGAGAGCCCTCAATTAGGTTTATGACGTTGTTTACCCAAAGATAGAACGTTCTCGCCCAATGTGTATGCTAGTTAATAGCACAAAAATCATAAACGATTGGGATCGTAGCCCTAGTCAGAAATATATAATTGCGCTATCTCCCTCATTGCACTGTAATCCCGAGATTTAGATTGCCATCTATCGTCAACGCAAAAGCCTGTGTCCGGTCTGTTCGTTGGTAATTGAGTTATCATGACGGAACAATTGTTCCAGTTCCTAATTCTGAGGCGTATGTAGTTCTCGTATTGATGGGCATCCAAGTGTTATTGACTTTCGATAGCTCCTGTCTCAGGCGATTCGACCCGTCCGCCAATCATCCTAGCCCAAGAAACCGATTTCCAGAAGGAGTTAGGGGCCGCTGCAACTTCAGCGACCCCGAACGAATCGCTTCTCTCTATTTCTAGAGCTTTTATCAGATCCGATAGATTTATCCCTTCTGTTGATGGTCGACCATTTCAAAAACATGCTGTCCAATTTAGTGCTATCCTTGACAAGTTCATGGATGCGGGGCGGGACGAACTCGCGGCCGTTGAGAGCACCGTCGAACAAGTCTTTGGCAACAAGCCCGCTGAGTTGGTAGAGAGTGAGCCCTTTGTCCAAATTCTTGAGGACTTGAAAGACTCGATTATTGCTATAAAATTTGTACAGGTTAGCTCTTCACCACAACTACGTCTAACTTGAAAGGTGGCTCAAAGCACCTAGGAGGAACACTATCGCCCTATTGCTGGCCTCTCAGATCAACTCCGTGATCTTGAACTTATTCAGAAGCTGGCTGAGGAACAGTCCCAGTCCCATGCTCTAGAGCCTTCGGGCCGCGAATTTTTACAGGTTGAAGAGACAGAATGGAGCGTTGGCAAGCAGTACGACGTCGGAGACCGTGTGCGCCACATAGGCATCATTTACAAGTGCAAAAAATGGCATTTATCCCAGTCTGACTTGGAACCTCAGCTTGCTCCGGAATTTTGGGAGCCCGTAATGCCGGAAGTAACCAAAATTGATATCCCACTTTATCGAAAGCGCACACTTCTACTGCCACTGGAGATGGACCTAAAACCACTCGTTTCCTCACCAGCTGAAAAGAGATGCGAAGGAGGCAGGGACATGTGCCAAGATGAAAAAGAGGCCGAGAAACTCCTGACCGAACATACGGATCTAAAATCCGCGATTGCAGAGTTGTTGAAGCTGAGCCCAGAAAGCTTTGAGGCGGAGGGTCCGAAAGGTGCAGAGGGCGCTGATGTCGACCCCAAGTTCACTAGAAACACCATTGTTGGAGATCAATTAGAGTACAGAAAATCGTTACGAACGATTGCTCTTGTTCGAGCTAACGCTGTTGGATCTACGTCTCCCGACCCAAGCAGTGTACGTCTAGCTGCTAACAGCCCGACGCCGACAACCCCCACAACACCTACGAATCCTGTACCCCCTGTCAACACAGAACCAATTGGAGCATTCAACCTCGCTAAGGAGCTTTTGAGTGGCGAGGGAATGCTTGGTCCTCTGAGTGCATTTAAAGCGTCGCCAACAGCCGAAAGGACACCGCGCCTGAAGACAGATGCATCGCAAAAACTGAGTGACACCACAAAAAAAGTGTTGAAAGAACAGGGGATAGATATCGCTACAAGCTCCGTGAATGGTAAATTCTTTTCCAACGCCCCGCTCTCATAATGAGAAGTGGCTCATCAGTATAATATCTAGACGCCGTGAAATCCCTTAATAGGGAAGTAGACAGTCATATGACATCACTCCAGGACCTCATTCCTGCTGCTGAAAATGTCTCTTATACTCGTATTGGCTCCGCTATAATTAGTGCCAAGACCCCGGTGCTTTCTCGAGCCACAGGTCTGCTCTATGGTTATGATATCCCAAAGGACATCCCGGCTTTACCAGCCCTACCCCAGGATGGAAGAGTTCCACACACCAAAGGCAAAGCCACTCCGTCTGGCATTGCAGACCTCCTAGTTGTGAAACAGACGTTGAAAAGTTACCAGGCAGCTGATATCGCCCATGTTGAGAATGTACTAAAGGGAGAGAACAAGAACCGGACGCACAAGAAAACCACCAGAACAGAGAGCATGATAAACTTCGAAACCGAGACGAACAGCACCGACGATCATGAGCTGTCCTCTACTTCTCGCTTTGAAATGAGCAAGGAGACTAACAATACGCTTAAGGAAGCTCAAAACCTGAAGGCCGAGCTTAAGGTCTCTGCCAAGTACGGCCCGGCGGTGACAATTAATGCTAGTGTTGAGGGGAGCATGAGCCGCAATAAGGAGGAGGCCAATAAAGCAGCATCGAAATTCGCCCAGGACACCACAGAGCGCACAGCCAAGAAGGTCACCGAGCGGGTGTTGGAGAGGCAAACCACTACTAACGTTGTACGTTTTTCATTGCACTGAACTTAGCCAAGTGTTGGGGAAGAACCACTTACTGAGCATTCGGTAGAGCGAAATTGTTGAAGAAAACCAGCACGGGATCAATAACGCCACTGGAGGTGCACATATTTCCGGTGTATATCAATGGTTGAACAAAGTGTATGGCGCATTTCCATCGCAGCAGACCGGAGGAAAAAAGCTAAACTGAGATAGGTATGAGGCGCAAGTTTTCAACTATGGCATGCGAACGATGTTGTAAGTCATTGAAAGAAGTCTGCTAATAACCCACTGACACATGATCTGTCAGCGATTTCATGGTCCCTGAACCTGCTGCTTTTCTCACCCATGCATTCGTGGAGAACCTCCAAAACACAGGATCGGAACAAGTGATCGATAAGCCGACTCCATTCACGTATAGACCTTCGCAGATAACCGAAGCAATGGTTGGCAATATCGTAGCCAGGTATCAAGCAACAGATGTATGCAGTCTTTCCAAATGTCCCCGTTCCAATATTTTACGCCTAGCGGCCAAAATAGGCCTGAGATACATCGCCAGGCCTAAGTTCCTATGTGGAGTAGCTAATACTCAGGCTATATAGGTCAACCCACCTCCAGAGGACTATGTCACATTGAGCGACCAAGCCGCGCTTCCAGCGTCCGATTCTCGCGCGAACTTCAACCACGGTTCCACTCTAGCTATTCCATCCGGATATAAAGCGATCTGGGCAAATGTATCATGCGTCAGGAATGTGTGGGTAAATGATACCGCAACTATCGATGTTATAGTCGGATCGGAGACCCATCGGCTGGGAATGACAGAGTGGACGTGGCCCACTCCCTTAAGCAGTACTGGGTCTGTCGCTTGGGGCTTCAACACTTATAATATCTCCGATGGTGTCATCTCAGTAGAGATATTGTGTCGGGTCACAGATCGTCGTAAACAGCAGTGGCAGGCTGAGACGCATGCTAAGTTACTCTCGGCGTACAAGCAACGACTGCAGGACTATGAGGAGAAGATTGCTAAGTTGAAGATCAATGACGGGATCACCATTCAGGGGACGTAAGTCATCTATCAGGGCTCTCTTCTTGTGGAACCGTGATTTGACTCGCCTTATGCAGAAACCCAACAGCCAACTTGAATACCATTAAGACAGAACTCAAGAAACATTGCATCTCGATTCTCACCGGACAACACTTCGAGCTCTTTAACTCCCTTGACCGGGATCTACAAGGTCGCTGGCCGGAGATCGATTTTTCCGAGACCGAAGCTGAGGGAACATATGTCCGTTTCTTCGAACAGGCCTTTGAGTGGGATCAGTTGAGTCCGTTAATCCCTATAGCTTCTCCCGCTCCGCGTAGATGCTGATACAGACCTTAGTGTTTACCACTTACCCATACTTTTGGGGTTCTCGGGATTACTGGGTTACGAAGCTTGCCATAAATGACACTGATCCAGTGTTCGACGAGTTCTTGAAGAGTGGTTTCGCCCGCGTCGTTGCCCCGGTGCGTCCTGGGTTCGAGGGTGCTGTTGACCAGTACGCTAACTTCCAATGCTCCTGCTCCTGCCTTTCAAGCTGAGTAATGTGCTGACATTCTGAAGTTTCCTGCGCTTTGGTGTCCCCTGGAACGGGGGCCCGCTTCCACTTGTCACTAGTCAAGCATATATCGCAATTGCCGACGAACTTGCGGAACTTAAGGGGAAGCCTGAAGGCGAAACAGCACAGGGCGAACCCTGGGAAATTACACTGCCAACTACACTCTTAAAGTTGAGGGGCGACGATATGCTGCCTACTTGGACCAAGGTAAATGGAAAGTGGGTACCCGATGTTTAAGTAGTAAAATGGGTTTAGGAGGATTAGTATCAGTACGGCATCATTATATTGCGATGGGTGGCAGTGGCATGTCGTTTAGTTTTAATTTTGGGTTTGATCCCTAGTTGCTTGGCCTCGAAATTGTATGCAAAGGCTCAAATGGCTGGCCACTATTCAGAATGCACACGTCTTTTATGCGAGGTTTTTTTTTTCTAATGGGAAATCCAGGACTCAAGAGCCGCTGGGGGGGCTACAGACCGTTGATATCATGTTTACCTGTAACTCGAAGAAATTCTGGACTTGCCAATGCATCATACCAGTTCCGAAGTCGCGCGCCACGAAGCAGTCTAACAGTGAGAACGGTGATTAGACGGCGATAGGCATTGACGAAGCTTTAAGTTAATTTCAGGAAATGGTACCATGCAAGCTAGTCAAAACCACTGCATGCCTGGCAGGCCGCCTGTCAACCACCTCATGTCTTACTAGTTCGAGGTCCTGTATCGGCTACAATAGGGCTACACCGGATCCTCGCATAATGTAACATGATCCCAGGTCCTCATGAACATCAATGGTTGCTCTAGAACAGAAATGCCACAATCATGAAAAGATACTGACGATATGCCGTGAATCACCTGAGCCAAGACAAGCCTTAAGATGTTTTTACGACGTGGTCATTCCATATGATTCAGCGACATGCGTCCCTGACTCATTGGCTACGTTGATGGTCATTGCGGGGCTCAGCACAAGTATTTAAGGGCCAACATACCCTGCCGTATCATCTTTCACACACACAGACACAGATTTAATTGTGGAAGATATACGCCAGATACCATGAATATGCAAGAGGGCAAATTGAGGCTCACAAAGAACTAGTGAAAGTCCATTTTCTGGTCGGAACTTTGCAGAAGCCTTTACTTTACGTTATCGAAGCAAAAGGAATTGATATAAATGTGCGGTGCTGATTAAAGTCTATGTCGATAACGAGAGCTATAAAAAGATATATTGGGGTCGGAATGTAAGCTTGAGGACGCTTGTGCTTCTATTAATTTCGAAGATTCTGATCGGTCACCGAATGTGACTTGGGACCCAATAGGGCACCGCTTTGCCTACTACTCTACTGCACTCTTCGAGTGTGGTGGTTTTGTCCTCTTGCGATCGACCCGTCTGCTTGACAGACTGCAAGCGAGCATTCCCATCATACAATACTTATTAGACTTGGTGAAAAAGTATAGTAGGTACCTAGAGAAAATATATATATCTTAACAGTTGTATTATATAAAAACTTTAATAATAATACTACTGTACCTAAATCAAGTTGAAAGTTTCTGAAATTGAGATAAATAAGACAAAGGAAATCAGAATCTAATAGTCTGCTTTTTATAATTTTTATACTAAATAACTATTACATTAGAAGGTTGAATTTAATAAACTGACTAGGTCTTTAAAACAATCCAAAGAGAATATACTATTTTTATGTAGAAATAATGCATGTCGCGGGCATAATCTGTGCCCGCGGCATGCCCATTTGCCAGGTCTAGTGATAAATACACCGACATTATTGAGGTCTTCCCTCGTACAACTGCCTCACGAGAGTAAGTTGCTCGCCTTTGTAGCTAGCTCGTCATTGCTCACGCAGTCAAGACTCGATTTTGCCCCTCCCACCTTCCTTCTAGAAGCCATTGCAATACAAGCACATTGCCTCCTTACTAGGGAGCGCGGATGGGCCCTATCTGACGCCACAGTCTAAGGTCACAGCGACAGGTGACCCGTCACGGCCAAACTTCTGTCTCCTTTTCCTCTTGACTGCGTGAGATCACCAATTAATTATCAACCGAAGGCCGTTTTTGCTCTTAGTCGTCACGTCGTCACAAACAAGAGCTATCAGGTGTTTTTTAACTGTGGCCCTCGAGCGCCAATTGAAAAACTTCGCGCGGAGCACTTTACGGCATCGCATAAATCCTAGGTACGTAATAATCTATGGTGAAAAATGCTGAGTGTATAAGACGAGAAATTTAAAGCGGGTTTAATCGGCTTTTCATATGGTGCCGTAGAGCGCTGCCGAATGTCGAACAAAAGCTATCTGTTGGCAAAAAGAGAGGCCTGAGCTATTTGGGTCTCAAAATGGATGTATCACGGCTTGAGTAACAGGAGGAATCTTCCAAAACTGGTCCACAGTTTTCGTGAGGTGAAAAAGTGGGCTGCTCAACGTCTGCAACGGCCCTAGATGGCCCTGACAGTGCAGAGCTTCCTTGTGCGACGATGACGAGCCTGCTGAGGACAGCATATTCCAACTTCAGTTTGACACTGTACGAAAAAGGCTTGATGACCACCTGAATGGCCCAGTATCCTTCATACTCGACGCTCACAACTGCAATATCCACCATCAAAATAAGAATATTGATACAGAGCAGCTGCTTCAAGACCGTAACATGGCTTCGCTGCGGCCGTATTCTCAACAGTCTGGCAACTTCCCAAATGTAGACCCCGGAGATGATTGATTCCTGCAAAGCAAATCCCATAATTTGTATATGTTCCATTATACCATATGCAGATACAAATAAGTTGGCATCGCTGGACGCACTGCCGAATATGAGAATCGTGGTTGGGACATGCAGGCAAATTGCGTCTATGATGATCATCCAAAGGACGCCGTCACATATCTTCTTATTGTGACAGACAAGGTGGAGTCGCGAGTATAGCACCAGTGCTTGCCCGGTAACCATGGCATACCAGGAGAATACTGTAAGCGCAGTAGAGAGGTATTCCGAGACGCCGATGCGGTAAAGTATGAAGGTGAAGCCGAGTGCTTGAGGGACGAGCGAAATGGAGGCAACGAGTAGGCTCCAGAAATAAAGACCACTATATCGCTTGAAGGTGATGAAACAAAGCACCACAAGTTCAATCGAGCCGAATATGGTGATCCCAATGAAAGAGGCAAAAACATATTTTTCTGCGGTGGTCACTTCAGCATACGTAGAAGACAACCCAGACTCAATAATTGCAGTCCTCAAGTGCAGCATTCTGTGGACATTCTCAATGACAGCAAAGAACAGTGGACACGGTGCACAAGGAAAGAGAAATAGACGAGGTAAGTTGGTCCAAGGCCCGGTTCTTATCAAATTTTGGATTCAAGCAACGATTTTAGTGGAGTTTGCGAATCAGCAACTTTCTGCTCGCGACACGCAAATCCTCTGGCTGGCTCAAGAATTAAGCAGCACACGCCAGAGTCCATTGACCAGGCGAGTAAAGTCCCAGAAGAGTCTGGAGTTTACAGCCTCTGTGGGTTTAAGAGGGCGAAGGAGGAGTGGCATCCACGGTAGCCTTCTCAGAACCCCGGCTGCGCGCCCACTCCGGGGATCGGTCCAGAATTTCTTGTGTCGGTACGGGAAGAGAGTTTGTGGAGGCCCGGGATACGGAATGCTGACGCAACAGGTTTTAGCTAGCCGCCGGGAATTGGTTGCCGCAGCCATCCACTGAGTCCGAGGTCGATACGGCCCCGAAAAAGGTCGTCTAGTAACGGGAATAAACGTTGTCTCATCAAATGACTCCAGACCTAACCACCATTAAATAATGTTGTATATGTATTTACCTGTTTTATTCTTGCTCTCTAGGTGCGGTTTATAATGGGATGGAACGGTGCATGAAGGAAATACAGCTTTCAAGCGGCGTTACCAGACGGGTTACAAACCACATAAACTTCAAACGGCCAGTTTGTTAACTAAAACTTCCTGATTAACGTTCAACTGACGATACAAACCATACAGCCGACACATATAATGCGAGAAATGGTATGTTGGATAGCAATCTGCACACATTCCTCTGTATCAACTATAGATAGCTACGGGTCTATCTGCACGGGATATAAATGAGATGAAGAAGATTCTTCTTGTAAGATCCTTGAATTATATAAATATTGACCACCTCCTGGGAATTGTAGTCGTACCTTGGAAAATTCCACGCCGGAAATTAGTGCAAAGGTCTGTGCTGTGGGCCTGATCGCTTGACTGCTATGAGCGTATACTAGTGTGCTTCGTCAGAGCTTGGCTCCACCTTAAGAGAAATCCCAGAAGAAGCAGTGACCTTGGTGTAGAGAGTCATAGCCAACAGCAAGTTTCGTGATTTCGTGTCGTGGTGGATCCCCTTCCTATGTAAAGACCGACAGCTTCCGCGATCGCTTATTGGGTACTCCGTACTCCGGTCTGAGAACCTATCGATATGGGCGCATGAATTTGAATATATGTATGGGGTCACCATTGTCCAGTTAGTCAAGGACAAGGCCGCTTTGGGTATTTCGACAACTCGGTGGACTCCCCACGTGTGCACGTTGCGGATCAAAATCCACGTTGATCTCTTAAAACCGTGACAGTGACAGACCACTATCACGGCCAGGGCGTGTTTCTTCTTGGCTGTGCTCGTTTTGACCGGAATTTCGTTTTGGAATCAGACACAAAGAAGTCCAGGATTGCTATGGATGTAAGAATGCCTGCTGAAGCAGTTGATATGGGTGTCATGTCGAATGCAGTTCTCTATCATTGATTCAAGGCCATCGCGACCGCAAATATTGCGCCAGTTATGTGGTGTAAATAGGGTTGAAAAGAGGCTTTTGGTGCTGCATTAGCTACCTTCTTCAAATAAACAGAGTCTGTGGTACGCAAACAACATTACTTTGAATGGACAGGCCAGCTCTCGCATGTCAGATTGTCTGTAAAAACCTTTCCAAGAATAGACGAGGACTTAAAATTTATTGCACGGACCAAGGAACTTGGTGCTTCACTTAGCCCGTTCGCGATTTAGTAATCTCGCAACCTGAACTTGCCTTCAAGCTTCCCTGGCTAATATAACCTTACTGGCAGACCAAGCATCAACGAATTGGTCTTATCAGCCTCTACAATGTTGGGATTGTTTCCACATCCTTACGCAAGCTATTGTCATCCTATTACTTGACATATCAATCGTTCTGGTGCCAGCAAAACCCGGACAAACTCATCTTGACTCCGAATCGGTAGGAAACGCCTCGAAAGTACAAGTCCAATAAAATTAAGTCATCGATTTAAAGTGTTAAGATCGGTTGAGCGATCTCACAGCTGTGCATAATTGAACTTTGGCGTGTTATGACACCATATAGCCGTGACATAGTTACGAATACAAAATTCATCCATAACGGTCAAAACTGGCAGCTTGAAGGACTCTGGTCACTTCAAGACACCGCCTTTTTCGACAGTGCTCCACCTCGAAGATGAGAAATTAAGCTCCAATGAAACCTATGACTTGCTCCACAAAGCCCGCAGGATTTTCTTCCGCCAGGTAATGCCCGCTATTCTGAACGATACCAACTTTAGGATCGTGGTACATCTCTTCTGCCATCTGTTTTGCACCTTCAGCAGCCCAGCTTCTGTCCCCGGAAAGAATCATGTTTCGAGTTGTGACCTTCCCATTCTGTTGAAGCCAGGCCCTATTGTGCTGAGCGTCGATTTCAAAAGCACTGTACGTGAAAAACGCACATCTCATAGCGTCTGGCATGGAATACTGCATCGTATAGAAGTCGACCACTTCTGGGGAGAAAGCAGCTTGATTTTGCGTGAGACGGTCGAAGAAATGCTTCAAGTACATTTTCTCTTTCCCTGAAACGAGGGCCACTGCAATCTCTGGATTGTGGCCGTGGAAGTCAAAGTGCCAATGGGTTCGTGAGTGCTTCAGCTCATCGAAAAGAGTTGTTCCAGGAAGAGGACACTCTCCCCAAATGATGCTGGCCACATGCCCAGGAAACTGTGCTACATAAGCATGGGCAACCATGCCCCCGATGTCATGGCCCACGACATGTATTTTCTCCGTGATTCTGAGTGTCTCAGTCATAAGACGGAACAAATCAGTCGCAAGTGACTTCTTGGCGAAGTCGGACACGGACAACAAGGGATGAGACGAGAAGCCATGACCACGATAGTCGGGTGCAATCACATGATATCCAGCTGATGCGAGTGGGCCGATAACATGGCGAAACTGATGCGATGTTTGAGGAAAGCCATGGATCAGAAGTATCGTACCTTTCGGAGGCTGCGAAGGTCGGGCTTCGATAAAGTGTATACGAATTTCCTGGTTGCTTTCTTCAAGCCATGCTTGGCGGTGAAATATTTCGTCGGACATTGCGATTTAGACTGGATGGAAGCCTCTGTGAGCCAGATTTGTTCAATATGAAACAGCTTGGGTGCGCACGGCTCACTATTTATATGCTAAGCTAGGTCAATAATAAAAATAGTGTCGAAGGAATAATGGCATTCTTGCTCGTCACTCACCCCGGATATTGTTGTCCGGCCAGACAAGTACTAAAACAGCGCACTTGAGCGAGCACACGACATGAAAGAGCAAGGTTACCGACGAGTGATTGAGAATGATGACAAATGTTAAAGTAAGGATCTGGCCAACCACCGTACCCTCAGACAGATTAATTGAATGGACAAAGCGACTACAGGAAATCAAATTTACGTAGCCATTCTGCACCGGGAATCTATCCCCGGTTGAACCCTTCTCTTAAAGTAGGAGGTCTGACTGAATTTAGTTGGCAAAGTGGCGGAAAACCGTTGCCGTGGAAAGAGTGAATGCTAAAACTCTACGATCTGGCCAATAAACCGCATGTTTGGGAAGGTTAATTGGATGAATGATATAACGGGTAAAACTCCAAATTATGTCATCATGTACTCCGGGGATTGATGTCCGACTGAACTACTGAAACCATTCTCCGTTCAGCCTTTCGCCTACAGCATCCTAACCAGGAGCTAGGATTTCATACAGTTGCCGAGCAAGAACACTTTAACCCAATAATCGCGCATTTTAATTACATTTGGCAACACGAAACGCCGTAAATTTGGATAAATAGCAGTTGCTTTTGGATGGATTTGGAGTTAAATAGAGTTGGCAAAGGAGCGGGGTCTAGGTTTGACCATATACCGCATACTAACCTGGTAAAATAATGGTTATATGAAGGGGATATAACTCCTCTCCTTATTCCCAGTCACTATAGCTTATTATTGATTACCTTTTCTGCTTGCACTTCCTGATTTTGCCCCGCCGTTTGTCGTCCACAGGATGCTTGGTATTACCAAATATTTTGGCTTGCGAGGTAACTCCCTCAACCTTGCCATCAGTTGGATAGCTGGTCTCGACTTTTTGTGAGGTCCCAGTCCATGCTTGTTTTAGTATATTTGCTTACATAACGGACAGTCTCTTCGGATATGACCAGGGTGTGACTGGCGGCCTTTTGGATCTGCCATCATTTACAAAGCATTTCCCAGAGATAAATCCTGACGCGGAGGGTATCAACGCTATAGAATCGGAAGCTCGTTCAACATACCAAGGTATCACGGTGGCCGCCTACAACCTAGGATGTTTTCTAGGATCTTTGTTCACAATATTTGTCGGAAATTCCCTGGGCCGTCGCAAGACAATTTTTTTTGGTTCCATCATTATGACCGTTGGCGCACTATTACAGTGCACATCGTACACCTTACCCCAGTTTCTTATTGGAAGAATCGTGACGGGATGGGGCAATGGGATGAGCACGAGCACTGTTCGTAAGTATTTCAGTTGCACTACTTACAGGGCGATGTTATAACTAATAGTGTCATTCCAGCCACCTGGCAGTCTGAGACTGCATCTGCCCATGCACGGGGAAAATTGGTCATGATAGAAGGCATGCTAATCACCGCGGGGATTACAACTAGCTACTGGATCAATTATGGTAAGTTCGCCTCGTCTTGATGCCGGGAGCAATAATGACAGATGACGCTGATGGCCCAAAAGGGATGACTTGGATCGGAGAGAAGGAGGTCGCTTGGCGCTTCCCTGTGGCCTTCCAGATAGTCTTTGCCTCCATCATATGGGGAACTGTACTCAACCTACCTGAATCGCCCCGTTGGCTTGTCATGAAGGGCAGAGACGACGATGCGCTTGAAGTCCTCGAAGCGCTGAATGGAAAGTCCCGTGAAGACATATTCATAAAAAGCGAATTCGAGTCCGTCAAGCTTACTGTTCTCGAAATGTCAAGGGGGTCCTATAAGAGTCTTTTTCAAATGACCGAATACCGCGAGTTTCACCGAGTTGCGCTCGCTTACATCATTCAGGTGTTCCAGCAAATCTCGGGGATAAATCTCATCACTTACTATGTATGATTCATGCGGAGAAACGCTGGTCCTCATTCACCTACTGACTGATTTTTCAAGGCGCCAATTCTCTTCAGCCAAATTAATCTGTCAGGCAATAACCTTCCTAAGCTTCTAGCGGCCTGTAACGGGACAGAGTATTTTTTGGCTTCTCTGATACCTATTTTCATCATTGAATGCGTTGGGCGTCGTAAGTTGATGCTCCTAGCAGTAAGTGGTCGCTGATTTTCCAAAATAAACAGTGGCTGCCCAGATTTATAACAACGTTGTGATAGACTACAGGCATGTCATTGTCAATGGTTTGTCTTACAGTGACTTTGTGGGCTTTGAATGCCGGACATGCGGGTGGTGGACCTGCTCATGTCGTATTCCTTTTCGTTTTCAATACGTTCTTTGCCATTGGCTGGCTAGGGATTCCGTGGCTATATCCGGCTGAGATTGTACCATTGCGTATTCGAGCGCCAACAAATGCATTGTCAACAAGGTACGAGAAATTCTAATGGTGGCTTTGGGCTGTTTAACGCCATTTCACTAACGAGTGACGTTTCAGCGCTAACTGGATTTTCAATTTCCTTGTCGTCATGATAACTCCGGTTGCTTTCAAAACCATAGGCTACAAATTCTATATCGTGTTTGCTGTTATGTAAGTCTTTCAGGGCAATGCTTTTGGCTCTGTTAAAGCGGCACCAAAGCTAACACATACTAGAAACGCGGCAATTCTCCCAGTTGTCTACTTTTTCTACCCAGAGACGCGTTATCGCTCTCTTGAAGAGATGGATGATATTTTCAAGAAGTCATCCAGTGTTTTCAATGTTGTTTCGATTTCTCTCAGACAACCACATCGATACGACGAGCACGGCCAGCTCAAGGAAGAGTATCTCGAGGCTATTGAATATCACGAAAATGCCCAAGGAATTAAATCCATCAAAGATTCCGAGTATCTGCCTTAGTTACGACCCCGGTTACTAAGAAATTGTTGAAGTACCTCTAAGGAGATGGAAGTGAAGGTTGCAGCCAGTTAGCCACTTATCATGACAAAATGAAGAAGTGGTTAAATACCACTAGGACCCTTCAGGACAGGCTTACTCATCGTTCACTTAATTCATTTTAGTATGCTGTCATAAACACGCTATAGTTCGATTATAGAGACCCTTAAGATCGCTCAACCGATCACAACACCTACAATCGATCATCTGATTCTATTGGATATGGTCAGTAATAGCCAGTACATGAATTCCTCATCCTGACAAAAGATCACTCAGAACTATTCTGCGTTTTCTTCCAGTATCATGTTTTTTCTTGCTTTCAGTAGTTGATAGTCAATGCTAAATTTCCTACACCGCTATTGCCGATGCAATACAGCAGCGGCGTTGGATGTGTGAAACTATTACACTGTCAGACTCAGTTTCGTGAAAATAGTTTTGACATTATATTCAGAGTGCTTGGATAAACAGCGTTGCGATATGTAATATTCCAAAGTAATACAAAAAACAAGTACATTTCGATTCTTGATGAGGCATATCTCACGAAAATTCGGCGGTGTTTTCGCATGATGCTTCTGTAAATTACAATTATTCTAAGCTGATGATTACTGTACTTTTCTTCACTGTGGATACAAATAGAAGAGGGCATTTCATACCTCTGAATTTGATGAGATTAGTGAGTGGTTTTCTTTTGGACTCCATGGTTGCAGGTATACACGCCTGTCAGTCCCGTGGAATCTACTCGAGCGGAAGGCTCTCTTATCGACCAGGTACTAAAGAAGTGGGCACAACTAATTAATATATTATATTTAAAGGAGGAAAACAAGATATATATTATTTATAATTAAGGACACTAAGGTAAACGTACGTATTGAATACAGCTTCTAAAGTATAGCTTTTTTATAGGCCCTCAATATGATTACAAGGCTTATTATATTCTATTGGCTCCCAGGATCTATGATCAGTAGGAGAATAGGGAAAAGAAGTAAAAGTAATATTTAGTATTCAAGCTCCTAGGAGCAGCAAAGCGTTATAGCCCTATTGCCTGCTCATTGGCCGCTATAAGAGAGCTTTCCCTATCTCTGACCAGGAGAGTTATAGGATTAATTTTCCCACAAGATTATATTCGCCAGTGGGTGCTTGAGTCAGACCGCTGGCTCTCATGTAAGCAATGCTCAGAGAGAAAATCAGAGCACCGAGATCAGGCTCACTGGGCAGATCAGGGTGATCAGAGTGATCAGAGAACTGCTCAGAGAAGTCACGTGATGACCACTGATCCGCTCAGCGCGCTCAGAGAAGTGCTCAGATCTACTCAGTGAGCACTAAAACGGAACGGGAAAGCCAAGACTTTGCATAGGAAATCCACTACGTAGGTGTGGACTGTCAAGCGTATACCTTGACAGGCAAGGATCGTTGTGTCGATCAGTTGCAATACATCTGGAGAAGTACTCCGTACCGAAGGACAGTACTACAATACCTACAGTACGACTACTCGTAATACCGGGAAGTGTCTTGCAGGTGTTGGAACTGTTTAGTCACCGAAATCGATGGAATCCGTGTTTCTCGGGACTGAATTGTAAACTCGGGCCGCTATTCGGGTTCGCCAGCCCATCCAGCCTATCCAGCCTATCCAAGGCTTCCCGAGTGCATGCCGAGTCGTCCCGAGACACCCTCGAAGCGAACGAACGGTTGTCAATAGAAGCCGGGGAATGGTAGTAACTTGAAGTTAACTCAACTTGGGAGACTCGAGAATATGTTCTGCAGACGGGCGATATGCACCCCTGAACCCCTAGATTTCCCCATCTCCAAAGTTTCCCCGGGTGTGACGCTGTGCGAATGAATGCCCGTCCCCTGCATCCCCCGTGTCGCCCGCGTCTTAACCAGTGTCGCTCACCGGTGAAGCCGGGGGAAACGTGGGTTTCGGGCCATTGACCAGTCACAGCCTGCAGAGCCCTCCACAGCTTGTCATCTCCGTAGTTTCGACAGTTGCCTGCGTCATGGGCTGTTTGGGGAGGGGGGGAAAAATCAAGAAAAAAAGAAAAAAAAATAGGACATTTCATTCTACCGGCACACTGCTACTGCTAGGTGTAGGGAGGACAGACAGAGGAAACAAGCGGTTTCACCAGGTGCGTGTGTGACCCCGCAAGAATGAAGGGCCACGGCTGCATTCGGCAGTGAAGAAGCACAGAGAGAATAGTTCTCTACCCACTGCAAATCAAAATGGACAAGATCAGAGCATGTTTTCTAAAAAAGATGCCGTCTGCGACAATGATCTCGGCCAGAAATAAGCCCTAGTCAAAGCCATTGATGAGGAGTCCGGTGAACCCGGAGATTCCCATACTCTTGGCTGGGGGGGGGGACTGACCTCATCCACCCAAATGGACCCCGCCATCCCACTTGCGCTTCTTTTTCTTCTTCTTCCTCCTCTTTCTCTACTCTCGTCCACACTTTTAACATCTTCTCTGTGATTCCCTTTCTTTACTCTCTCTTTCTCTCTCTCTTTCTCAATCTCTACTTTCCCTTCCTTTTCGATTATTCCTCTCTGTGATCCTCCACCTCCGCTCCTCCCCACCTATCATCCATCATGTCACTCTTGGCTGAGGCCACGCGCATCGCGCGCGAATTTGACTACCCCGCTGAGCAGGTCCAGCGCGGTGTCGCTGAGTATATTCGCCAGCAGAATGAGGGTCTGGCCAAGGAGAACACCACTCTGAGCCAAATCCCAACCTTCGTGACCGCAGTCCCCAATGGCACGGAAAAGGTACGTTTCGTTTGAGGCCCCCGCGCAATCATGAACCTCTCACCAACCTCTATGCAGGGCCTCTACTTGGCCGTTGATCTCGGCGGTACCAACTTCCGCGTCTGCTCCGTCCAGCTACACGGAGATACCACCTTCTCCCTCACCCAGTCCAAGATCATGATCCCCCGGGAACTCATGGCCTCCGGTACCTCCAAGGACCTCTTCCTTTTCCTCGCCCGCCAGATCGAGTCTTTCCTGCGTATCCACCACAATGAGCACTTTGAGGCACACCTCCGCCGCCGCCTTGCCGGTAACAACGAGCAGGACCTGTTCGATCTGGGTTTCACCTTCAGTTTCCCCGTGCGCCAGTTCGGTATCAACTCCGGAACCCTGATCCGCTGGACCAAGGGCTTCAACATCCCCGATGCCGTCGGACACGACGTTTGCGCTCTGCTCCAGTCTGCCATTGATGAACTCGAACTCCCCGTCCGCGTGGCTGCTCTGGTCAACGATACCGTCGGCACTCTGATGGCCCGCTCCTACACTTCCCCCGGCGAGACCGGAACCTTCCTGGGCGCTATCTTTGGTACCGGTACCAACGGTGCCTACGTCGAGAAGATTGATAAGATCACTAAGCTCCAACACATGAAGGACGCCCACTACGACAAGTCCACTGGGGAGATGATCATCAACGCCGAATGGGGCAGCTTCGACAACCACCTGAGCGTTCTGCCTAGCACCGTCTACGACCGCGACCTCGATGCTGAGAGCAACAACCCCGGAATTCAGATGTTCGAGAAGCGTGTTTCCGGCATGTTCCTTGGCGAGATTCTGCGCCGCGCGCTCCTGGCCATCCACAACGACCCTAAGCTGGCTATCTTCAAGGCCTGCGAAACCTCCAAGGTTTCCCTTCCCACCGACTCCCTCTTTTACCGCCAGTGGGGTCTGGACACCAGCCTTCTGAGCCAAGTCGAGGCCGACACTACCAAGGATTTCGTCGACGTAAAGGCCGCTCTCAAGGATCACCTGAAGATCGAGAACCCCAGCGACGCTGAATGCGAGGCTGTCAAGATCCTCGTCCACGCCATCGGAAAGCGTGCTGCCCGCCTTAGTGCTGTCCCCATTGCCGCCATCCTCATTGACAGTGGCAAGCTCGATACCGAGGGTGTTATCGATATCGGTGTGGACGGTAGTCTCGTAGAGTTCTACCCCAACTTCGAGGGATACATCCGCGAGGCCCTGCGTGAGGTTCCCCAGGTTGGTGTTGCGGGTGACAAGAAGATCCGCATTGGTATCTCCAAGGATGGAAGCGGTGTTGGCGCAGCCCTGATTGCCTTGGTTGCCAGCAAAGACGAGACTCTGCATATCCCTCGCGAGAAATGAGTGTCGCCACGTGACGCCTCATGTGTATATGTTTGACGACCTATTTGCTTTTCGATCTTCTACCATCTACGGCACGGTATTACAGTGGTTTCCTGGCCTGGCCAATCTTTTTATTTTGGTCACCTGATAAAGAATGAGCCCTCTTATCCTGGCCTACTACAACACCAACACCACAATCACCATCACCCCCGCCCCAACCTGTCCCTTGATCAATCCTCATGGCAAATGCTACTCGGCTGAAACCATTATTTGGAATTTGCCATCCTATGCCGTGAAACCCTGGTTTGACAAGGTCTCACCCTGTCCGGACGGACATGGGGCCCACATACCCCGTCCTTTTACTATTTCGCTTGTCGATCCCCGCGTGGGATTGTAACACTACCTTCCAGCTTTCGATATGGAGTTGCACAGACTTGGTGCGCGGTGGTATTCTATTCTAGTACACATTTTGCATTTACAGCTTGATCAATGTCATAAGATTTCAATTGAATCCAATGGGCACTTAGCTCGCCCTATTAAGGTTGTGTGCCAGAACACTTCATAGACGGACCCTTCTATAGTTATGTTGTGGTTGACCATCATACCGGACTCATTCTGCCAGTGCTAGGTTACTTTGGAGGCGAATATGGATTTGACAACCGTATGTAAGTAGTAACTGGATATTGATGTCTCACCTTGATCCCAAGTCAACCTTGAGAATGTTCTACCTCACTGGAGGTTATCTACGCCCCCGCGCCTCCATCGAGCTCTCCCACTCCCTTTGTGCCGCTTGGTAGAATTCATCGTGCAAGAGCACATCGATTCCTACCATCGCATTGGCTTTACCCGCTCGGAGCGCTTCTGTGTGTGCAAAATCACTGCCCGCTGCTTGCTGGAACTCCGGTGTATGCGGCATGTTGGTCGCATTGATCTTGAATAGCGTTTGGATGCCGGGCTTCAGATATGAGCAATTGCCAAAATCACTGCATCGAGTTGGTTCAGTCAGTACGACCCATTCAGCGCATAACAACAAGAGTGAAGGAACCCACGAGCTTCCTCCTATAGCAGCCTTGGACTGAGTGGCAGGGTCCACGAATTCAGCCGGGTCAAATCCGAGGCCGTTCAGCATGTAATTGGTGTACCGATTGGCGAGGGCCATATTGTTCACCACGTCTTCATATAGAGCGTCCCTGGATCTATCATTTAACACCCGCCTATTCAGATCTCACACCACCTTTGGTCACTCACCAGAACAGCTCCACCGTACAGCCAGTCGCTGCGGCAGCCGAATGGAAAATAGGGATAACCCGTTCTCGCAATTTCTCAACCGACACGGAATCCTCTGCACGAAGGGAGAAATGACCTTCAGAATAATCAGGAATGACATTAACCGCCTTCCCCGCTTCCAAAATAATTGACTGAATACTCTCCGTCTTCTTAACATGCTGCCGAAGCAATGCCAGGCCATTATACGCCATGACAATCGCATCACAAGCATTCGCACCATCCCAAGGCGCCGCTCCCGCATGGGACCCTCTACCATGGAATTTCGCCCTGAATTTCCATGATGCTTTCGTCAACATCTGCGAGCTGGAAAAATCTGGCATCGGGTGGGTCATTATCACGATGTCGCAATCTTTCCACGCTCCATTGTTGGCCATGATGTACTTTCCTCCGCCAGTTTCTTCGGCCGGGGTGCCGATAATAACTAGCGTTCCAGGAATACCGAAGTGCTTCATTGCCGATGCGACACCTACTCCAGACGCGAGGGTTGATGTAGCGATGAGATTGTGGCCACAGGCATGTCCGATTTCGGGAAGGGCATCTAAAAGTGCGTAGTCTAAATCAGCATCTCTCTGATGTAGAGCACATAGTTTCTTGATGAATTGTATTGCGAACCATATTCAGCATTGTAGCAAATAGTTCGGCCGCCGCCGAGCACCGAAAAGCGCGCTTCAAATGCCGTGCTGATGCCGTAGACCCCAGTATTTACCGTCCACCCTTGCGATTGGAGCCATTCGGTGAGGAGCTTGCAAGCCTTTTCCTCTTTGAACTTCAATTCTGGATTATTCCAAATCTTTTAACCAGTATCAGCACATATTCTGGAGAAAGTTATCTTCAAACCCACCTCGAGGTTTAATCTTCGCAGCTCCGCGGAAGCGGAATCAATAGCCTGAGAAACAAATGTGAGGTGCTCATTAGATATATCGAAGCTAGCAGATGAGCCGCATGCTTGGCTACCACGCGACGGCGCTGCCATGGCGTTTAAATTGAAATAAAGGAAAAGGCAAAGAGCAATAATCACGGGGCAGAGAGTTGAAGGTCGAGAAGATAGCAGCGAAGTTGGTCAACCCTTTGATTGATTACCCCGCACGAAAGCGCTCCTTTTCCGCGGTCGTATCTCATCATGTCCCACCTTTTTGCAGGTTGGTAAGGGGAATCGGGCGATTCGGTCGGCCGCCGACGTTTATCACCGAATTTTTGCTTTACCCGAATTCACTAACAGATAATAACATCGATGACGTTTCGTTTTAATCAGGTACATATTCAACATTGGAATTATGTTAGTTAAATGTTAAAGGGAGAGTTGAGGCTAGCAACCCCTTTTTAAGCTAGACAGTCTGAGGAACTAAATTCCGGGGCAGCTTAACCCATTGAATTCTAATCTATATTTCAAGCTTGCTCTACTAAAATGTCTGCTAAGATGATAGCTTCCAATACTAGGAGCGTTTTTTGTTTGCCTACAGATTAGACATCCTATTGTAAAGAAGAGGATTTGGCACTGACGTTTTCATGTTTCTGCGGGGCGAGAGACATTATTTTGCACATTAACTTTGAGCCTGTTACAGTTTGTTCTCAGATTATTGGATTTCTAGATTATTTGCCTCTTAGGTTATTGAGTCAGTAGAGTGATGTTCGACTTCAGTTATACCTCCAAAGAGTCTTTGCATAATATTCACCAATTTACACTCTTTTCTTGATTCTGGGCCCCACTGCCAAGGCGCTAGCTCGAAAACTGGGTGCAATGGAATCGACCCTTCGATTACAATACGTGTATATATTACAGTGCCTTCTTGGCGTTCGGTCCATGTCTTGTCGGCGATAACTCATTGGCGGCAATAAACGACCAGACATATGTTCAGTCTCTACTTAATATGATGTATGTAAGCGAAGAAATGAGAATCTACTTTAGCACCAGTTCATATCTCGAGCTTCGGCTTACGAAAATGTCAATTTGAATGGATTGAGTTTCTAGTTATTGAGTTTCTAGTTGATTAAGTGACAAGAAAGCATTCGTATTATACTTCAATATATCTTGAATATCTTCATTATTCTTCCAATTCAACGCCAGAATGTCGAAAATGGCCTTCGGCGCTGTTTCTTCTAGCCCCTACGACATCTAGACTCCAATCAAGGAAGTCCCTAAAGTTTTGGCTTTGACACTTTTGCCAATTCCGGCGAATGAATGCCTTGAGCTCTGCGAAGAACTCTTCGATTGGGTTTAGATCGGGCGAGTACGGTGGCAGGTATAGTAGCTTGACTCCGGCATTATCGCAAAGTTCTCTTATACGGTCAGTATGGTGGAAAGACGCATTATCCATGATCAGGACAGACTTTGGTTCGGGCCATCTGCCGCAATGATGAAGGAGTTGTTCGATGAAATCCTCGAACAAGCTAGCATCGGTTGATCCTTGGAAGACTCGAGACATCAAAATACCATCCTGGCAGTACGCAGGTAGAATCTGATATCGTTGACCCCGCTGGAAACGAGCTGTTTGGACAGGTGCGACCCCGCGAGGAGACCAGCCTGTCCGCCTAAAGCCAGCCCGTTTATCACATCCAGATTCGTCTATATAGACCAAGTGATACGACCGGAAATCTGACAGCTGATGAGAATAGTCATCTCTGAGATCCGTGTTTCTCTCTTGTGCTATTCGCCGCGCTACCTTTTTCGTCCAACCTTGAGACTGGAGGGCTCGACTGATTGTGTATGTAGACACAAGCACGTCAAACTCATCATAGAGGAACTCGGCCATCTCGTCTAGGTATAGATCTGGCTTCTCTAGCAGATAATCGCACAGCACGTTGAGCATGAACGGGGTTATTAAACGCGGTCGGCCGCCGGGAATTGGAGGTGAGTTGGTCCGTAGAATGGGAGCCACCGCTTTCATGAACCAACCTTGTTGAAATACGCCTGCTTCATTATAGTCCAGATAGCACTGTCGTCCTCAAATCCGGGTTTGCTACTAGGCGGCTGATTTTTTTTCTGCACCGGGTTGAATCGAATTCCAATCAATCAGATTCGGTCTTATGGTAGGTATTGGCAGCGGAAATCCGTCGACGGTCAATCTGGGTGATGTGGTATAATGGGATATGGGGAAGCTGGAACGAGGTGGGCATTGTGTCCACACGGGTTCACTGAACAGACCTCCGAACGGGCTACTTAATACATCACACCTGCCGAAAGCTAGGCATGAGATGTACGGATCGTAGATAAATCATTATCTAGATGACATCGAAAGGAAACTGCGGAGAGGCCTTCTATTCTATGGGTCATAAATCAAATTTCAACTAACTATACTAATCAAAAATTCCACCAGGGACACCTTGTTAAACCCAAAGCTTATTCCCACAGCACAGCAAATATTGCAATCAACGATGGGATGAATGAGCTTCGGTTTAAATATTTCCTTGTATTGAATAGGAAAATGTACCTTTGAATAGGTAAAGACAGGCGTGCAGGGATTCGCAATCTGGAAGAAAGATTATACTGTACGGTAACGTACATACCCATCAAAGCGTAAAAATGGGACATTGTTTTGGAAGCGCGAGAAAGATGATACGATTTGATGAACAAGCAATAGCCATTGTGTTTGCATATATAGCAAAGTGATGGAAACTAGGAGGGCGGTATTCCCAGGGCAGCCACAAGAGGTTGAGTCCATTACAGGTTATCCAGGAACGGTCGTCACTTAGTCCGTATCCACAATGACCGAAAGGTTGGATGAAGCTGTCAGGCGCAGACGTCTCAAGAGCCACTGAGATTGTGTCAAATGTACCAGTGCTGGTGTGCAGACGATTTGAATCAGCTTGATCAAATTTAAGGAAGCTGATGAGGCCAGTATGGAGGGTCGACATGCTCTCGCCGGTGGCTGGATCCCAGATTCGGACGGTTCTATCCGAGGACCCTGATGCAAGTCGGCTTCCATCAGGCGACCAGGCAATCGAGCTGACCAAATCACTATGCCCCTTGAGAACGGAGATGCACTTGCCAGTGGCTGGATCCCAGATTCTAACTGTTCTACCAGAAGATGGTCGAACAGAAGACGCTGATGCAAGTCGGCTTCCATCTGGCGACCAGGCAATCGTGGAGACTGCACCACTATGTCCTTTAAGAGTGGATATTCTCTGGCCGGTGGCTGGATCCCAGATCCGGACTGTGTAATCAGAGAACCCGGATGCAAATCGGCTTCCATCTGGCGACCAGGCGCAGGTAAATGAGTAGAACGTTTCACTATACCCTTTGTGAGTGGACACTCTCTGACCGGTAGCTGGATCCCAGATCCGGACTGTATCATCATAGGACCCTGATGCAAGTCGGCTTCCATCTGGCGACCAGGTAATCCAGCGTTCCCTATGCCCTTTGGGAGTAGATACACTCTGGCCGGTGGCTGGATCCCAGATCCGGACTGTATCATGATAGGACGCTGATGCAAGTCGGCTTCCATTTGGCGACCAAGCAATCGTGGAGACTGCACCTCTATGCCCTTTAAGAGTGGACACACTCTGACCAGTGGCAGGATCCCAGATTCGAACCGCTCTATCGGAGGACCCTGATGCAAGCCAGCTTCCATCTGGTGACCAGGCAATCGACTTAACCAAATCATTATGCTTATTGAGAGAGGAAATGCTCTGACTGATGGTTGGATCCCAGATCTGGGCTGTATCATCATAGGACCCTGATGCAAGTTGGCTTCCATCTGGCGACCAGGCTATCGAGCTGACTAAATCACTATGCCCTTTAAGAGTGAATATGCTTTGGCCGGTGGCTGGATCCCAGATCCGGACCGTATAATCATCCGACCCTGATGCAAGTTGGTTTCCCTCTGGCGACCAGGCAATTGAGTAGACTGCACCTCTATGCCCTTTAAGAGTAGGCATACTCTGAAGAGTGGGCATACTCTGACGGGTGGCTGGATCCCAGATTCGAACCGCTCTATCGGAGGACCCTGATGCAAGCCAGCTTCCATCTGGTGACCAGGCAATCGACTTAACCAAATCACTATGCCCCTCAAGAGTGGATATGCTCCGACTGGTGGTTAGATCCCAGATCCGGACAGTTCTATCAGAAGATCCCGATGCAAGTCGGCTTCCATCTGGCGACCAGGCAATTGAGGAAACTGGACCAGTATGTCTTTCAAAAGTGAATATCCTCTGGCCAGTAGCTGGATCCCAGATCCAGACCGTATAATCATCCGACCCTGATGCAAGTCGGCTTCCATTTGGCGACCAGGCAACCGAAAAGACTGAACCTCTATGCCCTTTAAGAGTGGACACGCTCTGACCAGTGGCTGGATCCCAGATCCGGACACTTCTATCTGGGGACCCTGATGCAAGTCGGCTTCCATCTGGCGACCAGGCAATCGAGCTGACCAAATCACTATGCCCCTCGAGAGCAGAGATACTCTTGCCGGTGGCTGGATCCCAGATCCGGGCTGTATCATCATAGGACCCTGATACAAGTCGGCTTCCATCTGGCGACCAGGCAATTGAGGAAACTGGACCAGTATGTCCTTCAAAAGTGAATATCCTCTGGCCAGTAGCTGGATCCCAGATCCAGACCGTATAATCATCCGACCCTGATGCAAGTCGGCTTCCATTTGGCGACCAGGCAACCGAAAAGACTGAACCTCTATGCCCTTTAAGAGTGGACACGCTCTGACCAGTGGCTGGATCCCAGATCCGGACACTTCTATCCGAGGACCCTGATGCAAGTCGGCTTCCATCTGGCGACCAGGCAATCGAGCTGACCCATTTACTGTGCCCCTCTAGAGTGACCATGCTCTGACCCGTGGCTGGATCCCAGATCCGGACTGTATTATCATCCGACCCTGATGCAAGTCGGCTGCCATCCGGCGACCAGGCAATCAAGTCGACCGAGCCACTATGCCCCTCGAGAGTTTGAAGACAGGAACTCCAATCTTCCTCCACCATGGGACTATTCAACACCCAATTCGGTCTCTCATGCTGGAATGAAATTCTGGTGAGGCTCTTTGATGGGCTGAAGACGAGAGATGAGCAATATACTTGTAGAGGACTATTCTCAATTCCTGTTCGATGATATTGAATAAACCTGGAGGCGTCTCGAGCTCGTTCTAATAGGCTCTCTGACTCGCCATCCCCCTGTTCAGAGCGAATCCTTTGTTAGAAATCAAACTCATCTTCATATGATCGGTACAACCTACATGAAGCAAAATTTCGAGCCTTTTTATTGCTTGTATGCCATCGGAAAGACTTCTCAAAATACTCAGGGCCTCGAGCCAGTAGAGGTATTTCCGCTGCAGAAATCCATCCAATGAATCTCTATCGTTCCGACTCAATTCATAGTTGGCGTTACATCTACATGCGTAAAGATGGTCCACCCAGAACATACAGGCGTATTCAGCTGTCGCGAGTGGATTCGGGCTGGGTATGCTAACATCCTTGGCGGAAGTTCCTGGTAGCTTGACATCAAAAATATCATGTCTAAGTGTCTTATTAAGGACCTCCAGAGATTGGGAAAAGATTGCGTGGTGTTCACCTTCTAACCCTCTAGGGAGTATCTCAGTGCGTGTCTCTTTGAGTAGGAAGTCCTTTGCAGACTGATGAACAAATGCGACGGTGTGGTTTCGTAATATTAGAAATGACCCACAGACAGCAACAATCTCGGAAAGGGTAGTAAGATCATAATAGCAATCAATTCGCTCTTTAATAAGGGAGCCTAGCTCGCTCAGCGTGATAGGGCGATATACTGTTGATATAGTACCCAGGATTTGCTTGCAGAGCTTTGCATCTTCTGACTCGCAAACTTGATCGAACATTCGGTGATATAGAGCATCAAGTCCAGGAGGAAATGTTCCGAGATTCTTTATAGCGTGCCGCCGCGGTGTTTTATCAAGGCTTTTACAGACCAAGGCCACCCAAAGGAAAGTTCCCTGTGAGTTTGACAACAAGTGACACCTGATCCTTTCGCGAGTTTCGGCATTATATCCCTTGTTCTTCGCGAGTAAGTCTACCTTGTGTCGAATAAATGCATTAACAGCTTCAGACACAGATGCTTCGTTTAGCTCCAATAGGATCGGAGCTATCTGGCTAGCAGCATCGAGACGCTCGATAATATCAGGCCAGTTCCGGCTAGAGATTACCCACTTGATCTGTGGATGCGCCGATGACTTTTCGACAACCAAATCCAGAAGGTCTTGGAGACCGTCTTGACACTCATCTAACGCATCAATCACAATATAGGCATCTTTCAGAGATGAGTCTTTCAAGATTTTCGTGAAGATCGATGTAAGAGCACTCCACGCGTTGATATCCTCAAAGAGCCTTTTCCCAGTGGGGTCATACCGAGCACGGACATGGCGGAGAAGCGATGAGTTCTTCTTGACAAGTAAATATATCAATCCACGTAGGACCGATGTAGCGCTATTGATTCGCATGTCGGTTGCTTGACAGAAGAAGAACGAGATGGTCGCACCATCACCATATAACCGTGTCAACTCTTCGATGATTCCACACAGAAGCATCGTCTTGCCTTTGCCAGGATCTCCCCTGATCCAGAGAAGACGATTGCTTTGGTTGCATTGCCATTGTTTGAATGCCTCGTTGTCGAGAATCCAGCGGTAGGAGTCTTTGAGCAATCCGCCGTTGGCTTTCTTGATACGCTCTTTATCATCGTAAGGGTAGGTCGTTTGTAGGTCCCGGAGACATACTTGATCCAATGATGCCGATTGTCCTGAGGCCGTTCCTAGTTGAGTCATATATCATATAGTGTGAATCATTCAACTAACCAATCGTGACACTCCCAATATTGCCGTGTAATACTCCTAATTGGAGCCCAAAGTTTGTACCGTCGTAGGAAATGGTTGCGGCCATGACTATTGCTCGATAGTTTGAAGAGGTCGGTAAGTCAGGAGTTAGAATTCTCGAGTTCCATTCTACCCCGCTCTCAGGTGATATACCCATATACAGAAGAATTGGACCATCTCAACCCGATACTTCGTATTTTCAAAGGCGCATGCTTTATAATTGTCACCCATAACAAGCGCTCAATAACTCGATGGCATCTTGACCCAGCTTTACTAAAGCGGAAGGAAGCGCTTATGATAAACACAACCATTGGACACTCAAAGGTTATACTTATGCTTCAGGAAAGTTACTGCTCACCGACGAGTATTGAAATGTTACAAAACAAATAAGTACAGTAGCGTGTTTCAGAATAGACTTCAAAAGGAAAATAACAGGTGAAGCTGATTTCGAGCGGCCCTGTATTTCAATTCCTGCATATCGTTCGCGAGGGGACGGGGTAAACGATTTCACACCCTGTATTTCAAAGTGACTAATTTCGCTGAATCTGACCGTTCTCTCGATCCGTTCCTTGGAACTGCTAATCTCACCCCCACACGGAACCGACAGAATGCTCCAGATGGGTTGCCGCCAATCTACTACGCTAATTTAGCGCCGTGGAGGGCAGCAGATAAGAATCTGCCCCGCCTTCAGCTGAGAGGCAGACAATGTCTTGGCGACCAGACCAAAGCCCCATTGTGTCGGCAACCGACCTGGCTCACTTTTTGCCCAAGACTGCTGTTCTACGACAAGCACCTGCACGCCCACAACCACGCTGGGCAATGTGGGAGGCATTTTCTTGGCGTTGACCACTCCCAATCATGTCGTCCAGTCAGCAAGAGGCTTTTGCATGTAAACGCTCACGGTCCAATGTCTCCAACCTGAGTTTTTTATTGGTGAGGGCCTGGTGTTGCGGCCTAGCCCTGACCTTGTGCTTTTCCAGTTTGCTTCCCTTATTCTACCGCTAGATAGTCCTTTTTGGCATCTAAGCCTTCCCACATTTTGTAGGACCAGATGTTGCAACCAAAACAATGCCCAGCGAGCTTGAATTTGAATTTGGAAGATTTAGAAAGTCCTTATGCCAATCAAACGGGGATGCGTGCAGGAAGACGAGGGAATCTTAGCGATGATCCGGGACTTAGTAATTCATATTCTTCCCCTGAGTGGAGTAGAGATAGAACGCAACAGACCGACATGGCGCTTACAGGGCTTAGGAGTTCAGCGTGAACGGATTGGAGGGGGGCAGTTGGAAAAATAGTGAGGAGAACGACCACACTAGTGAATAACTATTCGTTCATTGCTGACAGGATCTTCAATGCGTCCTCTCACATAACGTAGCCAGTACCGGACCAGGCAGTGATGATGGCAACCTAATCCTCCCGTCAGCAACTGGAGCAGGCCATGAATGCGGCTGGGGTTTGGCGTGATGATAAAAAGCACGGCAGGTTTAGCCGAGTGGCCAAGTCTGAAGGGACTGAAGAGTAAAGCGGCAAGGGCACTTGCCCGACGAATCAAAAAGAAATGGGTGAACGCGGACATACAACAGCTAGGATTCCCATATGGTCACCCATCATAATACTGACCTGCTGGCGTGTGGCTTAAGTACGGCTGGGAAGCCCTGTTCACCACACCCTATGGTCGTATGTGTCGGGTTACTGGATATCGGTATTCACTAGTATTCAAGAGGGCCAATTGAACCATTAACTATCTGCAAGCCCCTGCTGGGAAGGCGATATTGGCGATTTTAGCGTGTTACAGGGATGCTACTCTGAAAATACCCCGATTACTACACGAAGCAGGAGAACTGTACTCCGTATGCGCTGAATCATCCTGCGCAGGTGGTAGCGTATCCTGCACATCGTTCGCGATATCGATCTATTTTGATTCATTACACACATACTCACTCCCGTATCTCGAGTGGTGACTTGCGTAGACTCACATATAAGAGACGAAATAGGCCATCGACGGGGAAAGTGAACCTAAACAGTATATATGCCAATGTACATATAGCTTCGTCGAATATGCGGACCTAACTCAGAATATTATACTCATATGAATCCATTGTCGCCCTGCTTCCCTCGCGATCAAGTCGGCGAAGCGCCTTCACTCAGGCAATCTGCAAGGTAAACCCCGCATACATATCAAGGATAGAGAATATATACTTCCATCCAACAACATCAAAAATACCGGTGAGGCAGTCACTGTTAAGGAATACAACTGCGCGCCAAAACAGGGCTGCTGAAGAGCTATTTCATAGAACTAAGCATCGCTCTGTCGCTCTGCTTCGTAAGTCTGCCACTTCAGCTTCATATTTCAAGAATCTTCGGTTGAGAAAATTCAAAACTCGTGACGCATTAAGAAAAATAAGGAGAAATAGGCATTTTTCCAATTGGGCCGCCGCTACGGGAGACAACAACTCCCCAGCCTCAGCTTGACCCCGCCACTCGATTGATCGTTTGCAAAACCGGATCTATCGTCATCGACCGGCACTGACCATGCACTGGCCCTTCGTCTGCCGCCTACATTCCTGAGACCATTCACCGCCTCGCCTCCGGTCACGAGTGCGCCTCGTCGCTCCAATCGTCGCCATGTTGAAGCCCCGTTCACCTCTGAGGCAGAATCACTCATGTCCACAAATCGTTCAGGACCCGGCAAAGGTGGTCGCAGCAGGAGGGATAAGCGCTTGACTCGAGAGGCTAGGGAACTCATTGATAAATCCAGTCTGGAGATGTTCAGGGCATCATCTTCAAACAGGGGTATATTGAAGAAAACAATTCCTTAATGAACATGAAATGCTAAATTTTGGTGACAGCTCCAGCGGCTTCGCACGGACAATTCCCAACATCACAGTACATGCTTGACCGTTTCAGATAAACATCCACTAACTCCGTTTAGCAATAGCCCCACCTGTCACTGATGCTCTCGGATCGCTGGCCCTGGAGAAAGGCGTTCTTCAGGGCCTGGAATCAATGGATGTGATGGGTCACGTCTGGTACATGCGAAATGGCTGTTGGTCCCTATATCTTTGACCTCCTGTGATATTGCCTTGACCGTGGCATCGAGTAACGTTGTGGAAGATCATCATTCCGGAATGCCGTTTTGGATCATTTCGTTCGAACATCTTCGTACCTGTCATTTGCAAAAAGTTAGGAATTTATTTCCGTAAAAATCAACTAGAGTATCTCCTTTCTTCTTTTCTGATTGAGATTTGTAGTTTCAGGAACGAATTCTCTTCCTGCACGAGGCAAACACAAAACCTCCATCCTTCTTCAAACTGGATCATTGCGATGCTTCATTTCGAAAAGAATACTCACCGTAACTGCCATTGAATAAAACCGAAAGTTCTTATCTTACGGGAGTAAGTTCCGATGCTAATTCTATTCAATTGAGATTTTTTGGCTACAGCGGCTCGATACCTTCCATTGAAAATGTCTTCATCTGTCATATTTGACGGCCAAAACCAAGGCCCAATCATTCTAGCAGTCTGCTGGGTTTTGGTTCTCGTGCCTGGATTGGTATTGGCTTTGCGTATATGGTGCAAAACCGCACTGAGTCGAGGGCTTGGATGGGACGATTTAGTCGTCGGTCTTGCATGGGTATTCCACCATTACCTCTCCCCTTCCCAAGTCCTAGACTAGCTGACCTGTACAATAGGTACTACAACTTGTCTATACAGTACTCATAACAAAAGCCGTCCAGCTAGGAGTAATCGGAAAACATGTTGAAGCCATCGAAGATCCATCTATCATTCCTCCCGCACTGAAACTCGTCTACATATCGTTCGTCATCGTGATCATCGGCTGTGTTCTCAGCAAAACTTCCTTCGCCATAACTCTTTTGAGAATCGTGACTCAGGTATGGATGAAGGTTTTTTTATGGTTCATCATAATCACCATGAATTCAATCATGTGGCTTTGTGCGGTCTGTTATCTAGCTCAGTGCAAACCAGCAGCTGCTCTCTGGAATACGAAGCTCATGGCTACAGCTCAATGCTGGCCAACTTCTATCTTTGAAAACATCGCCCTTACTGCTGGAGCCTATTCAGGATGTATGGACTTCATCCTTGCTCTCCTTCCATGGGCTGTTATCTGGAACCTCCAAATGAAGAAACGAGAAAAGTTCGGCATTGCCGTCGCAATGAGTCTCGGTGTCTTGTAAGACTCTCTCCGGTATAACTTGGAAGAAGATAAGACTAACCAACCCTCAAAAGTGCTGCTGCCACTGCATTTGTCAAGACCTCAAAGCTTGTCAATATTTCTCAAGTCCAAGATTTCACCTGTGAGTGAAGCTACCTCCGTATCAAAAGTTTCCCTAACACCAGTCAGATTACTGCTCGAGCATCATTATCTGGGCATCCGCAGAAACAGGCTTAACAATATTTGCTGCATCTATCCCAGCCCTCCGAATCCTCCTCGTCCGCATGCGATCTACCTTCGACCGAACAGACGATCCTGTCTCGGGAATCTACAGCATCACTGCCAAAAATCGCGGAAAGAATCGAGATACCCCCAGTACCGACCGATATCACTATTTTGCTGGTGAGCCCATTACTCTTCTAGACCGGGGCGATAATAGTAGCGAGAAAAGCATCCTAGCCAAAACTGGTGGCATCAAGCAGACGCAGGAGATTTCGGTGTCTTATGAGAGAAACATTTATGAGGAGCATAATGAAATGAGGATGGGTGCTGTTAGTCCAGGTCGTACCTTGTGATTCTGATCTGACTGATCTCACGCCTCTATACTTTTATTTGGGCTATGTTCTGCTTCAAGCTCATGTCACAAATGAATATCTTCAAGCTCCAGGGCTCAATTCATGTCACAAATGAATATCTTCAAGCTCCAGGGCTCAATTCATGTCAATTCAACGCGTTGGCTAAATCTAAATATTTTCTAGCTAAGTACCTCAAGCTGCTCTATCGACTAAATGGTAGTATAGCTGGAAGGTCTTTGATGTTTTCATTACATTATGCTGTCGCGGCCCCCTAGAACGTGAAAGTTATCAAGTGGCTCATCAGGTACGAAGCCGATGTCAATCTGCAAGACGATGATGGAGCGACTCCGTTGGAGAGAGCTGCGAATCACAGTCGCAATAAGTCGGTCATGAACTACTTGCTAGAGAATGGAGCGAAGTGTGATTAGGGGGGTGCAGCTGTGAAGAGGCGGGTTCAGCGCACGAGGCTGTGGCAAAAGATCAAACTGCCAGTGTCTAGCTAGAAGTGTCATTCCGTCATTATCTAGGCTAATCACATAGCATTGCATGCTAAAGAGACCCAAACAACAACACTTCCGATTTTAAATACAAGCACCTGAGTATTTTCTTTGAATACTGTAACCAGATCCAATGACAGGGGTCGAATCCCCTTACCTTTCTCACTCGCAGTTGAAATCCGGCAACTAAAATACCATGTTGTGCAAGTGAAATGCACTAGATATCTTCAGCAAATTTTAAGATATTCTCCAAATCAAATCACCAAAAATACCAAACATTAAACATCCAGATCAAGCGATATTTTTCTTAAATTCAACATACTAATACAAGTACGACTGAATACATAACAAGTTAGTTACCGCATACTGCATACCTCGGCGCCCAAAGTACCGACATACAGCCGAGTACCGGTTTGCCGGGCGGGGAACCATTTCCACGGAAGCACCAAAACGGTACAAATTTACAAGTTCCAAGGTCAGAAAAAGGACGGATACATACCGCATCCCATACAATGATAGAATATACGGTGTATTGTGTAATATAATACACTCATTATTGCCCAGCTGTCAACCTTGGAAATCAAACAGTATCAATGGTATATACTAGTTAGCCAGGGGCGTAAATAAAGTATAAACGGAGATCGATTCCTGCAGGTGGGTGGATCTTCTTCAGTAGCCTGAGTCCTGTATATGTACATACACAACCATACCAAACAGAACCAGACTAACTAGTATTTAGCCAGTCCGGGGTAAAAAGTTAATTGAAAGCATTTACGAATGCAGACCCCAGGAAACTTCGGTACATGAATACAGAACCATTAAAAACTATGCCTACAGGTCCATGGCGTGGTATACGCAATACGCGAGATAAGAAGTTATAATTGAAATGGCACATCCTGTTAAGAAGAGTGGAAACAGCGCAGACTCAATCAGTCGGAGTAAAGTAAGAGAACAGCCTAGATAGGGAAAACCGTAACCATAACATAAACATTGAGCAGGGAGCAGGGAGAAAATCAAAAAGAGGCATAACACCATTGCAAGAGAAAAACCGGGGTAAGACTGGGGTAAAAAAAAATAAAAAACAGACAGAAAAAAAAAGAGAAAAGGTAGAGCCCACTGGACCAATATCAGCGGTTTCTGGAGAATCCCTCGCTCAGATCGGTTCAAAAACATGTCGTAGGAAGAGGTACATCAGAAGTATAAAAGGGATCCAATCGGGCCCGGCTACCAAGATACAGGCAGCGATGCCAGCTGGGTTTGAACAGGCCCGATTACAATATAATCGTAGATATGTGGCACAGCGGAAATAGATCGTTCAAACGGATCCACATAAAAAAAGAAATTGGTTCACAAAAACACCATTTTTCCCATCGCAAAAAGACATCGCTCAAGAACGGCAAGACAGTGAAGAAGTCATGGGGTGCATTTAGTTGACACGGAATGCATCGAAGATGACTGGGAGACAATCGTTAGTAAGAGAGGCCATCAAGAAAATTTGGGGGCGGCGTCGACATACCTTCTTGGCCGCGGCGGCAACCACTGCCGATCCACATCAGGGTATTCAAAAAGGTGTATCGTTCATCACCAGTCTCCATGCCAAGGTTGAGACGGTATTTATAGCTTCCCGGGTTGATCCCGTCAGCCATCGCAGAGTCGTTGACCTTTTCCAAAACGTCCTTGGCGCCGGTGAGCCAGCCGTCCGCCTTGATTATGATGAAAGCTGGGGGCTCGTCGGCGGTCTGAAGGAGGTAGTTCGCGCGGATACTGGTTGTGGAATCCTTAGTCACGATTTGAGTATCCTGTCCACCGGGCTATTTTTTTTTATTATGTTAGATTGAATCTCACTTCTTCAAATGTTCAAGACGGGGCTACTCACCAGGACAATTCCCTTGCCCCATCGACCAGCCCACTGACCACCGAGGTACGAGACCCATTCGCGGTGACCCCAGATACTGGCCCCAACGCCAACCTTGGGGTTCATCTTGATGCTCATGCGGAAATCTAGCTCCAGAGATGGAGCCGGGATCTGCAATGATCGCGCGACATCGCCTTCGGGGAATGTGTGTAGCAGGTTGTTGGCTGGGATCGAGTCCTTCATGACGCTGAGGTAGGTTGGGCATTCTAACAAGTGTTGGCGCTGGCGACTTGTGTTCTTGGCGCGAACTTGTTGACAGTAGATGCACTGTACAGACAAACACTGTTTATTGCGCGCGTGGTCAGCATTTCGGTTTTCGCAATCGTCCGCACTCCTCTTCTGTTGCGACAACTTACCTTGTCTTCCTCCTTGGCGCGGAATTCGACAAAGGCCGCGTGCACGTCGTCCAGCGGCGGCGCAGGCAGGTTTGAATTAGCAGACTTGGGCTTGGGCTTGGGGGTGGGACGCGACGGTGTAGCGGATGGGGGCGCAGAACCCGGGGGTCCCGGGGGTGGACCTGGGGTCGGCATGGGCGGGCGGTTCAGGTTCTGCAGAGGGGTCTGCATAGGAGTCGCATGAGGATTAACGCCGTTGGTGATCATGGTGCCATTTGGAGTGGGAATGGCCGTCGGGCCTGTTGGGCCAGGTGGTGCGGCTGGGGGGCCGTTCGGAGTGCCGGGGTATCCATTGGTAGGAAGGCCGTTGGGGGTCTGAGTGGGCTGAGTAGGCTGGGGGGGCGTTGGGATGACCGCGTAGGCCAGGACACTCAAGCAAGTGTTGCTTCTGTCGGGAGGTGTTCTTTGCACGGATTTGTTGACAATAGATACACTGCACGGAGAGGCACTAAAAAAGATGTAAAACGATGGTCCCGTATGTTAGTGACGCGGTTCTCGATGGGGGTGAAATATTACGAAATACACAAGTCACGCACCTTATCATCTTCCTTGGCGCGGAACTCGACGAACGCCGCGTGCACCTCCTGGTCGACGGTGCGACCCATCGCAATGGTGGAGAGAGAGATGGTGAAGGTTTATGATGAGACCCGGGAAAGAAAATAGCTAACGCGATGCAACGCGCGATGCTGGGAAGAAAACGGATTGCGGTTGGGTGGGGGGGAGGGAAAGGGAGGAGAGAAGAGCAGAATTGGAAATGGAAATGACCGAGACGGTCGGCAGTATTGTACGCGGTAACGGGTACGCGCCTGCGTATGTTTGAGACTGTACGTATACTACTGTATACAGTACATAAGATGCACTTGTCTGTACGATTAGTATATGCAATTAGTACTAGTATTTAATATAAGGGGATTATACTGAGATATTCTATGAATATACTGTCAAGTCTACCGAGCATACACTTAAAGTTATCATTTCTGAGCATTCCCATTCCATCCCATCCCAGACTGTACACGCGCGTCAGCCGATAGTGATAGCACTGACCACCGATAGCATACGCGCGATAGCATATACTCAATAAGCACTGCGACACGACAGAAGAGCATAATTAAATTCTTAGTTATATCGCACTATTATTCGGGGAATATTCTAAATGGTTCAATTTCACAAAAACCACAGCACTCAGCTCCTTATTAACCTTCCACCCTCTGTCCTACCGAGATTGGCGCCAAGTAATCTCACCGGGCGCACTCGCTTAGACAGCCTCAACACACGACTCAGTACTAGGCAAGAGAATGCTGGGATAAGGCAGAAACTATCTGCTAATTGCCTTAGGCCAGGCATTTCATTCTACTCTATTTCATTCTATTTTACCTAATATCATGCTGGGAACTCCTATACCTGTACCGCAGTCACTGCAGTACAAGTATGAGTATTAATACCCATTACTGTCCGTTCCAAAGGCGACCCCGTTCCTGTATCTCATACGCGATACTCAACGTCTTCATCGTACTGGTTCCGACCGGTTCCTGGTAAGATTAGATTAGATTAGAAACACCAGCATATACTCCTAGTATACTGGTAGTAAACAGAGTACTGTACCGATTCACCTTGGAATAAAAATCATAAAAATGAAGTGAAATTGAATCTTCCTCTCCACCCTCTCCATCCTCTGTATTAAATCTGTCAATTGTCAACTGTCAACGGGTCACCCTTACTCCATCCCCACCCAGCCTAATAATAGCCACACGATACAGAACGTTGTGCACCCTAGGGTTGTGACAGACGACAAAGGAAATATACTAGTTCTATCTAAGGTAATAAATAAAAAAACCGCATTGCAAAACGAGAGGGCATCTTTGCCCTGGCATATCGCCCATGTCCGAAGACAATATAAATGATACCTAAATAACTTGAAGAGAAAATCAAATCGCGATCCCCGCAAAATAGGAAACCATCATTAGAATAGTCTCCCTCGAAACCCACAATGGAAAAAAAAACCCCGTTATGAAATAAATCAATCTCCTTCATCATCAAACTTCTTGGGTCGCACTGGCACCATCCCCCTCAACAACCCGCATAAAGATACCCCCAGATCGATACCGCGCGCCCCAACCATCACCACCACCATCCGAAAGTCGATCCTGACGAACAACTAGCCACCCCTCCGTCGCAAGCGTGAGAACATTCATAAAAGCCTGCGTAGCAACAACTCGAGTCGTCTGAGAGGGCGGAAGAATATCGCCGAACATAACACTCCCACTCCTCTCATCATCGTCATCTTCAAGTTCGAGCACAGGTGCAGCTGCAGAAATATTCTCGCGAATAAATTCGTAGAAATTCAGACTCTCCCGATCAAGACTTGCAAGGTATCGATGGTTCTTCCGTAGATATTGAAGCTGTTCACCCAGACTGTTCCGGGTCTTTCGTAGACGCGACTGCGTATTCGGATTCGATAGCATACTCACGTTCTCACGGTCCAATGCAAGTTCATTTTCCAGGTAACGGGTTATCTCAAGCTCGTCGTCGATATATCCACCAGCAGTATCGAAATGGCTTGGATCAAGATGGCTTCTTCCGGCGAGGGGACTGGCACTTGTGATTCTGTATCGTCCCCCTACACCAACACCAACTCCGGCCCGAGTATTCGACTCAAAACGAGGGTCACCGATACTCATACTCCTACTCCCGAACCGCTGAGCCTGACCAGAGGAGTGCAGAGATGCACTGATGTTCCACGGCATTTGCGAAGAAGCATCATCGAGGATGCTTGACGGAGCGTGGCGGGCGAATTCGACATCTTCGAGCTGATCCACATAAGCATTCATACCCCGATCCTGGGCTCGGGCTTCGCGTGGTAATGCGCGCGCATGATCTTGCTCATCTTCCGTACCTCGTTCATCCTGGGGGGTCTGGGCGTAATCCCACGCCCCGGAGCGACTTATACAGTCTTTCCCCAGAGAACATATTCAACGGGTGCGGTTCACGTTTCGCTCCCAGTCCCATACCAACAGAGCCCAGTCCCTGGCCATAGACCCAAAAAGCTGCATTCTTCTTTGCAATTGTATGCAGTCTGTTGTACTTCTTTTGCTTGGTGGCTTGGGCCATGTTTACCAGGTACTCTTCGTTTGAGCGAGCGAGGTCTGCATTTCGGAGGGTTGTCTTTTCATCTAGGGCGATTTCTCGGAGTGGACGCTTGCGAGATGGGGCTCGGAAGATCTCTGTTGGATCGTGGGTTATATCTGCTTCTTGTTCCACTTGGTTTTGGTGATTTTTTGGGGCCTGGCCCTCGAGTTCAGGGATATTTGTCGTTTGCGCTGCGTTCGGATTCAAGTCGAGGTCCATCATCACTTCATCTCGGAATGGATCTTCTTCTTGATTCATCTGTACGATCTTGATTTGTTTGAAAATCAGTTGCTGCTTTTCACCTGAAAATTGAATCACTTATTGTATGTGTGCATTACTCACTCTTTCCTTTCGATGTAAACTTCCAGAAGGAGTATCTTCACTCAATCGCGGCATCGAAGCAATCTTGCGTCTCTTTCTCGGCGAGAGTCGACTAGAATGAAACTCGACGATATTCCCATCTTCGTCGAACTCGAAGTCAGGCTGGAGGAGAATTCCTTCTTCGCCTCCCTTTGCGACAGGTGAAGTTCGTCCGAAAAGTCCTCGATTCACCGCAGACCCGAAAATATCATCTTCGAATCCTGCCACAATATTCCCTGTCCCCACATCTTCCATCGGGAATTCGACCTGGATCTTACTATTCCCTTGGAGGAAGGTAGATTGACTCCCAGCTGACTTTCCCCAGAGACTTGACCCTTGAGTGGAGGCGTCATCTGCGCAATTGAAGAGCGAAAAATCGAAGTTGAGGCCCGGAAGTCCTGTTTCGGGGAGGAAGGTCGGATCATAAGGGAGGATGAGAGAACTTGGTCTGCAGCGAGGGATCGGTCAGTTTTTCTTCCTTCTTTCAAGTTTCACTTGACGCTCTGAAATGGCTGGTGTTTCGTTCGGAAAAGGGTGGCCTTCTCACTTTGCTTTTCCGGCATTCGGATCCAAGTCGCTGCCAGGCAGGAGTCGCAGCATTGAAGCCATCTTGTCTCGCATTGATTGCGCATCTAGAAGGGTGTATCCACATTGTTGATAGAAGACTCTGCTAACGCCGTATCTAATCACATCTTATCAGAATGGCTTCCAAGCACGATCATTGAAGGGCCGGCCAGGGTGGACGAAACATACAGCATACTCCCCTGCAGACGCAATGCCATCGGGACTTCTGGGTTGGTAATAACCCTGCACGCCCCAGGCACATTCACGTCGAAGATAGCCTTGCGGTTTATTTTGCGAGTTGTTGACTTGGGGCCGAGAGTTGCGGCCAGCCTGAGGTAGGTCGTTGGTGGTTAACTGGATTCTGGGAGACCTTGGATGATAGATGACATCTAACTTACCAGACTGTGGCGACGCCATGTTCTGGCGAGGTCAGGACTGGTAATTGTTAGTTTGGTTTCTTCTGGTGACTGTCTGGTGTCGCTTCTAGAGGAGTAGCGTGGATGGACTGACTCTCGTGGCTGTAGAACATTATGAACCAAGGGACCCAGTGGCACTTGGGATGCTTGCTTCTTCGTTTTCAGACTTTCGATGGAATGAGAATGGATGAGGATGAGGATGGTAATGGGTGGGCGAGTGTGAAGGTGAATGGGTGGAATGGATAGGTTGGTGGTGGGAGATGGAGGTGATGGAAGAAGTATCATATCAGTACGCCACAGGCCACGGGTATACTTCAAGTTGCAACCTCCCACAATTCCATAAAGGATATACTACCACTAATCTACAATTCCCTGCAGTGATTTGTTAGGTATTCTTTTATCATCTACATCATATCACACCCGGACCAGGCTCGATCCTAGCCTTAAATGGCTGTAACCTCTAGACAACTTCTTCAAACGCTTTTCATTCCTCGGAGTCCCAGCTCGAACTCGCCCGAGTATCAGAAAAAGGATAGACCCGGTGGGCAAAGACTCAGGTATAGGGAATATGTAATGGAGATCAGGAAAGGAACAAAGAAAAATAGAATGGAATCTAAGAAGCGAAACACCGACCACGCAAGGACTCTCCACAGGCAAAATGAACAAAAGGACAGGCAGAAAACCCCAATATAGCTTGGATAGATCCCGAAAAATATAAAACAGCCCAACAAATGTCGCAACATCATTCAACATGCCCACATGATGCAGTATACAGGATAGAGGCATGACGGGCGGAAACACAACACAGCAGAGGATAAAGAAGAAAGGCGCATGAAAAGTTATGCACTCAAAAGACTCGGCGTCCACTTTCTTTTATCTCGCTTTTGGTTCGTGCGGGAGGTGGGCATTTATTCCAGGGGAATGCCCTCGTACTCGGAGTAGCCCAGGGCAAGGTTCATGTTCTCTGCGAGATGGTTAGTATCTATGCTTTTGGAAACTTGTAGGGACTGTGAGAACTTACGAAGACACTGGGTAGCGGCACCCTTGAGCAGGTTGTCGATGGTAGCGCAAACAACAACACGCTTGCCGCTAGAGTGGACAGCGAATCCACCAATCTCAACGCCGTGGCGACCGGCAATGTCCTTGACCAGTGGGGCCTCACCGGTGATCTTGACAAGCTTCTCACCGGCGTAGCGCTCCTGGTAGAGGTTGCGGATATCCCGAGAGGTCATCTCCTTCGAGAGGGGAATGCTGATGGTGTGAGAGATACCCTGGAACCAGACCGCGACATGGGGAATGAAAGCAATGCTGGTGCCGAGTTGAGAGCTGATCTCGCGCTCGTGGATGTGGTCCGTCAAGCTGTAAGGGATGAGGTTGTTGGTGAGGTAGTTGACATCGTTCTTGGGGCTAGGCTTGGTGCCGGCACCCGAGTAACCGGACACACCGAAGGTGGTGGGCTGGCCGCCAAGGAAGGGGACAAGGGGAGCAATACCGAGCTGGGCGGCGGTGGCATAGCAGCCCGGGTTGGCGATGCGGGTGGCACGGGCGATCTGGGAGCGGTCGATCAACTCGGGCAGACCGTAGGTCCACTGGTTATCGAAGCGGTAATCAGCGCTGAGGTCGACGATGACATTTCCCTTCTCAGAACCCTGGTTGACAGCGTCGACGAAGGGCTTGCAGACACCGTTGGGGAGAGCCATGACCCAGCAGTCAATGTCGCCGTTCTCGGACATCTTGCGGACGTCCTCTGGGCTGAGGTTCTCGTAGATGATCTCACGCTTGTTGTAGCCCTGGAGCTTCTTGCCAGCCAGCTCGCGGGAAGAGACGTGACGAAGATCCATGTTGGGGTGGGCGTTCAATAGGTTGATCAGAGCCTGGCCGGTGTAGCCACGGGCACCAATGAGAGCAACCTTGGCGGGAGTTGCGTTGGAAGCGTTCTTCTCGCCCAGAGGGGGGGTTAGGGTTGGTGGTGGCGAAGGTGCGCATGGAGTTGACGGCAACGGTAGGACGCACACGAGAAGCGCGGAGGGCGTTGGAGGTCGAGGAGAAAGCACGCTTCTGCTCGGCAGAAGCACCGCTGACGCCGTGGCCCTTGGCGAACTTGGTAGCAGCCTCCTGGTGAGCGCGGTGGAGGCGGGACTCGAGGTTAATGTCACCAAACATCTGACGGCCGTTCTTGGTGAACTCCTGGACCAGCTGCTTGACCTCCTCGCCGTTCTCGACACCGTACCAGAAAAGGACCTGGCCATCGCGGCTAAGGCTGCCATCAGCCTTGTCAAAGAACCAGGTCAAGTTCTCGTCGTCCTCCTTGACAGTCCAGGCCAGCTTGGGGAAGTCCTTCTTCAGGCTCTGGAAGACATTGTCGGCAACGTTGGTGAGCCAGCCAGACTTGGTGATGGTAAAAGTAGCAAGCTGGGCGACCACGGAGCCTTGCTGAGGAGGCAGGACAACAGCAAGAGCCTCCATGGGGTCGTCATAGTAGACCTTGAAGTTGTTCTCCTTCAGGCCCTCGACATAGCGGTCGACCACAGCACGGGCATCCAGACCCTCACGATCACGCACCAGGACATCCTTCAATTTCTGGAGATCCTCGATATCGGAGAGGGAGGTCTTGACGTGGATCTTGTTGCCGCGGCGGATCAGAGTACCAGCACCGGAGTCGGTGAACAGCTCCTTCTGAAGGTCGGCGGGGTGGATGATGGCAACGCTGGAGGAGCGGGGAAGATCGCTGAGCAGGTCCTTCATCTCCTTGATCTTGAGGCGAGTACCGTGGCGAACCCACCACTGAGTCATCAGGTGGTCGTACTCCTCGTCCAGGTTGATGGCGGAGATCTTCTCGCCGGTGTCACCGTTGAAGAGACCGCCCTTCTCGGCGAGGTAGACAATCTTCAGCGGCTGCAGAGCGCGGGCCAGCTCACCGGCTGCGACGTCTGCGTTCACGTTCAGGACCTGGCCATCGGGGGTCTCGGCCATGGAAGTCAGGATGGGCAAGCAGCCAGCATCGATGGCCGACTCAATGGGCTTCTTGTTGACGCCATTGATCTTGCCGACGAGGTTGTACTTCGGCTTGTCGAGATAGTCGGCGGAGAAGACGCCGGCGGTCAGAGGGCGGGCACGGATACCAATACGCTCCAGCTCCTCAACCAGCTTCATGTTCTCCTCGAGGAACAGCTTACGGGCCAACGAGAGGGTCTTACCGTCCGTCACGCGAATACCATCCTCGAACTGGGGCTCAACACCAGCATCCTCCAGCATCTTGTTGAGCTGGGGACCAGCGCCGTGGACGACGATGGGGTAAAGACCGACATGGTTCAGGAAGGCGAGAGCGGAGGAGAGGGTCTGCAGGTGCTCGGTAATAATGGCACCACCGACCTTGATGACGGCGAATTGCTGGGAGGAGACGGAGGTGAAGTGGGAGAGGTATTGCTGAACCTCACGCTTGGAGCCGATGTTGCTCAGCAGCTGCACAACGGTGTTGCGAGTGGAGGTTAGGTGAGGGTCGGCAGAACGAGAGTAGCCACGCGCGTTTGAGCGAGCGGTGGACACCTTGAGGCCAGCTGAGAGACCAGCACGGAGGGGAGTGTGCGGTGCGGAGAAAGATCGGAGGGGTGTCGTGGAAGCTCTCCGCACAGCGGAGCGAAGGGACAACATCTTCGACATGCGGCAGCTTCAATTGGGAACTTGACCAGTCGTCCAAGGGGAGGAAGCCCCTTAAAAAGCGGAAATGAGGGTGGAGGGAGAGGGAGAGGGGAGAGGAGAGGGTTGGGATGGGAGAGGAAGTGGAAGTGGGAGTGGGAGTGGGTGTGTCAGTGGCAGATGGGAATGACTGAGAGATTTTAGCGGCGTCGGAGCGATCTTTCCCCACCGCCCACACCTCCCGCCCACTCATCTTCTCATCTTCTCATCCTTTTTGACTCAGCGTGAAATAAATTCACGAATGAGCTCCTCCACCGCCTAGATCATGGGTTTACACCCATCTCTCTACAAATAAGATCTTCCCTATTACTACCCGCATGGTCCTGCGTATGAGCGATTTACTTTCGCAATTTTGGAGGCAATGCGCGATTCTGGTGGCTACAGCGGTGTCGGCGGAAAGCTCGCATTATCATAAGCGAAAATAAAAAAGGGACCCAGAAAAGGTCAAAAGGACCAAAAGACCACAAGGTTTTTTCCCATTTCTCGGCGTCAATCCACTATCACCCTACCTCTACCGAGGGTATTTGACTTCTTCAATGTCGGCTTGGGTCTAGTGCCAGGTTATCTGATCCTCTGGGCCACTGTGACTCGTGCGTGGCGTAATCCGACTATCCACACTTCCTCCACCCGGTCTGAGCTTGCCGGGTCTGTTTCGCTTCGTCCCGCCATTCACATTCGAGCTGGGCCTTTCTGATGGCTGTCCGGGGCAGTCAGCCGAGTTGCTGGGTCTGCAAACCTCGTATGCGCAGATTCTTTGCCAAGGAAGCGGGTCGCGGACATTGCAACCCGTTCGAGTAGGAGGAGGAGAGGAAGTTGTGGCAGCGACAGTGAAAACAGCACTGACAGTAGGAGCAGTAGAGTGATAGGAAGAAGTGAGTATTCACTGGCACCTTTGCCAATTACGCCAGTGCCTATTGAAGGCAGTATGTAGGATAGATACTGGTGCCCGATGGGTAATGTAAGAAATATTCCTAGTGTGCCAGGTGGTATTTAAATATAGACTAGGTAGTGAGAAGGTAGTATTGGGTAAACCACTGGCACAGGCACCTCTTTAAACTACTACTAGTACAATAAAAATTGAAGACTCGGAGTGTTCCAAGGTTCGTATTGAATCGAATTGTCAAGTGAGCCTACTTCTACCTAATAGATACTCGGCTGCTTGACTCCTGCCAGTGGACCCTTCCTATGTACCTGACCGCAAAAGTACAGCGGAGTCCCTTGCAGCCAGTAGGCATTTAGACATGACTCGGAGTATACGAGTACGGAGTACAGAGTAGATCGATACCTACTAGAAAAATAGGAAGAGCAATCGCATAGTGATGACATAACTAATCGCGGCAATATCATTTACATTTACATTTCCCGGACGAGGGGGCGGGGCTTCATCCCATGCAAAATTAACCAAAAGGACGTCGCTCGTCTCGTTGGCACGGGGGAAGGCAAGGCATTTGGTCATTTCAACACGCCCAAGAACAGCTGAGAAAGCAGAACAGGGCAGAGACAAAGGAAAGGTAACAAAAGAAAAGAAAAACACAATAACAAAAACAGGAGGTATTAACGGTTAACGGCTGGAAAACGCGACGGCCATGATTCCTCGACAAGTAAAAGCCCGGTAAAACAGATAGTTTCATCATTCCCATGTTCCCAATTGAAGCACAACGCGCGTGGCTGCGTGAGATCGAATCGTCTGCGACTCGAGGTTGGATACTCTAGGTACCTCCATGGGTGTTTATCCCTTGGTAACCGCAACTGGAGGGCTATTGTTAGCTGGATTCGTTCCCCAATGTATCCCCTTCCCCAAAACGGTATCACTCACTCGGCACAATGATCACGACCAGCAGGACGATCACGCAAATGACCAGGCATACACGCATCTTCATATCCTTCCACCACATCTGCTTGCGCACACGGTTGGCGCCGCGGCGGAACCCCTGGGCTGATACAGCCAGGTTGTCGGTCTTATCCTGGAGAGAGTCGAGGCGCTCACCACGCTGGGAGACTTTGTTGATATTCTCGCGCATCACACCGACGGTGTCGTCAATTTGCTAAAAGCCACCCGGGTTAGCCTAGTTCTGTCCGTTGTCTTGCCCTGGCCAAAGCCCATTATTTGGGGTAGTTTGGAGTAATATTCCCGAGGCCAACCCCGGCGCGCTCATCTGCCGTTCTATATTGTAGATATCATGGCAGGATCGCACGCCGGGCATATCCACGAGTCTGCTATCGAGGGGGGGAGGGAAGGACTAACCGCTTGCAATGCGGCTGTTCGCTGGTTGCCATTTTGGGAGGCGCCTGCGGTTGCTGTCGCGCCCTGGCCACCGGCCGGGATATAAGGGTCGTAGGGGGCTTCAGAGGCCATAGTGGGAGGAGTTTCTGAGAGTCAGAAATGTTAGAACAAATCGACAAAGGGTTAGGCAGGCAGCCTCGATTTCGGGGGAGGGTCAGGGTGGCCCGGATCGGATTGGGTTGGGGGACTGGGAGGGGGTTGAACCAACTCAGGAAGTGTAGGTGGATGCAACGAGGCGGGTACGGAGAGTCTTGAGGGCTCGGTTGCGGGGGTTGGTGGGATGGAAGGTCGTGACAGAGAGGGTGAAGATGAGAGTGGAGGTGAATGGGAGATCGATCTGAAGCTGACCACTTCCACTTTCACTTTCACACGGCCACGGCGGGTTTCGCCCAGAGTCACGTGCGGTGGCGCTGTCTCAAAAGGCAACATTAAATAATTGCCATACGGAACCAGCGAGTTGTCAATTATTAACTAATAAATAGTATTTATTATTCTTAACTACCGAACTACCGATGTAGTCAGTAGTAGTAATTATGGTACTCGATAGAGTGGCAATGGCCCATGCCATCCGATACATCATTGTAGGGTCCCGTGGAGGCCAATCTAGACAAACATTGGTTCTGTCCCGCTGTCGCAACGTGTCAGGAGAACATAGTAACTAGTAACAATAACAGTATACTAGTATAGTATAGCATAGCATATATACATTCAATTAATATCGTTCCATTCCTGTTAGTTCACACTCTCTTCTCTACTCAACTCGACAGTACTAGACGACATACATGCTGTAGTGTAGTAGTGCTGCCTTGTTGCTCGAGAAACGGCACTTCTTAATTTAGTAACACGCTCCGGGGTTGCCGCGCCACTCTTCACTCGTCACTCTTTACAGTCACCTTCACTTCTCGACGGAATAATACCCCCGTGCTGAACTCATCTGCTGAATCCTGAGCAGTAATGGTACCTGTCAGTGCCTTTTAAACTTCTTCTGACTAGGTACTTCACCGTCGCACTGCTTGCTGTCCTGGGTTGTCATCGCCCCTGGCCCACTGCTGCACCATCACCATGACAGGCAAGAGATCTGTCGATCTCAGCCGCCCTCCGGATCTGGACTACCTGATCTTAATCCGTGATTGACCCTTTAAGAACCCCAATATCCACTGCGTAGGGAGTATGGAGTATCTCCAGCGTACACAGCCTTCCTCTGCGAGCCTTACGGATATGCACGGTGCTGCGGGGGTGGGAATCGGATGGATGCAGGCACCTCTTACCTACACATTGAACGTCTCTGGGGTTGAACCAATCAGATCATATATAATATTGGATTCTTGACTGTATACACCATACTTGTGGTGTTAGAACTTCGCTAACATTAGACCCCGCGACCCCCACCCGGGCATTCTTCTATGGAGTATTCCCCGACAACGGCAAGTCGCCTGCCAAACAGCTACCTGTCTACCCACAAGCACCTAAATGTGCGATCTTCAAGTTGCGAGTCAGAGCCCATGCGACACTGTACCAAGCACAAGTCCAGCCCTCTTCTTGCCGATGATCCCCAGAAACCACGCCAGTTGAGTTCTCTGCCCTATTTTGGCCCCAACGTCGGCTCCATGCCTTATGACCCTGGTCTCCATTCCCGCCGCACGCTAAGCCAGGCTTTTCGCTCTTTTCGAGTAATCATGTTTCATCTGGTGTCGATCTCCATCTATTAGCACCCTGCGGTGTCTGCTGCTTTGTGATTAGTGGTGGTTCTCTCTTGGGGTCTGCTCTGCGGAGTTCGCCCAGCTTTACGGTTCGTTCGTTTTTTTTCTAATTTTAAGCAAACTGTAGCCTTTTTTCTTTTCCATTTGATCCTTTATCTAGCCTTGCTTCCGATCTTTGGAGCAGCGGACTTGTCTGTCTACTTCGAATACATTCCATTCTCCATCTCCATCTATCCCCGGTCATCTTTACACTCACATCAAAATTCGTTCCGGATCTCTTGGCTTCAATTGCTTAGCCTTTTAGTCGAAGCCATTTCTTCCCGAGGTTTATATACTAGTACCTTTCACACTGATACCGACCAAGCTGTACTACTATCCAACCAACTGCCGAGTTCACTCCAGGGCTCCCAGTGTAGCGCTATCACAATGACAAGGCTAACACGATCATGGAAATCCTTTCTTCTAACCCCCTTCCTTATATCACAATTCGCACTATCTATAGAGCTAGACTTATCGTCAAAAGGTATGCATCATCATCAACCCCATCTGAAATATAACTTGAACCCAGCAAAGGTCGAAACTAAGACCGTGGAACACCTACCCAGACTCCATCAAATCCGCCGCCAAAGAAGCCGCCAAAGGCATGCTGAGCTACTACACAGGCTACCAACCCGGCGATGTAGCAGGAAACATCCCAGACCCATACTACTGGTGGGAAGCCGGAGCGATGTTCGGCGCGATGGTGGAATACTATTACTATACCGGCGATGACACATGGAACGACTGGACCACACAAGCGCTGCTGCACCAAGTCGGCGCAGACGATAATTACATGCCCTACAACCAAACCAGAACAATGGGAAACGACGACCAGATCTTCTGGGCATTTGCAGCAATGTCCGCCGCCGAAACGAAGTACCCCGATCCACCCGACGGCCAACCGCAGTGGCTCCAACTCGCCGAGAACGTATTCAACTCGCAAGTCGCTCGATGGGACGCGTCAACTTGTGGCGGCGGCTTACACTGGCAGGCATACGAGTCTCTTGGTGGGTGGCATTTGAAAAATTCGATTTCAAATGGCGGCTTGTTCAACATTGCGTCGCGATTGGCGCATTATACCAACAATGGGACGTATTCACACTGGGCGGAAAAAATCTGGGACTGGACCGAGGATATTGGTCTCATTCGTCCGGATTATACTATTTGGGATAATACCGATTCAAATAATAACTGTACTACTTTCGATCGGGTGCAGCATGCCTATCTGCCGGCTGTTTTCATGCATGGCTGTGCCAATATGTATGCTGTGGTAAGTCGCCAGCCCAGTGCAACGCATCGAATGCGACAGCAAGCCCTGTCTTGAAGAAGGGGTGACAAAAAGAGAAGCATACTAGTACCCTGAACATACCAACTAACCACGGCCAATTTCGCATTTAGATAAACGGGTCCAAAAAATGGGAAACCCGCGTGACCGGCATAACGAAGGCACTGGACTCCTTCTTCGAACAGAAAAACGACAATGTAATGTCCCAACCATGCGAAGTCGCCTCATGCAACTTAAACGAGCAATCCTTCAAGGCCTACCTAGCTCGTTTCATGGGGGCAACGGTACCACTCGCGCCGTTCGTCGAGACAACTATCATGACGAAGATCAATGCGTCCGCCATCGCGGCCGCAAAGCAGTGTTCCGGGGGCTCAGATAATAAATGCGGGCTGCGCTGGACAGATGGGGGGAAATATGATGGGACGACGGGGATTGGGGAGCAGATGTCTGCTCTTGAGGTTATTCAGAGTACCTTGGCTAGACCTAAGGATGTGCCTGTTTCGCAGGATACGGGTGGTACTAGTACGGGTAATGATCCGTCTACAGGGGGAAAGAAAGATACAAATGTTAACACGAGGGATATGACGACGGGGGATAAAGCTGGTGCTGGGGTTTTGGCTGTGTTGTTTGTTCTGGCGCCTGTTGGGGCATTGGTCTTTTTGAGTGAGTTGATTTGATTCGGGGTTGTTTTTGCATTCATAGTTTGGAGTTGGGATCTATACTAGTACTGTCTAAGATTTGAACCGGTTCAAGTTGATACTAGTTATCTATACTCCTGGTGCGTGTTCCGGGGTTCACGAAAGATAGTATTCTGCATACCTTCTTACCTTCGTACTGGATTTCCTCAGTCTGCTCCACTCTTTTAGGACTTCGTTGGTTGAAGCAGTGTATCCACTACGCCCTGGGTTCGAGTTGTGACAAGACTCTATACCCACCTGGGCAGCCAGCGCTGGGAAACAACACCCACAGCGTCTTTGCTAAGTGCCAATGAGCTAAGCAAATTACCTATACATTTTTCACACTTTCAATCTGAATTTGGACGCTTTCATTGAACGGAGATGCGATCGTAAAGAATATAATACAAAGCCTTAACTTGAAAGGCATTCAACGAATACACCGATTGGTATCATACACGCCGTAATGTTGTAAAGATCAGATCCAATCCTGGAAATACCTAGGCCCTAGTATACGCAGACCTGGAATCCTTGGTGTCACTGCAAGACAGGAAGACGGGCGAGCAAGGTTGTCCGGTTCTGGCCGTGCTGGCGCCAGCTTCAACCCTGGAGAAAGATAACTATTTCTCTCCCTGCATCTCCTTGCGCATTTCCTCACGTTGTGCCCTAGCCTGATCCTTCACCTGCGAGCGCTGCGCTTCTTCAGTCGCCCGTCTCCGATCCTGTTCTTCCTGCGCAGCGTACCAAACTAGAAGAGCAGCGAGTTAGCAATTTGCAAAACATGACCGAGCCAGGGCACAGCCCAAATGCGATTTGGATCGAAATTGGGATTGAAGAGCATACTCGACTTATCCGACTTGGACCACTCTTTCAGTTTCATCACATAGTCGTCAAACTCCTGCTCGCGCCGACTGCCCTGCTCGGCTGCGCGCTTCTGGAGATCCGGATTATACCGCTTGCGCAGTTCCTCGTCAGTTGGTCGGATGTATTCGACAAAGGCTGGGCCTCCAATTGAGATCAGGATTCCTCTGTGGTGGATGATGCGGTCAGTTTTTTTTTTTTCTTTCCTTCTTTCTTGCTTCTGTTTCTGTTTCTGGGGCTGCGGCTGTTTCGAGCTTGCGACCGGTGGTTGCGATTACGGTTGCGATTGCGGTTGCAGCTGTGTCTGTCTGAAATGATGATTGGAAAGAACTCACCCTGCAATGACCTTGAACCATAACCCCGCGCGAGACATGTTGGCGATGAATGGGTGGGATGTTATTTGGGCGGAGGAGTCGGGGAGAGAGACATCATCGCGATCGGCGCGGCTCTCATTTGCTGCCGGCTGTGGCGGTGGTGCTGTGGCGGTGTGGAGTGAAATGAAGGTGTGGCGGTGCTTACCCGATGGAGGTTTACTACTGACTAGTATGATCATGGGGAAAGTACCAGGTACAACGGAACATACCAGTAGTTCCAATGTATCTAGAACAAATTGACGGGGATCATCTGGTGAAAGATTGCATATAGAGAGTAGTACGGATAACCACTGAGAGCATTAGATCGTCATCCACAGAGCTACTAGTAGTTTGGTATGGTAGCTTGCACGAACTCCACTTTTTGTGTCGGAAGATCATGATCATCCTCCGCAAATTAAGATTTGTACTCCGTACTATATATCAACCTCAATATCCGCATATATAAACCATGTATCCCGTAGTATATAAGTAGTATAGTAGTATAGTATAACCGTATACCATCACTCTAAATCATAATTCGACACGGGCCCGTAACGAGGCGATTCAGCCTCCCTCCAATCATCCTGCTTCCCAATATTGGGGATCGGCTTCGCGATCCGCAAAATCCAGCAAATCCAATACTCCACCGGCAAAAGGAGCAGCAGGATGCGGTTTCCAAAGAAACACGCAGTGACCGACACCATCGCAAGGACGGCGTCTAGCCAGTAGTGATTGGCGGTTGCAACGATAACACTCAGGACTAGCACGGCATACAGCACGGCCAGTACACTATAGATGATCTGGGAGACGGGCGATCTACGCACACGCTTTCCGCGGAGACGGTGGAGGATTCCGGAATGGTAGAGGAAAGTGCTGCTGATGCAAAAGGCGTAGGTGAAATGCAGACTTGGCATGGCGGCGAACTGGTTGACGGATTTGCTGTTCACCCAGACACTTTCCGCGTGATCTTGTCGGACGGTGTCGAAAAAGCCGTAGGATTCGGGGAGAAGGCGGGGTGGCATGCAGGGGTAGACGCAGAAGGTTGCGAAGGCGAGGAAGTTGCCCAGGGTCATGGTACGACGGGCGATGGCGAATGTGTTGGCATCGGGAGCTTCGTGGTAGAACCAACCAAGGAATCTATCCGCCATGAAGATATGGGATTAGCATCGGAAAAATGTCGAGTTGTGATCACCATTTGGAGAAAACTTACAGCACTGTACCTGGGATGTGAACCAATGAATATATGCGGTTGAAGAAGGTCATCATGGCCGGGGCGTGGTCCAAGAAGAACCTTTGATACGCCGACTCCTGGAGAGGAAACATCCAACTAAAGAAAGATTCATGCTCGAACCAGAGAACATCCTCGCCGTGTTGTTGGGCAACTTGCACGACCTCGATCTGGGCGGGCAACAACCACTGTGACATGGCCTTGGTGACGGAGTAGAAAAGATAATTAACAGCCCAATAGAACATCTCGATTAAAAAAGGGTATTTCCACAGAATCCTGCTGTGGATGTGCTCTGCCCAGCGGGACGAGTCTGGGGTGTGGATAGGGATGCCGCAAAAGGTCTCCGGCCTCTGCGGGCAAGGGGGTGATGAGTCGCGGCCATTATTAGGTGTAGGGTTCAAGTAGTCGCTCTGTGACTTGTTGCCTCTGCCGAAGATGCTGTAGTTCTTGCGTCGATTAAGTACCAATGAGCCAACCATGATGGTCACGACGACCTGTTGTGGGATGTAAGCAAATTATTCTGATTGGAATCGAAGCTTCTTTGTCTCTCCGCCGCCTGTTCCTCTTGTCGAGGTAGCGGACAAACACAAAACGTACCAGTGGCTCGAGCCATGAGTGCGACGCGAACTGAGGCTTCCCCAGCTCTGGCGTTGACTCCGACATGGGAAAGAAATAGGCAAAAGAAAAGGCCAAAAGAAGGAAAAACAGGGAAGCAAGTCCAGAAAAGATTGGTCTTGAGAGGAGATGAAAAGCAGAAAACTATGAAAGGTCCGCTCCGAAAGCAGCCAGCGTCGAAATGATCGACACCAAGGCCAAATTAATGGTGCGGGTAGTATGTAAGTGCTGCTCAGCCCAGGCGCACCACAGCGCCTCTTGAGATGTAAGAGAAAACGAAAGCGAAATAATGAAAAAAGAAAAAAGCTCAGCACCTTCCCTCAACAGTGTACGCGTCCAAGGCCAAGACAATTCTCATTGGTTCGCACTCAGCTATTTAGGGGAGGGGGGGGGGAGTCGGAGTTAGGAGTCCGCTTCAAGCATTACTCCTTGAATACTTGTTGAAGGTTAGTGCGGAAGGGAGAGCGGGGTCCTGGTAGGGTCATTCTTCACCTAGGACTCCGTTCTCCGACCTCTAGGATGTGGAAAAGAAGCAAGTTGGCGGGCCTGAGATGGCGTTGCATCCAATGGAAGTCGGGCACGAATACGTATACGATTACCGTCTCCAAATTGGGATCCATCTCGGAACCACCGGGTGTTTGATGGCGCCGCTAGCCCAATCTGACTGGCTCGAGCGTACTCGTATGATGATCCGCGATCCGATAAGGCTGGGACACCTTAATAAGCTTGGTTGATCCTTGCGCGAGAAAGGGGGAAGACGGATCGGAGTCGGACGCGGAGAGATGGGAGTGCCGCTGACTGATGATTGATCTTGGCTTTGCTTGACATTGCTGGGATCAAACTCCGTGTCGATTCATGTAAGAGTATTTCCTGATCGATGTATACCGGGGTACTCGTACGCATAATTTCTACTAGTGTAATTCCGCCGAGATCTCCTTCGGCCGTAAGCGAGTGCACTACATAACCACTTGTACTAGTACAGTGTGTACGGAGTACATACCCCGTACCCTGTAGGAAAAGGGGGGAGGGAAGAATTGCCCTGGACTAGATTGAAATGGGAACATTTCGGGGAAACACTTCGGGATCCTTCATATTGCATAAAATCGAGATTTTGGGGCATAATTATTGGATTTATCGAATGAATTAAATGGGGAAATTTCCAGCGCCGAGAGTTAGGGTTTCTTGGCGCGCCATTCGCGTTCCGCCGAGACACTCGGTGGACCTCAGCATAAACGGTTGGTGATCATGCACACGGAGTGAGTGAAAGAACCGAGAAGACCAGAGCATGGAAAATTGAACCCCGGAATGGACCCCTTTTTTTGTGTGTTCAAGCCATGAGCTCTCGGTAATTGTACAAGTACGAGTACGTTGTTGCTCAGACATCTGAGATCCTGGCTAGCGGGTGTCACACGACTACTAACTAGTAACTAGTAACTAGTACGGAGTAGTCGTCTGAGCACGCGACCAATTAAATGAAGATTCAACTTTTTCCTGTTCGTCTATGATGTGCTGCTCACGACTCGTATGTCCTGTATGTAGACCACTCTGTAGTTTTTTGACTACTTTGGTGCTTTACAAAGGTGACACTACAGGTGGAACGTGGGTGAGACAGTGATCGATCGGTAGAAAACTCAGCTCGGTCACGGTTCAGTTTTTAGTACAGAGTGCTCGCAGAGATGGAGAATGCGAGTCAAAGCACATGGGAGCAGCACTGACACGTCACACTTCCAAAGTCATTTATTGATCTATACCCTGCAGACACAGTTATGTACACATCGTCAGCGCCATTGTCGATTAGACTTCCGCCAGAAGCGCACCTAGTTCCAAGCTTAAACAGCCCTTCAGCAAGCCCACACGTGGAATTTTTAGAAGACCCGGCAGTCCCGTACCAATGTACCTCGGCCTGAAGTCATGGAGCCGACGGATCGGGCTTGATTAGTATACTCCGTAAAACTATGATTATTGCTCCGTACTCCGTGCTCCGTGTTCCGTGCTCCGTACTCCCGTCGGGGTCGGGTTCGGTCACAGCCACTCTAATGTCTTGGATGCCTGAGATGGTGTGTGGCGGTGACGGTGGCTGTGGGTTGGAACTGTGGCTGGGCAGACACTTCAAACTTGAAGATTAAGAGTCTAACCAACTTGGGACGGTTGCCAAATTTCGTCAAATCCGACAACCTTGGAAGGCTCAAGGTTGCGAACAGATTGTTACTATTAACGACATGACTAGTAGTCAAGTTCCAGAGGATGGAGTACTTCCCCAGCCAATAGGTCTACTAGTATTTTTGCAATCTTTAATAGTTTCTACTGGATGTATCTATTTGCGCTCGGGGTGTAGGTACTTCGGCAATATCGGACCCCGACCCCGATCGTCGGCTTGATTTGGCCAATGCCGAATTATGTGCAAATCACCCTAGGGTACTGTGTGGTTACTACTTAGTTGGAGTTGCTCTATGGCCAATTCATGTGGGCAGGTGTGACAGGCAGCCATAACTTGGTCATCGATCAGCATGTAATTTCCAATTCTTCACAGGCCAGTCAGGGTCCAAGCCGTGCCGTGGTTGGTAGTGGAGAGAAAAGGGACCACCCTTCTCTACCCTTCTTACAGAAGGGTAGTCAAGTATACAGAGAAGAGAGTACCCCAGGGCTCGTGCTGGATAGAATCCCCTCCTCAATATACTCTGGACAAATTGCATTCTGGCCGGCTGCATTAGCCCAGTCTGACTCTGCAGCCCCCCTGATCGTCAGGCACAGTGCGGTACACGACCGAGTCAGTAGCCGCGCGCCTTGCCCACAACGAAAGCGAATGAAAAGCGTCATAGGTGGAGAGGCGCATAGCCTGGTACAGTGGACTGTCTTGAAACTGATTCATAACATGATGACTCCACCTAAGTCATAGACTCATAGGGTTGACGAGAGGTGAAGGTACTGAGTACAGTACTCATTAGACGTGCGGTGGGTCAGTTTGATTAAAGCCAAGTGGAAGTGTGGATCGGAAGTCACCTGCCGTCCAAAGTTCCCCCCTCAAATTCCACTCCCCGCGTGAATTACCTCGCTTTCTGGGCTTTGCCTTGCTCGACCCTCTACTGTGGCTCCCACTCTTACAGTAAGTCATACTATTCATACTTGTAACTATTCATTACTACCCTACTCTGCCATCGCATCAAATCACACGTGGTCTCGTGCGCAAACAGTACTAATCCGAAGTAGTCATCTTGACCCTCCTTGCATGCGCCCAAGGCCATTCGCAAACTCGTTCGCAAACCTCCCATCCCCCATCTTTCGACGTCGACTTCGATTTCACCCTTTCCACTCGACTTGAGCGATCGCTCTGCCTGCGCGAGCCTGCGCCATGGCATACCCTCCGTCGTCGCAGCGCCCGCCGCCTACGAGGCAGTACGCTCCCTCTCCGGCGTCGGCTGCAGGACCCTATGCCCAAGGCGATATGTATAGCGCTGGTGACTACCCACCCGATATTGGCCCCGAGGACCCGGCATATGGTTATCAACCTGGCCCCCCCTGGTCCCTCCGGTCCATACGGCTCGTCGAATGCACCGCGCTCCATGCGCCCGCCAGGACCACCAGGTTCTGGTCGACCCATGGGTCCCCCAAATGGTCGCGGTTATCCTGGTGACAGACCTCCTCCGCAAAAGCGCAGAGGGCCACCTCGTAAGTAAACCGCGCGCGATCACTGGAATCACTTGAGTTCTATCTAATACCATTTTCAAGCAAACGGCCGCCCCCCACCCGGATTCGACAACCCTTTTCCCGCCGTTTCTCCGAGAGATCCTAGGGACCCCCGAGATCATCGAGACCCTCGAGACCCTAGAGACCGGCGAGGCCCTCCCCCTCGTGGTCTAGAAAATGGAATGGCTGCCATGGATATCAACGGACGACCCCTTCCTCGACCGCATACCTCCAACTCACGCCGTCCGGACATGCGCCAACCCCCTCCTCGTGGAATGCCGCCAGGCCGTGGCCGAGGAGGATATCCCATGGGCCCCGGAGCTCCACGACCGCGGCCAGATCGTCCCGATCGCGCATACCCGGATCCAAATGGGCCTATGCCAGGCCCATCGCGAAGTAACACGATGCCTCTCGCGCAGCCGCCAGTGATATATCCACCGCAGTCGGACTACCCCGAGCACGATTATCCAGGCAGTCCAATGGGCGAGATGATGCCACCTCGTCCTAGCACCGCAGGTGGAATGCGCCAACCCCCACCACCGCGCGCCCGTCCAGTCAACGACATTGATCCCGGTCTCATGATCCCGCCTGACCCCGTCAATCGTGCTTCTTACGCACCCAAGGACTTTTTAGATAGCTACTTTGGCGGCGCACCTGTTGAGGATGAACACGACATGCCCAACTTCGATGCCATGCCGTCAAATAATATGGGCCCGATTGATGAGATGGGACTGGAAACCCCCAAGCCTAAGCCAACTATTCAAACGCCTACTTCTCCTTCCACTGGGGGAGCTCAGTACACTGCATTTTCCCCGGATTCTGGACCAGGGACTCCGCGTTCGAGGTCCCAGCCTAACCTCCGCGACGGCCCTAATCAATTTGAAAATGCGGGCTTCCAGTTTGACATTCCGCAAGATGCGCCACCAGTGCCGGGAATGCGTCAGCCTGATGGTTCGGGGTATGGATACGAACAGACAAGCCCATATTCTCCTAATGGCCATGCCCCATTCGCCAACCAGCCGCCTTATCAACAACCCGCGCCAGCACAAGAGCACAACCCAGATGCTCTTCCGCATCACCCTGTGCCGGTGCCGTTCCGACCGGGCCACGACCAAGCTGCCAAACCGGCCCCCATTCGCCAGTACAACAACCCCCAATCCCCAGCCTCGGCGCCGGCGCCGGCTACCGCTACCCCACGCCCCATGCCTCCAGATGGAATGGGCGTGGCGCATACACCAGTCACGGCTGAGGAATTACAGTCGTTGCAGGCCAAGGCACGCTCCAATCCCGGTGATCAAGCGACTCAGCTCCTGCTGGCCAAGAAGCTTGCCGAAGCTGCTGTGGTTCTTGTGGACGGCAACAGCCGATTGGACCCCAAGACCAAGGCCAAGACGAAGGAAAAGTATAATCTAGATGGGCACAAGATTATCAAAAAGCTTGTGTCGGCTGGATACTCCGAGGCTCAGTTCTTCCTCGCCGACTGCTATGGCGAGGGCCTGATGGGTCTAGAAATGGACCCCAAGGAAGCCTTCTCCTTGTATCAATCTGCCGCAAAGCAAGGACACGCACAGTCCGCGTACCGTGTGGCAGTCTGCTGCGAGATCGGCCAGGAAGAGGGTGGTGGCACCAAGCGGGACCCGTTCAAGGCTGTTCAGTGGTATAAGCGAGCTGCATCTCTGGGCGATACACCCGCGATGTATAAGATGGGCATGATCAACCTGAAGGGACTTCTTGGCCAACAACGCACCCCCCGCGAAGGTGTCTCATGGTTGAAGCGAGCAGCCGAGCGCGCCGACGCAGAGAATCCGCACGCACTCCATGAACTTGCTTTGATGTACCAGAGTGCCAGCGGCAACGACGTCATCATCCGTGACGAACAATACGCCAGCCAACTCTTCCACCAGGCCGCAGAACTGGGCTACAAATTCTCCCAGTTCCGCTTGGGAAACGCTTATGAGTATGGCTTGCTGGGTTGTCCGATCGATAATCGTACGAGCATTATTTGGTATACTCGTGCCGCTGCCCAGGGAGAGCATCAGAGTGAACTGTCTCTGAGTGGCTGGTATCTGACTGGTTCCGACGGGATTCTGCAACAAAATGACACCGAGGCGTATCTATGGGCTCGAAAGGCCGCTACGGCCGGCCTTGCCAAGGCAGAATATGCGATGGGATACTTCACTGAGGTGGGAATCGGGGCTTCTGCGAATTTGGAGGATGCGAAGCGCTGGTATTGGCGTGCAGCTGGTAAGTTGAAAGCATAGCACACCACTTTGAATGCTCCGGGATAGGATATATGCTAATACTCTCCCAGCACAAGGATTCCCCAAGGCCCGTGAGCGTCTTGAAGACCTCAAGAAGGGCGGACAGCGTATGCAGAAGACCCGTCTATCTCGCTCGGCTGTTAACAAGCAGAGCGATGGAGACTGTGTTGTGATGTAAACAAGGGCTTTTTTACACCATCCCCCACCCTTACTCATCCTGCTATGCCTTCATCTAGTCTCACCCAACTAGACTCATGTAACTTTTAATGACCAACGACGCTTGATGTACTATTCCATTCCATTCCAATCCCCCCCCCCCCCCCTTCTCACCACTTTCTCTGCTGGCTGAGCCGAACAATACGACCAATCAGCAGGATCTATTTTGATGATTCTTTTTTCTCCTTTGGTTTGCTGTTCACTTCCTCTTGTCCTGTTTTGAATCGGGTGGTGTATACTCTACGGAAACGAGATGATCATGATTGCGATCCCCTGATGATCGGGTGTGAGCTAAAAAAAATACCCCAGAGGCTGTACTGTATTGCATTTACAATAGACTGGATGAGAATCCTGGTGTATTCTATACTAAGGTACACTCGCTACAACAATATCATAATTGTCACGGTATACACATACATCAGTAGTGCTACGCAGTGTAACAAGCGGCCCCGTTCCGCGCTGACACACCCTTCCGATCGGCTTCTGGCATCGGCACCCATCTATCTCCGTATACCCGACCACCTACACTTTCTTGCTAAGCCTGAGTAATTGCATCTTGCATCTTGCATCTTCCATCTTGTGCCACTGGCTTCCGTGCTCCCTATATCTACAAGACAGAAGACCCTGCGTATCAATCTCGCACTGACACTGGCACAGATTGATAATATATGTCTTCAAGTTCGGAACATCAACAACAGTCTCATCATTCGAGCCAGAACCATCAACATACCGTGCCAGTGACATCTCAGTATACGCCTGGGCCCAGTCGAAAAATACTGCTGTCACTATTTGCGCTAGTGGTAGCTGTACTCATAGCAGCTCTCATCGACCCGGCCAATCTGTATACCCTCCGCCGCTTTTCTTCGCGGGTTGTTCGATCTGTGACGACAGCTTCTGCGACATCAACAGCGACAGCGACAGGATCAAACTTGAAGGCTGATTCGAAGATCAAATCTGGACCTTCTTCAATTATGAAGACACCTGTTTACTTCCTTAGCCATGGCGGGGTATGTACATTTATCCATTCTCTCTTTGAATTCCCTGTTGGTTGATTGGTTGGGTTGGAATGCATGCATTTATGGATGGAACTTGGAATGGAATAGCACAAGAAACACAGACCAGAGCAAAAATGAGCTAATACTTCTCACCAGCCCAATGTCATGTATGAAACGGGTCACCCAGCGTATAAGAAACTAGGATCCATCGGGAAGGAAATCACGACGAAAGTCAAGCCCGATGCTGTGGTTGTTTTCTCTGCGCATTGGCAGGGTGGTCGGGATGTGATTTATGTGAATACGGCTGAGATGACGGATTTGGTTTATGAGTATGTTCATACTATCCTTTCTTACATGCTGATATCCCGCTGTCTGAGCAGGAGAGAAAAGAAAAGAAAAGAAAAGAAAAGAAAGGATATCGCTAATTAAGACCCAGTTTCTACGGCTTCCCGGATCACTACTACAATGAGAAATACCCAAACGTCGGAAGCCGGAAAGTCGCAGATCAAGTCCTAGCCGCACTGAGCGGTGCTGGTATCGAGGCGAAGGGCGTGAAGCGTGGACTGGACCATGGTGTCTGGGCTAGTTTCAAGTGCGGTATGTTATTTATACACCACGCAAGCTCAATCACCGCTAGCAATGATTGACAGGAGGAACTTGAAAGAAAGCTAACAAATGTCCCACCACCCAGCCTTCGAACCAGAAACAAACCCCCCTAAACGTGCCGATCGTGCAAGTCTCCCTCTTCGACACCGAAGACCCAGACCAGCACTACCGCCTCGGCCAAGCAGTCTCGCATCTGCGCGAGAAGAACATCCTGATTATCGTCTCGGGAATGTCGGTGCACAACCTGCGTGATCTGCGCTTCACGAGGGGTGGTAATGCGCCGCCGATGCCGTATGCGGTTAGTTTCGATGAGGCGTTGAAGGATGCTGTTGTGTCTGATCCGGCGGAGCGGCAGGGTAAGATGGCGAAGTTGCTTGATCGGCCTGATGCGAGACAAGCGCATCCTTCGTTTGATCATTTGCTTCCCATTCATGTGGGTGCGGGTGCGGCGGGAGATGATTTGGGGAAGAGATTGTGGACGCTTCCTGAGGGGAGTATGAGTTGGGCGCAGTTTCGATTTGGAGACGTGAATGCTAGTAGTTCGCTGTAGTTGGGATGGTAGTGCTGGTAGTGCTGCTTGTTAATAGCATACTTTCGGGTTCTTTTCGAGTCTCGCTTTTTCGTCACCAGCCATAGTTGTAAAAGGGTAGAGGGATTGATTGCATGTTGATTTTGATGAGGGCTCGATTTCATCTATAGATACACATAGGATGGAGGATGGAGGTAGAGGAATAAATTGAAACGCGAAATGGGGAATGGCAGAATATTCGGTTATGACTGCTTGACCAGGTTCGTGATGCGCTCTTCGATCTGGGAATCCGAGAGTCCTGTTCCGAAAGTTAGCGGGTCGATTTCAACAGACTCCCACTCTCCAACAAGCCACCATCCGGGGTAAACTTACCAGACAGGGCCTCCTGCTTCTCCTTTCCAAGCTCTGTAACAGTTGAAGCTGCATTAGTGGTGTATCTCCTCGGATGCGTGTCGCGGTGCGTACCATAGCGGGCGAAGACTCGCGGCTCGGTGCCGGAGGCCTCGCGCATCATAATGGGAGTGTGCGGGTTGTGCTTCTTCATGGTGGGGTAGGCGCGATTAATGAAGGATCTGTTTGGATAGCCAAATGTTAGCTTGTGTAGAGGGGAGTAGACAGCCATTGGCATGGGGAATGGTAGGAGTGGGCTGGTCGGGGTTCAGGTTCGGAGCGAAGGGAAGTCTTGCCTTGTGGCGGCGCTCTGCTCGGAGGTCTGGCAGAAGAGGAAGCGGAGCTCCTTCAGGCCCTTGGTGAAGACGTATTTGCCAGACATGATGGGTGGTGGGTGTTGGGGGGGGTGGGAGGTGGAGGGGAGAGGAAAGAGTATCAAGAGTGGATGATATCCAAGCCTCTCGGAGGGAGATGCAGCATTATTCGCGGGGACGGTGATTGGCTGACAGTTTCTGCCTGATTAATGCCTCATTACTAAGGCATTAATTACTTTCCCGACATCGCTGCCTGAGGTGTTACAAATTACCTATCTGGACTAGCGTGTGATTACCTCATCAACTCAAGAACTGGAGATACGACCGGAAGGACATTCCAATTTGAAAAGAATTGAATTGCCTTCTTGATCGGTAATTGCATTGTATTTTTATTGCTACATCTTGATTCACAGTACCTCTCAGTGGTTTCTGTGGCTATCATCGCTGTGGTTTATTGTTCGTCCCCGGAAAACTCCCCCCCCCGATCACCGGACGCTTCCGCCCTTCTTGCCCCAACGACCTTCTCTCAACCACATCACTCTCCCCTCCACCATCATGTCGTCTCGTGTGGGATTCCGCTTCTTCAACAACGCTCGCGCGTCCTTCCGCAATGCGTCTGCGCCATTCCGCCGGCCGGGTGGTCAGGGCTGGCGCTTCCAGAGCTCCGAAGCCGGCGCCGGCGCCGCGGAGCAGCAGAGCACTTTCCAGCGCATGTGGAACAGCCCTGTCGGTGTGAAGACTGTGCATTTCTGGTGAGTCTTTTCAATTCTAGCTTATAACTTCGATGCTTGACCAGCACAACGGCAAGCCGGGGGTTCAGAGGATGGTGGAATGCTAACCCCGTCATTTTAACAGGGCTCCCGTTATGAAGGTACGATTATGATTCGAGCATCCCATTTTGATATTCCTTCTCCCCCGTGACTCTTCCTTATGACATCTCCTACGGTTCCCCCGAGATAAAACTCCTATATCGACTGCGTGATGGAATTAAAATGCTGACTGACTCCTGACAGTGGGGTCTGGTCATCGCCGGTATCTCCGACTTCAACCGTCCTGCTGAGAAGCTCTCCCTCACTCAGAACGGTGCTCTGACTGCAACCGGTGCCATCTGGACCCGCTGGTGCTTGATCATCAAGCCCCGTAACGTTCTGTATGTCGAATGTCCCGCATTCTACGATATCTCGGTTCGTCCGCGATGACGCATTCGCTAATACCTCTCTGCAGGCTTGCCGCCGTTAACTTCTTCCTCGGATGCGTTGGTGTCGTCCAGGTTTCCCGCATCATCATGTACCGTCGCAGCCAGGAAGGCTCCGCCATCGAGACTGCCAAGGATATCGAGCAGGATGTTGCCGAGTCTGCTAAGTCTGCCGCCAAGCAGGCTAAGGGTGCCGTCGAGGATGCCGTCAAGTCAAACTAAAAAGCTTGGGGCATATATGAGCAGGCGGAGGATGGCGCAGTTGGTAGAAGGTCTTTCCGGACGGGCTGTGCGTGGATGAGCATTCACAGGAATGAGAGCTTGCATGATACCTCGAGATCTCCTCGTTCATGCAAGCTCGCTGGTGAATTCTCGATAACTTATTCCCGCGCGGACCTCTTCCATGAAAGCCCGCTGTACATATAAATTGCAGTGATTTTGTTCCAACCGAGTCAGCAGGTATGCTGTAGCCAGTAGCGCAAAGCGTAATCGACTGGGCCATTATCTTCGTATAGAACCCATACAGGCAATAGCAAAGTCCCTCAAAGCTAGCATTGAAGAAGAAGGAAGGTCTAATTGATTGAGTCCTTGTTTACTTTACCAGGATTAGTATCGAATGCCGACTGGCACAATTGACTCCCACCCCCGACGATTTTCCCGGGATTTTCCTCCCAATCGGTGAAACTTCTCGCAGATATTCCTCCTATCGGATATCCCCTACCCCTAGAAACCTCCCACCATCCCCAGAATAGAGTGTCTCCTAATCTCCGGCAACCTCGCTAAAGGTAAACCGTGCCTGCGTATACGCCAGCTAGAGCATACTCCTCGAAGTCTCCCCCACAACTGACAATGCCATTTCCCCGGATGAACTGCGGATTACCCCGCCGAGCCGACAACTGCGGGCCTTGCTAGCGCGTCGCACGAGGCCTGCAGACAAGGGAGAGTGCATTTGTTATAATTATTTGCTTTTCTCTGTCTTGGAATTGTACATATAAGTCAAGAGCTGCTCGAAAGAAGTGGCGAACCTGTCACTCGAGAACTTCCCGGCCCATCACATCACATACTGTTGGATCAGCATTGACCCAAAATGAAGATCTCCAATACATTAACCCAGGCTCTGGGTCTTTTCCTGTCTTTTGGCATGACAGCCGAGGGAAAATCATCACCAGGAAAGAAATATTCTCGAACCGACGCTTGCAAGCCTCACCACCCCTTTCGCCCGTTGCCAATTAGTCAAGCTCGTACACGCACTTGCCATGTCGCCAACCACGGCAAGGGAGTCGATGATTCGAAGAATATCCTGCAAGCACTGCACAAATGTAATAATGGCGGCAAGGTTGTTTTCGACGAAGATAAAACCTACACAGTTGGAACGGCGCTGGATATGACCTTCCTGAAGCATGTGGATCTCGGTACGTTCAATCCGATAACAACCAGCACCAAGCCCCCATTGAAAAAAAGAATTATACAGGCTAACAATCGGCTTTTATGAACAGAGGTTCTTGGTACAATTCAATTTACCAATGACACAGACTACTGGCAAGAAAACGCTTTCAAGCAAATCTATCAAAACGCAACGACCTTCTTCCAGCTTGGCGGAGAAGACGTCAATGTCTACGGCGGCGGAACTATCGACGGTAACGGACAGGTCTGGTACGATCTTTATGCCGAAGATGCGTTGATTCTGCGCCCGATTCTGGTGGGCGTTATTGGGTTGCAGGGCGGCACTATTGGGCCGCTTAAGCTGCGCTATTCGCCGCAGTGGTATCACTTCGTGGCTAATTCGTCGAATGTGCTTTTCGAGGGCATTGATATTTCCGGATTCAGTACGAGCAAGAATACTGCGAAGAATACAGATGGATGGTGAGATCATTTCTGAGAATGCGATAGTTGGAGCGTTGAAGCTAATCGGGCGTTGATAGGGATCTATACCGCTCGTCGAATATTGTTATTCAAGACTCGGTTATTAACAATGGAGATGGTATGACACATAGGGAGGACTGCGAAGCTTTTATAATATCCGTGAAAGCTAATGACTCCTAGATTGCGTTTCCTTTAAGCCCAACGCTACAGATATCCTCGTTCAAAACCTCCACTGCAATGGCTCTCACGGTATTTCCGTCGGTTCACTTGGCCAGTACCCAGGTGAAGTGGATATTGTGGAGAATCTTCTCATCTACAACATTTCCATGTTCAACGCATCTGTGAGTGCAAAAATAGTCAAGCAAGATGGATGCTTGATATTCACTTCAATACTGACAAATTCTAGGACGGCGCTCGCATCAAGGTTTGGCCAGGCATTTCCTCTGCCCTGTCGACCGACCTCCAAGGTGGAGGTGGCTCTGGCAGTGTGAAGAACGTTACCTATGACACCATGACCATCGACAATGTCGACTACGCCATTGAGGTGACCCAGTGCTATGGTCAGAAAAATCTCACCCTGTGCAATCAGTATCCTTCCGAGTTGACCATTTCCGATATTCTTTTCACGAACATCAAGGGTACAACGTCGGGCAAGTATGACCCTGATGTTGGTACCGTTGTTTGCTCGAGCGAGACTGTGAGTTTACCCAAGAAGCAAATAGAGGTGCGGTTTCTGATTTCTTCAGGTTTGCTCTAATATCAAGGCTACGAACATTGATGTTCAGAGCCCCGATGGTGATGATGAGTTTGTTTGCACGAATGTGAGTTCTTTTGGCATGTTCAATATGTTGTTGACCTTTCTAACGAACTTTTCATTTAGGTTGATGATACATTATTGGAAGTTAACTGCGCTGCTTAGAGCTGCTTCTTCTCCTGTATTGACATCAAGGGGGAGGGGTGCGATTGCCTTGCCTTAGAGCAGTACAAATAATTTCCAAATTATATCCAGAGAGGGGGGTAATTATGTACATTTTTGAGTAGTGATTTCCTCCAATGAGTCATGAGTCAGATAAACTTACATCTGAACTCTATAAATACAGGGTGATTGATGCCGGCCACCGCTAGTCACGGCTATGCAGCCACTTCTCAACTTCTCCAACACTTTCCCTAAAAAGCAAATCCGCGTAGATTCTATGAAAAAAGCCGGCATATTGAATGGCAGATGCCACAAAATTTGGTCTTGGGCCAGAGGCAACCTGGCATGCGAACTGTAGAACCACATGATCCTGCGATTCAGGGGTGGGCCTGAAAGCCGAAAAACGGTGAAGTCCAGCGAAAGAAGACTGGTCCTTTCCAAATCCGATGTCGATGTAGCTTTCCGCTCCCTTAGAGAAATCGGCTTGGGAATGAATCAGTGAGTCGACAACTTGAAATGTGCCAAAGATCTTTGTGTATGTCGGTAGCAAAGAGGAGTCTGATATTTGTTCCACGCACCATACTTGGAGCGCGTCTTTTGAGTTTATGGCTTTTGTTTGTGGTTAGTTGAAGATATCACTCAAATATATGAAGTTTAAGAGTCTTACCGGAGAAATTGACAAGATTTGGTCTCAGATTTTGAAGGACGAATCTCTCCGGGCGAATCACAGCTCCCCCATAGAAAGCCTTCGTGAATCTACTGAGCAGTTCCTCATCCGAGACATTTCGCCGATGAGGTGGTATGTCGATGGAGATAGACCGTGTATCAAAAGAAATCGAGTATCCCCTGGGATCAACAATTTCATTGACGGATTTGGATATGTGAAGTGAATCAGGAACAGTGTTTTGACGTGTCATCCGCCGGGAATCGGTGCGGCGTGTTTGTTTATAAACGGTGCCGGCATACGTTGCCGACGCAGCTGCAGCTGCCAGCGCCGATACTGTTAATAAGCCCTTTGCAACCATTTCAATGATTATTGTGAGACTGTGAGAAGTGTATTTATTTGGGAGGAAAATAGATCAAGATGACGAGGCTGTCAGATTCTGATGACTCATATCAGATCAGGTGACTAGTCTCGTATAGTATCGATGCGACTGAAACGAGTGGAATAATTCGACAGTTAGTTGCACCTGCAAATTAGGTCTAGGATTTTGCATAATTATCAAGGTCAAGCATGCAAGAGCAGCCAATGAATACAAGTGAAGCCTGGTTTGAATGTCTTACACTCTCCACATCTATCGTATCAATTCTTAACGATTCGAACTACCTAGTAGAATTTTACAGCATTAAGTGGCCGCCATAGCTACATACCATCCGACTTGGCAAAGTTTCTGAAGGCCGCAATTAGCAACGGCTAAATTGGCCATATTTAACTTGAATAGGCCTGCCAAACATGGCGCCACTTTCTATGTCGCGGTATTGATAATGTACCACCTTTAACAGTATTACAGTGACTGCGGTAATGCACTAGTAAAGCATACTGAAATCGTTTCGGCTGTCATTGCTTTTGAACATAGTATATCTGCTCATGTTCAAGTTGCTGGATCGAGGAGTATACTGTACACAACATGTCGGGAATCCCGACTGAGGTCTACAGGTCCACACTGCCCAGTCTCAGCTCAGCCATTATGTCTCTCGGCGTTATTACAAGTATGTGATCGTCCTTCGAGACGCAAATAGCATTAAAAACAGAAGCCTTGCTGTATAGAGCTTGAAAGTGAGGGGTGGATCTTGTCCCACTTCATCTTATGAGAAAAAATAGGCGAAGCCTCTATTATTTTCGTATTTAACCTTGATTGAACTTCAGTGACTACAACTGGCTAAAGGTCTACAGGTTTGAATTCCCAAACACCCTCGCACTCATTCGGCCTTCCTAGCCTTAGGCGAGCTGTCCGCTCATTGAGATCAGCCACGAAACTGTACAATGTCTCACTTTGCCTTATAGGACTCGACTTTCTATTGATCGCAGTAGGAAAGCCCTCTTCATCTTCCAGCATGTTCTCAAAAGACTCCACCGGAGCTGCAATGCCCTGCCCTTGCTGACGGGCTTGCTCCAGAAGTAGCATGATGCGTTTCTGCCGTGTGATTGAGTCGGGGAAGATGTGAGAGTCCTTGACTGCAGGGTCATGCTTGACAAGAAAATGATTGGTATGCGCGATCTGTCCGTTTGTCATCTCCATTTGAACTATATCGAGATGGCTAAACTCGAGAGAAGTTCCACCTGTCTTGTCCGCGATCATGATATGGCCCGAGGTCCCCAATGTAAGTGAAAGCAGTCGAGCAATCGCCTTTAGGCGGCTTTCACAGTCCAAGACTGTGCGTAGAGCAATATGGATGGGTAGGGCATCGAATTTAACGCCGGCAGCTTTTATCGCGTTGACGAATACAGCCACACCATGAGAATTCAGGCCACTCTTGCTTAGCAGTCCTGCCTCCGTAGCCAAACTAATTTTCGCTCGGGGTGCCATGCCATTCTGATTCGGCTTAATGTGCAAAATAACCAGACGGGCCTTTTGAGCTGCCTCCCACTGTCTCATAAGATTAGCGACATCAAGAACGACAGGGTTTCTATTGATCTTACATCCCAATTCTGACCAGCAACACTAAAGTCGTTGCCTTTCCAAGCCAGTGAGGTACAACCGTCATCCATCATGCCCATGGAAATCTCCGTTCTAGCGTTGAGAGCCAACACCGTAGGCAAAGAGACACCGGCACCATCAGCAATTCCTATGAGTAACCAGTAAGTAAAGCAATATTCATATGAAAACACGAAATGTAATCAAAGCTGATAGAGAACATTCAGCCTACCCTGCATTTCCTCAACGAGATGAGGTACATGTTGCTCCAGAAATGGCTGGAATTTTATAGCGACATCCTCTGCAGTTGCCCAGTTCATCTTACTCATTCGCCGAAAGTAATCATCGTAAAATTCAATGCTCCCGTGCACTAGTTCCTTGGCTTGACTTCCATGTTGAAAGCCAATCTGGAAAAAAACGGGTCAGCCCGAAGTCTGGAAAAAGAAGTCGAATCTTGTTTAACTTACTTCGTAAGGTGACCCAGAGCAAGTAATTTCCAACATTTTGTGCATAAATTGTCCTTAAGAGATCCCATGAACTGGAGGAAGTCATGTAACTTTATAGGCCCATTGAAATAAAGCAAACTTGATCAAAAGCAAGAGACAGACCGTATTCACCGGATAGACCGTCTCTACAAAGTTAGCTTCCGTATAGATATGCGGAATGAAATTCCCGTAAACGGCTAGTCTCCGTAGGAGGACCGAGCGATTTCCCCGCAAACCCAAAGTCGTATTGGAGTCGTAGATTGCAATAGTGGGGAGCAAAGATAATGATGAAAGATATGGCATTGGCCTTGACATATAAATCTGTTAGCTCCTCGAGAGATACTATCTTTTCTTTCTCTCCCACATGAGCTCTGTGCCGAGAAAATCTTTTCCTACTCGTCTTTTTGTCTGTCTCAAAGTACTAGACAATAATACCCCATCATGACTAAGGAGCTCAAAGTGGAGGAGAAGGTGAAAGTCGAATCTTGGTATGCGGGGGACATTGAAACCGTTGAGGGATCCTATGAAGCCCTGAGCCCCGAGGAAGATAAAAGAATTCTTCGAAAATTGGACATGTGGTGCGAACTCCGCGGGCGAACTCTTTGGACTCCATGGATAGAGCACTAACTCTTGATCAGTTTATTGCCCGTTATGGCTTTTTCATATCTCTTCCAATACCTTGACAAGTCAGCACTTGCATCAACTGCGATTATGGGCCTTCGTGAAGACTTAGATCTTACCGGCGAAGAATACTCTTGGTCAAGTGGAATATACTACTTTGGCTATCTTGTGGCATCTTACCCAGCGGGTGTACTGATGGTTAGGTGGAGAGTTGGCAAATTCATTACGGCTTCTATGTGAGCACACTTCTACCGATACTGCTTGATTTGCTCTACAACTTCTAACATCGTATTTGGATAAAGCCTGGCATGGGGCACAATCCTGACGTTGACGGCCACATGCCATAACTCTAGTGGGCTTCTTGCAACACGATTTTTCCTAGGTGTTGCTGAGGCGGCAATTGCTCCTGGGCTCACAATTATCATATCCATGTTCTATAAGCGGTCCGAACAACCTCTTCGTCATGCAGCATGGTTTCTAGGAAACACATGTGCCGGACTATTTGGAGGGCTGCTTAATTATGGAATCGGGCATATAGAAACTATTGCGCCGTGGAAGGTATGAATTGTGGCGGTATCTATAAGTGGGGAGTCAGCTGCTAAGAAGATGAAAATATAGGCATCGTTCCTGATTCTCGGAGGGGCAACTGTTGCCTGGTCAATTTGCAATATTTTCCTGCTTCCAGATACGCCATCAAATGCATGGTTCTTGAATAATTCGGATAGGGAGAAGGCCGTGGCGCGAGTTCAGGAGAACTTGACTGGAATCAAAAATGACAAATTCAAGTGGGAACAATGTAAAGAGGCTATCAAGGATATGAAAACTTGGTTTTTGGTTCTTATTCAATTCAGCTCCAATATTCCAAACGGTGGAGTAACAACCGTGAGTCAGCCTTTCATTAATCCGAATGCTAAACCAGACAACTTGAATGTTAATGATTTATAGTTCCGGTCTATTATTCTTACTGGAATTGGCTTCAGTACATTCGATACTTTACTTCTGCAATGCGTGCCGTATCTTGTTCAGCTAGCTCTGGTTATCATTTGCACTGGCGGCAGTAGCTACTTCCGGAATACTCGAACTTACTGGATGATGCTATCTTTTGCAGTTGCACTGGTCGGAGCAGCACTTGTTCGTCAACTACCGGAAATTGAAAAATGGGGTCGTTATGCTGGCACCTGTCTAATGGGGGCCAACTCGGCTTCTTTTCCATTGCTGATGTCGATGGTTTCTGGCAACATTGGTGGATTTACAAAGAAAACAACGGTGAACGCATTGGTATGTGCTCCAATAATGCGAATACTAAAGTTAGCAGAAAATTGTGTTGACCAGAACTTTCATATTGCAGAGCTTTATTGCTTATTGTGCAGGTAACATCATCGGCCCACAACTGTTTTTTGAAAGAGAAGCACCATCATATGACTCAGGCTTTATTGCCCTCATGGTATGTCAGGCAACATGTTTCTTGCTATGCTTAATGTTCCGTTTCTATCTTATGTGGAACAATCGAATTCGCGAACAGCAAAATGAGTCCCTAAGTGCGGCAGACGCCAGTGATATGCGAACAGACACAATCATGGCTATGATGGACAAAACAGACAAGGAGATCGACCACTTTAGATACGTATACTAGCTTTGGTAGATCTTTTTATTTCAGCCACTATGGAAGGGCTCCTCTATTGGTCTAGCTGTAGCGCTGAATCTGGCCAAAGTGGAGAGTCAGCTAACAAATCCATATCGTTTATCCACGAAAAGTCAAGATCATTCTCCCAAGAATATAGTTGCTGTTCAGTAGCATCTGTGCTCTGATCTCCAAAGATGTGGAGGAATTTCTTGCACAGCTCGGGCTGCTCTAAAACTAAACCAGTAATGAGTCGAACTTTATAGTAGGTTCCCTGGGGGATTCCGGTAATTTCTGGGAATCCGTCGCCATCACATAGCGGGGTTGGAGATGCTGCCACTGACTCCGAGCCGTTTCCTTGTTCTTTCAATGACTGGCTGTGTGTTGCATGTATGTTGGTGACCGTAAGGTCGCGTATCGCACGACCATATTTTGACTGATAAAAATCGTCCAAAAGCCTTATCGAACTTGCAAACGCTTTTGCCAAAACCCAAGTTTTGGACCAGCCGTCTAACAGTGACAGTAAATAATCAACATCTGACCTAGCCCGGTGAACATCGCTTTGTGAGGACTGCACCAGGCTGTCCACAAGCGGGCTCACATATTGAAACCATAGCAACACACTCGCAGTGGTCACTACTGGTATTATACTGCAAATACCTGGAGGTGTTTTTCTGAATTCTGGTACGACGGCATCGATAATTTGTAGCATATTAATGACGCAGTTGGCACCAGTCATACAAATCGTGATTGTGTCTGGATTGGTTACATCGAACGCTAGCGTAGTACTTGAATTGTCAGAAGGTAAATCTTCGAGCTGCGGAAGATGCTCATGATGTGCCAAGAACAAGGCGTGCTGAGTGAGGAGGTGCACACTCGTGAAATGCGACAGCTGTCCAAGAGACTGGTGTGCTCTTAGGTTATTTTCGGACCACTGTAAGTCTTCCGGCAAGCACTCCAGCCAATTTTTAATAACTGCCAGGTTTTGCCAGTGTCTACTAGAGGGATCGTAAAGAGAGGATGGCGAAACTCGGCGACCTCCGTCGACATACGCCTGCGCAATGGGGGACCAGAGAATGAATGTTTTGACAAAATATGAAAGAGTCGACTTTCCATCATCTTGATGAGGCTGGGGTCCGAGTTCATGCATCTTTGGACCTGGGGAGTCGTGTCCAAAGGCAAAGGCAACATCGCTGCAGGGGAGATGTAGCCCGACTAGTGCCAAGTCAATAGTTTGGGTTCGGAATGTGCAGTACGCAACAAGGCGATCAAAAATGACGCATGCCCAGAATGTTCGTCTCCGGATCTCGCGTTTGCGTGGTATATGCCGTCCACTGTATTCATTTCGCATTCGCAAAGTTTGTGCCATGCGGACAGCGAGTCCGATGTGCAACCATGCTTTTGATGTAGCCATTGCTAAGAGCTCACAAAGACCCAATACTAGATTTGCTTGTATATTGATGACTGACCTAGTCAGCAGATTAAAGTGGATGTGGCAGCAGGGATCACCTTACTACTAGGCTGGTCGGAGGATTGCCGAGACGAAGCCTGTGCCTTATTCCGATAATAGCGCACCATACCTTTCGCGCTGGTAAATCTCGAGTCAGATTGTGCCTCGTTGAGTGGTAGGTATAGTGCAGAAAGAGCGAAGATCGATTCGAGTAAGAACCGATCCTCGCTTGTCACTCCCTCATCCTGAAGCGCGTCCAAATGTATGCAGCCACAAAGGTCTAGTAGGTGGTGAGTTTGTGCAAAGATATCAATCAGTCGTCGGAGCAGCGGAAGTGATGGAAGATCACAGGCGCTATCTGCTTGCAGCTGGGTTCCTGCGGGCTGCCTTACGGAAATCACTTTGGGTGGTTTGTCGGGATGTTCGCTCAGAGTTGACGCCGAACCCTCGAAAAAGAGGTGCTTGTAGCCACCAGGTGCGAGGCCATCAGACCAGTGGCACGACCTGCGTTTCCGAGTGCAAACATCACATTGAGGTCTAAGACCATTACATCTAGTTTTGTGCTTTCGACTGGCATTGAGAATTGAGGTCATTTAGTAAAAGCGGAGATTGACTGGGACACAGACGCGACACATACCATTCCTGACAAGCTTGCAAGCTCCGAGGGGCTTTTGGCATTGTGCTGTCTTCTGTCCACTCGAGAATGAGGTATGGATGTGATGATTGGACTAATGTAAAAAATCATCGAGATGCAGCGGAAAGTGGGACAGAATGGGGTCACTGGGGGCTGGACAAGCCTCCCATCCAGGCGGTGAGAGGCCCATTTACCAAGCCAACACTAATTATATGACTATCTGATATGAGAATTTCGTGATGATAATTGCAAATGAGCACTTGGATGAACTATAGGTGGTTCGATACAGCAGATGAGAAGGAAATTTTTGGTAGACTGGGATATGCTGAATGAAGGGCCGTTGGTGTCTCAAATTCTCAAATGCCAAGCTGGGGTCTATGAGCCTGTTTGAAGTTTAAAGATATAAGAATCACTCTTGGTGGCTGGTGGATTGGGCACAAGAACAAACGGTCTTGTAAATATTAAGGGGTTGACCTGGCGAGTTAAAAGGGCTACAGAGGGGGTTTTGTGGGATATGAAATGTAGAATGGCTGGGACTACTAACTAGCTCGGACGATTAGGGTGGTGGTTTGGCAGATTTCGAGCTAGTAGAAAATTGGGGTCTTCTCGCTGGCAGAGGAGTGTGGTTGCGTTGGCACTTTTGTCCGAATGGATCGTATATGGGCTGATAGCAGTCTCTGGGCGTTGGGGTTTGACCGGCATTTGAGGAGAAACGTTCGATACGCTGGGCGTATTACCTAGATTTTCCAAGGTGCAGTTAGATATTCACAATGCCAGATGAAAAACCTTTGATCGAACACTATCTAGTAAGAATAAAAGCAAGAAGCAAAATCCGATAGAAAACCCAAACGCCTCGCTGGCTGCATCTGTAGATACAATTTCGGAAATCAAGGAAGAAGAAGACTAACACTCGGCTTGGGTCGTTAGTCGTAACGTTAATATAAACAGAATCCATGGTCCCAGCGTATTATTTATGTATGCTCAGAAAATGGTAGATGGGTGTAATAACTCTCCGAAACACCAATCTCCGATTTTGAGAAGAGATCATCCGAGGAAAACTGGAGATTCAAAATATCAGCTCAGGCCGTGTAAACGAAATGCGTGATGGAGCTGCATACTTTCCCATCCCCATTCACCCATAACATTCACCCAGTGCAATCTACTCCGCACCGTCCTCTCAAACTCGATATTATCCAATGACGAGAGCGCAGACCCTCTCCTCTTCGAAGCCGCCGTGGAACAACTATCCCGTGGCTGGGTCGATCTGTCGAGATCACCAGACCCCGCTCGAACATGGAATCCCCGCGAAGTATTTTCACCCCCACGCAATGCAGATGATCCCTTGCTATCCCTGGAGAAAGAGCCATGCTTTGCGTTGTTCCAATTAACACCCTGCTGTTTTCTCTCGGCCTTCAGAGCATCTCGCCGAGACCAGACCTCTTGCAACACGTCGAGGCATCTGTCAACCCCACCAAGCATAAGTCGAGACTGAACAGTGTTCCACCGATCAAGAACCCATTTACGGTCATCTTCCATGTCGACCTCGGCCCCAGCGGCAAGGAGGGGGAACATTTGAATAATGATGGTTCGCGAGGTATATGGCACGGTTGCGAGAAGAATTAAAACACGCTTGGCAACTTCTTCCGCAGGCTCGGAAGGCATCTCTGGTACAGCCTGATGAAGGTACAGGAGGGTTGCCCAGCGATAGGCGTGCGCAACTTGAATACTGTGCTGGACCTCGGAAGTAGGATCCTCGGGCGGTTCGAACCAAATTGGTGGTTCCCACTGCTCGATGAGGCTCTTCAGTTCCATCGCCTGCGCGACAATGGAAACAGAGTTGGTCGAAGTTTTTCGCACGCGCTGGACTAGTCGAGCTACTCGACCGATCAAAGGAAAAAGCGTTGATGCGCAACCCATTAAGGGGTCAATCTCGTGAATTGCGTCGCCGGGGAGTTGGAAAATGGCTGGATTCAGATCTTGGGGACTGGATTCATCCAGTGAGGTAAGCCGCGCAATGACGTCCATGTATGTCCACGTATTGTACAAGAAACGAATACGGTCGAGCTCCTCGGGTTGAAGACCACCCTGGAGTCCTGCATTGAGAAGCTGCATCATCAGTGCCTTGGCACCTCGTAGATGCTGAATGCAAGTGCGTGTATTCTGATCCCAAGTATCTGCGAATGCAAGCGCGAGGCTAGTTGCCAAAGCAGTGTCAGCTCGCATGCTCTGGATTTGCTGTCTTAAACATGTGATGCTCTGGCGCATATGCTTGACACCTTGCACTCGTAGTGCTGGATTCTCCTTAGCATAGTGAAATGCCGATAGAGCAAACAGCGCATGATATAATGCAGGGGTGCTTTTAGCAAGTGGCCATATGAGGGTGCGCCAAGGATTCTCAGTTGCGCCATCCTTGATGGAAAGTATCCCGCAGGTCATTTTATCAAAACGCATGGCCAACATCTCCCGACTCTCAGGGGCCAGATTGGGCTGTTCTGGAATCCGGGAAAAGTCAAATGCGTCACCATCTTCCCCAGAGAAGCTCAGATTCCACGGGCCATTACTGGGGTCTGACTGCCGTATAATCTCTTCGATGTCGCCGTTTTCATCCTCAAGCAACTGGGAGAAACTAAGCCCCGGGCCATTGGGAGGTTGAAATTCCTGTGGGCCAAAGAATATTGAGCCAGAGTTGTCATCCAGGTCTTCTTGATCGGGCATCAAATCATCTGTGAATGGCACAGAATGTTGAAAAGGCTCGAGAAAGGACAAGAAGTTCAGAGGGTCGGAGTCGACAGGGACCGTCACGCCCAGGGGAGTGGTCGACTCGGCGCTGGTGGATGGCTCTTCCAGCAGTTTAAAGTCATCAAGAGAGTTGTCATCGATAGAGAGATAGCTTTTAAAACTATCAGGAGAGTTGTGAAAGGCGATTTCGGGAGGAGTTGCATTCGAGTTGGCCTGTAATAGTGTGGGCGGGGTCGATTCCTCTGTCCTTGGCGGTGTTGGAAAGTTCTCCGAGTTGGCAGGGAGCCGTGATTGAGGCTTCTGAGACGGTTGCGATGGTGTTGCTGTGGATAAGAAGTTAGCGGAAGAACTTGGAAGGGTATATGTGAACATAGCTCTGTGGAATAGCGCACCCTTTTTTGTCTTCGCGGGAGGCCGACCAACGGACAGGTTGGTCTCCTCAAACGGCCGCCATTTAAAATCCTTTTTGTATCCTCCACAGGTCACCTTACGGCGCTCGCACTGGTCGCATGACGGCTTTGTCTCGTCGCACTTCAGGCGCTTCGCCTTGCAGGTAATGCAACCTGGGCGAAGCGGATAGATGGGTCAGCATTCTATTCTGCGGATTGTCTAGCTAGCACTAGCACCCAGCAGGGCAGTCAACTGCTCCTGGCCGAGTCCGTCTGTTCACCAAACCAAATATCAACTGATCGTACCATTGCGACTCTTGGTCTGTTTGGGCTTTTGGGTCGACTGCTTCGCCTTTCGGGGCGAGGCAGGCTTCCCGGCCGGGGTGTCGGGCGAGTCTAAAATCGTGGACGGTGATGGGATTTTGATTGTTTCCATACCAAGGCGTTCAGATCAATATTTGGACCTCGCTGGATCGAGAGAAAATGATGAATGGGAAATATCCAGCTGCCAGTGGGTAGTCCAAGGTTGAAGGGAGATAAGAGCGGGGTGCATGACGCGAATGACACGAAGACGAAGATAGGACCGGGCCAGTCTCCGCCTATGCATTACCGTTCCTTTGCCTTCGGCGAGATAAGGCCCATGCGGGGACGCCGATCTTGGAGTCGCTGAGGGGTACGGAGTAGTCCATTTCAATTCCAACGATGCGTTGGCGAGGAGTTTATGTACCTCACGAATACCGCAGTGTTGGTTCAACCAGGCTGTAGAGGAGCATAATCCAATCTGAGTGTATTGAGGGTATCATTGATAGGCGGTAGGTATTCAGTAGCAGTGTGCATTCCGGATCGACGTGGCACTGGGTCTGATAGATGGAGGAACCTTGAACGATGGTTGGTGGTTGATAGTTGGTGTGGTTCATGCGGGGAAGGAAGTTCCAGGCACGAAGAGTACATCCATACGGTACGGTACAAACAGTAGGTACTGGTAATTACTGGTGGTTACTACCACACGGTATCTTATGTACCATACTCTATTGTATCGGGTCTGTAACTGCCGACCCGATCGCCGTTTCATGGTGGAATTAGGGCTGGTCCATCTGAAATCATTGAAATACGGCCAGCGTACAGTGAAACATTCATTGAATTTCTTCTAGAACTTCAAGTTGACCATACAACCTCCGCCTCAATAAGACATAATTTTTACGGTCAATACTCCCCGGGTACTAATACCTATACCCTAAGCTGAGCCGCCTCGAGTCCCTCTATCTCTAATATTACGCATGTTATAAGCACTTCGCCAATATCAATTCTGAGACTCTAACCCTGTAAAACCATATAGAACATGGGGTCAGGTGCACTCTTGATCAAGCTAACGGACCTACCGGCCGTGAACCGTGAACCGTGAACGCCGAATGTCTATCTCGTCAGCACTGGCCTATCACGATGATCGTGGGTTAGGACGGCTAGATCATGTATGGCCAGCATATCTTGCGACATATCCGATGCCCGCATCTAAATACAGTTTTCCCCGCATTCTTCAAAGTTGCGAGGCTGATCCGGGCGGGGGTTTGGCTCATCTCTGCCATTCCGTTCCAATATATCAGCTATTCATTGTCCGTAGACTCCCGTATAAAGACCATGATCATTCTTTTTCCCAAGTGAAGGTTTGTTTTCACTTTCAACCCTTGGAAGAAGTGCATCCCTGTCCATACTAGTATATATGGTACCGGCATGTTGGCTCCGAGTCCATTCCGTCACTTTTCGTGATGGCGGTCTGGCTGGACAAGCCCATGGAAACGGTCCGTCTTGTAGAAAGAGCTGGTCAAAAGAGCCGAACTTGAAATTAGTGGCCAGGCTCCTGCGATAATCATGGTAGGTTTGTGGATATTATACAATCCAGGTACCACCACTATTCGTGACTCGGACCATCATCTGTCTGTCCCCCCTGATGAAGGAAGACGATGACCTTGGCCTATCAGTGCCAGATGAATATTGCAAACACAGACTGTTATTCAGCAATTCTTATCGACAATGGACCTCCCGAGGTCAACCATCAATACAAATAAAATGTTGATCGAAGGCATCTGGAGCTTTATGAACTTTTCCGATCCACGCTAAGACGAACTTGTCTTCTGGATGCGAAACTCGAGATGGGAATTCTTTCCTTCCGAAAATGTTGGACCTCTCTATCGATTAGTATCCTATCAAAAAGGGCACAGAGTTCCTCTGGTTGGTGTACAACTTGAACTCAATACTATATCCACTAACCGTTTCGGGGAAAAGTATCCCGTGGGATCGAATTGACACTTCGCGGGCATTCAAGTTCAAGCGGCTACTAGTAATTCAATCTGGTCTGCTCCGTACCGCTTTGAATAATTTGAACTTGCATTGGATCCAGAATAGTTCCTTCAGAATGGCAGCTTGAAGCAAGCATAATTTAATTTGAATTCGCCTGACCAATCCGTCCCTGCTTACCCTCATCTCTATATCAGAGCTTATCTCCCTTTCCCCTCATTCAACCCCTCATCGCATCGCATCGCAATTCATTTCGCATCGCATCGCAGGGCCAGTGGGACTGGTAGATTCACCCCCGGCCTGCCTAAATGAGGCATGTAATCCAGCCTTCTACTCAGCTCACGACACAGCAACCAGGAAGCAACTGCCTCTACTCAGACCTCAGCGATGGCGAACATCCCCTCTTTCGGGAGGGGCTTGCGAGTTTACCTGGAGCAACATCATATAAATCAAGCAGCGGGCACGGGGCCAATTCTCTAAGAATAACAACCTGGAACAGTCACATTTACAAGATACAAAATGTCGGCATTCAAATACTACGCCAAGGCCCAGTCCACCTTCAAGCCGCCTCTCATCGCGAACGAGAATGCCTTCCTCGGCGATATTAGCACCAGGTAAGCGGAAGGGGATAGTGTACTACTTAGTATGCGTTATAGTGCTGAGCCATGCTCACACCACCTATAGCCAGAAGGAAAACCCCGACAAGCCCATGTCCGCGGGCTTCTACCGATTAGAGAAGGGGACCCCGTTGGTGTACACCTACACCTACGACGAGATGAAGATTATTCTGGAGGGCCAATTTGAAATTTCGGACGAGACGGGACAGAAAGTGACAGCCACACCGGGTGATGTGTTTTATTTCCCCAAGGGAGTGACGATCACTTTTACGACGGAGACGTATGGGTTAGCGTTCTTTGTGAGTTCGAGTCTTTGCTGATCTAGGGCTATGGGTGGAGTCGAGCGAGTTGAGTGCTAACCGATCTCATAGACGGGCCAGCGAGCTGAGGGGCAGGTTTAGATGGCCAATCAAGGCCGTGGATGGCATCGGTAACCTTGGTAGATAAAGTCGACAACAGAGTCGAAGGATCCTAGGATGTGAAGATCCTTGTGATTTGATATTTGTTCGGGGCTGTCCCAATCGGGTAGTTTGCTTACTTGCTATCATCCACGGATCCATGGAACTATACGAGATACAATAACATAACAATATACAGTACAATGGCACCCTTGCACTAGATCGAAACAATGGGATTATCTCAATAATTGGATACTCGTACCTAGGTACATGTACTACTGATCCTCGGAGTACAAACAGGGTCATCTCCAGTCATCTCCGAATCCCCTCAACCATGGCAAACGCCTATCCACCCGACCCCTCCACTAGATCAGGAACAGGATATGACCTGCAGCGCTTACCTCCGAGTCCACAGGGGTGGATCAGGTTCAGCTCGCCTCGATAAACTCAACTTCCTGGCTGCACAGCCTTAGGATGACGTGGGGGGTTAGAGTTAGTTGCTGAGGCAACAGACAGACAGGGGAGGGAAGTGGGTGTAGGAGTGGATGTGGATGGAGCTGAATCGAGCTGAAGCAAGATCCGATCGAGTGGAGCTGGTCCGATCCTGTTCTGTGGGATAAATGAAGACAGCGATGGTAACTAGTGGAGTGTGTGTAAGAATAGTGAAGTGAAGTGGTGGTCAAGCGTAAACTCCGCCCAAGTCCTGCCTGATCAAGGGGCTCCCCTCCTTCCTTCAACTTTCGACACTTCACTCTCCTCTCCACTTCACTCTTCACTCTTCACTTCTCAGCCTTTACTTCTCACCTCGTCCCACTCATCCTCACTCACCCTCCTAACATGGCTATCGATGTCGACGGTGGTCTCCGACTGCCCAATCCCCCGCCTCTCCTACACACTCGCTCCGGCAATGAATCCTTCGATCGCCCCTCCACCCCCGCCGGCAGTGGCTACATCAGTCCAACACAAACCCCCCAGGGAAGCCCTAGCAAATCGCGGGCACCCCCGGGTGCTCTTGATTTGCCCAATGTATTCGACAAGGCCTTGAAATTGACTCCGACCTCTCCCTCCAAACCCACCCATAACCACTTCAATCATCCCATGTTTACCGATCGTGAACGCGAACGCCCGGACGACTTCAACGAGAGTGTCATCCACCAACGTCCTACGAGCCCGACCCGTCGCGCGAACAAGGAAAATACCCCTCCGACCACCCGCCTACAAAAAGAATTGGGATCAAACCCGACCCCCGCAGCCATATCCCGACATGAGCCTTATCAACAACAACGGGATGACACGACCAAGCGCCAGGTTCAGTTGCGCGGGCTGACCCCGGAGGAGATGGAGAAGCTGAATCAACCCAAGGTTAAGCGCTTGGCAAATGTCACCCAACTATGTACGTTGCACGAAAGATCGCCCTCTTGACCACAACCAGAACTGTCTACGGATACTAACCCCCGCAGACTTCCTCGATCACTACTTCGATCTCCTCAGTTACGTCCACAACCGCCAAACCCGCCATACCCAATTCAAAGCTGCCTACCCTGAACCCCCCCACTACTCCCAACGATGAATACGAACCCGCCCTTTTGAAATACCTGGGTCGCGAGCGCGCACATCTTCGCAAGCGTCGCACCCGTCTGCGCCAAGGCGATTTCCAGATCCTGACGCAGGTCGGCCAGGGTGGTTATGGCCAGGTATACTTGGCGCAGAAGAAGGACACGCGCGAGGTGTGTGCCTTAAAGGTGATGAGCAAGAAACTCCTATTCAAATTAGACGAAATCCGACACATTCTCACCGAGCGCGACATTCTGACCGCAGCAAAGAGTGAATGGCTTGTCAAGCTCTTGTACGCCTTTCAAGATGACACCCAAATCTACCTGGCGATGGAATATGTTCCAGGTGGTGATTTCCGCACTCTGCTCAACAACACCGGCGTTCTCCATAACCGACATGCGCGCTTCTACATCGCCGAGATGTTCAGTTGTATCGATGCGCTCCACATTTTGGGTTATATTCACCGTGATCTGAAGCCAGAGAACTTCCTGATCGATTCGACCGGTCATGTCAAATTGACCGATTTCGGTCTGGCAGCTGGCATGTTGAGTCCCGGAAAGATTGAGTCGATGCGCGTGAAGCTAGAAGAAGTGGGCAATACCTCTGTCCCGTTCGGCCGACCCATGGAACAGCGAACTATGGCGGAGCGCCGCCAGGGGTACCGCACCCTGCGCGAGCGCGAAGTCAACTATGCCAAGTCTATCGTTGGTTCGCCCGATTACATGGCGCCGGAGGTGCTCAAGGGCGAGCAATACGATTTCACTGTTGACTATTGGAGTCTGGGCTGTATGTTGTTCGAGGCGCTTGCCGGGTATCCTCCATTCGCAGGTGCGACCGTCGACGAAACATGGCAAAACCTTAAGCGTTGGCAAAAGGTCCTCCGCAAGCCAGTATACGAGGATCCGAACTATTTCCTCTCCCGCCGGACGTGGGATCTTATCACCAAATTGGTCGCAGGCAAGGAGCAACGGTTCAAGAATATCAACGAGATTCACGCCCACGACTACTTCAGTGAGGTCGACTTCGACCGGCTGCGCGAGCAGCGAGCACCATTCGTACCAGAGTTGGACTCGGAGACAGATGCAGGCTACTTTGACGATTTCAGTAACGAGGCAGACATGGCCAAGTATAAGGAGGTCCATGATAAGCAGCGTGCGCTCGAGGACATGGCCGACCGTGATGATAAGATGAATAAGCAATTATTTGTCGGATTTACCTTCCGGTATGTTTTGTTTACCCCCAGGTCCAATTTGCTGGGCATTTAAGAGTCATTCACTAACAAATACATTCTATCCAGTCACCGCAAACCCGCCGTCGACAGCACTGGTGGTGGTCGCAATTCACCACGCAAACCGATCGCGACGGATGGCAGCTTCGGAACTATCTTCTAGTAGCCGACTCAGTCAGGCTTGTTTACTTTTAAGCCCCCTTCTGTTTCTTCTCATCTGATTCAAGCTGGCTTGGTCGATGCGTATGTGTTTAATGGCGCTTTTTACTTCTTTTCTCCTTGCATTGCCATTTATTTATCCTCCTGCGGCGGCACTGGACTCCACTGCGCTGCATTGTATTGTATTGTACTGTACCCGCAGAAGCAATGTGAAGATGAAGTCTACTATTCTACTCTACTCTATTTCTCAAGTCGGTCGCGGTCGCGGGGTCTATGATGAAGTTTAACATTGAGTGTATGATACATACATAAGCATAAATGGTCTCAGTTACAGTAATCCTTCACAAAACACATAAGCAGTAGCCCATATCGAGGTGAGCTCAACGATGCTCGAATTGCATTGCACGCACCACATTGAATCCGACCTTCAATTCAATCGATCCACTCGGGCGCTATGACAATCCGGCCGGGGTCACTCTCTAGCCACAGCATCTAGCTACAGCACTCGCATGAAGAAATCCACCTAGTTATCAGGAAGTTGTTTAACCATCTTCAAGATAGCAGACTCCTGGTCGCCAATAACAGCACGACCGTTAGTCCAATCAACAGTGACAGGCTTAACGAAGCTCCCAGATGGATCCTCCTTGAACTTCTTCAATGCTTCATCAGCAGTCTTCGCACCGCGAATCAATTCGGAAACAGCGTAGGTCTCCTTGTTACCCAGACCGCCAGTGCCACTGGTCGGCGAGATGTAATCCAGGATCGAGCGCAGCTGATCGGTCGTTGGGTTGTCGGTTGTGACTTCCAACTCGAATTGGCCGCGTTGTTGCTTTGAGTGGGTGCTGTGGTCGCTGGCCTGATCTTCGGTTGCGGAGGAGGATGCAGCGGCTGAGGCTTGCTTGAGGATGTTTAGGGTTCGGGTTGAGGGGGCGAGGTTTGGGTTGTGGAAGAGGGTGATGGGGTCGAGGGTTTTGCTCTGGTGGCTGGTTAGCGTTGTTGGCGGGTGTGATGGAAGGGGGACTTACAAAGCGAAACATTTTGATGGTTGGAGGGGATTTGTAAGTAAAGGGGAGAGTTCAAGTTGTAAATTGGAGGTGATTTGAGGAGATGAGGAGAGTAGAGCAGAGGGGGAAGAGGTGAAGTCGGAGCTGGAGTCGGGACAGCTTGGGATGATGTCATGTGCCGGGATCCCGTTTGGGTTAGTCACATGAACAATACAAGTTTGAAGTTGAATTGTCGAGTCATAAGATACTACAAGTAATTACTGTGGGTACTCTTGTTTGCTTGGCTGGGATTGAGTTTTGGCATTTTGGAATCCAATAGAAGGGCTTTGATTATGAGCATCTGCTATGGTCAAGTCACATACCCACGCTGCAGTATCCATGCCCAAGTTGGTATAGTTGACTCCAGCATTGGACCAAATATATTATTATGATTGCGGGGGCGATATTAGAGAACAAGATAATAAAGTTATAATAAATTAAAATGCAGAAATTAATTAACTGGAAAGCATACACTATTACTAGTAGTACCACTATAGAAGTTGTGACTGAACAACTTCAAATCAGGACAGAAAGTTTTCGACATCCTCTCCAAAAATCTATTTTGGACTACTTCTTGTTGCCTGAGCGCTGCTCATAATTCGCAACAGCAAGACCAGTTAGTACGATCAAATCCCGTAGGCCACCTGCTTCAAGCCCCTGCCCTTGTGGCAAGGTATCCAAGAAAATAAACCCATCTTCATTCATAACCGCAACAGTGGGATTTTTCCGGATATCCCTCTTTGGACTCAGGCTCGCAGAACTGCGCGCGGTCCCCAAGCTCACCCGACAAACATGTGTATTCTTGTTCGTTGAAAATGGCAGTTTCGGCTTTGTCTCTCCTTCCCGCCAGATCCAACCGTGGTGACGATACCACGAGATACTAGTCGTACGGGTTTTATTCAAGTCTCTAGACCCCTCGAACTTCGACGACACATTTTTCCACTCCCGGGAAAACTGGAAATATTCTTGGAACTCTTCGGTGAATCGCCAGCGTTCGCCGTTGGCTAACCTGATACAGCCCCGATACTGGAAACAACATTTGCAGCAGAGCATTGGGGGAAGATCTACATCGACATTGCCTATGATTTTCTCCGAGCTGAAAGATAAGGCCGCGTTATCTTCCTTTCCCAAGGATACCGTGTCTTCTTCTTCTTCTTCTTCCCATCTCGTGACTATCAAGTCATTTCGAGTCAACTTGGATGGGGTAGTGTCTGGTTGCGGGAGACTGATTCCGAAAAAGGCGGGGCTCCAGACGTTGTACATTGGGAAATTTCCTTCGTCTTTCCAGGTGTCTGTTTGGGTTATCTGGGATTGCAGACTCGGCTCTGATGTGAAGAGAGAAGCGATGGTCTGGCTGAAGGTCCGAGGCTCGGGCCAGATGTGAAGCATTTCTAAGGCTTTGGGTTGTGATGACTCTACTACCTTAGAGACCACGTTGGCGCTATGCAAGTAAGATGTTATCAGCGGTTGCCTGAGATGGCTGGGGGCGATCTTACTCGGGAGTGGTATCTCTCTTTTCCAAAGTCTCCATCTTGTAGTCGACGACGGCCTGGCGGGAATATGGCTAGGTCTTATATTGTCTAGTGCTGAGGCCGGTGCGCGTAGGCCTCAGACAACTCTAGGCGGCAGCCATGTTCACCTCTGCGGCCACGCCCCATCAGCATTGTATACCTAAACAAAAAATCTAACATCACGAGTCGTCCGAGAGAGCTTTGGTGGCAACTACCTAGACTCGCCGAGAGCGCAGGAAAACCCTGACGTACCCGGTGCTGAAAGGGACGGCAATTCCCAACCTCAATCAGATTCCATGGACTCGACCATTGAAATATCATGAGCACCGGCGTCTAATAGCCTCTGCACGATCATGGTTTGTCCTGTTCTTTTCGCGGCTTGTAAAGCATTGCCATATCGACCACCTTGGGCATTGACATCAGCATGGGCATCGAGGAGTATTTGGACTATTTCGATATCTCCATAAAATGAAGCAATTTGTAGAGCACTGGCGTATGTGACACATTGGGAATTGACATCTGCATGAGCGTCAAGTAGTAATTCAACTACTTTGATATCTCCATCGAAAGCGGAAGCTTGTAGAGCATTGCCATATTTACCACCTTGGGCATTGATATTGGCAGAGGCATCTAGGAGTAGCTGGACCACTTTGATATTTCCCTGCCCTGCAGCAGCTTGTAAAGCATTGCCATATCGGCCACCTTGGGCATTGACATCGGCCCCGACATCTAGTAGTAGTTGAACTACTTTGATTCTTCCGTACCTTGCAGCAGCTTGCAGAGCATTGCCATATTTACCACTTTGGGCATTGACATTGGCAGAGGCATCTAGGAGTAGCTGGACCACTTTGATATTTCCCTGCCCTGCAGCAGCTTGTAGAGCGTTGCCAAATTTGCCGCCTTGGGAATTGACATCGGCCCCAGCATCTAGTAGTAGTTGAACTGCTTCAATATTTCCACAATAAGTAGCAGCTTGTAGAGCGTTGCCATAAAGCCCACCTTGAGCATTGACATCTGCTCCCGCTTCGAGTAACATTGCCACCACCGCATGATGAGCATTTTCTGAAGCCGCCTGCAGCGCGTTTCCCTCATCGTGCGCCGCCTGGTCGATATCTACTCCCCCGTTTAGGAGCCATTCGACAAATTCCAGATTTCCATTTTCGGCCGCCTCAATCAATGGCGTTTTTCCAGATTTTGTGTTTTCTGCCCCACAGTCTGCTCCATTCTGTCGCAGGATCTTTGCCACTGCTATATGACCACGTCGAGCTGCGAAATGAAACGCTGTATTTCCGTCGAGGTCTTCGGACCTCAAATCCTCGCTATTTGAGGCCAGCCATTCTATGACATCGACTAGGTTGTATAATGCAGCCACGTGTGAGAGTTTGGTGCCGAGCGGTGGGAATGTGTCTTGGGATGTGACCTCTTCGCCAAAGCATCGATGGATGCTGAGCCATCGGTCGAACAGCCGCTGAAGGGTATCAATTTCATTTTGAAGCACCTCAATTCGAGAGTCGGCACTTTTTTCCGCATGAATGAAGAGGTTCTTGGTGGCGTATGGAAGAAACGGGTAGCTCTGAATCAATTTATTTTTCGTCAACTTTCGAGGCGTGTTTGCTGTGGCTAAGTAGACCAGACAAGACCTATAAAGAGTTGCTTGGAATTGTGAGAAAGGTGCCGTGTCCCATTCAAGTGATGAACTCTTGTCGGCTGACAGACGTAAAAGCTCCAATCCTTTGGTGGATAGAAAATCATAACCGACTGGTGGACCACTTGAACTAACTCCAAATTCCCTTCAAATCCCCAGGGTGAGTCCTTAAATTCCAGCTCACCAGGTACTACTTCGACCAGGCCGCCAGAAAGAGCTTTGATTTTTCGCTTCATGCGTTTGTCGCTGTCGACAAATCCTTCAATATTCTCCCATGTTTTTGTTGGGGGGGGATATTTTGGCATTTTCCGCTACCAAGGCATAGCGAATTTCAGTCAATGTCAAAGACCGCTCAGCAAAGCACAGCCATTGAAATAACAGGAACGACTGTCCACGATTCCTCTCATCTATCACACTGTTCAATATGTATGTATATACTTCCTCTAGATCAGCCGGGACCTCATTTAACCAGGAACTGACATCATCCAACGAATTTCCGTCAAGAACTCGCTGTTGAAGAAGAGGAACCATGATATGAGCCCATTGGAAGACGCCATTTGCTCGTTCAGTCAGCTGCTTCATAAGTTCACCCTTCAAATCTGGAGTGATATCTTCCTCTTCTTCCATATCAGCAAGAACATCGTCGATGTATGTCGCGATATCCCCCCCGATTATGATCTTCGACGCAGATTTCTACAGTCTGGGGGCTTGCTATGATAGGATAATGTCGGCATGATATGCAGATCTGAACGGGTACGTTCTCCTTTCTAGCACGAGTACTAAGTCGATGGAAATATGCTGCCAGCTGCTGGGCGGACTCAGCCCCTGTCTCGTCCAGAGCATCCACAAAGACTCTCACTTGCTGCTGACTTGCCGATGTGAGAATAGCACCCGTCAGTAGCTCTTCCAGTGTTTTCTGTGGCCATTTGTGTTCATCGTTATGCCCAAACAGCCGACATCGTTTTTCATAAGCCTCGCGGACGGCACAGCGCACAGTGTCGTCTGAGGCATATATCTGGTTGAGCAAAGACCTGAACATACCAAGCGGCGCTCTCTGTAGCTCAGAACCTCGAGCTGTAAAGAAAAAATCGAGTTGAATACCCCCACGTCGATCATTTCCCCGACATTTCTCGAGTTTGTCGTAGAGAAATGCCATCAAGGTCGATTTGCCTGCACCCGGCTTTCCTTTGACCCAAAGTAAGCCATGACAACTACTCATCCAGGTCTTGTAGTCTTCCATTTCCAGGATCCATTCGCAGGTGTTGGCATGACATCGCTCAATGTTGTCCCTCCGATCTAACATTTGAGGAAATGCCAGGGATTTGAGAACCACTATAAGGATAGTCAGTGGCAGTCTCTCTTAATCGTAAGGGGCTATACATACCATTGTCTTTATCTTGCTGTGGAGCTTCTGATTGGCCTAGTCAAAGACCAAAAAGCCAACTGTCAACCAATAAGGTGCGGTCGAGAAGGGCCTTTCTGAGACGTACCAGGAGAGTTGAAGTTAATGGTACCGCCGTGGTTACTCCCCAGTTGCAGAGAGGAAAGAGCATTTCCAAAAGACATTGAGGTGGAATCCATCGTTGATGAACGGCTTATCCGGCGATACTGTCATGGGGAGAGTAAAGGCCTTAGTCCCCACACGGTGCTAATACGATTCTCAGCTCTCAACCCCGCCATCAGGTGATCGCCAGCCGCTACTTACTTTGACACCAAATGATTCTTTGTTTTGAGAACAGCGAGTCTCATGAGGTAATTATGCATTTTTAACTCAGGGCAAGCCTTGTGTTAAGGAAGCATATTACGCGTACCTTCTTCAATGCGCTTTCTGTCCGCTGGTACTCGGGGACGGCACAAAACGCGATCTATAACCCAAAGAAATTAGAAGACTATATCATATCCAAACCTCCAGAACAAGAGATAGCTAGGTCATAGTTGTTTCCTTCCTTCTTTTTAGTTGTGGTGATGGTAATTAAAGTTGAGGATTGAAGGGGCAATGCAAGTGGTTTCATATTTTAATTACCTGGTCATGCTTACTTGGAGTTACGACGGTCTACCTAACCACAGAAGATAATAATTACCCTAATATTTTCACGGAGCAAAAGCCGACTGGCATACTAAACGTAATTAACCTGTGAACATCTACTCCCATCACAGTGAAACACAGGAGCAGAACTCTAAAGGTTAAAATGGAGGTTGTTTGTTTTAGAGTTAAAGTAATGGGTCTGAAACATCACAACCCTTTGGCGAAAGCTTAATGTATAATATTGCAAGAAGGGGATCCGAGTCAGTAAAAGAGCGTAGGCTTCCAAGGTTGAGCTATGAGTGTTTACAACCAGTTTTATTTCGACCAAACTGAATCACTCACTATTCGGCATCGCAACTCCTAGGGTTTTCGGCTTGTAAGGCAGCTTCATTCACAGAAAAATAAAACCAATAAGACAAACAAAATAGAAATTTGTTGATTAAAGAAAGAAAAGTAAATACTCTCTATGACAACCCTAAAAACAAAAATATCAAGAACTGTAGGTATAGAACCTTCCTTATCTTCAGCCCATCTCCACCCATTTTGACAGGCAACACCCAGTAACATCGATAATAAACCGAGCAATTCACCCATTTATCCCCCAACGGCCGACTCAGAGAAAAGCGCTTAAACAATCACACGATTGGATTTCCCCACCTCGTGCCGGATCGCCCCTGTGTGCGACATTTCGAGGGCCGGCGCTTAGAGACACGGGAGAACATGTTCGTTTCGCCACCCGATCCCACGTTCATGCATGCGTTGAACCCTGAAAAACAAAGGTGTAGTGACATAAATAGACCCCCATCTTCAACTCCCATAGATGATGTTTTTTTTCGCGCCGTACTGTTTCAAATACTTTGGTACTGTTTTAGCTGCAATGCTCTTGATTGGGGGTACCGGCGATTTGAAGGTGGGGGGGAGCCGCTTCGGCGCATCTTGACAGTCACGGCGCTAAAGTGAGGTCTCCATCGCGGTATACTTGAACGGATCTTTCCTTTCTATTTTGAAGATGCACTTTTCTATTTTCTAACTTTCATCCACTTTCTTTACCTTTGAATTCTCCTTGTCTTCTTCTCCTTCCCTTCGAGTTGCTCTATATACACCCGGGCACATACATTTTCATTCGTTCATACCGACTTGTTGTTGAAGCTTTGAGCATGGCGTTGCATTTCAGATCTACCGACAATGATTACAGTCAAGTCTTCATCATCTTGAGGGATTGGCTTCAAGCTGATTCCCCTGCGCCTTCTGGAGAAATCGCAAACAAGATTGATGCTTACCATGCCAAGTCCTTCGAGGAAGAGAAGCAACTTCCGAAAGAAGAGAAGGAAGGCGTGGAGCTGGATCCGGATGGGTGCTATGGGCCATTGTGGGAAATATGGATAGCTTTCATTGTGATTGTGGAACAGGTTCCACACAATCATGCTGCCCAAGACAAGCTGGTTGATGTTATAAAAGGACTGAAGGACTTGGCGGGTCGCAAGGTCGAGCTTGAAGGGGTATGTATGAGGCCGAACCAAACCAAACAAGAAAGCAACCGAGTATAGGCGAATCCAAGTCAGCTAACCGATTCTTTGATCTCATCTCCAGGCCGATTTAGATGTTTGGAAAGCACTGCCTATATTCCATAGCTGCATACGCGATTACTATCAACGTACGTCTATGGCCACTCGATTCAAATTCCATTAATATTCCTCTGCATTATATTCTCAAAATACTAATTTTGTTACACATTCAGCACATCTAAATACGGAAAAGCCCGTGTCACCCGAAGAGGCTCAAAAGTGGCGCAACGTAACATCATTCGTGGCACGCTGTTGGCAAATTGGATTTTTCAACGCGTCTCGTCAGGCGTTATACTTACTGCGCGCCACACTCGAGCAGCCAGTCAAGGACACATCGGCCTTGGAGCAAGTCCTTCCCATAGCATCAGAATGGATTGTACATAGCCGTGCTGCGCTTCACGAAAGTGTCCAGTCAGGAGACAGCGGGGAGGAAATCCAAAGGCAGAGTGCTGGTACACTCTACCAGGGGCCAAATAAGCTCTGTATCGAGAGATGGGGGTTCTGGCAAGGTCGGTTTGAAGGGGTTGCTGGCCAACTTCAGAAAGATATCAAGGAACTAGCCTTGCAGTGTGCATCGGAGATGGGGAGCATTTCTAACTAGGAGTTTTTGTTTTGTATTTTGCATCTTGGTACTTTGTCTTCGCCATGTCATTTAGCTAGTGCTTGTGAATGAATCCGAAATCGATAAAATCTTACCTATCAGGAGGGCTGCAAGCAGGTCAAAGAACAGTGGATCATGCATGCCGTAGTATCTTCCCACACATCCCCGACTATTAAAACTCTAGCATGCAACTTGGAGCATACTAGCAAATCGGGTACTGACCGAAGATTCAAATGCAAACTACGAATAAATAAATACGATAGGTATTATCAATGCAAACAAATGCTTCATATCACAAAGCGGCAAAGCCGCGCTCCCAATAGATCAGGTCCGAGAACCCGAGTGGTCTAGTAATACATCCAGCGTCAAAAGGTTAATCACGCAGAACCGTCTTCCTTTACTCTTCCTCCTCCGACTCATACGTGAACTCGTCTGGAACCGGCGCATCCTCGACGCCCTCCTCATCCTCATCCACAGCGGTCAGAACACCGGCAGCGGCAGAGGCACCACCAGCGCCGGTCAAACCGGCCAGGGCTGCGCGCGCGTCGGCCCGTTGAGGGGTCTGGAGAGCTGCAGTTCCGATAGCCGCTTGCAGGCGGTCTTGGAGTGTTTCCGTTGGGTGAGCCGGTTGGCGGGTCTCCTTGCTGGCCTTGAGTTCGACAACTTCGCGGGGTTCGTCGGGTTGCTTATCGAGAACGACGACAACGCCACCGGTGGGCTAAAGGAAATGAATTAGTAAATATGATTCGCATGATGGGACGTTATTGAAGCTTACCCTCTTGACCGGCTCGTACCGCGGGTCGGGGAATGTGAGGTACTTGAGTTGGGCTGGTAGTACGCGGGACATGTTGTCCAGCTCATAGCCAACCTTCTCCCGCTCCAACTTCTTCTTCTGCCCTTCACCAGCACCCTTCTCTTCCTCCTTGCCTTCATCTCCTTCGGCCTTGGGTGCCTCATCAGTCTCCATCTTCTCTGGTAGTTGGTCGGAAACCTTGGGAGTGGTTGGCGTTTGGTCGATGTCCATGCTCTCACGGCGGGCTTGCTTCTCTCGTCTTTGAGCACGGCGCTTGGCTTGAGCTGTTGTTGAAAGTACTGCGGTCTTGACCTTCTCCGGCGTCTCCTCTGTCTTCACTTGCTGCTCAGGTGGGTAGTCAAACAGGCTGGGGCGTGTGTTGCTGTGGAACTTGAACTCCGGAACCTCCAGCTTCTGGTCCACACCAATCACAGATGTGGGCGCAAAGCTGAGGGAAAGGAAGTGAGTGAGAGGGAACCAGTACCAGTACTGGACGAAGACGGCAGCACCAACGATACCGGGCATGTTCAAGTTGCCGGTCTGAGTCTGCAGGCTGATGGTGCAGTTGCGACCACCGGCATCGATGATACCCAGAGCGACGGCACAGCCGAACTTGGCCATGGCATCCTCGTGACGGTCACCAAGCATCTTCATCATGGCCTTGCGCAGGCTAGTCACACGGGGGTTCATCGCCTCATTCTGCTGGGCAAGAACCATGGCCAGGGCGATCAAAGCACCCTGCCGAACAAAGTCTGTTGAGTCCTTGAGCATAGGCTCCAGGAGATCAATAGCCTCGTCCAGACCAGTTCCGGCGCAGGAGATACCCAGGGCCATGGCGGCACCGTAACGGACGTGAGGGTTGTAGGATTCCGACAGCAACTCCACCATGCGAGGAACGCTCTGGTGCTTGCGGAACAGAATGAAACCCAAACTAAGAACAGCAATGCGGCGAACATCATCGTTGACATCACTAACGGCAACGTGAAGAAGTTTGCGGACCGCCTTGTTGCTGCCACTGCCACAGTAGGCTAGGGCAATAGCCATGATACCACCGTAGCGGAGAGTTGGGTCAGGATCACCGAGGAGACCGTTGATCAGCTCATCGGCAGCCTCCTGGCGTCCGTACATGATCAAGGCCATACCCATAGCCAGACCCCGCACAATCTTCTCGTGCTGAGTGTCGTGGGCGTACTGGATCATGTCTTCCAGCGCCTTCATGTTGCCAGTGCCCAACATGACAAGACCCATTGAAAGACCGACGGCCTCACCGTTCAGAGCAGAATCCGTGTACAGAACGTTGCGGAGATCTTCGTAGATACCCTCGTCACCGGTGGCCATACCAGCAACACCCAGACCCAAAGCTCCACCATGCTGAACGACCTCTTCGGTAGCCTTCTTGAAGTGGTCGCGGATAAGATCGACCGCCATGCCACCGTGGTTGGCGTAGATCAGACCGAAGGCGTACAAAGAACCACCCTGGCTGTAAACTGAGCCTGAGCCTCCTCCAACACCAGCGATTTGCTCTCGAGGAAGATAGGGCTGCAAAAGCTTCTGGCCCTGGCTCAAGTTGCCACGGTGAATGACACCCAGAGCAGCAGTCGCTGTGAATTTGGACCAGTTGACAGCCTTGCCAAGCCACTCCAGGTTGTCACGGAAGAACTTGTCGTGAGTGGTTCCGGCATGCATGAAAGCGTTGGACAGAGTGACGGCCGTATGGAAAATAGAATTGCGAGCCTCCAGGCTGTCACGAATCTTATTCAAAATTGAAATGTCGGCCTTGTTGTTTCGGTAAAGGAACTCCAAGTTCAACTGAATGGTCTTTTTACCATCCAAGATAGCGAGAATACTCTTGAAGGCGGTTTGAGCATCGTCCAAGTCATCTCCCTGGCCACCTGACGGCCGAGACGAGCTGTCTTGGTCTTCGAGCAACGCATCGGACTCCTTGGGCTCTTCTTCCTCAGTCTTATCCTCGGTTTCGTCCTCGGGCACGAGCTCGGAGATCTCCTGACGGACCTTTTGAAGGAACTCTTGAGTGCTGTTGTCGTAGAGATCGAAGGAAATTTGGTAGGCCACAGCCAGAGATCGTGCGTCGCCCTTCTCGACAAGTTGGCGAAGAATGACGGAGGCCATCGAATGTTCGTTCAGGTAGACAACACATTTAGCAATCGAGAAGTAGTCAGGGGCCGGAATTTCGTTAAGGAGTTCGAGAATGAGTTTCAGAATCTGAAAAGTAGCTTGTCAGCGAATGCGAGTCAAAATATTACCTTGCATGCAGACGTACCTCGCTGCGGAATTCCCGTTCCTGGACAATTCCCATGCAGATATCCAAAACGTATTCCATCAGCTCCTCACTTCGGCGAGATTCACCTTGCTGCTTCTTCTCATCAGCGCTGGCTCGGAGGATGGCCATGCGAAGCACGTCCAAGCTCTTTGCCTCAATGGCGATACCAATAACTTGGCGATAGCGCTTTTGGCGGAAGCACTCCTCGAACAATCGCTCGATAACAGTCTGAAGTTGACCCTGAACACCACGCTTCAGAACCAGAGAGGTCTCCTCATGTTGAACGCTTGTGTCATCGCCACCGGGGTGTGCCGCGTCAATTCCGGGGACCTCCTGGCGTGAAAGAAGGGACTTGGAAGGCAGGGCGGATTTGGAGAATGGTGTGATGGGGGAGGTGAGGCTTGCGGATGTGCTGGTAGCGCCATCGCCGGACGCGGGAAACTGGGTGTTGAGGTTGGCGGCTTGGTCACCACCGCTAGGTCGTTGGGCGGCTGAGAGAGAGATGAAAGTATCGACGCATTTGGCTGTAGTGGGACGCAGAGTGTCAGTTGATGCGAGCAGATGGATATGAATCTGATGGAAAGTCTGCCAACGTACCGATAATTGTCTCCTCGTACTCGCCGCCGCTGTCGAGCTGGAACAGCTTTCCTGCACCGAGGGCGAGGACCATACTCTCATTATATTCCTGCAGATGATAATATACCTTGGAGGCAACCAAAGCTGCTAGTCCGCGTTCGGGGAATGATTCATCTTCGTAAAGGGCCTCACTGGATGGACTGCATCAGCGGTGCCCGACGGAATGGACATAAGAGTAGACGGCCGGTAAAGACGCGCCTGCATCGGCAAAACGATACTAAGCTCTGATGGAAGAGCGAAAGGGACTGACTTACATCTCAGGAACGGCATTCACAACCTCTGTCCATAACAGATCGATCTGAGAATCTAATGACTTCAAGGCGAAGACCTTGAGCTCTGGGTCGGGCTCCGAAAGAAAGCCGACGAGACCGGCGGCCGAAACGAGTCCGACCATCTTTATTGTGATAGACGACGTGCGTCAAGTAGATTGATGGGAAGCTGTCGAGCTTGATTGGCGATGTTGTTGGCGTGACGAAGCAACGTCAACGGGAAGGGAGCTTGGGGAACGAGCGAGCCCCGAGCAACGGCGAGTTTGGATGGGGGGGGAATCAAAAATCCCAGAGAATCGAAAGATAAGAGGTACAAACGCGAATTAGAAGAAGGCGAGACGAGATGGAAAGGACGGAGTGATAATGGGGGAGCTGGAAGCGGACAGAAGCTTCGCAGGCGCGAGTGAGTCCAACGTCAGGAGCTGACTAGCTGACTACATGGGTCACGTGTAATGACGCTCCCGTTCTCCCGTTCTCCCGTCAGCTGCAGGAGTCCCGAGACCCCTTCTGCCTCCTGCAGATTATGCGCTTTGATCATGGCCGATTTCTGTTAAATAGGGGTTCTTGCTTTCCAGGAACCAAGCAAGGGCTGCCACTTCACCATTTCCACCCATAATGTCCACTTTGATGCCGTTTCGCGACAAACGCCTACCACCAATGCCAGCAACAGCTACAGCTTCGATGTACCACCACAACCCCCTTCTCTATGTCGACCGCCAGTCTAAACACATTCAGCGGAATCTGCAAACTTTGATTGATGCGCAAAGTGAAGGTCTGTTGGCTGGTTTGGCTCAACAGCAACCAGATGACACGTCTGATGGAAGCTTCACTCCTACCTCTTCGAGAGTCGGTCGGTCTCGGTCACCCTCCACTATACCGGCTAGACAGCCGGTGCCCAAGAAGATCGGACTCAAGGCTGCTCGACAAGGTATTTTCCAGTCCATCTATGACCTTCTAAAGCTACGAGAAGAGGAGCGGGAGATCCTGTCGTCTCAGACAGACGAGAGAGATAATGCCCTTCATGAAATCCAGGGATTCACCACACGAAGGAGTGGATTGGAAGAATCTATCTCCAACATTCATAACAATCGAGACAATCACCGAGCTAAACACCTACAAGAAGAGGCCCGAACCCTCGAAACTGACATTCATGAACTGGAAACCAGACTGTATGAGATGAAGGCTCGACATCGGCATATCGTCGGCCAGATTTCCCACATTGAGAATTCCGTCGAGGCTAAGCTATCATCCTATACCGAATCCCTATCTATCCTCCAGAAAGACGTCCAAACTTATCTCCGCGACCCTCCCATCCAACCTCTCTCGCAGCGCAAAAATGGCCAAACTACATTCTACACTCTGAACCCCAAACGTCGGACTCTTGAGATGGCTCAAGAGCACTGGAAGTCGGAGCAAGAGAACATCCGTGGGAGACAGGATGAGGTATATGCGGAGATTATGGCTCTAGAGGAAGGCGGCGGGGTCTGGAAACAGGCCATCGCTGATATCTCCAGTTTTGAGAAACATCTCAGAGCCAGCATGCGACAATATATACAACTGGATACCGGTTCCCATGATGGAAGCACTACGGAGTCCAAAGCAGAAGTTGCTGCAGGTGTGGTCAGCGATTTGGATAAGGTCACCCAGGCGCTCGAGGCTCACTTAGAACTCTCCGAAAGCAAAGATTGGAAATTACTTGTCTGTTGCCTTTCAGCAGAGTTGGAGGCTCTCCGATCAGCGCACAAACTACTTCTTCCAGCTTTTGGCCTGTCTGTTCCCGAGGAGAGAGGCAAGCAGGCTTTGTCACCATCTCCAGATGCAGAATCGGCTAGCAAGTCTGTAGATACGCAAGAGGAGACCTCGGAGTATGAGAATGACCTTGAGCCCCCCGATGATCTCCTGAAAGATGCCGATGCCAACCATACGGATGCCGCATCACGGTCTGAAGATGATGAACCCGATCCAGCTTGGCTACTCCCGGAGTCTTGATGCTCTTGGTCCTAATTTAGTATTCATAGACCATAGAACCATTTAGCGAGGAGATACTCTGTAACCAAGATTTATATATTTAAACTATCTTCAAGTTCCTATTTCAATGAATTATTCAGCCAAGTACCTATCAATGGCCTACCAGTGCATTATTTGTTGAGAATACTAGGCTAAGTGTGCCCAGGTGTGTTGTTGGATTTGGAACGCGAGTGGATCTGCCCGCCTCTTCTTTCCTCCAACATCAACGTCAACAACATCCTCCCTCCACAGGATGGTCATGGCGAAAGAACCGCAGTGGAATAATCGAAAGCTCTAAAAAAGACTTGCACAATGGATTTACCCGCCCCAACTTTCTCGTTTTCGATTCCCTCCATACACGATGGAATCAACCTGGAATGTCGAGTTTATCTACCCAACGAGCTCCAAAATATACAATCGACACCAACACCAACACCAACACCAGTGACATCACGATGGAAACCCCGAGGAGCCATTCTCGCCCACCCCTACACCCGACTCGGCGGCTGCTACGATGACCCCGTAGTGAGCTTCGTCGGTGGCGAGCTTCTGCAGGCGGGCTATCTGGTGGGGACATTCAATTTCCGGTGCATCATCACCTCTCCTCTATCTGACCTCATGGATGACCAACTAATGCCGATCACAGTGGCGCGGGGGGTTCTGAGGGGCAGACCAGCTGGACTGCCAAGTCCGAACTGGAAGATTATGTCTCATTCTACGGGTTTATGCTGGTGTATCTACAGCAATTAAAAAATGCCAGTGCCCTCATCGGCGGCAACCCGACTGGGCAGACTCCTGATTCTTCTGCGCTGCCAGGAGAAGGCTACAGCGACATCCAGCTCATTCTCGGAGGATATTCGTTCGGTTCCCTTATTGCCTCTCATGCCCCGGATGTCGATGTCATACTGGAGTTATTCCGATCCGACACCAACACCGATCCGTCCACACCAGTCAACAAGATTGGCAGAGTCGCTAGGAAGATCGCTGCTGCATCCGCATCCACGCGGCACCTCTACCCATCGAATCGAGATGTCCTGGTAGGGCCAGATACAGATACGGGTACAGGGACTGCTGACGACTCACAGCCCCGCGCTTCACCACCCATCTCCATTGCTTATCTGCTCGTGTCACCTCTCCTTCCACCCGTGAGTCACTTTCTGACGTGCTTTTCCAACCTATCACTGAACGTGGGGGTGAGAGAGGGCCAGGGACGGTTAGTTCAAACCCGGCCCGACCACCAGCTGAGCACGCACAGTAGCCTGGCGCTGTATGGAGATGAGGACACCTTCACCTCAGCCTCGAAATTGCAGCGGTGGTCAGCCGAGATCGCGCGCGTGCCGCAGAGTCGGTTCCAAAGCGGCGAAATCGGGGGCGCGGGGCATTTCTGGCGAGAAGATGGGGTGGAGGCGAGGGCGAGGAATCGCTTAAGGGAATGGTTGAGGCTGATCGAGTCTGACCAGATCTGATTTGATATGGTTTGATCCTAGGTTAGGCCTGTGTGGCCACGTTGTTCTACGGGATATCATCTATATACTCCTTACTGCCCTGTGTGACCAGAGTATGTTGTGTTATACGTACTAGTAGCACTCTCTTAATAAGTCGAAAGCGTCAATGAGTGGAAGGGTAATCTTTAGCGCTCTTTCACATGCACCTGCATGTGAAGATGGATAGAGACGCGATCATCAGCAGGGTTGGACTGACCAGATGATGCTGATGAGATCCACAGGGACAGGGGTTGCCTGCAGTAACTGTGACTGTGAGTGTGACTGAATTTAGAATCTCACACAATCTAACCCATACTCTCTTCGTACCCCAGAAAATTGAACATCTTCTAAGCCGTAAACCTGAAATCGAATCGAATCCACTTAAATCCGTCGGGCCGGGGAAGTTGAAGTTGGGGTTGAAAGGTCATCGGGCGGACAAATCATTGGCCCCTCGTGACAGCCTGACCGACTCTTTTACTCTTTTACTCTTCTACTCTTTTACTCTTCTACTCTTCTACTCTTTTACACTACAAGACTTCCCCTTTCTTTCAACTTTTCCATCTATCTTTGCACTTCTTATAAAAAGGATTTTGAAAGTTCCAGTCGAATCGACCCGCCTGGATGGCTTGCTCCCGATGCACAGGCCTGCTATGACGGTGTTGGGCGACTCCACAATAGTTCATTCGCAATGCCACCAACTTGATCTTGAACACGACCACCCCTCCAATCGACCTACACCCTATCGCTCGTTGCGCAAAGCCATATCGATCCCTGCCGTCTCGTCACTAGTCAAGGGCTCGTGGAATTGGGCAGGTGAGACCTTGCACACCTATCGCGATGGTCTCTCCGCGGAGCAGCGGAAACAGCGCGAGGAGATCGAAAACCGCAAACAACTCTTCTACTTGAAGATCAAGAATGTAAGTAACACATGTCACTACTCGGGTTATCTCTTACCGCCGGCCACCCCGCGCGCGATAGGCACAGACCGATACTAACGCGATCCTACGGTAGGCTGTCACGTACGAGGAATGGAGCGAATGCGCCAGCGAACTAGACGTACTGGAAAACAACAAGGCCTGGAAATATACACTGGAGTGCACGGAATACCACCCACAACTAGTTCACGAGCGATTAAGACAGCTGGAAGACGCGCGCATTAGTTGCGATGTGAGCCGCATGCTCTTCCTCGTCCGGACGGCGCTCAGCCGCGACCTGGGGAAGATGAGCAATGCTTCTCTTTATCGACATTCGCATATCGGCACCAAGGACCTCATCGATCGATATATCAACGCGGCCCTTGATACGATAACAACATTGGTGGACCTCTCGGTACACGATCGCTGCGATGGCTTGGAACTGAAATACATCCTGAGACCAGCTGTTAGCGGCTCGACAGGCATTCGGTCGAAGCGCCCTTCTCTTCTCCGGGGGTGCCACATTTGGCATGAACCATATCGGCGTCCTCAAGGCTCTATATGAGACCGGCCTTATCCCTCGCATTATCTCGGGTGCCTCGGCGGGGAGTATCGTGTGCGCGGTTTTTTGCACCCGTCAGGACGAGGAATTGGCTGGTCTGCTGGATACCTATGCGCATGGTAACTTTGCTGTTTTCAATGAGCATGGACAAGAGGAGAATATCTTTCAGAAGACGGCGCGGTTCTTGAAATTTGGGTCCTTCTTGGATATCTCTCACCTGGCGAATACTATGCGCAACTGGCTCGGGGACATTACTTTCCAGGAGGCATATAACCGGACGAGACGGATTTTGAATATATGTGTCTCCAGCGCTGATATCTATGAGCTTCCGCGGCTGCTCAACTATATTTCCGCGCCCAATGTGTTGATCTGGTCTGCAGTGTAAGTTGAACATAACATCTACCTTTGCTGGAAGAATCAAAAAATACTAACCGTCGATTCACAGTGCGGTATCCTGCTCCGTGCCACTCGTCTTTAGGCCCTTTACTTTGATGGCGAAGGATCCCTTAACAGGCGAGGCAGTGCCTTGGAACGACCTTCATAAGCAGTATATCGATGGATCTGTCGACGGCGACCTTCCAATGACGCGCCTGTCAGAAATGTTCAACGTCAATCATTTCATCGTTTCACAGGTGAACCCTCATGTGGTCCCATTCCTACCGAAGGAAGATGGACCAGTCAGCGTAGCCGAACAGGCATCATCCCTCGTCCCTCGATGGATGAACACGATGACCCACCTCGCCAAAGACGAAATGCTTTACCGAATGACTGTTCTTTCCGAATTAGGGGTATTCCCCAACTCAATGACCAAGTTTGCCTCCATCATGAACCAGAAATACAGCGGCGACATCAACATTTACCCCGAACTCATCTCATCAAACTTTCCTCGGATATTGGAGAACCCGACGACGGAGTTTATGCAGCAAGCTTGCCTGAGCGGGGAACGGGCAACATGGCCCAGGTTAAGCCGTATCCGAAATGCGGTTGCCATCGAGCTTGCACTAGACAGAGCCATCCAACAGATGCGGGCCCGCGTGGCTTTTAGCCCGGGACAAGTCGATTTCAGGCTGCAAGAATCAACTCGTCACTCTTCCGACTTATCAATAGAAAATGGTAGCGACGGACGGGGAAGCATGCGTAATCGAAGAAGAGGTTCGCATGGCCATGAGTTAGAAAGCAGAAGATCACGAAGACTGTCTCACAGCGATCCAGCGCATGAACTGCGAAAAGCGCACAGCACGGTATCACTAGAGAACCCATCTGTCATGACATCGAACGATCCAATGTCTGCGTCAGTCCGGCCAAAGGCCCACCATCAGCGTCGATCTACAATCTCCGGGAGCGGAGCGCTGTTCGCGACTGGATCTGCTAGCGACGACGACGAGGAAAAACAGACAGAGGAGGATGAGCCACTCGACTTTTCCTTCTCCATTGCACCTCCACCGTTCAAAAATCAAACTCCCTGGGACGCTTCTTGCTATCGCGAGGAGTTGAGTCATGGCCCACGGAGCCCAGTCCGATCCCGACGATCTTCATTCTCTTCTGGCAGGTCACAAAGGAGGTCCGGATCAGGCCAACGAGGTTCACCAAAACGAGTCTTTGCACCATCGTCACGCGATATCTCCATGGCATTGTCTCCATCATCGCGCCATCAACTAAGCATGACACTGAGCATTAACCCGATCTCTCCTGACTCACTCACGCGTAAGCCGCGCTCATGATGGAGTGATGGAGTCGGGCACCGATAGAAGCATATACGAGCAGACGATATGCTCATCCGCTCGGCATGTCGACCCATAATCTGACATGCATCCCAGCGCCCTCGGCTCCGATGTGGGCCCCAAGTCCCCTAAGAAAGGATCCATGCGAGACACTGTCCTGCAAGATGCGCAGAGTTCGATCCCAATATCGACATCCCGCGTCCTTGGCCATCGGCCAATCCATTCCAGCACCGGAAGGAGATCCAACCAGAGACTGGCGCGATACCACGCCCTCTTTACAACTCGCTTTTGCACTTTCTTTTGTCTCGACCAGTCCCAGCCCGTTCCGGCTGGACTTATTTCGGGCTTCCTTTTCTTCCTTTGTCTTGTAAGGCGATAGATAGAGTCTCTTGGTGCCAGCCATAATCTATGAGTGACATGTGGCGGTCTCAAGAAGTGTATATATTGGAGACAATCCTCCAACCGTGGCGTACTATGCATATACAGCAGTTGCAGGGTGATTCTACAGTTTCTACAGTTTCTAGATGTAGGTGGGGAGTCCTTGTGAGATCGACAGCACTATTTCAAGTCAACAATACGAATTCCGCCCTTGGCGCACCGTTCCTCCAAAGGTTGTTCCTGGAGCTAAACCGTTTTCTTCTATTGTCTCCGACCTGAGCCCTGGAGGGGAGGAGAGGCCGGGGTTTACTATGTGCACTAGTACAATGCTAGCCCGTCACTAAACGGGCGTTCTGCCTTGTCCACCCTCAAGTTCTCCACGAGCCCTGCAGGAACCTGATTTGTGAGCAGCCAACGAGGTTGTTGGAGGTGGAGGTCGGCAAACCACGAGCGGGGATCATCGGCGGTGACGGTCGCAAAGGGTTTCTGGATTGCTGCACGGTGCTGCACGGTGCTGCACGATGCTGCACACCGTCACTTCCTTGCCAGTAAGGGTAACTATAGCAGGAGGGTGTACACGTTGTTGTACCTGCATGAAGTAGTTACAGAGTTCCAACCAAGTGCCTTCTATCAAACGTCTGATTTGAGCTCGGCACCTCGCACGACCCTTTACCTTTCAACGAAGGATTTCGCAGACCCTCTTCAGCGCGACTCAGGGGACGGCGATCCTTAAGCCATGGGCTCCACATCTACCGCTAAACGCTGCCCTGGTGGAGTTGGACTGCTAGGGCCCGCCGTGCTCTTTGCCGGTTTAGTCTTGGGCTGACGACGCGTGGTGGGAACCGATCCATGTTTGATACAGATTCGCGACATTCCAGACTCCCTCAGACAAAGACAACTCTCTGCCGTGACTGACGCCGAGAGGACAAGGGCCTGGAACTCGGCCAGCACAGAGGGTGAAACGCCTCTCCCGGTCAAGTCAGCGCCACGTTTCATCCTTCTTGAGCTGCCGAGAGAGCTGTTGAATGCTTTGAGCCACGATTGATATTCGCAGCTTACCTCCAAGGTTGTCATGGATACGAATATGGGATGGGGCTTTGGACACGTCGGCGTACCCCGTCCGCACAAAAAGTACGGAGGATTTATGTTCCGTTGAGATACGGACTCGGAGTCCACGGGTATACATCCATAGTATCATTTCAGAGAGCCGCCTTGCCACATCCCCGATTCAATTCCAAATGCCCAGCCCCGAGGCGAAACGCATAATACAAACTTTGGAACCGAATTGGTCCACCTGCCGATCCATTGCAAGCCATTGGCCAGGACGTTATCAATCAGTGCGATCGTCCAGCTTCTTGCCTACCGCGCGCGACTCTCATGTCCACTTTTTCTGCGAGAGAACCCACAATTCTTCTCTGCCCTGATACATGAACCGTATCAGCCAGTGTGGCGAGTGTGGATTTCATGATGAAATGATTCCAGGAGCCGCCGGTGGCCAGCGATGGAAGCCCAAAAACAAATTAGAGTTCTGATCATCTTGGTTACGCATGCAGGGATCTTGATACACAAAATTGATATTCTGGTTTTTTGTCCTTTTTGAAAATGGAAAACTTCGGATTTGCCGATGCTTTAGGCTGAGATCTATGATACTCCAGCCTAATGAACAAGCCGAATCAAAACTCTTCTTGGCCCAAAATTAAGCTCGCCGGTCTCATTCCTACTCTTGGCCGGACCCATCGGTCTTGGTGCTCTGGATAAAAATCCACATCTGGCAGGTGTCTTGAACATCTGCTAGCAGAGCGCAATATGATACAATCAGACCACCCCGGCATTTGAATATAGATGGAACATGATCGTCGCTCTACTTTCTACAATATTCGAAAGGGCTACCTGTTCGAGCAGTGTAAGCGAATGTCGATACTTGCCCCGTCTCCACTGGTGCGGCACTTGCGGCCTTTTTTTGGGGTGCTCAGCGGTTTCCATGGCAGAGGGTCGCTACTTATCAGACTTTGAAGCACTGGTGGATAATGGACCAGCCCCAGAAAATGCATGGTCGAGTCCCTTTTGGTCCCTTGTCCCTGACGGGACCCTCAGGGACATGGCTCCGCTATTTCTTTGGCGCCCTAATTCTTTTCTGGTCAAGACCGCTGAGGACTTACCCCTTCTGGGTCCCTCTGGTCTGAGAGATCGACATCCCGCCTTCTTTGTCTCCCGTGCCATATGTTGACCCAGCCTTCTAAGAGGCGAATTGTTGAGCTCATTGCCCGATCACGGAGTCTCCATCATGTTTGAGGACCCAGCTGCCTAAACAGATTTGCGGGTCAATCTGTTCAGCCACCCTAGATATAGCCCTATAAAGGATATCCTCGATCCGCCTTGCTATCATTCTTGGGCTCCTCTCTCTCCCTCTCCTAACTTTATTATACCTAGTCTCTACGTCGTTATCAAGTGTGATCACGACAACCTTCCGCTCTTTTAAACAAGTCAACAGCAAACCCTAATATCCAACAACAATGAAGTACACTGGTGTCGCCGCTATGGGCTTGATGGGCTGTGCCCTCGCCCTGCCTCAGGGTCCTCCTCCGGCCTCCGGCCTGCCTGCTCCATCAGGCGCTTTCCCATCAGGCCCTTTCCCATCGGGCCCTACCCCTTCCGGCTTCCCGACTCCCTCTAGCAGCCTCGAGGCACGTCAATTCGGCTTCCCTACCGGCGTGCCCTCTGGAACTCCCTCTGGAACTCCCTCTGGCACTCCCTCCAGTACCCCCTCCGGCTTCCCGACTCCCTCTAGCAGCCTCGAGGCACGTCAATTCGGCTTCCCTACCGGCGCGCCCTCTGGAACTCCCTCTGGAACTCCCTCTGGCACTCCCTCCAGTACCCCCCTCCGGCTTCCCCATTCCTACCGGTTTCCCAACTGGCTTCCCTGGCGAGAAGCGTCAGTTCGGTGAGCCCTCCGGCTTCCCTACCAGCTTCCCTACCAGCTTTTCTACTCCCTCGGGAACTCCCCCCCAGTGGATTCCCTACCGGAGTCCCTCCCTTCCCCACTCCCCGCGTTTAAATGATTGCACAGTATCTGGTATCTGTGCACACGCCGGACGGAGATCGCGGGAATGGACGCGGGAACTGCAGCTGAACGCGTTTTATGAGAAGGATCCATAGATGGCAATCGTTGTACACTTTTTGTTATCTGGTCTAGATTATTACCACCTTGAAAGATGAAGGTTTTTGGGTTTAGATCAGGTCGTCCTTTTTTTGTCTCATTTATTCTGATGTACGACATACGGGCTACGGGTATAGATGGATTGGATGTTTGATTGAAATGCTCAATGACAGCCACCAGTACGTGGGCCTCAATTGTTTTTGTTGACTTATCTTCAATACATTCTTTTTGCTACGGCAATTCACGACTACTTGATTCTTCGTAATGGGACTATTCTTATCATAACTACTCCGTATATCCATATGCCCTACTGTAAAATCTAGATTTACCTTGGTATCTTCAGAAATTGGAAAATCACACACCTGGGCATACGATACGTCATAGCAATCATCGAGGAATTGATAGGGGAACTTATTAATTGAGATGAACAGAATGGCTGGAAATTGCTCCACTTGGCACCTTCCAGGAAGCATCCATGGAATAAACCCATCTTTTTGAAAAGTGGCGAATATGGCCCACCAGTGCTTATTCTGGATAGCCCCAAAATTGGGCGGTTGGGGAAAAGACTGCCCTGCAGATCACCGTTTCAGATCCAAACCCTATGTTGATGCAAGAATTTCGCAATATAAGCCTTATCTTAAGTCAACATCAGATGGACCTGTCTATCGGCGGTATTTCCTTATATGTAAGCTCATAGTCTCTATGTCATTTCTTGGAGACTTTCGTCATTTCGCTTATCACCCCGCGACCATGAAAATCGGACCATCTTATTGGTCGAGCGCATATGTTCCAAATAAATCCCATAGTTTTGCATCAGATAGTCATGTACTCAGTATATTGATACGTGTCGTAACATGTTTCCATATAGTTATCGGACAGCGAAATAGGTGTATAACCAAGTTAGCGCGTGGGCAGCGCTAACACAGACATGATATGTCCGTTCGAAACAGGATACTCCTTGCTCGGAAGATTTTCAGCATCACTAACCCCAGCCATGACTAAGTATATTCCATATCTCATAAAATTTGTTTGTCACGTTAGAGATATTCAACACCGACCCCTCAATGTATCGTCTTTGTGCTTCACCGTCAATCCTAGTCGCAAAACAGTCTTAACCGAGCACACTCCCATCTACATCCAGGTCAGCTTCCCACTGTGCTACGACTGTTGAGCTCTCCCTTGGTGAAACCCACTCCTGCTTCGTTGGATGAGCAGAAGATGGTTGAAGCTGCGACAAGCAGCTGTCCTCAAGCATTTGGAGGAATCCCTCTTTGGTGATATGAATCTGGATCGCGTGTATTCTGAAACCATACCCGCTTCGCACGACACTCCAACCAAATGAAGGCTGAATCCAGATTTCCTTTTGGCTACTGAAATGGCCAAGGGGATTTTCGCGAAGTGCTCGTTGCGCATCTTTAGCCGTACATAGCTGGTACACTCTTATTGAGTTGGCGTCGTAGACGGCTTTTAGTTTTCGAGGCATAACATATACCGGATTAGAAGAAAAAAATGTTAATTTTGAAAGTTTATTTCTCAAACAGAGCCCAAGCTATTTGAGATGTGCTTGGTGAATCGGTGTTGTACGAGTCACTGTAGAAGTAGAAGGAGTAGATCGCTAAACGAGGGAAATGCTGAAGATTACCAGTTCATTTTGGCCGGCGCTCTCGATAGTTAGGCAGCAAATTGTACGTGAATCTTTTATCCTCGAATCTCTCAAGCTTATTCTATCAAATCTGTTTAAACCCAAATCCCGGACAGCAATCCATAGTCATCAGGGTTGCCCCTGCAAGCTATAATACCATCTGGCCGCACGAGAACAGCGCCATTCTCACCTGCTGGAAATAATTCTTTCCAAGCTCCCTCTGACACTTTCCAGCCATTTGAACTATCAATATGTTCAAATCGATACGGTATATGGAAATCTTCAAGAAAGTTCCACTTCACGGGAGAATTTGCTAGAAGCAAGAAATGCTGCGGCTGGAGCAAGTCTCGACTAGAGATGGTGATGTTCCCCCGCTGCAACCAAAGATGAGGAAGATGATGACCGGGGATGGTTGAGGGATGGTAGTAGATGTTATCGAATTCATCATCTTCACGAATCTGGCCGTCATGTCTTGATGACTTTCCTTCATTCTTGGTATCGACGGAAGGATAGAACCAGCCCATTTCAGTTCCGAGAGCACAGAATTCGCCATCGAGAACTGTCTGAGCACCCTGGACATCCAGCTGCTTCTTTTGATAGTCAGGATGTTCCTTGTCGAAAAAAGCATCCATAGCGGATTGATTTTCTTCGATTGATTGATTTGGAGACACACCAATCGCTCGGTCCATTGCATCTCCATGGCTTCTCAGGTTAAACAGACTAGAATAGGCGACGCCTTTAGCGATTGGTCGTCGCTCTTCTTCGTATGTATCGAGAAGCGAATTCGGGGGTTTCCAAGCTCCACGCAACGTGAACGCAAGCTTCCAGATCAAATTGAAAGCATCCTGAACTCCGGTATTCATACCCAAAGCTCCCCAGGGCGGGATTCTATGGGCCGCATCCCCAATTAAGAAAACTTTCCCTCCTTTGCTGCGGAAGTGTTCCGCCACAATGCTGCCAACGTACCAGTGACTGACGCTGCGAAGCTCGATTTTGAGATCGGGGAGTTCAAGCGTCTTCCGGATTCGACTGACCATCGCATCGGTATCGAACCTTTGCGGGTCATCTGGTAGCATTGCGCATCCAAAATACCATTCTTCAATGTCAGGGTCCGATGGGAATGGACCGAGAGGGTATAGATACCCCGATTTGATGCTACCTCCGAGCAACGGATTGATAAACCAGCTGATGAAGGCGTTGGGATTGGGATGAATAGCGGAAAGGGGGGGCATGGAAATGAGCCGAGACCATGTCAAAGATGTCTTTCTCACCTTCCCACGCGATACCCAGCTGATCAGCCATCATGCGACCTCCATCAGCACCGAGAACATAGTCCGCCTCCCAATCTTCGCGGGGGCCATCTTTGTTTTGTACCGTCACAATGACTTTGTCCGACGTTTCAATGACAGAAATAACATCAGTAGAATGTTTCAATCCTTTTGGATTCAGCTCTCGTGCCCTGTTGAGCAATATCGGCTCTAGGCGAATCTGCGGGAGAATTCTGTAAGAACAAGGACTAGCCTCCTCATATCGAGTTCGGTATTCCCCCCCCTCCCCACGCATTGCGACAGTAAATTTCCCGCCCGTGAGTGCCTAGACTGGTGTACCACGCCGTGCGACTAACGGTTTCCGGGGGTGCACTTTGGCGCATCACTTCGTCTTCCACGCCGATATGGCGGAAGATTTCCATCGTTTTCTGATTCAACCCACATGCTTTTGGATGTATTGATGTTCCAGGGTGACGCTCGAAGAGTACATTTGGAATTCCTTGAAGGGAGAGGAGAATCGAGGAGATGAGCCCAACGGGACCTCCGCCAACTATGATGACTGGGGGCATGATGTACTTGAGTGGCTTGGCTGAACGCCTGTCGTAGGCATCGGCCCCTGGTAGCCAGGAACAAAATATTGGCTACGATTGAAATTCTAGGGCTGAAAACCAATCTAGCAGATCTGGCGAAGTCGATTTTCATCATTATGACTGCCCCACGTTTCCCCATCTCCCCATCTCTCCATCTCTCCCCACCTCTCTCGGCGTGGGACGCGTATCAGCCCCGCTTCATCCTAGCTAGCCCTTTTGCAACCATGCTAGAGCGTGCTGGAAAACAATATGCCTTCTAAACTATGACAAATACGAGGACGATAAATCTTTCGTCGAACTCCGTCAGCCGAAGCTTTCAGTCTAGACTGAACGCAGGATAGTTTAGCAGTCTTCAGGGAGCTGTCAAAGCTGAATTTGCTAAAAATATCCTTAATTAGCCTGCATAATGTAGGGTTACAACGTAAAGCGGGGTGATTAATGCCAACTAAGATTCTATTCTGGGGGCCGGATCCCAAATTGATGCAGCCAATTGCTGCTAATTAAGGAACAAGTCCCTTGTCAACCCGCCGATCGCCCCGCTCCGCTGCATCCGTCCCGGCGGCAATGCACTCCAGGGCTTGATGTATTGGTGGACTGGCTAGTGTCCAGCTGCGATGCACCGCGACATGCATTCGGACTTATGCTTCATCAGCTACGCGGCGAGTAGTGCACCGCACCCGTTGATGAACAAGCTTTATATCAGAGCGCCTTCCAAAGCCCAGACAATTTTTGTCAAGCCAGTTTCTCTTTCTCTTGTCTAGTTTCAGAGGAAGTCAGATGCTCATCCTTTGACTTTCTTGTGTTTCTCATTGATTACGCCTTTGCCTGTTTGCTTTTGGTCTTTCCAGCTCAACTATCTTGCTGCATTTACTGGCTCGCCACCTCTCCACTATCTCGGACATCCTTGCTCACCAAGATCCTGGTGTGCCCAATCCGAGTGTGCACCTCGCTCTCTGTTGGACTGACCTATCCCTTACATGCAGTCATTCGTGCAGTCTAGAACGTGAAGGTCTAGGGTCGGGTTATAAGGGCTTTTGTTGATCTCTCGACGTCGGTGGCTTCCCGGGCGTTCGTCGCCCCTAGTGGTTCGCAAAATCCGAGAGATATTAGGTCGAGCTCCTCCCTCTCTTATCTTTGGGCATACACTTTATCTATAATAGAGTGCACGGATGTTATCTGCTGCCTCAAAAGAAGAGCCACTGCATATAATCGGAGACTCATTGCCCTCTCATCGTCCAGAATGAGCAGTGCCGTCACGAAACCCCTCGCCATCTTCCGCAAACCGGAGAACCCCAAGCCTCTTCACACTCGCTGGGGTGATGTTGCCATCTCTGTTCCTACCGATGGCTCATGGAACCAATACGATAATCCTCATCGGCGAGCCAAGGGGCGCCAACTATACGGACCAGGCTTTATCCCAGATATCTCCCCATCTGATCAAACCCGAAACCCGTTGAAAGATGAGGATACAGAGGATCAAAAGGAAGAAGTCTCCTCTGAGAGACCTCCTGTCTCTAGACGAAGCTCACTATCTCTGGGAGCATTGCGACCTGGTCGACTTTCCGTGCGCTTGGCATCTCGCCCGAAGCAACTAGAGGGAGAAAGCGCGGCCGAAAGAGAGAGCCGAGATGATCAAAAGCGACGAGACTTTGCCTACAAGCCAATCCGCAAAGATTATACTGCCGAGGTCACCGATCAACCGGGACATATCGGTACTCGCTTCCGGTACATCCCCACGAACGGCACATACCTCGAGGACATCCCATCGCCACGAAGTCAATCAGCACAATCTTTTCACAGTCCTCGCGAACGACGGGACTCTTTCTCAGATCCATTCGATGCAGCGGACCGTGGTCGCAAATCCACTATAAGCAAAGAGCCTTCTGAGCAATGGCCCCCATATGTGGAGGATGATTGCCGCAGCTTGCGGTCTAGTATTGGAGGTAGCTCTGACGGCTCTGGCTCCCGGCTCAGTTTTGGCCTGCCTCCCAGAAGACGGACCTCGCCATTTGTGGCAGCCGATCGAAAAAGGTCTTCCTCATTGAAGCCAATGACTATGGCTATGGTTCCTGACCCTGAGGATCTTTACGAATGATAATGTCTCAGTAAATATATGAAGACCGGAGAAATCCACGACTCTCTATTTATTTGTTTTATTTTATTTGGCTTTGGGTTTTTATCATGGCGTGGGAGTACAGAATGTCGGCATTAACAGGCGTTTGGTAGGCTTTTCATTATATTTCGGTTTCACCGAGGGATATTTCAACATCCAGACCCAAATTGAATTCTTCGCGAATTATAACTTTTAAAAATCTAGTACGCTTAACTTCAAGCGCGAAAATAGGGTTAGAACGGAGCGTATTTCATTCTATGTTCACATTGAGCTTTGCTTCCACAGCTGACGTCAATCTGATCGAATTTCCATAAATGAACCATAACTGAGCACTTATCTCGTGGCATCTATTGGTGGGTGCAATATCCCTCTTGAATCCTTTGTAAGTCTAAGTATAATAGAGCCTCAAACGAGAGTTACCTACAGTGGCTAGATGGTCACCATGACGGCAGAACGGAACTCGCCTCGTAGCATCAAAGGGCTATCTCTGCGACACCTCTCATCACGTTTGAACATTTTTTTCTACCTGTCGAAAAAAAGATATTCATTTCCTGAAGCCACATAAATCTTATCTCACTGAAGGCTATCATGGTGGATGCTGTGGTCCAACTCCGATGTGGGGTAAAGGTAACGATGTCCTCCCAGTCATAGGAAAGACATGGTCGACCGTGCTGAAACTCTTCATAACAGAATGACGATTGGGGAAAGAAAGGAAAGGATTCCGTGGTCGCTCAATTGTGGTCTAAAACACCGGGCTCAGGGCGGATTGATGAATCGCAAACATACTCCGAGGTCAACTTCTTCCTGTGTCACCATCCATAATTGGTACTAATATGACTCTAGATGTGGATGGGAACATATCCATCTAATCCAAATTATCTCGTCTCTAGTGGTGAACAACTTGGGGATTACTTGAAGAAGAATCCCCAGCTGGTGGGAAAATCAGTCCTGGATCGATTCGGACCGGAAATTCCATTTCTACCCAAGGTACGAAGTCATATAGCCCCAAGCCTATAACTCCTCCAACTGAAAAGTCAGATCTTATCCTTCAGCAAAGCATTGCCGCTCCAAATCCACCCGGATTTGACACTCGCCGCAAAGCTTCACGCAGAAGACCCCAAGAAGTACGGCGACACCAACCACAAGCCCGAGATTGCTATAGCGTTGTCCAAATTTGAGCTGTTCGCAGGCTGGAAACCACTCAAAGACATTCAAATGCTATTCAAAATTAACCCGTTGGAGAAGTTCGTTCCACCGGGAGAGTTCAATGACGAGACGCTTCGACATGTGTGCATGAAACTACTCAGTGCTTCCCCAAGCACGGTGGCAACAACCATTAAGGAACTGCAAGTAATCCCAGAGGCCCATTTTGGACCAGATCCATACATACCAGGTCTCTTAGACCGACTCAGCAAGCAATACACCGAATACGACAATGGCAACCTTGTCGCAGCTTTACTCATGAATTATCTGACCTTAGGACCTGGTGATTCAGTCTTCGTCCCAGCCGACAGCATTCATGCATACTTAGAAGGGGATATTGTGGAATGCATGGCCCGATCAGACAACGTAATCAATACCGGTTTCTGCCCAGCTACGGATCGCGACAGAGTCGAGCTTTTCGGACGAGCTCTCTCATTCATCCCACATGACGCCCAGGGTGCCCTCCTGCCCCGAAAAAAGAGCGACAAGGGAATGGACGGAAAAACGGACGTTTACGCACCCCCGATCAGCGAATTTGCGGTCTTGTGCACTTGTCTTGGGGCGGGTGAGAAGGAGACGCACAAAGCCATTCTAGGCCCTAGTTTGATGATCGTTACGAAGGGGTGCGGGACCATGAAGATCCCTGGGAATCAAATCGTCGAATTGAAGGAGGGATACGTCTTTTTCGTTGGGCAAGGCGTTGCGTTGGACTTTGGCACCGACAAGGGACTGGCGGTCTACCGCGCATACGCGGAGTAAACCAACGGAGCATGCGAAGTATGTAGACGGAAAAGTATGGAAGAATTTCAAAAGGATCCACATCAATTGATTAGTTACCGCTGCCCAGACTTTTTGAATCGGGGAGTGGAGCATCAAGTTGGTCATGTTGCAGACAAGTTGCGTGCTGCTTTGTTTTCCTTTCTGTATACCTGCATTGCGCTCGAATCATCGTGGGACACACGGCGCAGCAACAGCAGGGTCTGACCCCACCGGAGTATAAACCGGAAAGGATGGCAGTTGGTGTTAGATTGTAGTACCGGTGCTGATTCGATTGATTCCGAGGCGCTTACCACTGGGCCAGTGAGAGGCGCCGTTTGGTGTTGGTTGATTGTGGTTGGTCGACATGCAGGAGATGCTTCTGTAGCGGTACGCGATGCACAGCGGGGTCGGACTCGGTGTGAAAACAAGGCCTAATCGAGGCTAATGCTGGCTAATTATGGGCCTTTTTGATCTATCTATAGTCCGTAAATTACTATCTTTAATTCCGTTGCTGAAATTGGATTTAGACATCTCACTTGAGACCAGTTCCTTTGTGGCAGCTAAAGCTTCGCGCGCGGGCAGCCTCGTATAAGCATATAAGCATATAGCATATATCAATCCCACAATAACAGTATCCTGAGGAAGCTTCTCTTCATTTTCCACAGATCACCAGGGCTGGCCCACGGTTGGGAACGTAGGCTGGTACTTGTTTGGTGTGCACCACAATCCCTGCATCGGCTTCATTTCAACTCCGCATTGTCATTAGTTCTCTCTAGACCGGGATATGAGTCTTAGTTCGACACTCATCACACGAGCTACCCTGAATTGCCCTGGTGTCCCCTTCTCCTCCTCAATTCAATTACTTGGTGCTTTTCATTGGGCCATTGCCGGTAGCCGGCATCCCTGCCAGTAGGTACCCGGCATCGCTTCACCATTTGGAGGATGGTGATAATGCACGCTAACATTTTCCATCCCCAAACTAGTGACGGGCCTGCTGTACCTTTTCTCCAAGAAGGAGCGAGCCAAAAGAAAGAACCAACAGGCGGAGCGCGCCGCAGAGGTCCAGGTGCCCCCTGCATATAGCCGAAGAAACAACTATCATGATCATCCACGATCGGCCCATCCTCGGCCACTCTCGTCGTTTGCCCCAGACTATCGCCAATCGCAGTATTTGCCGCGAGCCTCGATGGATCAGCCCTCCCTGCCAACGTACGATCCGTCCAAGTATCAACCAATAAGACCTATGTCAACCCCGAGCGCCGATCCCTACACATCCTACACTACATCTACTAGTAGGGGCCAACCGTCCCGTCTTAGCAATGTTCATTACAACGATGGCCGCTCATCAATCACAATCCAACGAACGGCCGATCAGTCTGGGTACTCCACTTCGACTGCACGACGGCAGTCTGCCATGCCCTTTCCGGCTCATGTCTCTGAATCGCGGTCCCGATCAGGAGAAGGCAGAGAACGAAGCGCTTCAGAGCCTATGCCACAGGAAGGCACACGGGGATCCCGCCGGGTGAAGCCGGTGTTGTCACGACTTATCACGAATTTTGGTTAAATTAAGTGATAGAGTGGTAGGGTGATAGGGTGATAGGGTGATGGGACTATGGGACTAGGGGACGATGGTATGATGGGATCATGAGGGAGGGACAGGGGTATCTTCCTTTGATGGACTCTACTCCTTCCAAGGTTTTCTTCATTTTTACGACTGTCATGAGCAAGAAGGCGTTGGGCGTTAACCCCTGGCAGGGGATCATTATGATTCTCATTAGGATTTACTCGACAAAACTCAAAACAGAAATGAATATTTATTCCAAATAGTTTGAATAAAGGAAAGAAAGGAATAAAAAAGTCCGCTCCTCCAGAAGGATTGCGTCTTTTAGCCTGGCGCTTGTCCACCGAGCTGCTCCGTGCACGAGACGAGCAATCTAAAGTGAAACCTCGACTCCACGAGAGCTTCGTCCGTCAAATCACGACTCAGAATCTCCACTGCTCCCGCGTCGATCCCCGCAATGTGAAAGATCGAGACTGCCCCTCAAACAGACGCCTGAGGCCTGTGCCTCTGTCGATCGTGCATCCAGTTTGTCACTTGGCCTTTCCCACTTCCCTTGTTTCCCCGTGAGAACCCCATGCATCTAACCCCCTCTCCTCGCTGCAACCCTCCAACCCCCGGCGCCTAAAGATAAGCTCCCGGAAGACTTGCCACGAGGACCAACGGGACGATCTAACCTTGTTGTCTTTCGAACCAAGATGTCCCTTGATCCAAGGCAGGGACTGTGCACGGCGGCACTGAGGATATCCCACCTTAACCTACGGAGTATACACCAGACAAAGAACTCAAGATGAGAGCGATTCCCTGCGCATGAATCTCTCGGTCGACTTGATCTCCACTCACCAGCTCCTAAACCCACTCCGTTGCAGGGATTAAACTGCGCCATGGTGAAACATGGACGCTTTTTCGTCAACGTCGACGCGGATCCTCCTCTTCGCCCCGCCCCCTCTTTTGATCCCTGTCAACGAGCGGACCTTTTTTTTTTTCGTGTAGTATGTGCAAGAGGCTCGTCGTGGAGAGGGTATGATTGGCAATTATTCCGAGAGCTGTGTCTGCGCCTTGTCGCTCATGAGCTTTGCCGTTGCACATGCCATGCTCCTGCGCAGATGACAAGGGGAAGGGACTATCTAACAACCAATCCTCAGCCACCCCGTCACGTTGCTACATACTATAGTACTTCCGGCCGAAGCCTGATCGTCACTATCTCTGTGCATCGATCCAGTTTGGGGGGCTTTTGGAAGCGTCGTACACAGGCGCAGATCCCAGGACAAGCGCCATGCCAAGACGACGGTGGGCGCCGTGCGTCGAAACTATGTGCAACCTATGCCTGACTCGCCATCATGTTCTCTTCGACTGCATCCCGGGGCGCCGAGGAAAAACTGGCCTTCCATGTCATAGCTAAACGAACCAGGGACAGGGATTTTGTCCCGCATCGTCCACTCGTCTTGGCCGGACCCCCTCTTAGTCTCCTGCAAACTGTACACAGCACATCCAACATCTGCAGCCACTGAATAGCCCCCAAACTTCATCCCACTTGTGACCCGCAGGGCTCTTTCATCCGTCCGCTCTCTCGCGCTTGCAGCTAGCCCGTTGGATGACCGAAGAAGCGCTGTTGACTGTGACGGAAGAGAAAGGAGCACACATTTTCCTTCGTCCCAAGTGGCGGTCTTGGGACCACCGCCAGAGGGGTTGAACCATCCCATCGGGCCCTGGTCATCTTTGCTCGCTGGACGATTTGGATTTTCCAACCCCAACCCAACCTGCGAAGCATCTTCAGAAGATCTTTCCCGCTTTCTTCTCGGGGCTACAGACATGCGGCGGTTGGCTAGTCTTTCTTCACACACCCGTTTGCTTGATATAACTTTGACTCATATGGGCATCTTGCGTGTTCTTCCATTTTCCTTCGTCGGCCTACTTTTGTCTCTGAATCAGACTCGCCATCTCTGACGCTGAAAACACCGGTTCCCTACGGAGGGAGTTTGATTTGCTTTGGGATGAACACCGCGTCGGGGAGTGGTCAGTCCTCCCTGTGATTCGCGAATAGACATTCTTTGTCTCCCTTCTCTCTGATCAGGAGGGTTTTCGCCCCGCTCTGGGCTCCCTCCGGGCTCGTTTGGGCTCCTTCGATGAAGAATCCTCTCAAGGCCATGGCGAGCCTCATGAAAAAGTTTAAGCGGAAGCGCAGACTTTCCTCCGAACTTCATTCCCGTTGGGGCGATCCTGCAATCAGCTATCCGACTCAAGGATCATGGAATCAACGAAACCAGCCACCGGGCTTTTTCGTCAACGCCCCCACTGGATTACCTCAGAGTCCTCGTCCTGCAGAACCACGACAACACATCTCATTAGACCATAGCCAGAGTCGCGATTCAAATAGCCCTGCCCCTCAATATACCCCAAGCGACGCAACTCGCGTCGATTCCGTTATTCCAAAGGGCTACTTCAACGAGAACATCCGTCATCGTGACAAGGGCCATAAATCACCAGCCCTAGGGCTAGGGATTGCAGGAACCCGAGATGAACGAGATGAACCCAACGGTCATAATGTTGCAGTTGATGACGACGAGTCCTGCGATGAGGATGATGAAGAGCGAGACATTTTAGGAGATACAAGGGGAACCGCAGCACATCACATATATGCTACCGGTGATGCATCACGTCTGCCATACCGAGAAGACTACGATTCTTATCCAGACCACGCAGCCAAATCCCCACCGCTATCTGTTACCTCTCGCATGCGCCGCATCAGCACTCAAAGCTCTATGACAGAAAACTCGTCAATTACTGGCCCTGCCAGCTCTAGAAGAACGAGCTATACAGCCGCATCTTCGGTCTCCGCACCCTCTCTCCCCCCCGACACCCCGCGTTGTGCAGTACACGCTCATTATGAAAAACGAGTCGCTCCTCGCCCCAGATATCGGACCGAGCCTGCCCCAGTCCCAGCCGTGGGCGTAGGGCAAGGGATGGTGCCCTCTTACGATGAACTCTACGGTTAACGGGTCAAATTTCCCTTCCTACATAAATTCACAATTCTTTGTTTGTTCTGGTGGTAATGTGTTTAGAGACTGTTTGTTTTATTTTCAATGTGGGAGGTAACTCTGATTTTTGCACTTCTCTTCTTCCTCTGCTTCTCCTGGGGAGCTTTGAGGCCCTCGGAGGTCTGGCCAAGAGCACCCTCTGCCCTCTGCTGGGTTTCATTAATGTTTACTCCACAGACATGAATGTGATTTGTATTTCCTACATCTTCCCATGAATGTATTCATTGGCTACTTCACTACTAGCGCCGGGTCCCTCCGGCGTTCCTCCAAGGCTGTTTTCTGCTCAGGCCTCGCACGAATGAGTTCTGACTTGCATAAATATCCGTACCTCTACCATAAACCATAATTTCCGATGATAGTAGCAAAGGACTGGCATCAGAAAGAAGAGCTAGAGAGAAAAATCTGGAATAATCCTAGGATTACACTTCGAAACAACCAAGGTATCTGAAATTCAGTGTCATCTCCCTAGTTTGTACTTTGTACACTCCGTCCCCACTTGTCCCGCAGTATCACCTCCCTTGCAAACACTTGGTGCTTAGTTTCAACTGTTCGTCTAGAGGTCTCCTTTGCGTCATGGAGCCTCTGCTCCGTCCTGATTCTCCACCTTGCCCAGCCACCAACGACTAGTGGCGGGGCTGTAGCGAACACCCGTCCGTGCTGCAGCTTGCTGCAGTCCGAGTCACAGTCACAATCGACTAGTGCCAATCACATCGCCAACCCCATCACACTCGTCACGCCCCAATGCAATCCACTACGACAATGGCTGGGCTTGCCTCGTCCATTCGGTGGGTCCCTCCTTGAGCAAACCACAGCCACTGGGCGAGCAGCTTTAAGCGCCGACATTGCAACGTGCGGGGACCGACGGTGATTCGGCACACTTCGTCTTGCCCAACACCAAGCTTGTTCACGCTGCAGGACTAGGAATTCCTCTTTCTCACTTTCTATCCCCTTGTCGCGAACGGAGTGTCGGGCGTTGGGCCTTTCCACTCGATCATCCCACCCATATCGAGAAACCAGCTTGACTGAAAAAGAAGCTCTCCCTCTCGCCCTCCTGTCTACACTATCCCCGCGCCCTGAAGCTGAATCATTACCATCTCGCTGCTGCTTTAGTCTCCTTCTTTCTTCTATGAAAGTGTAATCACCGACTCTCGGCGTTAGGCCATTCAATCGTCCTCGTCTCCAGTAGCGGTCGCACCGGCACTGAAGCTGTCGGGCTCTCGTCCCTTTCAGCTTGTTCAATATGTGTCGATCCGTTAAGTCACGATTCTCGAGATCGCTGACCACGTTTACTGCGATCGTTTTTCTCGCCAATGTCTTCCCCACAGTTCTAGGATTAAGAACCTCGCCCAATTCGCCATGCGCTGATGTCTGCGGCACATCGACCAACACGACCACATCGTCCGAGATCGCCTGCCTAGACTCTCAGTATAGCCAGAAGAAAGGTCAGACGTTCGAAAAGTGTGTCAGTTGTCTGCTGGAGAGTAGCTATGCGGATCGAACGAGTGGAAATACCGATGTAAACTGGGGGCTCTGTATGTTGACCTGGCTGCGCCTGTCGGTACAATGAGCAATGACAGGAACTAATCATGCGATGCCAGATAACCTACGCTATGCAGTGTCCGAGTGCGTCTTTGGCTATCCTGACTCATTCTCCAATATCTCCTCGCCCTGCCCAGTATCCTGCGATCCGATCCGTCCTGCCGTTGAGACCAACATGAAAGATCCAAGTCCGGAGAACTTCAATTCATGGTGCGGAACATCGACATTCGCCGATAATGTCGTGAACTCGTGCGAGTTCTGCTATAATTTGACCGCTACTCAGAACCAAAAACAAGTCTACCTAGCCAACTGTACGTTGCGACAGCCACAGGGGAGATAGATTCCTCGGGATACGAACCGAAATAGAAAACTGACCTGATTCTCCCCAGACCTCGAATCCATCCGTTACAACTGCCACTTCGAAACCGTAACGGGCAGCCCATTCGACATCGCTCCATCGCGAATCTTCACATCCGTCCTCCTCCCCTCCAGCATGTCGCTCAGCACTCCCGGCGCCACCAACTCTGGCGTGAATCTCCCTCTTGTAATAGCCCTCCCAATCATCGGATTTCTCGTGATTCTCATCGGACTATCCGTATGTTGCTTCTTCTTCATTCGATGGCGACGCAAGAGCAACCGTCGCGGCCGGCACCAAAGCCACATGTGGAATACACCTCAGTCGAATCAACAATCCTGGGCCGCGGAAGAGATGTATGCCGCAGGTTTTGGGGGAGGTGTCGGACATGGGCTGGGCTTTGTGGACACGGATGGCCGTGGACATGAGGTTGGCTACGGATACGATTATTCCGATCAACCATCGGCAAGCCACCAGCACTTTCCGCAGCAGTATGCGGATCACACGAGTTATTCCGAATATTCAAAGGGCGCTGCTCAGCAGCAGATTACCGAGGATATTCCCCTACAGTCGCCACCTATTCCTCAGCCTTATTCGATGCAGGGTGGCTTGCAGTCGCCGCCTATTCCTCAGCCTTATGCGATGCAGGGTGGCTTGCAGACGTATGACCCCGATCAGAAGCGGCCGTTGTAAATATGAGCGAGGCTAGAAGCTGGCTGCTGGCTGCTGGCTGCTGGCTGAGTCAATTTATGTATCTCATCGCTAGGGTCGCCATCTTTGGTAAAATACCCGTGGACGTGGCCCTCGATTAGCCCTATCGCTTAGGCTTTGTGATATGATCCGAATAACTTAATGATTGGATTTTGTTGGTGTTTTCCATGGCGTTTGTCTTGGCTTTCCATATATCCCAGGTTCAGCATCGTCAGTGCTTTTGAATACCTAGTTCTCAAAAGCAAAGTCATATATCAAACACTTTATTCTTCCACCGGATGGTGTATAAGTAGTAAGGACTGTGGAAAATATGAATAGAAATCTGAACATTTCTGCATCGAAAAAAGATCATGGAGTTGTAGAGTCTACCCCCCCAGACGGCACCAGCAGCCCTATTTATCCCCTCCCTGCCCATCCACCCCCCCATGCAGAAACAGCTGTAAAACAGCCCAAATTCCCAAAATAAACAGATCAACATGGCAGATGGCATAAATGGAGTTCACACAGGATGGTAGGACCCGTTATGGTGAGGGTTCAAGGGGGTTTGGGGTGCTCATGCGCATTCTCGTATTGGTTGAAATAGTCTGGCTGTGTTTCATCAAGCACCGCCAAGGGTTCAGGGTCCAATGGGTTAAGTTTGGGTGATGCGTTGGCGTAAATGAGATTATTTTTGGATATTTCTATTGCTTAGCTTGTCTTAATGCTCGTGCTAAAATTGTTGGAAGTATTTGCCCACCGTAATTCCGAGGGCTCAATTTATGCCGTGCCAGCCTGAGTGCTTAATCGGGAATCGTTACTTAAAGATCTCTGGATAATATAGTTCCAAGTTCAAGTTCAAGTCTCGAGCCTGAGTAGCGCGAAACTGGAATTTTGAGAAAGCTAGAATATTCACAGCATAGTAGAACCTTGACATAGTAAAAATAACGAGGAGTGTAGCTACTACCAGGACTACCAGGACATAGCTAGTACTATATACTAAATAGTACGAACTATTGCTGACGTCCACGGAAGCTTCCAAGGTTCGATCTCCGCACCGCCCAAACCACACCCACTCCAACCAACTCCAATTCACCGCAACTCCACCTTTCAAGTTCCTTTGTCCACCTCCCACCCTGCCCTCACCATGGCGACCCTAACCAACGACCAAATAAAAGTCCTCGAACAATCCCGGCAGCGACTAGCCCAACTCACCCGCTCACTGGGCTCTCTAATCGCAAGCCTAAACCAAAGCGACCCGCTCCCACCCTGGTGCGCATCCCTCCATGACAAGCACAAGCACACCTCCCGATTCCCTAACAAAAGCAAACTTGAAAACTCACAGGTCCTCCCTCCAATCTCAAGCAAGCATCATCTCAAACAACCTAATCAGCGTCTCCGAACAACTCTCCGACCACCGCGATCTCCTCTCAACACTGGTAGCCTATCCAGGCCCCGAATACCCAGGTCGCACACAAGCCAACACCCTCGAACAACTCCTTCGCACAAAACTAGACCCCCGAGTCGAAGACTGGGTTGAGCGCGGCCGCATCGCAGGAACAGAGAAACCACCACCCGACACCTTCGCAATCGCGAATCCGAGTCTCGCGGCGACAGCGGCGCAGAAACAGTTGACGGAGGCCGATCTCGCGGAGTTGTGGGAGTGGGCACCCATTGAAGCAAACGAGGAGGCTAGACGGAGGAATTGGGGTGGGAATTTCACGCTTGAGGAGCGGGAGGCGGGGGTTCAGAATGTTGTTACAGGGTTGAGGAAGCAATTGGAAGATGACGAGGAGGAGGAGGATGAAGAAGAGGACGATGAGGGCGAGGATGAGATGGAGATTGTCGGTGTTCATCGGAAATCTGGAGGGAATGGGGTTGAGTTTGATATTGCGCCTCACCATGCGCATCCCGTTCAGCCGGTTGTGCCGTTGAGTGATATCTTGCGGTATATGACTACGGGTCGCATGTCCTAATCACCTGCTTCCTCTTGCATATCCTGGTATGGAGAGTATCTTTGGTGATGTCTTTGGGTATCTATACTCTCCTACGCCCATGCATCTACATGACACACATTGAAGACATGCCCGGAGTAAGTTAGTGCAGCGAAGGAGTGAGTGGCTGCATGTGACTCGGAGAGCCAATTGAATCAATTGTAAAGCATTACTAGGAGTATTAAATGGTTTCAAAAAGGAAGCGCAGCCAAGTCCAACTTGATATTCCTCTAACCCCGTCGGCGCGTAGTGGGCGTCTTGGAGCCAGGCCTGGGCGATGCTCCCGTGCTTTGGGCAGCAGGAGCCTTCTCAGTAACCTTGCCGCGAGTCGCCTTCTTTTGCGGCGTCGCGGGGCTGTTCCAGTAGTACAACATCTGGGTGGCGAGGATCACGTTGAGGGTGAAGCCGGCAATGAAACCGTAAAGGATCAGCTTGTCGTCAACTTCTTGGAGAGTAGTAAAGATGCGGGAGAGGGAGCCAGCGAGGTAATTGAAGACCTATAGTAGGATAAAAAAGTTAGTTTCATCACTTCTGCAGGGTTGCGAGGACAAATCTGCGCAAACTTACCGCAAATGCGCTCAATTGGCCGGTTCCACCTTGGCTCCAAATGGTATAAATTTGAGGGGCCTTGCTGGCAACACCGAGAATACCAGCACCGGCCTGCAAGTACGACATAGTCTGGGCATCCACGAGAGTTTGATCAAAGAGCAGGGCATACACGGCGGCCGCGACGACCGCGACGAAAGTTGCAGCTGCGGCGGACCGACCAGCAAAGGTCAGGACGAGAACACCAACAGCAACATCTTGGATGGCGATAAGAGCTGACTCGCCGTATGTGCTGAAAGGGAACTGGTTGCGCACGCCGTAGGAGAGGGTGATGAGCAGACTGGCGGTTTCCAGGGCGTATGAGACGAAGGAGACACCGGCGGAAGAGCGCGAGCTAATAAGCTTCAGGATTTGAGGGACCTTTACTACCGCACTGGCGCCGACAATAGCAATACCAAGGGCTTTGGAGATTGCGAGGGATGTGCAGGCCGGGTCCTTTGTGAGATCGAGGTCGAGGAGGAGTGCGCTGTGGCAGGGCGAACCGATCAGCGAAATGACTGCATCATGGACGGGCTCAGGGATCGCATCGACGATGGGACGGAGGATAGGCTGGAGAGGAGCCACGACAGAGTTTTGAAGGACATCCATAGTGGAAGTAGGGTAGTCCAGGGAGTAAAGTTGGGAGATATGACGGTGTTGGAAGTAGAAGTAGAAGTGGAAGTAGAAGTGTTGTTGACATTCCCAGAAAGTGCGGGTTTGGTCCGTGCGGCCACCGGGGAAACTTCCACTTCGTCCACCACTTTTCTTCCTTTCCCTCTCGAACGAGAGAGATCGACCGTCGCGCCATGCTCCCTTTACGTTCTGCCATCTTGAGGCCTATGCCTCGAGATGCGCTAATTTGTTCATGTTTAGGGAGATCCGGAAATCAATCATCCAGCGTTCGGCGGTTCTGGTCCTCATCGCACCGCCGCACTGGCATCGCGGAGAACCAGGCCTCTTCCCTTCTCCAAAAGACATATTTCTCAGGAAATCGTTTGTACGATAGTACGGGACTCAAAGGGGGGGGTTCATTTCCTCATTCGCCTCGCTCAATTCCGACCAACCTGGGCAATCTTCCACACCTCAGCCCACCAACCAAACCTCCGCAAACCCGGCCGGTTCAACCGAAACAGTGACTTCCGAGTCAATTGCGACACAAAATACCCCCGATGAACTCCCACACCGACGGAGGAAACGATTGAAGGAGGATGGCTCTGGAAATGGCCAAGCAGAACCCGTCATACCACCCGATGCGTCCGCGCAATTGTCGAACCTATCGTCCGCCCTCCCCATCACCTCTCTCAGGCGAAAGCTGGCTGCCTACTTTGCCCTAACTAAACCTCGACTATCCTTCCTCATTGTTCTCAGCACTACTTCTGCATACGGAATGTACCCGATCTCCTCTCTCCTCACCCTCGACCCAGCCATGACTCCACTCCCGACACTCTCAACCTCGACTTTGACCTTTATATACTTGACAGCTGGCACATTTCTATCATGCTGTAGCGCCAACACGTTGAACATGATGTTTGAGCCGAAATATGACGCATTGATGTCGCGCACGCGGAATCGCCCCTTAGTCCGCGGGCTGGTCTCGCCTCGTGGAGCTCTGCTCTTTGCAATTGCAACCGCCGCAACAGGGTTGGGTCTGCTTTATATTGGAACTAACCCGACGACCACCGCTCTTTCTGCCGCCAACATTTTCCTTTATGCGTTCGTCTATACCCCGCTTAAGCGAATCCATGTCATCAACACCTGGGTCGGTGCCGTCGTTGGTGGTATTCCACCTCTGATGGGTTGGGTTGCAGCGGCAGGCCAGACCGCGACAACTGGGCATGACACATGGCGCGACATGCTGTTCAGTGAAGACAGCATTGGTGGATGGTTGCTCGGAGCTATCCTTTTTGCTTGGCAATTTCCCCACTTCAACGCTCTATCCCACACCATTCGTGATGAATACAAGGCTGCCGGCTATCGAATGCTCGCCTGGGTGAATCCCGCCCAGAATGCGCGCGTCGCCCTCCGCTACTCTATCTTCATGTTCCCCATTTCCATTGGCCTGTGGTGGGTCGGCGTTGTTGGCCACGGCTTCCTTGTTGGAAGTACGTTCGCCAACGGCTGGCTCGTTCGTGAAGCATATGGTTTCTGGAAGCACCAGGGTGCCCAGGGAACTGCGCGTGGTCTTTTCTGGGCCAGCATTTGGCAACTCCCCATTCTCCTTGTTGGTGGCCTTGTAACCAAGAAGGGATTGTGGGATGGTGTTTGGCGGAATATTTTTGGCCAACCGGAAGAGGAAGATGATGAGTATGTGTATTATGATGAGGAGGAAGAGAGCGCAGTAGAGGCTGCCGATAAACCCCATTCGACGTCGAGTCGGGAAAGCACTTTATCCACTGCGTAGTAGGAGCTGTGTGAACCCGGATTCTGTGCATACCTCTCGTTCATCTCTTGTTTCTTTACCCTTGCTTCTTATTTCCATGGTCCTGTCTTATACAGCGGTTTGGGATGGCGTTTGAGTTCTCTTCTTGTATAACATGTTCATACCGAACCATCTTATAGATCATCTCAACAAGATATCTCTGGAATTACCTTTTATCTCAGTTCACTTGGCAAATGCTTTTGATAATTTCATCTGACCTCCCATCGTGGGTGGTGCAAGAGAGACACGGCAATGGCATAATCATAAGACGGACGCCTTGGCGAGTGACCAATCCTGTTAAGGAGGGTACATCTCGGCATTTGTCCGAGTTATTTTCCTCCTCAATAGACTGTTTGTGATCGAGCCCACAGCCAAATGAAGGAACTTCGTATTGGGATGGAATTTTGGGAGGCAGTGCATCCGTCTTCGTGGAGATTTGATTGGGCGTGGATGATCCATCTATACGAGCCATTGGCCTCCACCTCAGGCCAACAAGAGGTTGGCAGCTCAGCCTCAATTTGCTAGTCAACTTAAAATATCTCCATCTTCCAAAGAATTGACACTTTGAGATGCAAATGCGGCCTTTATCCAACCTCGAAACCACCAACGCATCAAAATGACTTCTCAAATAGAACGTCATCCCAATGTTGCAAATATTATGACATCTCGCCGGGGCAGCCACAGCTCTGACGAATCCTTAATTCTCAACGACCTCCTACCCACAACCCCAAATTCACGCCTCTTCCACGTTTATAATAGACGCCGAAGATCCGATTTCGCCATATATACAGCGGAGAAGACTTCTCTCGCATATGTACGATGCTCATCAATTACCATCGGCAAACCAGACCTAACATACCACGCCGGCGAAAACGAGGATGGCCCCATCAAAGCAACCTGCAAATACTTAACTTTTTCCCGACACTGCAAAATAGGGCTCGGTGACCCGGATGATCCAAACATCGCCTGGGAAGATCTCATACGCCACAAGCTCACAACACATTATCGATTCGAGATCACACTGGAGGATAATGACACAGGGTCGCTCAAGAGGGAGGCTTTTATTTGGAAACGAACTAACAACGTTGGGATTGGAGAGAATAAACCGTCCAAGCTGAGTTCAAAGTGTTTTAAGCTTCAGAATGAAGCGACGGAAGAGGTTATCGCTGTTTATTTGAATGGTGGACTGAAAACCTGGAAGAAGTGTGGCAAGTTTCAGATTGATGTTAATTTTGGGAGTGTTTTTGATACTATGGTTTTTATTACAGGACTAGGGCTCTTGGAGAAGGAAAGACGTCGAGAAAGGAGGAGTAATTATTAAAGTTACTACAAGGTCTATGGCATGCGGCTCTTTTCCCCGTTCTTCATTTCTTATCCTATGATATTTTCGCTCATTATATTCGGCTAACAGCATGCCATTGGCCTGTTGTTGATATATCTGAGCTGATTGCAGACCTCTGAATCTTATAAAATGATTCGTAAGCGGTAATTGAGCGAAGAATCTACCGAGAGACATGTAGCTGCTCTGTAGACAATTTACGACACCATGAGGTCAGAGCGATTTGCCGCTCGATAGTGGAAAGCAGTCTTAATTTCCCGCTTAAGACCCCAAGAAATCACTATCGTTAAAACTTTACACTTAGTCAAAAACAGCCTCACCTTGTCTCCCGTACATATCCCACATCAAATACTTATGTGCCTCATGCAACACCTCCGGGGAATTTGCTTAGTGCCGTGTCAGCCCCTCGCACAGTCATTACGCCTAAAGCCAGATATCCACCGGCTTCAGCCTGCCTATATACACCTGCGATACTCATCTACTGGCTATGGTGATGATTCCGCCGATTCGCATGGGAAGGACCCGCTTGCTCAAGGGGTAAGCCCCCGAACACGAGAGCTGGAGCACCCCGGACCGTCACAACACAAATCATCCAAGGGATTAAAATCAGACAAAGGATCTGAGGGCCAGAGTGGAGGGAAGAAGCATGGCTCCCGTGGATCAGTGAAAGAGGGTAGTAATAAATCAAAAGCTCGCACTAAATAGAGTCCGAAGGACGGTGATACTTGGTGGAATAGTAGCGTCTACTTTATACAAGCCCTCGAGGCCCCGCAATGTATTACTCAAAGATTACCAGCTATGTTCAAGATAAAGAGCTGAACCATTCCGGCTACTAACTTGAAGAAATACAAACCAGAAGCCCGCTATACCATGGTGGTAGCTGTTGAGGCGTGGGTGCCTCCGGCATCCAAGTCGCCGTGACGTCGTTCCGTCTCTGGATAGCTTCACTCTCTTCTAGGGTTCTCCCCTCCCATCCGATCACCACTTTCATCCCATCCCCACTTCGCATACACATTAGAATTACCGATTATTGGAAGCTAGCGAGAACCTACGTAATAGAGTAGATATCATAGCAATCGGGGTTACATGTGTAGAGTAGAGGGCAAAACAAGAGTGAGATAGCCCATACCCAGTGAATGAAGAAAAGTCCGACATCATCCCACCCTTTCGCGTTTGCGTCCCCCCTCCGAGTCCTCTCACCAGAAAGACTAATCCTCTCCTCTCTCTTTCCATTCTTTCTTCTTTCTTCGCCCTCTCCTACTTTTCGGACCTCTCCAACCAGTCCTCGCCAGACTATCTTACACTCATTACCTTGCGGTCCTTAACTCACATTCCTTACCTCACGGTCATTACTTTACATTGAAACCCTTCGAAAGATCAGTCAAAATGTCTTGCTTTACCTTTATTTTGCACCTGCTTCTCATTTTTGGAGTTACCACGGCCATTCCTCACCAGTCACGAGCTTGGGCTAACGGCGCTCAAAACGTAGCCTACTGGGGCCAGGATGGCCACGTCCGGGATCTGATCAATTACTGTAACCCATCCTCCGGAATCGACATTATCATCTTGTCGTTCCTGTATCGATTTGGCAATGGCAACACCATTCCCTCCGGCGAACTCGGCGTCCACTGCCGAATAGCTCCCAATGGCGAGGGGCAGAACTGCCAGGGCATGGCGGATGCCATAAACACCTGCAAGTCGCACGGAATCAAGGTCATCGTCTCCCTTGGTGGCTCCGTTGGTGCGTACTCCCTCTCATCGCAAGCCGAGGCCGAAGCCATTGGTCAGCACTTGTGGGAGGCATACGGTAACACTCGTGGAAGCGTGCCGCGGCCATTCGGCGCAACCTTCGTGAATGGTTGGGATTTTGACATCGAGGCATGGGCAGGAAATGTCTACTATCAGAACCTCATCCAGAAACTCCGATCGAACTTTGCCTCTGATCCTCAGCACACGTACTACATCACAGGGGGGCCCCAGTGCCCCATTCCGGAGCCATATATGCAGACAATCATTCAGAATTCCGAGTTTGACTACCTGTGGGTTCAGCACTACAACAACCCGTATTGTTCCAATGGCGGAAACATCAACTTTGATGCTTGGGTGGCCAATATCGCTGGCACTCGGTCTGCAAATGCGAAAATCTTCATTGGCGTCCCAGCTTCACCCCTCGCCTCCACTGGTACCGTGTCTGGCGCCCAATACTACATGGACCCCCACACCCTGGCTTCCGTTATCAGCCAGCATAAAGACAATCACGCGTTCGGCGGGGTGATGACTTGGTCTGCTGGCTGGTCAGATACCAATGTCAACAATGGATGTACCTACGCCCAAGACGCCAAGCGTATCTTGACGACTGGCTCGCCTTGCTGAGAACATCGCATCTCCGCCTTCGAACTACGCCTTCGAAAGTCCAGCACTGTTGAAAGCTTGATTTACTGTCCATGGAGAGATGTATGATTGATCTCAATCAAGCAAAGCTTTAGCACATACACTCTAGAAACATTGATTCAAAGACTAATCTTTTCTTTTCTCCCGTATATTTCCTGCTCAATGCTTTGACTCATCCCATAGTTAGTTCGTACAAAGATCTGTAGGAGCAACCTTGGAACGGCCATTTGACATGCAGCATTGGTCATTTCTTTTCGACTTCTGCCTACATTTCAAATCCTGCATGTGCTTGTCCCCAAGTCACTGGCGCAGTTACGGACGACATACATCGACCTTTTGGATGGGCACTTATGGGAATACATAGCTTCTGGCGAGGAGGTTACGATGAGTCTCAATTTTCTGATGTCCGGGGGTAAGGTTATATTTATTGAGCATCTGCAACATGCTCTCGTGGATGGTTGTCAAAGTGTAACTCATTCGCACGGCGACAGCTCCTAGTACAAGACCACCAGTGACCCTTAGCATTCCCCAGTAGCACTGCCACCCACACAAACATCCCCTGTGCACATGAAGCCCATCGGATTGATAACATTCCCGCAAAGATAGCTATTTGCCTCCGTGTTATTAGCGAGATGAAGGTCCACGTTGGCGATGGTAACGTTGGTGCATGGCGCAATGGCACTGCATTGAAGACTAGCCACTCTTGTTGACTTCGTGGTACCAGATAGATTTTGGATCGCCACATCCTTGATCTGGAATTGAGAATTTGTGCAATTTCCTACACCTGGAGCCCCAGAAAACCGCGTGCATTGCGAAACTGCAAAGGCGGCCCCCCGAAGTCCCGTTGCCTTCAGATTCGTGACTTCGACGCCAGATAGATCTGTCCAGCATGTTAGCGCTCAATTATTGATACCGACTGTGCAAAGCTGATAAAGCAAATGAAACAGAGAAAAATCCCTCGACGTACAGCCCAGCCCTCCTCCACCTCCATTGGGTGGGTAGCCATTTTGGTCATCTGTCCATGTCTTCACATAGAACTGAATATTCATAATCAGCATGTGTTCTTTCAAGGCATCATTCGGATCGCTCACCGCGTGCAATGTATTCTCGTAGTCAATGTTATTTATTGAAACCCTATCAACTGTTTCGAATTGACCTTTGTATTGCCCAATGCTTCCTATGGCAATACCGAGTCCATTCCTCAGTTTGCAATTGCTGATCGTTATATCGGTGCTGTTTGCTTTGAGAGAGATACTGTCATCGCCGTTGTAAACAGTCCAATTATTAAACACAACATGAGACGAGTAAATTGTATCTGCACCATCGGTGTTGGCTATATAGAATGAGCAGGTTCACCGATAACATAGGAGGGCGTCTTGGAGTACTCACAGCTTTGTGCGGAATTACCCGTATTGTTGACAAAGATACTATCGAGGACCACGTTGTGAGAGTGGATGATAGACATTGTCCTTGAGAATTAGGAGTGATAATCAGAATCAAAACAAAGAACTATTAGAGCATGGTATAGTGCTTTGGCATACCACATCTGGCTTCTCAAGAATCTGAGCCCGTGAATGGCGGAATTTGTGAGGCGACTCAATGTCAAAGCATGAGGACGATCTGGATAATTGGACGTGTTTTCCTGCTGTCTGATCCATTTGTACCAGTCGTCACCGTTGCCATTAAATGTACCTGTGCCAAAGCCATTGATTCGGACATTATCACCGCCAATAATGAATGCCGTTGACTGATTCTGATACCCAACATCCATTGAGTTGTTCAACCAGTACATTATATCCGTGCTCCACTGTCAGGGGGTGTGCTTGGTTAGCCGTCAAGGACCAAATATGTAGTATGATGCAAACAAAGAGTGGACTGGGCGACTAGGTGTAGTTAGCCACATACCTCAAGCGTCCCGTGAATCTCAATATCAACATCCTTCAGCCAAGAGACATTCATAACCGAGTTCACATAGTAGGTTTGAGGTTCGAAAAGAACCCTTCCGTGCTGGCCGCATTCCTTGAAGGCATGCAAGATCGCCGGGGCATCATCTATCTCTTTGCTTTGCCCGCCTTTGACAACACAGCTTTTCCGATGGAGGTTGGCCTCCACAAAACTGAATGCACATGCTACTATAGCAACTATCGCAATAAATGAAGGAACCATACTGAGACGTCCTCGCCAAGAGCAAAGTGCAATATGGGTTGGAGGTTAAATTGACTATTGCTCCGAATTTAAGTCAACTCGGACGCCCTTCCCCGCTACGAACTAAGACAAATCATAGTCACAAACACCAGCGGCCAAATCATACACAGCATGTCTAATATTTGGCGCGGTGCATTTCAAAATCACTGAAATATAGAACTCGGTGCCATGTAAGCCGAAACTAACTATCTCCGGCGAGTGATCGACCGATGGACAGAAGTTTTGACACGAATAGGAATTTCTTTTGAGAAGACCCCCCCGCACTTTCGGTTCTAATGGCCCCGAAACCATCTCCTGTGCGCAACTACCATAGCCCTGGAGGGCACAAGAGTGGCTCATAGCGGGGGCCAAGAGACCTCCAGGGCTGAGGTGGCATCCATTTGTTTTTTTGGTGGGTTCGCGGAATTGATTATAGAAATAGAGCGATGCGCAGGTGATTTCAACATATTTTAGCTATAATCGCCTGGGTACTCGGGGGTTCCGCCAAGGTTCAAGTGCCCGCCCGGGTGTAGCAGGACCTTAGCTTAGAATCCTTCCGAGGTTGTAATTGAAGCGCCATCCCTTTCACCACATGGAGTCATTACAATACCACTGGCAGCTGAGATCTCCGTGAGCGAAGTGGAGGGTGAGCTGACGGTAAAGGGTCAGACAGCGGAGATTTAGGATTAGAAGAGGCTTCATTTGATGGTTCTAGCAGTCCACCTCGCCCCAGGGGACGGACTTCCACCAGGAATTCTTGACCTCCTGGGAAGGATGGCCGTAGCGTGGATCCACCACCGTGCAGGGGGCTGGTTCAAGACACGTCCAAGCCCCGCTTCTCGAGATAAGGCTATTTTGTGCGACCATCTCGACGAGTGTGAAAAGCTTGTTGGTCGATCTTCTAGCACGAACTTCATGATAACAGCGTGTGGTCCCTTGTTTCATTCTGCTTCCCATGGCTCAACTCATCGCCATGGAGGCTTCCGGCAAAACGACCGCCCTTGAAACGATGGACATGGAGGTCAATCGTAGGGACCCAGAAATCTCACGGGAGGGCGGAACAGCAGGGGACGACGATGAAATGACTCGCATGGGAAAAGTTCAAGAATTCAAGGTGACGACGCGCATCCCAGTTTCGACGACTTCATAGCTGACCAGGTCAATTTTGGTTCGATTAGAGAAATATGAGACCACTGGCGGCATTGAGTTTCGCTTCTGTCCTTCAAGCAACCTGGGAATATCTCATTCTGTAAGTGAATTCGATGAAATTCCCACCAAAACCTGGCGTGGTTGAGCGAGGTTCTAATGGAGACCAGTTCGAACTATACGGGCCTGGAGGACGGCGGGTTGGCTGGACTTTTCTGGTCATATATTTGGACTTTCATTGGATTCGGATTTATTATTGCCTCACTCGCAGAAATGGCATCAATGGCCCCAACGGACGGAGGACAATACCATTGGGTGTCCGAGTTTTGCTCTCCTCGACACCAGAAGTTCCTGAGCTATGTTACCGGTATGCCCCTCTTGACTTATGTCATCCAAAAGAGACCCTGAGAACTAATGGTTGGACTCGTCTATGGAAAATATAGGCTGGATGTCAGTACTAGCATGGCAAGCTGGAACCGCTTCTGGATCCTTTCTCACAGGCACTTTGATTCAAGGCTTGATTACGGTCCGTAATCCAGATTATACTGCCCGGGTTGGCAGGGTACCCTGCTTGTGTTTTCCATGGTCTTGGTAATCTATCTATTCAACGTGTATGCTTCAGAGCTGATGCCTCTCATGAGCAATCTTCTGATGCTTTTTCATATTATATCATGGGCTGTGATATTGATTATGCTTTGGGCTATGGCTCCTCACCGGTCTGCCGAAGCTGTTTTTGTCACGGACTGGAAGAACATAGGAGGGTTGCCGACCATGGGTGTTAGTGTCATGGTAGGGCAGATCTCGGCTATCTATGGTTGTCTGAGTACGTGTTCCTACTGCTTGGTTCCTGGTCTATTTAAAATGACCATACTAATATCTTTTCCAGGCTCTGATGCTTGTGCCCACATGTCTGAGGAAATCAAAGATGCTGGTCGGAATGTTCCAGTCGCTATGTACTGGGGCTACTTTTCGAACGGAATCATGGCTGCTATTTTATTAGTCGCCTATCTCTTTGCTACCCCGTCAGTGGAAGACTCGTTAGATGATGCGTCAGGATTCCCATTGCTTTATGTGTTCAAGCAGATGACCTCTACCGCAGGAGTGAACGGTTTGACAGCGATCATCATATTACCCGTGATATTCAGCAATATCATGTTTAATGCATCAACATCACGGCAAACATGGGCTTTCGCTCGGGATAAGGGTCTTCCATTTTCAAAGTGGATATCGAAAATCGATCCCAACCGCATGATCCCTGTTAATGCTATCATATTATCATGCGTCATCAGTTGTCTTCTCTCCCTGATCAATATTGGCTCCAGCACTGCCTTTAACGCCATCATTTCCTTGAACACGGCCGCACTGATGTTTACTTATCAGATCTCCATTTCGTGTGTCATCTACAGAAAGATCTGGTATCCCGAAACTCTTCCTGCTCGTCGTTGGGATCTGGGGCGCTTTGGCTTACCCATCAATATAATCGGGGTTCTATATTGCTTCTTCGCGATGTTCTGGTCTTTTTGGCCAACAGAACTACCCATCACAGCCGAGAACTTCAACTGGAGTGTTGTGATCTTCGTTGCAATCTTTATCCTCAGTCTCGTGATGTATGTTCTAAAAGGAAGAAAGGTGTACGAGGGACCAGTGGTGGAAGTCAAGAGGAGTTGAAAGGGCCTTACCGGATACCAGGACCCTCGTTGAAACTAGCAGAATCGTCAGTTGTGCAAAACGTCTCATCGGTACGGCACCAATATTACGCTTCTGCTTGCCCTTGACATGTCTCTTCCTGAGCTGACCTGAGATGCACCAAATGTAGACTATGAACTGGTTTTGAGTTTCGTGTATGATATTTATTCAGTACAATACTGGCAGGCAATTGGCTTTGGGTAGTATAGATAGAATCTAAGATATTAGTAAAAGAATGGATTGCTCAATGGAAATTCAAGACCGCATCCACCCATAAACCACAATCTTAACTCTCCCCAGGTACAGAACACTCGGAGATTCGTTTGCAAAGACCCACGAGCTCTTCTTGTTTATCCACATTTTCAGACCCCGAGTGCGGCGAACTTTCTCCTCCAGTGGTAACGAAAGCACCGCTTTTGACCTTGGCCAAAGAGTTCTCACCACTGCACCAACCAGCGAGGGCTTTCGCTGATGAGCTGACGCTCCCGGGAGCAGCCATACCGCCCATCTTGGTTCTCACCCACCCAGGATGCATACTGATGACTTGAATATCATCCCATCTCCTCGCAAATGCTTTGGCAAGCATTACATCATGAAGCTTGCTATTGCCATATGAGTGTGAATGTTCTGCGTTGCGAAGCGACTCATCTCCGCCCCAGTGGCTATCGGAGCTCATGAAGAGAAGTCGCGTAGTGGGCTTCTCCATAAGACACGTAAGGATATATGGTGCCAGTGTATTCACCGCAAATACGGCTGAAATATTGTCCGATGTCACCTCTTTAGATGATGTCGAACCATAGCCAATTCCTGCATTGTGTACGATGGCGTCGAAAGGTCCAGCGGCATTGGCATCCTGTGCGAGCTGTTTGGTTTCTGAAATGGACTTCAGGTCTCCAACCAGCACCCCCTTCGCTTTTGGTAAAGCTGCTTGGGCGGATGCTGCTCGATCTGCGTTTCGTGCATGAAGGGTGACTTCATGGCCCTGGTCGATGAGAAGTTTGGCTGCCGCTTGGCCGATGCCATCGGTGGAGCCGGTAATAAAAACGCGAACCATTTTCATAGAGGAAGAGATTTTTTTGGATTCGATCGAAAGAAGTTGACAGAGGAAAACTGCCAACTCTGTTTCTGTACCTTTCAATAACACTTTTGACATGAACTTGAACTGACGGGATGATATCATCGGGCCCAGACCGGACTCGAGGCAGGGTTACGTCACTGGTATTATTTGTGAAATATTGAGATGATTCTCTACAGGAGAGAGAATTTGCTTCATCGTTACTGTTTTTGTCCTTAGACACGATACTCGATAGATTTTCTTGAGATAGTATACAATGGCATCAAGTAAGACCGTTCGTGTGGGGTCTATGTATCACGAAACTCTTTAGCCGGGATCGGATTATGAGCTTCCGAAAGTCAACCCCCGCGTTTGGAAAATGGAGGACGCGTTGAAAAGGGACAAATTTGATTGGATGAAAAATTCCAAATTCGGGTGGAGGACTTCTCGCATGGAGCCGAATTCGCCAATAGGAACATTCGTTCCCGAGCAGTCTTGACGCATGATCAATCCAAATTAGCTGATTGAATAGTGGGCAGATACAAAAGCAAGAATAACCCTGACAGAACAATTGAGTGGACCCTTCAGGCTTTTGAACGAAATCAAAAGCACCCGCATCAGTATTCAAAAATGGGTTGTTCAACAGGTAAATCCTGCGAGGGGTGTTCATGCAGCAATGACACCCCCCCCACAGCCAATCCAAATCGAAGATTGCATCAATGAACTGGCCGCGCTGAAAAGACGCAACCAAGAGCTCGAGACAAGACTCGGACTTGAGAAAAAGAATGGCGCACCGAACGTAGTGCGCCAACCAGGTCGAACCCTGCGCTCATCGGCATGGTTTGACTGTCGCAGCAACCCAGGCATGACAGCAGTTTACATGGAGCGGTATTTCAACTTCGGTATCACCCAAGAGGAGCTGATGTCGGGAAAGCCCATGATCGGAATTGCACAAACGGGATCTGACATCGCGCCTTGTAATCGCCACCACATTGAGCTGTCAAAGCGCGTGCGAGAGGGAATTCGGACTGCTGGTGGTATCGCCTTCGAGTTTCCGACTCACCCGATCCAAGAGACATCAAGACGTCCTACTGCCACGCTTGATCGCAATCTTGCCTATCTGAGTATGGTTGAGGTCTTGACTAGCTACTTCCTTGACGGCGTTGTTCTTTTGACGGGATGTGACAAGACGACCCCCGCCTGTTTAATGGCCGCTGCTACTGTGGTAGGTACTGGCGCTGTGAAGCAATTTTTATATACGCTGACCAACAATTGCAGAACATCCCGGCCATCTGCATGAACGTGGGCCCTATGCTCAATGGCTACGACAAATCCACCTTGGTCGGCTCTGGAGCCGTTCTATGGAAGGGAAGAGAGATGTACGCAGCAGGTGATATCAATGAGAATGAATTCATGGATTATATTTCTCGAAGGTGAGTCTTAACCAGGGGCTAGAGTCCCAACCTGAAAGGATTGCTTTGGACAGGATAGTTTATTGACTCCGATTAGCACACCTTCAGTCGGCCACTGCAATACAATGGGGACAGCCTCCACTATGAATGCCTTAGCGGAAGCACTCGGCATGGCCCTTCCTGGATCTGCTGCTATCCCTGCCGCTTATCGTCACAGGGCCCAATGTGCCTATGAAACTGGCAAACAAATCGTCGAAATGGTTGAAGCCGATCGCAAACCCAGTGATATCTTGACTAGAGAAGCCTTTGAGAACGCAATTGTTGCAAATGCTGCGATTGGTGGAAGTACGAATGCACCCATTCATTTGAGTGCTATCGCTCAACATGCAGGCATTGAGCTATCGATGGATGATTGGGATACTATCGGCTCAAAGATACCCCTCCTTCTAAATATGCAGCCGTCAGGGGAGTACCTAGGAGAAGAATACTTCCGTGCTGGTGGCCTTCCTGCCATTATGGCGGAACTCCTTGATCAAGGAAAATTGCACTTGGATGTTTTAACTGCCAACGGAAAGACGATGGGTGAAAATGTTCGCGGAAAGCATTCATGGGATCGCCGTATTATTCGCCCCTATGATGATCCATTGATGAAAGATGCCGGATTCATCAACCTCAAGGGTACATTGTTTGACTCTGCTATCATGAAAACATGCGTCATTTCACCAGCTTTCAGAAAGCGATACCTGTCGAATCCAGATGACCCCGAGGCATTTGAGGGACCCGTGGTGGTATTTGATGGACCAGAAGACTACGAGGAGCGACTCGAGAAGCTGCCCGAGATTACAGACCAGACTATCCTCGTCATGCGCGGTGTTGGGCCGTTAGGATATCCCGGCGCGGCGGAAGTCGTCAACATGCACCCCCCGAGCAAGCTGATCAAGCAAGGCCTGGACGGTCTGTTCTGTATCGGCGATGGAAGGCAATCAGGAACATCGGCCTCTCCATCCATCCTGAATGCCAGCCCCGAAGCAGCTGCCGGAGGAAATTTGGCGCTGCTGAAGAATGGCGACAGACTTCGCATTGATCTGCCTAAGCGACGAGTTGACATTCTTATCACCGACGATGAACTGAAAGAGCGTCGACAAAAGCTTTCCGATGGGTACCCCATGGTTCCCACTGGTACCCCTTGGCAAGATATCTTCCGTCGTGAGACGGAGCAATTGTCAAACGGCATGGTGCTAAAAAATGCGGTACAGTTCCAGCGTCTGGCGCAAAAGGAACTGGCGCCGAGACATAATCACTGATGAAGCTTTGCAGCTCTCATTCAAGTTGAAATACTATCGACAGTAGATATTTGCGCTCAATGATACCATATAAGATACAATTAAATATCTGGACGAATAAAATTTAAATCTTGTTCATTATGAAGCTGCCAAAATCTCAAAGTTATTTCCAAGGTTAAAGTTTCCGTCTCTCGGGGTGGATAAATAATTTCAGCCGCTGTGCTAGCATTACTAGATGAAGCCTGTAAAGTATTCTGGTAGATTAGAATTCATCTTTCACTGATTCGCTATTCGGTTAATTCGAACTGTTCCACAATTAACTGCGAGCTTCCTGCAATGATGTCAAGCCAAGGCCCGGAAAGTCTCATTCCGAGCCTCGAGCCCCACCCCCACACATATTAGACACAGATATGGTCAGCTATGAAATCGTTCCGGCAAGATTTCAAATCGATAAAACGTCTCTGGAATTAGCACATTAACTGAGAAAACGGAGCTTCGATCTCGCAGTGTCAGCTCTCGACTTTTGTTCTTGCTGGCTCCCGCTGAGGACCCTACTTTCCATCAAGCCCAGTCCGTTTCCAACATGGGCAAGCGGATCATCGTTACTGGTGGCTCCGGTAAGGCCGGTCAGCATATCATCAGATATTTGCTTCAGCAAGGCCACGATGTTCTCAATCTTGATCTGGTAGCCCTTCCAGCAGAATTCTCGGATCGCGTCCATACAATGATTGTCGACCTTGCGGACAGCGGTCAAGTCTACTGCGCGTTGAGCTCTCATTTCCACCTTACCGAGCCATTCAGAGAGCCTCTAAATTTAGTGCCCGATGCAGTCATTCATATGGCTGGCTATTCGCGAAACATGATCGCCCCTGACAATGAAACCTTTCGAAGCAATACTATGTCGAATTATAACGTTATTGAAGCGGCATGCAAGTTGAACATTAAAAAGATTATCATTGCTAGCTCGATCACTGTCTATGGTGTCAGCTATGCAGAGGGCGATGTCGACTATCCATCTTTCCCAGTCGACGAAGAAGTTGACGCCAACCCTATGGACACGTACGCCATAGCGAAGGTATGTGCGGAACGTGTCGCGCGTGGCTTTGCACGTCGTTTCCAGAGAGATATTTATGTGTTGCGGATTGGCCGAATCGTTGCACCGGAGGAGTACAAGCAGCCCATGTTTGATAGCTATGTCAAGCAGCCAGAGAAATGGGCAGCCCATGCCTGGTCATATACCGATGCACGCGACCTCGGGAAAATGTGCGATTTGGCAGTCCAAAAAGACGGACTAGGGTTTCAAATATTCAATGCTGTGAATGATGAAATCACCAACTATACTTCCTCCTCTGCGGAATTTGTTGCAAAGGTGTCGCCCAACTCTCCTTTAACGAGGGAGATGGATCCACGTGAAGCTCCGGTAACAAACCGAAAGATCAAGGAGTTGCTGGGCTTTCGTCAAGACCACCCGTGGCAGCAGTACTATGAAAATTGAGATGCTCATACTACGAAAAGAAATGATTTGGACATACGTCGGGTTCTACATATATCCAATATTCCAGCTTCAGAATAAGCGTACGAATTTGGTCCACTCTAAGACGCGTTCTTGGAGTCTCTCGCTATTACATTCCCACCGGATGCATAAGATAATCTAACTCGCCATCAAAACGGAAGCCTTGGGCGATTGCCTCAAGATCAAGATCCGACAAGCCCCAGTTGATCTGCGGAGTGATTTCGATGGCCTGATCTGGGATACTGGATGCATCCAAACTTTGCGTAGGTCCATTCGTAACCATGGGCTCTCGAGGGGCGGCTTCCGTGAAAACATTGATTTGCCCAGTTTCCTCTGCAGCATCGATGCCGAGATGATCACATAATCGATCAAGACTCTCTTTTGCTTTTCCCGCCGCACCGTAGAGACACTGATGCTCCTGCAACACGTTCCGACAGAGCATGAGAGATTGGAAGGAGGTTGATGATTTTCCCTTCTGTGCCACTATGCGGGCATGTATTGTGGCACTGATGTAGGTTGCGTATGATAGCATGTAAGGAGCCGAGCTAATTGCAAAGTGCTGAGAGTAATCACGGAGTATTTGGACGATCTGGTTTGCAGCAGCTGTACATGTGTTTATTGATTCGAAGGCGGAAGCTGGATTGTTCGGGCGTTCATCATTTCCGGTAAACAGTGGACGTTTGGATAGAATTATCAAGACGTTAAAAAGAGCCCTAAAAGAGACTGTGAGAATCTTATCTTGAAACACATTGGACATGATACATACAATAGGCAAAACGCTTGCGGTAGAAGAACTGCTTGAGACGGGTGGTGAAGATAATCAAGTTCTGGCGGAAGATTTTGCCGCCATCTGCACAATTCGGAATTTATGTTATCAGATATACCTTCGCTCTGGCCACGCATCATTTGCGCTGATTCTGAGTAAAGTTCGCACAAGATGCGGTCTATTATGACAGAGAGTTCGCAAAGCTTTGTGAGTAGCGATACATTTAGAGAAGGAACAGCTGGCGTAGGACTCAGCTGTTTATAGGTGAGGGCCTGGAAAGGATCGAGCTCGTCGTATTCATCGAGGAATTTCAACGATGCTTTGATGTTATTATGACGAAGAAGCGGTGGCCTGCCTTGGAAGAGGCATTGAATCTTATCAATTGCTGTTATCCCCAATCAGTAAACTGTGTTGGACAAATTGAAATGGATCCACTCACAGTATGCACCCCACAAAACTCTTTTCCGAATCTCAAGCTCTTCTGCAGACATGTTTTCACCTGAAGTAGCCACATGCAAGCCCAGGTCAATAATCATATTGAAAGCATTTCCAGCATACAACCAAGACAAACTTCGCTCGTCGCAGCGCGAAAAGAGCGAATTGGACATGATGAGCAAAGCTTGAATGGTTGTGACCTTGCTTTTGTCAAAGTTATCTCGTAAGAGATCAGTGAACCGCTGTCGAAATCTCCATCCAGCCGTGGTTATATCATCTGGTTTCGAACAGATCTCACTTTGGGGGCTGTGTTTGGAAACGGTAAACAAGATCGCGTTCAGCAAAAGCTTGGAGAAATATGGTCCTGCGCAAGCCATATCGCGCATGAACACTGGTCGGTATATTATCTGTGCAGTGTAAAGTTGTCGACTCCAGTAAATGGATAATAAATGCATGCCGATTTCAGGGTCGACGCCATCAAAGTCTAGCTTTCCGGTCGTAAGATTGAGAGGTTCCAGCTGTCCTGTAGTATGGGTGTTAGAGATGTCCCGCTGCCATTGATGATTTGATCACTTACTCTGCCTTGCTGTCTGCACAAAAAGAAGATTTTTTGACCAGTCTTCGCTAGCAGGGTCATTTGGTAAATCAATATTGCCAACACCATCGCCAGACCGTGTCCTATCATCATAAGCCGTACTTGTGGGGCCATGATACAGCGATGTGGCTCTTTGATTGTTGTGGTCACTATCAGGCACTTCTGGATGAGAATTGCTTCTCAAAGACTCGCCATCCTGAGGCGTGGAAGACGCTACCCGGGTTTGCCTCGGGCTGATCGGGCTGAGAGAGCCCGTGGACTGCGTCAGAAATGAATCCTCGCTTCCGGCAAGCTGGCTGTCTCGCAGTCTTGAATTTTCGAGTTCTAATTGTGCAATTCGATGATTCGTTGGCCTTGAATAAATTGTTAGAATTCCGCATCACAATTTGGAACGAAGGAGCTGGTTTAAGCAACCTAGGCTTGTGCCGAGCAACGCCATATTGACAATCAATGCCTTTTGACGCGCAGTTCCCACAGGTCGGTCGCTGTGCATCACATTTCAGCTTTTTAGAGTATTTGATTAGCACCTTGACACATCGCAACCATCCGGAGATACTCGTAGTGCATGCTTACCTTCTTCTGACGGCAGAAGAGACATGCAGCTGCCGCGCGGGTCCGTCGGATGGGCATGGTCCACGGGCCCTTCAGCCGTGCATGGAGGCTAGACGGCGTCACGGTATTGTACAGACTGCTTTTTCAATTTTTGCGAAAGGTCATCCATAACTTTCCAAGTAGACCTCAACAAAATCCCGAAATATTCGTGGTTGCGGGGATTGAGTTGCGGTTTGTACCAGGGCCAGGGCGGTGGACCGGCTGGAATCAACCCAACCACCCGCGTGTTTGCTATATTGACTAGTAGTTACTACTTCCAAGGTTCAACCCTTTGGAGGTTCCTTACTGTTAAGTTTACATGCATGGATTCAAGTGGTTTAAGTTATTTATCAAATACTGGTAACGGGAATCTTGCAGACATTTGATTCTGTGCCTGAGGGATCAATCCAATAACCACCTGAAATAGTATATCATGGATCGGAGATTGGCCGGGTATCGTAATGTAAGGTAGTATGATACAATTATAGTACAAATCTTGGGGGCGAGTGTATGAAAGGTGGGTGAAGTCTATGCACCACCTACTCCCTGAGCCGCAGATGATACGTCTCCAACGCTTGTTCGGTGATAGGGCTAGGCGCCTTGACCATGGCATCATCGCCTCCCTTTCCAGTCTTCGGGAACGCAATAACATCTCGTACAGACTCTTTGCCCAACATGACAGCGACGAGACGATCAAATCCCAGCGCCAGACCAGCATGTGGGGGACACCCAGCCCGCAAGGCATCAAGCAGGTGCGAGAAATCAGCCAATCGCTCGACTGGCATCTTCAGAATATCACGGAGAATAAATTCCTGAACGGCAGCGTCATGAATACGTCGACTTCCCCCGCCAAGCTCAACGCCGTTTACTACAAGATCGTAATGGTCTGCGACGGCTTGTGTTGGGTCGATGAGAAGCATGTCGACGTCGGCAGCGGTTTTGGGGGCCGTGAAGGGGTGATGCGTGGATGAGATACCTGCTGCACCCCCTTGGCCGGGTTCGGTGTCGGACGTGGGCGAGAAAAGTGGGAAATCAACAACCCACATGAAGTCAAACCCGGTCGGCGCGGGCTTGAAGCCCGTAGAGACAGCATAGGCATGCATAGCTCGTCGCAAATCACCAATTGGGGTGGAGCCGCCAGAGAATGGGGCCCGGGAACGAGCTTGTAGGATGATCAAGTCACCATGGTCGGGATCAAGAACTTCTTCTATCTGCTCGGCGGCTTCAAAGCCGAAGGGCTGCAGGCCACAGAGAGGCTGCCTTCCGTTATACACAAAGACCCCCGGCGCTCCGTCGGGATTGCCGTTGAATGGGGCTCCTGCTGGGGATTCGAGGAATTGGGAGATGAATTTATGAGTGTCTTGAGGATCATTGTCATTCGCCTCGAGCTTGAAAGCCTCCACGATGGGCTCAGTCAAATCAGAGATCTTGTCAACAAGGTCAACTGGTAGAAGATGATCGATCCGCATGATCTCCATGCCATAGCGTGTGTCCGGCTTGTCAGAACCATATTTGGCCATGACCTCCTGATATGAAACCTTTTTAAAAGAGCCTTCCGGTGCAGGATCTTTCATAAGGCTGGACCAGAGACGGCGGATGACACCTTCAATGGTGCGCATAACATCCTGTCCCGTCGCGAACGACATTTCCATATCAAGTTGAGTAAATTCTGGCTGTCTGTCTGCCCGGAGATCCTCATCACGGAAACAGCGTGCGAATTGATAGTATCGCGGAATGCCACTCGCCATCAAAATCTGTTTATATTGTTGAGGGCTTTGCGGCAACGCATATGCCATTCCAGGGCGACGTGTCGGAACCAAAAATTCGCGGGCACCCTCTGGTGTAGATTTGAATAGCACAGGTGTCTCAATCTCGACAAAGCGGTCACTGCCTTCATCCAGCTCCTTTTTACAGATATTGCGCGCCTCTGCGCGGAATGCCAATGCCTCTCTTAGCTCCGCGTCGGAGCGCAGTTGCAAGTATCGTTGCTCCGGCGCAAAAACGGTCTCCGGAGTCATGATGAGTTCCTTTGGGAAATCGTTCAGTGGGTGGATTTCTTCCAATGCAATCTCCCACATGTCCTCGGGGGCTTGTTCAGTTAAGTCGGACGCCTTTTGTTTCTTCCGTTGGGCCGTGCCTCGCACTGCGACAGGACTATGCGTATTGAGGCCCTTGAGCTGTTCAAAGGCGTCATTCTTGGCGAAGGCGACCACCTGTAGGCTATGTTTCATGGTTGGGTCGGATAGACGGACAAAAGAGAGCTTCTTAGAGAGATCTGCTCTTTGTCCAAGATAGCCATGCAGAACGACTTGGGTATTGGGCTCGGCTTGTGAGAGGAAGGACTCGAAATCGTGCGTGGCAGGAGGGAATTCAACTACCGAGCAAGGGCTTATCTTAGCAATTGGTTTATTTGCATGTACTATCGATTCATACCAGCCTTCTTATATGTCTGCAGGAAAGCAGGCAGCTCGGGTGTAGTGGACTGTCGCAGACAAGCCGGGCGATGAAAGTGCCGCAATGCCGAGCTCTGGGGCAGACATGGTATAGATCGTGAGCTTCGGAGACTATTCGTGAGCAAGAAGCTCGAGCGAAGTCGCACTCCCGCGCTGAGGATCATTCTTGAAGTTGGAGAGGAGGAAGCAAAGACAAGACAAGACAAGACAAGTGATTGTCCGATGCGGCCGCAACAAAAGATCGGGGATGCCAAAAGGAGTCTAGCGTGGCCCGCATAAAACGCGCCCGCCTTCCGCTTTTTTTTTTCTTTCTTCTTCATCCTTCCAAGTTTTATACTCGTGAGTCCTACATTTCTCTTATTCTGCATTGTCTAATGTTGAATCGCAAACTAATTGTTACTTAGATGATGAAAGCTTAGTGTGTTCCATATGATCGATCTCTCCTCTCTGAAACGGGCGGCTCTCCCTTTTCGGAGGGCTTAAGGGCTTCTTGATTCGAGAGGCGGGAGGGTGATAAAGGCGTTCGGCACACCACCTTGTTAATTTACGGACGCTACATGCATCTCTGACCCTTTTTACAAACTTGGCTGGTGTTACAGGAATGGTGAATGGGGAATGGGGAATGGGGAATTGGGAATATGGATCGAGGAGTGGGTCTTGGAGAGGTTTCCCGCAATGTCTTCGCCATGCCATCTGATGAGAACGAGTGCATTCTCGGTTCATTTCACCAGATAGTATCTCGTTGATTGGAATACCTCGGTGACATGTACCTTTCTCGAATCTTTGACCTTGACAGCATATATTAGATCTAATATCTATGGAGGATATCCTGTACAAGACTGTCATGACATACTATCGTTGTTGGTATTCACAATTTGGCAATCTATACAACTTCTTCGCATCTCGAATAATAATAATAAACAAATTCTTTTACGCAAAAATCATTTTCTCCAGTACAGCCTTCTCGCCGCTGTTGTCCACCAGATTCTTAAACACACCATTCTCAATCCCCATCAACTCCTTCGGAGGTCCAAATTCGACTGCTTTGCCGGCATCCATCACCAAGATACGATCAAAGTCGGCAATTGTACTCAGTCGATGAGCGATGACAAGCAAGGTCGTGGCATTGCGGCCAAACTCAGCCCGAATCGACTGCTGGATCAGCGCATCTGTCTCCATGTCCACGGCCGAGGTGGCCTCATCCAGAACCATAAGCTTGGGTCGAGCAACAATAGCACGCGCCAGGCAGAGAAGCTGTCGTTGGCCTTGAGAGAGGTTGAGGCCCCCTTCGGAGATAGGCGCTGCGAGGAATGTGAAGATGTTCGCATTGGTTTGCTGGCCGGTAGCAGTGTCAGGTGTCGTCGAACCAGTCCCACCTGGATGACGCGGTGAAGCAGCCTGGGAGGTCAAAGTAGCCTCATCGTCAGATGAAGCAATGAGGTGCACGCGAGCAAGTGCATCGTACAGCTCGCCATCATCGTATTCATCGAATGGATCCAAATTTGTCCTTACAGTACCTGAGAAAAGTACTGGATCCTGCGGGATAATGGCGAGTCGGCTCCGAAGATCGTGCAGCTTGATCTTTGAAACATCCAGTCCATCGATGAGAATCTGGCCCTCACGAGCTTCCAGGAATCGGAACAGTGCCAACGTTAAAGATGACTTTCCTGCGCCAGTCCGACCAACTACACCAACTCGTTGGTTCTTCTCAACGGTAAAGCTGAGGCCTTTGAGAATGGGAGGGAGATCTGGAGCATAGCCGACGACGAGATCACTGACCTCCAAGCGTCCCTCTGTTGGCCAAGCAGCGGGTGCATCAGCACCGCCCTGGTTCTCAAGCTCGATATTGGAGTATTCCATCACACGCTCCGTAGCATTCATATTCAGTTCAATGTTGACATAGTGTCGCAAGGCAAAAGCGATGGCCGTGTTACATTGCAAGGCAAAGCTGAGCGCGAACCCTGCGAGAGGTGCCGAAATGCCTGGAAGGAAGACCACAAGTGTCGCAGTCATGGTTGAGAAGATGGCACCGATAATATTCATGCGGATACCAAGCCAGCGGTTGAACAGCCACATCACCCACCAGGCCTGAGCGTGATCATTGATCTTGTCGTAGATGATATCAATGAAGGTATCACTTTTGCTAAAGGCTCGAATGGTAATAAGACCAGCTAGGCTTGATCCAAATTGTTCAAAGACTGGGCTCTTGGCAGTGCTTTCCAGGCGCTTGACCTCACGAGCGCCGGCGAGATAAGTTAAAGAGAGTTTGAGGCAGAATATTAGCAGAATGACAGCAAAGACAATCACAAGTGGGGAGACAAGGACACCAGCGACCAAAACACCGCAAACTTCGAGCAGTGAGCCAATGAAAAATGCTAGATCGTACCCGATTCGTGAATCGATCAAGTGGAAGTCCGACGTAAATCGGTTGAGAATACGACCAAGCGGAACCGTATCTAACCATCGCAACGGTGCTCGAAGGACCGCGAAGGTCAAATTGCTGAAGAAATTCCTAGAGGCTCGAATGCTGGCTGAGAATACAAAGAAGTATCGAGCTGTGCCAAGGATTGTAGCGACAAGTGAGATGCCGATGTATACACCGAGGTACATCATGAGATTATCATCGTGCCGCATGGGATTTATTGTTGTCATCGATTGCTGAAAGAGGGTGTGGAATTGTTCTGGGTGAATTTGAGTGCTCGAGGAGTCACTAGCCCAGACATTGATCCAATAACCCTAGTTCGACGAGGGGTCAGTTCAAGTCCAAAAGTGACAACAGGGTAACAACAGGGTAACCAAAGAGCGATTATACTTACCCGTCCAATCATGAGTGAGGCGTAGCCGAGAAATATGGATGTCGTAAGTACAAATGTAAAGGGGTTGAAGGCCATAGCAAAATACTGCTTATAAACAGCAAGACTGATGTTGCCGACCTCTCGTCTCTCATCCTCAACAAACTTTTTAGGGCTCGCTTTCTTTGCCGCCTCAGCATTGTTTGGTGTCTGATGTAGCTCCGGTTGGGGTGGGTTATTCGAAATGACTTTTTGGAGACCACTTTCCTCCGGGTCAAGCAGGTTATCTGTTCGTTCTGCTTCAATGTTCCTATCCTGCTCTGCGGCCGCCTGCTCTTCTCGGAGGATATCATCCAGGTGATTCGATTTGCGTAGCTCATCAATCGTACCCGCATATTTCACACAGCCATTCTCAAGCAGTATTGAATAATCGGTTCGAGGAAGGCAAAGTTCGACGTGATGCGTAACTAGGATACGAGTGCGTCCTTTACCAAGCTCGCCAGTAAGTGCATTTTGATAGACATATCGACCTGTGTGTGCATCAAGGGCACTGAAAATATCGTCCATGACCAATATCCCAGCTCTCGAGTACAGCGTTCGGGCAAATGACACTCGCCATCGCTGACCACCACTCAAATTGACGCCATTGGCACCAATGTCGGTTAGATCACCATCAGGCAGCATGCCAAGGTCCGTCTTCAAAGCACAGGCAATAAGAACCTTCTGATATCGACCTTCATCGTAGGGCAATCCGAAAAGAATGTTGCTCCGGATCGTTGCATTCTCAATCCACGGAATCTGAGCCACATACGCAATGGCGGTGTCAATGATCCAATTTTCGCTATTAGCAAGATGATCGAAACGAGCTTTGATGGGAGGAGGAACAGGGACTTTGATAGTGCCTTGCAGAACATCGCACTCGCCCAGGATAGAAGAAAGAAGCAAGCTTTTTCCAGAACCTGTTCGCCCAGAAATGACGCTCAGGCCTTTGGCGGGAAATTTGATATCCAGTTCCCGCAGAGTAAACCGATCTTCCTGGTCATCGTCGACAAGCTGGCTCTGGTCGGCTGGCCATGCTACGGAAGCGCTCTCGAACGAAATTGTATCGGCGGGAACAGTGTTGACAATCTTCTCTTCTGCGGCCATGTAGACCCCGATACGGTCAGCACTGATCTTAGCCTCCAGCCCGTCCGCGATGATCTCAGGCAGAATGGCAAGTGACAATTCCAGGGCCCCAAAAACCGACATGGCCGTGAAAGCGACCGAAGCAGATAGGCCACCATGAGTCAGGGCGTAGACCGTTAGGGATACCGCGGACAGACCCAGTGGGCCTAGAATCCAAATAGCCATTAGGACAACATCGAAGAGAAAGGAAATCCACAGGGCGTTAAGTTCCGACTCTCGTGCTTGTCCGATCTTTTTTTGCCACTGTTCTTCTAGAGCCGAGAATTTGATCTGGCGAATACCCTGGAGGACTTCGGTGACAATGGCCATTTTTGAATCTCGCAATTTCATCAACCTGTCCTGGGCGTTGGTAAACCTCTTGGCGGCGTAGATATTCAATGGAGTAATGAGCACCGAGACGGCCATTCCAGAAAATGCAGGTTTCCATCCCAAAATCTGCACCAAGAAAGTACAGCCAATGATTACCTTCATCACAGATAGGGGGATGAGGTAGGAGAAAGAGGTGAAATCCGAAATTCGACGCGCATCAACAGCGGCAAGGTTGATAATACTTTGTCGGCTTTTCTTCAGGCTCGCCTCATCGTCTTCATCTTCATCCTCTTGGTCTGCAGGCAATCCTTTGGTCGACTCACGGGAATCATTGGTTTTCTTTGCCTTCTTGGCATGCTTCGCGTCCTTTCTGCGCATTGACTTGGCAAAGACAGTCGCCGACAGCTCTGCATAAATTGGAACGAACAATTTTGAGCATACTGACCAGAATACCCATGCTTCGATACTGGATTGTAAAAGCATCAAGCCTCCAAGCGCAAACACCCAAATCAAAGTTTGCATTGGGTGCCATGAGTCGAGGTCTCGGGCTTCAAGCGATTTCAGAATATTGAACAGAGCTGTTTGGGGCCCAAAACTGAGCACGCAGAGGACGAATGTCAGGAAAAGCTGCAACAAAAGAGACCTCCAGTGCGCGACAACAAGAGCTTTCCAAATCTTGCGATTTCCTCGCGAATTCTCGAAATGCTCCCGGAGACGATCGGTACGCTTCTCTGCTCGGAGTTTTGGCAAATCGGTAAGCGCGAGTGTTTTGTTCCTGGTGGCGAAGTTCAGGAGGCTATTGGCCCAGGAGAATGTGAATCGACCGAGCGCTGAGACTGAGCGTTCTCGATCCACGAGTTTTCCATTGAGAAAGAGATCCGGTTTCCGTGGCAAGAGAATGCTGAATAGTCCACGAAGTAACCCACTGGCGGCCTGAGTGATTACAAGACCGATCCAAATTTGTTGTAGAAATAGGATTCTCATGGCTCGTGAAGACCATGCAAGTTGCGCCTCCATCCCGGTGACGGCGAGCGCAACAAGACTACCGACAAACGCATATTGGCCTAGGTCAAATCGTCGAACTGGCCGGGGTTCTGTGAAAAAAGCAATAGCTTGAAGAGAGAGCAGAATCTGATTTACATGTCAATAAAATGATGGATACAAATAATTATCCAGTGTATGCTGGCCATATCCAACTTCATTTCTACGTACCCAAATTCCAACCTGGAGCCAGTTTAGGATGAGAAAGTCGGTATAGTCGAACGTTGTGAACACGGCGAGGCCCAGCGTGGCCAGAAATCCAGTTGTTGAAAAAATTGTAATCGCGATTCTCTGCCACTTATCGGAGAATGCGCGGAGAGACTCTTCCGACGCCTCGCCATCCTCATCACGATATGCGGTTTTAGCTAGGGTATGCTCCTCCGCCGGGGGCGATTTGCGACAGATCCGATCGGTGATACTCTGAAAAGCAGGGATGCTATCCAAGCCGACTATGAATAGGGCGACCGACCCCGTCACGATGCTGACGACCTGCGTGGTTGGGAGCATTCCTCGTGTACGACCTCAACGTCACTTTTGAGAAGTAGGTTAGAAGAGATGAAGGAGAGAAAAGATCCGAGAAGCAGAAGAAAAGCAGTGGAGCTGCGACTCCATAATACATGCAATTCGGGCTTATCTCTATCCTAGTCGTAAAAGTAGTTCGGTCAGAGCGGGTCTCATACTAAGAGCAAGGTCACATCGAGGCGTGCCGAGCGGGGAAACGAATAAATTGCCTGCCAGAACTCGGTGACTCAGTACCGATTTCGCAGGACTTGTAAAATCACGAGCCTCGTATGGACGCGGAAGCATAAATCCATTGATAGTGGGGAAGAACAAGAGAAGATCGACCTAAAGAACGTCCGATCCGATCACCCCGGAAGACCTAGACTGAACAAGATTTCCTCTGATATGCGCGCCGGGGAGGAGTCATTCGGCGGTCTGTGAGTCCGAGTCTCGAATCGATACGGGATGGGAGGGTGGAGGAACGTTCAAGAAACGGTGAAGCGCTATCGGTGCCCATTGGTCGCTCTCAGTGGTCATCATGACTCACGCTTCCGACTGGTTGCAACTTCCATTTTATTTTGCTTATGGCGGGCACCTTTCTAGGAAGTCGGGGACGCACGCGCCAATGTGCCTGTGCCTGCAGTGGACCTGGTGGAAGAGGAGGAGGTGGGGGCCCTTTCGTACTTACATGTCGCAAGCTTTGTTCTCCGTATTCCGTACCGGATGAAAATTGTATTCTTGGAGTCCACTAGTTAAGGTGGGGCGTAGTTTGATGCGACAAAGTAAGGTCTGAGTGGGCCTGGCCTTGGAGAAGCTTCAAGGGGTAAAGTGGTTGTCGTGGCCTTGATCATTGCTGCCAAGATTGGATTTGCGACAATCTGCACAATCCTCCTCAGTCGACAAGACTCGATCTCCAATTTCAGATACTCACTCCGTAAACGGCCGTTTTAAGCAACAACGCTCGGATTCTAACGTTGTGAAACCTTGGCTGCAGGCTATTTTCATCTCGGAGTATTACGCATCTGGGATTGTAAAGCACCCAATAAACACCATCAATGACGGAATTAGATGGGATACCTGATCAACTCAACTTCCAAGGTTATTGGTCATTTTAGATACTATATAAACGAGTAGCCAGATAAAAGGTCCTGTTTTCATCCACTTCCGTCGTGTCTAAATGGACCCGAACATAAAATGGGAAGAACTTGAAATACTCAAAGCATGACACAAATGCAAATCCACGTCGGGATACAAAGTCATACAGCACGCGAATATCTTCATCAAATAACATGTTTCTTCTCGCCACATTAATACATTCCAACGCCCACTTAGATCATTCTCACGACTTCTGTGTCATAAGTCAGTATCATCTGATAGTGTATTCACCACAATATCCAGGTCAAACCTTTTGGTTTGTAAACTTGAAGCGGTAGAAGACGTCTTCGTATTTTCTCATCTCATATGGCTCGGTTCGCAGTAGCACCATCCTATGTTTGTTGCTCCATCCCTTGCAACTCCTCAAAGTTGGTGAACTATGAACTGCCCCTCCGATCATCGGATCTAATATGAGGCTCACGTCAAGATTTGCTGGGCTAACAAGCAACGGATCGTGGATGTCTCCTTCGGTTAAATACTCGGCTCTTAGTGCGGACACCTCTTTATCGACGGCTGTATTAGACCCATCATAAGGAGATCTGTGATGTCCGACTTCGTCATCTGTTCCTGATTGACATGTCTCTGCCCTATCTGGTTTGAGGAGTTGTCTGTCAAGAATCCACTGCTCGTAACTCGGCTCTAAAGACGTCTGTATCGATCGTGTCGAAGCCGAGGCAAGTACCGCTTTAGAGCGAAGAAGCAGCCCTATGGGACGGTGTTTCAAGAGGTGGACACAGTTCATCGTCGGATTCGATCTGAAGTATGCTATGGAGGTGATGTTGGAGACCAGTCTTGGGTAATCTTGAGGCTCCTTTAACGATAGGAATAAATCATGTTGTTGAAGCCGCAAAGAATCTTTGTGCTACAAGATGACATCACCATTTCTTAGGATGTCATGTGCCGAACCAAGTAGACGGTGTTTCGTCTTTTTCTCAATCCATTTGCACTTAAGAGGTATTACTCTTGAGTCCGAGTTCTGTGCAGGCAGCTGATTCTACTCCTTTCTAGTCCGCGGGTATTTTGTTCGTCACAATGACATAAAGTAAGAATTGAGTAGTAGACACCCATTAGAAGATTGGATAGAAATTCGCCAAAAATTATAGTATAGTTATTGATCAGATTGAAATCGCTGCTGTCAACTTTCATAGCGGAAGAACCACCAATTCCCCATCGATATTGGCTACATACTCCGCCAGGTCAATTTCACTCGTTGTGTATTTGCCATCCGGTCCAGCAAGATCGACGTGGAGGATAGGGTCATGATTAGGTCCTTCGGAAGAGATACTCAGGTTTCGAGCTTTCTGACTGAAACCGTGTCCGCCCCAGGTTAAGTGACCTGACGTTAATGAGATCATGAAGCTAGATGTCAACTACCAGCTGTGTTACCACTTACCGTCCTCATTTCCCAGGTAGTCATCCAGAACCAGAGCAGTTTCCAGTCCAGATCCTTCATCATTGTTGCAAGTTGCAATTAAAGATGTCGCCCCGGGTCGGGTGCTAAGATGAACACCGCATGCGCTTTTTTGGAATGCCATATTTGATGTTGAATATTTGAAGAATTCAAGTCCACTGACCACATGGATGACGCGGGGTATTTTGTACTTTTACATTGTCGTGGCAAACACATGTCAGTTGAATTATTTAGCCCATTCTTCACCCACGGTAATGTTTTAACGATGACGCATAGCTACTAGTGGTTCCCTGGTTTCTTTATCTTGAATTTCCCCTTTTGAAATCTATATTCACCCCTCGGGTGTTTCTACAACTCTATAGATTCTAGTTTATTTTCTACTGGTCTACGAAGGAAGCGGAAGAAACGAAATAGATAATAGGAAATATCAGAGAGTATCAATTGATCATTTACTCGTTAAGCATAAGGAAAGTCGCTAGTTATCGTACAAAACTTCTTAGTATCGCTGAGTCTGAGCACCGGTCTTGTTACCACCGATGGTCTTGGAGCCATCGAGGTCCGAGTCAACACGAGGGTCAATCTTGTTCAGAGTGTCGTTGTTGTGGGGACCGGCAGTGGTAGGGCCACCGGAGCTGTAGCTGCTACCGGCAGCGCTCTCATGCTGAGACTGGTCAAAGTTCTTGGTGGTGGTAGGGCCCTTGCTGCCGTGTAGGCCGATAACCTGGTTGCCGCCCGCAATGCTGCCCTTGTGAACGTCCTGGTCGAAGCGGTCGACGCCAGAGTACTGGCCTGGGATGTGCTCCTTCTTCTGCTTGCTCTGGTCGCTATCGACACGGGGATCGACCTCGTTGGCGACGTTGCTGCTGTGGGGGCCTGCGGTAGAGCTGGCAGGTCCGGTAGCAGCAGAGTGGGCAGAGGGAACAGAGCCATGGCCTCCGGTCATACCAGTAGCACCGGTCGTACCAGTAGCACCGGTTGTGCCGTAAGCACCAGTGGTTCCAGCAGTGCGGGTGCTGCCGTGAGAAGCACGGCCATCGCGGTCACTGTCGAGGCGAGGATCAGCCTTGTTGGCGATGTTGCTATCGTGGTGACCGTGGTTGCTGGATCGGTTCAGGTCGTAGGCGTCGGCAGCGTTGCCAGTGCCAGTGGTGCCAGTAGTGCCAGTAGTTCCATATGCGCCAGTCGAGCCAACACCGGAGGAGATAGGCTGAGTAGAAGAGTGGGTAGTAGGAGCGAAGCCAGTCGAGCCAGCACCGGTGGAGATAGGCTGAGTAGAAGAGTGGGTATTAGGAGCGAAGCCAGTCGAGCCAGCACCGGTGGAGATAGGCTGGGTAGAAGAGTGGGTAGTAGGAGCGAAGCCAGTCGAGCCAGTCGAGCCAGTAGTGCCATATGCGCCAGTGGTACCAGTAGCGCCAGTGGTACCATAGGAAGCACGTCCATCGCGGTCACTGTCGAGGCGAGGATCAGCCTTGTTGGCGATGTTGCTATCGTGGTGACCGTGGTTGCTGGATCGGTTCAGGTCGTAGGCGTCGGCAGCGGTGCCAGTGCCAGTGGTGCCAGTAGTTCCAGTAGTTCCATGAGCGCCAGTAGATCCAGTCAGACCGGAGGTACCATGTGATGTGCGGCCGCTATCGACGCGAGGGTCAACAGTGTTGGCAGTGTTGGTATCATGAGGACCATAGTTGGTAGAAGTGGAAGTGTTGTAGGCTGAGCGGTCGCTGTCGATACGGGGATCGGCAGTGTTGGAAATATTGCTGTCGTGAGGGCCATGGTTGGATGATCGGGTAGAGTCATAGGCATTGGCATCGGTAGTACCAGTGGACTTGTGGTCTTTGTCACCGTGGTGGGTGACAGCGTCCTTGACCTTGTTGATGATGTTAGACATGTTGGTTGATGGAGAAAAAAGCTTGAAGAAAAAGTGTTTTGAAGATAGTAGATGAGTAGAAGATTGATGAGAGGTAATTGAGGAGAGATGATTGATGAGAAAGAAATGATTCCCCTGCTTCATGAAGGAGGTTTATATACTAGTGAGTAGATACGATCAACAGGTGTTGGCTTATGACGCCATGTGTACAAACGCGCCAACGCCAATGCCAACAAAGACCTGGCATGACGTGCTATCCCCGCAGTGTCAGTTTCGAACGTGAATATCAATCTCAATCAGAGTTACTGGTTACGGAATACGTACTCGTACTGGTGAGATTCTAAGTCAACCTGCTGGAGGTGGTGGGAAGATCCCAAACCGGGCAGCATGACGATCGGCAACGTCATACTAGATACGCCACCGACAGCGTTGGTCCCCCCATCAGCCTTATGTTATGCATGGAATAAGAATAGAATCCCCCCCCGATCGATCCCATCATAGGGGAATATATGTTTATCACTGCATTGATTTGGAAGTAAACAGTGGGTTGGGAGTCGATCTCAATCATTTTGCGTCATCTACAAAACGTCCGGAAACCGGCTGATCGCCGATCGCCAGGCATCTGAGTACCACCACGTCGATCAGGGTTTTGAATTAATTTAAAGAAAATTCCAGCTGGTTCAGGTACGTAATTGGGAGCTGCCCGTGAAGATCGCAATAGCAATGGTGGGATGTGAGAGGGTGAGATCTCTACCAAACGGCTCGATGTCTTGGTATGAGCTCCATGTGGGATCCCCAAGCTCCTAATTAGAGCTTCCGTCTTGTGGCTTACACCTTCCTGCCAAGAATGATGAAAGACCACATCTTCCTTCTGAATTCCTGCTTCAATGGCTTACAAGTTTCAACTATCCTGCACGCTACCGTCATCCCAGAGTCTAGCCAGTGGTCGAATAGTGATATTCCTTGAATCCCTGTCGACTGTGGCGGTCGCGGTCTGAACCCCGTACTGCCTTGGATTATACAGCTCGGGAGCCAATAACTGTCAAGGCCGGGATGCACGTTATTCTTGATTTCTATGTAGACTCTTGCCACCAAAAGGCAGTCCCGGTTCGGCAAGCCGTGCGCCAGCCACAATGTTTACTGGCCACATTTAAAAATAAATTTAAAAATGTTCATGACTTTTGGCATTCTCTTTTTCTTTGAGTGCTTACCATTCGCCATCGTTTGATGATCCTATCCTATGTAAAACTTGGCCCAGGCTGTCTTACCGATTCGGTCTACGTAGTGGCTTCCCACTTGTGTCGAGGCCGCCAGGATAAACTCTCCCCTCCCGGAGTCCCCTCCACCAAGGTACTACTATTAGTACTACTTTCTGGTAGCGTGTCATTTGAAAATTCTATATGACGCATCGTGGATAGATGGGTGATATATCCAGGGCCAAATTGAAGAGGCACTTATGACAAAGGCATTACAATCCCCATTTCGCCCCTGTTGTCGAAGGGTGAATGATGTGTACCGACTTGTATCGCTGAGTTTGATTTCTGCAATCAAAATGTTTCCAATATTTACTTCTTCAAGTGAGAATACTACCTAGTCACTGCCAGAATTTCAAGTTTGAGGTGTTGAGATTAATTAATTCAGCCGGTACTGGTACCAATGGATCCTAGTGATAGTGCACCAGTTACTATTAATTTTCGACAACATATTCAGTAGCCACCTGGGGCGCATTAAGGCTAGTACTACCAGGTGTCACTATTGCCGGGATCTAAGAACCATAAAGTGACGATGTATGCTAGGAAAGGAGTAGGTATGCGATATATATGCCTGACCTGGAGAGCAAAATGCATATCAGCCTCAACTTGAAACAATAGGATATCCCATCCTTTCCTTTCAATTTCTGTTTGACTACTACCAGTAACACTCCTCTCAATGGCCGCCTGGGCTGCAAGTGCAAGGTTGACGGCAGATGTGAGGTCGTTTGTTCCTTTTGCACCTTCCTTAAAGACATCGGTGAATCGGGTTTTGCACACAACAACGTCCTCGTTCTCTAAGAAAAGCAAAGCATTTAAATATTCATCCTACTCCAAGAATCGTGAGTGGTCATTCTCTGCTCAGCAAATCGCCGATCTTCTGTATCCAGAAGCTCCTGACTTTGGAACATACTAAGATCTAAGATGCGGGATTTCACCATGCCACCAGACGGTACAGCCTCTCCGGGAGAGGCTCCCCTGACGACTACATCGTTGGAATCGATCCAGACAATCGAACAGCACAAGCTTCTAGATCTTGTCAATCCCCTGCATCGTGCAGGGCTCAGCTCGACCCTTCAGTTGCCACAGATCGCCGTTTGTATCAGTCCTCCGGAAAAAGCTCGGTACTCGAGGCTATCACTGGAATCCCCTTTCCGCGCAAGGAGAATCTATGCACTCGTTTCGCTACCGAAATCATCATGAGACGCGATACGGTGGACGCCATGTTCTGCAAGATTAATCCTGACCGAAGCCGCGGTGAGCAGCAACAGGCAGACCTCCGCAAGTTCTCGAAATCTATTCAAGACTTTGGTGAGCTTCTATCGCTGATTGAGGAGGCTACGGTGGTGATGGGGCTGGACGAGCATAATGCCTTTTCAAAAGATGTTTTGAGTAATGAGATCTGTGGATACAGCAGCAACGATTTCAGGCTCACGTCAAAGAGTCAGTCACCGCTGCAACGGTAAATGTAGCTGTTTATGAAAAGACAGCCAACAGCGGAACCACCAAGAACAAGGAATACATTAGTCCCGGGATATTCAATAAGGAATTCGAAAAGAATTTCGAGCAAAAGATGGACAGATATTCGGCCGGGCAAGCTCTGGATGCTCTTAACGCATATTACAAGGTATCTCGGGTCCATTCCATATCGTATAGACCTTCCTTTGCTTCGGCATGGAGACTCTGTTGTGTCACAAAATACACCAGCTAACTTATTTTCCAGTCAGAGCGGAAATATTTTATGATGTCGTTGCAAAGCAGGTCATTGAGCGTCATCTTGTGACCCCGTTGTCTGAGGTCCTTTCGCCAAAAGTTCTAGCTCGTTACAGCGACCAGGATATTCAGGATTTGGCCCCTGAGCAACCAGAGGTGATCCAAAAGCGGGATGATCTAAATAGTAAAGTCAAGATGTTACAGGAGAGTCAGGAGGCATTCTGTATTGCCTTGGGTCGGGATATGTGAGGGAATACGACCTGCTGGCTCTGGCCAGAAAGTAAACATTCGCCAGCTGTCCGGTTTTTATGTTCTTCGTGTCATCCGGCCATTTACAACCAGCTCATGCTGCTTTAGTTAGCGTTAATTAGGTCTACGATGAATAGCGACGATCTTCCGAAAGTATTTCTTTGGACCTTGAATACATTATGCTAGTATAAATATAGCTAGTAGTATACGCTATGCTAAGGGTATCGAGTAGTATCATTAAATCATAAGTGAAAGCCCCCACTCTCGGAACACGACGATCAATTCCGCCAGGTGTCATAATTCCATCTCGCTTCAGTGCTTGGGTCCGACCCGAACACTTTGTGGGTTGTGGAAAACATCATTGGGATCAACTTCCGCCTTGATAGTCTCCAGTCGAGGGAGATTGCTTCCCCAGTAAGCGAGCTGAGCATTCTCCATGTACGGATCCACGTAGCCGGGATATGCCCCAAAGCGTGCGGTGGGAGCCTCTGAGACAAGAATAACATTATTCATACCCTGAAGAAAGTTCTTTGTCTCTTGTGAAACTGGACCAATAATGCTTATCGCGTAGGATTGCATCCACATGAATGCATCCCGGTGAGCATACGCAGTAGCACCAGTGGGAATATCGTTGGTCGCGCCACCCTCCAGATCAAATATAACAAACCATGCAAGAGTACCCTTGTTCGTCTTGTCAATGTACTCGAACAAAGCATCGACACCATGGTCCGGAATGATTGTCTCGTTGGTGAAAGGCATAGACTTGGAGTAAAAGTGAGCGGGAATACCACCAACCACGCGCTCAATGAGTTCTTCAACTTGACTCCCAACCATGCCTAGCCAGTTACTCAAGGTCAATTCAAAAGCGGAAGTACTTCCCGGGAAATGGTTCTCAAACTTGAATAACTCAAATTCCTCTCGGGATCCGAAATAGGTACCAGAGACAATAATCCCAGCTTCTGAGATTAGGAGCTCCGAAGAAAACTTCCGAGTCAAAGTTTCGCTCGAGATAAGTTTCTGCCACTGTTTGAAGACCGCAGCCTTGGCCTGCGAATCTCCTATACTCCAAGTGAACGAATATTGGTAGGCCTCGGTCGGTGCGGGATGAGTGTGAAGTTTGAATTCAGTGACGATGCCAAAGCTCGCTGCAGCACCCCTGATAGCAAAGAACAGATCTTGGTTCTCGTCCTTGGAGGTTTGGACGACGGAAGAGTTGGCCAATACAACGGTTGCTTCTTCGACATGATCCATGGCCATGCCCCATTCTCGGGACTTAGGACCAAGACCACCAATTGTTAGATGGCCGCCAGTGCCAACCTGCGGACAAGTGCCATGGGCGATAGCACGTCCACCAGCATCATGCAGACGGGTTGTCAAGTCTCCAAGGAGAGTCCCCGTGCCAATGGTCGCGATGTGGGTATGCGGGTGCATCGAGAAATGCTGAAAGTGCTGCATATCAACGACGATAGCACCATCTACGCCACCAAGCCCTGGTAAAAGGTAGGTTAGATGGTATTTGAAACGAGCAGCGGCAGGAATGACAAATGTGACACACCATGGTTAGCGTAGCTGTGGCCGCCACTGCGAGCTTGGACTTTGTAGTCGTGCTGCACGGCGCATCGTACAATGTCCGCAACTTCATCGGTGCTCTTCGGATATGTAATCGCAGCTGGAGTTACTGGGATGTCCAGATTATAGACTGGGGGCAGTGGAAGTGAACCTCGAAAGGTGACTCTGCGGGCATCATTGCCGACAGCTGCAAGGAAACAGCCGTGACCGGCGATGCTCTGGGAGTTACCCATGAAGAAAGGAGTGGAGGTCCAATCAGGAAGAGTTGAAGAGGCGAAGAATGGAAGAGAACAGGAAGAAGTAGAGGAAGAGGAAGAAGAAGTTGCCGCGGCGAGTTTACGCTGTTCAGACTGGGCAGGCACGAGTGTACTGTGTGGTACATCGCGAGGAAGGCGCGACTGAAAGATCCGGAATGCTGGAAAACCCAAACTGAACCCCTGGGACAGTTGGTGCTATTAATACTACACTCTACTGTGTTGTATTGTAGTACTACAAGTATAGGTTATAGACAGAGGTCCTTGAACAAAGATATTCTGATTGAATGGAACAATGATGCATCTATGAGCGCTATACCTGGCACTGACCAGTACTAGCATCTTCGGTGGTCACGTAAGCCCTAAGTGGGATCCATTCCCCAGCACCAACAACAACATCCCTTGAATAACTGCATAAATTTAACTCGGTCTATCTACACGTATAATCTACTTAGAAATGAGCAAGGAAGCCCGATCTGGATCCGCCCTCGGGCAATTTCCTCCTTTTGCACTCCACTCGGGGACGCTTTGAGCCGGGGACCTACAGGTCCCCGACTTCTGTCATGACTATTCTTCCATTTAACAATTGCAATCTCACATTCTCATCTTCATAGTCCCTCATTTCTTCCTTATTTCTCCTCCAGTCTTATCGATTTCACCCCACGCCTTGTGCCCTTTCGATCTATCAACTCAATCCCATGTCCGGGGACGATATCCATGACATCAAATAAACTTTCAATGTCCTCATCACCCGCAACTTCAAAAAGAATCGGCCTTTCTCCTTCGTCCTCTTCCTCCCTGTCACCCATCACGTTATAAATAGCCATGTTCACACCCATTCAAACCTCCCTCGGAGCCTGGCTTTTATTCCAGGGCTCCTCGGGTCTACTCGTCCATAACGGCGCTGTCTTCGGCATATCCTCCCTTCTTTCGGGTTCCGTCTTCAATCCATCAAAGGAGAACATTCCTATCATCGCTGGCTTGGTCTCGAGTATCCTCCCAGTCTACCTGCTCGCCCCATCTTTGCTCCCAAGCTACCCTGCAGCTCCGGATTCATTGGCTACGGCGGTGACAACTTTTGGAGTCGGACTTCTCCTAGGTTGGGGTACAAAGGTGCGTGATATACTACGAGTTTTAGCGGTGTTGAAATGCTTCTCTCGTATAATGGAGGGAATTTTCTTTTGAGAATATATGGAGAACATACGCAATACTGAACTAGACAAAGCTAACACTCTACAACGGCACAGAATGGCCGAGGATGCACTTCCGGACATATGCTCTGCGGAATATCGCGACTATCCGCACGCTCAATAATCTCAACAGCGATATTCTTCACAACGGCCCTTATAACCGCTAATGTCGTCGGGGGAGGCTCAAACATTCCACCCTGCGGCCCATCAACACCATGCTACACAGCCATGGCCCCCCTCAGCACCCGAGCTAGCCTTTATATCCGGCGCGGTTATATTATCAACGATCACGAATTTCTTCATTATTCCTAAATCATTCACCCGGAGCGAGACAAGTCGAACTGCCTTTGCCTACATCGCCGGACTCGAGTTCGGGCTCGGCCTATTGATCTCTGGAATGGCGGACTCGGCTAAGGTCTTGCGGTTCTTTGCTCTACCCACCGATCCCTCTCGTTTTGATCCCTCCTTGGCTCTCATCATTGCATTTGGCCTTGGTCCTTCACTCGTGACATATTTGTCATTGGAACCGGGTCAATCGTCGGACAAGGATAAGTCTGCCGCGAAGCCGACGCTAGCTGAGCGTTGGAGACTCCCTACGGCGACGGTGGCGGATATCGACTGGCGATTTGTGGCTGGTGCGTTGGCCTTTGGCGTGGCGTGGGGGTTAAGAGGAGTCTGTCCTGGCCCGGCTCTTTTGAGGGCAATTCTCCAGCCTAGTTGGGGGTTGGTGACGATGAGTGGATATTTTGTTGGTAACCTCTTCTAGATGGAGGGGGTAGATGATGGGACAGGATAGACATTGGACACTAGTATTATTTAAGCACCATAGAAGATAGATATGTATTGTAGCTGGAGGTTAGATAAAACTACTTGTGGTAATAACGAAGAGTATTTCGTCACTGAAAACAAAACGTGAATCGTTCTTATCATAGGCTGTGTGATGCGAAATCAGCATGGGTATGCGGATAGAATAGTAAAACTATGCAGTGCGAGCGGCTCAAAATGATTTACTGGGTATATAACACGAAATTGGAATGTGAAACCCCGCAGAGCAGCGAGGGGACGTGGAAATGGAAATACGGGAAAGGCTTACAATTCGGTCTTCTTGTTGAGACGAATAGCCTCTGCCTCAAACTCAAGCTCTTCATCCCGGCGCGACTTTGACTGTGACTCCGCCTGCTGCCCAAAATCCAAGTACCCCTCCAACTCCATCCACTCGGCCGCAAAAGCAGTGATGACCAGACCCCAGTCTTCAACCGTGGCCATATCAAGATGCTCCGCGTCATCATCAAGGGTATGCCAAACAGGCGGGAAGCCCTTGAACGGCGTAAAGTCAATAAGATGTAAAACTTCCACGCCGCGCGCTAGAAATGGAAGATGATCATCCGAGATTCCACCAAAGGGAATAACATCATGCGAGTTCTTCTTTGAATCAGGGAACCAATGTTGATCTGAAGCGGTTTTCATCCGACCCAGGGAACGCAAACGCTCCTCGGCCGCGGCGAGGCTTTGATATGCCCAGTGAGTTGTCTGGTAATATGATTGGATATTGGGTGCTTTAGAACCGAGGAGGTCAAGAAGGACGAAGAGTTCGATGGATGAGAGGGGTGTTTTGTAGGTTGACATTGCCGGGTAGAATTCCGAACTCCAGTCCGCGGCCAGAGACCGCGCACCGTATAGAGAGTCTGTATCGGACCAGTGGTCGAAAGCTTCTTCGCCGTCCAAGAAGAGGATCTGGATGCCACGTTCGTCCTCAAGAGACGGGTCCAATCCTTCGGCACGCATCGCGGTCCATTTCGCATCCAGGGCCGTATCAATGGTGCGCACGGCGTGCATGAGGATCGCACATGGGGCCGCGCTATCAATGGCACCGATGAAACCCATCGGTGTCAGCTTGCTATCGTAATGCGCGACCAATGTCAACCGCCCGACATCTCCAACCGGGGCTCCTGGCGGATCGCGCGAGGCAATGAAATTGACAAAGGGGACTTCCTTGCCCTTGGATATCGGGGTGGTGGAAGTCGAGTTCTGCAGTTCAATGTTCCATTTCGGTAATGTTGTTCGAAAGAAGTTGGCGAAGTGTTCGAGGACTGCTTCGTGGCCTTCTGTTCCTGGGACGCGAGTGCGGAGGATCGGCGAGAGGAGGGAGCCCGTGTGGATGTCGTAATCTCCACTGGCGCGAGGAAGGGAATTTAAAGACTCATCGGAGAGTTTCTCATAGGCATATCTGGGGGCAGCAAGAGGAACAAGCTGAGGAGGAGGAAGAAGTGGCCGATAAAGCCACGATAAGCCGGAGACATGGCGTCAATGACGGGGAGAAGAGAAGCTCGCCTAGCTGTTCATGACTTCATCGGAGGTCATAAAAAACCCAGACCGGCTGGGGTAGGAAATATAAGCACAGAATTGACACCCAAGACAGGAGAGAGACTCAAAAAGAAGAACAAGACTAAAAGAGACGGAGGAGAGGCAAGCGGAGAGAAGCAACAAAGCCAAGCGGAGCCCCGGGGAGATCGGCGGGCGGTGAAGGAAATAAACTGAGAACTGCCGCCATCCTGCATCCTCCTATGGGAACAGCCCAATCCCAATTCAATTCATTCCAACCCATTCAATGCGCATTCTTCTACATCCCACACTGCGCGCCTTGCCCAGATCAGCTCAGCGCGATCTACGCAGTCGGGTCTGGCTGCGTTTCAAAACTCAAGTCCCACTTCCATCTCAGCGCAATGCCCCCAAAGCGCCTCCTCCGAAGACCGTCACAGGAACTACCCCCGAACCACCCACAATAACATCCTCCGCGGAGTCCGTGAAGACAACCATTCGAAAAGGTAGGACAGAAAAGTGTCCGCGGTATCGAGACATGGTCGATATGCTGACTCTGGGGTTACAGGGCCACCGGAGCGTATTCTAATTTATTATGGAGGAACCGGCCGATCTATGTTTTTGGGAATGCTTCGAGTAACCACGATTTTCCTCTTCGGCGCCGCATGCTTTATTGTAGCCCCGACTTGCTGGGCCGACGAGAGCCAGCAATGGATGACCCCGCTAGGTGAGTGCTGAGTGCTGTCTACACTACACAGCCCTTCCCCGACTCGGTACTGGGACTTGTACTAACAACAGCCAAAGTCATAATCGGCGGCGCAATCCCCATGCTCTCATTCGCATACGTCGCCGCTCCCTATGTCAACTTCGTGCATCTGGCCCTACCTGCCTTCGCCCGGAAATCACGAGAAATGGCCGTGCACTATGCAAAGGATCTCCCGCCCAATGCAATCCTGTACATGAACACAATGCGATGGAACACCATCCCCGCCAAACAACCGTCCGTCTGGGCGATCTGGTCACAAACAAACACCCCGTTCGACCCGTTACTTTCCTCAACACAAAGTCCACCCCATCACCCTGGTATCGAACGAAGTCTCCGACCCAGTTCTTTACAGCGGAGCAGAGTCAACCCGGACGACAGACAACGGCTTTTTACCCTGAGTTGTGGCCGACTATCTATAGACGGATTCAGAGCCAGAAGCCAAAACGCTAGCATTATGTGGTGGGGGGGGTTGGAAGAGTCTACGGCCCCGGGGAGTTGGTTTGGTTGTTTCTATGATTGTATGATACCTTGCATCTACCACACCTTTGTACTATTAGAGATCTCGATATATGCAGGCCTTTCTTCTGGTCTTCTTACTTCAACTCTTGGAATCGGTTAGTAGGGATAGTAGAGCTGTAACCTTCCCCACATTCCCATCAAAATGGGGATTTTTGAGTAAGATTTTGAACCACTTCATCAATATTCAATACTATTGACTAATATTTAACTTCTGAAATGATTCTTCATAGGTGTTCAGAAGCGCAGAAGAGAGTCGGACCTCTCTAAAAATTCCGGCCTTCAAGGAGACTAGGAAAAGATAGCTGGGCATATATCAACGAGCAGATGGCGCATGAGGAGTTTCAATAGACAACTTGAAGGTGTTGCTGTCAGACTTCTACGAAAGGGAAGTGGAAAAGTTGCGAGGGAACAGAGTCTCGTAGTGAGACAAGCCCTTTGGTCTAGCCTCAGGGCAGTTGGTACCAATAAGCTCTGGCTCCATCCATACACCAAGAATCATTCCAGCATCACGTATCCTGTCTAGAAGAAGCTTGAGCCCACTTGGAGATCACGTTTTAGATGATGTCCAAATACCAACAAAGCTCCACCATCCCTTCGTATCGGAGTACTAGCCTGCGTCGATAACAGCATTCGGGACCGGCTTTTCTAGCCGGCTCAATCAATACAGTCGCTTCCTTGGTATTGGGATTGCCTTTCAGGCAATTAATGGTCATTGAAGGTAATGCTAGGTTGATGTTTTCTTCGTGGTGTTGACGTATACGACGGCGGTATTTGACCGCGCTTGGTCTAGTTCCTAATTGGCCAATTATATGCGGAGTTGTATCCAGTCATCCCCGGGCCTAGCTGAGAAGTCGTTTGTACAGACAAATGCTGCGTATCAATAGATCTGATTGTATGAACGTTTGAGAATAATGTTATCATTGTAAGAGATAAGCCCCATTAAGAACGCCATTTGACCGAGATGTCTGACAAGAAAGAAATAGAGTGTGACAAATCGTAGAACAGAAACAACATAGAATGAAATGAATCACGAAGTACCTCACAAGGCCTCGATAGCTTTGCGCAGCACCTCCAGACCATGATCAGCAATATCAGCATCATCCTCGCCCGAAGGCTCACGCAGAGCCCAGGCAACATCACTCCACCACCCGAGACCAACATACCCACCGCCCTTCCGGCGTTCGAGACTTTCCTTAAGTCTACTGGTATGCTCCCACTGCTTAGCCGCCTGCTCAGCACACTCAATGACCTTATTCGAAATTCCACACATGGCCGCGCAGTGCATGCCGAAACTACCCTCCGCAACACCGTCCTCAAGCTTGTAGAGGAAGGTCACGCGACGCTCGGCCTCATCGACTTGGATGGCCATACGCTTCGGGGTGATTTCGGGATGGCCCTCGAACTCGGTTGCGAGGGAGTGGTAGTGCGTTGCGAAGAATCCCATCGCGCCGATGTGGGTGGCGATGTGGTGCAGGACGGCCTGCGCGACTGCGACACCGTCGTAGGAGCTGGTGCCACGGCCGAGCTCGTCGAGAATAACTAGCGAGCGTGGCGTTGCTTCGGAGAGAATCTTCTTCGTCTCCGAGAGCTCAACGAAGAAGGTTGATTGAGCAGCGAAAATGTTATCGTTGGCTCCTAGGCGGGACATGATTCGATCCACTGGGGTGAGTCGGGCGGACTGGCAGGGGAGGTAGCAGCCGATCTGGGCCATGATTACGGCGACGCAAGTCTGGAGAGTTGTTTTGTTAGTCTTCTTTGATCGGAATAAATGGGGGAGGGGCCAATAGTTACCATTCGGAGAAGTGTTGACTTTCCGGCAGCGTTGGCTCCGGTCAATAAGTCGATATTGGCACGGTTGCCGCCGAGCTGGACATCATTGGGAATGAAGTCTTCAACGGAGGAAAGAAGACAGGGATGGCGCAACTCTTCGAATTCCAGGACGCTTCGCTCTTCATCGACGAAAACTGGACGGCAGCTTGGTTGCCCCAGAGATGCGGACGCCTTGGCCAGGCTGATCAAACAGTCTAGTTGGGAAACAACGCGAACAGCGGCTAGCCATGTACCGTAGTGTTCATCGAACCGGGCATGGAAGCGGCCGGCAACCTCTTTCACGATTTGGCCGTGTGTTTCCTGGGCTTCCTGGAGTTTACGGATGGAACTCCGAAGCTCGGGGAAACAGTACCGCTTGACCTGCTTGGTAGCAGACATCTGATTCCAGTCCTTCGGAATATTCTTCACCTTGATCGGGACCTCAAGCTGGTAGATCTCCTTGCCATTGTCACGGTAGCAGATGGCAGTTGATCCTAGCTCACGGCGTGATTTCTTCAGAATATTATCGAGATCCTGATGAAGCTGATCAATCGTCTCTTGCGATTGGTCGAAATCGCTTTCCACACCAGTCTCCGGAACAAGTACCCCATTCTCCTTGGCCTTGGAACGATCAAATGCAGTCTTCCAGTATGCCAGGAGCTCGGTCATGTCGGGCATAGCCGAGATCAATTGTCCGATGATTCCCTCGCCAGAACCACTATCTTTTAGGAGACCCATGGTATAATCAATTTGTTCGAATCCTTCGAGGACACGAACGAAATCTTGAGCCTTGCAAACGCCTGCATGAACACGAGAAATCAACCGCTCCAGGTCAGGCATCTTAGTCAGTTGCGAGGAGAACTGATCCCGGACGCTGGGGTCAGCGTTCAGAGAGTCGACAGCATCCAATCTCGCATTGATTCTCTGCGAGTCCATCAATGGATGGCAGACCCACTGCTTGAACAAACGCTTGCCAAAGGGTGTGATACACTTGTTGAGGAGTTGGAATAGTGTACCATCCACACCTCCATCGAATGAATTGGCAAAGATCTCCATGTTGATCAAAGTTTGACCGTCCAACACCAAGCTGGAAGACTTCTTGATCGGATCATACCATGTAAAGTTGCCGATGGTAATCAGGTCGCGTTCGATCTTCAGGAGGCGCAGGTATTGAGTCAGAGCACCAAATGCAGACATGAGAAGCTCCTTCTCGCGCGCCTGGCGTAAAGTCTCAGGCCAAGCTTTAATATTATCATCATCTTGAGAAACGAAATAATCGCTAGCATCCAGCTCCTTCAATGTAATATCCGCCTCCCAAAACTCTTTGCCTGGTTTCATGTAGTTCCATAGGGTGGTAGGTCCGGTGTTGTTCTTCAGAATACGCATCATCTTATGCGAAACGCAGCCCTTCTCAAGCAATAATTCTTGCGGGCGGGTCTGTGCAACGAAGGTCTCGAATTTCGTCATGTCGATATCGTCAACAAACTCGGAGATGAAAAACTGACCCGTCGCCGTGTCGACAAAAGATAGGCCGAATGCAGGGAGATCGTCCACGATAGCTTCCTTGATGGCAACACAGTATGTGGACATATCGTCTTGAAGCATGGACCCTTCAACAAGTGTACCAGCAGTGAGGACACACGCAAGTTCACGCTTGATGATCTTGTCTTCCTTGCCAGGTTTCTTTCCATCCCGCTCACGCATTTCTTTGCCGAGTGCGGACTCGGACTGATCTACACGAGCAATCTTGTAACCTTTGGCGACAAATTGGTTCGCCCAGTGGGCCAAGCTCATTTCGGGAACACCGACCATGCGCATGTTCACTCTGTCCGTAAGTTTCAGATCAAACAATTGATGGCCAATGGTAGCATCATTCTCGTAAAGCTCGTAAAACTTTCCCTTCTTGAAAAACACAACAGTGTCCCAGAACTTCTGCTTAATTTCCCAGTATTGCTTCTCGAACGGTGAGAAGCGGGACCAGGCGAGGGGAGGAATATAGATCGTTCGAGGATCAAAATCGGGGTGGCCTGGAGGGTTCTTGTCGATATCCATGGGGTTGGCAAGCCAAGGGTAGCGCGCCTCGGGGTCTCTGACATGAGCCTTTTCCTTCTTCGTACTGGCGGGAGCCTTGGTGTTCGTTTCACGCTCTTTCCGAGGCTCTGTACTTTCTGGGTCAAACGTCCACTTAAGAGCAGTTCCCCCCGAGCTCTCGTGGAGCTCAATGTCGAGGTCTTCGTCGGCCGGTGGGGGTGGTGGAAGCGAGGAGGACTGGTTGGAGCTCTTGCGCGCAGATTGGGGAGCCGATCTCTTTCGCTTCTTCGCGGGTGCAGCGTCCTCGTCGGAGTCATCGGCAACGACAAAGTCGTCCATCTCTGGTCAGGGTCAGTATTACACACGAGGTATTCCAGGGCAGCGTTAGAACAAACCATCGTCCGAATATCCGGCATCCTCTGCACCAGCTTCGAACTCGTCTTCGCTTTCTACCACAGTCTTCTGGCGCTTCGCGGCACGACCTCCGGCACCGTTCTTCCGGCTGGGACGGAAGATAGCTTCATCATCGTCTTCGCCTTCAGAGTCAGATTCCTTATAGCTGACCTGTTTCTTCTTGGACTATTGGAACACGATTGTCAGTATGAGGAGAGTTATGTTAACGGAACTGAGAAATAGACATACTCGACGTGAAGGGGTCATTTCTGCATCCGGGGCTGCGTCGCCTCCAGTCTAACGGGAACAATTGTCAGTGGTGCGGAGGATGGAGGAGCGGATGCAAAATGCGAACAAACACACCTTTACAGCATCCACATTTTCCTCGTCTTCATCCGGGATGGGCATATCACTACTAGGCACAGGGGTCAAGTCCTGTGCAAAGCTAGAGAAACTTCTCTTTTCCTTGGGTTTCGTAGCACTAGCAATAGCACTACGTTGTTCGGAGGCTCGTTGGGCTGGAGAGGAGGCGGGCTCGCGGGGTTTCGCTTTGACACTAGAGGGTGTCGCGGGAGATGACTTCTGGAAAAATCCCAGAATAGACTTCTGGCTTTTCATGTTCTGGGCACTCGAGGTGGTTCGTTTCAACGCGGAGGAAGGTGTGCCGGTTGGCGAGGAGGCGTCTCCTTTGGCCATTGTGGTCAATTGAAAGGCGATTTGGTATAAAGAGGGACTTGTCGGTATAAAGAAAGGCTCAGGGCATGCTGGTATAGATTGAATTGAAAGGGAATGGCTGGGACTAAGACATTAGAAGGGCGACAGGGGATGGAATACGCAGTGGATGCGATGGGAAGTTGAGCGGAGGCGATAAGATCGCGCATCGCGTCGACGCGTATAGTGCCCGCGGTCCTTAGTCAGCGACTTTCAGTGTTCAACTGTGATCTATCACATCACATCACAGAACGGAAAGAAATAGTTAGTGATGGTGCTTATGGGAATACACGGTTGGGATTCGATCTGCTCACTTTGATATACTTCTATTCTCAATGCACCCTGGCAATAAGTGATGGCTTCAAGCATAACTTGAACCAGAACACCACGTTACTAGTGCTTCATACAACTACAGCCCAGTAGATGCCAAAATGGTATTTCAATTGAGAAGACTTATTCTGCAATAAACAGTGCCCATATCCCTTCGTATTAATTTTCTGTTAGTTGAAATTGCAGGTACAATTTTCTATCTAGCTACTCATCAATCAATTCAGCCTCCGCTCCTATCAACTACTGTACTTCCGGCCCGTGCTCTTCCCAAAAATGATGGCACCATCATTCAAGAACACTTCATGATCCGGGGGACTTGTTCTCAGGGACTGGGCATGATTGCATCCACCGTCAACTCTAGCTTCGCAATCGCCTAAGATACTATTTCTTTTCGAGACCTTCAGGTAAAGCTTGGCCGCAAGTCTCGGCTTCCCCTGCGTACCTCCATGCTTTTCGGATAGCGACTTGACACATTCCGCACTTGCCATGAGATAATTGTCTCGGGGAAGAGGGCACCATGCTTTACAGACCGTATTCGGACTCGGTTGAATCGCATCAGCTATGCCCTTGCACAACAAAACAAGCATATCGGGATTTTCACGGGGAATCTTATACCACGACTCAGACGCGCTGAGTGGCAATTTGACTCTCTTGTCATTTGATGGCCTGCTGGCTGCAATATCACATATTTCCCAGCCTCGAATCCAACGTCGTTCAGCTACTCGAATTGAGGTTTCGTTCAAAATTCTCTGCTGTTCTTTTCTCCTCTCCATTGCGCAAAATATGTGCTTCAGTTTGGTCATGAAAAACAATTCTTTTTCATCGGCGTATGCCTCGCGCAATACGAGGTTTAAATTCTCCATCACCATGTTGAATGCAGCCTGTCCACCTGTAGTACAAGGCGGAATGAAGGGAATCTTGTTCACGATTTTGCTGGCGTTTGGCTGTCTCGAGGCCCACGCATGAGCAGTGAGAAGAACAGAATTCAACTCTGGGACCATGAAGCCAGTCTTCTTCTCTGTGTCATATATAATACAACAATTGTCCTTTGAGTTCAGCAGCCTATCCTCTAGGCAAGTCTCTTCTCTCTCGATCGACGCAAACAATCCCTTCGTGAAAATGACTTTGGACCCAATCCCGCCCCCAAAGATACCCAGGCCTTCAGTCCCCATTGTCGGGTTTATCTCTCGGCCAATTCGTAGAGTTGTTGGGCTGCATTCGGCCTGTGATAAAGTAATGCTTTCGAAACCTGAATCTCGTGTACCCACGTGAATATATGCCTCGCTGCAATATCCAACAAAGGATCGTCGGCTGTGCATAGTATCGACTTCGAGATCGGGTGGTATAGTCCGTTTGAGTGCTTGAGGTATAGTATCTGCGGATAGCCACTCTCCCGGTCCACGAAGTCCAATGAAATGCCACTGGAGGGTATCATTACCTCCCCCAAGTGCCGGTATGAGCATCGTCGAATAGCCTTTAAGGATCATCCCTTGTGGTAACTCCAAAGAATAAGATATTCTGCCGAGTTGGATCAAAATGTCCAAAGGAATCTCCAAACCAAGCTCGCCTGTCCTATTAGGTACAGGGTATCCTTGAGCTATAACACAATTCTGGAACAAAGGAATCCAGCAGGAGCCCTGCTCAGGCCTGGCAGGTGTAAATCCCTCGTGTGTGATGGTATATCCAAGCCTCCGATCTTCTGGAGAATCTGATATGTGTCCTTCATCAAGCCTCGCTGACAGCTCGGGACCTTCCATGATCAAGGACTTCGAATAATGTACTTCACGGAAGCTGCCAAATATCCCCTCTGGGTACGTTTGAAAGACGGCAACTACCCACGCCATCAAAGTGGCTAGCAAACAAACATCTTCTCCTCTTCCTTTAGCAATGATAACCGGGTAGGCTCCTTCTGTGCAGTTCACTTCGCATACAAGGTTATTGTGAACTCGATTCCGTGTTGATTCTATATGATGTAAGCTAAGCAAGACTTGATCAAATAGTCCAGTATCTCATCCGTTCTGGAAAATGACTTTTCCTTCCCCGATTGGCTCTGGATCACACAATTCATCGTCCGCGGAGCCGGGTATGAGTTCTATAAAGCATAGTAGATATCTTACCAAAATTCTGGCAAGCATCCACAATAAATTGAAAAATACCCAGTGCCCATTCTCCCCATGAAAATTTGATATATTCTTCGCACGTTGTTGCAAATGCTGCTTCAACTTCTCCACTTAAAACCAGAACATATTTCAAGTCCCAGGAACCACCAAGCTGCGACTCGACAAACCCCCGGACGTTCCAGTTTAGAGCAAAGGTTACCCGCCACTGTTCTCTGTGGAATCTCAAGACATTCTCCATGCGGTCCGCGATCTTTTCAAAAGCAGTACAATTGATAAATCTTTCCCTATGTGGCGTGGGCTGCGCTGGTGCACTCTGACCTCGATCTTCCAAGCTTAAATTATAGTTATGTCCATATTGATACGGCAGCAACTGGAATAAATAAGTAATCAGCTGAGTCACTTAGAATATAGGGCTCTAAAATGGGTTCACCTCATATCCACAGTTGCCACATCGAAGGTGACCACAAAATACACAACTTTCTGGTGCAAGGACTGGATTTAGAAGTTCACGACAATCACAACATATCCATATGTTATATGATGACATCCTTTTCACCGCATCGATCGATCACGCCTTCCACCTGGGCACCTGGGCGGACTATGGTTGGCGACTCGGAATTAAAAGACTTTAAAAGCTTGTGTCAACCGTGCTTTAGAGAAATAACCGGAGGAAGTGGCTCACACTATGTATGAAGTGTTTTCAGTCAGCTGCCCCCCCCCCCCCCACCCCCACGGACCCCTCAGATTGAGTCTCCGCATTGGGTACCCGTGCATTCTAGCCACTTCTTCCTTCCAGTAGTTGATTTCTTGATTGATTTCATTTATCTTAACCCCTCGTATTGAAGCAATATGCACCTAGGCTACCTCAACTATAGCTGTAAATATATCCAAGTATGTACATGTAGAAAAACCACTTCCTAAAATCAAACTTATAGCCCTGTCAAGCATCTTGTGGCCCAATTGCCGCTCGTATTACTAGGCTGCCCTTATGGCGTACAACTGCGAACCTGTTGCTGTTGTGACACTTGGGCACCTTAGTGAAGTCCAGTACAGTATTAATTATCTTGGCTTGTAAGATAGTTTCTGGTTTACCTGTCTTACCTTGATTTAAGCCGTCCAGCAGACTCAATACACTACTATTAGTATTCAACAAATCTCCCACTACTTTTCTTAGCTTTCCTATAGTTCTGTCAGTTTTGGAAAGTAAGGATCAAAGTAACTAACTAATAGTTCCTCATACACACTAGCAGATAGCTTTACCACAATACTACACCATTCATGTGATCTCATTCTATTAGTATTGAGCTTCCTCTACTACTGGTGCTCCTCTATCAATAGCTGACAGTCTGATATGCTGAACTTCGCTGATCGGAAATTGAGCGGGCGCGATGTTGCCCCATGGGTGACGCCGACCGCGGCTGCGGAGAGATCCGACGTGCGAAATAACTACACAGCCTTCGAGAAGCGTGGTGATTCCCGTAGTGACACCAGGGAAAGGAGAGTTCGGCGATACTACAAGTCAGCGAGCTAGGATGATTAATCGTCTGCGCGACGACCGACATGTTCAAGACGCAGGTTCAAGTTGCTAACCTATCATTCCCAGGTCGCCGGCATAGATGGAAACTTAAATTGCCGACCTTTAGTTACGTGATCTACAATCATTTGTCGAGCTAGCGCAATCCTTCTCTCCGGGTAACTGATGGGGATGGTCCAAAGGAAAAAGTGTAATAATGCGTTAGTTAGTTGATAGTTTCATTCCTGAGAATACTATACAAAATGCGATCGGATAGTATCTACAGTTCTAGGACAAAAGTTTCCGTGTACGCTAGTGCCCACTAGCGCGTTATCAATGTATTTTGACGCTAAAGTCGCGATCGCGAGCGCGTTCCCCATAACAACTATTTTTTAACAATTCAACTGTGGTTCCACGTACGCCATTGAGGTCTATTGGTGCCAATAGGGGATATGGCCACGAATTATCTCCATATTTCAGAGGTCAAATCTTTAGTTTATTAAAGATTGGTATAGTGTAAGCTAAAATTGCGCATCTATTGAATGTGTCACCATCAACTATTCAGTATACCCTAAAATAAGAAACTATACGAATTGATGGTAATACGCTTTTACGATCTGGCTGACCACCTATATTATCAGAAAATAATAAGGTTTCTATTATCAATATCATCAAGCGTGATCCCTTTATTGGTTATGATGATATTTGTGCTCAAAGTGGATTTAATGTTTGTAATAAAACATTTCTTCGAATGCTCAAAACATTAGGTTATGGTCATTATAAGCCAAAAAAAGACCTTATTTGAATGCTAGAGTAGCCAAACTACGTCTAGATTGGGCTTTGGCACATTAAAATTAGACGTTAGAAGACTGGCGACGCATTATTTGGTTGGATGAGTGCTCTGTTGAAATCAGAAAAGGTAAGCGATATAAATGGGTATTTTGCCTTGTTTTCTATAACGAAAAATGGAAAAATGAATATGTGGATATATACGTAAAATCAGAAAATATCTTAATTATGATCTGGGGAGCAATATTTGGTGGTGGTTGTACTGATTTATTTAAAATGAATCGGGATCCGAATTTAAAGCGCAATGGCTACTTAAGATGGTTATATCTTGAGGTACTTACAGCCGATTTACCTCAAATTATAACTGAAGGTCGGGTATTTATGTACGATAATGCCCCTATTTATACAGCCTATGATGTTTGAAATTGGTTGTGTGATAATAATATAAATACAATGGATTGGCCGCCCTATTTACCCGATTTAAACCCTATTGAATATGTGTGGGCTAAGCTTAAGGAAATGATCGATCGCCTAGATCTAACACTGGAGTAATTTGATGGTACTGAATCTGAGTTAATTGATTATTTTGAGGAGTTAATCTATGTATTATAGTGTACGCTAGGGTAAGATTACTTTGATCGCTTGATTGATAGCATGACGCATTGTGTAGCGGCTGTTATTGAGGTAGGGGGATGGTACACTAAATATTAAGTGTATAGGGGGGTGTATTGATTAATTTGCTACTGCGTGCTATTTTTTTATATGTTTATTGTTGTTTTTGGTGCTGTTATTGCTATATTACTTTTGCATGTTGAATTTGATGCTATTCGCAATATTTCTATTGGTACTTAATAAAAAGTGGGGCCTGACTGCCTATCACCGGAAACTTTTGTCCCGCGACTGTATGGTGAGAACTGGTGGCGAACTGAGTGGTGGAGTGAGTGGTGGAGTGAGGGTGGAGTGGTGGAGTGATGGAGCTCATTTTCAACACCCTTCCAGTTAAGTTAACTGGGTCTAGTGGCTTGGATACTAGTAAGGGCGCAATAATGGAATATTTAGTACGAATACTCACTCATATTTTGACGCGAACATATTGGGCAATTTAACCACTTCGATATCAAAACATTTTAACCAACCAAACCTACGACCACAATGGCTTCTAAATCAAAAGTTGCCTTCATCGGGTTGGGTGCTATGGGAATGGGGATGGCCATACAACTGCTCGAAGACGGTTTCACTGTGACTGGGTTCGATGTCAATCCCATGGCCCTTGAAAAACTGCTCGCCATGGGTGGTGCGGCTGCTACTAGTCCAAAGGAATGCGCCCAAGGTGCGTCATTCGTTATCTGCATGGTTGCGAATTCTACGCAGACTGAGGATGCATTTTTCGCCGACTCAACGGGCGCAGTGCTTGGACTGGCACAGAACGCTATTGTCATATTGTGCTCAACTGTCGCTCCAGGGTTTCCAGTGCAAATTTTAAATCATATCCACCAGGTCTTCCAAAGACCAGATATCCAGTTGTTGGACTGTCCTGTCTCTGGTGGAACGATACGCGCCGCTCGAGGAATGCTGGCCATTCTATCATCGGGCCCAACGGATGCTTTGAATGCTGCTCGGCCAATCTTGAACTCAATGAGCGAGAACTTATATGAGATTGAAGGCGGACTAGGTGCCGCGAACAAGGTCAAACTTATCAATCAGCACCTTGCTGGTGTTCATATTGCGGTTTCTGCAGAGGCAATGGGGCTAGCTGCAACATTGGAATTGAACACAAAAGAATTCTATGAGACGGTTCTCAAAAGCCCAGCGTGTAGTTGGATGTTTGAAAACCGAGTACCTCACATGCTCACCAACGATTGGACGCCTCACTCTGCTATCAGTATCTTTATCAAGGATATGGTAAGCTTTCTGTCCCTACTTTAATTGGAACCCCGTAAGAAAAACATTGGAAATCTTCCACTGACATCTAAATCAGCGAATTGTGACCTCGGAAGGCCTCCTTCAGGATTTCCCTCTTCATATTGCATCTGCGACGGAACGACTTTATCAATATGCCGCGCGCATGGGATATGAAAAAGACGACGATGCGAGTCTTGTTCGAACTTTTCTAGCACAAACTCCATCTTTGGTTTCGGAAGCAACACATATCCAGAGTCCCAATAGTCCGCGCCCATGTGAGCTGATATGCCGGTTACTGGAGACTGTTCACACCTTAGTAGCATTTGAAGCTCTGGCCCTCGGAAACAAGCTCGGCATTTCGACCAGCACCCTCGCATCAATCATTTCAAATGCCGCCGGTGCCAGTGAGTCCTTCAAAAAGGTTGCATCGAGCATTGTGGCTGGTGATCTTCTATCTGAGTATACCATCACACAGACCCGGGACATGCTTGCAGGTTCATCCTCTTCAAAGCTTAGGTCGACGTGACTAACAAAATTGACAGAAAGAAGTAATCACCCTTGCCCAAATGCACAACTATCCACTGCAACTCGCAGCTACTACATTCCAACTTTTACAACAGGCTGTGATTTACGGCCTGGGCGGGGAAGGTCAAGCTGCGCTCCTCAAGCTATGGACAACGTCAGATATTTCCGCCAAGCCATTAAACGTCGCATAATATGACCCAAAGAATTGTGACTTGTGCGTCTGAAGACCTCCAAGATGGCAAGGATGCGCCGGTGATGACCAGTTGAGACCTTGTGACACTGAATTTTGTTAATCTTTTGGTATCCAAAATCTCAAAACAAATAACAAACTTGGACATCAACAAAATAGCCGCGAATGACTTGGTACATATTGTGCAGAATTTGAGAGTTTGCCCTCGATATCTGCTAGCAGAAGGAGGCGTGACTTACTCTGATGCAGCGACAGCCGGTATAGCCATCAAACGCGCAAGGGTACCGAGTCAGGCTGCGCTTAGAGTTGCCGTTTGGTGGTTCCAGGTGGAGGTGTATTTAAAGAGTCAAGATCAAGGAGGAACGGAGGTCAAATGGACGAGATACAATGGATCATGGATCACTTTCCCTGGCAATGCTGAAGTTGCACTGGCAGATAGTACCTTGGCTGACGTGGTTGAGCATTGCGGAATATGACCAACGTTTGTACCTAGGTCAAGAATAAATGTATCTAGAGGTAATATAAAACAAGTCGTTGCATACCATTCGGGCCCCTACTGCTAGACTTCAACTTGAAACTCATTACCTGGAATCAATTTACATGATGGCGGCGGTTTCTCCCTTCAGGTTTGATCAAGAAAATAAAGCTTCCAAGGTTGAGGATACACCTGGGCACTTGCCGATCTACTTCTAAAATTAGCATCAGTTCCATTTGACTAAATACATGTCATAGAGGAGAGAGCAGCCTAGTTTGAACAACCTTGTAACATAAGAAATGAATCTGGAATTAATCGGCTCCAACCATAAAGCAGAGCTGAAACGTACTCTTCTCGCCTCCAACACATCAATAAATCAAAATAGCTATAGAAGGACATTCAATAAGCCCGCGGCTTATCACGGAGACATTCAGACCCGCCGCCAGATTCCTTACTCTTCATTTGCCTGAATTGTCTAATTTCAGGAGCTAATAAAATCAAAATATGTATTCACATCTATGTCCGATCTATATGTTTCCGAGCTCACTAGACCATGAAAGCCTCAAAGTCCTCGTCGGGGAGATGTGCCTCTTCATTGCCATCAATCGTACCAAGATACCATGACAGGTCGCTCCCATCAAACTCGCGTGCGGCAAAGCCGTTGCCAAGATAGCCAAACCGGTTGGAGGTTGTATAATCGAGATTGTAATCTTCCCAACGGGGCTGCTTCATGGTCTCAAAGAAATGAATTCTCGAACCTGGCCACATCATAACCTCGCCATCGATCGTTCCCTGCTTGAACCAAGAACGACAGGGAGATGTCCAGGCGGTTCGAGGCATGAAGTTTCGGTGGTGTTCAAAGAAATCCGCAACCGCCTCAACCTTGGGCTCAAAGGACGTCACACCTTCGAATGACATCTTTTCAAGCATTTGGAGGAAGTGTCTTGATATGGTCTCCGTTATCGGAAGGAAACTTCCATGGCCGTAGGGCCCAAAGGGACCGTTGAAAACTGTTCAGTCAGAATTAGCATCCTGACAATTTAGCACTGAGGGCGCGGATAGACTCACTGAGGTAATTGGGGAAGTGTGGAACTGTGATGGAAAGATAAGTCCTTGGGATATTTTTCCATTCTTCACTTAGACTGCGAGACTCCCGGCCGATTGTCGGGTATGATGGCCGCCAACTGACATCAAACCCGGTAGCACACACGATAACATCGACCTCGTGCTCAACACCATCTGCAGTCTTAATGCCTTTCGGGGTGACCTCTTCAATTGATTGACTGACAACCTCGGTGTTTTCGCTACAAAGTGCCTCGAGGTATCCGTTTCCGGGTGTAGGTCTTCGGCAGCCCACTGCAAAGTCCTTTGGAACAATCGAGTCTGCGATTTCTGGACGATCGGCAAGCTTTGTACGCATATCCTTCTCCGCATACTAAAGAAATCCCGTTGTTAGAAATCGGTTAATGAAAAGCAATTTGCCGGGTTGAGACGAGAGTCTTACAGCTCGCGCATTGGCTTGTTCCTCGGATCCATTGAGAATGAATCGGAAACGGGAGTTGAGCTCAGACTCGATCTTCTTGCGATATGCCAGGTATCTCTGAGGGTCATTCTTCAGTATCTGTTTTTGCTTCTCATTATCTGTTGTTGTCAGTATTTCGGACTGATGCCTGATAGAGCCTGCCTAGTGGAAGCTTTACATTTGAAATTGGATCCCCCTTTTCCTGCGAATCGTTGACCAAATCCGGCAGTTACCCATGAGGCACTGCGAATGAAGCATTTGAGAGATGAAACCCCTGTCTTGATCATCAATATACTACGTCTCGCGCGTTGGATTGGCGAAACTTACTTGGCTGAATGCTCGGAACGATTTGCACCGCTGAGGAACCCGAACCAATAACAGCCACACGCTTCCCCTGTAATTCAACACTGTCGTCCCAGTTTGCACTATGAAGTCTGGGGCCCTGGAAGGATTCCAAGCCCTTGATTGCGGGCCATTTCCATTTGCTGAAGTACGTCAGTTTCGCCATTTCATCGCTGCAAAAGAAAAGGGTACTCACTTCAGTACACCACTTGCATTGATTAATATGTGACCTTGGTCCTCAAAAACATCCTCGGGGTTATCTCCTCTCTGGACTTTTACATGCCACTGTTGATTTTGATCATCCCAGAAAGCGCCTACCACCTTGTGCTCCAGGCGAATGTATTTCCGAAGCCCATACTTGTCGGCAACGCCCTTAAAATATTTCAAGATTTCAGGTGCGCCCGAATAACTTTTAATGGTAAGTTGAATGTCCACTTCTTTATTCGAACAATGCAAGGTACTGAATTCCACTTACAAGGAGGTCCAGTCAGGAGAGGGAGCCCATGAGAACTGATAGTTGACAGAAGGTATGTCGCATCCACATCCAGGGTAGCGATTCTCATACCAAGTGCCACCAATCTCTGGGTTCTTCTCGTAAAGAACCAGTTCAGTATCTAACGGGCTTGTGTCGATGTCATGGGCAAAGTTCAACGCACTCGCCCCAGCTCCGATCACGATGATGCGGATTTTGCGACGATATCGGCTTGGCTGTTCCACAATTTTATAAGGCTTGACCCCATTCCCAGCTCCATTGGCTGCATTGAGCTCATGATAGTTACCGATAGAACCCATTTTGGGTAGGAGAAGCAGGGATTCAAAAGTTGAGAAGTGATCAAAGTGCTTCGCCTATCAAATTACGGAGACTTAAGAGCGCGGGATCGGTGCATTTATGAGGGCTTTCCTCATTAGCGCAAATCCCACTACATCTTTGGCTTTGACTTTCAGAATAGAGGGTGGAGAATCCGTTGCATTGCGCTCATCCAAACTCCGGCTCTGTCTCGGTGGAGTGGTGGAGCTCCACCGCGCGTCTTATCACCACATCCCCCCCGGACTGCCCTCCTTCCCCTCTCCACCAGCTCCACCGCGGAGAGATGCGCGAAGCGTGGGAGGATAGAGTGGGTGATTGTCAATGTACAAGACTGTCCAGTGCTGATAGCCATCATATCGTACTTTTTAATATCATGATAAGCCACTCAAGGCCTCAAATAGATACGCTTACCCCGTTCTGCCCCTGTGTTGATCGAGACCAATTCATCCATATTCTACTGAGCTTCTTGTCATAGCCACTATGCCTGAAGGTACTAACAAGAAGCCTTTGCGCATTTCCATTGGTGAGTGTCGAACCCCTCAGTACTAGTTATGTGTACTACATACTGGTGCATTGCATTGACTAACCGGTGTGACCAGATCGCGGAGGAACCTTCACCGATTGTATTTGCAAAGTGATCAATGGGGAAGATATTCTTGTGAAAATCTTGTCCGTCGACCCAAAAAACTATGCCGACGCACCGACCGAGGCGATTCGGCGCGTTTTGGAGATATACTACAAAACTACACTTCCACGAGGCTCTGAACTAGACCTTAAGGACGTTGGTAGGAGCCATCATCCAGAATTATCTTTGGCGTCTTGACTAACAAAATAGAATGGATCCGCATGGGTACAACGGTTGCAACCAATGCGCTACTCGAGCGCAAAGGCGAGCGAACAGCCCTGCTCGTCACCGAAGGCTTCAAAGACATCTTGTACATTGGCAACCAAAGTCGACCGTACATGTTTGATCTCTCAATCCGTCGATCAGAACCTCTATACTCAGACGTCTTTGAAGTCAAAGAGCGCGTGACAGTTGGGGCATGCAGCGATTCAAATCTTCGTACTGTGAAGCTGTCATCTCCAGAACCAGTCGAGTCGATCCTTGCTACTAGTACTTCTGGTGAGGTTGTCCAAGTGCTTCAGCCTATCGACTTGGCAAGTGCTCGGGATTATCTGCAAGATATTTATAGCAGAGGCTTTCGCTCGTTGGCGGTTTGCCTTATGCATTCCTATATCTTCCCAACTCATGAGTTGCAGATTGGTGAATTGGCATCAGAGATTGGATTCAAATATATCTCTCTTTCACATCAAACCTCTCCACGATCAAAACTTGTTCCCCGTGGTAATTCCACGGTAGTTGACGCATACCTGACTCCGAACATCAAACAATACCTGGAGCAATTCTCAAGGAACTTCCCCAATATCGACCAGGGCGGGACGCGATTGGAGTTCATGCAGTCAGATGGTGGATTGGTGCCCTCCTCAAAACTCTCAGGGCTGCACTCTATTCTTTCTGGGCCGGCAGGTGGTGTCATCGGATTCTCAAAAACATGCTTCGACACAGTAGAGCAGACCCCTGTGATTGGATTTGACATGGGAGGTACTAGCACCGACGTCAGTCGATACAACGGCGAACTCGACCATATCTTTGAAACAACGACTGCCGGGATCGCAATTCAAGCCCCACAACTCAATGTCAATACCATCGCAGCCGGTGGAGGAAGCATACTAGATTGGAGAGATGGACTCATGGCTGTAGGCCCCGAAAGTGCCACCTCCAATCCTGGACCAGCCTGTTACCGTAAAGGAGGCCCCCTGACTGTGACTGATGCCAATCTAGCACTGGGACGCTTACTTCCAGAGGAATTTCCTTCGGTGTTTGGTATTAATGAAGACGAACCATTAGATAGAGAAGTTGTTCTTGCCAAGTTCAAGGATCTCACTCAAACTATCAACGCAGAGACAGGTAAATCATTGACGTGGGCTGAGGTTGCAGATGGGTGAGTAAAACCAAGCAATACAAGTATCAGATTCGACTACTAATATCTTACTTATAGTTTCCTCCAGGTCGCCAACTCAGCAATGTGTGGCCCCATTCGAAGTTTAACCGAGGCCAAAGGTCACGATGTTGCAAAGCATCACCTCGCATCATTTGGTGGCGCAGGGGGTCAACATGCCTGCGCTATCGCCGAAGCCCTGGGAATTAAAAGGGTTTTGATTCACAAATACTCCTCTATCCTCTCTGCCTATGGAATCGGATTGGCGGATCTCGTGCACGAGGAAGAGCGGGTATGCGGAAAAGCCTTTGACCATACTACGTCTCAAACGATATACGGCGATATGGAACTTCTCGCAGATGTCGTCCGAGGCAATGAGACTATGCAGCCATTCAATAATGTTCAGATTCGCCGTTTCCTGAATATGAGATATGATGGCAGCGAGACTGCAATCATGGTTTCCCTGGGTGGTGACTCTGAGGACCCTCGGGAAGACTTTATTGCAGCCCATCATCAGCAGTTCGGATTCACGCCTACCAACCGCGCAGTATATGTTGATACTATTCGCGCTCGAGCGATTGGGTCCAGTGTTTTTTCCGAGCCATCCGCCACACCTTTGAACCCCCTTCCCAAGTTACTTGCTGGATCAGTGGCCCCAATTCCCAAAATATGGAGATCCACTTACTTTGATCCAATGGGATGGGTAGACACACCAGTATACCACTTTGACAGCTTGACAGATGGGTTTCAGATCTCAGGACCGGCCATCGTTATTGACAAAACCCAGACAATCTTGATCAGCCCGCACTCAAAGGCGACATTAACACAAGATGTACTTGTCCTGGACGTGAGCTCCTCAGGCCCTCAAGTGACAAGCACAGATGCTATCGACCCAGTTCAGCTTTCCATTTTCCGCCATCGGTTTATGGGCGTTGCAGAGCAAATGGGACGCGTTTTACAAAATGTCAGCATCAGTGCCAATATCAAAGAGCGGTTGGATTTCACGTGTGCGATTTTCACACCCGAAGGGGACCTGGTCGCCAACGCACCTCATGTACCCGCCATGATTGGAAGTATGGCCTTTGCCGTCAGATCTCAGATTGCCGAGTGGAACGGTAAGCTGCAGGATGGTGATGTTTTGCTTTCCAACACACCTGGTAGGTCATTACCTCGAATCAAATTTCAGAGTGGTTTCGGCAGCTAACCCGTTACAAAAAAGCATTTGGAGGTGTGCACCTTCCCGACCTCACGGTCATTACACCTGTCTTTGACTCGGATGAAAAGAATATAATATTCTGGGCTGCTTCCCGCGGTCACCACGCCGACGTAAGTTGTCTCTATACTCAGAGATATGGTATCATGACTAACATCCTGTTCGTAGGTCGGGGGCATACTTCCTGGCTCAATGCCACCCTTGTCAAAACTTCTATCTGAAGAGGGTGCAGCCTTTGATTCATACCTGCTGGTGCGCGCGGGCCATTTCGACGAGGAAGAGCTCCACCGCATGCTGTGCGTAGAGCCTGCCCGTTTTCCAGGATCCAGCGGATCCCGATGCTTCCAGGATAATGTCACGGATCTGAAAGCGCAAGTCGCTGCAAACCACTGTGGCATCCGACTTGTGCGGCAGCTGATCGATGAATATTCTATGGGTGTGGTTCAGGTAAGTACTTTTGACGATGCAAGGAGACACCGGATTACCTGGCTGACTGAATCAGATGTACATGCGCGCAATCCAAGACTCGGCCGAGCTCGCCGTGCGGAACCTTCTGAAGCGTATTTTTCAAGATCACCATGGAGAAGAGATATCTGCGGTGGACTACATGGATGACGGAACCCCGATCATGCTCAAAGTAACCATTGACCCATTAGATGGTTCCGCCATCTTTGACTTCACAGGAACCGGTCCGGAGGTTTATGGTAAGTGGACACTGATAACTTACATGAGAGATACAGATTATTGATTGGAATGTAGGAAACTGGAATGCCCCAATTGCGATTTGTAATTCGGCGGTTATCTTCGCTTTACGCTGTATGGTTAACTCCGATATTCCCCTCAATCAGGGTTGCCTCAAACCTGTACAACTTATTATCCCCGACAGGTCACTGTTGCGGCCGAGCTTCGAAGCCGCAGTGTGCGCCGGTAATGTATTGACCTCGCAACGAATTGTCGACGTTATTTTCAAGAGCTTCAAGATTTGTGCTGCCAGTCAAGGGTGCATGAATAATTTTACCTTCGGAAATGACGGAGAAAATGGATTCGGATACTATGAAACCATTGCTGGCGGAAGTGGTGGAGGCCCCAGCTGGGCTGGTACGAGCGGCGTACATACCAATATGACCAATACTCGCATCACCGACCCCGAATCACTAGAACGCCGCTATCCGGTCATTTTGCGTCGTTTCTGTCTTCGCGATGGGAGTGGCGGTGCTGGAATGTATCCTGGAGGAGAAGGTGTCATCAGAGATGTTGAGCTGCGGCTACCGATGTCTGTGTCCATTCTTTCTGAGCGCCGCAGCTTCGCGCCTTACGGTATGGCAGGCGGCGCAGATGGTAAGCGTGGGAAGAACACATGGATCACCAAGGCTGGGCGGCATATCTCCGTTGGTGGCAAAAATTCGATCCGTGTTCAACCTGGGGACAGGTTCGTCATTGAGACACCAGGTGGTGGTGGATATGGAGCCCCTGGGGAGACGAATAATTCCAGCGTGGATCAGTCAACGATCATGCCGTCGTTTGTTCCTATAGCCAACGGCAGTCTAGCCGCCGACCGGAGCTTGGCAGAGGAAGTATAGGAGCATGTGTTGTTTGTCAAGCCAAAATTACAGACGCACAGAGCTAAATCTGGTGTGCGTGCGCACTTTGTGGTCGAATGGAATACTTGGTCCATTTTTTGTTACAAAATTGGTTGACAAGTTCTACTTTTTTAATTGAATGTATTATTCCAGGATTCCTTTTATGACACCAAGAAAACAACATACGATGCGTCTAGAAACAGCTGGATTCCAGCTTATCAAAGCTTGAGAGTTCGATCCACAAAATGCAGAGACCAAGATTGTAATAAGCGGCATGGTAAACGCAAGAGCAATCTTGCCAAAGAATAAATGCGGTGCTTAAAAGTCGGCATTCAGGTGCCCAGTTGACAGCTACCGGTAGGGAGATAGTAGCCTGTAAGTGCAATATGGCGCCGTGCGAAGCGCGGCGAACCAACTTCTCAGAAGGTACTAGAACACCTAGGCAAGGTTTTTTATGATACATGACCTTGTGTTCTACACTCCCTGACAGAGAATGTTAGCAAGATACTAGTAGTTAAATTTTGTAGATGTGCTTGTTTCCAAGGATTCTTGAAAGCTTGTGCTTAGAGGAGATTTCAAACAAGGGCTGCACAGGTTGAAGGATTTACTATCTCAGAAGGATCCTATAAACTCAAATACTAGCACGGTATATCCTGGTAAACAAATCATCCCACCATGGATACCTAATCTCAGCCAGCAAAGACTTGAATGAAGATGACCAAAACTACAACTCCCGTTCAAGCGTGGAGTTTCAGAGCACATAGCGAAAGGCTGGCTGCTCGAAATCTGTCAAATCCAAGAATTCAGACCCGGGGGTAGCATATGCAGTGTCAGGCTCCCCGATCGCCTTGCGGTCGCGTCGCTTGTTCTCTATGATGTTGACAACCCGAATTGCCACCAAGGTTACCGCTGCCATAGCGTACATGATTGCGACCATCAGCTTGCCATCAAAATATTCAGGCGCTTGGGTTGAGCGAAATGTCTGAGGACCGATCCAGTTTCCGGCTGCGTAGGCCACGATCTGGAGGCCATTCACTGTTGCTTTCTTGGTGTATCCTAAGGTATTGTTGGAGATCATCACCATCACGAGGCACCAGGCAGTTCCAGCGGCACCGATGAAGTAGTACCCAATGAGCAACCCAGCTTTGGCTTCAGCGGAGATCACAATCATCATGATACCGCCGATCATGGGAATCAGAATAGCGATTATGGCAAAGAGAGTGCGATCAAAGAACCGATCGGAGAGATAAGTCAGTCCCAGTTTACAAGTAATGTCCACGATGCCCATTGGCATGTTCAAAACCAGGGACATGCGTTTGGAAAACCCGAAGGAGCTGATGATGATAGAGCCAAAAGTGGTGATTCCCCCATTGGGAATATTCATCAGTAGCGAGAATAGCACGTAAAGATAGGTGCGCGGGTCACGGAATGCTTCGAAAAATTGGGGCCATTTCCATGTTTGATTGCCGATACCTTGGAAGTTGCCCCGAATGCGATCAATGGCAATAAGCTTCTCACGGTGATTTAAGAACCGGGCCTGTACTTGGTTGTCGGGCATGTACCAAAAGTATACTACGCCGGTTAGGATAGTGGGCAGGCCGAGTACCAAAAAGAGGATTTTCCACACAGCAATAGTGGTTCCTTGTACACCGGCTAGGCCGTAGGCGATGGGCCCAATAAGTAACTGGGCCAATCCGTTACAACTGAGCCACAGGCCCATGCGTTTGGCTTGTTCCTCCTGTTTATACCAGCAAGAAGTGAATAAGACGAAGGCCGGTGTCACTGTGGCTTCAAATGCGCCTAAGAAGAAGCGGACAGACAGTAGGCTCGCATAGTTATGAGTGACGGCGTGGCAGACGAGTGCAATCCCCCAGATCAGGATGTTGGCTGAGGTGTATTTGCCCAGGGGCAGACGGCGAAGCAGATAAGTGGTGGGAAATCTAAGGTCATGCATTAGAATCTGGAAGATGATAGCGACAAAAGCAGAGACTTACTCCCAAAAGATATATCCAGCATAGAAAATACTCGAGACCCAGCTATATTGTTGCGAGTTGGGGTCCAAATGAGTGTCTTCCCGAATGCCCATAAGCGAAGCATAGTTTAATGATGTTTTGTCTGCAAACTGAATCAAATAGACCCAACAGAGCAATGGCATGAGGACTCGATCGATCTTGGACAAAACATGTTTGGCCTCATCGGGGGTATATTCAATCTCCTCTGCGTTCATGAACTGGAAAGCAGGATCAAGGTCCCGCATCTCGTGCTGCTTCAGGTCTCCATCCTGAACGTCCATGACCGCTTGCTCCGTATCACACTTTGATGGAACCTCGGACATCTTCATATCGTTTGGCCCGGTGGTCATGTTGTCGCAATTAATTCACCTTGGTACAACTGAGCTTCGAATGCCGGAATCATCTAGCCATGGCTTCCTCTTTAAATCCCCCGTCTGATATTAGGTTATCGGACGGGTTGTGAGACAGCCTCTGGGGAAGGTGGCCAAGCTTCAAGCTTTACCCCAGAATTTGTGGAGGTGGACATTTTCCGGTGGAGCTCCATTTTGAGGCGAGTGGACGGGCTTATCAGCGGCAAAGGCTGTGTTAGGGTGACGCCTACCTCAGCACTTTAATGAAAATTTGGAGTTTCACCACGTGTCTGTCTGACGTGTTTGACATTTTTGGTCAGATCTCTCATCTAGATAGCTCTCTTTCTCTCCCCTTCTCCCAACCAACTTGAACCAATCAAATCCATATCTTCCTGCTTGAGAGTTTTACTTGCTAGTGCGTTGCCTTCAGATGTCAGGCCGACGAGTATCTATCTAACCCTGGAACTCGAATGTGCTCGTATCTGACATTTATCATCGTCCAGCAATACCTTACAGTCCACCTTATCGCTTCAATGTCTCATTTATGCACTCGGCCACATACCGAACGTTGGACCCGTTAATCCCCGCGATAGATACCCTCGAGCTCTCGGCCATATAGATATGGTATTCCTCTATGATTGGCATGTCAGTTAGCCTTCTCATAAAACCCACTTCCACTCTCAATGTGTGTTTTCCAGTCACTTACTTTGTAAATGTTGTACATGATTCGGAGTGAGCCCGAGAATGCAGAACATCCCCTTTTGCTCAATGATGCGCTTCCAGTCTCCGGGGGTGCCTAACAAACAATCAGAAATATTCCCCATCGAAATCCTGCAAATGATCAAGGGGTGAAAAATGCAACCAAGCTCAGTCAACCCTTGGTATAATTCCCTTCCCATTTCCGCGATTCGCGAACTCATCATGACGAGATCCTTCCTCCACTGTGCGTAAAGCTCCTCGTCTTCCAGAATCGCAACTACGACCCGCGCACCAAATGCAGGAGGGTTAGAAATTTCAACACGGATCATTCGTGCTAAGCTTGACGTGAGCAGCTATGATAGTCGGGGTATTCGACGAAAATACGCATAAACCGACACGCTCACCTTGAAAATTCGACACGCGTCAGCACATGACGGACAAAGAATAGCACCATAATCATATTCATACCGTAGAGACCCATGCTTTTAGCAAATGAAAGACACACGGCGACCTCAAGACCTAGCTCATCGGCATAAATATCGGATGGCAAACGCATCGTGATCGTAGTCGCCCGATGTCAGCCCCAAGTACGCGGCGTCAAAGAGAGGGAATAGCTGTCGCTCCTTCACAATAGCACCAATCTGCTTCCATTGATCGGCTCTGCAATCCCAACCGCTTGGGTTATGGGCACTAGCATGAAACACAAAGATCGACTTCGGGGCTGCCTCGTCCAGTGTTTGGATCAATGATTGCATGTCCACACCAGCACTAGACGAATAATTGAACTCGCGAACTGAGAATCCGATTGACTCGAAGACCTTCCGGTGATTCGACCAGCTAGGCTTGGTGATATACACGGTTGTATCGCGACCTAGAGCCTCCTTAAGCATTGTTCCGACAATGTGGAGTGCGCCTGTGCCGGACAGAGCTTGACAGGACGCGACCTGGAAAAGCCAAAAAGTCAATCGCCGAAATAAATGCCTGAAAGAAGACTGATTCTACTCACTCGATCTTCCCGGACTGCAGCAGAATTTTTGCCAAAGATCAAGTCCGTAGCCAGTGTCCGAAATGATGGAAGCCCTAGGATCGGGAGATATTCATGGTTGGAGTCCCTGATTTTCTCTTTCGCTGATCTCACAGCGGGCAAAATCCAAGGATTCCGTTTCCATCTTTGTATGTTCCTTGTCCAAGATTCACTTTGTGCGCGACTGGATCCGCATTGTATGTTTTGGTGAGCTCGAAGATGGCGTCCGGGAGCGTATAGTTCACGGCCCCGAAAAACGAAGGAGAAACAGAACTCATTGTGTCGGTCTGGTGGGAATTTTATTCTTCTTTGAATGTGAAATGCTCAAGAAGGCAGGAATCAACAATAATCAGTGGACTTGATTATATTAGCCTTGGTTGCGTTATGTGTCTCTCCATCGACAATAGCGGAGCCCTACGATGGAGGAGCGGGTGGAGCTCCACTGACAAGCGATATACCAACCAAGCTCGATGAAGAGTGACTGGGAAATAAATAGAAATCAAGTGCTCAATACTACCACTTTTCTCCAGTCTTTCATTTTCAAACACTGCAGAAAATGGCAACAAGCCCCAATTTCGGTGTATATACGCCATTAGTGATATTCTTCGAGGAGGACGAGTCCCTCGATCTTGAAAGCACCTTGGCTCATGCGAAGCGCATGGCAAAAGGTGGAGTCACCGGACTCGTGCTCCAGGGAAGCAATGGAGAGGCTCCTCATCTGGATCATAGCGAGCGCCAATCTTTGGTCCGCGCTGTTCGGGGCCACCTCGACAAGCTGGGCTATACAGAATTGCAGTTGATTGTCGGGTGCGGTGCACCTAGTGTGCGGGAAACACTATCCTACATCTCAGAGGCTAAAGCTTCTGGTGCTAATTTCGCTCTTGTGTTGCCACCGGCTTACTGGGTTGCGGCCATGAATGCACCTGTTATTGAAGGCTTCTTCCACGATGTAAGATCCTTCTATATCCCGGAGAAAAAGAGACTCTTTCGGTTTATGCATGGTCTAACAGCAACTTCCAATCCAGGTAGCCTCTCAATCCGAACTTCCCATTCTCCTTTACAACTTCCCTGGCGTGACTGGAGGCATCGACATTAGTTCCGACTCGATCATCCGCCTAGCCAAGTCAAACCCCAATATTGTGGGCTGCAAACTCACTTGCGGTAACGTCGGCAAGCTCCAACGTGTCTCATCGGCGCTTGAAGGGACCTCATTTGCGACCTTTGGTGGAAAGTCGGACTTCTTCCTACCCGCACTTGTCGCCGGGTCCAACGGGATTATTGCCCCTCTCGCCAACATTGTACCCAAACTGCATGTGCAAGTGCTGCGCTACTATGAGAATGATGATTTGCAGGCTGCAAAGGAGCTTCAATCTAAGCTCAGCCATGCTGACTGGGCTCTCACCAAGGTGGGTATCGCGGGTGTCAAAGCTATTGTGTCTCAACATTTCGGATACGGTACGGGCCGTGGACGCAAGCCACTAGGGAACACAACGATCACGAGTTTGAGTCAAGAAATTGTGGCGCCAATAAGCGCGGTGGTCGATTTGGAGAAACTGTGGAGACAAGATGCCTAGATGCCTTTTTTATAGCGATCTAAAAGTTTGCTATTCTTCTCTCGTGTCAGCAAAGATTTATGAGATCATATGGGGTTCAAAAAGTGAACCTTTATAGTATTTTGGAATGAAGAAATGAACACGAAGTCTAAGAACCCGAGCCAGATAACTCAAAGCCTAGTACTAGGATATGCGAATGGAACCTTGGAAGTTAGTGGCCTAGTAGTACTAAGTGGAACAACGCAGAAATCCAAGCTGCCTGAAGAAAAGCACTGTTAGTATCAACCTCATTTTCTCTAGACTCTAGAGCTTAACGCTCCTGATAGCAGATTCGCACATAGTGCAATGTATAGAACCAGATTTTACGCGATGAGGCAATCTAGGAATAGTTGAGCGAATCTTAGATCGATCCTTCAATTAAAACAAATAGATTTTCTATTGGATCAATACCAAAAAAGCTCAATTTCCCTGTCGACTCTTTTCGCTCCAAAAAGGTAGACCCGCTTCCAATCGCCCTGTTCCATAAATGGCTGAACTATCCAAGCATTCACCAGCATATTCTCGTGCTGATGTAAGACGGCTTGATGCAACTTCGAGGGTTGGAAGACGAGTTGCATGACTGGCAGCAATGGATAGAGCGTGTTTCATGTCTTTGCTTGCAAGAGCCGCTGCAAACCCGGGAGATGTATCCAACGGCGGTGCATACGCCCCAGTAGTGATACGCTTTGAGTAGCTTTCGAGTACAGGACCAAACATATTGCCAATGAACTCCTCCAGCTGTTGATTGCCAATCCCTGTGACTTCGGCAAATACCTGTGCTTCGGCAATCACTTCCATGAAGCTGATCACAAGAATGTTTCTAGAAAAGAGTAAATTAGCTCAATGTTGATGGTTTTTCTAAAAGTCGAGTGAGTGATTACCCAGATATTTTGAGAAGGCTGGATTTCCGCACGTCTTTCCCCATGTTGATGATACTGCGTCCCATGACGTCCTTGAGAAGTGGTCTGATTGTTTCAACTGCCTTAGCAGGTCCAGAAACCGCGAAAATCAGCTTGCCGGCGGCTGCCACGGTACTAGCACCAAAAACTGGAGCTGCTATAAATGCTGCGCCATGTTCACTGAGGCGCGATGTGGCCCATTCCGACGTGTCTGGATGAATAGTAGAAGTGTCTACGAAGATTTTGCCTTTCAATGCGTCGCCCGCGACTAACGCCTTGTTTAGCAGTTCGATTAGGACGTCGTCCATGGAGATCTATTTTCCCTCGTCAATACATCGCACATCACGTCGCAACCAAGGTCCCTTCCTACCATTGTGAAAATAACGTCCGAATTTTGGACGAGATCTTCGAACTTCTCTTCGGGTACGGCTCCTTCATCGCGAAGAAGACTACCCTTTGACAAAGTGCGGTTGCTGTAAAGAAGTGGCGATAGATTGTTGCTCTTGAGATATTTTTGGAGGTTGAGCGACATTCCTAGCCCCATCGACCCGAGGCCATACTATCCCAATCAGCAGATGGGCAACCAACTATGGGAGCATAACATACCCAGCCAACTCTCAATGCGGATGATGTCATTCTGGCTCTTTGAATTGCAGTCGATATGAAAAAAAACCCCGAAAGCTTTGACCGCTATAGGTAGTTTACCGTTCGTTATTCGCGGCTCGCTGTTTTGCGAGTTTATAACGATAAAGAGCCCGAACTGGCGTGTGGAGCTCCACTCGGCATCTTCGCCGCTGTCCACTTTCTACCAGTGGCGCTCGTCCACTCTGTGATAACAACCTTGGCACTCCACAGTTCACTCGGCTCCTCCAGTACCGGGAATTTCGCCCAGCACAGCCAGCATCGAAGGTCCAATTCCCCACAAGGATCTCCGCTGACAGAATGCCTTGATCAAATTGACGAATAATGACTCGCCTTCATCGAGCAGACTAACGAAAGCCTCTCGATCCATGGTCCACAAGCGGGGGTCTCGTGTGACCCGATCATTCTCGGTGGGGTAATGGAGGAGGGCTGACTCCATGAGGGTGTTGTAGATCAACATGCAGGATTCCGAAGTGATTGGAAGTTCGTTGAAGGTGTCCAAATGATGGCGAATGTCACTGCTTGCGCGTCTTAGCGCTCCCCATACACATAATAAAACACCATAACTAGCCACAGTGACCCATGGAGCTTCACGTGCCACTTTATCCTGCTCCTCTCCGGATATGCTGGACAATGCGACCGATAAATCTTTCAGAAGAGCCACAATTCCCTCGTCGCCACCGACATGATGAGGCACAAGAGGTGTTGATCGCCGAATCGTGACAAGGTTCCCTTGGGTTAGGTGAGTGGATGCAGCCATCCCAGCTATCAAGCTGTTATCCACAATGCCTGCTATCAAGAGTTGATCCGGGCGACATAAGCTAATATTGATAGAAGAGAGAAAGAGCTCATTCGTTCTCCATAGGAGAGAAACTGAGGGCTGTCGCCAGTGTAAGCCTGCTTCTTGACAATCTTCGCGATTGCTTCTGTCGCGGTGTGTACTTGTTTGTTCTGAGCCTGGGTCAGTATATGGAATGGATTCGGATCGGACGGACTTGGCGGCATTTGATAGTAACATCGCGTAAAGTCTCGTACTAGAGCACCGATATTCGTCAAAACGTAAAATGCAGCAAATGGGGATGCTTCTAGCGCCGCTAACAGCTCTGAGTCCGGTGTTTGGGTCATAAGTTGCTGAGTAGCAACGGTCAGAGAGGCCGTTCCCAGGCCGCGTGGCCCGTGTAATAGACTGTTGGCCATTGAAAAGGTGGAAGGTCCGAAGTTCTCATTGAACCTCAGAAGCCATATATGAGAGTTTTTGGCTTCCCATAGACTGATAGGAAATGGAAGTTCCCAGCCAAGCTCCATCGGTGACATCAAGGGTCGAGAATTGCAAGGTGAAAATGTGTGTGAGTCCAGGAAGACTAGGGTATACAGCGACAGTCTCATCGATTCAGTGGTGATATAGGACGTCCACCGGGTATAGAGAGTTTGCGACTCATCTCTGGGTGAGTTGAAATCACTTTGGTACATCCAAAACTGGGCATCTGGCATAGCGATACCCTGTTGGAACAGGCCAATTTCGTGCACAGCCTATATCAAAGGTAAGCCTAGCTCGAGGGGGACATGAATTTGCAGAAGACGATACAAACATCGATGAGTTGCCGAAGCCTCTTTTTCGCGGTTTGGAATTGGCCTGCTTCGCTTGCGTATACCCCGTAGATTATATAGAGAAGCCACGCTTGCATGACCCAAGGCTGTCTGATCTCACTACAATTTGAGGACACCTGTTTCAATCTTGATTAGATTATCGCCCTCAAGACAGAATAGTAGGGTTTCATCATTTACCATTTGCTGAAGCTCTTCCTGCCCACTTTGCCATACATCTTGACGCCAGTGTGCGAGAGCTTGGGTTTCCTCATGATCGTACAAGTTGGGAGAAAATAAGCTCCCAATGACAGTCACGGCCGTCAGCAGTAGTTTCGGTGTCGAGGACAGTGTGAAGGTAGGTCGATGCAATAAAGGGAAAGAAGAGTGGAAATGCTCAAAATACTGTTTCACGTATGTTTCTTCACCATTAGCGTGGTTACTGTGCGTTAATTTCCGATTGTCAGACATGTAATTTCAATCGACGAGCCAGCCTTCTCGGGGGCAATTAAAACAAATCAGGTTAAAGGGGAGCATACCTCGGCGAGGAAGAAGAGTAACTCTGGTGAATGTCAGTAGCAAATGTACTGTTGTCCTCCCAAAAAGCTGCGTCGGTCATAACACGTTCGGCTGGGTTGCGGCTGGCGGTCGATGGTGATGGTATGCCCTCCCTTGCCTCAGGGGTATGCATACCCGACATGGCCTCCCACGGCACCTGCGGCTGGGATGTCTGATCTGTAGGTGTGAGTCCTGTAGCGCGACAACGATTACCATGTCTTTTATATACGTCGCTACAAAATTATCAGTGTTTATTGCAATGTGTGAGAGAAGAGAATGGAAACAAGACCTTCGAGAGAATCGGGCATGACATCTGCTACATTGGAAGTTCTTGCGCGAGGCGCCGCCGTGACCTTGTAAACATTCAAGTTGGTGATTGGTTTCCATAGAGCGAAATTCATGCAGACTTACGTGCGCGCTTATGCCGTTGAAGGTTTTCCTGCAGATCCGGGTTAGAGCTCGGCAAAGAAGATAGGAAGCTGTGGGGTACTTGCACTCCGCGTAAATAACTTTGAGCATTGATCACAGGGAAACGGACGATTCTGGTCAATGTGATTGCTTCTCGTGGCTGAGGTACTAGCGGTTTGACTCATTTCGTCCATTTTAATTGTGGACATGGACGTGGACATCGGGGATGAGTTACAAATTACAAATTACAGAGGCGATCGGGGAAGGCGGTCTTGTACAAACGGGTGCACGTGCCGCCAACTATCTTCACCTCCACATATGTAAGCACTATGCAACTCCAAATTTTGATGATCTGAAATGAATTTGATCATTAAAAGTAGACCTTGTTTGATTTTGCCAGTGAGAGCCCTGGAGTTTGGGATCGGGTTCTACCTTGAGGCTTGGATGGGGGTGGAAGGACAATGGTGCCCAGGTGGCCAGGGATGATCAGAAACATATCCTTGAACCTTGGAATATGACCGGGTGCTACCCAATACTCAAGGGCTATTAGTAAAAAGGTTGGAACGGTATCTCCAGTGGTGAATACTACTAGTAGTAGTAGGGAACAGTGCGGTCGTGACTGCCAACGTGGCTACAGACTCGGAGTACTGCTGTATGCCCTCGAGACAGAACCTTCGATTTGGAAAGGGCTGGTTCAAGTTTCGAAAAATACCTCTATCACTCAGAGGGGCTTATTTCTCACAAATTCAAGTTCTCGTCCCTGCAACTTAAACATCTGCTCGTTTTCAAGTTATTCCGTCGCCTTTCTGACTACCTCTGGAAGAAGAACACGCCACTGCATGGGACTGAGAAATGCAAAGCTGAGATCTCACTCCCTTCTGACGACTAGCTGAACGCTCATTCAGCTTGGCCAGAAATGTATCCCAAAGACATGCAAAGCCACTCAAACCACTGGGTACACTCGTCATCACCGATGCAGCGCGCAAATGCAACCGAAGCCAGATAAAATCCAGGGAACAACTTAAACAGTCAGAATTTTGAGTCGAGCACAGCGATACTCTGTCGACTTTTTGACTTTCTTATACCCTGGCAATTACATCTCCAGTTCGCTCCTGTGGCTCTTCTGTCTCTCTATACTCTAGCTACGAGAAAATGCCCGCTCACCATCGAGGTAGTATTCCGGATAATTGGTAATTATATGACCGCTCCTTGCTACTATAATCTACTATGCAATGTTTGACTTACATCGATACGATATTTATGCATTAGAAACGGAGGCCCACCCTTGCCGAAATAATATAAGTGGCTGGAACCCACGAGCCCCCTGTACCCCACCGAGTTCCTGAGGGTGATGAGCCTGGAGAACGCTGGGAAGAAAAGTACAATAATATTGTACCCATAGAAGAACGTTACACTATAATGGGATTGTATTCACATTGAAATAAACTCGGATATAAACAACCGTGCTCCACAGTGCACTGGCTCATAATTTCGGAATCGAAGGACAAAAAAGACTCATAATAAACAGACTGAAGAGTACTAGAAGCGACCCGTAAAAATGGAGTTTCCAAATCTAGCAGCAGCACTCGCAGCACTCGAAGCAGCAGAGACCGGCGCAGCTGAATAATTATTGTCAGTAAACAATGCCATTGACGGGACTACCCGGTAGCATCCGGCGCCTCGGGTGCCCTGAAGATAGAAAGGTACTTACACTCCACAGCAGACATCCTCACCTTCACCACCACCGCGCATGTGGACCTGGCTCATTCCCTCAGGACCTTGCTGTGAAACGTCAATATTTTCCTGTCCAAGAAGTGTTGATGATTCTTGATGGTAGAGCATACCGGCTGCTGGCTGACGGCCTCGTTCATAGTGGCAGGGCTGTTGGGCTGCTGAACCTGGACAGTGCGGGCATCCCACTGAGATTCAGGGGCCGACTCATTGGCCGGGGAGAACCAGTTCTTGATAGCGTCGAACATAATGGAGTCTTTTTTTCAAAGAAAATTGCAGCTAAGTTCAAATAAGGGAGTTTGGAGGTTGAAGTACTGGCACTAGTAGTAGTAATTAAGTGGAAAGAAAAGAATCAGAGGAGAAGAAGAGAGATCAGTCGCCTAATCACTCTCCCCTACAATAAAATAGGGGAAAACCACATGCTCAACAAACTAGTATACTTAATCTTGGCTGCCTGGCCAGTCGTGCGCCAAGACACGTCATAGGTGGAGCTGAAAAGCTTAGTGGTCCCTGGCCGATTGTAGGGCTAGACAGCACACGGGCTGCGGATTCGCTGAGACCGTTCTCTCTTACGCGAGGTAATCTCGCAGTGGCGGGGCTGAAAAGGCGGGCTGGGTCTTGATTCTCTCCACATTTTGAGGAACAGGTCATTACGTCCCGAGACTCCGAAGTTCCTACAATTAAGGCTGAAAGACGTTGAGATTGCCCCGTTTGTTCTGCTGTCTGGGGCGGAATCTTGCAGAGTTTGCGTGGAATATTCCACGTTGAATAATGAATGCATTGGTGGAAAAGAAGCGAATTTATCGGGCATAGACTGAAACATTCAAACAACCCCTGTGCTGTACACTAACTACTCCCCAGTTCAGCTGCAGCCTTCACAGCCACAGTCAGTTTATCGGCATCGCTTAGAGGGAATGGGTGCTCCTTCTCGAAATTCAAGATAAGCCCCCGGCGAATCTCACTGCGTGGGGTAAATGAGCATTTAAAGGGAACAGGACGGCTGATAAAGTCCGGCGTGAAACTTATCCCAGGCACAACCACGCTTCCATCTTCTCTGACGGGCTTTTCGATGTTGAACGCGAAGAGAGCATTGGAGATTCCAAGAAAAGGGGCGTTTCCGCTGTAATCCGACTCAGACAGACTCGACGCCTGAAACCAAAGGTATTCTCCGCCGAGCTAGGAGCGATATTCCCGTGCCCGTCACTTGGGAGAAACCGCTCCGGTCGAAACTCGTTTGGCTCGGGATAGAACTCTGGACCGTTGTTCATTGCCCTATATTTCATCAATGAGAAGCCGAATCTTACTGTTGATTCAGGGGTGCTTGGCTATACATACCAGATATTTGCCCACAATTGTTGCGCCCTTGGGCACCAAATTCCCGTGGATCACCTCATCTTCATCGGACTTCCTCGGTATAACTAACGCTAGCGTGTGCCAGCGCATAGTATTTTTCAATATTGCATCGATATAGGGTAGATTTTGCCGGTCAGCCACTGTCGGGAACCTGTCTTCGCCAACAACACTGTCAAGCTGAGCCTGCGCCTTGCGTTGTATATCTGGATGAGCCATCATTGCCAAAAAGAATGCTTCAAGCAAAGCCACGGTCTAATAACGAGTCAATTCGGTCACTTGGAATCACTCAAGTCTGATCTAGATCCTACCGTATCCACTCCTACGCCGTAGATAGCTCCCGCTGACCATTTGATCACATCTTTATCTTCCCTATTTTGGATACATGCCGATACAACGGAAGACTCATTGTTTTTGTGCCTCATCTGTCACTTCGTGAACTCGTAGGGGAAGTCCACCAGCTTCGCCATGCACTCCTTGTTGTATCGAGCACATTTTTTGAAACTCATACCCGGCACCCAGCTAGGTAGATATTTCACTGGATCCTAGGTTTACCCCACAAGGAATGTACCGAGGAAGAGCCTTTGAAACTTACGTGCTGGAAGAAGGTCGACTAGAAACTTCCCTGGGGCTATTGCTTCTCCAAACTGACCGAGCACTAACTCCGCCAGTTTCACAAGATAGTCCTTCTTGTGGGGTTCAACGTTATACCCATATTTTATTTTCAGAGCAAAGGAGCCCGCAGCACTAAGGAGAAGAAAAGTCAGCATATTTTCTCTCTCGGAGAATGGAAAGGGCGCGAACTGTAAATGACTTTTTGCAATAATCAGATAGCTTATCAGGTTTATGGAGAATTTTTCACATGAGTCGGCAAAATTCTTCTTCAAGCTGATGATCAAATTTTGCAGCACTAAGGAGAAGAAAAGTCAGCATATTTTCTCTCTCGGAGAATGGAAAGGGCGCGAACTGTAAATGACTTTTTGCAATAATCAGATAGCTTATCAGGTTTATGGAGAATTTTTCACATGAGTCGGCAAAATTCTTCTTCAAGCTGATGATCAAATTTTGCAGCACTAAGGAGAAGAAAAGTCAGCATATTTTCTCTCTCGGAGAATGGAAAGGGCGCGAACTGTAAATGACTTTTTGCAATAATCAGATAGCTTATCAGGTTTATGGAGAATTTTTCACATGAGTCGGCAAAATTCTTCTTCAAGCTGATGATCAAATTTTGCAGCACTAGAAGTTGTTCCAATGACTCTGGCTAGGGCCCGACGATGCGTACGGAGATTCTGGTCATGGTCTTGTCTTGGAATGGATGCTTCATATCCAAATCTAGAAATGAGGAATTAGTCTACTGAATACGACGAGAATGGAATGGAAAATCGAGAATAGATGAAAGTCGCTCGTACAGTTCATCGGCAAAAACAGAGTCTGGTTTAGACGAGTGCTTAGCAGATTTCTCGAAAAGCTGGGCTGCAGTTTCGCGATCATTCACTATGATCAGAGGCTGACCAAATACCGTCAGACGGCTTAGAGGGCCTGTTAAACTCATTAAAAATACCGTACAGGTCAATAAATAGGCAATCTACTTTACCATAAATAGCCCTATGCTTTTGGTAGAACTTTCCAGGGTGTTGACCATCGGGGCATAAGTCCAGATGATTTCCAATGAGAGGCCAGCCTTTCGGCCCAGGAGGCAGGTCCGGGAGACTTTTGCGAGAGAAAAGCCTTTTCAGAACCGTGAAAATGGCCGCGCTCACGGCAAGTATGACAAGGTGTGTTGTAGTTGACATGATAATGGATACCGATGCAAGGATACCCTACGGATCTCCCTCAACAGCCCTGGAGGTGAATGAACTGGCTATAATCAAATCGGTATTTAAAACGAGATAGTAAGATTCCGGATGCTGCCTGAGAAACCCCGAGGGAAAAAAAGCGCAAGTCTCAAATTTTCACATCTCGCAAGTCAATGACCTACTAGGAATAGTCCACCCCGCGAGGAAATCGGGATTGGCGCAAACCACTACTCCTTTTTATGTGCTAATTCGCGGTGTCCCAAGTCTTCACGAGGCGACCAATCACAAAACTCAGAGTATGATCCTAGACCAGCTCGCTTTGGGGGCCGCAATGTACAGCCTCGATTGAGGGATCAGGCCCAAAGACGTGAGCGAATCAGTTTGTGCGAATTTCTGTACGCACGGTCAGGCTCCCAGAGCCTTGCGCTTAGCATCATAAGGCTTATAACCCGATGCGGCAAGCACGAAGTGTCTAAATACGGTATGGTATGCGAGCATTTCAAGTTATTTCGGAACCAAAATGATCGAGATATCTACAGAGATGTAGTTCTTGCATGAGCCCAACGTGCTGGGTGCTTTATTGATAAAATATGTTTACTATACAGATGGATTATTATACATAGTCTATGATACATGTATGAAGTGGAGATGGAATAACCCCCGATTTTGCCTCAGTTGGTGGGCTCAGTCGTATCAGTCGGTTCAGCCGCAGCTTCAGTCTCTTCCCAACCAGGAGCAGTGAGACCCTGTGCACGGAATTCTTCGTCGCTGATAATCTGAACCAGCTTGAACTTCCACTTGCCCAGCTTCAACATGATCAGATCATCATTGATGACAAACTCCTTGGTCTTTTCGGCAGGCCAGACCCGGATAGGAGTGAAGGCAAGATCGTCGGACATCGGACCACTGTCTCCAGGACGGCTTCCCACATAGGCACCGTTATTCGTGATAACGCGGTGGCCCTCGCCCTTGGATGAGACAAGGCCGGCAGACCACAGAACCTTGTTGAAAGTCTGGTTGTACACCAAAGATCGCGGGAGAGTAACCTTGGCATTGGGCATGTTGGCAAAGTTGGTCTGAGAGGCGTATGGGTTTCCGGACTGGGGGGTGGTCATTCCGGTCAAGGGCGACTGGGGGTTGCCACCTTGGCTCGATGTTTTAGGCATAGGCGAGGGTTCGCCGGTCGAGGACCGAGGGCGGAAAAGCTGGCGGTGTTGGAGGGACACCGCATCAGCCTCCTCCTTGCCGTGAACCAGCTCTACAAACTCGTAGGCTAGCTTGTGCTGTGCAAGACGCTTTGAAGGATCGGCATTTTGCTCCGCCATGAGGGAAGCGATCTCAGGTAGGGGGGATGAAAGTGAACAACTTAAGGTAGCGCTCCACAGTATCATCAGGGGTGCGGACGAAGAACTGGAAAATAGTTAGCTCTAGACGAAACAGAAGCTTCATGGAACGAGTAAACTAACCTGGTAAAGCTCGAAAGTGGTAGTCATGCTCTTGTCGAGCCAAATTGCATTACCAGCGGACTTTCCGAACTTCTCTCCAGACGAGGCTGTCAAGAGAGGCGTTGTAAAGCCAATGGGTCGGTCCAGTTCCGAGTCCAAAGGATTACGTTTTTGCTCATCGGCAGTGTTACGGCTAATTGACTTGACGGCATCCATACCGAACAGGATGTTTCCATACTGATCAGATCCACCCACTTGCACTTGAGTACCCTTCTGGAACAGGTTCCACCAGTCCCAGCCTTGGAGAAGAGGGTAGGAGAACTCAGCAAAAGACATGCCATCGCCCTGGTTCATCCGATTCTTGACACTGAATATAATTGTTAGTTCAACTGAACAGCCAAATTGCATTGATAAGACTCACGTGTCTCGGCCAAGCATAGGTCCCAGCCTAGTGAAGGCGCCCAGATCGCGCAGGACCTCAATGAAAGGCATTGAATTCCACCAAGTGTTGTTGTTGACCAACGCTCGTCTCCAGATAGCCTGTTTCTGATAACCGTGTCTCCTGCCGTACTGCTCAATGCTAGTGCCCAGCTTCTTCAATTGCATGTGCATGCTAGCCATGTTTGCCTTGCGAATCGAGGTATGAACTTTTTCGCGGCCCTTTAGTCGACCTGTGGGGTCACCAACTCGAGATGTAGCGCCACCCAACTATTTTGTGTCAGTCAGCCATTTCAAGAGACTCTCAGGCCCAAAGAAACTCACCAAAAAGGTGACAGGCAAGCCCCAAACATATCCCCAAGCCAGGACCATAAACGGCAACATATGTCCCACGTGCATAGATGGCGCCGTAGGGTCAATTCCGACGTAGATACCGGCCCTCTTCTCGGTGAACACCTGATGAAGCAAATCGCGTTCTCTGGAAAGATAAGAAATGGACAATTAGTACTTGTTTTCCAATTAATTCATGCAGAAGAGGACCCCGAATAAATTCCAGCTCACAACATACCCAACAACATCATGAATCAACCCGCGTTCTTCCAGATGAGCCGCGAAGCTCTTCCTCTTGCCCTCGTTAATCTCCTCCGCATGCCGAGCCCACTCATCTTTGCCATCCTGAACGCGCTTCAGCCATTGTTGCGTGATTAGCCTCTTCTGCTGCGGTGTACACTGGGATTGTTGAAAAAACAGAGCCGGGCGACGGGTCTCGCAACGGAGCGGGTTTGTTTGCGATGCTGCGGCGAAGCTACGTGCTCCGCATGACGCGGTTCGAGGTAGGGGCGCGTTGCGACAAGTCGCGCGAACAAGAGGCGTTGACCGAGGTCGCATGGGACCGATTGATGTGAAATGGGTAAGGAGGAAGGGCGTTCCAGTGGAAAATTGGAGGAATGAGTCGCGGAGACCAAAAATGGCCGGCGATCAGGCCAGCTCCGAGATTGTCGCGATAAGCGGATCATCGTTAATCCATGGGATAGTTTAAGTGCGAGGCTAGTATAGAATGTCTACGGAACTGTACTTGATCAGAGCTATCTTGTAAACTTGAAATATCTCTCCGATAGCTTTATAGTTTATTAATTTATTGATACAAATTCCATGCTAACTGCCGTCATTTTCTCATTCTGCAACTTGCAATAACCGCAGGACCAAGAGAAGTCCCAGTGGGTCCATGTTTTCAGATCCCGAAGCTCCGCTCCGCCGAAGTAACAACGAAAAGCAAAAGCTCCGGAGTAACTTACGTTTTGATGTTCCGCACAGGTTAGTCCAATTGCGCTATATTTGGAGAATAAAGAGCTAATTTAAAGTTTTCAAAACCCGAACGCCGAGAAGAAAAGGCGAATGGTTCCAGCGGTGACAGGTTAATATCTATTTTCAACACAGAGTAGATAAAAACATCCAACTGGGGAAGAGTGGACATGACGGGCGTGTAATTTGATTGGAATAGATTTTACATAGTAAAATTGCCATATCATTTAGTACTAAATAACATAGAGGCTCTTCTAGATCACCTTCTCTCCTTTTTCTAACAATGTATCATTGTCATAACGCCATACTCCTGACGTAATGAGCCATAGGATAAGCCATGGATGGTTATGGTCGGGTGAGCAGGAGAGGTGATGACCGGATCCTATGCTTCATCTCGTTCTTTTTCTTTCGACTTCCTTCTTCTTTTGTCGTTATTTTTTTTTTACCCCTTCATGTCCTCATGTTCCTTCACGTTGCTACGCATCTTTAGAGGGCCTTTTGTATGATACAGGCACCGGCGCAGACTAGATGGACTATGGCTTTTGTAATTAGGACTGTGCTTGCTGCAGGGGGTTCGGATGAACCGGGATTGATCAGCATTGAAATGTGTCCGAGAACGGTCTCTCATCTGCCCGAGAACAGCCTAGACCACCTGTACTCCCTATCTTCGACGTAATAATCGGTAGATCGCCTACGTCAATTCGCGGGCATTTATAGAAGACCTCATATGCCCCTCCGAGTACCACCTCAACTCATCGCAACTGCCAATTTCTCTACACATTCTCTCTCTCTCCAAAATCCAACCAAATTACAATTGAATTGTCGTATAAAACAATGGCCCCCTCAACCATGAAGCAATGGGTAGTCGAGAACAAGGACAATGGCTTCGACGGCCTTGCCTTCAAGGACGCGCCCCTCCCAACTATCGGTGAATCAGAAGTGCTGGTCAAGCTTCAGGCTGCCTCGCTCAACTACCGAGACTTGATCATTCCCTTGGTAAGAATACCAGCACGATAGAGCAACCCAGCTTGACAGTTAACTAATTGCACCACACCACAACACAGGGTAAATATCCCTTCCCTTCTGGTTTCCCTGTGGTCCCGGGCTCCGACGGCGCTGGCGAGGTCATTGAGGTCGGCTCCAAGGTCACCGAGTTCAAGAAGGGCGACAAAGTTGCGACGCTCTTCAACCAGGGTCACCAATATGGCCCGATCGATATTCCCGCGACACAGACCGGACTAGGCGGCGTAATCGACGGCACCATTCGCGAATACGGCGCTTTCGCCGAGAAGGGTCTTGTCAAGGCTGCGAAGAACCTCTCACCAGTTGAGAATAGTACTCTGACATGCGCGGCTCTGACAAGCTGGAATGCGCTGTACGACCTAAGGCCGTTGAAGCCTGGCCAGGTCGTTCTAGTCCAGGGAACTGGCGGTGTGAGCATCTTCGCTCTTCAGGTAAGTGATTGCTTCGCCCATGGTAGTTAACGGCCAGTTATCAATGAGCAGCCTGGCTAATCAATATCCGTGAGGGTTAGTTTGCCAAAGCTGCGGGTGCGATCGTGATCGCCACGACCTCATCCGACGAGAAAGCTAAGAAACTCAAGCAACTGGGTGCGGATCACATCATCAACTATAGGTCCGACCCGAACTGGGGCGAGACTGCTCGCGCGTTGACCCCGGATGGTGCCGGCGTGGACCACATCATTGAAGTCGGTGGAAGTGGCACCCTGAAGCAAAGCTTCAAGGCCATTAAATTCGAGGGAGTGATCAGTGTGATTGGATTCTTGGGTGGTGTCAGTCCTGCTGATCAGCCTAGCGTTCTAGATACTCTGAGCAACATCTGCACGGTTCGCGGTGTTTATGTTGGGAGCAAGGCGCTGATGCGGGATATGATTCGCGCGATCGAAGCCAATGATATTCACCCTGTTGTGGACCATAAGGTCTTTTCTCTGGCTGAAACCCGGGATGCGTATGAACACATGGTAAGTGAAGTGAACTGTTCCCTCCTGGGTGTAAAAGGATATCTGTACTAACTTGGAAATAGTGGGCTCAAAAGCACTTTGGCAAGGTGGCTGTCAGGATCCACTAGAAATCAAGTAGGAAGTGCAAAAGGAATACTCAGCTACAAAAGCAATGCTACAGATACTCTATCTCCATGCATGGAACAAAGAAGATCGAACATCGTAAGGTAGATAGTAAATAGGATGCAGTGTAGCGCACAGAAGCCGAAGAGTCGAGACGTTGAGGAAGGTTCCCCGCTGCTTCCCTCAGCACATCACAAGATCCCCGGGCCCTCTCCCTCTTCATCTTTTGTCATTCGTCCAAAGTTCACAGCTATCGGGTCCGGCCTGGGCGATTTCTCAACTCAACGCTCGCTAATCGGCTAGCTACAGCTTAATCTAATCTCTGCACCCGAGAGAGTTGGGAGCTTACCCCTCCCATCCGATCATGCATGAGCAAATTGACAGAAATACCTCCAATCTCCCCATAATCGGACCTGGCGATTCTATGAAACATCAGAGCCCGCACTTTGCTCGCCCGGTCCAGATGGTTCTTTTCGCCCGTGTGACGTGCTACCCTCCACTGGGTCAAGTAACCAGCATCCCCAGAGTCCAAAAGAAGTTGCGGTCGGAGAAGGACCATGGCGATACGGTGAGTACTAATCAGCTGTCTTGGGTACAATAATACTATAAACAAAGATCGAGTATTAAAGGCTGGACTAGGTGCGCTTCACAGTCACCATCGAATCAAGCACATCTCTACCAGATCAACCCTGGGAAGCTCAAATCTGGCATAACATCTCCGATCCAGACTGGACGGCGCTGCCACTGCACGAAACCAAACAGTCAGCCGCGCCTTTGCTTAGTGGAAACGCCACAGAATATAAGTATTATCGCCACATATTCACAGGACAGATTCAACTCCCTTCAGTCGGTGGGCATGCACAATTCACGGTGCGCTTTCGCACAAGCCCCGACACCGATTGGCAATGGGTAAACCCTCATCATTCGGTCGGTGATGGGGAAATCGTATACACTGCCCGCGAATCCGGAATCAAGAAAGCGCTATCACCTTATTTCCCCTCTCAGGTTCGGAAAGAAGAGCTCGCAAAATATATCACCAACCTTTCGCAAGATATCCAAGTCGAGTCACGGACCAGCGAGGCCCCCGGTTCTCTACTATGGTCAATATCAGGAAATGTGTCTGCTGCAGCAAATGGAGCATCCGGAATCAGTACTCTTCTTCTCGGTACCCCTTCTTCAATAATGAGGAACTTTTCCTTGGTGCGGGTTTGGAGTCCGTGGCTGGGGCCACGACATGGTAGAGACTGGTTTGATTTGACGGAAGATGCGATACTATGCTCTTTCCTGCGCAAAGATGGTCTGAATCTCGTTTTGCTAGCCATTTCAGGTATCAACGATGTCTTGACGGTTTTTCAGTCTGGCGATAATGGCGAGGTCGTGATCAAGGCCAGGAACGATAACACGAAATCCGCCCAATTCAATGTCTTGGCTGCTGTTGCGGAAGACTTTGAAGTCGCTATGTCTGCTTTAATCTATGAGTCGCGGAAGGTGGTCAAGCCATTCTCAGACTCTTCAATGGATGATTGGGAAGAGACGTCTCCGATATCTCCTCTCGATGATGATATTGTCTTTGTTGAGAAAGACCCGAAAATACAATGGCTGGCTGAGTGGTTTGATGGCTTGACATTTTGTACTTGGAATAGCCTGGGGCAGGATCTAACGGAGGAAAAACTTCTCCAATCCTTGGAATCTTTGAAGTCTCACGGCATCAGCATCTCGAATCTGATTATCGACGACAACTGGCAGAGTCTCGACAACGAAGGCGAGTCCCAATTCAGAAGAAGGTGGCAGCGGTTCGAGGCAAACGAAAAAGCCTTCCCAGGAGGTCTTAAACGAACCGTTGACGAAATTCGCCTGAAACACCCTAATATTCAGCATGTGGCAGTTTGGCATGCCTTGTTCGGGTATTGGGGTGGAATCAGTCCTGATGGCGACCTCGCTCGAAAGTACAAGACCAAAGAAGTACAAGTCAAAGATCCCAGCTCCAATGGCCCAATTGCACAAAATATTCCCGGGGGCAAGATTCTTGCCATAGATCCCGATGATATCCAGCGATTCTACGAGGAATTCTATAGTTACCTCAACACCGTCGGAGTTGATTCGGTCAAAACGGACGCCCAATTCTTCCTCGACCTCCTCGAGAACCCAGAAGACCGGAAGAGATTTACAACATCGTACCAAGATGCGTGGTCAATTGCTTCACTTACGCACTTCAACACTCGATCAATATCCTGCATGTCCCTCGTTCCGCAGATCATGTTCCACTCCCAACTCCCAAACAACAAGCCAACCATTCCACTTCGAAACTCAGACGACTTCTTCCCCGAGGTCCCAGCTTCTCATCCATGGCATATTTTCTGTAACGCACACAACTCATTGCTCACGAGATATCTAAACGCCCTTCCGGACTGGGACATGTTCCAGACTGACCATCCCTACGCGTCCTTCCACGCTGCTGCACGGTGCATCTCCGGCGGACCGGTCTACATTACCGACGAACCTGGCAAGCACGATTTGAAGCTCCTCGATCAAATGACAGCACCAACCGTTCAAGACACTACTGTAATTCTGCGGCCCAGCGTCATCAGCCGTACTATTGACGTCTACAACGACTACAATGACGGACAGATTCTGCGTGTTGGAAGCTACACAGGTTGGGCAAAGACCGGCAGTGGAATCTTAGGCCTCTTCAATCTCAAATCAGCAGAGTCATCCTGCATGGTCTCGTTAATTGATTTCCCGGGGATCCACAAAGACTCCGACAGTCAATATGTGATTCGCGCCCATACCAGCGGCAAGGTCACTGAGCAAATGCATCTAGGTGACCATCAATCGGTTGTATCCATCATTCTGCAGGATAAGGGATGGGAGATTCTCACGGCATATCCGACCTATTCCTTCACTCTGAATGGAAGCATTCGATCTATAGCGTCGCAGGGTGCTCTGACAAATGTGGCTGTGCTAGGCCTGCTTGGAAAAATGACAGGCGCGGCTGCAGTGATGAGCTCTGATATCTTCTTAGTGGAGAATGGCCGACTGCGATTCGATATTCATCTGAAAGCATTGGGGATACTGGGTGTTTACTTTTCCAACCTGAAGGACTTGGATATTAACCGCAACTTCATGGTGATGATTTTAGGGAAACCTATCCCACCAAAGACGGTTTGGAAGGACGGTGGGGAAAACTCCAATGTTCTGGCAATTGATGTGCTAGGTGCTTGGAAGTGTATGAAGCTGGATAGTGGGTGGAGCAATGAGGCGCTCATTCAGGTCTTTGTAGGTTAGTTGTGCCAGGGGTTGAAACAACTTCATACCTAGACAGGGCTTGGAATATTATTAAATAGAACCAAACAAATCGCACAAACGAGGTTATTCGTAATACTTCGCGCCATCTTTCAAATTAACTCATTTCGCACCTGAACTCGCACCCAACGGCCTCGCCATGTACCTGGAAGTACAAGGGTACCCACTGAGGGGCCCGGCAATTGTGCAATCCAAAGCTAAAATTACCCATCAATTCCGAGATCCACGCGATGGATGGGGAACCAGAGCTCCGGAAAAGCACAATCGCGACGGATCGCGTGTCGGCGAGGACAATGATGAGATTTCCGATCTACGTGGAGGGGGAGGAGGGGTAGGTCGAAGGAGGAGGGGGTGATAAATAGACACGACTCCCCTCGGATACCTTCCATTTGATTAATTCAAAACTATCGCATTAGACAAGTCTTTGCTCTCGGGCTGTTTATTTACTCTTCCTTTTTTCACTCCCACTGCGCAATCACCATGTCTTTAGGCCGCACCTTTAAATTGAACTCGGGCTACGAGATCCCCGCCGTCGGTCTCGGTACCTGGGTGAGTACAGTATCAGCTAGAACATGATTTGGAATAATGCCATGGGTATAAGCTAACAATTAACTGTCTGCGTAATTAGCTTTCCAAGCCCAATGAGGTCGAAACTGCCGTCGAGACTGCCCTTCGTAAGGGCTATCGTCATATAGATGCGGCAGCATGCTACCAGAACGAGAACGAGGTCGGGCACGGCTGGAAGAAGTCGGGCGTGCCTCGCGAGCAGTTTTTCGTAAGTTATACATTCTGAATCACATTCCAAATATTCAATCCAAGGTTTCAAGTTAATAACAAGTTTGTATTTCAAGATCACCAGCAAGCTATGGAACACCCACCACCACCCCAACCACATCGAAGAAGCCCTCAACAAGACCCTCGCAGACCTCCAGACCGACTATTTGGATCTCTACCTGGTAAGTCAATTCTCCCCGAATCTATCAATCAGCCATAGGAAATGAATTGACCACGTATCCATAGATCCACTGGCCCGTCGCTTTCGCCCACACCAACGAAACCCTCACCCCGACTGACCCAGTAACCAAGCGGTTCCAAATAGCCGACGTCCCGGTCTCCGACACCTGGGCCGTTCTGGAGAAATTCGTCGAGACGGGCAAGATCCGGAGTATCGGTATTAGCAATTTCACGATCCAGGCGACCAAAGATCTACTGAAGACGGCCAAGATCCCTCCGGCTGTGAACCAGATCGAGGCTCATCCTTACCTTCTCCAACCGGAGCTGTTCAAGTATTTGAAGGATAGCGTAAGTGATCTGATCCAGATATATTTGGCAAGAGATTGTTGGTCCTGCAATGGGTTTTATACTAGGAGATACTAATTTTGTCTTTTTTGGGGTGCAGAACATTCTTCCTGTGGCTTATAGCCCTCTCGGAAACAATATCTACAACCTGCCTCGGTATAGTTGACCCTGACCCACCTTACTTCCAAGTTGTGCATGGACTGTACTAACTCGGATCCGATCCCAGTGTTGTCGACGACCCGACAGTCGTGGAAGTCGCCAAGAAGCTGAACAAGGACCCTGCTGTTTTGCTGATCTCATGGGCTATTCAGCGAGGTTCCTCGGTTCTGCCCAAGAGTGTGACTCCGTCCCGTATTGAGAGTAACTTCCAAGGTAAGCTTGCCAATGTATTCAGTTCACCAATACTACATACTACTGGTGGTGCCTGGGTTGCAACTAATACCTGTGAACCGGACTAGACTTTGTGATTCCGGATGCCGAGTTTGAGGCTCTGAACCAGCTTGACAAGAATGAGAGATACAATTATCCCTTCCGCTGGGGTGTGGATGTCTTTGAAGAGCTGGGGGCTGCCGAGGCTGAGAGACGGGCTGAGGAGCATGCAGCTAAGTTGAGGGGGAGCTCGTAGCGATGGTATACACTATATACTAGTATTACTACTAGTACTATAGTAGGAAGAATGCATCATGATTCCTCGGTGACACCCAGTAATAGAACTACTATAGTATTGCATTAAATACATTGAAAGTGGAACAATGTAACCAATTTAAAATGAAACTAATGGTAAAAAAAAAAAGTATGAATTTGCATTGCCTGGAGCATTCTAGTCGAAAACAAACCCGAAGCTTTTCCGGTGGAACATCCGAACAGCCCCAGTTTCTGTTTCAAGTTCAACTTCTACCCGCATTCAAGTTGATATACACAGGTGACAGAACTCTACACCTACACTACACCTACACTACACTTACTCCAAGACTACCCAGAGTATATAAATGCCTACCAAAGAGGGCCGCGTAACGAAAAACCAGGCCCGCAAGTCCGGTGCCCACCAACGACGCGTCCAACACCGTAAGTGAAAGTGAACCTCTCCTCTTGTCTGTCACAGACAGCGCGGAGGACCTCCATTTCGAAGACTCGACGCGTCTCACAACAGCATACCACAGACCTACCCTTAGTCGAGCGCACCAATGCGCTCGCAACCGACCAGTTTATCTCGCAATATGTGACTCCACTAGCCACGCCCACGCCTACAGCTACAGGTAGTGCCAGTGCTAGCACTACAACCTCAATTACAGGGAATGAACAGACAAAAGAACTCCCAATAAACAGCCATACATTGCCAACCCCGCCATCTACCCAGCTAAACGCAAACTTGAACGCGCCCACGACAACAACTACCCCGACCCCACTAGCCGTCTACTCATCATCAACCATCCCCCCACTAGACCTAGAAGCATGTCTCGATCTCATCGAGCAAACCTCCGGCGACGCGTATACCGCGTCGGGAATAGGCTGGTCGCGTCCGAAGAAGCGCAAGGAAATGAAATTGCCCGATATGAAATACCTGCTTGTGCGGGGTGACTCCGAGTTCGAGCCGGAGGGGCCACTGTTATCAGCCGACGATGCGCAGGGCGGACTAGTTGTAGTACCCGACGAACCGGTATCCGAGTTGAAGTCGGGCTCGGGATCGGGATTGGGATTGGATTCGGAAATGCGACAGAAGGACAAAGACCAAAATGAAATTCAAAGGCAAAACTCGGCTCGGCTTCTCGGCTTCTTATCGTTCATGGTTACGTACGAGGATGGGAAAGAGGTGGTTTACTGCTACGAGATCCACCTGTCGCCCATTGCGCGGGGGAGGGGGCTAGGCGGTGTTTTGATGAGTCGGATGGAGGGGATTGGGAGGTTAATCGGGTTGGAGAAGGCTATGTTGACTGTTTTCAAGTCGAATGTTGCTGCGAGGGAGTTTTATAGGAAAGGTGGGTATGAAGTTGATGAGAATTCGCCCCAGCCGAGGACGTTGAGGAACGGGACAGTGAAGGAGTGGGATTATGAGATTTTGTCCAAGAGGTTGATGTGATGGTAGATAGTATGAGGTATAGTGGATTTGTTTCTTGGATTTGTTTTCTTTGCTTGGGAGAAGAATACAAGCGCTTGGAGAAATGTAGAAAGAAAATAAAAATGCAGGGTTGTTTAGATATACATTACACTTGTTTGACTTCGGTGCCTTGTTCTTCTGGGTGGTCTTGTTCCCATTCGTCACGTAGGGCAGAGAAGATGCTATCGGCCAGCAGAATGGAGAGACCCAGGCTCCAGACAAGAGTGATGGCGTAAAAGAAGTTGGCATTTCCAGACCCGGCGTAGATCCAGAGGTGGTAGAATGCGGGGCCGAGAAGACTGGAGTAGAGGATGGCGGAGATGGCGAAAAATGTGTACCGCATCACTAGTCATAGTTAGTGGGATTGTTAAATGATTGGTTGGAGTTATCAGTGCAAGGCTCACAAGGGAAAAGATGGCGGTACAAAGGTAGCATCGCAAAGTACAGCGACGCGTCGGAAATGCTGGGATACGGCTTGAAGATCGCGAAGACGCCCAGTAATGATGCAATAACAAACAACGGCTGCCGTCGTAAACGCGCAGTGAGTCCTCCGACATAGCTTGCCAAATGAAGCCAAAAGACTCCAATGAAGAACTCGCGGAATGAGTCGAACATCTCGATGAAGAAGTACCACCATAGACCCACATTGGGGGTCAGGTCAGGGACCAGCAGGTGGAAGCCATAGGTTGCCGAAATGAACTCCCAGAAGTTTCCAGTGATAAGGTTTGACAGCGCGAGGAGCCCGGCAACGCTTGCGGCGAGGATAGCAGCGTGTTGCACGATGTAACCGACAGCGTTTAGCGATTTGTTAGAAGATTGGAGTCGTTGATCGTAGCACATCAAGACTAGCGGGATAAACAAGAGCGCCGGGTATAGAGACAGGTATGAGGCGAAGCCGAGAGCAAGCATCGCGTTAACACTATTTCCACCAACGGCATTAGATACAGCAAACAGGATTCCCGAGGTAGTGAACACGCTAGTCGACCGCGCTAAGCAGGTAGCAATCGTGAAGGGATTAAAAAGAAACCTATACAATTATTAGCTGGGGTTTTATTCAGCCAGATGGGCGCCATTGAGTGAGTGTACCAAGCCGCGACCGAGACCCCGTCCCATTGAATATGCTTCCGAACGGCAGAGTGGAGTCGACTTTGGATAGACTGCCCCGACTCGGAGATTGTAACCAGGGCATAGGCGTTCACGAGATCGACTAGGAAGTAGAATAACGCAGTCGGAATGGGATTGCTGTGTATATCTGGGAGGAGGGAGAATAGAGGAAGGAGAAGCGGTGCCTGTATTATGGGGTTAATCGAGGAGGTGCTGCGGAGCAATCACGGAGAATAGCGTACCTGGTGAAAGACACCACCGTCGTAGGGCGATACATTGCGAGTATAAAGGTACAGCCCCTCTTGTACTGTACAATTCAAGGTCAGTCCATATGTTCCTTTCATTCCTTTCAATGGCCTCACTTCCGGGTTACTCACATCGCTTGAAGCTATTGACTGGAGTCGACACCTCAACTCGACCAGTCAATAGATCTGGCAATGACGGAAACAAACATATGAGAAGCAGTCGCAGGACAAAGGCGACGCCAAACACGCCTACCATGCGTCTGTCGACTGCCATGTTGAGCTGTAGTGCTGTAGTGATGCGTGGTGGAGTATGTAGTAATGTTAATGTTGTTCCCCCCAAGGCGGAGAGAAGGCCAGTCCAACCGGGGGCACGGGCCAGCTGACCGCCTTCCCGGATAACTTTTTTTTTATCGAGGAAAAATTCTCGTTATCGGACTTCTGCTTAGATCTTCCCATTCTACTACTATTTATCCCCCCAACGGTAGCAGACATCATGGCGAAGATTAAGAAGAAGGGTATGTTTTATCTGCCAATTAACCCCATGGAATATCTCCGCTGACATCAAATTGAAGGTACCTCCGGCCAGGCCAAAAACTATATCACTCGTACCCAGGCCGTGCGAAAGCTGCAGATTTCTCTGCCCGATTTCCGTCGCCTATGTATTTTCAAGGGTAAGTTGAGATGGGAATCAATTGGCTTGGTGAAATATGAAACTAACGAGAATCTGCGATTGAAGGAATCTACCCTCGCGAGCCTCGTAACAAGAAGAAGGCCTCCAAGACTGCCACCCCAAACACCACCTTCTATTACACCAAGGATATCCAGTACCTGCTCCATGAGCCTCTGCTGAACAAGTTCCGTGACCAGAAGGCTCTTGCCAAGAAGATCGCTCGCTCCCTCGGCCGTGGTGAAGTCAGCGACGCTGCACGCCTTGAGAAGAATCACGCTCCCAAGCTCACCCTCGACCATGTCATCAAGGAGCGTTATCCCACCTTCATTGACGCTCTTCGCGACCTAGACGATGCTCTCTCTCTGCTGTTCCTGTTCGCTACTCTCCCCTCCGACAAGCACGTTCCTCCCAAGACCATTGCCCTCTGCCAGCGCCTGTGCCACGAGTTCCAGCACTACTTGATCGTCACCAACTCTCTGCGCAAAACTTTCCTTTCGATCAAGGGTATCTACTACCAGGCTACCATCCAGGGTCAAGACATTATGTGGTTGGTCCCTTACCGCTTCGTGCAACGTGTCAATGGCGATGTCGACTACCGTATCATGGCCACATTCGTCGACTTCTACACCACCCTGCTGGGCTTCGTCAACTTCCGCCTGTACTCCACTATCGGCATCCGATACCCCCCGAAGTTCGATACCCGCAGCGATGAGAACGGTGCCGAGCTGGCTGCCTTCACCCTCGAGGGCCGCAATGTTGGCGAGAAGCCCAAGGCCATTGAGTCCAGCAAGACCCAGGCCAACGGTTCTAACAAGGAAGTTTCCAAGGAGGTGCAAGCCAAGGTCGACAAGGTGATCAAGTCGGCTGGATTGGACCAGGCCGACGACGAGCAGCCTATGGACACCACCGAGGAGTCCACTGACGCTATTGATCGATTCGAGCCCGCTGCTCCCGAAGCCGACACCCTCCCCCAGCCCGATATGAGCGGTAACGAGGCCGGCTCCCTTTTCGCCCCATTCGTTTTCTACATCTCTCGTGAAGCCCCCAAGGCGCCCCTCGAGTTCATTCTTCGTTCCTTCGGCTGCAAGCGCATCGGTTGGGATGTTGTCCTGGGTGACGGAGCTTTCACCAACGATGAGACCGACCCGCGCATCACTCACCAGATTGTGGATCGCCCGCAACTCCCTGCCGAATCTCTCCCTGCCATCCCTGCCGCCAACGACGCCGTCCAGAAGGTCAAGCCCGGTACTCGCATCCCTGGTCGCACCTATGTCCAACCCCAATGGGTCTGGGACTGTGTCAACGATGGCAAGCTGATCCGCGCTGATCTATATGGACCTGGCGCTACTCTTCCTCCTCACTTGAGCCCCTGGGTCAAGCCTTCTCGTGGCGGTTACGACCCCCGGGCTTCCCTGGCCGAGCAGGAAGAGGAGGGTGAGGCTGAGGTTGCTGAGGAGGCCGAGGACAGCGACGAGGAGATGGAGGACGAGGCCGCCGTTGAGGAGAAGCCCGTCGAGGAATCCGAGGAGGAGTCCGTTGACGGTGGCATGGATGTTGCCGGTACTGACGATGATGAGAGCGAGGAAGACGAGTCCGATGAGGTCGATGGGGCCTTGGAAGGAATGGTCGAAGATGCCGCCTCCGAGTCTGAAGATGACGACGAGGCTGTTCGCACTCGGCACCAACGTGAGCTGGAGGCCGAAGCCGCCGGTCTGCCCTTCACTTCCAACGGTGCTGACGATGAGGCCGCCAAGAAGAAGGGTTCCAAGACCAAGAAGCTGGCTGCCAAGAAGCAAAAGGAGGAGGAAGAGCTCGAGAGACAAAAGATGATGATGAGCCGCAAGAAGCGCAAGCTGCTTGAGAAGATGATGCACTCCAACAAGAAGCAGTCTGAAGAGGCTGCCAAGCTTCGTTCCAAGCGTCGCAAGATTGAGAAGGGCGCCGAGAAGAAATAAGCTGGAAGCAGTGTGTTAAAATTAGGAGTGCTTTTTTTATGCTGGCGTTTGCGGCTGGATAGTCCCCTGTATATGCATGATCCAAAAATCCATATCAATCAAATTTAATGGTTTACTGCAATGTGTGTTCGTAGTAGCTTATAGTGTATATCTTTTTTTTCCTCCTAAAAAGAAAAGAAAGAAGTATAATAAGTTGACGAATCCAAAATCTGCGCGATGTATAACGATCACGTGATCAGCGACGATCCACCCGGCGGAATTTTTGATGGAGACAACCACCAACCTTGCCAGACCTACACGGGCTATGTCCGAAGTGTCGCGAAACCGAGTCAGAAAAAGCACTCCGTAATGCTGAAAGCAACTGGACCACCTGACCAGCATTCTACGAAGCAAATATCGCTCTCTACGTGACATGAGCGGCCATTCGGCAGTATCACATAATACCCGCAAACCAAACACAACACTGAGGCATGTCCTCACATTCAGATAACATCGACCCTCCATCATCATCACAGTTTGTGCCTCCAGCGTCTGCACAACCCTACCGCTCCATTTTTGGCGGTCCTAGCAGTGATGCGGGTCCACCACTTTCATCACCCCAGCCGGGACCATCTCGAAGGTCAATTTTCGGAGGTCCTAGAAGCAGCAGTCATTTTGGGCCACGACTGGACCCCATGAGCGAGGGACCAGAGGATGATGACTTTGAAGCATTCTTGCGAGACCGGCCCTTGGAGGCTGATTATAACTCTGAAGGAGAAAGCTTTCAAGGAAGTTCTGATGGCGAGGATGGGCTAGGACTCGAGTCTGAACCAGACTTGCCACAAAAGAAGCCACTGTCTCGCACAAGCTCTTATTCACCTAGCAAGTCGGTGTCACTGCCACCGCCGCCAACCACCTATGTTCTTGACCGCGGCCTAGACCTCCCGCCCGGTGTCCCGCGTCCGAACCGATGGACCGGTCCTCCTAGGACGTACAGACAGCTCATCTCAGATGAGAAGGGCGCGTATGATGCTATATTAGCGAATCGATCAATGGACCTTGCAGCTCACCTCTATGATTCCTTCGTGCTTCGCAATCAAAATCAAAAAGCCGGGGAAGTGTTAGGACCCGAAGACGAAAGCGAGGACCCAGCAGCCGTGAAAAAGGTCTGGGTTGGATGGCCGATGCTTGCGAATAATGTTCCTCGTTCTGACGAGTATATCCGGCGACAACTAGATGACCCAGACACCTACCGAATGGCGCCTGATCCACGTCCAAGTGCAGACCTCGAAGAATCTATTATCGCCAGCATGCTGAAGACCGCGAAGGAAAATTTCATGGCGAGCCAATGGGATGAAGAGGAGGTTAGAACTCATCGCGCTCCTCGACTGCCGGAAGAAGAAGATTACAAGATGGACACCGAAGACGAAATGAAGCACTACGAGTCCGCATACGGTAGTGGCATTGACCAAGAACCACTTCGCCCGGTATTCCAAGCCGACGACGACACATCCAGACGGCAATTACGACCGCTATCTCGAAATGTTATTTCACATCTTGATCGAGTCTTGATGGGTCTACACCATGCTATGCAGGGCCGAACCCGCGATCAGCAACACACAGACGGCGAATTCGGTTCAGACGACGAGGACGAAGCATCACGATCACACTCGCGTCACGGCAGCTGTCAAAAAGGCAAAAAGTCCAGCCGCGCATCAAGCGTCCACAACAAACGCCGCCGGCGCAGCCAACATTCATCCGATGAGGACGAAACAACAACTCGAGGTCCCGATAAAAAGTCAATGGCCAACCACTATGTTTTCCAACGAGGCGAGCAACGCGACTGGAGCGAAGTAATGGGCATCGCAGCTATGACCGGACTTCCCTCAGATGCAGTAATGCGCGCATCAAAACGATGCGCCGATCTATTCGGGCAAGACATGACCTTCCGACGATTCCACGAGGGACGCATGCACAAGACCGAGGCGCTGGACCATGGGGAATCGCGCACAGAGTACATTGAAAGCGACACGGAGGGCGAGAATGTACCTGCGCCGTATCCGAAGAGATCTCGAAAGAAGAAACGGGGTCACGGCCGTGATGATGGTTCTGATCAGGGTCCTTCGGTGGCGCTTAAACTCAAGGGTAAGGGTACGCATCGCCGAGCGGATATTGTTTGTCCGATTGCTACGTGTCCCCGACATACGGATGGGTTTTCGCGGACTTGGAATTTGACGCTGCATTTGCGAAAGGCTCATGGGCGAGAGAGGGAGAGGACTGATGGTTCGCAGCAGAGGGGAGCTGCTATTCAGATTGATTGATGTATATATCAAGACTACGTACTTGTAGTAGTAGTAGTACTGCCTTGACATACTAGCTAGTAGTTAGTATTGTATGATAATTGTGATACCCAAATACCCTACAACTATGTTTACTACTGATATACCATGAAGTATACAATTTCTTTTTGTAGATATACTAGCAGTAGTATACTCTCGTCTTAGGTACCCTAGGGTAAAGCGAAAGGAAGCATGGAATCGGCTGGTCCTTCCTACCTGAAGGTAGTTGACCCCGATAGAGTATTGATAGAGTACTTCGGATACGCTATCTCGGTTTTGACGTCGACGGGGGGGGTTTTAATTGGTCAGAAATACCGAGAAGTATTGATTCTTGCACCGTGAGTGGTCAGAAATACCGGAAGCCGTAATCTGAGTAATTACATAACCAGACACACCGCGAGTGGACCGAGATGGATCACTGACTAACAACTCCAAATGTAAACCGTCATGGGAGAGGACAGAAAATTTCCTCAAATCAGCTAGAATATCTCTATTTGGGTGGGAAAAGAAAGAACCAGCTAGGGTTAATTAGAATACATACCTTGTAAATGCAGGTGTAGACCAGTATAGACAGCTGGAAGTAGGCAAAATGCCCCGGATGAGACCCCCCCGCATGGCGCATAGCATCGAGCTTCCCTTCTGAGCGGAGACAAAGCTTCCCTCCACTTTCCACTTTCCACTCTCTCGCAGCGAATCCCGCATCTCCTTCGGTGCTTCTCGGTCCTCCAGTGCAATCATCGTTCAGTCATTGCCTCCCTCTAATTGATCCCGGAGGCACTTTAAATTCCAACTCCCCCGCAGTCTGATCTGCTCCGCGCTTTTGTTTGCCCAGTATCGCTCACTTTTCCTGACTTCCCCGCTCTCGGCTTCTCGGTTTCTCGGACCCTCGCGGAGAGTTTCCCTCTTAACAGAATGGACCGCCTTATCCGTCCTGTCTCTCGACAATTGCTGCGACCTCGTCTTCGCTATCCCTTCTCTATTCCTCCCCACCCGCCGCAAAGAGACTCTACACTATGGGACACAACAAGCCTGATGTGAGTGGGATATTTGCCTATTTCAATGAGCATTGCGCTGACTGACTTGATCCCACAGCTCAAAGACAAGTCGCTCTTCATTGAGAAGTCATACATCAATGGCGAGTGGGTTAGCGCTCAGTCGGGCGAGACCTTTGAAGTCCACGGTAATATCATCCATCACCACTACCAGCAAGCTAGGAGGAAACAGCTCAACTAAACTTGTCTATTGCAGACCCCGCCACTGGCAAACTGATCGGAACATGCCCCGAACTCGGCACCGCCGACGTTGAAAAGGCCATCCAAGCCGCCTCCGAAGCCTTCCCCAAATTCCGCACAACCCTCGCCCGCGAGCGCGCGCGCATGCTGCGCCGCTGGTATCAGCTGATGGTGGATAATGCCGATGACCTGGCCAAGCTCATCACCTGGGAGAATGGTAAGCCGTTGGCCGACGCCAAGGGCGAGGTGAACTACGCCGCCAGCTTCTTTGAATGGTTCAGCGAGGAAGCTCTCCCGCACATACGGCGATGTCATCCCAGCTACCGTCCCCGGCAACCGAGTCATGACCCTGAAGCAACCAGTTGGTGTATGCGGTCTCATTACACCATGGAACTTCCCCGCCGCCATGATCACTCGTAAGATCGGACCCGCCCTCGCCGCCGGCTGTACCGTTGTCGCCAAGTCCCCCTGCGAGACCCCATTCACTGCCAACGCCCTTGCCGAGCTGGCTCACCGCGCCGGTATCCCTAAGGGTGTGGTCAACATTGTCACCGCATCGAAGAACACTCCTGCTGTCGGCGAGCTGATCACCACACACCCGGACGTACGGAAGGTTTCCTTCACCGGCTCGACAAACGTTGGCCGCTTGTTGATGAAGCAGGCTTCGTCGACCATTAAGAAGGTTTCTTGGGAACTGGGCGGCAACGCGCCGTTCATCGTCTTCGATGATGTTGAGGACCTTGATGCAGCCGTCAACGGCGCTATCACTTCCAAGTTCCGCAGCTCAGGCCAAACCTGCGTCTGCGCTAACCGGATCTACGTGCAGAAGGGCGTGTACGATGAGTTCTCCAAGCGCTTTGCTGCCAAGGTCAAGGACTTTAAGCTCGGAGCCGGCTTCGAGGATGGTATTACCCACGGTCCTGTGATCCACGAGCGTGCCGCTGAGAAGGTGCACGAGCATGTCCAGGATGCCACCTCCAAGGGTGCCAAGGTGCTTATTGGCGGACAGAAGGCTTCTGCCCTGGGCCCCAATTTCTATGAGCCCACTGTTCTGTCCGGTATGACCAAGGACATGCTGATCGCGTCTGAGGAGACTTTCGGCCCTGTTGCGGGTCTCTTCCCCTTCGAGACTGAGAAGGAGGTTGTGGATCTGGCTAACAAGGCCGAGGTTGGTCTTGCGGGCTACTTCTTCAGCGGTAATGTTCGTCGTATCTTCCGCGTTGCTGAGGCACTTGAGGTTGGCATGGTTGGTGCCAACACTGGTTTGATCAGTGATGTTGCTTCTCCGTAAGTTGTGACCCATATACCCAATCCCAAACGTATAGTGGCATTTTACTAACTTCGCAACAGGTTCGGCGGTGTCAAGCAGAGCGGTTTCGGCCGTGAGGGCAGCAAGTACGGCATTGATGAGTTCATGGTTATCAAGAGCATCACTTTTGGCGGTATGGGGGAGCCTCTGCAGGCATAAGACTTCCTCGAAAAGGATATGATGGAATATGTATACCAGTTATTTGAAAAATATTGCAATTGAATTATAGAATAATCTTCTGATGAGAGAATCATGCTGCTGTGGCCGGAGAAGCCTCAGGCCTGCTTTGTGGCCCATAACTAGTGGCCTGATGGCGTTTATGTCGAGTTTGTCCTTTGATAGTAGTGGTAGTATTTAGTGTTAGCTATTGCTCTGAGGGTTTTTCCCTCCATCATCATTATCATCGATTTCATCTCATTTTGGTCGGCTCCTACCACTACATGCCACCTTCGCTCCCTCTCCTATTACAATATGTTACACTTGGTTATATACGTATCCATGATATTTAGAGTCACGTGACTATTAATACTTGTAATACAAGTACCATCACGGCAAACTCGACCGCCTTCACCCTCGCCTCACCATTCACGCATCACTCCAATCACAACGCCCAAATCAAATTCTGCGAATTTCCATCGATCCAGTCAGAAATGGCATGACCGACTTTCAATGCGCCTGTCACTTAGTCTCCTCGCCGCGGTCTCGCGCCGGCCAGCGTCAAAATTGAGGAAACCCGCCGTCAGTCTTGACCATGTAAGTACAACCAGCTAGGCTATCAGCTAGCCGAACTACCTACCCTTGGAGTGAATATTCATTGCGCGCGACCGGTCAACGAATCAAACATCGACTATACAAAGAACTTTTCCAACTTACTGTACGCAGTTCATCCAAAGACAGCGTACTCTGACGTTCTGGCGAGAGATCGTACGGGCCCTACATAGTATGTTCCCATTTCTTCACACACCCTCTATCTTTCTCTCTCTATTCTGTCAAGATCAAAAACAAAATATCTAACCGCAGCACTTTCGATTGTTTCTTCGCAATAGAGATCCCCCCCTTCATCAACACGAGATGAACTGCACAGCTACGCGCGTCAAGAATTCGAGCGACATCGCGAGGTTTCGGACCTGGTGCGTTTCGCCTTTCTCTCTGACCATCCCTTTTTGTGCCTGTTTCGCTGGACATCATTGATCATTGCTAATTATGTACTAGGGCCATATTCGGTACTTATTATCGGTATGATTGGTTACTCTTCTTTCTTTACGCTTGCCTTGCACTTGTGATATCGGGGCTAATTTTTTCGTAGACAGGGAAGGCCGAGTTTGATACCATGAAGCGGTATATCGAGGAGCAGGTTGTTGGATGAGGTTGTTGAACAAAGTTGTTGGACTTCTTTATAGACGGCGTGCTTCAGCATAAGTCTGGTGTTTTCGGCATGTGCCAATAGCATTGTATAATATGTAAAACTTGGGGTTATTTATTCTGAATTAAATGTACAGAGAGTATACAACTTGGATTTACTTTGATGAGAAGTGTTTAATTCGTACTTTGTCACATGGGCCGGGCTGGGGCAGACAATGTGACACCGGCCCTGTCTAGCCGCGATCGACCACGCATCATGCCGTGTGTACATACACAGTAACTAGTACATAGCTACTACTAACTAGTGGGATCAAGTTTGGCAGGAATTCCGATGTCCAGCTTGAATATCCCACTAAAGGACAACTGGATACATTGTACGGAGTACATAACTGGATATCAGATTGTCAATGACATCATCGCAGCTTTCCCTCCAATTCTAGACCGATAACAGACCACGAAATCCCTAACCTCCACGAATACGAGTACAATTCTTACTGAAAGCTCTCCGGCTCCAATCAATTCATTTGCCACACGCACAGTTAGCTGTACGTGTTCACCGTCCCGCTGCCGCCTATGCGTCACGTCTTGATTAAAGATTCTTGGGATCATCTGGATCATCTGCATGCCGAGCCCCGCAGTTCCATCCATCACTGGCCCCCTCTGCTCCATCCGAGTGGACTGGGAATAAAACGAGTCTGGCACTTTCCGGCACAGCACCCGGCCACTCAAGACTGGAGACTGAGTGTTTTTTCTCGGCTTCTAGCGTATTTCTCCCCGGATCCTCCTACTTAAGGCCCTATTACTTGCTGCTCACCTACTAGCGGCTGCATTTTCCGGTCAGGGGCGGAGGTGGCGCAGAGAACTCTGCTCAGTCTAGATCTTGATATGGTGACGTAGTCGAGACTGCCAGTGACTTTCCACTTTCTTGTTTGGATATGCTCGGGGATTGCTTCTGGGGATATATACGCTGGTTATTAAATGAATGTTATTTTTTTCTTCTCATTCATTTGAGATCTATCACGTTCTGCAATTGAACACGACGATACCACAACCCATCCTAATATTATTTAATCTTTTCCTATCGACATACAGCGAAATCTGCCTTGACCGACAATCCACTCTAGCCTACTAGTACACTCCTAGTAACTACTGCACATCATCAACTTCACCATACCTACTTTACACCGCGTCTACGACTTAAATCAACCTTCCTACCCTCCCACCAAAAGAACGTCTTTTGGTTTCTACCAACTATCTCTACCGCTCAATCCATACTACTAGTACTATTAGTACTGCCAATAAACCACTCGCAATCACCATGGCACGCGACCACTCCGATAGCATGAGTCCAGGCCGCGCAAAACACCTCGAGCGAAACCGCATCGCCGCAAACAAATGCCGACAAAAGAAGAAGAAGGAACACCAGAAAATCCAAAGCTCTCTCCATGACGAGACCGCCCGACATGACTCTCTCATGGCTGAATTGAACAGCCTCCGCGAGGAGATCTGGAATCTGAAGAATACAGTTTTCGCACACGCCAGCTGCAACGACTGGCACATCAATCGGAAATTAGCCAATATGAGCGAAAATCTCACCGGCGCTAGCCCGGAGCAGTTGCACGCTCAACTGCCCTCCCCATCATATTCGTCCCAGAGCTGTTCGGATGCATCCGCGGTGGATACTGGGGCTATTGAACCGAAGGTCCTTGCGTCTTCGTCTTTCTCTTCGGATGGCTCGGAAACTTTACCATTGATGGACCCGGCGCTTTTTGATGGGAGTTATAATGGGGTCGGGACTCCGGAATTCGGATTTGACCGGCTCATTGATATGGAGAATCTTTAGCTTGGGGGGAAGGTTGATGATATTGGTATGATCATGATTTCCAAATTAGCTTGCGATCGGATTTTGTTCGGCGTTGGGGTTCAAAGGGTGGATTTTGTCACGATAACTTTACTTTCTTGATGTCATATATTTGACTAAAACAGCAATAGCTCGAGCTGGACTCGAAATTCGAATGGAACAGGCTGAAGTCAAATTTTCTACTGTAGTGTCCCTTTTTGGCTCCAGGAGCTTGGGCCGCATTTTAAATCCCAGCAAAATATACATTCCCACGACGGAGCTCCTAAAAGCTCAAAAGACAACAGCCATAGGGCTGATGACTCCACAATGTGTGTGCCCCTACTTGTATTCCCTCAAAAATGCCAAAACCCCGAAATGAATATATTTACGTAGGTGGCTCTGTCCGACCATACAAATCACCCGGACAAACTATCCTTCACTAGGTCATTCCAGCAGGGCCATCGGAAGGTGCGGGTGGTAGAAAGCCAGACACGACGCCATTCGCTCGGTGCTAAGAGCCAGCCAGTAAGATGTTGCAGGGCCTGGCGATCGTGTGGGTCTGAAGAAATGCAGAGCGAACAATATGCCACTGGGACTCGAACGTGCTGCCCTCCCCTTCGATGTGCTTCGTTGAGGGCGTTTCTTGTGACCCCAGCCGCTGATGTAAACACAGCCCTCGCATTCTTTCTCCAATCGCCACTAAACGGGTGCGTGGGTGGAGATCATAACCCATTTTATTATAAAATTCATCGCTCCCGATGCAAACACCTCCGTTATTTGCCACTCTGGTTTTAATCATCACCATCCGCCATCCACCACTGGCATCCATCATCATCATATCCTCGAGAATTACTACTCGTAGTCGATATCTCCTTTTTTTTTTCTTCATATCATTGGTATTTTTGTTCTTGATATAGCGCGATTTTTCACCTGTATTCTATTGTTTTCATTCATCTGTATCCGCCATGTCGGGCAAAACGATAACTCCAGGTCGGGAAATGGCCCAGTTCTCCGAAAAAATTATAATGGGCGCGCCATTCGAAACAACCGACCGGTATGCGTTATTCTACTAGTAAAACCACTAGACTAAAGCGACGATACTAAATGTCGCTCTAGATATACCGAATTGACCCCGGTGGGAATGGGCGTCTCGGGGCTAGTCTGGTATGATCCCCGGAAATTTCGAACGGGTGTGGGAGCGGATTTGCAGGCGAAGAATTAGCTGACCAGTTCGGTTTTTTTTTTTTTTTCTTCAGCTCTGCCATAGATCAAATCTCTCGACAAACCGTCGCCGTGAAAAAGCTCAGCGAACCTTTCAAAACGGACAATATCGCGAAGCACATGTACCGCGAGGTCAAGCTGTTAAAGCAACTGCAGCACGAGAATGTTTGTCATCACTACCTGTTGAAACATTCAAGTTGAAATCTAATCAATATATATACAGATCATCCACTTGAAAGACATTTTCATTTCACCATCTGAAGATATGTGAGTTTCATCCGAGCCCGTTCTCATGCTTTCCTCGGGAAAGAAAACTAATCGGGCCTCATAGCTACCTTGTCACGGATCTCATGGCAACAGATCTTCACACACTTTTGAAAACAAAGAAAGTAGACGAGCAGTTCACTCAATACTTTGTCTATCAATTGATGGTATGAAGAACAATAATATGTCCAAAGACACCACCCCACTAACACTCACCAGCGTGGTCTGAAATATGTGCATTCTGCGGGCGTCGTCCACCGCGATCTCAAACCAAGCAATATTCTCATCAACGAAAATTGCGATCTAAAAATATGCGACTTTGGCTTGGCTCGTGTCCAGGAGATTCAAATGACCGGATACGTCTCGACAAGGTATTACCGTGCGCCAGAGATCATGCTCACGTGGAGGAGATATAACGAGAAAGTCGACATCTGGAGCGCCGGCTGCATCTTCGCCGAAATGATCTTGGGCAGCCCTATATTCCCCGGCAAAAATCATATCAATCAGTTTATGGTCATCACCCAGATGCTGGGTAGTCCCCCGGAAAGCGTGGTTAACAATATCACCAGTGAGAATGTAAGTCTGCCACAGTCCTCAAACCTACAAGGAAAACAGAAAAGAAAAGGGAAAAAAGTATGAAGCTAATGCCAAATTCCAGACTCTGACTTTCCTCCAATCCTTACCGGACAAACCTCGTCAGTCGTTAGCAAAGGTCTTGCCCAAGGCCAACACCAAGAGTGAGTTAACACAAACCCCATCCACAAAATACCACACATAGAATTTTGGCCATCAGATGATGACAACCTTACTAACGTGAATCAGCAATCGCACTCCTGGACAAAATGCTCCAACTCGACCCAGACGAACGAATCACTGCAGCAGAATGTCTCAAATCTGAATATCTGGAGCCATACCACGATCCAGACGACGAACCTTCCGCGATAGAAAAATGCGACTGGGCCTTCCTGGAAGCTGATCTGCCCGCTGACATGTGGAAGACTGTCATGTATTCGGAAGTTTTGCGATATCACGAGAAAGGAAGTGGATCTACCTCGATGGCAACTAGGCTCATGCCGCAACTGCCAATTGAAGAACAATTCAAAGTAGACGGACAACTTCAAGGGGATGGGATGGATTGGATTGCCACAGGCAGTGCTTGAGGCGAGGCGAGATACGGGCGTGACCCATCTATCCATCTATACATATATCTCTTCTGCTTCAAGTTGGGGTAGATTACTAGTAGTAGATCTTTGGATTTTTTCAACATTCATATTAGCGTTTTACAGGCGAGCATTTATGAGTGCTGATTATCCTTTTTTCCTTTTCCTTTTTATTTTCTTCTTCTCAGTTTCTCATCTCTTTTTTTCGCATTTGGAATTCCACTTTGATATGCTCATTTGCCTGTGATATCCCCCTCTGGTTGACTTCTGGGTTCAGTTGAACGAATCTTTCTTCGTTTAGTTTACTTCGATTTCGGTACTTCCTACTGTTCAAACATTTTAACTTGCAGTTCATCAATATTTTCGAAATTATGATATTATATGTAATACGTCGATATCATCAAGCAGGATCGATCATAAAAGGGAATCCTCGCAAAAATAAGTAATCAAAAGTCACGCCAACGACCAGACCAAACTTCCAGGCTCCAAGTTTCAAGCAAGCACCAACGAACGATTCTAGTCGAAACAGTCGTATGTCCATATTCATATATTCGTGAATTGAAGTGCCAACCGGGTATCAACAGAGAGTTGAACCCATCATCACAGGTCCAACATTAGGGGGGTAGGTAAATTTGTACAAAGTGGTGCTGCACCACAGTGCAGTGCCGTGCAATTAGTAAATAAGTGAGCCGAAGATCGTTTAAACTTCCTCCGATGCACCAGTCACCTCCGAAACAGGGGGCTGCTGTTGCTGTTGTTCCTGCACGTGGTGACTCTTGTGGTTCTGTCGGGAATTCTTGAGATCGACAAGGGCGAAGTAGTTGGTGAAGACGAAAAGAGCCCTGCAGTATCACAATAATGAGCTTCTACTCGAACAATAACAATATACGTATAACAGAAACGGTTATGGTGAAAAAAAGAAGAAGAGAAACTCACCACTCAACCGCCGCGACAACGATCAGTGCCTGCAGCCCGTGGCAGCTGGGGTAGTTGCAAGCGCCGGGCTTGGGGATCATGGCGGAAAGGGCAATCCAGCCGCTGAGCCAGAGCAACATGGTGATAACCTCGACGAAGGGAATCACGAGTTCATGGGAGATGCGCGAGAACCAGAGTGGGGCGAGGCCGAGGTAGGGGACTGCGACGACGGTGGTCCAGCAGCCGTTGAAAAGCATAAAGTAGTTCAGGTTGGAGAAGGACCATGAGTCGTAGAGGGTGCCGATGACTGGGTGCTGTTAGATCTTGTTCTTTTTCTCCTTTTGTTGATAAACGGTTGAGAGGATTAGAACGAACCATATGCGCTTAAGCCGATAGTGGCCAAGGCGAAGAGTGCCTGGACGATTCGGAGGGGGTAGACCCAGGATAGCATGGTGTGTGTATAGGTGTTGTATGTATTGATTTGAGTGTTTGTGTTTGCTAGTCAATTGACTTTGTCGGGTCAGGTCAGGAACCTCTTGGTCTAGAGTATCGGTGGATAGTGAGAACTTGAATGGAGAGAGAAAATCCAGATCCACTGCTGCCCACTGGGTGTCCACTGGGTTATATAGTGGCAGCTGGAACGAAAATCCTAAAAGTCTATATTGGAACTAAAAATTCGATAGTTCCTCAACCGAGGCCTCGCGAACTTGTAGCGAGACGTCATAAGAAGGGGCCTCGGAGTCGGACACGGGCAGACCCTGCAGGGCTAACTGCATAGCATTAGTACGAAGTTACGGAAACAACCCGGCGGGGTGGGCCATGAACCCCCAAAAGGCCCCAAAAGGGGGCTCCCAGGTAAGGTCCCATTGGGAGGGTCAGAACGAATTCTGATGCGGCGGAACCACCTCGGCACGCCGAGATATCAAAACCGGAGACGACCCGGGGAAATGCTTGTGTGTACTTCCCCATAGAAATGGTAAATACTGCGCAGTCAACATTGAACGATACTGTTCATTCTTCAATATTCCCCCCCCCCCCTCTGGCTCTGAGGTACTTTGGACAAATCTCAAAATTCAGCAGACGGTACAAGTTGGCAGTAGGGCGAACTTTGTCGAGTCAATGACGCTCGGTGGTCGATCTCACATGTGAAGTCCGAGGCAGCCCAAATCGGCAGGCCAACGTCGATCTTCGGACCCTCCGTAAAATATTCTAAAATATTCAGGGCAAGGGAAATGATTTGCTGGGTTTTTGCCGTTGGTTCCATTTTCGCCTGACCTGGATGGTATAGTGTGCAGTGGAGTAGTAGTGCCGTGCTATGCTGCTGTCCTGCATATCGAGTTGCATGCTGGGGAATCCTGCCGCTTCATCTGCTTCCGGAAACCTACGACTCTTGACTCAACAAGAATCAATCCAGCTTCTACTGTAGACACTCTTAATGTTGACCATGATCGCCGTGACAAAACAATGACTTCAGAAAACACATGTGCGGAGATGGGGGGTGGCGCATTCTATGTACTCGTACAACTACTACAACATCATAATAAAACAAGACAACCTAGATAATCCGACATCGCTGGCTATTTTACACGTGCAAAAGACAAAAAGGTTTCCACCTCATGCCAGAAACTACTACCCTGCTAGTAGTCCATACTGTACAATCCTACTTCCGACTCGCCAGCAAAACCTTCACAGCATCCAGAACGCCCACGGATTTCTCATCCGCAGGCTCAATCGCCGCACGAGCCGCATCAGGCTGCTCAACCTTCTTCACACCGTCCTTGGCCGCCGCCTCAAAAGCCGCATGACGCTCGCGCCACTCGCGATCCTCCTCATCACGAATTTCCAGCTCACGCAGCCAGGCATCGCGCTTCTCCTGCGACTTGCGCTCTTCCACCGCCTGGTCGAATTCCCGCCGTTGCTTCCGCTCCGTCTTGTAGTACATTCCGCCGGCCACGAGTGCGACGAGAGTAAATGCCTGCGCGAAGATACGGGCGCGAAACATGCGGTTCATTTCAGCTGAGTCGCCGGCTCGCATTGATCGGTAGGCGCGGTAGAGGGCGTAACATGTTGCGGCGCAGCCTGTTGGTAGAGGTTAGGTTAGTGGGTGCTTGATTGCTTCTTTTTGGGTGTGTTGTAGGTAGACGTACCGAGTGGAATGAGGGGTTCTTCCTTGATTCGTCTGGTAAATTTTTGAGCGCCAGATTCCTCGCGGAATTGTCTGGAGAAGATGTGTGGTTAGCAAGCGGTCTTTTCTTTTTTTTTCCCCTCCCCGGCGTGGTGCTCGTTGTTTTCGCACTGGCGGGATCCCTGCGGCACGGATTGTCGCGGGTTTCTGTGGAGTGTATTTAGACGTACGGGTGATCGTCAAAAGACGATGGTACAGACTCGCCGCTCATGATGGGTAGTTGAGCTCCGATTGGGAGGTGGAGAGAGGTGGTGAAGGAGGGTGGCACGATGGTCGGGTGGAGTGATGAGCGAGGGGCCCAAGGGTTGATTGTGGACGAGCGAGGATGCAACGACGCTCGTTTTATGTCGAGGATAAGGGGAACCTTGAAATAGCCGCGATTGAAGGTCGAGATGGCGGGTTGCGGGGGGACGAGAGTTGATCAGTCGGGCATGACGTCGCGGGAGTTTTCCTCCCAAGTTAAGCGCGGCCTCGGCAGTACTTTGATACAGTCACCGTGGCGGCACATATACTGTGTACTATTGTTTATTAATTATACTCTACTGTGTAATATTTGAATTGAATTCACCTACTACTAGTCATTTATATCCATTTCCATGTATACTAGTAGTATACTACTAGCTATACTGGCTATACTAACTACTGGGTATTCCCTATTGCTGCGTAGCACGTAATCCACCCTGACCGCCATTGTATACGACGCAGTATATCTTCATAAAGGCCGAGTGCCTTTCAACCAAGTAGCTTGAGTAGTGCGATACATGAATATATCATTACGTAGCTAGCTACTCATTCATAATTACCCCTAATAGATGTATATTCACATCCCCAATCCCCAAACTTCAAGTTATCTTACAGCGCTCTGGTTGATGACTAAGATGCTCCGATCTCGTCCCGCCAGAAAAAAAGAAAAGAGTCAGAGGCCAAAGAATTCCTCCCCTCCTTTCTGAGCAATTGATCCCTTTCTCTTTCTTTAAGGTCTCGTGGGTTGATCATGTCCGACGAACCCTCCGCCAACGGTGTCACAACACCTACTACTCCCAAGCGGACTGGCCTGGCTTTGACCGAGTATACCGCCGCTCCCACTCCCCCCTCCGAACGCGCAGACCGCATCCCCGGATTGCCTCCCAACTGGGGCATCCCAGAGGCTTTTTTGCTTCCCAATGGATATCCAGACGTGAGAATTATTTTCCCGTCACCATATTTCCCCCCAAATACCAGCTGACTCTTTCGGCGCTTGTAGTATCTCCGATTGATCTTGACTTCCCGCGTTTACGATGTTATTGATGAAACCCCACTACACCATGCCGTCAACCTGAGCAACCGTCTTGAAAGCCGAGTGCTTCTCAAGCGGGAGGATCTCCTCCCTGTATTCAGCTTCAAGCTTCGTGGCGCCTATAACAAGATGGCCCACCTGAACAACGAGCAGCGGTGGAAGGGTGTCATTGCTTGCTCTGCTGGCAACCATGCTCAAGGTGTTGCGTACTCTGCCCGCAAGCTTAGAATCCCCGCGACCATTGTCATGCCGGCCGGAACCCCCGCTATCAAGCACTTGAACGTTGCCCGCCTGGGTGGCAGCGTTGTTCTCCACGGAAATGATTTCGATGCGGCCAAGGATGAGGCCCATCGGTTGGAGAAGCAGCACGGTCTCACCAGTATCCCGCCATTCGATGACCCGTATGTCATTGCTGGTCAAGGTACTATCGGTATGGAGCTGCTACGTCAGGCCAACCTCGACAAGCTGGAGGCGGTCTTCTGCGGTGTCGGTGGTGGCGGCCTGATTGGGGGTATTGGTGTCTATCTGAAGCGCATTGCGCCCCAGGTCAAGGTCATCGGTGTCGAGGCTTACGATGCCAACGCCATGGCTCAGTCCCTCGATGATGGCAAGCGCGTGTTCTTGAAGGAGGTCGGTCTCTTCGTTGATGGCGCTGCCGTCAAGTCCGTGGGCGAGGAGAACTACCGTGTCTGCCGGGATGTCATCGACGAAGTTATTCAAGTCTCTACGGACGAGGTCTGTGCTGCTATTAAGGATGTTTTCATGGACACCCGATCGGTCGTTGAGCCCGCTGGTGCTCTCTCCCTCGCTGGTCTCAAGAAGTACGTCGCCAAGAACCCCAGCCCTGACCCTAGCCGTGAACTCGTCGCAATCACTTCCGGTGCCAACATGGACTTCGACCGCCTGCGCTTCGTTGCCGAGCGTGCTGCTCTCGGCGAGCGCAAAGAGGCTCTTCTCAGCGTGAAGATCCCCGAGACGCCTGGCGCATTCGCCAAGCTTGTCGAGGTTATTCTGCCCCAGGCCGTGACTGCTTTTAGCTACCGTTATGCTCGCGACGACTCTGCCGATGTCCTCATGGGTATCTCTCTGTCCGCCGCGACTGGCCCCGAAGATCTGGTCAAGATCATGGAGGAGCTCGAGAAGGCGGGCATGAATGTTCGCGATCTGAGCGAAGACGAGCTGGCTAAGCGTCATATTCGATTCCTGGTCGGCGGCCGCTCCGATGTCGCCGACGAGCGATTGTTCATGTTCGAATTCCCCGAGCGACCCGGTGCTCTGGCCAAGTTCCTTGCCACCCTCCGTCCCAAACAGAACATCTCTCTGTTCCACTACCGTAACTATGGCGGTGACGTTGGCAAGGTTCTGGCTGCTATCCAATGCCCCCCCTGCGGAGAAGGATGACCTAGAATCCTTCCTCCGTGATCTGGGCTACCCGTTCAGCGAACACACCGACTCCCCCACCTACCAGACCTTCCTGCGGTCGTAGATGGCTGAAGTTGAATGTGAATGTGAATGTTGAACGTGAACTATTTATAAATATGTGAATCTCGAACAGTGAGAGTCAAACGGTTGATGACCAGTGTTCTTTTTGTTTTAGCGGTTTAAAAGTGCAACCCCATTTGAAGTGCTTTCCCCGTTTGGCGTTGGGTCCCGATATAGAATGGGAGTTTGTTTCGACTGTATCATAGCTCCTTGCTAATACATTGCCTTACATATATTTCCATACTACTAGTAGTGCTATTACTGAACCATTCTCTGTCGTATGAATGTCTCTAAGAGTAGGTATTCTCATACTTCCGGACCCACATATAAAGTACGGCCCCGGCAAAACTGAAAACCCGAGCAACAATCTTCTGAGCGCGAGCACCCGGGGAGCCAGCATCAATCACCGATTCCGATCCCCCCTACGTTCTACCGACCAGGAAACGCGAGGCGAAGCCTCAGAATTTCAGATTCACGGTCACCACTCACCTCCCACCATCATGTTCTCTCTCCGCTCCGTCCTGGGAGCCCCCGGCGCCCTCCGCCAACTCCTCCCCTCCGTCACTCGTCGATCCCTCCCTGGAGCTATCTCCCTCCGACCCTTTTCGCACATGATTCAAAACAGCCTCACGAGGTTGCGGGCAGCTTCCAAGCAGAACAACAATGCTGTTGCGGCGACTGTTGGCGCCTCTCGGCAGATCGAGCAGGTCCGCGGAATGAAGACCCGGTCCTCGGTGAAGCGGCTTTGTGATGGTTGCAAGGTATGATATCGGAAGATCGGATCTATCTCTTTGAGAAAATGATTCAATATCTGGAGAGGATTGTGGTTGAGGGTGCTAATTCTGGATATGTAGCCCGTTCGCCGAAAGAACCGTGTTTACATTATCTGGTGAGTCTTGATTTTGATGCGAGATAGAGGACTCATTCTCTATACTCTTTCGGCTTGCAAAGTGCGAACTCTAATCTATTCTTCTTCTCTCCAGTTCCAAGAACCCCAAGCACAAGCAACGACAAGGCAAATAAGCGGGTTGAAACCGCTTTTCGTTCGATGCGCGCCTTTTGTTCCTCTGCGAATCGATGGCAGCGTCTTTGCATACTTGTTTCCAGTTCGAATATTATGGGAAAATAACGGCGCCTGTGTTTTATACTTGTACATTAGCTTGGACCTGATCTTGGTCTTTATATCCAATCCAACTCTGATCCTAATGGTGCGTGGTGCATGTGCATGGTATATACTGCATACCGCAGGACTGTATGATTGTATCATATGCTTTGATTCTTCGCTTAAGCCATAACCTATCATTTCCACCTATTTCAGTTGCAATTGACTGTTATTCTCTTCTGTTTTGGTCGATTGTAATGCGCCCACCCTGACAGGCTGGTGTGCACGTGACTGTTCCTGGCTTCCCCGAACTTTTTTTTCGCGAAAACAAGCGCGCTGTCACTCCGTCTCGACTCGATCAATTCCGGTGTGAGTCGATTGTCGCCATGAGGTCTCCTTCTCTTGCACGGCTACAGTACCGTGCGGTGTCTGGTTTAACCAGAGCCCCCCGTCTTCAGTCTCAGACCCTCCTGCGCTCGCGATGCGTATCCACGACCGCTATGCGGCCCATCGGCGCTCCGGCTTATCAGTCGGTTCTGAAGCAATGGGAGCAGCGACGCAATGCCTCTTCTACTGCCTCCGCAGTGTGAGTACTTAATCCGTGAAGGTATCGCGTTATGAACGCCGTCGTCTAACTCGCTGTCTACAGTCTCGAGGCCGCTGCGGCCAACCCGGAGACCCTGTCGCAAGCCGCCATTATCGACAACCTTGACCCCGTAGAGGCTGCTCGCCTGGACAAGGTCCGCAACATCGGCATTGCGGTAATTACATCCTTTTTCGTCTACTATGCTATTCCCAAAGTCTAATGAAGTCATCTCTCACAGGCCCATATCGACAGCGGCAAGACCACCTGTACCGAGCGAGTCCTCTTCTACACCGGTCGGATTAAGGCCATCCACGAGGTCCGTGGCCGTGACAGTGTTGGTGCTAAGATGGACTCTATGGATCTGGAGCGTGAGAAGGGTATTACTATTCAGTCCGCTGCTACCTTCTGTGACTGGGTCAAGAAGGACAAGGAGGGCGTTGACCAGAAGTACCACGTCAACCTGATTGATACCCCCGGTCACATTGATTTCACCATTGAGGTTGAGAGAGCGCTGCGCGTTCTCGACGGTGCTGTTCTCATTCTGTGTGCTGTGTCCGGTGTTCAGTCTCAGACCATTACTGTCGACCGTCAAATGCGCCGCTACAACGTTCCCCGTATCTCCTTCGTCAACAAGATGGACCGCATGGGTGCCAACCCCTTCAAGGCGGTTGACCAGATCAACTCCAAGCTCAAGATGCCTGCGGCCGCTGTCCAAGTCCCCATCGGTGCCGAGGATGAGTTCGAGGGTGTTGTGGATCTGATCACCATGAAGGCTATCTACAATGTCGGTGAGAGTGGTGAGGAGCTCTCCGTGAGGGAGATCCCCGAGAGACTGGCGGATGTTGTCGCGGAGCGCAAGGCCATGCTTGTTGAGACTCTGGCCGATGTCGATGATGAGATCGCCGAGCTTTTCCTTGATGAGAAGGAGCCTACTCCCGATCAGCTCAAGGCCGCCATTCGCCGCGCCACCATCAATCTGAAGTTCACTCCCGTCTTCATGGGCTCTGCGCTTGCCAACAAGTCTGTTCAGCCCATGCTGGACGGTGTCGTCGACTACCTTCCCAACCCCTCCGAGGTTGAGAACCTTGCCCTGGACCAGAAGCGTAACGAGGCCTCTGTCAAGCTCGTCCCTTACAACTCCCTCCCATTCGTCGGTCTGGCCTTCAAGCTCGAAGAGAGCAACTTCGGCCAACTGACCTACATCCGTGTGTACCAGGGTACTCTCCGCAAGAGTGCCAACGTCTTCAACGCCCGTAACAACAAGAAAGTCAAGATCCCCCGTATTGTGCGCATGCACTCCAACGAGATGGAGGAAGTCAACGAGATCGGTGCTGGTGAGATCTGTGCCGTGTTCGGTGTCGAATGTGCATCTGGTGATACCTTCACTGACGGCCAGCTGGGCTACAGCATGTCGTCCATGTTCGTCCCTGAGCCTGTCATTTCCCTGTCCATCAAGCCCAAGCAAGCCAAGGATGCCGCCAACTTCTCCAAGGCTATGGCCCGCTTCCAGCGTGAGGACCCGACCTTCCGCGTGACCTATGACAGCGAGAGTGAGCAGACCATCATTTCCGGAATGGGTGAGCTGCACCTGGACATCTACGTCGAGCGTATGCGCCGTGAGTACCGTGTCGACTGCGAGACCGGCCAGCCTCAGGTCGCCTACCGTGAGACCATCGGTAACCGTGTCGACTTCGACCACCTACTGAAGAAGCAGACTGGTGGTGCTGGTGATTACGCCCGTGTCATGGGATGGATGGAGCCCACCGGTTCCCTCGAGGAGAACAAGTTTGAGGAGCAAATTGTCGGAGGTTCCATCTCGGAGAAGTTCCTGTACGCTTGCGAGAAGGGATTCAACCTTTCTTGCGAGAAGGGTCCCCTGATCGGCCACAAGGTTCTGGGTACACGCATGGTTGTCAACGATGGTGCTACTCACATGACTGATTCGTCCGAAATGGCGTTCAAGAACGCTACCCAGCAGGCCTTCCGCAAGGCCTTCGCAGACAGCCAGCCGGCCGTCCTTGAGCCCCTGATGAAGACCGTTGTCACCGCTCCCTCCGAGTTCCAGGGTGATGTTATTGCCCTGCTGAACAAGCGCGGCGCCACCATCAACGATACCGAGACCGGCGTCGACGAGTTCACCATCTACGCCGACTGCAGTCTGAACGGCATGTTCGGCTTCAGCTCCAACCTCCGTGCTGCCACCCAGGGTAAGGGTGAATACACCATGGAGTTCAGCCACTACGAGAAGGCTCCTCCGCAGGTCCAGTATGTTTTCCCCCACCCTTCTACCTGACTCAATATAACCCGTTTCAAACAAAACGCTAACCAATATCTCACCTAATAGGAAGGAGCTCATTGCCAGATACGTCAAGGAGCAGGCTGCTCGTAACAAGAAATAAACAGCATGACCACAGCCTCCGACACCGTCGAACCCCCCCAGCCGGCCTATTCTCACTCTTCGCCCTGTACCATTTCCTCCACCAACATGTTACCGTTTACCCGGCCTTCGGCGGTTGTCTACTAGATGCAATCTCGAAAAATAGACATCGAATTCAGCATCACGCCCACTTCATTTCCCATCGATGGGAATTTTTCTTTACTTGTGGTTGGCGCTGAGTTCAAACCCCGTGTACTTTTTGGCACATTACCATCTTGCGTCAATTTTGGGCATATGTATATTAAAGATTTAAGATTTTTATTTTTTCCACTCCTGTCTAACAATACATTATCATTTTCTTGGACTATGGGTAACCTTCATATTTTGAATATCAAGCATGGGAATAGATCGTCCACGCATAACTCATAATGAAGGTGGCACCTTCTCTACTACATAAGATAATCAAATAAATCATAAATTCCTAAGGTTACCTCATTTCGTACTAGTATCTTGCATTTGATAGTCCCATCTACAGAGTGCTTTCTTTCCCCTTTAAGCACCCTCAAGCTTTTCCCGTGCCGCATTTTGCTGTTCAGCGACAACATCCGCCGGGATCTGATCTGGGGTCGAATTCACAAGCATGATCATGGGAATAATAGCAGCACCAAGTAATCCGAACGTCACACCACTATACCATCTCAAGGTTAGATCATCACAAATTTCAAAAATTCAAAACGGCAAGCTTGCAGGTTGCAAGCCGAGGTAAAACGTACAATCCAATTATGGGGTCACTTGTTGTCTGAGTATTCATACCATAGGCAACAGCCTGACCAACAGCTTCAATACATCTGAACGCAGCCCCATTACGCACATTTTCTAGTAAATAGATATTAACACCAGGCGATTTCGTCGAGCATAACACTTGAGCTTACCTTGGGCATCAGTTGCAAAAGAAGACAGGAGCCAATACATATACGACTGGGACAGTGGTCCCGTCGTCTGCACGAAGAAATACGGCAGAAATGACTTGGCGTAGATTCCATCGTCCCAATCGATATGGCCAGGGTTGTGGTGATCAAATTTGACCTGCATGATAATGGACCAGATATAGACGCCGACATTGAGAATGATGACGGTGTATAATCCGATTTGGGCTCGGCGGCGCTGACTGAGGCCTTTCATGTCGAGTATGAAGCCGAGGCCAAAACAGCCGACACTGATAGCAGGAAGTGTTAGCTGGGGTAACTTTGGGGTGTCGGGGGCTGACTTACATGCAGAAGAATGGCGATACTAGAGATGAGAGGGCGCGGGTGCGGACGGAGAAGTAGATTCCCAGATAAGTGGACCAGGAGCCGCTATCGCTATTGTTAGCTTTTCTTTCTTTCTCGTTGTTATAAGAAATTGATGAGATTTCAAAATACCTGTAGAAGAACGACCATAATGCCCACAGAGAAGAGAGAATGATTAGTCTTGATGTCACGGTCTTCGCGATGCGTCTCAGTTCCTGCTTCGTGGAGAGTGTCTCGGCCGTGACAATCTTTGTACCGTCAGATCGGACAACACTCTCGAATGGGACGATCAAGAGGGCGAAAGGTAGACTATAACGTAAAATTAGGATATAGTAGGTATTGCATGACGTGGGTTACTCACGCAAGACTCTCGATTATCACGAAAGCCACATAAGTATCAGGAGAAATTCCGCCCTCGGTACCCTTCTCGTGATTCTTTGCAAGACTACACAAGAGGTGTTAGTAAAAGGACTCGAATACTCATGGACAAGGCTTTTAGTTAGGATTTCCCCAAAAAAGACATACTTGATAGCACCTCCAACCAGTTGTCCTAGATTCCGCGACACAATCCACAAGGCCAAATACTTTCCACGAGCGCCAGAAGGTGCAAGTGTCATGATAGCTCCAGCTTCAGCAACATACCAGCACGCAGTTCCGATTCCACTGATAGCACCACTCAGAATGAGATACTAGGTCAAACAGTTGGGTTAGACATGCATGATTCACATTGCCCGATGGAGCAGGAAATCAACCACTTACCCATTGGTTTCCAAATTTGCTATTACAGTAATACGCAGATCCTTGGATGGGGAAAGACATCGAGCCGATGACGAGGGCCCACTTAACGCCAATCTTATTGACGATGGGACCGCCTAGGAAACAAACTGATGGAGGAATTTCCCAGGTCAGTGCTGGAATATCTCGGTGAGAGTGCGAAAATGCAAATTCATACCGACAGCAAGCATAGCATATCTAATTGCCGTTGAAATATTGGATACCTGCGGAGTGGCAAGACCACCCCCGCCCAAGCCTTGAATAATTGTTAGTTCAACTGGGGGGCGCTGTGTTGAATTTGGTTGTCGACTCACCAGTAATTGCATCCGACATGGCTGGTCCACAGAATGCTTGGATACTAAGAAGTATCATCTGCGTCAAACTGTGTTGCCAAATTCGCTTCCATCGCGGCACTGTAGCCCTGTATTGCTCGACATCGATTCCGTGGGGGAGATCGGTTAATTCCGCCTGCTGTGTCTCGGGGTATCTGGGTTCCTCATCGCGAGGACTAGAGACGGGACTCTTTACGTCGGCCATAGTAAATATGCTCAAACGGCATGCAATGGTCAGTTTGTACGACGGTTGAGTCAGTGTTTGAATTTGAAATGACTTTTCAGGAGCGTGCCGCATGCATGGTTATTTATTTATACTCAGACACTTAATACTAGATTCAAGCCATGTTCGCTTATCTTCTCCGCGCTAAACTTAAGACTGGGGTCTGTCGCCAGCCGAATCCCGGCTGAATCAAAATTTCCCCACGCTCTCTCCAAGATCAGTCAACCTCTAGCGCCCATTCGTTGGGGTATGAAGGTCCAGGCGATGGTTGAGCTGATGAATATCTTGCCATGGGCGTTGCATCTAATCAACACTGATAGTGTTTGTCCAGTCTAACCGGTTTTCGCCCACCTTATCACCCTGAAGAACTACTATCACTACTATCATTGTTCTTAATTCACGCAAATCGCCAGTGGGAGTTATTGATTTATCTCAAGATAAAGGCTATGATTGAGAAAAGTCCACTGTTATCATGAAACGGTCTGTTTATCTTGATCTCAATTATCCGGAGTCGCACGCTGGCCAAGTGGAGCGTGTGAAAAATTCCCCACGTTCCCCTCAAAATTCCTGGTTGCGTGCCATGGGGTTCTCGGGGTCGGAATTGAATTGAAGGTCCACGCGAAAGGATGACACTAGCGCGTCCCACTCCACAAAACTTCGGCGATACATTGGCGGATCAAGCCACTGGCACTAACCGCCTATTGGCTGGGTGACTCACCAGCAATCGGCTCTCTTCTTCTCCAGGGTCATATCCGACATTCGTTATCGTTGGATATCGGACTAGCGGCGCGAACTAGTCCTTGTGATCTTGTGGAGCTGTAAAAACTGAAGGTCCAACATCATCCCAAGACCTGTTGAACAATTCACATGACATGGCTTGATCTGCTAAACGGAAGCTTCTCGGCTATATTGATTGTTCGTTCATTCTTCAAAACCTGGGCAGCTTAGACATCTCTTCCGCTCCGGACTTAGCTTTGACATTATCGCAATATCACTGAAGTAAAAGCGCTTACGGTGCTCAAGGGAAAGTGTGACAATGGCTCAATCACGGACACACACAAAAGTCATCGTTGTCGGAGGCGGCGGCACGATGGGGTCTTCGACCGCTTTACACCTGCTTCGATCCGGATACACTCCCTCAAACATCACTGTCCTTGATGAATATCCAATTCCGTCAGCACAGTCTGCGGGCTACGATCTAAACAAGATCATGAGCATCCGCTTACGCAATAAGGTCGATCTGCAACTTTCCTTGGAAGCGCTCGATATGTGGAAAAATGATGATTTGTTCAAGTCATTCTTTCATAACGTGGGCATGGTGAGCAATCGAATTACTATTATACCTATATTTATAAGAGGATTTATCCTGACAGGCTCCCAGATCGATTGTTCATCCTCAGAGGATGGCATTGCAAATCTCAGAAAAAAGCTTCAATCTCTCATTGACGCGAATGTCGGACTTGAAAAGACAAATTTCTGGCTAGGGAGTGAAGAGGAAATCTTGCAAAGGCTGCCACAGTTTACGAAAGAACAGGTCAAGGTAAAAGTCCCGTTCATCAGAATGACGAGAGGCAAATACTGAATAGATCAAATAGGGATGGAAAGGCTTACTTTGCGGCGATGGAGGCTGGCTCGCAGCAGCCAAAGCCATCAATGCTATTGGCCAGCATCTGAAGGAGCAAGGTGTGAACTTTGGCTTTGGCCGGTAAGTGAGGAAAACAATGTAATTTCACTTTGATGGGAGTTCAGTGTTTGACTGGCGCAATCTTTTAGTGCTGGCACTTTCAAAAAGCCTCTATTCGCCGACAATAAAGCCACTTGCATCGGCATTGAGACTGTGGATGGAACGGAATATTTTGCAGACAAGGTTGTTCTCGCTGCCGGTGCTTGGAGTTCGACCTTGGTCGACCTAGACGATCAATGCGTTTCGAAAGTAAGCCTCCCCCCACCCAATTGAGCCAGATCAAAGAAAGAGCACAAAAACTCTGGTTTTTATATCGCTCCAAGGCTTATACAAACTTCGGCCAGGCCTGGGTATTTGCCCACATCAAACTCACACCCGAAGAAGCGGCTCGTTATAAAAACATGCCGGTCGTCTATGACGGGGAATACGGTTTCTTCTTCGAACCTAACGAGTGAGCAAGCATTTGAATCCAGTCATCGACCACCCAGTTACAAGCTAATGAAATATCACCAGACACGGTATAATCAAAGTCTGCGACGAGTTCCCTGGCTTTACACGTTTCAAGGAGCACCAACCATACGGTGCTACCGCTCCCAAACTTATCTCCGTTCCACGATCGCACGCCAAACATCCCACAGATACTTACCCTGAAGCTTCCGAAGTAACCATTCGGAAAGCCATCGCGAGATTCCTACCTCAGTTCAAAGATAAGGAGCTTTTCAACCGATCGTTGTGCTGGTGCACAGATACCGCCGATGCCAATTTATTGATTTGCGAGCACCCTCGATGGAAGAATTTTATCTTGGCTACTGGAGATAGTGGGTAAGTGGAAACAGAGGACACTTTTGAACTAATATTTTGTCTAATCCTCTATTACAGCCATTCTTTCAAGCTTCTGCCAAACATCGGAAAACACGTTGTTGAGTTGATCGAGGGTACTCTATCCCAACCGCTGACCGACTCATGGAGATGGAGACCAGGAGGTGATGCTCTCAAGTCTCGGCGTGCTGCTCCTGCGAAGGACCTTGCTGAAATGCAACTATACACACATAGTAGATTGTCGGGTACATTGAAGCTTTGATAAAGCTACTGCTACTTTTATGAGGGGACCTTAGAATATCAGAATCGTTTTAATATTACTGCCAACTATTCAGATAGAGCCAAAGAGCTGCTCAGAAGCCTCCCACAGTAGAGAAGTGTCGAGAAATAGCTAATCGCCACATCTCCATTCAAGGCCAAAGTTATAACAAGCCAATCCAGTCATTTATAATAATATTCACCAATAAGCACACTTGAGCGGTCCTGTTTCATAATCATCAAATAGCCCGCTCCACCGTCCAATTATCCACTCCATTCTGCAGCTTCTCGCGGTCCTCAAAGAAGGGCTTGAATACCTTCTGGATGATGGTGTCGGGATGGTAGCCCTCAGCGTAGCCGCCAGTTTCTGGGTTATCGATGCGGGTTTTGATCAGCGGCATACCGACCACAATATGGGAAGTTTGAGGGAGTGCCTTCGCAAAGAGGCGGCTAAGTGTTTGCGATGCGGCCTTGACAGTAGAAAGTGAGGAGAAGACCACCTGCGGATCCTTGTCAAGCATGCCACCAGTAACGAGGAAGAGTGGCCACTCTCCATTGGAGACATAGTCAGAGTTGGCGTTGCGGGTGAACCACTGGCCAGCGACAAGAGTGCCAATCGCGGAGACCCGGAGGTCAAGCTCCAGCATCTCTACGCTGAGCTCGGAGATGTGCGATTCAGCAACATGAGCAGCATTGTAGTTCAAAACATCCACCTTGCCGTTGAACTGCTGGGCACACCAGTCTAAGGCGGCAGTGAGGCTGCTGGAATTACCGGCGTCGGCGGTGCGGTAGATTACTTTTGCATCAGCGCTTGTCTGGGCGGCTTTGACTTCATCGGCGATCTTGGATAGGCTATTTTCCGAGCGAGAAACAAGAGCGATGCTCCAGCCCAGATTGGCAAGCCAGAGGGCAAGTGATCGGGACATGGTCGATCCCACGCCGACGATGATGATGGTGCGATTTGGGCTAACAGACATGATGTTCCAAAGATTAAACTTCAAGATCAAGATTCTTTGGAACGATGCGAGGCAGGTTGAACTTGAAGTTCCGTTCCTTATTGAAAGATTTGCCTGCCCTTTTATATGACAAGGGCACCAGTACTATTAAACGGGGAGTTTACTCATGAGCTCCGCTGATGACTTCATCCAGAAATGTATAGTTAGTGGTAATAGTACTTACTACTAGTACTTAGTAAAGGTAAGTTCTTCGTGCGGCAGAAAGTGTATTTCGATTCCGCAATAGCCGCCCCACGGTTAGAACTGTCACCGAGCCCCATGACAGTTCGAGTTCAAGTTTACTCATCAACTGAATTCCACCGGTAACTTATGTAAAGTCACAAGTGTATCTCTAATGCTGGCAACCACTGCTGGAAATGTCGCCGAGACGGTCGAACTTCCGCCGATCAAGCATCTACTATTTCTAAGTACTACATGGGCAATAGGAGGTTTCAAACTTTTGCAACACCATTATCGACCGCCTTTGAAGGGCAGACTAGTAGCTACCTAAGATGGAATAAATTGGCCTATCTATACCATCTTAGGTAGCTACTTGTTCGCGATCAGAAGGCGGAGACGAGAACAAGTCAACAAGGGGTTTCAAACTTTTGCTACTTACGACCCAACTGAATACCTCGATCGATCACCCAGTCGGCAAAACCGTGAGGACATCGTTTCACCTGGGCGCGAAACTTCAAAATCTCACAGGGAGCGTACGGCCGTTTCTATCTATTTACATCGTTCTGGCCCTTTTTTAGCTTGCTAATTGGAGATTTGTTATGGTAACGGGATGAGGGATGAGGTTACCAAGAATTGCTAAATATCAGCTGGCTTGTATACATAAAGAAGGTGGATCAGCCAATAACGAGCACCGATAACTCAGGGGTAGAGTGAGGTGCGTATCACGTGACCTATATTAAATATTGAATTTTCAACTAACAGTTTCACAGGATTTGCAGTGTCCTAAGTCGGGCGTTCAAATCGCCCTCGGTGCTTACCTTTTTCTTTTTTCCCTACATGCGTACATCACGCGGGAAATTTCACTTTCGAAATTCGTTTTTGCTCTTGATCAAGAAAGCAAGGTTCTTGATAAGCACTTGATGCTTAGTCAGTCTACCTAAACATACCGCTATATCTGGTTCTTTCAAGTTAACAGTAGTCTTAGTTACTAGTCAACCACTGGCATATATATATATATGTTCACTATAATCTGACCCACTCTCACCAGGCTCTAGATTCTTCGTGAATGATGCTCACTTGTATTTCTATTCCGCCCTGGGCCGTAATCACGCCTCATCCGCCGTTGGCAGCTTCGCCTGGGCAGTTACAGTAATAGTCCTCTAGGGCTGAAGGTACTAAGCTTCCTGACCCGGGGAAACAACCTTGGAAGAGATTCAAGGCCTCTGAACCGCTCTCACTATTGCCTATAGTAGGTACCACTAAAGCCACTACTACGAGAATTGTAAACCGCGAACTTGATAATCTGTGGTCGTCCAGCACTGGCAGGTAACACACAACCGAACAGATAATTATATCGAATGGTACATTAAGAGCTAGTATTATAATTAGATCAAGAAAGTGAAGCCTGGGGGAAACTTGGCGTGGTCCCAAAGAAGCCCTCTGGCTTCCCGCTAAAATATAGCGAATCCATCAATCCTGCATGGCCTATTTATTATCTTGTCAGCTCTAATTTTTCTGTCTCAACCCTTATAACAGCGGAAAATATGACACAAGTAGCTTTGCACTTACCTACTTTCCTACCACGGATTCTCATCAGCTAATTTCTTTTTCATTTTCGACTAGTTTAAACGCCGGTCAAGAATGGAGGATTCCATCTTCTGGACACAATATCTACAGGAACCTCATAATGACATGCGTGTGACCTTCGAACAAACACTTCTGCCATTATCGAGGTCTGTTGGGGGATCAGTCATGAGGGAAACCGAATAAAGTATTAACACTAGTCAATTTCCCTCTATGAGGTAGCTTGATTCAAGCTTCTCCTTGAGGTTGAAGAAGGAAGGATTCGACGCTTCGTCTTTCCAGTTCAATGTCCTCAATTATTTTTTCGACCTAGAAGGAAAACATCGCACAAGGCATCTTCAGAAGCTATCCGCAAAGCCTCGACGCTCTGACTGACTGATAGATTGGCGGGTGTCGCCGAATCCATTCGGAAGAATTTCTATAAGCATCATCCAAAACGGACACATCCTCGTCTTCGATGAGCGGGACTTCGGGGACACAATTATCTCAAGCGCACGAGGGGAGAACTGAGGATCGCTTTTCCCACAGGAATTCGTGAGCGAAGAGAGAAAGTACCTATGAAATATAAACAAAAGTCATTGCAAGTGCTGTAGACTTTCAAACGATTTTGGATGAAGAAAAAAGAGTAAAAGTCCTAATATTCCCAAGGGAGTTTTGCCATCAACACCAAACCCACTAGTATTCTAGAATGATGCCACCCCTACCGAGCTGCCAAGGGCAGACGGAAAACGACGTATCTACATATACCTGAACAGCCTACGTTGAGGTGTTGGCCTAAGGCTTTAGCCAAACAAGGCGGGGCCGGCCGGCAGATCGGTGGCCGGCAACTGCCGACCTCCCGCAGCCCAGGGATGCCAAGTATGCCGACCGAAAGAGTCCCAAAAAAACGCATGCAATTGGCCAATAGACCTGAAGCAAAAGTTGAAGCACCGAGGGCGATTTGAACGCCCGACTTAGGACACTGCAAATCCTCACTCTACCCCTGAGTTATCGGTGCTTGTTATGAAGGTGGCTTGAAGTTGACGATATACCAAGCACCAGTATGTCTCTGTTTTGTGGGGTGTATTAACCACTTCTGGATATGGCATCGAACGTATATGAACAAAGAACAGGCACTATATGGTACTCCCAGAGATCGCTTGTTCCTTCTTTATTTTTAGTGCAGGTTAAAGTTCTAGTATTGTTAATTTAGTAACATTTATACCGGATTACTACACCATTTTGGCCGTCGCTAATTGATTTTTGCGCAAAAAAGCGATGCGTTTTGGCCATTGTCAATTTTTTAAAACAGGCAGAAAGTAGTGCTTTTTCGCATTCTGCCAAAGCTTCAATATAATACTAAACAATACTGGGACCAGTGGCTTTTTCAACACCCCGTCACTTAGCAACCTGATGGGGTATTAAAAGTCAACCCCGGCGGTGTATCGAGCAGGTGTTTTCTTCCTTCCAACCCCCGTTAGCTGTACGCCCTTTTTATTGACATCCTTTCGTAAATTACGAATATCATTATGTGGCCTACGGCGCTGGGCTAACATGCCAGAAGCGTATTGGCTACGTCCTATGCAGCCCCCATCTGCCGTGAACACCCTTTAACTGTTTCTAGATTCAGCACACAATGGTCCTAGACGAATGTCATCTTCTGATGAAGCCAGTTGAAGGCTAGAAGGTTGAATCCAACGCCGAAAATTCCCCAATTGCTTGATCGATTACCCGCGAGTTTACCACCGCCGTCTGCTTCTCTGAAAAAGCAAGACATTGCCTACACCGGCATTATTGTCAATGAGGATTCTGACAATAAGAATGATTTCGTAATATTACTCGCCGCTTCAAAGGGAGATACCTCTATCCCACGAAACGGTCAACCAGAAACTGGGTTAACCGGCACAAACAGAGCGTGAACCCACTTGAAAGCGGCCGTAAGTACATCCGGTTTTCCTTTGCTCTCACCAAAGGCTGATATGCGTACCTGTGGTGTCAAAGAAGCTCTCAAGAAACTAGCGCCAGACTAGAAGGCCAATCTGGCAAAATTGCCTACGGAGGAGAGGGCCGCCCGGGCTGCTGCTCGGAAGGAGAAGAAGAAGGAGGAGAAGAAGGAAAAGAAAGAGAAGAAGAAGAAGGAGAAGAAGGAGAAGAAGGAGAAGAAGGAGAAGAAGGAGAAGAAGGAGGACGTCAAGCAGGGCCACCATGGCTCTGGTCGTGGCTCGTATCGTGGTCGTGGTCGTGGCCGTGGCGGTATCTCAAGATACACCCAAGGTCAGAGTTGCGGTTGGCCCGTGATCGCCAATAGGGGTAGTGCCCCTGTTGTAGGTAATATACTTACAACATTTTTGTGGGTTCCTTCGCAAATTTGGTGAGTTATATCCCTTATGAATACACGATGGATGTATGTCTAACAGAATTATAGCCAACCGGCTTGCGGAAGCTTAGACATTTGATCAAAGCTTGCCCAGCATCAAATCCGGTCGTGATATACACCGATCACAGCGCGATGACAGCTATCAACTTCGGTGTCTAACTAAATTCAGTGGCTTCCGACAAGCTAAGCTTACGTCTAGTCGGAGCTTTCCAATACCTACAACAATTCCGTATGAAAGTCTTCCATTGGCCTGGGAAGTCGAACAAGATTACGGACGCACTCTCCCGCTTAGCAGCCAGCTCCCAACCCCCACGCACGAGTGGAGGGATGACCTGGATGCCATCGAAGTCTTTTGCACGGAAATCCCCCTCGAGTGGTATCGATATCGGGAAGCCCTACGATCTGCATACCAGCTTCGAGTCGGAGAAGCCTTGGCATATATCGGAGCTACGATGGAAAGGATGACGGACAACGACTTGGCGGAGCAGGGGGCTTCTGGAAACATCGCCAAGGAAGCCCTGGACCTGAATCTTTGGACCTCATTTATCGATACATTTTGCTTTTTTAGAACCGATGTCATGTACGAGTATTCCTCCTGCTGGAGTGCCTCGGCCAGAGCCGCATCGTCCTGAGTGTTGGCGGCTGACATGGCAGATGCTGATATTTTCTTACCACGTTCGGGGCCTGCAGAATTCTAGTTCTGGCATTGGCAGCGATTCGCTGAATCTCCTTCCGGGCACTGGATACCTTTCTAGGTTTTTTCGCATCCGATTCCACGCCAGTGCTAACACTGGTTGCCGGGGCCCGGCGTGTTTGTACCGGGAGTGCCGCTGAGCGAACTCTGCGCGGTGTCACTCGGCGAGTTGCTCCCTTTGCCGGGGACGATCACTTCGATCTTTTCTTTCAACGAGGGCGTCGCCTTTCCAAAATGCGGCGGTGTTGCTACCCATTATCAAACACCCCCCGGTCAGCTGACTAGGAGCGTCCATGTCCATATTTAGTTAGCTTTAGACGCAAGCTAAAGAAATCATATCTACCACCAATACCTTCAAAGCGTACCATTCTAGCTCCTCCAGCCGAGCACCCACAATATAGAACATCTCGTTACTGTATGAATTGACAGGTGTATGCGAACCAATGAAATCAGCCAATGTGGGGCGGTAGCTATGCGAGCCAATCATGTGGACCGCACAACCGTGGTGATCGGCGCGCCGACGCGTTAGCGTGCCGAGTACGAAGTACATAGTAGTTAGTAGTAGGACTATGTTTACTGTCCAGCCAACCTACACACTTCCACTTTCTCTTCTCTCCTCTGCGCACACCCTTACCTTGACTGTTCCCTCTTTCCTGATGTAAGTTGAATCTGCATGATTTATTCACGGATTTTGATACTGACAATGCAACAGGGCGTCATCCCCACAGGACACCACTATGAGTGGTGGGCCTGCTGGTGTAAGTACATTCCATGTTCTTTCACCCAATTGAGGGCTGACATATGTGTGTGTGTGTGTGTATACACTGTAGGCCACCTCCACCCCGTCTGCCGTGAGTTTCACCCCATGTCCTTTTATATCGATTGAAGGCTGACATATGTGTGTGTGTAGACCACCGTCCCCCCCACCCACCGTGAGTTTACCCCATATCCTCTTATATCGATTGAAGGCTGACGTATGTGTGTGTGTAGACCACCGCCCCCGCATCTGCCGTGAGTCTACCCCATGTCCTTTTATACCAATTGAAGGTTGACATATGTGTGTGTGTAGACCACCGCCCCCGCATCTGCCGTGAGTTTACCCCATGTCCTTTTATACCAATTGAAGTCTGACGTATGTGTGTATAGACCACTGCTCCCTCCACCGTGAGTTGACCCTGTGTCTTTTCATCTCAATTAGAGGCTGACACGGGTACCTGTGGCATTGAAGAAGAAGTCGAGATGCCAGCGCCGAAAGGCGAACATCCAGAGCTTGACCGACGAGCAGAAGGCTGCCTGGAAAGAAAGGCAGAAGGAAAAGAAGACAGAGAAGAAGAAAGAAAAGAAGAAGAAGATCGAGGAGGAGAAGAAAAAGAAGAAGGAGGAGGAGGGGGGTGAAAGGGAGAAGGGCCACCGTGGCTCTGGTCGGGGCTCGTATCCTGGTCGCGGTCGTGGTGGTAACTATAAACAACGCCACGGCCAGGGTCACGGTGGACCCATAATCGCTAATGGTGGGGGTGCACCCTCGGTCGGCAACACTAGTACCTACTATATTATGGTAGGGTCTTGGGCAGAAATGGTAAGTTATCTCATTCATGAACATACGACGGATATCCTGCATGTCTAACAGAATTATAGCCCAGCGGTATTTTGCCGGGCTTCCTTGGAAGCCCCAGCCAGCAAGCCACTCCTGCTGTGGCCCCGGCCCCGGCCCTGGCCTCCTCAACTCCCAGTGCCTCTGCCTTCGACCTTCCCCTCCACCTCCGTAAGTCACCAGTTTTCTATAGCGTATGGCATACCTTATACAGATTGGCTAACACATGACAGGGGTGGCGAAGCCCTCACAATAGGGGGACGGGTTTCTGATTTTTCTTTTTTACGAACTGACGATCAAATGATGGGTTTTTGCTTTTTCAATATCACAATGGGTTTCGGAATCGGGTTGTTTTCGAACTTTGCTTTACTTTAGCACGCAAGGATCACAATGCTACTGCCATACCCAATACTTCGGGATGGTTTCAGTCATGGGCATGTATATTATTATTGTTTTAACCTGGTGCCTTCGTGCACCTATAATAAAGACGCAGAAATGCGGTCGTCTCTCAATTTTGCCGCAGCTTGTAGGTTCCTAGATAATACAACATGCTATTACGCCCCTTGAATCGTGTACGGAATGTAGTACGTGTGTAGTAGATTGTTGTATTGTGTGTAGTTGGTAAGTGTATGTCGGAGGTGAAGTAGTAGCTATGGAGACATGACTACTAACAACCCCCACGGACACGCGAAACCAAGCGATTCGACCATACCGTTAATGCCGAATGTGGTAAACACGAGTTTCTTTTTGTTGTAGGCGTCCCCTGCCATACGGCTGATGCAGGATAACCTAGGTAGGCCCCTGCCGTACTATTGATGCAGAGAGGCGTACGTGTAGCGTTAGTCGTTGATGCATGAGCCGACGTTGGCTATAGAGTTGGACGGCGTTAGTGGTTGGTGCCGGCGTTAGCTGTTGAGGAATGGTGCATGTTGATTACGCAGCGAGATCGCAAGGGGCAGTGAGGCCGCGAAGGGCAGCGAGGCCGCGAGAGCAGCAGTTGGGCCGCGGAAGCAGTAGTTAGAGAGCCACAATCGGTAGGAACGAAAGGTGGTGGAGGTGGCCGCGGGCCGGAAGTGAGAGATGAGGCGAAGTGCGCCGATGGTGGTTGCGAGCGCCGTGAGGGCGGTGCCCGAGAAAGGAAGTAGATGCTGTTTCGACGAAGTGGTCATGAAAGGATGTTGTTGTGGTGGTGGTGGCCGCTGGTGGCAGCGGGACGAAGTGATGCGCGCGCGCGGTGGTGGCGATGGCGCCCCCCCCCCCCCCCCAAAGGGCAGGGGAGAGCAAAAAAAGTGGTGATAGAGGTAGCGATAGCTCAAGGAGCGTAGAGAAAAGGTCATAACCTGTACGTGTGTATTAATGGAATGTGTAGATATGTGTATTAGGATGGGCAGTCATACTTACAAGTAAATGTCCTTCGTCTGGAATGATAGTCTGGCCCGCCACGGCCCTCCAATGGTAATTAATAGTACCATCACTATAATCTTCTCCTTTGAAAATGTTGTTCTTGTACCGTCTTTGATAGTCGGCAGCGGATTCTAACTCCGCATCGCTAGGCCAGAACGGCCAATGAACAGGTCGAACAGGCTTTGGGGCAAAAATGATCAATTCATCATGGATCTGCGATATTACAGATTTTCTCAAATGTGTCTCTGAAAAGTCGTTGCCATTCAAAGGAGCATGCTCGAGTTCAGGGCGAAGATCTGGGTCACCGGAGAGAAGTCTTGTCCAAAGCGGGCGATACCTCTCATCGCGGATCTGATAGTATTGAGGGACAGCCTTTGCGACGTTTCCGTAAGTCTCACCATTATCGACCAACTTCGTCACACGGTTATTCATGTGTGTGTGTCCGTTCGGTAGAGGACCTCGACGAGGAAGATTCCCATCTGGCTAGCAGGAACTTTATTCTCGACCCACCATCGGAGGACCTGCATGAAGATTAGGACCTTGTTATAGGTCCAGACAATAGAGGCTTCCTCGGTAGCTTTTTTTTTTTAGACATGGAGTCAAAATCGATTCCCTGCGTGCGCGTATGTCAGTTTCCCAATCGGATCAAGAGCAACGGCAAAGACTTACCTCGCTCATCTCTCGCTCGCACATTTTCACACTCCTACTTGTGTCTGTTACTTTTACTAGTTATCCTTTTACTGGCCGTCCAGTCAGGTAGTCTTCAAGTTTTGATTCAGAATGGGGAACTATGGCATTTACGGATAATTTATACCTTTGGTCAGGTTGGGCGCGCATTGTTTATTGAGACAAAGAGTCTCAGAATAGCTCAAACAGCATCAAAGTCAACAAAGAATTAATAGAATTACTTGGTAACTGCCTTTAAGTTCGTGAGCAAAGGATTATCATCATTGCCTAGCAAAGAAACCAAAATTATTTGGAGTGGTGGTGGTGGGTCCGGGGTCTTCGGCACTATGGCGGTACTTGCCCAGTACATAGCAAGACATAGCAAGATATAGCAAGATATAGCAAGAACCAGAGAGTCCCATCTATTCTATCGATCCCATATAGGGTACTCTAGTAGCTTCCCACCTAAGATCTGCTCTGTTTGTATGTGTTTGCCTCAGGCCTCGAGGCCCACTGGCCTTCAGACACCCGCGCTATTCACTGGCCGATCACTGGCCAATCACTGGCTTTCCTTGCCCTATATAGATCGCTTCTCTCACTTCTCCTCGCACTTCCTCTCTCTCTCCTTCTCTTTCCCATACGGCTTCCTTCCTAAAGGTTTTCGTTGTGGCTCTGGGGGATCTTTGACTACCTCTCCAAAGGTTGTCTTCTGTGGGCTGAATTGGCAGGATCTAAAGACCTGACCCAGTGGTGCGGTGCCTATGCCTTGGAGACTCTCTCGCACCCGAGTCCCAAAACGACAGGCTTGCCTGTCGTGGCCGGAATGTCCTGGCTTTGAATCCCGGAAGCTGGTGTACAGGGGAAAGGGACTACTGGGGGGTGGGTGGGAATCACCGTCGTCGAGGGCGCATACTCGTCCCTTCGGGGGCCTCTACCGACGCACTCACCGCAAGGTGCCCGACATCTGCTTGTATCTCCGCCGCGTGAACAATTGTTCCCTGAGGTTTGATCCTGTCGGGTCGAATTTCCTCACCCCGCGGAAGGAAGGTGTCCAGCGATCCAACCAAAGAGTTGCCCTAAGACGCGACGGTGGGAAAAGAAGGAAGCCTTTGGCATTCCTCGAGGTGAGTTAACTTGATCTTACTACTTCATTTTGGGCCTGGATATCTACTGATTCGTGTATGCATATCCAAATTCTCCATCTCCTTGTCCTTCTTCGCGCTCTCCTCCGGAGAAGACCCGGATGGTGGTGGAACGAGTCGAATTCAACGCGGACAATCTCCCACCAATCTCATACGACGGGAACAATACAGCGTGGCAGCGGCGGCAATACAAGTGGACGGTTCTACGTGGGATGGACTTGAAACATGTGGTTAGCTGGCAAGCGTTGGAAGTAATTCATGTATATTAGACACCCCAACGGCGAGTTTAGCGGCCGTCTGTGACTCCGAGTGGAATATCTCCTCCACGGAGCTGACAAGCAGAGTACAATACATTCCCCCCTCTCTCTATCTCTCTAAATGTCGCATCAGAATGTAGAGGGACGCCTGGCTTTGAAAGTGGCCTGTTATTACCCGTATTCATTCCGCAACTTGATAAAAACCAAAGAGTCGGACGTAAGTAAGGACTATACAACTAGTTCAAGTTTGTAACCTGCTTAAAATTAATTATAGATATATCATTAGTTATAATTACACGCTCGTAGCCGTGAAATGGAATACTGATTAAAATACATAAGAATCGTCCTCGAAAGAAGAATGGGTAGCCTGCACCAACAGGCTGGAAACAGGGTATATGTGCACGCTATGAGAGGCTGAGCGGAGGCGTCAACGGAAGTGTAATATGTAAAAACAAGGGGAGAATAGAAAGACGAGGTGCATCATGCATGAATGCAAGCATGTAAACATATACGCATGTCTGCATCCACCCAACTAGAGCCACAAAATCCATCTCGCACTGGAAATGACTCCGCGGAAGACACCACGCAAGAGTTTGAACGCCATGACGATCAACCACACCCACCACAAAACACCAACCAGCGTCCACTCCAGCACCACAAAGCCAGTCCGACGTAGCCAGCGGAATCGGCGGCGGCGCTTTCGAAGACCACGGTCTAGCGCGTCACTGAGTGATTTCACAGCAAGTGTGCTTGTGGTGTTCAGCTGGACGCACATGTCTTCTGCATCGTCGGCTGTTGCTCGGACGCGTGGTGTGAGTGACTGATTAACCAGGTTCTCGAGTTCCTTGAGTTGAGAGCGGAGAGGGGCCGAGGTGGATGTAGTGAAGTGGTGCATCGATTGCTGGAAGGAATATTGCGTGTTTTCGAAGCGGCGGAGTAGATTTTGCGCAGCGAGGTCGAACTCGTCGATCCGGACGACGCGGGGAACAGATGCGCTGGGGCCGAAGGCATTTTGAAGCCAGTGTGGAGGTGGTTCACGGACGCTGTGGGCTCGTCGCGTGATCTCTCGTGCTTTGATACCAGAGGATAAGAGGAGGACTCGGGTACGCTCCACTTCTGTCTTGCCGGGGACACCAGAGTCATTGAGGGTGTGCAGACTGCGGTCCGATATACTCCACGCGCGAGTCGCGCTTGAAAGGCCGGGTCGTCCGCTTTTTGCAGGCCCAGGTGATGCTCGCGCTTGCGCGAGGCCAGTTACAGGTGGTCGAGTGAGACCGAAGGGGACGGATTGGTCTCTGATAGCAAGTCGCTTCACGCGGCTGCGGTTCGAACCTAGTGTCGGGCTGAAATCCAATGTTCTGCTTCGAGTGAGACCAGGTCTTGGTGGGGTATCTTGATCATCTTGTTTCCTGGACGTGTAAGTGCGCTCGCGTGGGCTAGTGCCATAATCAGTGGCATTGACCGATTCATTGCGCTCATCCTGTCGCAAAGGCGACGTGAAACTCGGCAGTGACCCGATGAAGCTCCTGTTTGGCGTACCCTTATCAAAGTCGCGGCGAACGAGACGGCCGGGTTCATCGCCAAGGGTTGGCAAGCGTCGTAGCAGTCCCTTGGGTCCAGATCGCTTGTCCGTTTTCTTTCCATCATCCTCGGAGTCGCTGGAGTCTGAAGCAATAGTGGATGCAGATGAAGACTTGCGAGAATCCACGCCCTGGTCCTTCTTGAATACAAGATCGCCAACCTTGGAGACTTCGTTGCCGACAAGCTCAGCTATCCGACCAGGTCCCTTGAAAATGCCGCGCAGCTTAGATTCTGGGAGGTGTTGGCCTTTTCTTCCTCTGGGGAAACTGTCAGCCCGTTGGCCATCGGTTATACCATGCTCGTCAAAGTACGAGGAGGATACAACATCTGGGAGTGGACTAGGCTCCAGCTTCGATGAACTCGCGGCGTGCTCAGCATACTCGGAAGGTGGTGTCAGAGCGTGGTGCGATTCAGCTATCACATCTAGGCTCTCATCTTCGTGTTCTCGAAGCTCCCTATCACCGTGTTTGCTCTTACTCCGCTCATGCCGAGTCACAATCTTGTGTCGAAGACCCTTTTTGGCTGGCGAAGGGGACCGACTGGAAGGTGGAGATAGATTGACAGCTATGCTGGGGAAATAACTGGCATTGGCCGGAGAATTGGGAGCGGTGCTATCCATTCCTTCCATCGACATTCTGGGATTGATTCGATCATCAATACTGCCGGCCGAAGAGAATGACGCTTTCCTGTGCGGCCGACTTGATTTCGTATTAATGGAGAGAGGGTCGGGCAACTGGGACTTGGTCTTTTCGAGATGCAAAGCACCTGCTGGCGATTTGCCCCGAGATACCCGCGAACCCGAGGAGTTTCGTTGGTTTCTTTCAGTAGATAACTCTGTGCTTTTGCGTGTGTGATCCCAAATCCGATTTTTTCGCTCCGAAGACTTGCGCCGGTCAGAACTAGACTCACTTGCAGCACTGCCCGAGCGTAGCCGTACCTTATCCCAACGCGAATGCTTGGGCGAGATAGAGCCGCTTCGGCTCCGTGCGCTGTGGGAGTGGGAGTGGTATCGGCTTCTGTTGCGGCCTCGTCTAACGCTTTTGAATTCGTGTGATTGCGCAGGGCGAGAGCTCGACCACGAGGTATGACGCGATGACTGCTCTTCTTCTTGGGCATGTCCGGTGTCAACTGACAATCGTTGTTTTTCTGCACCGGGGTCTACCACCTCTAGCTCGGTCAAATCCGGGTAGAGCCGGTTGCCATCTTTATCGACAATCTTCGTCTTGTTTTCAATATCTTCTGCCCAGGCTGCATCGGCCAAAAGTTCCTCTGGGGAAATCCTCCAATCCATGCGTAGCCGAGGGGCCTTGATACTGTTGGTGCGGCTGACGCGCCGTAGACTGGCGGAAGGAGAGTTAGTCGCATCCCAATCTTCATCCTGGTAATGAGAGGCAGTTCTTTGGCCATGTTGAAAAGAGGGGAGCTTGACAGATTGTGTTGAGTCGAGTGTCTTGAGACTATATTTGTCCTCTATGGCGCTGACCCAGTCGTGGACTTTCTCAACGTTATGCCAACCCTCTGCCGCCGCGTCAATCGGGCACTTTTCTCGATAGCGGACTCTCCTGTTGCGAATCATTTGCAGTGGATTATAGTCTCGGTTCGTGGATGCGGTGCCGCCCATGGGATATGGAGAGTCAATCTCCTTCGCAGCTGGAGGGGTTCGAAGTGGGGGTAACGAAGGTAGCAATCGCAAATATTGATCAAATAATTCGAAATGACGCCGAGCTCGTTCTGCCCGAGCGAGAGTGCTCTCGGAGAATTCATAGGCACGGTGGTCATTCCGCACAGTGGCGGGCAATAAATTGATAACTGGAGATTGGCCAGGATTAGGCGAAAGGTCATTCGTAGATGATTGTTTATAATCGTGGTATGAAGAATCCCGTTGAGACCCATGTGCTCCCGGCAACGGCATGTGATGATCGATGGGCCCTGGAGCTGGTTGAGCTATAGACAATGGTTTCCGTCCGCCTGAAGCCAAGGGCAGCCCGGATGTATTCCGCCTCCTGGACTCATTAAGGTTCAATGCCAGGTTGACAATTTGTATAGAGTCCCTATCCAACCCCGGCGCAGCTTGCTCGGCAGTGTCATTTGGGCCGGACTCAGTCTGCGACGAGGTTCTAGATTGTCGGTCGTGAATGGAAGATGCCGAAGCCTGCTCATTGGGTGCTGGATCTGAGATGGCAGCAGCAGCAGTCGCCGGCTTAGAAGGCGAGTTCTTATGTCGACTCCATGGGAAGCGCGATCGCTTCTTAGCTACCACGATATCGGGTTCGGGGACGCTTCGTTTCTCCGTCGGTGACTCTGATGACCTAGCGTGGTGCGTGGGAAGTCTCAAGCTCTTTGAACGAGGAAAAGAGTCCAACAAGAATCCACCAGAGCTTTGAGTCCTTCGCTGAGCGGGAGTCCTTCGATCCCCGTCGCGAGAGCCACTCCCCAACGTACTCCCCTCCAGCTCCCCACTCGGTCGACCATCGCTCACTGCGACGCCCCCTCGCCGGTATGAGCCGCCATCTGAATAGTTCGCTGGAGAGTTGTGCTTCTGGGGCGTCTCGTGTGGGGTATCATCTGCCGGAGGCATTGGATCTCACGCTGTTCGTTTGTCGGGGCCGGGGAAAGGGCGGGAGAACTAGATGGCCACGCCCGTCAAGGAGGCAATAGGCATTGCCAGTTAATGTCATATAAGCATGGGTACTGGCAGAGGAGATCGAGTTCGCACAAAGAGCAGGAGAGATATAAGTTCCGTGTCCTGGAAGTCGAACGACGTCAACCGGGCTGCTGATCTGCGGAGTTGCGCGTCAGGCAGCGGGGCTTATTAAGCACTTTCTTTAGGTGCAGATAGTTTATTTCCCTGCAGAAATGCAGAAAGTGGAGGACCGTAGTGCTTAATTCCAAGGTTGATTGGATTCAAATACTTTTTTCCCCCTTGGCAGAGGAGTCACTGTTTCTGATACGTACGAATTCCACCAGGGCGGAGCCAGCTTAGTTAGAGAACAGCGCGCTCTACAAGAACAAAGCTATAGCTAACTATGGCAGGATTTCACCATTGAACAAAGGAAAGATTCTAGCATTTGGGTCTAAAGCAGAAAATACAACTAGAGGTACATTCCTGTAGACATGACGAAGATATACAGGACAAATTGAAATCAGCATCGCTCAAAATATGCGCTTACTCCACGCGCAAGCACTGGAGACGGGCCTGAGTCTCAATGACCTAGACATGAAGGTTAGAATCTGTACTGTGAAAATCAATCATGGTTGTTGCACTCACCTCAAGAGCCTGCTTAACTTCAAGAACCCTTCGTACATCACCCAGCCAATCCTTGCTCAGAATCTTAGCCCATCCCTGCAGACCGTTCATCTCACGGGCAGCAGCATCAACCTTACCCTCCTCGAGAAGGTGCTCGGTGCGGATGAGAATGCTATCAACATCATCACCCTCGGGAAGGCCCTCCTTCTTGAACATGACCTTGCTCAAAACCATGCTGGCAGCGTGGCTGGCGATACCGGCGTCCTCGGGCAGAAGGCTAGCCTTGCGGACCTCACTCGCGACACGACGGAAACGCTCAATGATCATGGTAGTTGAGGGGATACCGCGCTGGTAAGCGGTGGGGTTGATAGAGGCGATAGCGGCCTCGACAACGGGGTCCTCGGCAGCTAGCTCCTTGACAGCGACCAATTCGCGAACGAAGGGGCGGGGGACCTCGGCGCGCTCAAGAGTAGAGCGGACAGCATCAACAGCAACCTGGAGTTGCTGGGTCTTCAGGTTAGTGTCAATGACGTTGCTCCAGCCGGTAGTCAGGTTCTCCAACTCAGTGATGCTGGCGGTCAACTCGTTCAGCTTGCTGAGACGGCCCTCGCGCTCACGCTCGACCAGGCCCTGGACCTCGTGGATGTATTTGCGGTTGAGCTCGATAGCCTGCTCAACGAGCTCGTTCTGCAGGCGCTGCTCGGCAAGTTGCTGTGCGCGTTGAAGCTCTGTGTTGATCTTCTCCTGGTAGGCGCCGGCCAGCTTCTCGCGCTCAGCCTCGAACTCCTCGCGGAACTGAGCGACCTCGGTCTCGCGCATTTGCTCGAATCGGCGGATCAGCTCCCGTGCGGACTCGTCAAAGGTGGTGTGAGCCTTGTTGATCTCATCCTGGGCGGCCTTGGCGGCCTCGGTGCGAATAGCACTGATCTTCTCGCTAATCTTGAGCAGCTCCTCCTTAGCCTTGGCGACGGGGGCAGAGTACTTGCTAGAGTTCTCGTCGGCGCTGATTACAGTAACAATGTCGTTGAAGGTCTTGACCAGCTCCTGCACAACACCGTCGTCACCAGCCTGGGTCTGCAGCAATTCAATGGTGCTAGAGGCAACAGCGAGCTGACGAGGCTCATCGAGAGAGACGGATTTCTTGTCCTCCTTGGTATCCTTGGAGGCCTTGTCCTCCTTTGCCTTGAGAACAGCCGCATTCTTCTCCTCGGGCTTGGCGGCCTCGGTCTTAACTTGAGCATCATGGGCCTTGGAGCTCATGTGGGGGCCACTCTTGGAGACATCACTGCCAGACTCCTCCTTGGCGACATTCCAAGACAGGCCGCTCTTGCTAGGGATTGTGACGGACTTGCCCTCGTCGCGGGGAGCACCCTCGATGCGGTTGGACTGTCGGGAAGCGTTGGGGAATCGTCGGTAGAAGTCACGCTCCTCGAAGTAAAGCACGCACTCTTCGCCGTAGGGGACGTACTCGGTGAAGAAGTCGTGGAAGTTATCGGACTTGAGAGCCAGGAAGATGCTACCACCATAAGCGAAGCCGGAGGTCAAGATGAGGTAGAGCAGGAAACGACGGAATCGGCCAGTCTTGCGAGGCGCAACCGCGGGTGTGGCAGGAGCAGCCTTGGATTCTAAATATTCTGGATTAGCCTAGAGCCGGAAGAGATTCGACGACGAAGAGATGCTGGTGGTACCTTGGCTGGTGGGCTTAGGGATGGTCTCGATGGGAATGGCGGATTCGGAGGAAGGGGTGGCAGGGGTTGGAGGCTTCGAGTCGGCGAAGAATCGCTATAGAGACAATGAATATTAGCTGAGATTGAAGTTGGCGGGTACATTGGTAGGGTGATGCTCTTTCGTACCTGACCCGAGAGCCGGCTGCTGGCACCGGCCTTAGACAACCATTGGGAGGGGATCCGTTGGCGAGCAGGGGCCGACAGCAGCTGCCGACCCGGAGCAATTGAGGAGCGCAGCATGACGAGCCGCACAATCGCCGAGGGGAGTGTTTGGCAACGGATGTGTAGAAACGGGGAAGTTCAAGTTGGAGGTTCGGTCGCGATCCGCCCCGATGATCCTGCAGGCGGTCAGTTCAGTCCAGTCGGACTGGCCAGTCCCGCAAGGACTCGGAATGGTGTACTACATAATAAAGGTGACGGTAACACTACCGCCTCTCTGGCTCTATGCTCTGGATTACCTAGGTACTAACTGATACTAGAACTGATAAGAAGCTAGGGTAGGGGGATACTGAATAATCTATATACTAGTACTCAACAGAGAGTATATAACTATGCCCCGGCCCTCAGTAGTATTAAATAACAGCTCCATCTATACTTTCAACAATTATTCATTATTTTAACGTATTTTACACATCTTTGTATTGATACTTAATGGTCTAAATTGTACCCAAAACTTTTACCCGGGCAACTTGGAAGGTTGAAATATCCATGTGACGACTAGTACTGTAGTTAGTAGTCTACTACTAGTGGTATTAGTAGTCAGGTTAGCGGATTCCACATCAATCTTCCCTAGGCTGTTATATAAGTGTAACAAAAACGCCAACCCGGAGAGCTTCCTTAAATTTATTGCGGCCAATTTCAAAACTTCACCTAGGCAAAATAAAGCCCACCTTTTGAGATTTCTTTTCTTATTTTCGCTGTGGAGAGGATTTGATGACAATAGGGGAACGTGCTATGAAAAGCCGCGCGGAAATCTACAATTTCTTCGCCTTAAGCATGGTTGGCGAATAACTGAGGATATACTGGACCACTGGAGTGCGCGAACGGATTTTACGAAATTACAGACTCTCGAGCTTGAAGCACATCTCACATCGGATGTATTGAGATATCTGGCAACGCAGTTTCATTTTCCCTGTCTGACCACCCTTATACTTGGCAGACTTCGGAGTGAACGCGAGAATTTTGACGACCATGCTGAAGCAGTTAATAAATTGTTGAGCTGTCTTCCTTCGCTGGTATCTCGTGGCCCATGGGCGGATTATCTGAACCAATTATATTAATAAGAGGGAACCTTGGTGGCTAAATTAATACCCCAGGTGTTTCCATTGTCCCATATTGAAAACAGCACACTGATGTTAGATGTATGTTAGTGCAGGTGATGTAAACCCCCTCTATCTATATACATGGGTCACAAAGCGATGTACATAGGAATGTATTACTAGTACCATCATACAAAAGACTCAGGTTCAAGTTCAAGTTGTTGAAGTGCCTACTGGTAGGTAGTGCACTACTAGTACTACTACTCTACCTAGGTGCTAGTTAGTAGCACTCAGAACCCGAACCTACTACAGTAATATGGCCACCAGGGCAGCTGCAGTCTGAGGTATGGATTAATCCAGGTGGTCCATATAGTATACTTGAATCTATTTGCACTATACTAGTGCCAGCATTGATTAGTGTATAGTATTACTAGTAGGACCCAAATCCTACAATAGAACTCCTTAAATAGATACAATTTGAAAAAAATGTATTATCTGAGCATAGCATACTGGAAAAAGAGTCTGACAAAAGGAGGACAAACGGAGGGTAATACGTGGAGGGATTTAGTCCAACAGAATCAGGTAAAAAGCATATGCTGACGCCAGGTTGAAAAAGGAAAGAGGTACAAGGAAAGCGGAAAGAAGCGCAGGCGAGTCCTGCAACAGCATGTCTAAAGCCAAAATTCCAGATGCGTTGGTGGAGAGATGTCGAATTCTCCGATTGACGGTAAGCCCGGCGCACCCATCAGAGAAGAGCAAAGGACCAACAAACGAGAAAGAAATCCGAGGAGAATTACCAGGTGGACGGCGAGCCGACAGAGTTATCCTGGCATTGGGGTGTAATAAGGGCAAAAATGAAGGGGTGGTGATAACCATTGCAACCGAGCAGTCATGCTGGCCGCGCCCGGGTTCGGACCGTACGTGCGAACGGAGAGGATGTTTCGGATCACCAGAGAGCAATTTGAGGATACTCAAAAGTAATAGTTTAGCAGTTGCAGGCACCGGCACCCTGAGTGCCCGGGGCCTCGGGCCGGAGGTCGACACCGGGTCGTGGGGCTGTCCTCAGGTTCCGTGGGCCAGCCTGGTCGAGGGGCAGCTTCTTGGCGATGGCTGTGAACAACTCGCGCACATTCGTCGAGGATTTGGCGGAGGTTTCAAAGAAGAGGAGGCCAGCCTCACGGGCGTAGGCCTCAGCATCGGCGGCGGAAATTGCTCGCTTATCGGGGCTTTCGGTAACGAGATCGAGCTTGTTGCCTGCCAGGGCAATCACAATGTTCTCATTTGCTTGTCGTTGAAGCTCCTTCACCCAAGACTTGGCTTTATCCAGAGACGACTATAGACACGGAAAAAGTGATTAGCTAGATGTGTCAATGGGGAAGTAGCGGCATAGGTCGAACATACAGCCTGAGTGATGTCATAGACTACGACGGCGCAATTGGCATTCCGATAATACATCGGGGCCAACGACTTATATCTCTCCTGGCCAGCCGTATCCCAGATCTCGAACTTGACTGTGGTGCTCTCATCGAGGGCGATGGTCTGTGTCAGAAAGGCGGCGCCGATTGTGGACTCGCGGTAATCGTCGAATTGATCCTGAGCAGCAGCAACAACCGTTAGTTGAGCGATTCCTTGGTGATCAAGTCTGGCTTTGTTGCACAAGACAGATAGAGTGCGCCCATCAGAAACTCACTTTAACGAATCTCAACACGAGGGAGCTCTGGATAGCGGTTAGGTTAGCTCTTGATAAAGGATGAAGTCAGCTGGATCTCGAACCTTTCCGACTGCGGATTCTCCTATAAGGACGGATAGTGATTAGTTTCTGTCTCCGAAAGTTCTGAGGGAAGCTTCGTCCAGAGATCACCTACCGAGCAAGACAAGCTTGAACTGAGCGAATTTCGCCCCGGGGCGGGCTCCTGCTGCTGGTCGGGAGGCCATGGCCGGATCGGGGAGGCGACTGGAATGAAAGGGGTTGAGGAGTTGAGATGCAAGAGAAGGACGAGTTGTATCCGGCGAGATTGATCGGGAGGGAATAGTCCTCAAGAGCGAAGGGCGTTGAGGGGAAGGTTGTAGATGGAGGAGTTCAGAATTCAAGTTCAGAAGGTCAGGCGGCGCCTGACGCAGTTGGCAGAGCGCCCCGCTGTATCACCGCCTGCCGCAGGCAGTACAATTATGAAGAGTAAGTAGAATGAGTATCCAATAGAGGATAGTCAATACTAGTACTATATTCTCTTATTTGAATTTATAGTATTGTACGTAAAAAGTTCTTAGATATCCTGTAGTAAATATAAAATCTGGTGCACACGTATACTTACATACTCCTATATTGTAAACACTACTACTGCCACTCGGCACAACCTCTGCCTGTGCCTGTGCCTGGACTGCCCGCGGTCGACGATCATGTGTCCTGAGATTATGCCATCGTTGCGCTTCCTCCTTTCCCCCTCCTCCCCCCTAACTCCGTTCCTCATACCCATTTCTTTCCTTCTCTATTTCTGGGCTGTCCTAATCATGGCTCCCACTCTTATCCCATTTAGGGATATCAATTTACACGCCTCACCCTCACACTATGCCTTCACCTCACCCTCATCCCCCCAGGCTCCAACCCTCGTCGTGGACAGGCCGACGGGCGACCTGCGCTTGAATGATGGTCCCCTCTCGGGCGCAAAGCGCATTTCAAGTATTGCCGGAATTTTGGGAATTCTGAAATTGAAGCTGGGTAAGTTGCGACAGGCTCCGATTGCGATTGCCATGGCGATGTGGCCACCCCAACACCTGTGCTAACCACAATAGACAAATACATCGTGGTCATCACCAAGGCACAGCCCATGGGCCGACTGCGCGGCCACATGGTCTACAAGGTCGCCGCGACCGAATTTCTACCCATGCGAGAACGCCCTCTCCACGATCGAGATGAAGACACCTACATTGCGCTCGTCAAGGAGCTGCTCCGAACCGGCCCCATGTACTTTTCCTACTCCCTCGATCTCACCAACAGCTTCCAACGTCAATCGCAAGGCCCCGCCAACACCCCCATGTGGAAGGGCGCTGATGATCGATTCTTCTGGAACCGCTTTATCCAGTCCGATCTGATCAACTTCAGTCTGGGACAACAAGAGACCAGTGGCGTTCGTTATGGCCCGCAGCCGGGTGTCGACCCATATATCCTTCCGGTCATGTTTGGCATGATGCGCATCACCCCAGCCCGTGTCAAATCAACCTCGTTCACATTCGCCCTGATCACTCGACGGTCCAGACATCGTGCCGGAACTAGATATTTCTCCCGGGGAATCGACGAGCAAGGCAATGTCTCAAACTATAATGAAACAGAGCAGGTTGTTATTTTGAATGATGCTACAGGTGGACTCTCAGGTTTCGCTGGAGGCCAATCGATGACCAATGAGAAGACGCCACAGGACCTCCAGGTGTACTCATTCGTTCAAACTCGCGGCAGTGTCCCTGTGTTTTGGGCCGAGGTCAACAATCTCAAGTATACCCCTAAGCTCCAAGTGCGGGGGGTCGAGACTGCCATCGAGGCTGCTCGCAAGCATTTTGCGGAGCAGATTCGACTGTACGGAGAGAACTATATGGTCAATTTGGTCAACCAGAAAGGCCGCGAGGAACGCGTCAAAAACGCCTACGAACAACTGGTCCGACTCCTGATTTCCTCTCCCAACGAACGTATCGAGGCTGATAAAAGAACTCCCGAAAAGATGCATGTCTTGGAACCAAATTCGAAGCAAAAAGAGATGGATCGTTTGCACTACGTGTATTTTGATTTCCACAACGAGACCAAGGGTCTCAAGTGGCATCGCGCCGAATTGCTCATGAGTCGCCTAAATGATGGACTGAATCAAGGTGGCTACTTCCGCGGAGTCGAGCATCCAGGATCGCCTGGCGGACAGTTGGATATCCGTTCGACTCAATCAAGTGTGGTCCGAACCAATTGTATGGATTGCCTTGACCGAACCAACGTGGTGCAAAGCATGCTTGGCCGTTGGGCCGTCACTCACCAGCTCATTGACGCTGGTGTTCTGCGCCACGGTGAAACAGCAAACGACGATCGCGAGTTTGAGGATCTGTTCCGTAATATCTGGGCAGACAACGCTGATGTCGTGTCCAAATCTTACTCTGGTACCGGTGCTCTAAAGACTGACTTTACTCGTACTGGCAAGCGCACACGAGCCGGTGCCCTTCAAGATTTAAACAATTCCATCACTCGATACGTGCGAAACAACTTCCTAGATGGCCCCCGCCAGGATGGCTTCGATGTCTTCTTGGGTACCTACCTCCCGTCTGATACACTGCCATCGAGCATTCAGATGTTCCTGGACCGGCGACCGGTTGTGATCCAAGCTATTCCTTACGTCTACTTGGCGAGTTTGTTTTTGGCCCTCCTTGCTCTATTTTCGAGACAGGCACCCGACTCATCAGCCTGGCCGCTCCGTCTGTTCATGGTATTCTGGTTCATCATCACCGCCTACTGCTTCCGCTTCATGTTCGAGCATGGTATGCTCTACGTGAACTGGCCCAAGCTCAATACTCCTGTTGCCGGCGCCGAAGGACTTCAGGATGCTATGATCAAGGCACGCACCGACCCTGTCATTGGCCGGTGGCTCCCGTCCAAGAGACACCAACGTGGTGTTAGCAACGCCCGCCTGGTCTTCCTCGAGGAAGGAAAGACTAGGGTCGAATAAATTCGGTTCTTTCTCACGCTCCTCCCCCACTCTTTTTCTATTTTTATTTTTACCTTTTGAACCCCAATACTCTACACAACCCTACACTTCATGGCTGTATGTTTTAACTACTATTGCTTCTCCACAGGCTCTTACTCACTAGCCGTTTTTTTTCTTTTGTTCCCTTCTTTCTCTGCTGGCATTGCCTTGCTACCTATCGCTGCATGATACAATTTTACTTGTCGTGGTAGACCACGTCCGGGGTGGTGGCGTAATTTACAATTAAATTCGATGCTGCATATTTTTCATAATCTAAAGTAGCGCTCAGCACTGGCAGTGCTTTGATAACTATTTCTCTCTCTCCCATACTCTGTCCCATAACTATGTACGTACTAGGGTTCCCATAGTTCATGTTAGCCTCAGATAAGCTCCATCGTAGATAAGGTAAGGCACGTGATATTCCCGCAGACCGAACGGTTTCCCGAGGAGAGCGGCACTTCGGTAGAGCAGAACCAGACAACCTTATATCTTTGAGCCGCCGGGGTTTCGTTGCGATTATCCCCCGCTTGCTCATTTGAATCTTGCAGGCACGGGTCTCCCTTGTCCATGAGAGGGATTTGGACGTCTCTTCGCTGGTCCAATCCACGGCGGCGAGTCTCGACTCACTCGCCCGCCATGACTCGCTCATATGAGGTATGCGATCGACCTCGGGGCCAGCCCTCCAGCAAGCATGTTATGAGAGATAAGGCTTGCGCGGTCTATGGATCAACCTATCTAACATTTGTTGTGCCTTAGGCTGCCATTACGGCGCTCAATTCCTTGCAAACAAACTACGCGATCGTCGAGGAGCTCCGGAGGTCTACCTCTCGGCAGGAGATGAACGAACGCTCATTGCCGGAGACGGTTGAATGGCTTCGTCGCATTGGGTATACGGTTTGTACTCCTCGTTGCCAGCTGCTATGAATGGGTATCCTGGACTCATGGACTGACGTTGAAGCTCTCCCCGCGCTGATTAGCCCTCCGACCTCAATCAATTAAATGCCGTCCACGTCGCAGGAACCAAGGGCAAGGGCTCGACTTCTGCTTTTATCTCCTCCATTCTCTCCCAGTACACCGAAATCTCACCCGGCCTTCACAAAATCGGACTCTACACTTCCCCGCACCTTCGCTTTGCGCGTGAGCGCATCCAGATCAATAATGCCCCGCTTTCCGAAGAGCAATTCGCCCGCTACTTCTTCGAAGTCTGGGACCGCCTGGAGAATTCCGCTAAGATCGCAGGCGAGGATCCTACATCACCGGGGACAAAGCCCCAATACTTCCGTTACCTGACGCTGATGGCGTTCCACACATACTTGAGTGAGGGTGTAGACGCCTCGGTGATCGAGTGCGGTATCGGAGGACAATACGATTGCACCAATGTGATTGAGAAGCCCAAAGCGACCGCAATTACCAGTCTCGGAATTGACCATACTGCAATGCTCGGGACCACAATTGAACAGATCGCGTGGCATAAGGGTGGTATCATCAAGTCGGGTGTGAGGGGATTCGCCGCTCCTCAGCCCCCGAGTGCGGAAGAAGTATTGGCCAAGCGGGCTGAAGAAAAGTCCACAAACCTGGACATTATTGCAGATCATCCTGATCTCCGCCCTGGCACTAGCCAAGTCAAGCTCGGATTGGCAGGTGACTTCCAGTATACCAATGCATCTTTGGCAGTTGCAACAGCGGCAGAGGTCTTGAGAAAGACTGGAGTCGCCGACATCTCTGAAAATGTCATGTCGGAACCCCTGCCAGCCAAGTTTACGACTGGCTTGGAGAAGACACGCCTGGGTGGCCGCTGTGAGACTCGATTCGAGAAGAATGTTTCATGGTATATTGACGGTGGACACACGCTGGAAAGTATTCGACTGGCCGGCCAGTGGTTTGCCTCCCGAATCCAAGCGGACTCGTCCTCCAACGACATTGCCACAAAGAAGCCCCGAATCTTGATCTTCAATCAACAAACCCGCGACAGCACTGCTCTAGCACGCGCTCTCCACGAGACTCTGGCCGCAGCACTGGGCGCCGAAGTCCCCTTCACACATGCTATTTTCTGTACCAACATTACCTACAAACAAGCCGGCTACCGACCCGACTTGGTCAGCATGAACACCAACGCAGATGACATCGAACGTCTCAGCGTGCAGAAGTCTCTCGCCGAGGCCTGGAACTCGATTGACCCCCATGCGCAAACGCAAGTCTTCGGCACGATCGAGGAGGCTGTCGACTTTGCGCGAGAGGTGGCTGCAGAGGAACGCAAGGTCCTTCAGAAGGATGAGGCGCCGGTCATGACATTTGTCACTGGTAGCTTGCACCTTGTTGGTGGATTCCTCGATGTGGTCGAGACAAAGCCGTTCGTCGAGAAGGCATGATTAGCCGATGGCGGATCATAAGGCTTGAGAATGATTGAATTTATCTGACGGGCGGCCTGGAGCTTCGTGCCTATTCTGGTTCTTGTATCAACACTTGCCATCTGGTTCAATACATCGAGGTGGTTAAATAGAGGTGTTTGTGGATTTCAACAATCGAGATTCCTATATAATAGAAAATATTTATAACGGAAATGTGTTATGGCTTATGTAGTAACTAACTATGGAAGATTCTGTGCGGGGTGAGAATGGCCATGCTGATTCCAAGGTTATTGACTGAGGCCGACACTAGTCGGAATTAGAAACGCACAACACTAGTAGTTAGATCACTTAAAGCATCGTAAGCGATTAGAACGAGCCCCTCTTTAGATACAGTGTAGAAGGGCCACGTTAAGTGGCTTTCATTGAGACGAGAGAGAATGCTGTCATGTCTTCTCATAATCAACTGCCGACATTAGCATGAATTGACTTTAATTCATCGGCGTAAGATTTGTAGATTTAACCTAAACAAGTTTATTTCAGCTTTATAAAAACACAGTAGTATAAGATAGACCCTGATTATCGCCAATTATTATTTCCGAGAAATTACCGCTTCGGCCGAAAGTTCGTTTCCCCGGCTTTGGGAGTTCGGGAGTTCGGGCAAGATACCCCAAATGTCACGACACAAACCGATTCGTAAGAATACCTTTACGTTAATCTAGTAACTGGAAGAGAAAATCTTTTATATTTTCAGCAGCATTTGGATATAAGTTTGGTAGATAAAATGCTCTAGATGATGTTCGGCAGCGGTTCTTTTGAATCCAGCAAGATATCATTCAATTTATTATCGGCAGCGCGTTTCATAATCCCGATGCCAGAATACCTCCGAAATTAGTTTGCACCGAAATACCGAATTTTTAATCGGGCGCATTTTAACTAGCTAACCCGACGAGGAAATATTCTTAGGCTTGAACTCTCGTATGTTTCAAATTCTCAAAACACACTAGCTCACTACTTGTCTCTTCATCCCTTCGTCGAATATTTCAAGGTTCCTCAGTCTACGATCACCTACCTATCTATCTAAAGTTCATCCTATAAAGTTTTCAGGTACTTGCCCTCGCAATAAGTCATTCTGTCAAAATCTCTAATAAGCTGCAGTCACTACAATCACTTTATTTTCCGAGTCTCCGCTTTTGAGCCGGGCCGATACGATGATCATAACTCGCGGATTTTCCCTGACAAACTTTGTGATAGCAAGCTCAGCTTTTTGCTTTCAAGTTTTTGTCCTGTACCCTTGGCATCACCAATTGGATGATGAATTCAAACAACTGAAGGCCGATCATCTCCGGCTATTGCAGGAGGGCGAGAAGAACCGATTGGAGGAGTTAAGGAGCATTCGCGAGCAACTTGGCCTCCTGACCACCAAGAAGGATTAATGGGCCCAACTTTGAAATCTGCTTTTAGCATGTTCTCGGGCAGGAGCATCCAGCTCTGGAGATGATGCACAGTATTCTCTGTATTCTAAACCCGTAGTATAGACCTATATTACCTCGATTGAATATCGCTCGATATTTGAAGTATATATTCTATATATTCAAATTTGATCTCCCATTTCAGTTACTTGGGCTCGAATATGCTGGTAGTGTTATGATAGATGCGCTCTCCAGCGGTGAGTGTTGGTATATGCCCATGAATAAATTAAACCCCGAGCATAGAAGTTCATCGGCAAGCCCTGGAGATTAGACAGTTTCGAGAAAGAGATTCTAATTGCAACCATTTCCAAGGTTGAAAAAAAAGGAAAAATTATTGCCTATTTTCTGTACATCCAATATCATTCCGAGCTCCCATACCTCCAGAAGGCCAGAAAAGCCATTTGGAGGTTGGGCAGATGATTGTGAAAGAAAAGTATGCCTTTTTTGGCCGGCACAATTATAGCAAAGTCATTTTTCTCACGTTCTCGCCCAAGAAGACTTTTCACCAGTGTATTGATTCCTCCAATCAGCGGTACTTTGTCTATGCCTTTTTTCTAGCTGCTGTTGCTTAAGTAGCAATAAAGCCCTCCCTCGTGTTTCCTACTGTAAAGTTTGTTAAGCCCCGAGGTTTCTCCGTTCAATTCCCCCGCAAATTCGCCCGATAATCTAACCGAGAACCCTCACCCCAACTACTTCCTATTGACATTAACTAAATCGTGCATGCTTCACTTCGATTGATACGCTGCCAATCAAAGTAATTATATTTTGCACAAAATCCCCGGATCGACGTCCATTTGCTCTAAATGGCGAGGCCACGAGCATGTGACGCATGCTCCCTTCGCAAAGTCCGGTGCACAGGGTCACTACCTTGTCCGAATTGTTCAAAGGCCGGGTTCAAATGTTCCTTTGCAAAGACTCCAGGAAAATCGGGACCAAAGGGGCCTCGTATTGCAACTCGGGCTCGTGTGAGTGCGCAGTTGCAAAGCCTGGGCAATAAAAGAAACACTGCCCCATCTCCTTGCCCGTCACCCTCTACGCCAAATGAGGGTACCGATTGGAGAAGCAGGGGCTTTTCGAATTCACCTTTATCATCATCCAATTCACTACATAAGACATGGAAGTTCGCCTTCTCGATACACGATGTGTTTGCTTATCTCGAGATATACACGCAAAAAATGTATCCAGTATGGCCGGTCATTGACAGTGCCAAGCTGAGTTGCGCCATCAGTGCAGATGAAAATGACCACGAAGCATGTGCGTTAGCTTTCGCAGTATGTGCTGGAACGGGCGCACAATTGCAACTCAAGTCGACCACGCGAGAATGGAACGCATTCAATCTCCCAGTGGAAATGAGTCCAATCGCCCTGGCGGACAGATTTGCTGCCGAGGCTGAAAAATGTCGGTCCAGATATGACTATCGCGAAAGCTCAACTACCGAGTCTATTTTGATTCCTCTATTTCTTCATTTCTACTACGGAGCAAAGGAGAAGAGGCTGACGGCTTCCTTCTTATTACGCGAATCCGTGTCGCTGTGCCAGATACATGCCTTGGATAAAGAAGAAACCTATCAACGTTTAGACTTTTCAGAGGAAAGCTACAGACGCCGTACATTCTGGCTTTTGTATGTGACTGAGAGAGGAAACGCAATGCAGCATGGAACACCAATATGTCTCACAAAATCCATTTCCCTCCCCTCAAATGACACTCAAGGTTCGCAGGTATTGGAGGCTTTTCACAGTTTGGTTCAACTATTTGCCTCTGTTGATGGCGTACTGGTGGATTCTGAAGCGGCTGCTGAGAAGCTTGATAATCGATGCAGTAGAGAAAGACTTGTTCGAATACAGCATGAATTACGACGAAACGATCAATGGCCCATGGAGTGGAATGAAACCCAAAGGAGCGATGTTTCAGTTACGCAACAATGGCTGAGAATGCTTGTTTGGCAACTTTCTCTCAGCAATGTCACCATGTCAAGCGAGCCAGGAGACGATAGCATGTCATTTGCTTACCCAGCTCATGTATCAATAGATGCGCTACGATCCATATCAACTGTTTCTTTCGATGCATTAGTTGCACACGGCCCGGGAATGGTAAGTATCAGAAACAACAACAAAATTATAGTGCCAAGTTCGTTGGGTGGTAACTAACTTCGCTATAGCAAGTAAAAATATGCGACATCACTAATACTCTTCTTGACGTAATGACATGTGTGCATTCACTACCACCGGATATGTTCATTCAAACGCGTCAAATTCTTCACCAATTTTGCTGCTACCTTGCAAAGTTAAATGGAAGCCAGGAGGGCTTGGTCCAGATCCGAAAGAGATTGATCGAGTCAAATTTGATACTTGAGCCAGTCCTCGAGCTCCGAGAAATATCTGAATTGCACCATGATGAAGATGAATTGGTCAATGATAAGGAACATATCTCTCGTAATGGGGAAAGCAGTTTTTACTAGATGATATCAACTTAAGCAGAAATGCTTTATTCGCCCTTGTACACCACAAAAGCCTCGAACGGCCTCAGCGTGATAGCTTCTCCTTGGATATCTGTGACCTGAAGCTCTTTATAGTTGCCCACCAGGAGATTTCCAGTAGCGAAAACCGATTTTATATCTGCTGGAATACTCCATTTCACATTTTTCTCAGAGAAATTTGACACTACCACAGCTTTGCTCTCCTCAAAGGACCTAGCATAGACGAAAAGATCGTCGTTGCTCTCATCAATAAGGGTATATGATCCATAAACAAAAAGATCAACCCACGTCTTTCGAAGTTTCAAAATATCTGCCCAGTAGTTGAAGATACTGCTCGGATCAGAGACTTGAGATGACGCGTTCCAATTTTCATAGTCATCATTGGTATCAATCCAAGGCTCGGTACTGCCGGAGGAGAAATCGGCGAACTTTCCTGGTCCCCACTGCATTGGAAGGCGCCCGTTGTCTCGAGACTTGAGGCGCATCTCTTTCATAGTTTGGCCATGGAGCTTTGTATCTCCGGGAGTTCTTTGAGTAATCTCATTCCAGAAATTGATAGCTTCGAGATCTCTGAGCTTCTCAACCTTCCAAGTCTCAGGCAAATTGGTCATTCCAATTTCCTGTCCCTGGTAAATGAAGGGAGTTCCACTCTGGAGTCCCAGGAATGTGGCCAGCATTTTCCCAGAAAGGGAGCGGAATTCGGGCTTTTCAGAGCCAAACCGAGAAATGCTACGCCCCTGGTCGTGGTTCTCCAAATACAGAGCATTCCATCCGTTATTGTCGTACATAAATGATTGCCACTTGCTGACGACGGACTTCAAGTTTTTCAACTGGAAGTTTCCGGGAGAAAATTTACCTTGAGGCCCATGGTCGAGGTCCATAATCTCGAATTGGAATGCCATACCGAGCTCCTGTCTTTCGAACTCGACTGCTTTCAAAATCTCCTTGGGATCGTAGACAGAAGGCATCTCGCCCACAGAAAAGGCATCATATTCCTTCAAAATGCTCCCTAGCTCTTGTAGGTACTCATGAATTCTTGGTCCACAGGCGTAGTACTTTGCACCCTCTGGGTATGGCTTAGATGGATCAGTAACGGGGACGTCGGGGAAACGCTGGTCTTTGCTGATGAAGTTGATGACATCTAATCTGAATCCGCTGGCACCCTTGTCGAGCCAATAGCGCATGATTTTGTGAACAGCTTCACGAACCTTTGGGTTCTCCCAATTGAGATCAGGCTGCTCTGAAGCAAAAAGATGGAGGTAGTATTCCTCTGTTTGCTCATCATACGTCCAAGCAGGTCCTAGAATAAATTGTTGGTGATCAGGGACCCGGAAACAGTAGGGCCTCATGAGAAGGAAGAACAAGACAAACCTGAGAAGTAAGAGCCCCAATTATTTGGTGGATGTCGGACGCCATCCGCGGTGTATCTTGGCTTTTTCCAGATATACCAATCACGAAATTGGCTCGTTTTCGAAGTTCGCGATTGTTTGAACCACTCGTGCTAATTTAACGATTAGGAGGGGGTTTCTCGGTGAAAGAATTCAAGCTTGGAGACTTACTTGATCGGATGTATGATTCACGACAAGATCCATAACATATTTCATGCCGCGAGCCCGAATGCCTTTGATGAGCATCTCAACATCCTCCAAGGTTCCATATGGGGGATGGATTGCGTAATAGTCGGAGACATCATACCCCATATCCACCTGAGGGGATTGGGAAATGGGGGAAAGCCAGACTATGTCAACGCCTAGTGCTTTGATATAGTCAAGCTTTGATATGATACCCTGAATATCGCCAATCCCATCCCCATTTGAATCCTTGAAGGAAGCGGGATAAATTTGATAAACGGAAGATTCTTTCCACCAAGCTCTCCCGCTCGCCAGTTGAGGCTGGGAGCGGGTTTGAACTTGTGTCTCGGTGGCACTCATGTCAAGCGTCAGAATTGGGTTATAATTTCTTAGAGAATCGAGTTCAAGTACGCCATGGCTTGAGAACAGAAGTCAACAATTTATAACAATGCCGGGTTGCACATGCGGGCGATGTCTCAGAGCCCAAGCCCCGAGATTTCCCCCGACTATTTCCCCGATAATCAATTGCACGCGGCGGGGAACCCGGTTCGAAATTGGATAGTATTCAACTTTAATCTTCTGGGTTTCCGACAATGCGGGGAGGGGTCAAATTAATAGTATCACCGAGAATTCCCCCGATGATCTGGCCGAGAATTTCCCCACTTCGAATAGCCCCAACCCCAACATCTGGGTCGACCCCGGAAAACTGGGGAGGGTCAAGCCTAGCGAAACGCTAATGAGGTGCCTGCGTACGACTGATCTTAGTTTCCTGGCTTGGACACGCCGATACCCCATCAATGCTTTACTTTCACCCCAGACGTTTTGGATATAGGCCAGCCGCAATCGCGTGTATATAAAGCGCTCCATGGATTCTACAAATCTCTTCGGCGTCAGCTACTAGTACATATTAGTACTAAGCATCTCATATTTTCCAGACCTTTTGATTTATTTTTCTTTCTGCCTTATTGGACACCATGGTTGCAAATACAGTCGTGACAACCTCCGGCACGGATGCATACAATTCACTCTCAAACAATACCCATGAGCAGTGGACCAAGGATGCCGGTCTTCTTCGTCTGAACTTGGGCGTTGGGTTGATGTTTACATCGGCTGCTGCAAATGGGTATGATGGGAGCTTGATGAATGGTCTACTGGCCTTACCATTATGTGTGTCTCTGCAAATATCCTGCTTTCAAAGCTCCTGCTGACCCTTCTACAGTCTTGAAGGACCTTGGCGACATCGATTCGAATGTGGAAGGACTCATCATCGCTGGCGTTTCTCTCGGTGGCACACCGAGCTTCATCCCCGCATCGTACTTTGCAGATGCCTTTGGGCGAAAGAAGTGTGTTGCCCTCGGTTCGACAATAATGGTATGTGCCTCAGTCATCCAGGCCGCTACAAACGGGCATTGGGCATTTTTTGGAACGCGTCTCATGATGGGTGTTGGATTGGGATTTGCACAAACAGCAGCTCCTCCTCTAACTACAGAGATTGCTCATCCGCGTCATCGTGGTACGATCACGGCTATATTCCAATCCACTTGGTACTGTGGTGCGGTACTGTCTGCGATCATCACCCTTGCAACCCTATACCTTTCTAGCTCTTGGTCATGGAGAATTCCATGCTTAATGCAGGCTTTCTTTCCCCTTCTCCAACTATTTGGACTGCTTGTTGTCCCGGAAAGCCCGCGTTGGCTTATATCCAAAGGACGACGAGAGGAGGCCTTGGAGATACTGGCTCGTTACCACGCGAATGGTGATCACGCCGATGAGCTCGTTTTGTTTGAATATCGCGAGATATGTGAAGCCATTGACCACGAGAATTCGATAGCGGAGAAAAGTGGATGGTCGGCATTCTTCGCTACCCGTGGTGCTATTCATCGCCTGATGATATGTGTTCTGGTTGGCTTTATGATCCAATGGGCTGGCAATGGTATGCTAACAGTCGGCATAATGCGACACTCCACAAACAAAGAGTATTGCTAAATTTCTGAGTAGGAATTGTTTCCTATTATCTCGCACCGATTCTCAAGACCGTCGGAATCACAAGTTCAAGTCAACAAGCAGGAATTAATCTTGCATTACAGGCCTGGAATGGCCTGTCTGCACTGGGCGGTGCTTTTGCAACGGAGAAGTTTGGCCGTAGGCCACTGTGGCTGTTATCGACTGCCATGATGTTCGTCTTTTTCGGTCTGGTCACAGCTTTGTCCGGAATATTTGCGGAAAAACACATTAAGGCTGCCGGTAGCGCTTCCGTGGCGATGCTATTTCTGTTCTTTGGCTCTTATGCTTTGGCCTATACTCCTCTCTCCATCGCATACCCGGTGGAAATTCTGCCGTACCACCTGCGAGCCAAAGGATTGTCTCTCTGCTTGACTGTGGTATTTGCTGCCGGATTCTTTAACCAATATGTCAACCCAATCGCCTTTGCTGCCCTTGCCTGGAAGTTCTATTTTGTTTATGTGGCTTGCCTCGCTGTGTTTATCTTCATCATCTACTTCTTGTTTCCCGAGACGAAAGGTCGCACCCTGGAGGAAATAGCTGTTGTCTTTGATGGTGCTTCTGCGCAGACAACGTCGGGGTTCTACGAGAAACAGGTACTCCCCGATAAGGCGAAATCGCCCAGCACGACAGAGATAGAGCACGTGGCTTGAGATTTGGCTATCAGTATATGTGTTTTGGAAAATGCGAAAGGGTCGTATACAGTTTCAAAGTACAACCAAATGTTAAAAAGTCGTGGGACTATCAAACATCCAGGGAAGCCATAACAGAAAACTCTGTACTGCCTCAGTTCCTCAGGCGGATAACTAATGCCTGTGTCGTGGGGAATACGAAGAGAGTGTTAGTTTTCGAACGCACGAAGAACCGCAATGCCAGCGGCTGAAAATTGCGCGACATTATTGTGTCCTATTCAACGTTAGTGCGAGAGCCTCGACGCCGGAAATATAGGGTACAACATACCGCCATATAGAACACGCTCCCACCTGACTGTCTTTACCGCATCTTTACCATTCTTTCCAGCCACTTTGTTCGCCCAAACCTTCACCTCCTTACTCCGACCCGCTTCAATATTCTCGTGGATCAGAGCCCCGGGGGCATTTGCAGTATCCTCCCCGGTAGCGGCAGCCCAGACACGTCGACCCTCATACCATGGAATTTCAAAATCGTTCAGAGCATGCACCACGGTAAGGTCAAGATCCTTGTGAGAGTATTCCAAGCCGGATGCATCGGGGTGAACAGAGCCAATACCCGTGAGTCGGGCAACTCTTGCTGCAGTATCCCAGTAGTCCACGACATGGCTCATAACCCATTTTTGGAAGCGAGGATAGCCAACTAGTGGCGATAGCATGGGAGGAGTGAGACCTTTGATACTATATGATTGGATCAGATTCGGCAGGCTGCTGAAAGATGCTATTAAGATGACACCCGCAAAGGGTTCGGCATCTTTGATAGCTGGTTGGATAGCATTTGGGTCAGGGGACCCGAATGCGAATCTTTCGGCCACCGCCGCAGTGACGGCGGTGCCTAGGCTCTGCCCTGCAATCACAATCTGAGACGGGGAAATTTTGTAAGGACCAGCTGTGAGATAGTTCAGAAGCGAGACAGCGTCGGTGATGACGCCCTCCTCCGTCGGGCTCCCGGTCGAAATCCCAAAGCCGCGGTAATCGATGCCAAAGACATGGACGGGATTAGATGGAGTGGAAAGGGCCAACATAGAGCTATATATCTGAGGCCGCGAGGCGGACGCAAGATGAGCAGCATTTCCGTGAACTATGATGTCAGTTAGTTCATGATTACTCTCAGAAACCTCTCAAATGTCTCTTCTTAACGTACAATAGACCACCACTCGAGCATTCGGATCGTTGGCCAATAGTTTGAATGCAGCTGTTTGCGTATAGTCCGCAGCGGGGCCAGAAGGAGGGTTCTCGGAAAGCTCCTTCTCATGATGGTAGCAAAGATGAAGAGGCAACAGATGCCAACCATATAAGGTCTCGTTATCTGGAGTCTTCAGATTGAATGGCTGGACCTGGGTATCTAGGAGAAGTTAACAACTGCTCTCCGTCGGGTACATCTATGAAGGCATACTGAGGAAACCGAATTGTTCGACCTGGTTCACATCCTGCCACAGAGTCGGATTGATCTTGTTGGCGTAAAGGAAACTGTTTATATGTCAGCGCAAAGTATCCGCACAGCCAAAGAGTATCGTATCAGTACAGTCGTTGGACTTGGGTATATGTCAAAGAGTAGATGAAAAGCACATAGACCAGCCCGCCGGCCGCGAGAGACCAATAAGCCTTTCTGAATATAGGCTTTAGTTCGACCATTGCTGTCAATTTCCCTATTTCACTAGGGAGTTGAGGAGGAGTAAGTCAGGGTACCCCAAGCGATGCGGTTGATGCGGCCCGCGGAGTTGCTGATAAGCCGCGACTTTATCGCGTCACGCTTTTCCTCCCTTCCACCTCACTCCCACTCCCACTCCCAGCTACCACTACCACCACTACCACCTCCACTTCCTGCTCCTTTCCCTTCACAGGCTCCTGCATCTTCTTTTCGGCCTTGGATGGACTAGTCTCAATGGCCGAGAAGCGCAAGTTGCCACCGCGCGGCGGGCGCGAGCCCGCGGCCAAACGACGAGTCTCCGAAGCCGTCACAGCAACACCCCAGTCGCAAAAGAAAAGGGCGCCGACGCCTCGCGCTCCATCTCCACCTCCACCGCCACCGGAGCCAGTCGAACCGCCATTGCCTACAAAAGTGAAGGATGCGGAAGTCTTGCCGGTCACGCGCGTGCGCCAACCTGACACCTTATCGGACAAGGAGTATCAATCCATCGCAGAAAGGTTAGAGCCCGGGATCGCACAATTCATATTAAACCCCGGAAGACTAACATTAGCCCATAAAACACAGCGGTGTTCTTCTCATATCCTTGGAACGATCAAAGAAGAAGTGGCTTAGCGAAGGAATCTTGGTGAGATACTACACGAAACCGAAGAAGACGAAACGTGAACAAATCGAGAAGAACAACCCCCCGAAAGAATCCATGACCAGAATTGGGCCCTGCGATGTCACCATCGGACCCCATCTATTTGACGCGATGATATATACCGTGAAAGACCCCACTGCACCGCCGCAGATCCAATATGCACCTCCGCAGCGGCCCATGGTCCATTATGGACACCCAAACTCATTCCAACAATACCAACCATATCCAAATCAACAAAAACGTCCCCCCTACCCTTCCACTCCGACTGGTCGACCTGCGCAAGGATATCCGGGAAACCACCAACCGCCTAGTCAGCAACGTGGCCCACAACCTCCCCCAAATCAACCGGGACCGCGGCCTCCACAGACACAAAATGGCCAGCCCGGGCAACCCGCAAAGCCAAGTCCAGATCCTGTCATTCAGATGCTTGCTACTAGGGCGGCAGCAGATCCTGAACTCAAGGCTCTGATGCGAGTGGTCGCTTCCAGCCAGGCTTCACAGGACCAACTACGCGCTTTCCAGGCTCACATCGATGAGCTCAATGCGATTATCAAGGCGAGAGAGCAGCAGGAACAAAGACAGCAAGGTTCGATTGGTACGCAAGGACGACCGCAAGCGGCAGCGGCGCAACCGGCAACGCCCGCTACACCCGCATCTCAAAACAAGCCTACCCCAGCGCTGCCCAACTCCCAACCCAAGCCTGCTGCGGAAGCAAATGCACTACCTCAGGCACAAACACCCAAACCACAACCACCTGCTCCATCCCAAACTCCGTCGAAAGAGTCCCAGCAAATACCCTCTGCCTCCAAAGCACCAGTGCCGATCACCACAACTACACCCAAGCCTGCATCCGAAGGGACACCGCAGGCTAGTACCGAGCCCCAGAAACCAGACCAACATGAAAATGCCCAAGCCGCCAATGCTTCCCAAGCCCCAGCTGCCACACCTGTGGTGAAACAAGAACCGGTTGCAACGGGATCGAGTAATCTTCAAGCTACCCCTGCGGGGTCAGCACAACCACCGCCTGCAGCATCTACTACTCCATCTGTTACCCAAACCCCGACCCCCAGTTCTGCTTTGGTAGGGACACCTCAACAACAAACCCCCACAGCTCGCCCTCAACCTCCTGCAAACTACCAGCAACCGCCACGTGCGGGACCGCCATACCCACCCCATCAACAGACGCCGTACACTCCCGGTGGAGCCCAGGCCGCTCTTCAGTCACGGCCGCCTCAATATGGATCGCCCACGCCTTATTATCGTCCACCAGGACCACCCCCGCCCCCGGCGCGCGTTGGTTATAAGTCTGTCGTGTTTGAGTTCACATCGCCCTTGACTCCCTACGGAAGCAGTACCTCAGGTCACGCTGGATCTGGTGATCGCTATCTCTTCCCGGAACATACAATTCTTGATTGGCTTCCAAATGAATGCACCGTTCTAGCTTCCTTCCTAGTTGTTCGCAAGGTTGATCCCAACACACCTTTCCCTATCGAATCTGCAACAGACAACACGACGAGCCGCAGCAAAGGAAAAGGGGCATCCAAGTCCAAGTCCAAGAAGAAGATAGAGATCGACAAAGATTCCAAAGACGTCCCTGGAACCCCGGCCCCTGCGGACACACCTCAGAAGCAAGAGCCCTCTGACACGCCGGATGTCAAAGCCCATGGCGCCTCAGCGGCGGATACCTCCGGTACCCCCAAACAGCCCGCTGTGAACGAAGCGAACCTCAAAGAATACTGGCAGCCAGTAACCTTCCGCATTCATGCTCCCAATCCCAAGATCCTCGAGCCACTGACTCGCGTTGTCAAACCGGCGGAGGAGGTGCGCAAGTACATGAACGAAATCATGGACCGGGCGGAGCGCGCTCCGGATGGATTCCCTGCGTTGCGTTTGCCGCGTGAAGAGGCGCGTGAGGCATTCGAGTCAGAAGGCACCCCAGCTTCGGGTACCAATAGTGCTGCCGGTCGCAGTCGCCCTTCGCGGGCGGCCCCTATCAAGACCGCAGAAGAGGAATCGGAAGTTGAAAATCCCGCGGAGGCCGAGGAGGAAGAGGATCTTTTGGACTTCTACGGTGCGCCTAGTGGGCTTCCTCCTCTGCGTGTCTAATCTGGTAGAAATTGGCAGATCAAGTTCGACTGACCAACTGTATTTTATATCTACGAGCATGAAGTTATACGACCCATACATTCCTGCTTAATCGGGCATTAACCTCTTCCGGCATCTCTACGGGTTAAACGAAACACACTGAGTATGATGAGTATAGGATATTAGTGTTCAAAGAATTTCGCCTGTACCTAGGTAGCAAACAAAAAAAGCGCCCAATTCTGTCTGGACACCCAAGTTAGTTACTAGTTACTAACCAACTATGACGCCGATTACTGGTGGTTACCACTAGATAGACGGCATCTACCCATCATGCTGTCCATGATCCGTAATAATTCCCGCCGTCTCCAACAACCACCTAGCACTCTCCTTAGCCGAATCGCCACCCCCAGCCTTGATATTAACATTTCTCCTCCGCTCCGCCTCTCTAGCCTCGAATTCCCAGTTCGCACGCTGCAACTTCACTGCATCATCCTCAACACCTAATCCGTGTTGGTTCTCTGGACCTGGCACAACACCCCAAATTTCAAGGGTATAGATATCGATCTTGACCCTTGTCGCAGACTCATTCGGCGAAGCCGTGGTACATGGCAAGAAAACACCCTCGTGTCCGACGGGTTCAGTGCAAAATTCCGCTGTTTCGAGATTCACGTCTATGAGGAGGCTGCCCGCGCCGTGCGGTTTGGGAACTGTGTGGGTCGTGCGTGAGGACGGCGGGATTTGGCAGCCCAGGGCGATGCCGGAAGTTGTTGAGAACCAGGCTGCGGGGGTGTTTGGTTGTTTTTCTATGGATGGGGAGGGGTTTCCTGGTAGGACTTTGTGTTTGGGGGATAGTTGGAAGAGGCATGGAAGAGGAGTGGAGGATGAAGATGAGGATGATGAACCGTGCGAAGAAGGCGATTTCCAAGGGTGGGGGATGTAAGCGCCCAGTGTTATTAGGTCTTTCTCCGAGTCTGAGTCTTCGGGGGCCCCTTGTAGAAGGAGGAGAGAGGGTGATTGCCAGGTCATGACGTTGTGTGAAAAAGAGGTCAGTGAAGAGCCGTGTGCTGCTGTTGAGAACACCGGATGTAGGCGGACACCGCTGCGGAATAGATCGATTGAGGGGGATGACGCTGGTAGGAAGAAGGAGATGTGAGATATGAGGGTTGAGTTGAGAATAGATGACTCGAAACTTCCTGGTAGCATGATTGAAGTTGGTGGATGTGTCTCTTCGGCCTTTTCACTTGTTTGTTGCTCAATGATAGCGTTGCTGTTTCGTTTTTGCGAGAGATTTAGATTTCTGCTAAAGAGCATATGTTCGAATAGCGGTGTCAGGGGATCGAAGAGGTATGGCAAAGATGAGGATATCGTGCGAGCAAATGCTCTGTATGAGATACCACCATCGTTTTCTTCTGGCGAAAATGCCGATATGACCCAATCTGCCTCTTTCTGGATTTCGGCTATCTTCTCATTGCTGAGATCAGACGTGTAGGTCTTGACAGACTCTAAAGACTTCAAGGGCGAAATAACGAGTAGCAGCATTAGAAGTCGACGGAACGTATCAAGCGAGATGCTTGTCTCATAGACTGTCCGATCCACCCGGTGATCATGTTTGAACACCTCAATCGCATCAAGTGACTCCAACGCGGCGAGTGCAAGGTCGTCATCTTCGTCTTCATCATAGTCGTCGTTTGCGGGCTCGTCTATTGTAAAACCAGGGGCATGCGAGTTGAGATGTCGAGCGTCAGTCTCTTCTTCTTTTGGCGATTCCTCATCTTCCCTAGGATCTTGCTGCGCAATGGATTTTCTTCCAACATCTGCCAGACTACCGAATAGTAGTTTAATCCGGTCCTTTCGCCCTCTTCGCAGTGCCTTGCCATAACGCTCCGTCAGCAACACAACCACTTTCACCATCGCTTCAAACGTCAAAACGCTCGGGGCGAGGGTATTTTGGAACGGGAATGCTCCCAAATACGAAACCATGCGGAAGATGACTGGTCCCGCATCTAAGGGGTTTTCATGGGCTGCCGCAAAGCTGCCATCTGGGATACCAAGGAAATCAGAGAGTGTCTTCTCATTCCAGTATCGGAGGCCCCCTTGCTCTGCAGCACGGGGGTAAAAGTTGTCTTTGAAATGGGTGAGCTCTAGTGGGGTGAAGCATTTCGTTGCAAACCGCTCCGCAAGCACGTAGCTTAGCTCCTCTATTAAAAGGGTCAGATAATGTCTGGTAAGATGCGCGGGAGAGAGGAGACAGTATGGGCAGTTGGTAGTGTACAAGCATAACCAAAGTAGTACCACCAAATATGACATTTAGCCGGGGGATGGGGGAATCAACCATACTAACCTGGAGACGCTCCGCTATACTCGCTCGACTGGCCCGCGCCCATTGTTGCGGAGGATGCAAAAGCGGGGGAGTGAATCAACTGCCTCGACGTAGTTGATAAGCTGCAGCTTAACCCTGGGAAAGAAGCGACGGGGCTAATTCAAAAAGCGAAAAGGATGTGAACAACCGAAGAAGACCCCCAAACAAGTCAGGACGCGAAGGGAAAGTGGAGAGTGGAGAGAGGAACGACGTTTCAGATGACGACGTCAGATACCATGTGTGCCTGATTTGTAAGGTGTCGATACATTCTAGACTTGTCTGAATGACAATGCACGATGGACACATTTCTCGCTGATTACGAAGAGTTCTTGTTTGCAAGTTTATTTTGGATTTAATTTGAATATTTTGGATTTTTTGGATTTTTTTTTAAGAAATTGATAGCTCCATTTTCCGGATTATCTCAATATCCATCGCGAATGGAGAGTGAAGTAGAGTTGCTAATACTTTTAGCCTACAACATGACGACACCAACTCCACCCATTTGCTTCTCATCGGGGAGATTCTTCTCGTTGATTCCACCGGGAACAGGGGCACACCGGTAGTTGTACAGGTAAAAGTGAAGCTGTCCGTCACCGGCGCCGAACTTGAGCTGCTCAAGGAACAGCGGGTTATCTTGCAGGGTGAGAGCGTTGAAGACATCGAACTTGGCCTAAAAATGAAGTTAGAGGGAAAGGGCTTTTAATACAGATACTTCTGGGGCGCTGGGCCAGTTCTTACCTGCTTAGCACAAATGAGGGCATCATTCATCAAGACGAGCAGACGGTCCTTCAGGGCCTTCTGGTCACCAGTAAAACCAGTCTCGGTCGCATAGTAATAGAGGTATGCGGCACGGACCTTGTCGTGCTTCGGGTTGTCAATCACAGTAGACTCCAGGTTGTAAAAGGAAACGAAGTCGGTGATCTTGTGAGTCTGCGGGTCCTCAACAACATAAGACCACACGACTTGGTCCTTGCCGGGCTCCTCCTTGTAGACCAACCAGTGCTCGATCTCCTCGCGGTTGAAAGCTTGGTTCATATCGTAGCGGAGCAGGTAACGCTCCAGCAAGTCGAAGACAGCGTCTATATCCTTGACCTCCATCGGTCGCAGGCCAGGGGTAGCGGTGTGAGCAGGCAGGTGGTTCTTGGTGACTTGACGAGCCTTGGTCGAGCCGTGAGGAAGAGGCGAGAAACCGCATTCATAGAGCTTCAACCAATCCAACGAACGGTGATAGTAGCGGCATGAGCTGACAGGGGTAGGCAGGATAACACCGCCAGTGTAGATGGCCTGGAAGATTCCCTTGACGTAGCAGCGACGGGTAATCTCCTTAATCAGGACAGGGGCAAGACGCTTTGAACGTAGCTTCTTGTGGATGCACAGGAAGTTGATCTCCGTCACCTTGAGTCGCTGGCCGCGAACACGAATATGGGTAGGGACACCGCAGATCGAGGCGACCAGCTTGCGCGACTTGGTGGCACGAACACCGACGTGCCACTCCTTCTGCCAACCGGGGGACATGAGGGCCCTATACCATATTGTAATTTGCAATGGTCAGCTAAAGTCCGATGCGGAGAGGTTAAGGGGGTTGGGGTTGGATTATCGTACCAGTGCAAGAAGGACTGCGAATAGGCGAAGCGGAACATGGCATTGTCATCTTCAACATAATGGTTATTCAATAGCTCGTACAGCTCCTGCAGTTCGGTAGGATCGGTCAAGTCCAGAGTACACCACTCGAAACCCTCGATAAGGTTGTCCGGGGTCTTGGAGACTTGGTCTGGGTCAATTCTTTTGATTGGGCCCTGCTCAATGGGCTTCTTGCTGGCATTGTCACCAAAATTAGGGACGGGTTGGGTCTGCCAGAACTTGTATGAGGCCATGTCCTTCTGGTTCTTTCCACCCACCGAGAGTCCCGTCAGCAATTGTGAGATATCCATCTGGGTCAGGGCTTGCGCAGCCTTTGCGGGGTCCATCGATGCAAGCTCGGCCTTGAGAGCAGGGTTCATTTCGAGAGCAGCTTCGACGGCCTTGCGGGGTACATTCTTCGATCCGGAGGAAGGGTTATCGGAGGAGTCTGCGTCATTTGGAATCAGTCTTGGTTGTTGTGAGGTCGCGCTGCACAACCGGGGGAGGGGACATACTCTCGCCCTCACTGGGGTTCTGGGGGGGCTTTGCCCTTGCCCTTGCCCTTGCCCTGGGAGTCCGACATGTCCAATGATGATTATGTGTAGGGGTTGTTGACGAAGGTGAGTGAGAAAGAAGGAGGATTTCGTTTGGGCCCCACGTTTAACCGCATGAAACGCGGATCGGTGGGGGGCGGGGTTGCTTTCTGCTGACTTCTCCCGAGGGTAGGAAATGCACGAGTATGGACGTGTATACACATTTATAAACACCTTGGACTACTTTCTTGTTACGGCCTAGAAAGCAAAATCAATTGTTCGATAACTGAAAGTGAGTCTGATAGATACCTGGTTCAACTTGACATCTCTTATAGTATCTACCATACAACATTGCAGGAAGTGCGTATCACGTGTTAGTTATTCAACAATACTACAATGTTTATCTTTCAAGGAATATTAAACTGTTGAGAAATTTGAATGAGATTGCTGTTTTTTTTTTGAGAGATACAAACATAATTCTACTGCAAGGAGGACTATCTATGGTCATACTTCACTCAACTGCCAAAACAGCGACAGCCCAAGGCGGCATCGTGACATTATAGTTGCCTTGTCCTTGCTCAATTTCAGCATGTTCAGTTTTCACATTGACCGAATATGGCTGATTTCCCTCATAGCGAGATCCTGAAAGCATTTCCAACTTTCCAGATGTGGTTTTCGGGATCTTCACAGTGACATTTTGCTCATTAGATCCGTAGTTGGCCAATTTAACATAGTATTGAGTATCCGCCTTTGTGGCCACCCAGTACAATGGGCCAAATTCAGCCGACGATTTGACAGGGAGGACGGTATCCCCTTTGTTTGATGCAAACATCTGTTGGACGAAGTATGATGTTGAGGGTGTGATTGATTCTGGGCTCGAGTTGAAGCCGTACATGGTTGGCTAGATCAAAATTCAAGGTCAGATATAAAGTGCATTCAAGTCTTTCAAGGAGACTATCCTTACCGACCAGGTATCAAATTCAAAATGTTCTAGCATGGGTGCATAAGCTGCCATTTTCACAATGTCGCTATTTCTCTCCATGCCCATCATATACACTGCCTCGCTGCAAGTGCCCTGCATGAATGACCAATATGTCCCTTTGGCACTTGAGGTATTACGACAACCATATTCACCGACCATGACAGGCTGATCTCGAGGCTGGTTATCGAATTGATCGAATAAGGCGACAAAATCATTCGGCTTGCGGTACAAATGCAGATCCAGAATGACGCCTTTGGGAACCGGTGATGGGAGACATGACAACTCCCCGTTTGATGCAATTATTGTCAAGTGCGGATATTTCTCATGGACAGCTTTGTATATCTGATTGAAGCGGTTTGGATACGTGTCGCATCCGCCCGTGAGATCATCTTCATTTCCGATTTCCAAATAGTCGATCTTCCAAGGCTCCTTGCGGCCGTTTTCAGCTCGCACTTTTCCAAGAGTGGTATTTGAGTCCCCAACGAGATATTCGAGTTCGTTCATGATATCTTCAACATATGGATGAAGCTCTGACCCTGAAATGATTTCGCCGTACGACTTTCCGGCCCAGACAGCCAGAACTGGCGACATCTTCATATCTTCGCACCACCAGAGGTACTCATCCAATCCAAGTGCGTCTGTATTTGGATAAAACCAGTCACTTTCTCTCCCTGGTCGTTCGACAGGTGGACCAATTGTTGTGTTCCATTTCCAACGGGTTTCAACTTGGAGGCCTTCAAGGTTATTACCTCCCGGAAATCGAAGGAATGTTAAATTGGTTTTGCCAAGTACGGTCGCAAGATCATCTCGGAGCCCATTCTCTCTCTCATGATAAGTTGGTGGGAAAAGCTCTATGTATCCGAAATTTAACGAAGTGCCAGCAACCTTTGACCCGTCGAAGGTGAGGTGCCACTCATTTTCTCCATCAGGAGATTGAGTCGAGTTGAAAGATGTATGAAACTGGTGGAAGTGAGAAGCCGTGCTGTTAACGGTCAAATTATGATCGGCATAAACCGTCCCGCTGTGTGACCCAACAAGCTGTAGATTAATTATTCCCGAGTATTCGCCCATCATCCAGAACGAGCTGTTGTAGGTGCTGTTTGATACTGGGACTCCATTGTACCCCGTATTTGCGAATCCAAAATATCCAGAGGAATTTTTAGGTACATCCACACGCAACGAGGATTTGATAGCCCCACTGACAGGCTTTGACGTGTCGCGAGATATGGTGACATTGCCTACGGGCGCATAGGAAGTCATTCCTAGACTTGACCCTTGAAAGCCATTGTTCTGAAGCAGCTGCCCATGTATACCTCCGTCGCCTGGAAGGAAACTGTCAATATATTTTGTAAAAGTGTCCTTTTTGCCTGATAAGTACCTGAATGGTCCATCTCCTATTTTGATGAATTAGTTACTAGAGCTTTGAGCAGGAAGGGGGATTAAGAACGACCTCGAACATTATTCCGTACAACAATGGACTGGACTTGTTTCCGCCATCTCTTGATACTTCTAAGGTTACCAGCTCAGATATGGAGTTATCTGCAACGGCCTTTGTGAATATACATGTTGCTGCGATCAATATCGCATTCTTCAAGCTTGGAGGCATGAGATCTGCAGCAGAGACCAGGAACTGAGCAGATGGTAAGTTAAAATGGACTTATAGGAAATCTGCCGATTTATGAATTTAAAGCCTGGATAATGATGCTGTTCGGCAATATTTGAGAGGAAGAAGAAAAAAAAGGATGATATTTCATCTACCCTGCTTTAAGGTGGGTTTTGAGTGATCGTTGGTCTTAATAAAGTAGGCCAATGGGTGGAACAGCGTTGGCACATGTCTGGATGATCAACGCTTTCGGAAAGCTTGATCAGGGCCCTTAGGTTGTTATTCGCTAGACCCTGAGCTTTCGATTTGTCATGACACAATACTCGGGTGCCTGGTGGGCGAAATTGATGTCGTGGCGCCCTTCCCGAGAGTCATGACGTCGAGGACAGATTATCCCACCTTGGATTTCGCCTTTGTGATCAGGGGTGCTAATTGATCCAGCCTAGATAAAATTCGAAACGGATGCCTTGATCTGAGAATATCAAATAATATTGATGTAATTTCAGAACTTCAATAGCGCCTCCGGTTCGGGTGATTGGTATTCAACAAGGCGCGTCGGCCCGGGCCTGTTTGTCTTCGGAGGCCACACAGTTCTAGGAAGCCTGCTTTTCGAACGGCCTCCAATGTAGAAGAAAGAAGAGAGACTAGCAAGTCTATGAAAACTATTAATTATAGCATATGTCTCGGCTCGAGCTTTGTGGCGTTTCTATCAAATTTCCTGGCCTTTGCTGCAATAAATAACGCTTGTCGGCATTTTGAGTCAAAACTTCGAACAAGGCCTTCTCGTTGGAACTTGGCAGAAGAATAACCATTTTTTTGCATCCTGAAATTGATCCGGCATTAAATACCAAGTTTACAGATTCCCTAGTGCAATCAAGTGGCGCGGATCAATTAGGTTCGAGGTGAGTGTTCCTCTCAAGTCCTTGGCTGGGGATCAAGGACTTGACCAATTTTGAGGACGAGGTCTATCTGAAATGTGCTAAAGTACTTTTCAGCTAATCATCCTGATTCTGGAGTCAGACATGCTAGATAGAAAAGTGAATTTCCAAACATTCTTTGGGCAGCTACAGTCAAGACCAGGAGGCGTCGCTAACGATCCCGTGTCACCTTCCACCACCCTCATCAGAACCCTTGACCAATAATATCCAAGCCCTTGATATGTGCGTATTATCGCTAGAAGTTTAGTTTGTGCTACCTTCAATTCATTTAGCGCCGACGTTATCCGCGGTGAATGTAGCGACCTAGAGGGCTAGAACCCGAGTCTACTACCGTCTTTTCTAGTCTTTATCAGTAGCGATGGTAATGAGATTGAAAGTCATGTACAATCGGCATCTGATTGAAAGCAGCTACAGAAATCATGCAATGGAGCTCTTAAAGAACCAAATGGGGTTCAATGTATTCCGCGCGCGACAACCCTAGGCCCTGGGGCCAGCCTTGCCCCACCGCCATCTCTCTCTCTTTGACATCTGATACTAACCCTGCTGATGATTTCATTTCGTCGGAAAATTGAATATGATCTACACCCATATCAAATGTGGAGATGTAGAAATTAGAGTTGAATGAACAATTCCTTGGTTCAACTCTGAGTCGACTTCACCATGAGCTGACACATTGCCCTCGCACCATGTTGAACTGCTTGCCTTTAGAAGCGGATGCCAGCGTATGATTCCAGTTGTCAACTGTCGCTGGACTCAAAACCCTCCTTCAATCAGTCTTCCAGTTGCCCCGCGAGAAAATTGCGTGATGAAAACAACCACCGAAATCGAGTCTGTGTCAAAATCGGGAGCCAATGGCGAGATTAAGGGCACATTGGAGGTAATTAAGTGTGATAGCGACTTGATTAAGTTTGCTTATGGCCTGACTTGGGATGCACAGACTGGCGGGAAGCGCCGGCCGAGCAGTAGGTTTGTTTTAAATTTTCCACATACAACGTACAACACTTAGATTCAACTTCGTTTGACTATTAGATGAATTTTTCGATCATAAAATTATCAAGTCCTAGCCCTTCAAGCTATATTTCGAATGAAGCCAGAATCACAAACCAGCTCGCTGGGCCGATGCATTCTTCATTTATTCGATGCCGATGTGCCACCCTGTGAAGTGATCCGATCGGGGGCTGCTGACCTGGAGATGTATCTGGAGCTCTGAAAGAATGCACTAGTGTGAACTTATTCTTTTCGGGCAGTTTGCCTGCTTCCGAGAAGCAGATTGGTTACACAAATCTACTTGTAGGATAGCTGGGTGTCGAACTACCCCACAACGATAATTTCAATATGGTCGACGGTCATACCAGTACCATGCATCAAGGACCAGGTTCCCCTGCAGAGAGTAACATCTTATCCTGTGGATAACCACGGCCCTGTAATCAGGCGTAATATGCGGAATGTAACTGTAGAACAAACGGCAAACCGCTCAGTGTCGTAACTGAGACATCTGCAGTCACGATAGTCTAAATGAAGAAGAAAGACAGCACATAGCATTTTCGTGTGTTTCTCGGCCTTCATTTCTGCCTCGTTCAGTCAGCACTTCCTAAGACATTCCCACCGATTACAGCGTAAGAGGGTTACAATGCAACAGGTGGCTGAATGCGACCGCAGTCACGGAACGCCAACATGATGTTTACCCAGAGCTACTTTCGATTCGAGTGGCAACTACGTTCTTGCAACGGTATTACAAGCTCACTTTGGCTTGTTTTAAGCCACTATGCTATCACACGAACTCATATCCCTGTGATCTATCCGGGAGAGAATATAAATACTCGTGGTCACAACCAGGCAGAATTCATCCTTCCAAGCCAATAATCTAAAGACTCACACTCGCTAATCAATCATTCTTGAAGAGAATCCATTTTCTTGAAAACAAGGACAAAAATGCCCGCATTGTACTCGAAGATTTTCGTTTGGGGCCTGGGCCTTGCATCTTTAAGCACCGCCGCTCCACTGGAAAATACCGTTCCTGCATCCGACGTCTCGATACAGGACAAGCTTCAAATGGATCCCGCTTGTAAGTCAAAAAGTCTAGACAAAATTCATGAGACTGATATCGAAAACAAAAAGGCGACCTTTTTTATGAGGTGCAAAGCGGTGACACCTGCTGGGACATAATTAACCGAAACGAAAATAATTTCACCATTAAACAGCTTCTTTGCTGGAACCCAGATATCAACTCGCGCTGCACGAACCTCATCCCCGGCCGGGATATCTGCGTGGGGGTTGCTTACCCCACTGTGTGCTAGGAGACTCTGCAGCTATTAACCCACATACGAGGGGGGTTTTTGACAAGGAGCACGCACGTTGGCAAACTGCTTGGAACTAATGTTTCTGCGTTAATGATGTGTAATCTCGGAGGCTTCTTTGGGGCTGATCGAGTATCATCGTTCATTGCGATTGCTTGAAAGTATCTAATTCATCTATTTGAGGTGAATCTTGGTTCCCCCCCAAGAATCCTCCAAAAGCTTCCTCATCGTAAGCGGCTGGACGTCGGGAAAGAGGGTATTCAGTCGGTTCTCCTTGGGCAATTCAAAGACTCCGTTCACTGTAAGACGGCTGACTAGAGCAGTGGCCTCTGTAATCTCCTCTTGTGAGTAACCCAAATCGCTCGGCATGGGCGGGTTGGTGACATTTCCCGCTGCGACCTGGTCGACGCTGTCGTAGGTCACCAGGAATTTTTCTCCTGTTCGATGACCTGATTAGTATACATCCGGGACATGGAAATGCTCCTTCCAAGATCATAATAAGGATATCGCTCACCAAGAATTTTCTCGACAATCGCCAAAATTTGGTTGTAGGTGATTTGATCACCAACAACAATGCTGAACTCAGGCCACTCGTCAAGATCAAGGGCTTTAATCAAGTACCGAGCCATGTCGTATGTGTATGTCATACATATCACATCATTCCCGTCTCCAGGGATGGCAGCTATGCGGCTCGAAATGTCAATACCGAACCTGTATGGCTGAAGATTGGTTTTGACATGTGGCATTCCCCAGTAGTCCATGAAGAAACCAGGGATGACCCGGGTGTACTGGAGCGAGCTACTTTTCAATCTATTTGCTGCATCAAGCCAGAATTGAATACTAGGATCGATCGGAAGAAGGCTGTTGGAACGGATACGGCGATTAGTACACCTAGATACCCATGTTAGGCGTTCGACTCACTCGGCCGTTTGGATGAATGAATATTCGCTAGGAATAAATCGCTCCGTTACTTTGGATTTGTCTGCAGCTTCTATGAGATTCATTTGAGAATTGCTGGTTTCCTCAGAGGTAAGACCGATTGCAGAGATGATGGTATGAATATTGTGGTGCTCAAGTTGTCTTGTAAGTGCAGGGACATCATTGTAATCAATTTGCACATATAAGCCCGGGGTGCCTGTCGCAGGCTTCTCTTTCGATTCCTTCTGGTTCATCAGCAAACATACAATTGAAATTGTTCGTAACGATCACTCACACTGCGCGACAACACAATGACACGAAACTTGGATTGTTGTTCAAGGGTCTCGACGAGAGTTTTACCCACACCTCCGGTACCCCCGGCTACTGCGACAGTAGTCATAACGCCAAAGCTCAATGTATATCAGAGATGAAATGTAGTTTAATCAATCGCGTGACGATGGAGTGTTGTAGCCTGCCTGATTGACTGGTGTTGTTGAAAGATGCAAGTTGGGTGAATTCTCCACGCTCTTGAAGCCCCGCTTATAAGCGGTCGGAGGCCCAATCGAGCAGCACCAAGAGTGAATTCGATGTGGAATATCTAGGATCTACCTATTCAAAATGTCGTGTATAGTAGCTCACATATTTCTGTCAGATGTCCAAGTTTGTAACTTCTAACCAAACTTGAAATAAACAAATGCCCGGCCTTGTCGGGCTTTCGGGCTTCACTCCAAATCGCTCGGCCATTTTCAGCCGAAGACACCGCCCGGCCCTCCGTAAATTGTGTATTTCGGCTTGTTCTGCACAGTGCAACACAGACTCGCACAGCACATCATTTGTCTGAGAATGATTGCAAGCACCAGGTATTCCCGAAAATTGCCCAGGTGATATTGGTCAATTTCGATTTTAGCAATTCTTGAAGCAGTCCAATAATATATTCAAGTTCTAGTAGTAATACCTAAGTATTGCCAGTACAGATGGTCGCCGACCAAGCGTCAAGTTACAAATTCGCTGTTCGCTCCGGGCGTGAATGACTAATACCCCGCGCGCCGCAAAAAAGTATATAAAACCAGCCACCCGCGAACCTGAAAGAACTTGAACCCGTCCAACACAAATCAGAACCTACATACTTCGAGTCCGACTCCAAGTTCCTAAAAGCATATCTGAAAACACAAACCGCCCATCATGTGCATGAAAGCTCAGTGTTCTACCTGCAGTAAGTCATATCCTGGATCTCGGCTGTGGCATTCATTCATTTGCTGATCGTATCAGACAAAAGCACCTGGTGGGGCTGTGGAAGCCACATTCCCTCAGTAATGGACTCGATTCCCGAGACTGAGTGGTGCTCCTGTGAGCCTCAGGTTGAGAGAGAGGGAAAGAAATACCCTCCTAAGGCCGCACAGATGGCATGACTACAAGGCTGTTCGATCTTTTGAGATTCAAATTCTGCGTTCTGCGTGCGGGTGACTCGGGGTGATGTGGTTGCATGGCACGGCGGTTGGTATTTCGGCGCTGTGGGGGTGAAGAGTTTCTGTGGGTTGCTAGAAGAGTTCTCGGTTTAACTGAATTCATCTTTTGTTTCATCTATCGTGTCTATTCAAGTAGGCCTGGGAATCGCCTGGACTGTAACCCGTTGCAGTAGATACTGTAAAAATGTAAAGCAGTCAATATCACGTATAAACCTTCATTTATGTTCGTTCCTATACATGTTCCACTGCAACGCTGGAACCTTTAAGTTCTTTCTCATCTCCTGTCTGATCTGAGATAAGGTAGCCGTGAGCCTTGATCTCAGCGGCCATCAAACGGGCCTGCTTGACTGGGTCGCCACCACGAGAGAAAATCAGGTCCACATCCTCGAGGCGCAAGTTTCCGGTCTCCGGGTAGAAGAAATAAACGACAGGAATGAAAAGGAAGTTCGTAATCATGAAGATCAGATACGCCTTCCATTGAATACGGTTAATGATAACCGGCGTGATCATGACCACGGTGAAGTTCCACAGCCAGTTGGAGCTGATACCGACAGCTGTGCCCTTGGTGCGGGCCTCGAGGGGTAGGATCTCCGGTACATACACCCATGGTACGGAGTTAATCGACATGCCGTGGATAAGCATAAAGAGGAAGAAGAATGATACCGATGCGGAGGCGTAGGTCGTTCCGTTGGGTTTATCAACTTGTGACAACAGTGCCGCAACCATCATCATGCAAACACCCAAACCAAAAGAGCCAATCATCATGGTGCGACGACGGCCCATGCGATCGAGCATGAATGCTGGAAGAAGAGAACCAAGCATGAACATTATTTGAATGCACCCACCGAGGATTTGGGACAGTTGGCTGTCAAGGCCAACGTTTCGCTTCAGAACAGCTGTTGGAAGAGTTTAGTCAGTTCTAAAAATCGGAATCGGAATTTGACGAGAGGAGTGGATCGGAGACTCACTCGGCACGAAATATACCACCAAGTTGATCCCGCCAACCTGATTCATGAGCTGCATGCCCCATGCAAGAAGAACTCGCTGGCCGGTTTTAACTTCATCGTTGCGGAAGATTGACCAGAAAGGCTTTTTGGTCGCGTTACTCTCCAGCTCGATGGCAGAGATAATGGCTCGGCGCTCGTTGACGATGTATTCTTCATACTCTTGTTTATCATAGACAGCACAAAGAACCTCTATGGCCTCCTTTTCTTGGCCATGATTCATGAGCCAGCGAGGCGACTCGGGCAGACCGAATACTAAAACGATGACGAAAATCGCAAAGATGATTTGCATGGCGATAGGAAGCCGCCAGGCAATGGGGCCTCCAACAAAAGACATGCCAAAGTCGAACCAGTACGCCACAACAATGCCTACGGCAACGAAGAGAACCTCGGAAGCGATGAGACGACCGCGCGTTTTTCCGTCACACATCTCGGCTTGGTACCTGAAAACAAGCGGTCAGTATCACATAGATCATTTGAGGTCAAGAAAGGGGCTTACATCGGGACAGTCGATGTTTTCAGGCCGGTTCCGGCTCCTGTTACCAATCGGCCGATGATGAGATGAGGTACCGTGAAAGCAGTGGTTTGCAAAACAGCACCGACAATTACCACGCCCATTGCCAACCAAATCGTCTTCCGGCGGCCGAGATATTCACCAATGAAGAAACTGACTACGCATCATGGTCAGTGGATGTTCAATCCTCGATTCAGGGTCACTAACTTAAGCATCCCACCAAGCATCCCAGGTTATAGCAGCTGACGATAATGCCCTCCTCGGAGTCATTGGGATAACCAAACTGCTTCATCCAATCCTCATTGCCAACAATTCCACTGAAAACTCCTTGGTCATAACCAAATCTGCACGACACGCCACTCAGCATACGACACTCGATCCTGCAATCACCTCGCAAGGATTGAGCGTGGTATGGTGAGTGGAAGTAAGTCAGCAAGATACTCAACGCGAGTGGCCATTGATAAGTTATAACACATACAGAATGAAGGCAGCCAAGCAGCAAGCAGTGACAGCCACTTGAAGGGAGCGACCCCTTCCGTACCAAGAACGCATGGTAAAATAGTTTGCAATCAGATCAAGTGTAGTCTTTGCAAAGCCAGATAGATTCTTAAGCGGGATCCGCTCAATTATAAGCGACTGTGCCTGCTTAGGTAGAGTGTCGTTCGCGCTTCGATCCCTGGTGTCCTGAGCCAGCATGCATCATTCCCGGCGATGAGGTTGTGGCGCAAGCCAATGAGTGCCATGGAGACAGGGTCCACGGCGGGCCTTCTCATGCGGAATCTGGAATCTGGGGTCGGGCGCTGCCATTCGCACGGAATCTGGGCGAGAGTGACTACGCAGAGGAGGCGATAGGGTCCACCTCGACGGGGGCAACCGCTGCATTTGGCAACTCACGCGCAGCTGCCGAGCTCGGCTCTCGCTGGTGGTGGTTACGGCTACCAAGTTGGAAGAGGAGAGGATGAGGGTTAACCATTTTCCGGGCGGCTAAACTGCCATGTACAAAAGCTATCTTGATTAGGAAGCTGGAACCACTCAGAATGGTTGTTGACTACGAAAGTATAACGCGCGTAAACACGGATCCACAACTTACAGGTTGAACTTGAGTGAAAAGCACTCAAGAAATAATCAAAGTGGAACTTGAATCACAATGTTGTTTGGAGCAAATTTCATAACCAAAGAAAACATCGCAACTAATTTACGACGCAGACACCGAAAACCAACATCTAAATCGAACTGAAACCAAAGGGACAATTCCTAAACCAGGAATTTCGTAGCCCTCCATTCGGCGTTTCCTAGAGGAGATCTGTTAGCTATAGCTGAATGAAATAAAACCATATGTGGGGTGCTTTACCTCCTAGTCCAATCGCTGTTCGCCCTGCTGTTCGTGATGCTGCTGTTCGTGTATTTCACCATCCTGGGCTCCGGATTGGACCATTTCGTTTTGATCAGGCTGCCCTATTTTCGACTGGATACGGCAGAATTCGCCCTTCTCCATGGGCACGAAGCTGATGAATCTCCGGATATCAACATGGTACTCCCTAGGGAACTATGCAAAGTTTAGCTCCCGCAATGGGAGATGGATATCAATTTAGAACGCTCAACTGACATTGACACATTTTTTGTGCTTCCTTCTACAGTCCTTGCACGCTGTGGGGACACGGCCAAGACGGGGAGGGACTTGAGGTTGTGGCTCACAGGAGGCATCGCTTGTCGCCATTTTAAAAAAGCACCTCATGCACGGAATACCGTCTTGACTAAGAAGGCATGTAGTACATGTATTGGCGATGGTATCAGGAGTCTCAGTGCCTAACTCGGCGGCATATCCCGAGCTACTAGCGTAGGAGTCGGTAGGGGTCTGGAAGTAACCACTTCCGCTGTAAATCGGTGCCATTAGAAAATCAGGAACTTGCTGGATAGTAGTAGACGATTGAATAATACAATCTTGCTCTCTAGTTTATCTGGCTCATGCAACTCATTTTATAAGTCGAGGATATCCATATGTACGCCTTCAGGTAGGACAATATTGAATGTGCCAAACTTGGTCACAAAGAAGCGTAACGGATAGGATACAAAGTCTATTGGACATTCATTCTCGTCATTCCCGTTCTCAGTTCGAATCAAAACTTCTTCGCTCACTCGACAAAGAATTGTGTATCAGAATAATGAATTGTCTTTGTTTCTACCGAGACGGTGATTCGGATTCCGCCGTACATTTTCCTTGGCTCGAATTCATTGTTTACCAAGTACCAGCCCCAACATCATGACTTTCTTCCAGAAATCGTCTTTTTTGACTGGCCGTGAAATCATAATCCATTATTAAATTATCGCATAGTACCTTTTTATAAGTAGCTTTGCAGCGAGGTGGGTAAATTACTAGTATATTAACACGGCGACAGATATAGCATCTCAGCTATACTCACTTGGAATGATACCAACCAAAATACCATGCTCTTCTCTATCAGAGACATAACGGAGTCACAGGGGGAAGAAAAGAAAGAAGGATTCACTGGCATGACTGAGACAAGCTGGTATTCACGCCGTCATTCAACGGGTTGAAGATGTTTCCCAACTTTACTGTGCGAAGCCCATGTCAGAATTAATAAGTCGGAGTTAGTATCCAGAACATCAGAGGTAGATATCTAAAATTTCACGAAATTGTATCTGAGTATCACTGTCCTCTCTGGCCTGATCTGACAAGAGTCTAAGACTATAAATAGGCGCGATGTCTCAGTGATTGCCATTGCGCCAGTCCCAAAGGGGTTTAGCTTGACAATACATCTCAAACAAACCGGTCAACTCGCTCAACTCAACTTTTGCCTTCCCCTCAGCACTCGTCCCTCTCATCACTTCTGCCTTTGCTCTTGCCCTTGCTGTTGCTCTTGCTTCACGTCGCTCGTTTGACCTTGCTTGATTGATTCGCCTAATTGCCATCATCTAAGACCCGCCCAGCCCCTCTCAGCTCCTCCCCAGTCCCGACGAACCCACATTCCCGTGATCTGCAGACCTAAGGGTCCAGACTGGTCAACAGACACTGGGTGACATTTCCCAGCATTCCACCGCGTTCTGGTTCTTTTTATCCTCCTCATAAGGCTCTACGGAACGCCCTTTCGTGGCAAGAAACGCCCCTGAGATACACCGGCTCCTCACAGAGGTGCTCTATCACTTCCCTCGGCGACTCCACTTCATCCGTTTGTGCAAGGGGGGTTTGTTGATACGCCTTTTTTTTTCCGACCACGACCAGGAGATCTGAGTTATCCTCATCTTCAATCCGCCACTCTCCACGACTCCACGACATCGACATCATCTGCCATCACCATGCGGTTTTTTGTATTCAGCGTTTTGTGCACCCTGCTGCTCCTGGGCACTCTGACCTCGGCCTGGTCATGGGACAACGTGGCGGTTGCTAGAGATTCTCTCAACAAGCGCGCAGGTAGCTAACCCCCCCTCGCCCTCATCTGCCATGTTCCTGCTGACCTCCCATTCCAGACCAAACTACCGAAACCTCTGCGACCGAAACAACCTCCTCCACCACTGCCTCCGACACCACCTCCGCGACCAAGACCGGAAAGGACGAGAAGACAACCGACTCCGGCACCACTGACACCAATACCGACACCACAACCGATAGCAAGAGCAATACCAAGACCAAGAGCAAGTCCGACAAGACAACCGCGACTACATCCATCTCGATCAACCCTGCCGCCGGTGCCGGTGGCATCTCGATGATCACCCCGGGCAGTACCTCCACAACCTATTTCCGCATCGGTGAGAATGCGACCTTCGTCTGGAACTACACTTCACTGTCCGTGACGCCCTCGCACGTGAACGTCGTCGCCTCTTGCAGTCTGAACAGTGCCACCTACACTCTCACCCACAACATGACTGTCAAGGAAACAGGAAAGGTCGTGTGGGATACCAACGCAACCCAGACCGTCCCACTTCTTTCCGCGACCTATACCCTGTTCGTTGTCGACTCCGAGAAGGATCTCGATGACACTGCCAGTGCAGGCCACCTGAGCTCCAACATCGGGTACAGCTTTGGCATGTACTTGTCTCAACCTTACACTCCACTAAATCGTAAGTCCCCTAAGTCCCCAATGGAGCCCGCCTAGTGTCACTTCCTCCCTCCCTTCATTTACTAATCTACTACAATCTTCAGAATTCAAATGCGCGACATGCAGTGGAGCGTTGTCAGATGTTCAACGTCAGGGTCTCAAGTTCGCCGTCGGTATGGCTGCCATAACGGTTGTCTCATTTACCTGGTTTGTCGGCGGGTTGGGACTCTTCAATTAATGAGCAAATATACCCCCTAAATGGGGTGGCTGCGATTGATCATTCTCATGGATATATTTGACACAAACGGAGTTCTTCATTGTTTGAAAGCGAAACTGGATATTACGATAATAAGCAAGAAAAATGGCGTTTTCTTTGATATTTGCGGACATAGGTATTTATTGAATCATCTTTTCTGGGTTCTTCTTTTGATTATTTTTATATTATATTATTTTATTTGCACTTGATGTTTTTTTATGTGGCCAGCCGGTTGCTGAAGACCGTCAAAGAGCTTTGGTAATTTGTACTTTCGGATCGGTATTTAGGTACCATGCTTTAATCGATTACATTTTCAAAGACAAACAAAACATCTACGATCCATGAGCTCTTTCAAGTTGAGGCTCATGTCTTAGGGGGAACTGCAGGGCAAGTGAGACATCTACTACTTGTAGATACTGTCTTGGAATAGGTTTTTTGAGGCCACTCCCAGGCTGATTCCATGACTCCCGTGAAGAAGTTCTTAGTATTTTAATCAATTTGAATCAAACACCTAGTGCCAATTCATTTTCAAAGGGGTTTCTCCATTATCTGCCCTGGGGGTTCAGGAGTGCTTACTACTACTCAAATCGCTCATCTAGTACGAGGCCTCGCAATCACAACCCTTCAGATACCCTTGAGTTCTAACAATCTTAAAGTAGAGTTCCAAACTTATTCCACGGTTGTTTGCTACCTAGAAACAGTAGAAGGGAGGGAGCTGTCTCTGAAATTTTCGATTTTAGGTACTTTGCAGCACAATGCAGTGTTTGATGTTGATCCAAAGGGAATTTTCCAATTACACTTTACTTCAAGTTTGACATGCAAACGGATGTCAATGATACCTACCACGGGATGAAGGCCTAGATATATTCCATCTCAACTTGAATGAAAATAAACAATAGGGGCTGCAGCAAAGGCACATTCGGGTTTAGACAGCGGAGGGCAAAGCAATCAACCCTCAGGTTCTGAACAGCAAGGCAAGACTAAATTAAAATCCAAAGGCTCGTATATAAAACCAATTGATTGCCTTCCAACCGGCAATCTAAAGCATTATCCAAACTTGTCTCAATCGCCGGGAGAAAATTTCAGTCTCATAAAACCTCGTGAAACTAGGAAGTACAATTCCTCATACTATAAACAAAACAGAGAATGCCATCAGACCCAGTGCTGGGCTGGATCTGGCCCAAAGATCCACGACCGGGAAATCCATCCCACTGGCCAAAACGTTGGCGTTTCTTCGACGTGCTCCGCAACAAAGGACCAGATATATACGTTGGTGCCATGCGACCCGCAAAAAGTACAATGACCAAAGCAAAAGCCTCGTCGAGAACGAACTGGGCGCGGTGGGAAGAGGAAGAACTGGATCAAAACGAGACGCCTTTCCGCTGGGCCCGACGTGGAGCCGAGAGGTACGATTTTCGCAGGCGGAAGTATTCCGTTCCAGACTATGGGACCTGGAGTCGGGTGGAGTATTGTGATGGGCGGAAGAAGATTGAGGGGAAATGGGTCTTAGGGAAGGAAGAGCGTCATGCTATACCTCGGCGGTTTTGGGATAAGAATGGGGAATTGTATCCGGCGAATGAGTGGCATGATGCTTTTTATGGGGCGCATGAGGACCATAAACGGACTGAGAGAGATAATGGATGTTGTGGGAAGTAAAATTGGTTGTTTCCCTTTTCTCTAGGTACAATGCAGTTGTCTTTGGAGCACTTCAATGAGTCCATGGTAGCTTTCGCGGTTTCTTCTGCATTTTCAAGCGCAGGAGATATGGAGTGCGTCGAATGTGAATATGCGAGGGTCGCTCTGCGATGGTTGGGTTGATTGTACCCTTCGGATAGTAGGCAGTTGTGCGGAATTGTTGGCTAGACGGTTGCACTTTACGCACGTCGTTTGCTTGATGTCTGCATATGAGGATACCATGTCCTGTATAAATGTGAGTGTTCTATCCATAACGTAGAATAGAGTGGTAATCATACCAGTAAAAACGCAAGGTCCCATTTCCTTGTTCTTGAGTTCAGACAATCTTGAATAGCATGTTGAAGTTTTGAAGGGGATCGACCTGGGGGTGGTTGACTGGACACCTGCCATTCAGAGACACCTGGTATACCAAGTTCTTGAAGGCCTTTAATTGAGAAGATCATCCCCGCCTTTGCAAGGACTGCCGACACCGAGAATGGATCCTGTCCCTGGACGACACGCATACCGGGCACGCCCCGCTGAGCAAATCTCTCAACAACGGTTTGCCATTCTCCATCCGAAGATTGCGCCTTGGAGCGCTCGATATGTTCTTGCTCCCGCTCGATTTCTTCTTCTTTCGTCTTTTCGGTCTTGATAAGGTCTTTGAGTAGTACATCGTAGTCCTTTTCCCACATGCCTGTCGGTTGAATGAGGTCGCCATTGGACTCTTTGATACGAGATTCCACGTGGTTCCACACGGACTTCATCTCTGTGCCGCGCCAGAGAGACTGGAAGCTCTCTACTCCAGCTAATCGGGCGCGAGTAGCTTGTTCCAAATCATTGCGTAGCTGAGCTGGCGAATCTGGCGCAGGCTTTTCTGGAACCAGGGGTTCTAGAAGCCCCTCGGGCAGGAATTGACGTAGCTCATGGACCTGGAAGTTGTCAGTTGGTTTGACCAATAAATTATCAGAGGGAAAATGAGCGAATCCCAGCTAAGATGAAAAATGGCGCTGACGGTGGGCGTCGAAACTCACTTTCCGTTCAAGTTCTTGAAGTTTCGCCAGGGATGATACAAGTTGAAGTTCAGACTCCCAATTGATGTGTTGCGCATCACTATTCTCAGAGCCTAGAACTTGGAACTTCTGGTTTGAATGTTCTAATTTAGTCACGTCGCTATTGGGTGCGGAAGTCCCTGCGGCGGGCACCGAAGCAGATGGAGCAGTAGACATGTCGAACAACGAAGATGCGAAGTTGATACGCGGTGGCTGCGGGACTTGTGTTTCTGGGCGCAAGGTGATATGATTTCCAAGCTCGATCCGCCACAAGAATGGAAAGAACGATCACAATATCTAGCTGATGACCAGTACAGCCAACAAAGGGCGAATATCGGGGTAGCCGTTGAGAATTTGTCGGCTATGCGGTGGTCTGTAAAATCAGACCGACTGAGACGTAGGAATGAAGCGGTGATGCAGTCAAGCAAGATGAACGAGCCCAGCTCTCTTTAATCAATCGACTGTGGTTATTGCCAAGTTAAAGTTAATGAAGGAACGAAGCAACGAAGCAACGCGGACGGAGAAGCGGAAGACAAAAACCAGCCACGGTGGCGTCTGCGGTGGCTGAAGGGAACTGTTAACTACACCCCGTTTATATAAAGTTTACACTACATCTAGAGTTACACCTCGGCTGTCCAGGGCATTTATTTAGTCGTGCTAATCCAATTATGAACAATAAAACCAATTTTCCACAACGGGATTTAATAAGTAGTAATAGCATCTCCAAGCAGGAAGCTTAAATTGTAAAAGAAAGGACATAATACCCTGGTTTATCCAGAGTCTTCCAGGTTATGCGCCCATTGAAGATCTAATCAGTCTCGATTTGTTGAATAAAAAGGCCATACGATACGCCTTATGAGCTACTATGCTAACTACCGTCACGACACTTTGGGTCGGAAGCAGAAATTCTTGCCAGTTGTAAAATTTGGAATTTTGATAACCGGGCGGCGTTGAAGGGACCATAAAAATAGAATACCCAAAGGGTTAACTTCTATATAAAATAAAAGTGGAATCAGAATACTCCCTAACCACTGAACTTGCTCAAAGTCAGCCATGCTGCGGTAAACCTACCTCAGAGGCTTCCAAGGTTCTTCATCTCAGATGCAGCCATGACATGATGTCGGTGCGAAACTCGAACTCTCCCGATGCCTTTGAAGCCCGCAACTACGTTTCAACAATCATCCCCCAAAGAGGGTTGAGCTCCAAAAGTAAAATTAAAGCCATAAATATATATCCAAATATAGAACCACATGAGTCCCCCAGGATTTCAACCAGTGGGGAAAATAGTGGACAAAAGATAAGGATCGGAGTTGAACCTCCCACGGCCCTTGCCGAATCCCTGCCTAGGCCAGCGATCTGGGGCGTCGCAACGTTCAGGGAACCCTCCACAATTTAGACAAGACTATCCATTGTAGCGTTCTCAAATCTTACATGCATCATAAGGGAAAAAATGGACTATGATCTTCAATGATTTGATGAATCCTTCGCCCTCCAAATAGCCACCTCGGAAGTCGTTGTCGATTGATGTTCTCGCCATCCAAGCAAAGCCTACAGCTTCCGTGACGTATGTGGAAATTATACTTACGGCGCCCGAGTAAAAGATTATTCGAAATCCTTTTTTGTTGCGCCCAGGGTACTGGGATCCTGGATGATTGGACACGCGGATGCCCGCCCCTGCAGGTCGCAAGGCTAAAGGAGCGCTACAGTCCAACTTCTATGATGGTGGCTGGTCTACAACTTCTGTGACAGGATCTGGAAATGAAAGGATCTCAAGGTTGCGGATTTGAATAGTATTTGTGGTCGGGGTTGTCCTTATTGTGTCTATTTTTGGAATCCTCTCGGCCGAGGTCCGGCCCGAAGGTGATGAAGCTCAATCCGCATCACGATATGTAGTTCACAGTTTCAAGTTCATAGTGATTTGTTCGGCAGTACTCCATAGCTAGCACTCCAGCTAAACAATGGAGATTAAACTGAGAGCCCTTGGCCCCGAAGATGTATTTTCGGAGTTGATTATGCCTCCCCCTCCTCTAATGATATACTGGATTGGGGTTTGGTGTTGTTGGCTGGGAATCCCTTCCTATTGGCTCCCGAAAAATTGGGTAGACTAAATCCTGATAATGTAAAAGGGGACAATCCAAGTACTAGTCCGATCCTTCGATCAGTCAACAATAGGATGGAACGTTTTCGCGTGCTTCATAGAATATGATCGGGCGTTGTTAAAGCAAAAGCCCATCGGCACAAAGCGACGCTGATTACCGCCGGAGAATGTCCTCTGGCTAAGAAAATCATGGCATTGAAAAAGTTGAAGGGCTACGAAGATTGGTTCACGTAATCTGTTTTGGTCCGAGATTTCTGCGAAACAACTTTCCACCGGTCGTGCTTTATTTTGTGAATATTCACAGTGTGAAAAGTGGCGAACTTTGTCATCAACTAACTCGGAGATTGTTGAGCACAGTCCATATGGGTCGAACCAGGGCGTACCCGCCGACAACACTGAGCCTTTTAGTGCAATTCATCCCGTGCCGCACTGGCCTTCCTGGCTTGGAATAGACCCTTCCATTTTAAATAGGAATAGGTGGGGGCCATCAGCACCTTCTTTGGACGGAGCGGGAGTTCATAAGATTGCATACGATGCAAGCAGGTGCCTGCATGTGCTTTAGACCGGTGAAGGCAATTTGCTCAGAACGAAGAATCAACGCGAGATAAACATAGCAGTGAAGAGTCGTATCAAGTTCCAAGGATATACTGACTGACGATCTTCCAAATCCTTCCAAATCATTTCACAACGACCTGGCCCAAAACTCCCGAAGAGCTTGAACCCCCCACCAATACCAATCCCCCCACTTGTACTCCGTACACCCAATCGCAATGTTTTTTTCGTATATGCATTTCAAATTCTTGAGACTTTTGGTTGGCCGGAAACTCTACCCCATACTATCTTACATCTCCTTCACATGTACTACGTATGAATTACGGACTATGTACATCAAGTTTATTGCAAGTCGATAACAAAGATGCATGAAGGAGTCGAAGTATTCCGCCCGCATTACCCCAAGCGCAGCACACTACATGGAAAAAAAATATACAATACACTGTATATGGTGTTCTATGGGGAAAGACTTCATGATCTAGTGCAATACTTGATGTCCATTGCCAGGTACGGGGTAGGCCTATGACGTTGAGCACAGAATGATTCAAAATTACAAAGAAAGAGACAGGCGAGATTAGGGAACAGCCAAAATTAGTGAACAGTGTTGCATCCGAATGAAAATGCGGAATGATGGCGACGTGGGGGCTGGGTTGGGACCGCAGCGGGAAGAAGCGAACTCTGAGTGGGCCCGAGCACTTGGGTGGCATGGGAAGCGAGAGCCTCTGATGATCATGCTGGGGCATCTTAGGGCGAGTGGTCGGACAGGAGATCGCAGGGGGAAAGTGGTTTATTCTGTCGATCACCTCGAACAAGGGAATAGTTTGTTCTGCCATTCGCTACACAAATACTAGTGGTCCCGAGTATTCAAGAACCTGCGCGCTTCTAACTCAATGAGGCTATCAAGGCATTGATCGTGACTCGAAGTGGGCCAAGATGATCAATGCCCGCTCCTCATCCGAGCCGTCACAGCTCCGCTTGAGTGGTTCATTTTCAACAAAGGTGATGGTTGGTTGGCCTTCGATCCGCTCAAGATATCCACTTTTTCACACTGGTCAGGGGTCAGGGCTGGTAGCAACGAGATTTACAAGCCCGGACCTATTCATCAACCTCACCGCAACGGCTTGCCATGTGCAGGACATTCTTGACATTAGCTGTTTAAGTTGGTTTTTTGCGGGGGGTTTGATTCGTCCTTATTCCGCCCCCACCAACACCAACCCTACTAAGTCCTAGGGCAACCCTCGTCTCTGTTTCTCATTAGGGGTCGGAGACTTTTGATGAAGAGGCTTGCCATTCTCTCTTGCACTGATTCGCCGATCTATCCGGTAACTTTCTCACTTCGGAGCCTTTTTGGGAAGTCTACGGAGCAATGAAAAATAACATTGAGAAAAAAAAAATGGAAAAAACCCCCGAAAATGGAAAACCAACACTCCAGCTGCTTCTTCGACTGGTTTAAACCTGAAACCCTAAAGCAGTGCTGAAGGTCTGCCCCTTCAACTGCTGTGGTTGCGCCATGCCAGTGGCATCTAGAACTATCAAACCGCCAGTCGGTTGAGAGCCGCGGAGAGTTTGTAGACTCAAAATACATATATTATTGCAATTTGAACATACGAAAATTTGTCTTCTTCTCTCTGTATGTGTGAATAACTTACGGGATTTTCACCTGTCAGTTCACAACTTGACATTGGTGGTGGGGTCGTAAGCTCATGAAGCTGGGGCCGGATGGGGACGATCAGCATGGCACTCAGGATACCCAACTGGCACTCAGTGATTTTCTACGGTCGTTTCAGGTATTTTTATTTTTATCTCTAGTCGAACGCGTATAATTCAAATTATCCTTAATTCATTTCCGCCGATCTCAACTTGAATGATTCACGCCAGAACATTTATAGAGACCATTCCCCGCAAGATTCGCCTCTTGAATTTGCAACACGCACCTCATCCCGCAACAATAACTCACTACTAGTTGACCCATCCTGCCGAGTCTCCTTTTCAGTCCCACCTCCTCCATCTCTTGCACCATATAAGATCTCACATTCCAGTCGCCTGATTCCTTGGGGGTTCGCAACCAAAGTCATGTCGATTACCTGCAGCATGTCAGAATACAACTTTCCATTCACAACCCCCGTGGAGCCATACATAGACCCACACTACGTCTCATCCAGCCCGGCACCTACCATGAACGGCTCTTCTCCTTCTCTCATGGACATCAACCGTCCTACCTATCAGGCCTTTCCCCCTTCTCCTTCCTCTTCAACTGGATCCAACCGTGTGAGCAAAGCGAAAAAGGGCAAGCGTGTACATGAGTGCGAGTTTCCCGGTTGCAGCAAGGTAAGTCACAATAAGCAACATCGGACAAAAAGGCATTGGCAATCTCCGTGCTAACATGAAAGCAGATTTTCACGAGAGCTGAGCATCGCCGGAGGCATGAGCTGAGCCATAAAAACAAGAAGTTCTACGCATGCACGTTTGAAGGTTGCTCAAAGGCGTTCCATCGTTCTGACTACCTCGCTCAGCATCTGTCGAGACAGTATGTATATCGACTATTTTACTGAATAAAAGAATCCGATAGCTGACCAAACAGCAGTGATACTCACTCGTCAGTGGTTAGAAGACCATCTGCCCGTTGCAACTCGGTTTCACCCCCCCTCTCAATATCAAACTGGATCTTCTGGATCTTCCGTGCCACCTATCTTCCAGTCTATTGAGGAAAACACCCAAATCGAACCAAAGAGCACTCCAGGGTCCCCTTTAGCTGCCTGCTCAAACTGCTTTAGCTGCCAGAGCGGCAGTGGACCTTGCACAAATAACCAGCCCATGTATTCCTACTCTAATACGAGCCAGGAACCTCTCTCAAGTGCTCCTCTTATTTCTCCACAATGTGTGACCTCGCAAATGCCCGCCGGTTTCGAGACTATAATCGATCAGTACATGCGCAGCGTTCTCAGGCCCGATGCTTTCCTTGCATCTTCCCAATCGATTCCACCGCAATCATCAGGCACGATTAGTCCTTCCTACTGGTCACCAAGCATTGACCCACAATTGCCTCCTTTGCATTCGATGGTACGTGACAAAAGTGATGCTTCCGGAAAGAGAAAGCAGAATAAGTTCCCAGCTGACTCTTCTCTAGGTGTTTGAAAATTCCACCTCTTACCCATGGACTTCTGGTGCTGAAAGCTTCCCACTGCCGCCTCCAGTCCAGTCGATAATGGATGTGGCAGATACTAGCAACACACGGTATTCAAGGAGCTCATGAATCATCATTATGCTGGTATATCTTTATTTTGTTCTTCTCCTATTCTTGCTTCTTGTCTTTATATTTTACCCCATTGTTTCGGGTTTTTCTTTTCTTCCTCTCGTTTTATGGATGATTCATGTCGAATGACCAGGCTAGTACTCTATACCATTTTATACCATAGGAGTTAGTTATGAATTACTACAAGCTTCAAGTTACTAGTACTATTACGTTTCTTCGTCAAGTTGAGCAAATAAAATTTTTCTCTCTAATCGATTTCATACTACGCACTTCTATTTTGCTAGAGATATCTTATTGTTTACAACAGGGATGTGACTGCGAATGCGAATGCGACGGCCGATTTTTTTTTGAACGTTGGTCTAAGAATGTAACGGTCAGACCACGAGCTTATTGGGGGCCATACATACTACTTGATGTATTCAAGAGGTTGCTCCTATTGGCCATTTATTTTATCATCAGTTCTCAGAATCTAGTTTTAGCCTGCTTGAACCCATTTGGGAAAAAAGAGAGAAATTAAGATCTGATTTAACCGTGCGGCATTTTGCAGATTATGGAGTTAGTTGTCTGCATAAGTCTGATTTCAATTTTGATTAATGTTGAGCGATCAAACCATGCCCAGGAATGTAGATCTACCCAGAATTAGGCGAGCAAGTGCGAATTTGGCTAAAAATAATATAGGCTCCATGCTGAAACGCCGGCGCCATATGCAGATCCACCGTTCCGCGGAAGCCGCCCGCATATCTGAAAACCAGCGAAGATCTGGAGGTGGCAGCGACTGTCTAGGAAATAGTTTAGTTGTAGTTGGTAAAATGATGCTAACATCAATGTTGTGTTTATTTCTCATTACATGTAGGTATAATTTCCATAGGTGAAGACATACTACTACATATGCAGTAGTACTTCTCGATGGCATCATGATCGTTTCAGCCATCCTGATCCCGGTGAAACTCGTTCGCGACTCTCCCCACCGGCAAATGCGACTTCAAAAAATATCTAAATATAGTAGGGCCAAAAAAATCGCCATCTGGCTGGATTCGACCGGTTTTTCAAAATAATCAACTTCTCACAACGCTTGCTGCTACCGAATCTCCACCCTGGGGCCATCATAAATGTGGCGTGCCCGTGCGACATAGTAGATCAAACTGAGGAGTATCACGCCCACGGTCCCAACAACGCTAAAGTTCATTGAGTCGACAGTGACCATCCAAGATGGGGGCCAGAAGCTGAAAAATATCGCAATGCTCATGTAGATGAGCGCAAATGTGTTGACAAGAACGCCCCATGAACCAGAGATGTGGAACGGCCCCCAAACCAGCTTTGCGCCAGCTGTATTCATTGTCACGATATCGCCATCATCGGAGGAACTGATTTTTCCGGTACAGCGACGGTAGAGAAGTAGGCCTGCTACGATCATATATGACAGGTAGAGTCCAGAAATGGACATTGCGACTAGATCATTGAAGGCGACCGATGAGCCAATGTTTATGAGGGCAAGCAGACAGGCAACACATGCTGAAAGTAAGATCGAATAAACTGGCATTGCATTTTTACCGTGAACCTGAAGTTGACCATGAGCAAAATCCAAGGACAGGCTTGTCTCAAAGAGAAGTTAAACGAGAATTCAAACCTACCTGACTCCAGACTCGCCAGCCTGGAATACCCCGATCGCGAGCAAAAGACCAAAATTGACGCGATGTTGTTGCCAACATGCCAACAGATGTACTGATACCCATGGTGGTGATGATGGAACCCATGATAGCAGTGCCTGCAACGGAACCGGTGGCTTGGAGGAAGATAGACATGAATGGGTAGGCCGTTGGAGACTTGAGGGCAGCTTCAATGTCCCCGAGACAGAAGAGCATAGCAATCAGCATGCCAAAACCAAGGAATCCATTGATGAGAACGCTGAGCATGATCGAAGCAGGTACAGCAGTTGATGCATTCTTGATTTCCTCGGACATCTACCAGATTAATTTCCGAGATTAGCGAATCCTCCGACTTTGAAGATGGCGATACGTCAAACATACATGAACAGCAGCATCGCCTCCAGCAAATGCAAATATACACCCGACCATCCCAACGAAGAATGATAGACCTTGAGAGGGGAAGCCCCCAAGGTTCTGAAACTCAGTGAAGACTTCATTCCCACTTCCATGATCAGCCGTCGTGACTAGAGGGATGAGGATGGCGAAGAAACCCAAAATATGAAGCACAAGAATGAAGACTTCAAGTCGTGGCAATAAATTACCACCAACAAGGTTGATCGCCAGAGAGAATGCAACAACAGCCCAAAATAGAAGCGTTCCATGCCAATTTTGAGGCTGATAATTGCTATGTGTCAGGGCGATCAGGCCTTGGATGAGAGTGCCGACTAGATAGCATGAGGTTGCAAACGTTGCTTGCCATCCAATGACAGTAAGCCAGCCTATATTATTTTTCCTCAAGTCAGCCTCTTTATCTTCTTATACTAAGTAATGTATAGACGTGCCTGTCAAATAACTGATTAGTTTCATTGTGGACCTGGGAGCCAACATTGAGCACCAATGATATTGCCCGCCTGAGGTGGGAGCCCTGGCGATCTGTTAGCTTTTGACTTTAACGAATCTAATTCTAGGGACTGATACATTGACGCCAGCTCGGATAGAACTGCAAATGTCGATGCGACACCAATCCAGACGAAAATGAAACCATACACAGCGCCTGCTGATCCACCACTTGGAATTGTCAGTATACGGGAATGCATGAAGCTCGGTGAATGTTGGAGCTCATACTTCTCATATGCTTGTAAGAAAAGTCTACGACAAAGGTGAGTTTCCGATCGCATCAAATAAGCTGCAGTGGCGCGGCAGACTCGACTCACACAACAATGCCCTCCCAAGTAATCAGAATCGTACAGCTGAATCCCAAAATCGACCATAGCCCAAAGTTTCGCTGTTATTACTTAGCCACCTGAATCTAAATCACTCTGCAAATCGATGCTCTCCTACCTTCAATATAGGTCGCTTGCCCATCTGGGCCAATTTCGCATCGTCGATTTCGATTGAGGGGAGATCAACCCCACGCACGCCGGTCGCATTTTCCTGCTTCAGCCCCCGCGAATACATGACGGCGCGGCTCAACTTGGGAAAATATGAAGATCTCCCGAAGATCAGAAATCAGGATGCGAACTGGATCTGCAAGTGTGAAAAGGGGGAGGTGGTTGGTGGTGCAACCATGTCAAACTCGAGTGCAACGAGTTGATGAATCGCCCAGACGAACTAATGCACGCGAAATGGGGTGCTAAACGAAGTCCCCCCCCAATAGGAGACAAAATACACTTTGATAAATGATCGCCAAGATGTTCTCTCTTTGTCTTAACTTGTTATCCCATTGAAGTTGTGACCTGTTGAGATACGCTACTTAGTTAACAAGATCGCCCAGCCACCTGAATCCTCACCTCCCTACATTCCAAAGGAGACTCACTAGTCATGTTCACAATTTTCTAGAGGAGATCCGCAAGGATTTCCACGATCAGCCCTAAGCCTCGGTCTCATCGGGTGCCTCACGACGTTACATCCCCTAAACCCTAGCTCCACCTTGAAAGCGAATGGGTAAAGCCACAAAATGTTTGTATTTGTGATTGTCCATGCATGTTACCTGAGGAGAAAGAGCAAATCAAGCTGACGTGCCATCTAATTATTTGGGTTGAGAGGCTCTTACTGAGCTTCGCCAGAGCGTTCTGGTCCCCCATAAACGGACCGAGCCTTGCTTGAACTCCATTTTCTTTCTCAGGGTCCTGGAATTGTTTCACATGAATGCAACCACTAATGAGCCAGGTACAGATATCACGTGGCGTGAGTCAAATCAAAAAATTTCCATTCTTCAATGGAGGGCTGTGACTAAAATATAGTACAACGTGGAAAAATGAATTTTGATTCTTGAAGCTCTATACTTGGGTTTGCAAATTGGCATACATCTACCCCGGGTGCTTAATTTGCTTCTTGGAAATATTGACTAGGTAAATGAGTCACATTAGCAGCCTAAGTAGATTATAGGCCCAAGAATTCCCTCAAGTGATAAATCGATAGATAGGGTGGCAATTCCATCTCATCGCCAACTGGTGACTCTCCGAGCCTTCGCTTGTTGGGTCAATCCCGGCAGCAACATCTGCATCTGCCGCTTTGTTTAGTCGATTATTTCTCCAGCGCAGAGTGAATTTCAGCACCGTAGCCATCAGGATACACATTCCTGAGAAGGCCACGTTAGCTACATTAGCCTGCCAGTATCTAGGCCCTTGTGATTCGGGGTAGAAGTAGCTGGCGTAAATAGAGGCGAAGTTAGATCCCGCATTGACCACTGCATATGCGACCGCACGCTTTGAGCGTGGCCTCGGAAGTGAAGTGGAAACCCAAGAAAGGATGCATCCAAAAGAGCCATAAATCGACATCATCATGAAAGTGGATATGTATCGAGTTGGGACATTTAGGGTCACAGCACTCAGGATGAATCCAATCATACTGAAGACTTGTGGCCAAACAATGTGTAACCATCGCTCACTGACACGATCGCTGTGGAGTGAATTAGAGACGCTGAGAATAGCAGCGAAAATGTAAGGCGGTGCAGAGAGCAGTAAAGTCTTGGTGGTGTCATAACCTAGTGTTGCAACAATTGTCGGGAAAAAGTTTGTAAAGCAAGCAGCAGTATTGAGGCCAAGCTGCATCAACCATATGATGTAGAGAACTGGATCGGTAAAAGCGAGTTTTAGTCCTTCCCAATTGCTGTTCGTTTCACAATTATCGTTTTCGCTTGCGTCTTCTGCTAGACGTGCAATAGCCAGAATACGTTCCTCGTCTGTAAGCCATTTCGTGGTCGCTGGATAATCTGGCAAGGTGAACATCGCGACAATTGCAACAGGTATTGTGGCGCTTCCTTCAATGATAACTTTATAATGCAATAATCAGCAAACCTGTATAAATATCGAGAGGGAAAACCATAGATTTGAACATACACAGCCATCTCCACGCCGGAATTCCGGCCTTTCCATCCATTCCCGACATAATGGCACTGCCCAATAGACCGCCAAAGGCACCTGATATCTGAGCAGCAACGTAAAGGATCGAAATACGAGCAGCGAGCTCTTTTTTTGGTGTACCATGAGGAAAAGAGAAACAATGCACCAGCTAGATGTAGGCGTTAGCGGCTTTCATCATAAAAAGACATCATATAATCACTCACGAAAGAAGGGGGCCTCTACAAACCCGAGTATGAAGCGCAAAGCCAGGAGTCCTCGGTAGTTCTGAACAGCCCCTGTAGCAGCACTAACAATGGCCCATCCACACATCACAGCAGGCTTATAGGTGGAATTAGTCACGACTCGTCTCAAACTTCATCTTCCTAAATCTAACTCACTAGAAACAGCGATGGCCTCATTTTGTTCAAAATCATATTAGTTGGGATTTGGGTGAGAATATATCCGACAAAGAACAGACCTTCAGGCAATTAGTTCTATTTTTCTTCTCCGGCTAGAAACAATGTAGGAACTCACTGATGATGGTGTTATACTGATTGCCATGAATCCCCAGATCCTTCTCAAGTGTCCCTAAACGGGCCGTTGCAATGTTATTTCGATCCAGATAATTCAAAACATCTAATTTCTAACAGTCAGCCTTTTCATTCCATTCAACACAAAATCTGATTCACATGATACACACAGATCAACATCATCAATGGCAGAAGTCGAAGATCAAGCTTTCGGACAAACTTTTGCTCAAATTCATCACGATTAGGAATAAGCAAATTAGTCACAGCCACCTCTGGAATTTTGTTTTCATCCTGGCGGAAAGTAGCCAGTCCTTCAGTTACGGCATTCTTGCCGGACTTGCCGACACTGGAATTCGTTTCGGTTCCCATTTTTGTCTCAAGTTCCCATGGAAATATGGGTGAAGTCACAGCGATGTGGAGAAGCCCAGTCAAATTTTGAAGTAATCACCGTGGACGGCAGATCTATCTGATATTTAAATGGGGCCCCCGCATTCCCCCGCTTTCTCCATAGCTTTCTCCAGGTTGTGGGATTTGAGGTTTGAGAGATCACCGGAATTTAGTCCTGGCTGGAGAAGCGTGCCTAGCTCCTTCGGGAAAGTTGGCGACCCGCCATTTCTCGGCGCCATCGGCAGATCCCCCAAACTGGAGCCAGATGTTCGGTTTGCAGGTGGCATGATGGAGCATACCAGGCCTAACAGTTGCCTGTGCTACCCCCATGCGTACTCCGAGTTGGTTCTTCGGGTATTACAGTAATGGATAAATACAACGACCTAACGAGCCATACTCCCCACCTTGCGACCTTTCTTCGTGCATTACCTTTTGTCGTATTATTTTCAAGCGGAACACGAAATTGAACTGTCTGAGATAATAATTGGGAGTAAAGGTTTCAAGTTGAAGATATTTGAAAGGAATGAAAAGCTTGAAATGGTTGATGCATCTATATCACGAATATACCATCACGTAAAGCGTACAGGCATTATCACTGATAGCGAATGCTCCTCTAAATTTGGAGAGCACCAACAGCAAAGGCGACCATGGCAGTGACAAAGATGGACGAATACATCGAGATGGAGGCGGCGGAGGTCATCTTCGACGAAGCAGATGCGCTAGCAGCAGAAGAGCTAGAGGCCTTGGAAGCAGAGCTGGATGATGCGATGCTAGAGGAGACGGACCTCGATGTCGTGCCGGACAGGTTGGTTGAAGAGGTACCATTGGAAGCTTTAATGCTAGTATAGGCGCCGGTCTTGTCGGTGTACTTGTAGGCCTGGGCGGGGTTGTAGTTGGTGATGTTGACGGAATCCACGTACATGGTGAAGGGACCGTCGGTGTAGTCAGTCTCACCACCAGCCCACTCAATGGTACCCTCACTGTTGTCAGGGTCACCACCAGCCCAGATACCGATCTTGATGCGCATGGGAGTCTGGGGGGTAGTTTTTGCCGGAGACAGCATCGGCGTATTCCAAGGTACGGACGACATCGCCGTCTAGTAGCCACTCGATACGGCTGGAGGTCCAGTCAACACTGTAGGTGTGGAAAGTCTCTTCAGGGGTGGAAACTGTGACAGTGGTGCCGCGATCGTAGGATGTAGTGTTGCCCTTGCCGAAATAGTCGGTCTGAATGGAAGTATCGTAGGTGCTGATTTGCTCCTATCGAGTATGTTAGACAACTTGAACCCCGGCCCTGATTGGAAATTATCTACGAGTAGCTTACCCAGTCAATCTCATCAAGATCATCAGACTCCATAACCATAGTGCTAATGATACCAGTACCATTGGCGGCTCTGAAATTGACATCAACGCGACCGAAGAAAATATAGAATTCACTCTCGATGGTGGGGGCATCTCCCTGCTCGGAGATGGTGAACTTCGCGCCGAGCGAAGTGCTCTCAACGGTGCCCGCGGTGACATTCCACTTGCTGAAGGAAGACGAGCCCGAAGTGAAGTCGGTATCGAATTGCCATTTGTTCAGACCGGTGTCGGCAGGGCAGGTTTCTGGAAGAGAGAGTGTGTGTTAGATGTCGACAGGCCAGTATTGAATTGAGAAGGAGGGTATTGACTAACTCTTCGTCGGGTTGCAAGATGAATAAGTCTGGGCAGCACTGAGCTGGGCAGTGGCCAAACCGATAGCAGCCCATTTCAGATAAGAGTCGACGAACATGATGATATTGAACGGCGATTTTCTCGATGTCTCGATGAGGCTGAATGATAAATGCCCTGGAGAGTGGAATAATAGCGAGGTGAGTTCAAAACGAGTGAAGAGACGACAACAGCAGAAGCATTAGTTTATAGGGCTTGAAGCAAACGTGCCGTAGACCAGGAAACCAGGCAACCATTGTCATGAAAAATATCTATTTATATTAAGCGACTCCATCTGCCACGAACTGAGTACGCCATTCTCCTCCGCCGCGGAGCAGCACCTCCACCGACACAGACAATGATTCAGGAATACAGACAGTGTGACTGGATAATTGGTCTAGAGAACCATTCTGGTGGAGAAAGAACAAGCGAAAAAGCAAAGACCTATCTCCAGAGCAGCATGAATCGAACAATTTGGTGGCTCCACCAGAAAAGCTTGGGTTGGCGGATGACGGCAGCAGCTTGCGTGGTTGGCCTGGCGCGGTGGATCTAACCGGACGACCTACGTACACCTCGTCAAACACATTTTCCTCGGCACGCAATCTGGAGTACTTTAAGCCCCAGCCTGCTCTTGGAGAGAGGTAATCCAAGGACAATGCAAAAATAGGATGTCTCTCCCATGGTAGAGGTCTCGTGTCCTAGGAGTGCAGGCAACATTCGGTGGATTGTGGTCGCTTCACACCAAGAAGACCCACTGGCCACGACGCAGCTGTTATTGTTTTATCCCAGCCAATGAATGAGCCAGAATGCTAATGATAATTAATGCAGTTCTAGCCAAAGCTAATTGTATTGTATTATCTGAGCGATCACGAATAGAGTACGGTAGTACGCACGACTCACAACCAAAAGTCCCGACAAATATGCACTCACCCTTATTCCTATCATCCCTTTTTTTTTCGAAAGCCCTCAACACAGAATTTCCAACCTTGGAATGGGTTTGAAACTTTTTTGAGAAGCTCATATAGCCGCGCCGATTTCTTTTACCTACTCGTACTCACTGATTGACGGGAGCTCTAAAAGCTGAGCAAAACAAATCTGTTCTTTCTTAGTGGAGAATCTAGTCTTTTGGCAAAACATAGTGGCAAGAATTCTTTTTGGTTTAAAGGATACGCTTGCAATCAAGCGAAATTTTCTGCCTATCTCTGGAGGTGGCTATTGGTATATACTAGTATTGAAATGTCGGATTTTAATAATTTACTATACTTTCTATAGAAAGCAACGCCAATGTCCTATGTTCATGAATCGTTGACACTGAATACAAATCGGCGATCTATTTGGTGAGTCTGGACATGACCTTTTAGGTGTTGCGGCATTACTAGCAGCGACAAAGAAGCTCATAGTCAAAGGCAAATGGACGAGTGTGGGGATATCTTAAGAATACTCCAGATGGCGGAGGCGGAGATCAGGAAACTCGATCTAGGATTGTAGATCGTGACGCTTTTTGACACACCATAGCATGTATGGCAGGTGAATAGGCTCCGAGTCGGTGTTTTTTTAATCGAAGAAATCCAAAAAAAAATTAAAAAATGACTAAGAGGATTGGAATTGGAGGCTCTGAATGGTGGTGGATGAAAGAAAGAGTGAGACTCGGAGAAGACTACCTAACCGGGGAAGGAGAATTCCGGAAATGCGATCTGTATCTATGCCTGAGGCATCTTTTGCCTCAGCAGTAACGTAATTCCCAAGCGAATCGCGCACCCAAGCGAGCCGCGCAGCTGAATACACATAGTAAATGCGATAAATTACAACTTTCTATCTCAACAACCACAAATCATTTTTACTTGAATATTGAAGTATGGTCTTTTATCAGCAAAGAAAACAATATGTCTAAAATCTAGGCGATTTAAATCGTTAATTTAGAACGTTACCATATAATACGCTGTAATTTAGACCTTTCAGAAACAAATTTATATATCTCTACCACGCCGAATCTTCCTTTTTATGTATCTCACCAGTGCACTAGTATTACTACCTAGAATATAATAATTCAACATGGGTACTAAAATAGACGTGGTTGTTGAGATAGAAAGTTGTAATTTATCGCATTTACTATGTGTATTCAGCTGCGCGGCTCGCTTGGGTGCGCGATTCGCTTGGGAAATACGTTAGTTAGTTAGTTAGTTAACTGACTAGTAAAAATGGCGATGGTGGGATAGGTGGGAGCCGACGAGGCTGGGGAAAACAGGTTACAAACCGTCCTGACAAATTACCAACACTCATTATGTGACCACTGGCAATCCCTCACTAAAAATTATCTCGATGATCAATCTAGATTACCAACCAGTAGACATAACATAGAATTAAACAAATGCGCTCCTAGGTTGGGCGTGGCATCATGGACGCCAATTGATTTAAAGCCAGCTTTATTCCCTCCAATGTTATGTGTGTACACTTCATCGCATAAACCTTGGAACTACATTGTAATTGAACCTCAATAATAACCTGAAAACAACACGAACGAAACATGTCTTCATTCATCAACGAAGCGGCGTGGATTGCCTCCGCCAAATCAAAGCCGCTACAGGTTGGCCCTGCGCCAGCACCAATGCCAGAAGAAAATGAAGTTGTCATCAAAGTCGCCTACGCCGCTGTCAATCCTGTGGACTGGAAGGTTGGATAACCCAAAATCCAAAATCTGTGGATAGAACACGATATCTAAACAGAAGGACCTAACATATGTAACAGCTGCAAGAAGAAGCCAGCTTCGAGCTAAAATATCCCTTCATCCTCGGGACCGATGTCGCGGGCACCATTGTTCAACTGGGCTCCGGCGTTACTCGATTAAAGCTCGGACAAAGAGTTATTGGGTAGGTCTACTCAGCACAGCCTTGGTCTGCTTATGGATCCACGGGGACGGTTTCTAACAACACTTTAGTCACTGCGATGGCTTTGTGTCAGGAAAAGCATCCAACTGCGCATTCCAACTATACACTACTTGTCGCGAAATCTTAGTTGCAGCCGTACCGAATTCTCTGCCGTTGGCTAATGCCGTCGTCCTCCCAATCTCTATCAGCACGGCTTCCAGTGCTCTTTTTGTCCAGCTCAAGGCGCCGCTGCCCTCATTAAACTCTCAATCCACAGGGAAAAAAGTCCTCATATGGGGAGGTAGCTCCTCTGTCGGAAGCTCCGCCATCCAACTTGCACGCGCTTCTGGTCTTGAAGTTATAACGACCGCTCGCAGTGCAAACCATGCTCTTGTCAAGCAACTCGGGGCAACCGACGTATTTGATCACAAAAATACCGATACAGTTGATAAGATCTCGAACATTCTTAGACCGGGTGATTTAGTTGTCGACTGTATCAGCAGTGAGGACACCCAGGTTAAATGTGGAGAGATTTTGTCGCGGACTGGCGGCGGAAAACTAGCAATTTTGGGTTTTCCCAAGGGATCGGTCCACGAAAGTGTGGAACGAGTATTTGGTATTATTCTACCCCCCCTAGGATGAAACATTTGCTGATACTCCGAAGTGAACGGTCTAGCTCCGGGGTTCACGAATCCTGAAGTCGGGGACGCAGTTTGGCGTCAATACATCCCATCAGCCCTCGCCAACGGAAAGTTTCAGGCAAAGCCAGATCCTATAATTGTGAAAGGTGGTCTCAGTAAATTACAGGAAGGTATAGATCTTCTTAGGGGAGGTGTCTCGGCGAAGAAGGTGGTTGTTGAAATTGCACAGGAATAGAATGCTCCTCGTGAGACCTTCCATATTGACTGCAACTCAGGACATAGCGATGAGTTGATTGAATTGGACTTTGAAACTATACTACTCCAGGGGTCCTTTACCATGGGTATAGGCTAACAGTAAGAAAGCAGCGTCTGGTTCAAGTTTTTAAATATTTCCGGGTCTTGGTTGCTGACTATATTTTGGAAGTGTAAATGAGTTTTATCAAAAGTTAATTGGAGCAGATAAATTGTATCCCCAAATATTTGTACATTGTCTCTATTCCGACGATCGGAGATAAAAGTAATATATATCTTGGAGCTCTGATAAAACTAATCATTGACTAATAATTATCCATTCTCTATCGTACTTCTAAAATTAAAATATCATGGTTCCAGCCAGAGTCAAAGTACATCACGCCATGACTAGTGCGTGATTATTTAAGGGGCAGGCCAGCTCCCAGGCAGCCGTCTGCTTCGTTGAAGTACCAGTGGTGGGCAGAGAATGCAGTCAATGAGGGCACGCCAGTGCCAGTGTTCCCTTCCCAGTTGATACCCCCCTGGAGAACCTGGACCTCGCTGGCAGATACAGTTGCGTTGTTTGGTGCTGTAATGTAGTACTCGGGGCTGACGTGAACGTATCCCATAGCGATCAAAGGCAGTTTGGGAACAGGATCGTCGATGTGTGTGAAGCGGTAGTTATTTGGCTGGGCAGAGATATACTTGGCCAGAGCGGGATTGGCCACACGAGGGGATGCATATGCGTAGAGCTTAGTAGACGGATGACCCTTAACACGAAGATCAGCAGCAGCGAGGGTAGCGACTCCAGCGCCCAAGCTGTGACCGACGACAATCAATTCGTAGTCGGGATTTTTAGAAACGGTTTCGTTCAGGACCTTTGAGATGGGATCGCGGACGTTGGTCCACGAACTCCAGAATCCCAGCTCTGCAGAGCAGCCATCACAGAGTTTCGGGTCGGTGTAGAAGAATGAAGCGTCGGCGATCCAATTGCGAACCGAATAGGAGCCACGGAAGGCCAGAACAATGGCCTTGTTGGTGTTGTCTAGTGCAATGTAGCCGGCGGTATCGGTCAAGGTGGTGCTATGTCAATCAGTGAGGAGTTCTACTGGGTCTCTGAATTTGTGGAATACTCACTTGGAAAAGTCATACACGATACTAGTGTCACTCTTCTCTACTTGAGGACAGTTGTGAGCCGAGCAGGTCAACTTGTGACCAGGCTTAGAAGCATAGTTGTCGTAGCAGTAAGATGCAGCCGCATACTCAACCCAGAATTTGAACTGGGATAACTCATCCGTTGGCACATCTGCAAAGGCATGAGTGCTAGAACAAAGTGAAATTCTTCTATACCATCTTACCTCGAGTCTGCAGGTTTTTTGGCAAAGCATGCCCAATGGCAGAGATGGCAGACAATGCTGTCAGGATTGAGAAACGCATGATGATTTAGCAAGATGTTTGGTTGATAGAAGTGATTCCCATGGCCATTACCTGCCCTTTATATTCAGCTGAAGCCATTTCGGTTCCACGCGGGAGAATAGCCCGGTTCCTGCATTATTATCCACCAGGAACGTTGCGTACCATGCAGTGAGCGACGAATTGAATGCGTGATCTGACGAGACTGGTAGTGATTGACAGCCTGATTGATTTTCCAACGAGCCGGGTTACCTCGGTGCATCGGTGTACTTTCCTTTTAGCATTCGATCTGTGAAGATCAAATTGCCAATCGGTGGTTAAGGCAGCCCGATGCGGACCCATTTGGAGTGATTTTTGGAGCTTGGCTATCGACAGACCGTGGATGACAATGGGGCTCCGCGGGCGTCTAACTCTTTCCGGTGGGCTAGTCCGGGGAGGATTTAAGACAAGCGATGAGATGGGCGATGATCATCGAGGGCGAGGGCGACCACATGGGAATGGCAAGATAGATCGCCGAATTTCTGCCGTTCGCTGACTTTGGATGATGTACTCCGTACTTGTGGAACAAATGTGTTTGGCCTGAGAGCGAACGCCTAGCTAGCGGCTAAGAGTGGCTTGAAGCGATGAACACCTTGGCGATTAAGGTAGGGCACGCTAAATCCGCCACTGAACGCATGCGGGCAGGAATGTTTCTGCCCGATGCCAGCCAACCTGAGTGGCCGGGGTTTGCTTCCAGATTGACTCGTCTGCATTTTAGTTCAACTTGAAGGAACTATGCCGAGGTTGGGTTGTACGAAAGGGATTACAGGAACAGGAACAGGGTCTCGCATCGGCCGACCCGTTCATTCTCTCAGATTTCAATGTGTAAAGGCGGGTCCAGCTTTGAGAATTAGAACACAAATTGATTAAAATCGAACTCGTGATCGGGACCTGACCCACTCTCGGAATGTTAGATAACCCCGGCGCGGCCAGCTGCGCAATCTGATCCGAGGTCCCAACTTGAAGATGTGAACGTGCTTGAACATTGCCCCAATTATGTACAAGAGGCGCCTTTTAGTTGTCGATACTCATGCCGCTGTTTATGGATGATGACTAAAATTTATAAGTTCTCAAACGGTCTGCGAGAGTTCTAGAAAATGATATCAGGTCGGAAAAGTATCAATTCACCTCCATTTTCCTACCCAAATGGGTTATCGATTCTCATTTGACGTAATGTACCGATGCGGAATATCTAGAACGGCTGTGCATATTGTTCTGCTTAAATTGGGGATACAAGCAGCAAGTGTGGTCGTAGATACTGAGCTTAAACACCTTGATGTATTACCGGTGACTAAACTGCGAGACGACAAATGCCCTGTACTACATAGCACATATTTATCTTTGGACATTAGGCAGACCCCAGGCTTTTCATAGACAACCTTGGAAGAGAGATGATTATTATATGGAGTACTCATGCTTCAGATCTGATGTGAGATACCTGCGATTCTGGTTAGCATTGAAATGCGCACTGCACCGCCCTGTGTACCTTGTGTATGCATTGAGTGCCGATCGTTACCTGCCCACGGTTAAGATGACACCCCCACTAGAAAGAGAGACGGATGCCAATCGTCGTGACAAATGAGGATACAAGCCCAAACAGAGTGATTTCACCAGCATAGTTCAGTTTCGCGCCTAGATGGTTCAAGCCTCTCATTTAAGCGACCAGTAAGCGACCCGAAGGTTAATATTCGATGTTCAGGGCTTCACTCACGGTCGCTCACTGGGGCAGTTTCAGAGGCGTTTGCCAAGCGCCAATCTCATATTCAGGCGGCAAATCAGACATGTTCATTGGAGCCTCCCGGGCGCCTCTCAAGGGGCGTGCGCCTTCAATTCTGCCTTGACCTGACCTGCGGTCGGAATCCTTAACAGCGCCCTTGTGCTCTCGATGTTCTAACATCTCAAAGCGACATACTAGTAATTTCTTCTTCCTTCTGACCGTTTTGTCTGCACTCCAATGCCGAGATTCTATATCGGCATCTCCAAGCTCTAGTCGCGTCGCTAGATAGGAGCGAACCCAGCATGAGGTTTTCCTTGGACAGTAGCGATGTATTTCGTATCTGCTACGCGGTCTTTGAGCTTCTGATTGCCCTAGGCCTGATAATCTTGTTCACGGCACATATTGCTCTCAAAAAAAGAAGAGGCAATGCCCTCAAACCTCTGCCTTTCAAAGCTTTATTGGCATCCATGCTGTTTTACTTTGGGTAAGCGCGCGAACGTGGCAACTAAATATCTCGCTATATAGTTATCAGCATTGGAATATCGCTAATAGTCCTCTATTTTGTTAGAGCTGAGATCTGCATCGGCGTTTATAACTCCATACGCCTCGCGGGCGTTCACTTGAAGGACACATATCCCTCTGCAGAGCCGATCAGCGAAGGCTTGATGTTGATCGCAATCAACCTTCTGTTCTACATATTTTATGCAACCATCTACACTTTTGGACAGCAAATTATTGGTCAGAGCAGCTATTGGCCTCGAATAAATAGGTTCCACTGGGTGCTTATGGGAATATTTGTCTCTATAAGCATTGTTGACTTTGCTTGGTATGTGTATAACATACTGAGCCAAATGCAGTATATACGACCCAAATACACTCTTCAAGTCGATCATTACCAGACATGGTCAAAAATCATGTCGGTAAAGTGGATTTTATTCTGGGTGGGATCTTGGGAGATCTTGGGTGCCATGATTTTTATGGGCATACGGACGTCATCTCAGGCACCCCATGTGAGAGTAAGTTGAAACTTGAAGGCAATCCCCATTTCATCCCACAGTTAACTAACAACGACTTCGAAGATGTCGACATACTTTGCTTTCACTGCGAGTGGCTTTTTCTTTGCATTGAACGGGCTTTGGGCTATTTGGAGCATCAACTCCTACCTCGCACACATCTACCCGACACAGGTGGCTATTGCTGTCCGCGAGGTTGTTCAATTTTTCTTTTGCATGGGCTCCTATCTTGGGCTTGGGCTATGCGCCTGGAGATTTCCCGCAAAGTTAAACGAAGATTTGGAAGGTGCATCTGTACCTACCATGATCATCAGACGATCAGAACGCCCAGTGGAGGCAGATTCGCGAACTCCTCTATCAGAGACCGACAGATCGCAGTCAGTTGCGGAAATTGCTGCGACGAGGCCCATCTTGGAGGCCGATTCAGATGTCACTCATGAGAAGCCGTGAACACATTAAGCTACCCATTTAATTAATGATCAAATTAACAATAGAATGCGACGATCATAAAGTGTCCGCTAGGCAGCCAGTAGCATGCCCATGATAAGAGGTATTCGTCTTGTATCATAAACCTTGGAAACGATTACAGTTGCGGCAATTTGTGAGCTTTCTACAAATAGGTTTGTAATAATAGTTGCCACGCGAGTTTGAATACACGCTTGGCGGATTTTCTGTTCTAGGTCGTCAATCTATTGGCCTCCAAGGGTCTTTTCTTTTCGTAAGTCCTGCAGTGATAGATATAGCAGACAACGTATCAGTCTCCGTCATCAGCCATAGTATACTCTCACATCAGACAACCATCCTTAATGCTTGAATGCAGGTCACTGATGCCAACCCGCACGCGGCGATATCCGGCTGTGCTTCCAAGTCCTCTTTGGTTTCTTTGGTTGTTGTCTTTGATCTTGAGGCTTTCAACGCTGGGTGAGATAGGCTGAGCGCCGCTCATCATTGGCGCGGCAGGCTTGCTGGTAGACGCGGAGGTAGGTTCCAGAGCAAAAACCTCAACCATCCACTCATACCAGACCTTACGGTCATCTGTCTGGCGGTACATTGTGACAACAATCTCACCGTTGTCGGGGACATTCAGGGGAGTCTAGTTTTGCAGTCATGTTAGCACACGTCGCAGTCAAGATACCCCAATCAAAAATGTATGGTACAAGCTTGCCGCAAGAAGTCTTACCTTCAACGGGAAATATATAGGGAACCAGCTGATCATGCTAGCACTCTTCTCTTCCATCGTTACCGGATTGGTCGAGAGTTCTACGTCCCCATATAGAACGGTTTCAAAGTACCCAGCCAGGCCGTGGCACGCACCACGGTTCTGAGCAGGGAACGACAGACGGGTCTGTCGCACGTTGTGGGCATTTGATATGGTGGACGAGGACGGCGTTTGGTCCGGGATGTTCCGGTTCGGGTGAGAAAAGGACCATGCTGTTTGGACGAAAGGGGTTTGAAATTCGGTGGCCGTGATCGGTACGCTTGATCCAGAAGAGCGGTTTGCAGGGTTTTGGTTTCCGCTGTCAGGATTAACTGGGGCCTCATGTGAAGACAGGAAATCGATAGCGTGTAGCATAACAACGTAAGGCGTCTCCGGAGCAGCCGGGTTGGAGACGGTTTGGCTCATCACATCTGAGTGCAATTTGGGGGCTGAGACTGGGGTAAAATGAGCCGAGTATGAAGCCGGAATGGAAATGCCATGAACAGGATTGATAAGATCGTTGATTCCATCCAAGCACTCAGGAGACAGCTCGTTATCGGCGAACGAGCCAAGCAATTCGGAAACCACTATATCGACGTGAGTGTACGAGAGATTGGTGGTGTTTTGTTCCGGTAAATCAGATCCTCGACCCGGGTCATTCTCGCCCTTGTTCGGGGCATATAATAGGGAGTCCTCGATGCCCAACGATTCACCGACATGGTCCTGGCTGACCTTGCCTCCTGTTTGACGCCGCACACGCGGTCCTTTCCAGCTCCGCATGTCAGACTTGACCAGTGTGGCCTTACCACCCCAAGTAGTCTCATTATGTCGCTGCAACAGAACGAATGCATTTTCGTTCTTTTCAACGACCCATAGATCAAGTTCAACCCCAGCCTCCTCACTGGCCTTGAGTGCTCGAGTCACAAGGGGTCCGCGTCCAGCACCCACGACAGCAAGAATCACCTTTCCATCCGGGTGGGATGTTGGTTTCTTTTGATCGGCCCAGTCTCTTAGCGCCTTTGTGATCGCACGCTCATACCATTCATACTTGATCGGATCCTTTTCAAAAACCTCATAAGTGATACTCTCCAAATTGACGGTTAGCGGTTGCAGAGGAGCCTGCAAATAGTCTTGATACCCCACGCCAAATCGCTCAATGGGGGTTCGCGCAGGTTGACGCTGCTGCAGATTCCGAATATAGGAGAGGTGTGGGGTTGGATCAAAATGCTTCTTGGCCGATCCCGCACCCTGAGACAGGCTGGGGTACTCGGAGCCGGAGAGAGGAGACTTGTTTTCCTCGTCCTCATCCACCTCCGCGTCTTCGATACCAGGAATTGACCCCACATCACAGAGAATAATCCAAGGTACGGTTCGGAGACGCATCATCTTTACAATCAAAGACTGGTGGGCCTTGGATAGTACCGGATACCCCTTCTGGTTTTTCAAAAAGCATGAGCCATCGATGGTCAAGAGATGCACGGGTTCTGAGTGCCAGCGTGATTGCACAGTCAGAGGGGGTAGCTGCCTTGGGATCACCAGGGCTTTCATATCATTTAGCAAAAAGTGATTACAGAAGGGGCAAGAGAGGGGGGAGGTCTGAGCGCATCTTACCTACGAGCAACCTTGTGTGGTATTTACAAGTCTTGCGAATCATGTCCCAGGCATCCCAAGTGCCAAACAAGTCCAATTTAGGGGACATGCCTTCGTCGGGTAGCAGGTATTCTGCTCTGGCAAGAGGAGCCAAGTCTCCAATCGTGTCAACTTCCAGCTCGGGGCTATCGGTCATTCGAAGCCAGATGTGAAACTGGATGTAGGGACCAAGGTTGATCGCATCTTGAATAGCACGAGCATAGTAAGCCACTCCTTCCGAATGAAGGTCTCCATGATGCAGTTTAGGGCTCGGCGCCAAGAGATACCCGATGCCACAGAAAGCAGCGTATGCAACTTCTAATAGAAGCACTTGCCGCGACAGGTCTGCAATCAAAGGGTCAGGCGAGCAGAGGTCAATCCAGCTACTAATCACTCCGACAATTTGGCTAGTAGCATCATTGGGAGTGAGATGGGTGTCTAATTTCGACAGGGCTGGCACAACTAGTGGACGGGTGTTCTGGGACGTTCCCATAGTCCCAATGGAGTCATATGTTGGGGGCTGAAGGTTGGACAGATAAGAGGAAAGAAGCCCTAATACCCGTGAATGAAAGTGAGGCGTTGTAATAGGCACCGTCAACATATCATACTAAAGCTTCATCAATACTCGTACTGGCAAGTGATAATAAAAATAGCATGGAGGGGGGGGGCTACCCACGTTGGATTCGTGAACCTTGAAGATGGTATCAGTGGTCACGGCCATGGATCGGTTACTTTCATGGTGACCGATCAAGAAGGCCGGGCCTGGATCGTCAGAGGCGTAGTTTTCCATCTTGATCAAAGCTCTGTGGCTTGTCTCAAGCTTTGATATATGATATCCGAGAGTATGTACCAGGGAATCCCTTTCGCTTGATTGTGGGGAGCGGCAGAATACTCCAGGCGGTGAGGGCGGCGATAGGCTTTCTCTATCGCCCTCGTCCAGGCCGATCCGAGATTTTTTTTATCGCGCTCGACTTTTTACCACCTCTTCCCGACTTACGAGCATTGCGCACTATGGTTGATCGTCGTTCAGATCCGGAGGACGGTTCGCGAGCAAAGCGTCAGAAGATGGAGTCCGGAGACCCCAAGAATAATCCATACCTCGCCCACATGTACGAGGATAATCACTCCAAGGCCGACTCCAGCTCGGCCTTTGCCAAGTTCAAGCGCCATCAAACTACGGCGGCGCTGGCGAAAAAGGCCGAGGATGGTGATGTGAATCCATTCAATGGCCGGCCTTTTTCCAGCAGATATTTCTCCATCTTGAAGGGTCGTCGCGATCTCCCCGTGCACCAGCAGCGGTGAGTTGAAGCCCTCCCTCACTAATTATTCTTGCGAAATCCACTCCAGTTATACTAATATATATCTCCTTTCAGTGATGAATTCCTGCAACTCTACCAGCAATCCCAAATCCTCGTCTTCGTTGGTGAAACCGGTTCCGGAAAGACCACCCAGATCCCGCAATTCGTCCTCTTCGATGACCTCCCCCAGACCCAGCGCAAGATGGTTGCCTGTACCCAGCCTCGTCGTGTTGCAGCCATGTCTGTTGCCCAGCGTGTCGCCGAGGAAATGGATGTCAAGCTTGGTGATGAAGTCGGTTATAGTATCCGTTTCGAAGACAAGACGAGCTCGAAGACTCTGTTGAAGTATATGACTGATGGTATGCTCTTGCGAGAGGCCATGAATGATCACAATCTGTCGCGTTACAGCACCATCATGCTTGACGAGGCTCACGAACGGACAATGGCTACTGATGTTCTCATGGGGCTTTTGAAGGAAGTTGTGGTGCGCCGCCCTGACCTGAAGATTATCATCATGTCTGCCACCCTTGATGCGCAAAAGTTCCAGCGGTACTTTTTGGATGCGCCTCTTCTGGCAGTTCCCGGACGAACCCACCCCGTCGAGATTTTCTACACTCCCGAGCCGGAGCAAGACTACGTTGAGGCCGCCATTCGGACTGTCCTACAGATCCACGCCACCGAAGACGAAGGAGATATTCTGGTTTTCTTAACTGGTGAAGAAGAGATTGAAGACGCCGCGCGCAAGATTGCACTTGAGGGTGACGAAATGGTCAGGGAAGCCGATGCTGGCCCTCTCAAGGTGTATCCGCTTTACGGTAGTCTGCCTCCCCACATGCAACAACGCATCTTCGACCCTGCACCTCCGGCTCGTCGCCCCGGTGGCCGTCCCGGTAGGAAAGTCATCATCTCCACCAACATTGCCGAAACATCTCTTACCATCGATGGAATCGTGTATGTGGTGGATCCCGGGTTCTCTAAGCAGAAGATCTATAACCCCCGTATCCGTGTCGAATCTCTTTTGGTCTCCCCCATATCTAAGGCCTCCGCACAGCAGAGAGCTGGTCGTGCTGGTCGTACGCGTCCTGGAAAATGCTTCCGTCTTTATACCGAGGAGGCTTTCAAGAAAGAGCTTATCGAGCAGACATACCCCGAGATTCTTCGGTCGAACTTGTCCTCGACTGTGCTTGAATTGAAGAAGCTTGGAATTGACGACCTGGTTCACTTTGATCTGATGGACCCGCCTGCGCCAGAGACTCTGATGAGAGCGCTAGAGGAGCTCAACTACCTCGCTTGTCTAGACGATGAGGGTGAACTCACCCAACTTGGTCGTCTGGCATCGGACTTCCCGCTTGATCCGGTTCTGGCAGTCATGTTGATCAGCTCTCCCGAGTTCTACTGCTCTAACGAGGTTCTTTCCATCACCGCCCTACTTTCCGTTCCCAACGTGTTTGTTCGCCCTGCGTCCCAGCGAAAGCGCGCCGATGAAATGAAGGCTCTCTTCTCTCACGAACACGGCGACCAGTTGACCCTCTTGAACGTCTACCATGCATTCAAGGGTGCTGAGGCGCAAGCAAACCCCAAGCAGTGGTGCCACGACCATTTCGTCTCCCTCCGTTCCCTGCAGTCTGCCGATAACGTTCGCATGCAATTGCTCCGCATCATGGAGCGCGAAGAACTCGACATGGTGTCGACCCCCTTCGACGACAAGAAGTACTATGAGAACATCCGCCGCGCTCTGTGTGCTGGCTTCTTCATGCAAGTTGCCAAGAAGGAATCTCAAGGCAAGAGCGTATACACCACCATCAAAGATAACCAAAGTGTTCTTTTGCACCCGTCCACTGTCTTGGCCCACGATGCGGAATGGGTTTTGTATAACGAATTCGTTCTTACAACCAAGAACTACATTCGTACGGTGGTTGCTATCAAGCCCGAGTGGCTATTGGTACGTTTAGTATTATCGATCCATTACTATCTATTTACATTTGCTAACACTGAAGCAGGACATTGCACCCACATACTATGATGTCAACTCGTTTCCTAAAGGCGACATTCGATCATCTCTCCAGCGTGCCGCCGATCGCCTCGCTCGCAAGGAAAAGATGCGTTCCGAGCACCGGTAGACCATTGTCTTTTCTTTGTTAGACCTTCACGGCTCAATGTCCTCGTTTTAGATTCCCTTTTGTCAAAATTTTCTGGTAAATGCCTAAAAGCCTTCAGGTAGAAGTTCAATCTTTGTATTATATTCGGTGCACCTCCCGAGTCCTTTACATCAAATCAATGTAACCTTGGAAGTGGTCCTTCAAGTTCTTTCTTGGTATTATAGTGGCTGCTAGGGAGGGGTAAAGTTCTGTCAACGAAAGCTCATTGTATATGATACATGTTCTCTATTGTGATTGAGTCACTTCTCATAGAAGTGCTGGGGTAATGTACAAAATTTATAACCACCGATCGAAGCGCCAAAAACTAGTTTTTCAATAATGCATACACGGGCTACCAAGTCGTCTCTCTCAACTACCTGGGTATGCCGAAATTCGGTCTACCAATATGAGCTTGTAGAGATGTCGAAGATAGCCAACGAAGATGAAGACTCTTTCAAGTCTTCATGATCAGTTTATTGACTTTGAAACTGCGCGCCTCCTTTTCCCGGACAACGGATGTCCTTTCTCTTCAGTGGGTGTGGATTTCCGCTCGAATTTGATGCTCATGTGCGGGTCCTCGATATCGTTGGCGGGTGTGGGGGCTGTCTCGAGGTTCTGTAGACTCGGTTTGACATGGTCTTCGTGGAAAGTGTCATCATCCTTGAATGATGATTCAATGTGATGTTCGCGCATCTGGAAGACTAGCTGTCGAAGCTGGGCTAGTTCAATCTTCATTGATGCAAGCTCTTCCGACGGTTTGTTTTGCGGTTGCGTCTTTTCTGAGAGATCAACCTCTGGCCGTGAGATTGGCGATGAGCTGGACATCGTTCTCGTGTGCCCGGTCTGTCCTGATACGTTGGCAAGTGAGGCGACCATAGAATGATGCGCATATTGAGCAGAGAACTGCTCGTATTGCTGGCTTTTACTAGCACTGTCTGATGTCTCGAGCCTGCTCAAGAATTCACCAAATATGCTTGCAAAGTCGTAGCATTTCTGCCATAGAGGGTTGTGGCCATTTTTTTTCGACGATGCCGACTTGGCCGCCTCTTTCCACCGTGTGCCCTCAAGGTCATAGATGGGGGTGAGCTCATCTTGTTCCAGCGGGATGTGTGGGTCAAAGCCGCTGTGTACAGCAGCGTCAATTAAAGCTTGCGACACGTCTTTTCGGTTGCATGAATCGCATAGTTGGACCATTCGTACTAAGAGCCGTGGGACGTAGCTTTCCGTGGGATCCGTTGATGACACGAGGTAGGTGATCGCTCTCTTCAGCGCGGACGATCCTTTTTCCCAATCCTGTCTGATGCTGTAAAATCGGAGGTAAACTGCGAGAGTATGATAGTTATCGAAGAAACCAGCCCTGCGCGCTGCCTGAAGATAGGCGTCCGCCCTGTCTGGCTGGTCGAACCGCAAAGAGGCTGCGATCAGCTCGGTATAGAGGACGGGGTTATTACTGTCCATTGGTGGGACAACAATATCAACTCCATTGATCTTCATAGTTCGGTAATAGCCAAGGAATCCAATGTTAATAGCATATCCTTCTCCACTGAGCATTTGGAGGAACAAGTCAAAGTCTTTGAGATTCTTAGACTTGCGGAAGAAAGCCAGTATTGTGATGACCAGCGATGTACTAAGGTAGAATTGGTTCGGAATAAGCATTTTCAAGGCCATGTCGCATAGATCATTCTGTCGGGTACGAGTGAAAGCAATGAGAATGGCTCGGAATGCGGCTGTGCGATCAGGCTCCTTGGAAACCATGAGATTTTGAGATACGCGTAGCAGCAGCTCTTGAAGAGACATCTCCTGGCACATGTATAGATGAATATCCTGATCAAGCTCGGCATCTAGCCGCTCACGAAATCTCGAGGCCTTATCCCGTAGACCTTGGTCCGACATGTTCTTGGTGAGCCCCTGTGTCAAATCTTCGTAATGCGCATTTTTGTCCTCTCGTAAATGTTTCATGCGACCGCGGATGCTGTTCAACTCGTCTAGAAGTCTGTCGACGTTGATTTTGGGGACTTCAAAATCCGGGGCGTAGTTCATTTTGACTCCAGAGTATCGGTGTGCGACGACTGGCCTAAGCAAAAGGCGAATCGCGAATTGCTTCAACGCTAGTTTCTGAATAGCCTTCATCCGGAGTGGTTCTTTCAAAACCCAATTGGGTAATGGTTGCTGTTCCAGAACAAGATCCTCCTCTTCCGGGTCGAAGACGTCCATCTCCTCTAGCAGTTTTTCCTGAATCTCCGCAGCGGTAGCGTTGGCGAGGCCGCGTTTGGTGGTATGGTAGGACCTTGTGGGCTGGGCTAACGTCGCTCGTTGCTTAGGTGCGGATGTAAAGTTCGAGGTTGTGCCCAATCCCCCGTTTTGTAGCAATCGATGAACCCCTCGTGATTTCCGTCGACTTTGGAGAGACTCAAGAATGCGTTGTTCTTCATCCACCAAGACGTCTACCTCGGCCTTAACCGCGGCAATCTTTTCCTCCCAGTCATTCCGTCGTTGAGTCTTGGCTCTCGCATCGGCTAGGGCGGCGGCGGCGAATATGCTCGTGTACAGCGCGGTGACGGAATTGCCTATTCGAAGGCGTTTCTTGCTGGCAGCGCCTGCCGATCGCGAAGCGACTCCGTTGGCTGTCGTGCTTAAGCACGACACGCAACGACACGACGACTGCGACCGGCCGGCACGGGACCACAAACTCTGCATTATCAGAGCATCTCTGTCAAAGCAAGATACCACGGTATTTGAGTGTGAGAGAGGTAGGTGGAATAGGTAAAATAGGCCAATTGGACTCCCCACGGAGTCCGCTGTTGATATGGGGTGATGCGTGGGATTCTTTTGCAGTTTTGGCGTCGCCGGAATTTCACGAGGATGCAAACAGTGCAAACAAGCTCAGCCCCGGTTCTCCTGTGGCGCCGGGGGGGGGGGAAGTTGGCCGCAATCGACTTGCTGTTCCTTTTTCCAGTACAGAGTACGAGTACAGAATTTCCTTTTATTCTCCGATCATGGTCGCGCGATTGGTTTGCTTTGTTGCCGGGGTACTCGCCCTGAGCAGTGGTTTGGCCAGTGCTCATGGCTCACACTCCAATGATCAACCGCAGTCGGACGACTGGGCAACGAGACACATGATGGGTACGATGGAGTCGAAAACACTCAATGGCGCTTGAATGACTGCTAATGCATTCTCTAGAGGAACATCACATCGAAGGCTTTGATGCGCCCTCATTCTTCACACTCCACGATTACGATGCGTCCGGGGCATGGACTACCGACGAAGTACGCAAGACCTACGGTATCGACGACGAATCCAATAAGGGCGTGGATCAGTCGCGCAAAGAAGCTGCTGTTCGTCAAGTCTTTGATCTTTTCGACCCGACAAACACCGGTACTATCACCCGTGATGCCTGGTTGAAGGCAGTCGCTGCTGGCACCCGGCTGCCCGACCTCGGCTTTGGTCCCGGACACCATGGCGACATGGAGTATGAGTACGAGATTCATCACTTCGAAAAGTTCCACGGAGATGATACCACCGAGGAAGATTTGACGCATCCCGAGGATATCGAACATTTCCGACGCCACGATGAGGAGGAACTTGCCCAGATCCGACTCGAGAAGCTGGAGCGCATGCAGGTTGTCGAGGTCAACATCCCCTCGAAATTCCGTCGCAACTTCTAGTTTGTTTTTCGGTTGGATATTATTTTCTTAATGTACATAAACATTCACATACAGGACTATGGTGGGGTGAAATGTCTCATGGTTATGCCTCGTGCGGACTCTAATGATATGAACTGGCTCGCCATCTCAGGCTATGAATAGACGTGATGGCATCTACCATATTCGAGGCTTGTATTCTGGAGCGTACTGTCTGAAGAGAGGGGTGAACGCATTAAACTGGCTTCTCTGTCTGCCTTTCAGCTACCCAATGGTTCAATGTTCGAACAAAGGTAGTGTGGGCCGCTGCCATTATTAGCATTGCATTGTCCGCGAGGCAGCTTCTGATATCATCTCTGTCATTCTGCAAGACCGAGAGAATCTTCAAGAGGCGAAATTTGGATATCGAAGACGCAATGCATGACACCTGGAGCATATGTCTTGACATGTTCGACATGATGGCAGTCTATAACGGGGTCTGCCAGGATAACATATTCGGCGTGGACCATCTTTCGAAGTCTTGCCAGCTCAGTCTTTAACTTTTCCTTCATTTCTTCAATCTCTCGCACGTTCACATTTTCATGGACATGAAACCAACCGCCTTGTTGCCGGTCAAGAACCTTGCACGCATTGTCCCAGGATGGTCTTGAAGAAGGCAAAAGACCCAGGTTGACATGACGGACAGGACTCCACGCATTTCTCTGCTCCATAACATGTTGGATCTTTGTAAGTATTTCGGCCGCGAATGTGTTATCTCCATGGAAGATGACAACCCGGTCATTCGCTGTAAGGCTGTCCACAAGCTCTTCAATCGTCATATCCAATCTCCCATTTTCCCGAACCCGAATCACCCGGCAGCCCCATCGATTAGCTTCGCATCCTCGCCGCAGGCCTTCCACGGACCAACCATTCAGCTCCCATCCCCAAACACGTTTGACACCTCGCTTGAGGTATGAGAAGACAAAGTAGCCAATGCCTGCATACATATCAACGACGCTGACGTCCGAGATCTTTTGTCCTCGTAGGGATTGTTCATCTAAGCCAGGAAATGTTCCTTGGGAGGGACCTTGTCCCAGGATTCGGGCCTTCTCCGTGATATTTCCGCGGGAGAACATCGTATATAGCGGAGCCCATACTTGTTGAATGCCATGGTTTTGCACAGTTTGCACCCAGAATGCATGTTCGAGCTCCGCCGTATCCGGTTGTTCACTTTCATCCCCCGCGGCTCTGGGGGAATTCCCAAAGTTGCCGTGCAGTGGAATTAAACCGGTGGGACTTCGCATTCGGTTCTCTTGGCCTTGAGTAGCCAAGGCAATAGGTGCATTTACTGCCACATGGGTTGCGCCTAGTCGTCCGAAGGCCTTCGCTATTGAGGTATACAATAAATCTTTCTGCTCCGGTGATAGCGCCGCACAGAATGTGCCCCAAAGTGGAGGTGCGTTAAATGCATTTGCCGGCAGTAGAACAAGGGGTTCATAGACTGTATAGCGCTTTGGAAGAGATGCAGTGATATCGTCAAAAGAGATCTCGAGTTCAGCAAGAAGTGATCGTGATGGCGGGGTTTTCAGAAATTCCTTTATTCCCGTTTGCAGGGCATTAAATTTATTCTCAGAGGCTCGAGGACGTTTTGGATAGTCGCATTTTGATTTTGACCTTGCTGTACCATCTTTTGGTCCTCGATCCTGGTTTTTTGTTGTCTGATCCATTGCAAAGTATTCGTCAATTTATGCGACTGATCTTGAATGGTCCGAGATGTGCATGAAGTGGGTGTTTTTTGAATATAAATTTCGAATTTGGCATCAAAATCGGCGCTTATCAACCCATGTCAGAGGGTGTGCAGGTGTTGGTCTTTTTTCATTCTAGACCTAGAATGTAGGGTGTCGTTGTCGCCAGGTCGAGTTGTGAGTTTCTGCAACGCCGAGCTAACGCCCACAAATTCCGACACGTGACCTTTAAGCAAGTTCATTCACAAATCCTTCTATTTTTTGTTTCTCGCAAGAAATTTAAGTACTAGTATTGATTTGAGGATTTAGTTGACTGGGTACTAGGTACCTGAATTCTTCTGTCAGCCTGTTGCCCAGGCATGTCATTCCAAATTGGCCTAAGGGGCGGCCGATGAACACTTTCAGTCACACACTGGCATTGTCTAATTGAAAACTTCAAGTCACATCACCTCAATTCCTTGGTACTTATTCTACTAATTGAACGACTTGAGAAATATTTTTCGCCATGTTTATCCCGTGGCCACTGTGGAAAAATGCAAACCTCCGAGTCTGCCTTCGTGACTATTTGGATACTAACGGGTAGGTAGGTATTGACGAGGGCGAGGATATATCTCCAAAATATTTGGTAGAAATGAGCATAGTAACCTGGAATATACTACTTCCAAGGCTTTCAACGACAGGCAGGCCTCAGCCTTCAAGTTGTTAGAACATTGAGCGGGAACTTCCAAGATTCGACAACCGATCTTGCTTGTTCGAAATAGCGCGTTTGCCCTCCCCTTAAGTAGTAGGTAAGGCAATCGTCGTGGCACTCATTTTGGGTGACCTGGGGCAGTATTTGCGTCAAAGAATAGTACTAGGGGGGGTTGGTCGACATGTTAAGATATACTTGCTCGGGCTGTCAAATCACCGTTGAACGATTCAAAGTTTATCAGGCGGGGTGTCACCTTAATACTAGTAGTAGCATTCAACTGGCTCGATAAGAAACAACATCTTGGGACTTCGCTAAATGAGCCAATGCGAGCTACTCGTACTGCGGGTTATAGTGAAACAAAGACCTGTAAAGAGTAAGAAATCAACATTCAAGCCCATAAGGATAGACTGCTAGTTTCCTTGACTAATAGGTCGTTGACTTAGCGGGGATTACCAACTCCATAGTACGGGGTATGGGAGAAGAGCGGGCCCGGTGGTGATTAATATTAATCATAGGAAATCCTGGGGTGGATGCCGGCCAACTCCAGGTGCACAAATGAGCCCGGTGATCTCATCTAAGCAGCTGCGGTCTATATTCCGGGTCCAAGATGATGTTCTGCAATACTACCCCTGATATTTGGGTGATGATGATGGACATTGAGTGCTGCCACATTTTTATTATTTTTCGCGCCCTACGATTGATTATATTGGATCTTGATTGACGGGTCAACCAGCTGATTGGTAGTCACATCTGCAGTTGCTTATATCCACTAGGATCTTGGTACTCCGTAGAGAAAATGAATATCAAACTCATCCCCAACGAATAACTGCGACGGCGGTGACTCGGCCAGCTGGCCCCACTCTGCGGGTGTTGATTGGCTCGGCGGTCAATATTTCGCCGAGGGAAAAACCTTGCAGAGATGAGTCATCAATATCAGCCAATGAACGGAAAGCTCGTTACGTTTCACCACCGCAGCCAAGGCAAGGTTTCATCACCGATTGCCTAATCGCGGGGGTACCTGATCCGGGTGAAACTCAATCGAAACGCCATGGTCGTAGCTTATTTGCCCCAGACCGAGCTTGAGGGCGATCATACATACCTTGAGCCTGCTATACCTCCATTCGCGGGTCGTTTGGGTGGTAATCAGGACTTCATCGTCGACCGGAATGACCCCAAGAATGTCAATGTCTTGGAAAGAGTACCCGATGCTGCACCGTGCATGACATTGGCCGAGATCTTCGACTTACGGGGATTTCTTAGTGCAGATCTATGGAAGTTCGCCATGCTGGAATGTATCGGTAAGACCGTTTCTCCTTCGACATCCGGGGATGGAAGAAATTTCTGTACTCACGCTAGAATGCTCCCACCATGTGGTGATATCACAATGAAGATGGCTGACCCCAATCTTATACAGCGAGCTTAATGAACGTCTTTATCTCGTCCTGGGTGACTACCCACCCACTGTCAAAGACGACTTCGCCGCAGACCGAGGCCGGTGTCTACCATACAGTCACTTTCTTCTCCCCACTGTTCGGCGGCATCACCAATCTCCTTCTGACTCCGCTGTTGATCTACACCTTTTCTCCCTCGAGTGGAGGCCACATTAGCCCGACAATTACGCTAGCCACTTTCTTTGCGCGTATCATTTCCTTTCCGCGAATGATCCTATACCTAGCTGGCCAGACTCTCGGTGGTGCATTGGCTGGCCTTCTGCTGAACAGTGCCTACGGCACTCGGGAATTCACCGTTGGAGGATGTCACATTGATACTTCCATGGTCCCCGCCACGGATGGCCTAGTCATCGAGTTTGTGGCCTGTTTGATCTTGATCTTCCTGGCCTTTGGTGTTGCGCTGGACCCGCGACAAGCCAAGGTCTTCGGCCCGGCCACTGGTCCCTGGTTTGTCGGCGTGGTCCTTGGGATAGTGAGCTGGGGAACCGCTTTCACTCGCGAGGGATACATTGGTGCGAGTAAGTGGCACACCCAGGGGATGGCGAAGCAAGAAACTAGAGCCAGGGGTTGGACATTAAATAACCTTCTTATCTGCAGGTCTTAATCCCGCACGGTGCTTCGGAGCGTATGTGGCGTCGGAGTTTCCCACCTATCATTGGATTCACTGGGTAAGTTGTACCGAGTGTTTGGCTCGAGGCTGCCTCCACCGACAGGCCTTATCTACATCTCAAGAAAGAACCTTTGCTAATTTGACGTAGGTTGGGCCACTGGCGGCTTCTATCGGGCACGGGCTGGTTTACTACATTGACCCACTTTGGACCGAGTCGCGGAGCTCGCCGTAGCGGGCTTATCGCCCGGAGGCGGCCATTGATTACCGCCCGACACCACATTCTTGTATAACCGTTACTAACAGATACATAAAGCAGCCCTGGAGGTGAAGTTACGATATGGACATACTAGATGAAAGAAATAGAGTTAGACGTGCAACCCCGTGTACAGAGATATACATATAGTTGACACAGTGAAATTTTGACAGCGATTAGGATGGCGATCATTTCTACATGGTCATCACTAAAGGACTTCAAGTTCTTTTCCACAATAGCCCACCCCTGCAGTGAAGCATTATCAATGCTGATCATAGGCGAAGAGAAAAGGACACAAAAGGCTAGACTGTAGTCCCAAAAAATGCGTCACTTCCAGATTTCAATCTCGAGCCATTATGCATTTTAGGATTGGCCCATGGCCTTTGTGTATTTTCCCAGTAGCATTTGGGCATTCACAATTTGAATCCTAAGAAACTAGCCATCATGTGCTCTCAGTTGTCTCCTTGTACCAGACAGATTCACGATCTTTTCGTACTACTTTACGTACCATAGTATGCCGAACGCTATGGTAAAAGGTTCCATCATTGGCTACTCAGAAATCCCGCAACCAAACTCTGATGATATACGGAGTACATTGACCAAGTTCTTTCTACGTGATCTCGGGAATGGAGTTGTTGTTAGTATACTATATAGAGTGGCCTTTCAAGAGAGTGCCCGAGGAACAGATCATATGTGCTCATTGTGGAAGCAAATTTGGAAGTTGGAAGTATCAAATGCAGCCAGTAAGTAAGTCAGACGGCCAGATAATCAGGTGATTGTAGCATGGCCAATGCCAAACAAATCGAAACGCTAACGCTCGGAACGAGGGGAATAATGGCCGAAAAAGAGAACCCCAGTGAGAGCCACCCATGGGCATCCCTGGGAGAAAAGAGGAAAATAGAAAACGCCAAAATTGGACAAAAACGCCTCCGTAAAACGAGATCTACACCGTAATTCACCCCAAAGCTGGATTTTCCCGTGAATTTTAATATCTACGAGGTCTCGACTTTGTTCACGGGAAAGTCATTCGGCTTTGGAATGAGAGGCGGGTGCAAATGCCGTTTCTCAGTAATCCGTAGCAGGGTATCCTAGCCTATCAGTCGGTTCAATCACCCTAGAACGTTGTTAGTACATCTCTCAATAGAAACTCTCGGGTTTTAGACTCACGAATATTGCTTGGTGAGAGTTCCCTCTCCGCCTTTCGACAAGTCAATGTTGAAGACGTAAAAATTGCCGTCACTGGTCACAACCATAACCTGGGGAGTGTTGTTGCTCATAGCCACCACACTACGAAGAGGACCAGTGGTGTTGTTATTGCCCGCTCCGGGATTCGCTCGTGGTATTTTGATCCACGCAAAATCTCGCGCTGGCTCCCACATCTCACTAACGCCCTTGGGGAGATAACCCCCAACTTTGGCAGCGACCGCTCCTCCAACATTTTGTGATGTCCGGCGGAGCATCCCTATCAGAGTCCCGTTGTGCTTCCTTTGGGAAAGTTCTGAACTGGTCTCACCGCTCATTTCATCCTCATCGTGCGACCTTCCAAACGGACTGGTCCCGTACGTTGAGTCGCGACCAACTGGTGAGTGTGAGGGAGGTGAGTTGTCTGATGTTGGCCCCTGTTGGCTCAGCTTGAACAGATGGATGGTTTCGGTTGAAGATGACACGCAAAGTAGGGTCGACGTTGTATTGAAGGACATGCTGTAGATGCGAGATGGCATGGAACCTCGTCGGAACTGGTACAGTTTGTGACCATCTGGAACCGAGAATACTCGAATAATCGTCCCCTTGTCCGAGGCAGTCGCAAGCAGAGTTCCTTCGCTATTGAGTGTGATGCATGCTAGTGGAGAACGGTGCGCCTCGATGACATTGATAGCTTCTAATTTAGAGGAATCGAAGATAAGGACATCGCCGGTTGTGGGTGAGACATGAGTTGTCCCGGGGGGTGCATGTGCTGGTGGTTTCGAGGCTGCGGGTGCCTTTTGAGGGAGGGGGTACGCCATGTAGCAGTTTTCGGACGAAGGGGCCAAGGCACATATAGCTAGAATATAAGACATCATCAGTGCTGGTTCACAGACCGGAAAAGTGAAGGTACGCACCATGCGGGTTTGGTGACGTGTCGATCGTGGATAAGAGTTTCATGGTCTGGATATCGTAGAGGTAGATCTGATCTTCAAGAACAATGACAAGGCGTTTGCGATTTAGTTTCACAGCAAGCACCGTGGTTGGAAACGTTAATTCGCATATCGTGCATTGACGCTATGTTGATAATGTTAGAAGAGTCTGTCTAGGCCTCTTATACTAGACGTGGTTGCCCTGTAGGTGCAAGCTTGAACGAACCTTAGTGTTTGTAATTTGTAGGCGGCGAGGGGAAAGAATCAGGGCTACCAGTGAAGTTGAGAAGAGCATCTCAATCACGGCAATGTTCCCTTCCTTTGTTTCATAGCTTTTCGCAAAGGGGTCGGTGGTGAAGATGCGGAATCCCTTGGAGGTGGCTGGCCGATGTCAGTAAACAAGCTCTCATTGTCCGTATCACGCTTCTTTTGATGGCGGGAAGTTCGTGAAACTTACCGACAGCCAGGTAACTGTAGTCCTGGTTAAAGGTGACGAAGTTCATCGCCATTTTGGCGGCGGCGCGCAAGTTGGCCTGGGTCGCAGAGGTGGATACAAGAGCTGTAAGTAGATGGTACCCCGCTTAGCTTGGGGAAGATGGAAGATCGGGCTGAGCTAGCAAGGAGTCGCCCGTTACCGGTCGGTCCCTATCATCGCCCTAGTGGCCCAAGTTTCGGTTCCAGGTAAACGTGCTGGGGGCTGGGAAAGATGAGATTTGCGGAGATGCTGAGAGGAACATCGTCGTCACAAGCGAGAGTCACTGAGGCGCTCGGGCCACACTTTGATTACCCACCGCCTACGAGTTTCTTATCGATAGAGAAATTTATTGCAGGTGGGCAGGGAATATCCTACTAATACTTTGCACCATTCAGATTGATTCCACAAGTTATGGGTTTGGTCAAGAAACCAGCAATGGCTGCCTCCCGAGGCTCTTCGAAGTCCGAAAAGGCAGCTGATGAGGTCATGGGGGTATGTATTCGTACTCCATAGAGGCGTTGGACGCCAGATGTGCCAAATGCTCACGGATCGTCGCAGACGAACAATAGCAGTATTGCGTCCAAACGAAGCGTTGAGAGAATCTACCTGCCCGAACCGCATTTTTTTAGTTGTTTTGTGAAGAAACCACAGCGCCGGTCACCAATCATCAATCGTGGTTATTGGTTCCGAATGTATGCCATGGCGGAGACGGTTCGACAATTCATGGAGAAAGCACCGGTAGATAAGCCCAAATACGTTTTGAATTTGGGTTGTGGATAGTGAGTTATCAGATCTAACACATTGTTTTCAAAACATCTTTCTGAACGAAATTCGCAGTGATCCCTTGCCCTTCATGCTGCTCAGCGACGAGAAGAAGGCAGGTCGTAGTGGGCATACCGTATTTGTGGACATCGACTACGAAAAGCTCATGGACCATAAGAAGAGAACCATTCAAGAATCCAACGAAATCACCAGCGTATTGGAGGATGCTCAATTTGGCGAATACGAAGACCCTATCCAAATTCGCAGCTCCCGATACATTGCCGTGGGCTGCGATATGTACAACTTGAAGAAGCTTGACGAGGTATTGCGCACTAGTGTCCTGCCTTCTACTGACTGCTCGGTGCTTTTCTTGGCAGAGGTTTCTTTGACTTATATGGACGTCAAGTCTGCCCATAATGTCGTGACATGGGCCTCAAAGCTAACCAATGGTGAGTGAAGAAGAAGAATGGCACGCTTTGTTCTTTTCAATCGTCAAAGTGACTGCATGCTAACCCATGAATGTTTTATTGTTTAGATGTCCAATTTTGTATATTGGAGCAATTCTTCCCAGATGGTCCTGACCACCCGTTTGCGAAGACGATGATGACCCATTTTAACAAAGTGCGGGCTCCTCTATTCTCGATCCACGAGTTTCCCACGCTTGGCCAACAAGAACAACGATTTCGAAATGCTGGTTGGTCTGAAGCCCGGGCAAGAAGCCTATGGGATCTATGGTCTGATAGCGAATTCTTGCCCGATTCGATACGAACCGGGCTGGATTCATTCGAAGCCTTTGATGAGTGGGAAGAGTTTGCAGTTTTTGCTTCTCACTATTTCGTGTTGATTGCATCAAACAGTCCCGGCGTAGAAAAGATCAAATGCCCCGAGAGTACCAATGAGCATTCCTCAGGTGATGTCTCGTCTCGATTTGCACTGACACCGCATTGCCCACCCGAAAATAATGGCCGCCGACGATATGGTGCATTGATACCGGATGGTGACCATTCTGTCGGTTACCATGGTGGTCAAGGCGAACAATCACGCCTGGCTTCCACGGATCTGTATACTCGCACTGAAAGCATTAACGGGCTACTCTCAACAGTTCCGCCGCCCCATATCCCCACGCGAATGTGTCACACTGTTACCCCACTGGCCAGAAATTCTAGATGTCTTCTTGTGGGTGGCAGGACATCCCCCACTGCTCCCCTGAGCGACTGCTGGGTACGCCGTGATAATTCGTGGAGCCAGGTTCAACCCCTGCCCGAGCCGCGATTCCGACACAACGCCACCGACGTTTCATGCGGTGATGAAAAAAGTTCTATCCTTGTTTATGGTGGCAAGTCCAACAACCACCTGCTCCTGGATAGCTGGGTGCTATGGAACGACAAGGACGAGCGAGGGTGGCAAAGGGTCAATGTCAGGGCGGTCGGTCCTTCACCTCAAGCTCGCTTTGGCGCAAGCTTTTCAAGGATAAACGATCATTCCGGGGTCTTGTTTGGAGGTATCGGGGCTACTGGAACTATTTTAGAAGACTTTTGGTCATGGAATCTTTCTCGTTGCGAGGATGGATCTTTGCAAGTGGAGATCACAGACCTCACCCAAAGCATCAGGGATGCAGTGCCCCAACTTTTCCCCTTTCTGAGTCGATTTGGGGCAACAGTGAACACAACATCGTTCGGCTTGGTTCTTGCTGGAGGCATTATCCCTCGCCAGGTAGTTCCAGCTGATAAAGAAATCTTATTGCTGGACATCCAGCAACTGATGACGTTATCAGAAAAGAAGCTATGCGGTCCAACTGTTATCTCAAGCATCGGACTCGGAGCAAATTTCGAGGGACCAAGACCATTGCTTACCGGCCACGTCGCCCACACGATTGCGACTGACGCTGTTCTTCTACTTGGTGGAGGAGGAGTGTGCTACGCATTTGGAAATTTCTGGTCAGAGGGATCGTGGCTTCTGCAATCGCAAGACTCGAAGACGGGGAATACGTGGACGATCTCCGCCGCCGAAAGCCAAACCCATTCCTAGTCACTCCCTTAGATATGTACATTGGGAAAAGAATGGAATGCGACTGGGAAGGCCATTGCGGACCAAAAATAGGCCGCTCAGAACCAGGACCAAACAATATTGGGAAATCACAAACAGGAACCCTGCACGGGATTGGGTATAAGGCGTATTGCATAAGCGTGACTGAAGGTCGTAAGGTACTGGACGGCAGCTATCCGCATTACACGACATTGCATCCTCCAATCCAGACTGAGAAAACGAGATATGTGGATTGATCAGGCGGACATACATATCATTCATCCAATAGAAAATGATCCAACTATTTCTTTGCAACCATCCAACCGGTTCTGTTTGGTTCCTAGACACGGTTCGTGATTGTTGTGGTTGGTTAGTGGTTAGCCAGTGGACGCCAGTCCACAATCCAATTGGCCGGACCAACCAACCTACCCATTACGGCGTTATCTTCCAAGTGGGCGATGCCGATAGCTGCAAATATGCTTAGTTCCTAGCTGCAATTTCCGGGTCGGTGACGATGTGGCTCGCTTTAGATCAAATGTGTTACCTTCTAATCTGATTGCCACTCGGGTGAAACAAACCTTGGAATGTGTCAAAGCAAGGACAGTACTACAAGCAGATGTGAGGTCAATACTCGTCTACTCACGCCAAAGCCTACCTAGTATGGTATGAAACTTGAATGATCTTTCTTACGCTAGATGCCAGCTTCCAAGGTTGTCTATTAGATTCCCATACCAGCATGATGAAGTATAGCCTGAGTTGCCAGGTTCCACATCGACATATTCTGACTTGTCGATTCCAAGTTTATACCAATAAACTTCCAACAGAGTCGCTTTCAGGCACATCCCCGTGAGGGTGGTAGAGCAAGCGATGATCTTGTTGATCCTTCCTAGTTATAGTACGCGGCATGGTAACCTTTATCCATTCACCATCGAGGGAGGTCAGCGTGGTGTGAACACCTGCACTCGCCACCTAGCAAGGACCATTGCGAGGACTCAACTCCAACTCTAACGATCGACACATCCAAGCGTCCTGAGAATCAAGACAAGATCTACGGAGGCCTTGCCTGATCGCTTGGAAAAAGTCCCACCTGATATAACCGGCCGCTTATATCTGTGACGGCTAGTCGAGGAGATGCAAGAAATTGCCAACCAATTACACGGTTCAGGGGCAGCCACAAGGGGTGGGGCTACATGGAGGGAGGGGGGACTCCCAGGTACAGAGGTACCCTAGGTACATCAGATATTGACAAGCCATCCTTCTCCTGCGGTGCCACCTTGGACACACACTGGTGTGCTTCCTTTGGGCACCAGTGCGCTGGTCGAAGCCATTAGGTTCCTATTTATTCCGAGCACATCTGCGAGTTCAATGTTGGCCATCACATGAGGGAGTGATATCCGACAATGATGTGGTGGTGTGAATGTGTTGTCCAGTGTTGTCTAGTTTTGTTTTGCCTTGTTTATTAATAGAGAGCGACATAAGTTGAGTGCCATGGTGGGATGTTGAACGTTTGGTGTTGCCCGCATATCTCTCCCCCACTTGGTGGAGCGCGCATGGGCGATCCGGGGTCAGCCCCAGTCCGAGTCCCAGTGCTGCACTTCCCCTACTCAATATGTAACTAAAGTACGATACGGTCGAAAAGGAATCCAGGCTACTGTATGTGGGAAGCTCCATATTGTGGATGTTGTCTGCCCAGCTTCGCTCGGCGGATCCCAACCTGTCAGCATCCCGGCTTCCCGGCCCACTCTCTGGTCCACTTTGACGGCTGCTTCTATCTTTGTTGAATGAGAAGCTCGAGAAAAAAAATTGAGTTCAACCGGCATTCCACGGATTCCACGGTTATGCAGGCTTGAGGAGAGATGTGTGCGGGGTCTCTTTGTCTCTTGTCGACGACGATTCGTAGAGGAAGCGAGTGGAGGTGACCCCCGGACGCACAGACAAGACCGGGTGGATAGGAATCTGGGCCGAGAACGAGGGGCAGCAAGAATCTCAGCGTCATGGCCATCGATCCCTGGTGATGATTGGTGCACCTCGATGGGGTCGTCCGTGGGAAGGGTTGGTCTAGCGTATATCGAGGCGCCCTCGCGGGGGTCCCGGGGGAAGTAAGACCCGCCATGATAACTCTGGGAATGGTCGATTTGATTTCGGATAGGATTATGGTGTTTTGATAGGATCCGCCGTGGGTCAACAGTGGATACTCGGGACTGCGAACGGAGGGACCAGACCCGGGAGAGTCAGTGGAGGAGGAGGGGGCATGACGACGATGATAAGTGATGATGATGAGATTCAAGGCAAACCACAGAGGGGGATTCGTATGTTGCAGGGGTGTTGAACAAGGGTATTGCTCCACATCTCTGGGACTCCCTTTCGTTTTTCTCGGAAAGGTAAAGCCAAAGAAGGCGAAATGATTCTGGGGATTGTTGTGGTAATTGGATTGGAGTGTCGCACACTTAGATAGCGCGCCCGATCTTGTCCCACGGGCCAAGCCAAGCAGCCAACTACACAATCCTCCCCTCTTCCTCTTCTCTCGTCCTCTCACTTCTCTTCTTTTCTTTCCAAGCATCATCACCTCACATCACTAGAGACTCCTTGTTCTTTTTCAGCTTGTGTTTCCCCTCTTCGTTTTACCCCCTCCTCCCTCCATTTCAAGTGCCAATCCACTGCTTCCTTGAATTCCTTGTCCCCCTTGCTCACACTATTATCACCTGCGTCGTATGACTGTGGGTGGGCCTTTGATAACTGTATTTCTCTCCCTCCCCTCCCCCTTTGACATTCCAGACATGCTTCGGAGTTGTCCAACTGCTGCTCCCTTGAAAATACAATATCATCTCTGGTTGTCTCATATACAAGGACTGACCTGACCACCCGACAATAGCCGCGGCAACTTGCAACTTGCAACCATCAACTTAACCCGCTCATCCAGTCTGCGAAGGATGTGATCTTCTGGTCGCCTGGCTGCCGATAACGTAACACGAACCCTCTTCCACCAGAAACCGACTTACGATTGTTGAACCTGCCCCATCGGCGACCTTGTTTTGATCATGGCGACTGTCCTCGTCCAGCAGCATACGCTGCACCATTCGACCCCTCCCCCATCTCCTATTCCATCGGCACTGAATGTGAACCGACGGCCGAGCCCAATCCCCAATAAACACATCCCAGTGTGTCCCACGGGGCCATCCACCGCCGACAGCGCCCCGGTTGAGTCTCCTCCTATACCGAGAAGCTTCCCCGAACAGCCTTCGTCTCTCTTACATCCACCAGACTCTTTCGTGCGCATCTCCCGCCTACCATCTCCCACAGTATATGCTATCGATGGAGAGAGCTTGGCTGCTGCGCTGGATCATGCAGCATCGCAGCCTCTGTCGGACCCTGCTCAAATGTTCCCTTGGCTGCATGGGCTTCACCCCGACAACCACTTGCAGCTGGGATTCTTTTCAAGCCGTAAGCGGGCTTCGCGCCGGACACCAAAATGCTGGCGAGGTATCACTGTGGTCAAGCTTGGCGGCGATCTGAGCAGATCACGCATCAAGGGTGCCGTCTGCGCAAGCGAAGTGATATCTCCTTCATCACGGTTCTTGATGGCAGATCCACCAGATGGGTTCTCGGTGCGTAACTTCCAGATCCAGACCGCCAAGCTGGCTGCTATGTCGGATATTGTGGTGTACGCAGAAGACGGATCCAGCAAATCCGAGCTCCTTGCACTGGCGGAGGATTTTACTTTGGCGCAACAAGCATGGCGGATGAAGCATGATGCTCTCCACGAACGACCAACATACAACACCTTTGTTGTCACCAGTCAGTATCGCACATATATACATGGGAAAATATCTCTTTGACTAACCTGATTTTTCATTAGGTACCTTTGCCGACTTCGAGAAGAAACACCCCAATCTGGTAGCCATTGACGCGAAGGGCAATCCTACTGGCCAGGTGATGGACTTCTGTAGGTTTTGAGACCATTCTTCACTTTCGCCTTCCCAAATATACTAATCCATCTCGCCAGTCCAATGGGAGCGGTCAGAGATGTGCGGCATGTCTCGGGCTTCGGAAATATCAGCCAATGTCTGGTTGGGGCCAACGCCGGACTATTTGCTCAGGCCCGGCGTGTGCGAACCAACAAAGGAAGACGAGTATGATCTTTTGATCGAAGCCAGCGACCTCGCCAGTATTCCAGGACCACGTTTCTTAGGTATGGTCGATAAGCAGCTCGAAGAGGGCCCGCAGCGGATGGAGTTCCCATCATCTGGGTCTATTGTCCTTCCCTCCGGCAACACCCGCGAAGTGGAAGACCTCGTCAACACCATCCGATGGATATACTACCTTGCCAATCCGGATGAGCCTGCGGAGGCGCCAGACCATGACGCTGATTCTGTCATGGCTAATACGGAACCTAGGAGAAAGCCTCGCAAGGTATTCATTCATTGTGCAGATGGATATACTGAGAGCTCTCTTCTTGCCGTTGCATACTTCATGTTTGCTGAAGGAGTTCCGGCCCACGAGGCCTGGCTTAGATTACACTGCGAAAAGAAGCGCAACTTCTTCACATATCCGACAGATGTCGCCTTCCTCAGCCATATCCAGCCTCGCCTGCTTCAGGAAAGTCCGGTATCCCATTCGATCGATACATCGAGCATATGGGACCCACAGTGGTTTTTGAAGATGGACGGCTCTCTGCCCAGTCGTATTTTGCCGTATCTATATCTGGGAAATCTCCACCATGCCAATAACCCGCAGCTACTGACCGAGCTTGGCATCAAACGTGTCCTGAGCATTGGCGAACCTGTCTCATGGAGCGACGCCGAACGCGCCGAATGGGGCCCGGAGAATTTGATGTATATCGACAATGTCCAAGACAACGGCATTGACCCGCTTTGGGAAGAAATCAATCGTTGCTTAGAATTCATCGGTGAGTGACATAAGAAGAAGAGAGGATTGTGTCTCGTCTATTTTTTTTCATCCTTCGGTTCTGGCTTGGGAATGTGCTGACGTTTCTATGACTAGAAAAAGGAAAGCAGGACGGTTGCGCAACCTTGGTTCACTGCCGCGTCGGGGTTTCTCGATCCGCCAGCATTTGCATCGCCGAAGTCATGGCAACCAAGGGTCTCTCTTTTCCCCGAGCATAGTATGTTTTGTCCGAATCTGACTTTGTCGAACGGCCCCTAACATTTTTTAGTTGCTTTGTTCGGGCTCGGCGACTAAACGTCATTATCCAGCCCCATCTTCGCTTTGTGTAAGACTCACCTGCCACCACTTCTCCCTCGGGAACCACAAAGCTGACCTCGCGATAGTTATGAGCTTTTACAATGGGAAGAGCTTCAGATGAAGAAGCGTAACGTCCAGATAAAGCGAGAATTAGAATGGTCTAGCGTTGCCCGCGAGATTGCGCTACTTAACAAACCATACTCGAGAAGCTGAATGCCTACTACGTATCGACGATGGATGGACATTTCTCTTCCAACACCTCCCCGAATCCACCTAACCGGTCGCGACATTTTTAATTACCATTCTTCACCCTTGCATTTGCCTGGACTTTCCAACAGCCTCGCAAGATTTTTATGTTGAACGATTTGACCTACGATTTCCACGAACACGAGATGACCTTCAGAGTTTCAGATTTGTCTTGGCGCATGGCGTTGCGAAGATTTGGTGGAATGGGATTATCAACCGCCATGTTGATGATACAAACAATACCTTGACGTCCTCGCATGATATTTTTTCTTTTCTTCTTTCTGTCTCACAGAGCGCCATCTTGGGACAAATTCTGACATATTTACTTTTTTTCCATATCATTTCATCTTTAGCGAAGAGTGGTTTTCACGGGCTGTCCCGGGATTTTCTGCTCTTTTTTTCTGCAGCCTTTGTCCCTCTTGCTATTCCTGTCATGCGACGAAGAATGCTGGGTGATTATGTTCATCAATCCGGGATCTATGGAGCGTGGCGGATGGCTTACCACCACCTCTTTGGCTGCATGCATCTTACCTCTTCTCTCTTCTACTTCTTTCCCATACCACTGTATTGACTATGGGTACATGTGTTATCGGCCGCTCATATGGCAATGGCGTGGTCGAAAACAGGATCACTTTTTAACTTGACTTTTGAATTTTATCCCCCGACATGGGAGTTATTAGGCCTAAAGGTCTGCATGGTGCACTCCGAGCTTGACATCCCTCTTTGGTCGCTTTAGCACCGCTCAAATACCCTGTAAAGTCCCTTCAGGTCTGCAACTTCCACCACACCCTGTAACATTCGTGACGTAGCCACAAGTCGAGAACGTATGGCAGGGAATACGGCATATTCCAACATTCGCGCCATTTGTTGCCGGCGTGGTTGAATCAGAGGGTCTTCTTGTGCTGTAGCTGCATCGCCGGGATTTGTGTCCTCTGCGTCGTTGGAAACTGGTGTATTCGGAGGGGTGGGAAGTTGTTCTGGCGTGTAAAAGGCTGCGAGTTCTCGTAAGAAAGTTCGGAAACACTCTTCCTCCCCAGACCAATCCACGTATGGTCCGAGCCGGAGCAAAAATCGTGGTAATTTTGCTAGCGAAGGAACATATCCCTTCAGTAGGAGCGGAATTGTGAGCAGCTCACCCTCAGGGCTGATCTGCATGGAAAAATATTCATCAAGCATTTCTCGACGTTCGATCAGACTGCGCGCTACGACATCTGCGGCATTGGAAAATATTGCTTGAGACTCATCGTCGGTCTCAGTGGGATGCGCTTGTTGCTCTGATTCAGCTGCGATCTTTAGAATATCCACGAGCTTTGGTGGCGGGTCTAATTTGATGACTCCGAAGTTGCCAAAGTCCGTTAATCCAACTTGATAAAAGAATTCGTTGCAGGCGAGCCCGTAGTCGACCAAATAGAGTTTCACTCCGGATTGAACTGCCGCCAGGCGCCGTCGTTCATCTACAAGGCCGACGTAGGTATGCGATGCGAACATCTCCGTTAATGTATTATGCATGGCAGCGCGTACTGAGCTGCGAAGAGCTTTGATGGAGGAGAGGGCGATGCGAAGGGGCTGACGATCAGTTGTTTCATATAGGAGGCCGTCATCTAGTATAGAAGAGGCCGAAGCACCAGCTTCAGCGGACGCCCCAAGATGAGAGGGAGATGATATAGGAGCTTGGGTGATCATTGATGTGATTTTGCGGACTTTTGAATCCGTACGGACGAGGTTGTTCTCATATGGTCGTTTAGAGGTTGCTGGTGTTTTGGGAGTGCTTGCTGTTTTGTTACTCGCAACACCTTCGCCAGATAGTGCACTTTCGGGGCCTGGTTGGATTGTTTCAATTTGAACCCCAGGTAACAAGGTTTGTGTTAGGAACGTTCGACTTTCATCAACCTGAGCGAGCTTGGATCTGATTTCACTGCACACCATCTCGATAATTTCTTCTTCATTGAGAAAGTTGACCTCTCGTTTAGTGGGGTGAACGTTGACATCAACACGTTGAGGTTCAATTTCCAGATCGAGATAGATAAATGGGTGTCCGCCTTTCGGTAAGAAGGCAGAATAGGTCCGTTCGACCGCGCGTTTAACGGCCGTTGACTCCACTGCGCGATGGTTGATGAAGAGCAGTATGACGGTCTTCTTGACATGGTAGTTCGCATTAGTGGCAAGCCCGGAGGCTTGAAAACCAAGCTTCTTCTCAGCAATCTCAAATTTCACTAGTTCATTTGCAACAGCACTGCCGTGTATTTGACGGATCCGATCGACTGTGGTGGCACTTGATGGAGTTGATATGCTCACACCTGAATCGCCGTGTTTGCGACAGGAAAAGGCGACACCAGCGCAGTGTACTGCGTAGCGGCCGACCACGTCGAGTATCTTAGCGTACTCCTCGCTTGCAGAGCGGAAAGCACGGCGTCGAGTGGGAATATTGTAGAAAAGGTCTTCGACCTATTATAACGGATGCTTTTAGACTTTGATGTTAAAGAAAGTTGTGCAAGATAATACTGACTGTTATCTGCGTTCCCCCACGTCCAGCAGTGGCTTTCGGGGCTGCATTCTGTCCAGGCTTCGCAGGAACCAGTTTTCCATCACCATAATGTGCACGCCAGGCACAGCTCGACCCAGCAGTTTTGGTTGTGACCGTGAGATGGGCGATATGGCTTATACTGGCGAGAGCCTCGCCGCGAAAACCGTACGTGCCAATGGAAGTCAGATCCTCGAATTCTTTCAATTTGGATGTGGTGAATCTCTCGCAGAGAATGGGAAGGTCCTCGCGCTATACAAGGTTAGAAAGGACCATTCTCGAGGTTGCAAAGGAATGGGATGTCATCAGATCTCACATCAATCCCATGCCCATTATCCGTGATTTGAAGTAGTTTCAATCCTCCATCTTTGACTAGTACTTCGAGAGAGGTGGAGCCCGCATCGACGGCGTTTTCGATCAACTCCTTCAACGCGTGCATCGGGGCAACGATGATTTCCCCGGCGGCGATTTTATTGACGACATCGGGATCGAGGGCCTATGTTATCATAGGTTAGCATATCAATGAAGCTAGTCTAAGAAGGTCGAGGTCTTTGGGTTTGGACGTCTCCCTACCTTGATTCGCTTTGGCCGGGCTGGCTCAGATGACTCCGTTTCCTCAACAGGGCGTTTGGTTCCCCGTTGGTCAGGAGAGTCGACTTCCATCGCGCCGTCCATTTCGTTCAATCTGCCCGGCGCGTGTGAGTGACGTGAAGTTGAAGTGGAGAAGAAACGCGGAGGCTCCACGATAAGGCGATAGCTAGACGCCCCCCCCATTCCAATCGGAGCGCCTTCTCTTTAACACCCCTTCGCCTGCGGATGCACACAGCTCAACTTCTTGCTTCCTTGGACTTGGAAACCAAGGTATATCCTTATGTTTAGCAATAGCCCCTCAGTGGTGTCTATGTTGACCCAGCATGGCGCCCGCAAAGATGTCACTGCAGGCCGATGAGGAATTGGGCAAGAAAGATGACGACCATCGACTCCCTGAATCGGGGCGCTTTCGGCCCATTAAAAGCTCAGCCATCCCTCGACCTCGGCGCATAGTGATTATAATCATCGTGTGCGTCATTGTGTATCAGTTTTTCAAGCACATGCCGACCGATCTGACCCCGGCGGCCGAGCGATACAATCCGACGACGACGAAATCCAGACCTCCGAGACCTGCATCGCCTGGAGGGTCATTTCAGTCCCCGGCAGTTCCAATAAATGAGAAAGGGAAGCTCTTTGATGGCAAAATACTCGAAACCCACGATAATGAGGAGCCGTATGGCGACAAGATCAAGTTCTACAATCTGGCCCAGTCTCTTCCCAGCCAGAAATATCCCAAGGGCCAAGCCAGCAATGCTGTGCTATTCGCGGGGTCGAGCCTTCACAGTATCTCGGATTTATTGCCTTTGGCTTGTGAAATGGCAAGGACGAAGCTGAATGGAGTTCATTTAGTCTTGCTGGGTAGGGATGAGGTATCCATTGAAGGTATCAAACAAGTGAACGGAATCAGCGACTCAGAATGTCCTATGACATGGCATGGTTAGTCCTCCTTTTGGCATCAAGTCATATGTCCTTGCTGATCACTTCGCTTGCAAAGATGGTCGGCCGGACTCTGCAGCTCAGTCTACCGACGCTCGTATGGAATGGGCGGTAGTTGATGGTCTTCATTTCATCTGGGATTTCATTGCCCCAGAAGTCATAATTACCCAGAGACAAGGCTGGGAAGATTCATTCTTCTGGAATGGATTAGAAGTTCAAAAAGCCGAAAGTGGTACTCCTCATATCATACTTCCAGCTCCTTCCAGAGATTTGATGTGGGTGGCATCTCTTCGAAGCCACGCTCTGCAAGGTAAATATATGTATCCCTGTTGGCTGTGTTTATCCATCGGAACCTGAAAATACTAACGTGGTGGTTTATAATAGCTTGGAATGATATCCAGGTTGACATGGTTGTTCATGCCTCCCAGTCATCGGGAGCTCTCGTTAGGCTCGTCCGCTCATTAGATGCGGCTGATTATCTGGGAAGCTTACCTAGACTAACCATCGAACTCCCTCCACTGGTTGAATCTCAGTTACTAGAGAGCCTGCAATCTCTCAAGCTATCGCAATTTCAGGGACAGATCACCCTCCGCCGGCGTGTTGAACCTCGCTACATGGACCCTGCTGATTCCTCCTTGCGAACGGTGGAAAGCTTTTATCCATTAAATCCAAGCACCACACATCTCCTTCTTCTCTCTCCCCAAACAGAACTAGCCCCTTCATTCTATCATTACCTGAAATACAGTGTCTTGCGCTACAATCAGCCATTTCGGGATCGCTCAGCATCCTCGAACCTCCTAGGAATTTCGCTTGAATTGCCTAGATCCAAGCCATCGCCCGACAATGCTCCGTTTACACCACCGCCACCACCACCCTTCAATGACGGGAAATATCAAAAGAAAGAGCATATCCCATCGCTACTATGGCAAGCGCCAAACAGCAATGCAGCCTTGTACTTTGGTGATAAATGGGTCGAGTTTCACTCATTCCTCTCAAGTCGCCTTGATTCGGAAGGCAGGGCCAATGCGGCCTCAAAGCACAAGTTGGTCTCTAAAAAATATCCAGCATTCATGGAATATCTACTGGAGATGATGCAAGACAAGGGATATTACATGATCTATCCTTCATTTTCAAGTGGTACCACCTCCCCCTTGGCAACCGTGCACACTGAGTTGAACCGACTCCCCGAAGAGTTCACAGAATCTATTAACTCTGCCCAACTTGGAGAGGGGTCTCATGAGAAGGCTGGTGGTAATAATCCAGACCCAGAAGTGGCTGAATTCGATCAATTGGAAGCATCGTCCGATGAAAAGCCAGTGAGCCGAGAAACTAGCATCACCTCCCTGCTTGGTACCTTCGAGTTGGGTCTTCCTGATGTCGACACGCTACCTTTCTTATCATATGATGGATCAGTCTTGGCTGCTGAGGAACATATCACTAAAGCAAGAACCTTCATTGGTCGGTCCTGAGCTGGTCTTATCAGAGCAACCTTGGAAGGGTTGATAAATGTATTGAAATTGGTTCTGATCTATTGGTTCTTGTATATTTTTTGTTTACAATGATCTACTGCACCTTTCCATTCATATGGGAGTGTTTTTGTGTTTAAGTCCCCATAAATAAACCAGTATACATGAAGTTCGTGAAATCCTTCAAGTGAAGCCTGGCTGGAAGGTGCTAGAGGAAAGCAATGACGAAGGCTTGGCATTATTATGTAATCATGGATCCGGGAGCTGCAACAGCCCGAGCTCGATGGCTCCGTCGCCAGCTAACAACTGCATCACTCGCCATCTGCAGAACCCCCCTTAACTTCCTTTCACATTCGTGCGACCGCATACTTGAACCTCTCACATCCGAGCTTTCGTCGCGTTCTTTTGATTCTACACCGACCTGGTCGCCAGATTACCGTCAGAAATGGCGAACGAGGGCGAACGGTCAACCGCCGCCGACAAGGGCAAGGGCAAGGTTGAGGATGTCAGCGAGCTGAATGGCAAGAAGCCTCAAAATGATGAGAAGGCAGCGCCAGATGGAAAGAAGAAGGATGATGAGCCGCAGGAAGGTAGGTTGCGACTGCACCAGACCACTGATGATCCACGAGTAGACCGTGTTCTCCGGGTCATCCCCCCAATATTTGGAGTTAAGACTGACATTCTTGAAGATGAACTCAGCGAGGAGGACCAACAATTGAAGGATGAGCTGGAAATGCTCGTTGAGCGATTAAAGGTTTGACAATGCTCTTCCGATGGATCGGTCGGTGATGACGTTGATGTTGATGCTAACATTCGTTTACGATAGGAATCGGATACCTCGCTCTATGGACCTGCCGTGGAAGCTATCAAGAACTTTATCAAGACCTCTACATCCTCAATGACAGCAGTGCCGAAGCCTCTGAAATTCCTTCGACCGCATTACGACGAATTGACAGAGATCTACGAGGGATGGGATGCGAATGCCGTCAAGGTTGGTTTTTTTTTTCCCACACACAGGAATACTCCTTTAATCCCCTACTCGATTCTAATAATGAGTCTCTTCAGGATTCGCTGGCCGATACGCTCTCAGTACTCGGCATGACCTACGGAGACGAGGAGAAGTTGGAGACGTTGAAATACCGTCTGTTGGCCAAATCGGAGGATCTTGGGTCTTGGGGCCACGAATATATCAGACACCTGGCGCTGGAGATCGGACAGGAATACCAGAACCGGTTGAATGCAGAGAAGGAGACGCAAGACTTGGTGGATCTCGCTCTGTCGCTGGTTCCCTACTTCCTAAGCCACAACGCCGAGGCCGATGCTGTCGATCTTCTGAGTGAGATGGAAATCATCGGGGAAATCCCCCCGGTTTGTTGACGAGAACACATATGCCCGTGTCTGCCTATACATGGTCAGCATGGTCAACCTGCTCACCTACCCCGAAGATCAGGAATTCCTCCGCACTGCACACGAGATTTATGTTCGCTACAACAAGCTTTCCCAAGCGATCGTTCTCGCCATCCGACTTAACGACATTGATCTCATTAAAAGCGACATCAATGCCACATCCGACAAGGCTCTCAAGAAGCAAATGGCATTCCTGGTTGCCCGCCAACAGATCTGGCTTGACCTGCCCGGAGAGGACGAGGAGGATGAAGCTCTTGCCGAGTGCCTGAACAACACATCTATTCCAAAGCACTTCAAGTCGCTTGGAAAGGAGCTCAACATTTTGGACCCGAAGATGCCTGAGGATATCTACAAGACCCACCTGGAGAGCAGCCGTGGAGCAGGCCTTACCAACCTTGATTCGGCACGACACAACTTGGCGAGTTCCTTCGTCAACTCCTTTGCCAACGCCGGCTTCGGAAACGATAAGATGATGCTCGTTGAGGGAGAAAAGGGACCGTGGGTCTGGAAGACTAAAGACGACGGTATGCTTTCAACTACAGCTTCGTTGGGTATGCTTCTGCACCGTGATGTTGAGGATGGATTGGATAAGATCGACAAATTCACCTACGCGAACGAGGATCAGGTTAAGGCCGGTGCTTTGCTCGCAATTGGTATCTTGAACTCCGGCGTTCGTCTCGATTCCGACCCCGCACTTGCCCTCTTGAGTGATTCCGATAACCTTGAGGCTAAGAATGTACCAATGAGAGTGGCATCCATCATGGGTCTGGGTCTGGCCTACGCCGGCTCCAACAAGGAGGAACTCCTTGAGGTTCTCTTGCCAATCGTGGAAGATGCCTCCCTTGATATGCAGCTTTCTGCTATGGCAGCAGTTTCGCTGGGCTTGATCTTTGTTGGATCTTCAAACCACCAGGTCAGCGAGGCCATTGCCACTACGCTCATGGATGAGGAGCGCCAGAAGCAACTGAAGGACAAGTGGACACGGTTCATGGCCCTTGGTCTGGCTCTCCTTTACTTCGGCCGCCAAGAGGAGGTTGACGTTATTCTTGACATTCTCAAGGCTGTTGATCACCCGATGGCCAAGCCAACATCAGTCCTTGCCTCGGTCTGTGCCTGGGCTGGTACTGGTACCGTGCTCAAGCTCCAAGAGCTCCTTCACATCTGTAATGATATTATCGAGGAAAAGGAGGAGAACAAGGGCGATGAGCTGGTTCAGTCTTACGCCGTGCTAGGTCTCTCACTTATCTCCATGGGCGAGGATGTTGGTCAAGACATGATCCTCCGCCAGTTCGGTCACCTTATGCACTACGGCTCTAGCAACATCCGGCGAGCTGTTCCCCTGGCAATGGGCCTCATCAGCCCTAGCAACCCCCAGATGAAGGTCTACGACACCTTGTCAAGATATAGTCACGACAATGACAATGACGTGGCTATCAACGCAATCTTTGCTATGGGTCTCTGCGGTGCGGGTACTAACAATGCCCGCCTCGCACAGCTTCTGCGACAACTCGCCAGTTATTACCACCGCGACCAGAACTCTTTGTTCATGGTCCGCATTGCTCAGGGTCTCCTGCACATGGGTAAGGGTACCATGACCCTGAACCCCTTCCACACCGACCGACAGGTTCTTTCCCGTGTGTCGGCTGCTGGTCTGCTCACCGTCCTCATTTCCTTGATTGACGCCAAGCAATTTATTTTGGCTGAGCACCACTACCTGCTCTACTTCCTTATCACAGCGATGTTCCCTCGTTTCCTCATTACCCTCGATGAGGACCTGCAACCCCTCAGCGTCAACGTTCGTGTTGGTCAAGCTGTGGATGTTGTTGGCCAAGCGGGTCGTCCAAAGACTATCACTGGGTGGCAGACACAAAGCACCCCTGTGCTTCTGTCCCATGGTGAGAGGGCTGAGCTGGAAGATGAGCAGTACATTCCGCTTAGCAACATCCTAGAGGGTCTGGTCATTCTGCGCAAGGTAAGCTTTCTTTCCACAACTTAACTAAGTTACATATGACTGACCATACATCTAGAACCCTGACTGGCAAAGTCCCGAATAAACTAAACGAACTGTTCCCGACTCTTTATATCTCGTGACTAATCTACGTCTTATGCAATGGTCGGGTTGTCGTTGGATCTAATGTATTCAAGAACGATTGAGGAATATTATGGACTCTTTTTTCTCCCCTGTTGCATTTTGTTTATCGGGAAATTAGGCCGCGTTCGGGATTCCGGACATCTTATGTATGGTAGACTACAACTTTCGTCATTGAGCTTAAAGCTGGTCTAGTGTCGCTCATCTGATACTAGACCCGGTGATGCTCTTCGAACAGGTAGATTTATTTGGAATGGACTGCTTCGATATTTTTAGTTCACGGAGTGCCCATGATTTTATCTCCTTTTCCTTCGCTTATCAATTGTAGCTAGTAGTAGCATCCATGGATGCCTGGTTTCATCCGTTCTCAAGGACCTCCACCTTAGTTGTAGTTTCCAAGGCTACCATCCCCTTGTGGTGGCCTGCGGTGTCGACGCTGCCAATGCGTTCTTGGCCATGGCCGCCGCAAATACTTCGGCGGTCGGTTCAGGCGTCGATGTAACTGTGATCGTCTCGCGATCAAGTGCAACCATGGTCACGGGCGGAATATACCAGTCGTTATCACACACTGTCCAACCGGGGTCTACTCCGCGAATCTCTTCCGGGAGCAGCAGCCAAGGACTATAATCGTCACGTATAATACTGCAGGTGTTGCTATCCCCCAACGGGCACTGCTCGCCACCGCGGAACTGTGGCCATGGGATTAACGATTGTGTATAATTCCCGATTTCTTGTGGCGTGAACTCGGCGAAATTGAATGGATAGGCTGTTCCAATAATCGGATATCTGGCGTTTCGATGGTTGCGTACGGAGGAGACGGTCTCTGGATTTACCGAGATAATAACATCGCTGTGGTCGACGCCGCATTGAAACCCCGCATGGCCACGCCGGTTGCTCCAGGCGTATATAGATGTAAAGGAGACGTAGATTGAGGGCGATGTGAAAGTGGCGCCATTAACTATAGCTGTGCTCAGTCCTGACGCGGGGACGGTCGTTCCGTTCTGCAGACAGAGATCGCCATCGGCTGTAGAAATGGGCCAGTAGAATAGGGTCGCGGAATCTGGCAGGAAGTGACAGTTTGAGCAAGGATTCTCTTCTGGGTACTCGCGATTAGTCTGGGGACAGTCCGCAGGGCGAATAGGACTATTAGTATCGCCAGGCATAGAGGTAATGATTGAGTCGCTCCAGGAGCTTGACAAACTAGAATATGTTTGCCAGATCGGGATACAGTCACTTGTTTCGAGAGCGCAATCTGGAACCGGGGATGGCTCTCGATAAAGCGTCTCCGTATTAGTGTAGGTTGTATATCCCGTTATGCAGGGACCAGTTCCGGGGTAATATTGAGTGGCTGTTTCACGGGGGGCCTAGGGCACGCGGAATACCATCACAAAGGGTGGTGAGAGGACCCGTATGGGTATCCGACCACGCCTCTGGTGATACATAGGTGCGACAGGCGCCCTCGCTCGTAGCGTAGGAACCGAGCGAGATGCTTGTGGCAGTTGGACCTAGAGACCACAGACCCTCAGACCGACCAGCGTATTCGACCCATTCAGCGTTGCAAGAGACTGCAGACGCTTCTGGACCGGTAGTAGGCCCATAGTAGTAATTAGTGGCCGTAGGCCAGAAAATCGATGTATTGAGGGTAATGAGCCATTGCTCACTAGTGGTTGCTTTTCCCGTGTTAATTTGAAGTCCAGAAATCCTCGGATATCAACTTACCTTCTTCCTGGCCAGCCGCCAGGCCAAAGAGAATTGTGAAGAACAAGTTTGACAACATACTTGTTTGCGAGTAGCCGGGCCCAGAACAAACTTCCGAGTCCGGTGGGCTTTTATAGTATCTTCGAGTCTTCGGGGGAGATCCAGATCGCGTGTCCTAGATCAGGTTTCCTTTGCATACTCCACCACCTGCAGATACCTGCAGATATACTGGAGAATCACACCTTGGCAGAGCTTCGGGTTGGCTTCTAAGTGAGACATTAGCTAGCATCGTGCATCAGGGTCCAGTGTTCAGAGGACATGTTTGAGAGTACCCTGTCGATGTGGCTGTGCCTTATGCATTCCTCGTGTTGATGCGGGGCTCTTCGGCACCAGCCTTAGCATCAACCCACTTTGATCTATTCTCCGGTCGAGATTCATCAAACGTAACGGACTTGTTGCCGCAAGTAGCAATTAAGGGTCTGGATGCCAAGATGGCTAGTGCAGCACTCGAGTGTTTTTAGGGCTTATGGGCTGACGCGAAGGGCGATGCTGCATGTCAGCAGTATGTACCCTGGGGCTTTGAGAAACCAGCGTTCGGGTTCCCGACAACCGCCCGGGCATGCTTCAACCTTCCCAATAAATATTGAAATCATACTGGAAGTTCTGTTAATTCTACTTCATATATATATGGCACGATGGAACTTGAAGACTGACCTTCCGATTGTAGGCGGGATTTTGAATGGGCATTGTGGTGATAAGGTCAAGTTCCAAGGTTGTCAAGATTATCCAATTTTATCATGAACTTGAAGGCTGACCATTTCTTGGAGTCCCAATTCCCAGATGGTCCTCTGTATTCTGATCAGCCTATTTGTCAGTTTACCCAATTCTTGCTTTTCCCAACATCGCCTAGCTTCGTCCCTTCCACTAGCATATGATTTAGCGCCAAGAGCCTTAATCACTTATGGATCTCAAAACGAGCAGCAAAGGGCCTGTAGGATATCCAACCCTAATAGCTTAAGTATGTGCTTCTAATAGGATCTATCTGAATCCCTTGCGCTCTGCCGTGGATCTTTATGTGTTCATACCTGCGGATATGGATTTTACAGGCCGCTGACTCTTGCTAATAAGTGATATTTAGCCCCAATCGCTGCATTCGCACTCGGCTTGAAAGTGACGCTGGGCAGGCATTCGGCGTTATACTCAAGTTGTCCCGGAGAGATGCATGGTTTCTATTCAACCCAAGGTCTTACGCATAGTACAGAATTTGCATCACGACCCATCCAGCCACTACTTTTTTTAAACGATGTATACGACCATAATCTCTGAGAACCTCGGAGATAATCATTTAATGTAAATTCAATTGTCTCAGTGCGTTTCTAACTCCAAGTCTGTGCAGCAGCAGCAGCGGTCAGATTCAACTTGAAGGTATCTCAATCAAGCTCTATCACGAACTACCCGCGCACTTTCCACCCCTCAAGGACCAAGGCCCAAGTGTCTGGGTATCCTCAGCAACTATTCAGCACCACAGCGCACCTTCCCTAGGATGTCTGTTGACAGCCATCTTGGATTTTCTGGATTTCTTTTTTCCCTTCTCTCTCTTCTTCTCTTTTTCTCTCCAGAACCCATTTCCCTGCCCTCCCCCCTGTTATACACTGCACTCATCATGTCTTGGTCCGTTTTCAAATTGTCATGGCTGTTACTGGCGGCATCGGTATTTTTGGGACGGCATTTTGGATTGTTCGTGGCTTTCATGCTTTGCGGCGGTATTTGGTGGCAGCGAAGAAAAAGATCAGGGATGAGGAGAATGAGGCCGTTGGAAATCTTCTTCAAGAACACCGTCTTTATCACCGTTTGCTTGCACCTGTGCTTCCCTTCCCTTCATCCCCCTCCCCTCTACAGTCAGATCACGGTGATGAGGGCGACATCACTTCTGGTGGGTTTCTGCAGCGTGCTTGGGAGTCCGTACTGAAGTCGTGTTAAATGCCTGACGTTTTGGTTTTTGTTTGCATGTTCGGGGTCTTGGTTTTCCCGCTGACTTGTACTTCTAATTATATAGTTAGTTAGCACCGGCGACGAGCTCACCCTTCTACACAGGGCCGGTGACTAGTAGCTTTAGGGTGAAGCTAATATGAGCTCAATAATATCATTTGGTTGATTGCTGACCTGGTGTTATACTCGTGTAGTATCGTATAAGAGAGTGTTCACTTGAAGTGAAACAGAAACAAATACGGCTCATCTCCTTCCGGTTGACGAACTAGATGGCGCCGCGCGCTTCTGAGAAGAGAGAGGAACGGAATGTGTGAAACGGAATAAATCAATTAGGCGCTCAAGCTCAAGAAGTGAAGCCATCTACCCTTCTGGGTGCCCCATTCTAGGCATATACTAGTATGGGTTGCCATCCGAGACGGTATTCTGAACTATAAAGAGTATCAGCAGCCCCCCTCCTGCTTTCTCGACAGGAAGGGAAATGTTTGTTTGAATACCGCTAAATACCGCTACTCAAAAAAAGATATCGCAAACCAATCCTTTGACTTTAGATCTTCTCAGTACCTATAAAGCGTACAAACCGGGTACTCGGGTCTACCTCGCGCAATGATGGCCATGCCGGCGGCCCCGGGGGATCAGCATGCATCTTTGAAATATATTGGCGACTCGGATTATACAAACAACATCCTGGGGTCCAACTCATATATCACCTTTCCTACCTCATCTTGCTGTCTGGTGCTTGCTAGTAGTACATTACTCTTGCGGTCTTTGACGACGTGAGATTTGAAACAAGCTGTAATCCTATCTCGACTACTACTACGTAATGATTACTCGTTGGGTTTCCTTTTCCTTTTCCATTTCCTTTTCGGACTGGCCGAGGATCGCGATTTACTTTCGGTTCTGACTCAAGGTGCAATCACCCATCAAGAATAATTCCAATCTCTTCGACATACCTTAGACCCGAAAGCACTAATACAACCAAACGAGCCTCGTTGCAACATCTTTCCTTCAATCTCGCCTTCTTTCGAAATGAGACTGGAAGAAACAGTCACTGGCCATGGGGCCTTGTGGCATCGGCGATTTCATACCGTTAGAAAGTACGGCCTGCGTGGTGATAACAGACTACATTATGGCAACATCCCATTTCTTCGCAAGTACGATCGGGTATTTTTTTTGGACTTCTCCTCGATGAATACAATCTCCGCATGAATATCCAAGAACAGAAGAGGATCGAAAGAAGAATCAAAGATGAAGAGGATGAAGAGTGGCCAACGGATGTTGGCGAGGTCTAAGTCAATTACTGTGACTGAGCACCTTTGCTTCACAATTCATCACGTATCCATTGCCATGCGGGATTAAGACTATCCCGAGTTCGGTGTCTCCGAAGAATCCCCGCCCACAAGTCACCAAGCCCAACCAGAAAGGCATCGAAGCGTTGCAGCATATACTTGACGATGCCAAATATCGACACAGTCATCTATCCCGCAAATTATATGAAGCAGAGACCATGCTTCCAGCTCAAGTTAAACAGGCCTACGACTTCATTCGAAAAGATCCCAAATGGTTCATGCGAAAGGAGCTAGTGACAGACTGCGCGGGTCGAGATGGATGTTGCAGCCGTGGTTGCGATTGTTGTGCACGGCGCGCTACACAATCTTACAAACAGGGCGTGGGTCATTGCACGATCGAATGCTTTTGTTGTGTTCGCTCTCGATGCTTCAGACTATCTCCCAAGGAAAAGAAAGAAATATTCAATGGAATGACCATGCTGTTAAATGCGACATTGCGACTCATTTTCTGAAAATGGTGAACGCTTAGTTCTCAAAGTAGTAGCCACCGGTAGCTCAATGAACATCCCTTCTGCTGCTGTAACGCAAACTATACTGTGAACACTCTTTCAATTTATCCCCAAATGAACTCTTAATATTTTACGGGGTTTTCTATTCAATTACCCGCGGGAGAGTCGGCGGAATCCCGAGACGCAAAGATAGTACTGGTGGATACTAGAAGGTAGAGATATGGGGGAATCTCTCTATTCCAAAGGATTCAAACGACTAATTAAATTAAATTCAATTCAATTATTAATGCCATGTCCTTGTGCCCATACGAGTATACTTAATCAAGCGGGAGTACTCCGTAGAGGATCGGCATTTCCGTGAGGCTCAATCAAGGTCCCCAATGGTCGCCCGAAAGGGAAATAGGGTTTAGGGCTACGAGCTTATCTTTTTTTTTGGTCTCCGCATCGCGTCCGTCAAGGTTCAAGTTGATGATCCAAAGTCCCGACCGACGCATTTGTTTCAATTTTTATACTGAGTTTCGAGGCTGAGATCAGCCTCATAACCGCCCAAGATGAAACTCGACGCAAAGATGATTCGCTACCTCACCTCTGAGGATTTCCGCGTCCTTCAAGGAGTACTTATCGCCCCCTCCACCCCGCCATGCCCGCGCCCCTCTGCTTTACCACCTTCACAGCTAACACGTTTCTTGTGCAATAGGTGGAAGCCGGAAGTCGGAACCACGAGGTTGTACCGACGCCTTTGATCTCTCAACTGTCTGGCCTTCGGGGCGGCAGTGGCGTGCATCGCTCCATCTCGAACCTCGCCAAAACGAACCTGATCGCCAAGGTGAAAAATGCGAAATGTACGGTCACTCTTCCCTTCGCTAGTCCACGCCCTCAATCCTCAATTGCTAATATCTCTTACCGTTGACAGATGATGGCTATCGACTCACATACGGAGGACTCGACTACTTGGCTCTAAACGCGCATCAGAAGCAAAAAGTGGTGTACTCCGTTGGAAACCAAATTGGCGTTGGCAAGGAATCGGACATTGTCGTCGTCGCACATGAGAGCGGATCGCAGCGAATCCTCAAGATCCACCGTCTCGGTCGTATCTCGTTCCGAACCGTGAAGACCAACCGAGACTACCTTCGACACCGCAACACCGGGTCCTGGATGTATATGTCGCGGCTGGCCGCGATGAAGGAGTTTGCCTTCATGAAAGCACTTCGGGAAAACGGATTCTCGGTGCCCGAGCCTATTGCCCAGAATCGCCACACTATTATCATGAGTTTGATCGACGCTTTCCCTCTCCGTCAAATTGCCGAAGTGCCCAACCCAGCATCATTATACTCAGAGTTGATGGATATCATTCTGGAACTGGCGCGCTTTGGTTTGATTCACGGTGACTTTAACGAATTCAACATTCTGATCAAGGAGATTCCGATCCCCAACGCCGAAGGCAAGACACTTGATGACTCGGAACCGGCCACGGAAGAAAATATGCGACTCGAACCAGTTATTATCGATTTCCCGCAGATGGTGTCCATTGACCATGCTAATGCCGAAATGTACTTTGACCGCGATGTCAACTGCATCAAGCGCTATTTCAAGCGGAAGTTCCACTTCGAGAGCGATGTGCCAGGACCATTCTTCAAAGACGCAAGAAAGAACTTTATTAAGAATCCTGGCAAGCGCCTGGATGTAGAGGTCGAGGCCTCTGGCTTCTCGCGAAAGATGGCCCGTGAGCTTGAGAAGTATATGCAGGACGTTGGCGCCAATGGGGATGCCGAAGACTCTGAAGGCGAAGATGAAGATGAGGATGAGGATGAAGAGGAGCAGTCGGGTTCAGAAGTTGAGGAGAGTCCCGAGAATGCACAGTCAGATCAAGTCAGTGCCGAGGTGGAGGAAAGTTCCAAGCGCTTGGAAGGGTTGCAGGTCTCGGGGTCATCGGGGCAATAAAAAGCGACGGAATATGCAATAATTACCACGAGTTATGAATTTTACTGTAAATTAGGCATTTGCATCTCTGAAAATTAAGGACATATTATGCTAGTATCCTAGTTACGTCTACTCTGTACTACAATGACGGTTGGCCTAGTATTAGTTAGTAGATGGAAGGTACTAGTAGATGGAAAAGTCCCTGCACGATATTGGCGATTATGTATAGTATGAATGGCACTGCCTTGTCGTATTTACACGGTGGTTTTTGACTTTCTGTACTCACCATAAATCAATAACTTGTCTACTTTAACACACCTAGCTGGATAGTTTGGTTGGAGTGTATGTTTGCTCTACGGCGGGCGGTGCGGCCACCCACGCAGTTCCTCCTCAGCGCAGCAAAAGATCGCCTGCGGCAAGTCGCTCTGACACTTCAACAACCATCCAATCCACAATGGTGCGCAAGGCAATTGGCATACCCAAGCTGGGCTCAAGCAGCTTCCTGCCCCTGAACCAGCGGAAGCAGGTCTTCCTGTAAGTCACCATCGCAGAACGCCCACTGGTCAAATTTCTATCCTCTCGCGGTAGAGACATGATACATGAGGAGTCTTTCACAGATCTTCAGCACCACGACATAGAGATGAAAAAGTATGCTAATCTGATTCTTCATGCAGTCCCGAATTCACAATCGCCCTCGTCCGAACTCCTTTCCTCTCCCCGCGCTATGCCCAATTCCGCGTCCCGCTCAACTTCAACAAGCTCGATATCCGCGACTACCTCGAGCGTGTGTACGGCGTTGGCGTTGTGAGCGTCCGCAGTTACATCGAGCAGCAACCTATCACCCGTATCGACCGCGACCAACGGAACTTTGGCGCCTGGCGACGACCCCAATCCATCAAGCGCATGACCGTCGAACTGCGCGAGCCCTTCATCTGGCCCGAGGAGCCGACAGACTTCACCCGGTACGTAACAACACCCTTCCCCAATGCCAACTTGGATGTGGTGGAACTTCCGATCCATATATGTTGTCGTCTCGTTACTAATGCATTTCCGCGATCTACAGCTGGGAGAAGGATTCCTGGGACGCTACCGAGAAACACCAGCAAAAGGTGCGCAAGGACAACGTCCAGAAGCCCAACGGGGCCGAGAAGCCGGATAAAGATCTGCGGAAGGCGTTTAAGGAACAGGCTAAGGAGTTGAAGGCGGATAAGGAAACGTGGCGACCAACCTGGAAGGCCTTGGGTCTCAACTTCGCGCATAAGGAGATGGCCAAGGGCAGCAACGTTGCTGCTCCATCGTGGATGAAGAAGACACCATGATCGGGGAGAAAGGGCTTTTCCCTGGAATATCGGTGTTAGTGTGTTGTACTCCTTCCATCTTGCTATTGGGCCTTTGTATTATATTGTTGAATATCAGATAATAAATATCTGGATGTCTTATACAGTGTCTGGCCAGTGGGGAGAAGTCACATGAGCGTGCATAGACAGCTCGCGATTGATAGACCTGAAACTTTACAGAACTAGGTAACAACAGCCATTTTCCGAGGTCTAATAAGATGTTCCGCGGGCGAGGGCTTAACTCTCAAGGTTAATTAGTAGCTACGAACTAGTAGCTACTGCTGACTTATTAAATTACCAGTTTTTCAAGCTTGTAACGGCTACAGAGCCCTGGAGACCCCAGGATGGTCGCTCTTGGCAGTGTATGGTCTGCTCTTTGGATCAGACAGTGTCAAGTTCTAATAATGTTATTTGCGGTATTCAATAATATGGACAAAGGAGATCTTGACTGGCATAACTGCATGGCATGAAAAGACAGAAGAATTAATTACAAACGCAGGAGCCAGTGTGGCCAAAATCACGCTATGCAAAAAAGCTGGAGTCGAGAGTGGCTTGGGGGCAGTCAGATAATGATAAAGATTAAGAAGAGGTGAAAAGGATGGGGAAAAAAGACAGATGAAAACAAATCCAGAGATTTGCATGCTGGCGGGTACTACAGCCGGCTCTCGACGAAGTTCATGTGGTGCTGGCCAGGCCAGTGAGCGTCCGGCCAGATTTGGCGGAGTGCTTCCCAGATATGCCTGCGGATGGAAGTTAGAAAATAGTAAAACATTGGGGGTTCTCAACATGACTTACTGGACATAGATAATTTCTAGACCGTCGGTCACCTCCTTGGGGACATCCTTGACGTCCTTACGGTTAGGATGTGGCAGTAGCACAGTCTTTACACCCGCGCGATGAGCGCCGATAAGTTTCTCCTTAATTCCGCCGACGGGCATGACACGGCCCCGTAGCGAAACCTCACCGGTCATGGCGATCTGAGGTGGAACGGCCTTGTTGGTGAAGAGAGAGATCAACGCGACGGTGTGTGCCAGACCAGCCGAAGGGCCATCCTTCGGAATGGCGCCAGATGGGCAGTGAACGTGTAGACTGCGGTTCTTCATAACATCCTCATTAGGGTCATGGGTAAGTCCCAGCTCGAACGAATGGGCTTTGACCCAGGTGAGGGCAACCTCAACAGACTCCTTAAGGACATCACCGAGCTTTCCAGTGAGCTGGACTCGGCCATTGCCGGGCATGTCAGCGACCTCGATGAACAAGATACTGCCCTGTCCGCCTGTGGAATAAGCAACCAGGCCAGTGACCACTCCAGGTCGACCAGTCTTTTCAGCGATCTCCTCCTCGAATCTTTCAATTCCCAAGATATCCTCTAGATCTTCGACTGTGACAACAGGATTGTATTCAGACAGACGATCGGCATCGCCAGCATCGGCAAATTGAACAGCCTTGTGACGGCAGATAGATCCGATCTCACGCTCCAAGTTACGCACGCCAGATTCGCGGGTGTAAGAGGTGATAGTCTTGTCAATGACTTCGTCAGAAAGATTGACCTGTCCCTGAGACAGACCATTGGAACGGATCTGCTTGGGAATCAGGTGCCGCTTGGCAATGTGCCGTTTCTCCACGGTAGTATATCCAGACAGTGAGATGGTTTCCATACGGTCCAGCAATGGTGCCGGGATGGTCTCCAGTGAGTTTGCAGTAGCAATGAATAGAATCTTACTGAGATCGATCGGAATGTTGATATAGTGGTCAGTGAAAGAGTTATTTTGCTCAGGATCCAGAACCTCAAGCATGGCCGCAGAGGGATCACCTTGGAAGTTAGCGCCTCCAACCTTGTCAATCTCGTCAAGCAAGAAGACTGGGTTGGCGACACCGACCTTCTTCAAGCCATTGACGACCAGACCAGGCATGGCGGCAACATAAGTCCGTCGGTGGCCGCGAATTTCTGCCTCATCACGAACACCACCAAGTGAAATCCGATGGAACTTACGACCAAGCGAAGCGGCCACCGATCTTGCCAGGCTGGTTTTACCTGTTCCGGGAGGACCAACGAGTAGTAGAATTGGTGACTTATCAGTCATACGCTTAGACTTGAGCACCTCCAATCGGGCCTCCAATGCGACCCTGTCAGCCTCCGAGAGCAGTGGAACATCTTTCTCAAGATCTCCAGCTGAAGATGCATCCAATTCGCTGGAGAGACCCGTGATCTGACGCTCGACGTCCTCATTGGTGGACTGCTTGAGGCGCAGGACTGCGAGGTACTCCAATAGTCGCTTCTTGATCCTCTCTAGTCCGTAGTGATCCTCATCCAGCTGCTGTCGCGCATTCTTCAGTGTATCAGGGCCTAGTTGATCCGCAGTCACCTTGGTCCAGGGGATTTCTGCCAGGTTTTCGAGGTAAGTACGGCAAACGCCGTATTCCGCGTTGGCCGGGTTCATCTTGCGCAAGCGCTTCAGCTCCTTGTCGGCCACCTTCTGGGCTTCAGGGCTAAGTTCGGCATCCTTAATACGTTGCTGCAGCTCATCAACTTCATTTGGCTCCTTCTCCTCGTTGTCGCCACCGCCACGGGCACCCGCAGTGCCAGGTGGGTTCAAGCCCGAGAGGCCGGCCATTGCCCGTCTTGCTAGCAGTTCACGCTCACGGGGGTCGATTTGGTTCATTTCTGAGTTGGGAGGGAATGACGTCGTTGTAATAGAGGTGACCTTAACACTGCTCTTGATGTGTTGCGCCTGGCGGGTCAGGATCTCAACTACCCGCTCCAGTCGCTCCTTTACATCGAACGAAGACAAGATTCGCAGCTTTTCTTCAAAGCTGCCATCAGATACATCTGCCATGAAGTCGGCCAACTTTCCAGCTTGCCCAATCTCTGTCTTCGATATGTACAGCTCAAACTTTCGGGCAACAAGCGGCGACAGGCGGGTCGAGGCAGATGACAGTAGGGAAGAGAGACGCAGAAGAGTGAGAAGTTCGCGAGATAATTGTCGAAGCTGCTGGAAGAGCTCGGCGGCTTCCGAGTCCCCGTGTATAGATGAAGCTAGCAGCGAACAGAATGTTAGCCCGGGAAACTTGGGTCACATGCGACGCTCGGGAAACTTACTGCTCTCGTCGTGAAGATTCACCTCCGCCTCAAAGAATGGTCGGTCCTTAAGGATCTTCTTGACGGTAAACCGTTGGGAGCCCTGGACCAGAAGGAAAGGCTCGGCGTAAGCGCGGCGCTGAACCCCGATCACCTTGCCCATGGTACCATAGCGAAAGAGGTCGTCCTTGCGCGCCTGGCCGGCATCAATGGAATCGTAATCATCCCTTCGAACCTCATCAGATTCATCACCTTCAAGAAGCTGCTGGCCATCACGACTCAGGAACGGTGAGCTGAGCGGAATGCATCCGAAGGTGATGGAGCTGCCATCGCGCTTCGAAGGACGATCGACCAGAGACGACAATAGATTAGTCAAGTCTGGTCGATTGGAGACCGGGATGCGAAGTGTCACTCCAGGGAGAAGAACGGAGCCCTTGGCTAAGGGAACGAGGGGGAGTTTGATAGTTCTACCACTGGATCCCATTTTGGTTTGTGCCGAGGGATTCAGGTAGTAGCAAGATGGCGGCAATAGAGTCCAGTGAGTATAATGGAAGAGAGTGGGGGAGTTTGGAAGAAGTAAGCTGTATGGAACAGGTGCGATGAAAGATGAGAGATGATCAGGGGGCGGGGGAGATGAGGAGATTGGGAGATGGGGAAACAGTGAGGAGAAGTTCTGGAACCCCGGAGATGATGGACGCAATTCCGGGGGAGCAAGCGATAAGAGGAGCGTCGCATGTCTTGTAATCTCCACGTCCCGAAGCCGAGGTTAGTGGCAACCTTACCTTTCCCTACTGTAACAAGTACGTTAGTTTGCAGATCAGCGGGAAACTGTACAGTACTGAGGGAATTTAAGGTGAGAGGTCAGGGCACAGGCACACTTTACACAAATGCCTAATACTCAATGTCTTTAAGGTAACAGGAATTCTTCCCATCCTTGTGTGATTGTTGATTGTAATTAATTATATATGTTACCTTACCGTAATGTAACTACCGTACGGAGTCCCGTGATCGGCCTTACCGGAGATCGACTGTCTTCCCTCGGTTCCTGTTTCCCTTCTCTCCTCAGCAACTCGTGTGATCGTACTTCCACTTCGCCTCCCCCGCTCACCATGGCCGCCCCCACCTCCAAGACTTCGTTCACCATTGGCACCCGCAAGTCCAAACTTGCCCTCGAACAAACCGAATTGGTATGCGCCGCGTTGAAGAATTCACACCCCAACTATGAATTCAAGATCTTCTCCAAGGAGACCGCCGGCGACCTCAACACCACCATTGCCCTGAAGGATTTCGCTTCGAAGAATCTCTGGACAGAAGAGCTGGAGGAGTTGATGATTGCTGGCCAGGTTGACTTGATTGTCCACTCCCTGAAAGGTAGGATATCTGTTTCTTATCTCAAATGGCGGGGTCAAATCCAATTAGCTCACACATGATGTTTTACTATGCGCGCAGATGTCCCCACCCTCCTCCCCGATACCTGCACCTTGGCCCCGATGATGCCCCGCGAAGATAACCGGGACGTACTTGTCGTGAAACAAGGACTGTCCTTCAAGAGCCTGGACGAGATCCCCGCAGGCTCCGTAGTCGGAACTTCCTCGATCCGCCGAACAGCTCAATTGGCCCGCAAATACCCTCAACTCAAAGTCGAAAGCATTCGTGGAAATATCGGTACCCGGCTAGCCAAGCTAGATGCCGAAGACAGCCCCTACAGCTGTATCATCATTGCCGCCGCCGGCTTGTTGCGTCTAGACCTGGAGGACCGTATTACACAATATCTCGACTCGAAGAACGGCATGCTTTACGCTGTTGGGCAAGGGGCTCTTGGCATTGAAGTCCGTAAGAATGACACAGCCTTGCTTGAGATGCTGCGTCAGATTGGCCACCAGGAGACCACATTTGCTTGCCTGGCAGAGCGCAATCTTCTGCGAACCCTCGAGGGAGGCTGCAGTGCCCCGCTCGGAGTTGAATCCGAGTGGGTTCAGAGCTCTGACGGATCGAAGAAACTCCGTATGCGCTCTGTAGTAGTCAGTGTCGATGGCCAACAATGTGCCCAGGTGGAATTGGATGGCGATGTCAATTCACCAGAGAGCGCGGAGGCTTTTGGTATCACTGTGGCCAATGCCCTGGTGGCCGACGGCGCCGGGGCGATCCTCGAGGAAATCCAACGCCAGAAGCTTGTCAAGGACAATGTTTCCTCTTAAGCGAGGGGAAATAAAAACAAACCAAAAATCAAAATTCGATAGACCTATAGACTAGGCTATCTGCATATACCCTGTGAAAAAATGCAACGACGTGAACGAGACCTCCGATCTCTTTTTTACCTCTTGGCAACATCCTGGCAAACTGTTTAAGTTACAATTGAATAGGAACGGATTTATGACATGGCCCTTGTAGCATACTTCGTCATTATCTTCCAGATTTTATGGATCATGCATAGGTATTATATTCTAAATGGCCTGGAGCGTCTATCAATCCAACTGAAATAGTTGACCCAAGCTTTCACCTAGCCTCGGTTCAGGGTGTTACCCGATCCCTTGGGATTGGCTTCGACATATTCATCCCAATTCCGGGCCTTCATCGTCTCCTTATCCACCGCGTCATGATCATCCTGGTCAATTTCCGCAATGATACCAGATTGCTCTCCACCTTGAACAACATTGCCTCTCCGCTTCTCCTCGTCGAGGTACTCATCGATTGTCATAGTCGGAAGGTTATGGCCTGAACGGAAGACTCCTTGTTGGAGTTGTTGGCGACGGTCCAACAGCGTGAATGGTTGCATTGGCTTTCCCCTGTTGTTGAGGATCGGGCCATTTCGTCCGCCGTTCAGCAATTGCGATAAGGACGGGTCCACGCGGTCTGAGTAATTGGCTCCTCCTAGGCTACTCCGTTGTCTCGGGTCATCTGGCGGTGCTTGAATAGGCGGCGGTGCGTTCCGCATCATCGAGAGCATCTCTAGCTCCTGCATCAAAAGGTCCAGTGCTTGGAATGTCTGGTGGGTATAAAGTTGAAGTTCGGCCAGATAGAGTCTCCGCGTATCGTCATCGTCGCTTTGTAGGCTTGCTTCATTGCGGGATAGATACTGTGTATCTGTTAGCCAAGCAAGAAAAATTCTCCTTGGAAAATAATATGCCTACCTCCAGCTTTTGCTTTAGCTCCTTTTCTTCCCTGAAACGTCTCACTTTAATGTCTCGTCTGGCAGCCGCATCACTGGTAGGTGCTAGAGTGAATGTAGTCGGATTGGCCATATATTGCACAAAGAGTCTCTTGTCCCCTCCTGACAGCAGTTCGTATTCATCCAGGCGTGTAAGAAATCTCTCATATTGCTCCAGAGCTTGGCGCAGAACAGCTTCGCGATCGGATGTGGCGGCGCGTTGGGTCAGTTCAGCAAGGTGATATTCGAGGGTCATGTATCTGCTCAGAGGTTAGCCCAGGGATCGTGCTGGTTGACTGGGGAGAGTACATACTGGATATCTCCGGTCGACAGATCATCAAGCGATTCGTTGGAACTGAATAGCGACACGATACCGACTTGTCGCTGGCATTCTCGGAATTTGGTGATCGTCGCATTGACCAGGTCACGATAAGTTTCTGTGTTGGTATCTCCGCGGGATTCCAAGGATGTCTTGTCATCCTTTGCCGATGTGAATAAAGACCGAAGACTCTGAGGTTCCTCCATGATTGTCTATTTGAGCGCCAGGTGCTGTGTGGAGGTTAAGTGTAAACGCGCGCTGCATCGCCCCGCAGTTCCAGCTTGAATTTTGGCGAGGCGATAAGCGATAAGGAACACGGTGGAGCCGACCTCGGAGGTTGGAGGTATGCAATCTACTTAACTGTTAGACGTGTTGAAGATTGACTTGAAATTCACAAGCTGTCTTCATATTTTAGGGCAGTAAATACAGTGGCTACTACCTCCCTACGTACTACTAGTAGTACTAGTGAGGTGTCAGCGAATGAAAAGTGAGGCAAACCGGAACCTTGGAAGGTGCAGACCCGGCGTTTGTACTCTGTGCCTTCCTTCTGGAGAATATACTACTACAGTATATATAGTGACCCGTGACCATGAATGCTGCCAGTGTCCCAGTGGGCAGGTGGAAGCTGCCTCAGTACTTACTACTACTACCACCTTGCAACTATTCACTCTCTTTCATCTCTGACCGTCTCATGCTACTCTGATCACCAGAAGCCCCAATCTTTCTTTTTCTCCGAATACACAACCCAACAACTATCATGCCACCAGCACTCGATACCACTGGCCCAGATACCCATCACTCTGACGATTCTGAAAGCGAAGATGACCAAGGATCCCTTCAACTTACATCTGAGAGCCGAAAGGTTCAGAATGTTCAGTTTCAAGCTTTGTCGGTCCCACAGCCATTTCGGATTTGACGCGGTAGTACTAATCTAGTCTAATTGACAGGCTGAACCAATATGCCCGTGACCCCGGTAGAACAATCGAAGCCAAGGCCCAAGTCCCGACAGATAGGCCAGACTCTGAGCTCGCGATCTCATCCTTGCTCACAAAACATGATCCCAATCCAGGACACTTGGATCCTCGGGCGTATCAGATCGAGCTGTTCGAGCGGGCAAAGCTTCAAAACACCATCGCTGTACTGGATACAGGCAAGTGGATGGTAAAGAGACTGAATGGAAGAGTCGTATCTAAATAAATATATGCCAATCTAGGGTCCGGAAAGACTTTGATCGCGGTTTTACTTCTCAAAGAGATCCTGCAACGCGAACTGATCGATCGGGCCGATGGCAAAGCTCCTCGCATTGCCTTCTTCTTGGTAAGTAATTCCTCCGTTATCTTATTGATATAGTATGTTAAAATAAAGAAGGTTGACAGCGTGACCCTTGTTTTCCAACAATCCACCGTGTTGCGAAACAATATCGACCAGAGCGTCGGTCACCTCTACGGCAACGTGGGGGTAGACCACTGGGACGAGCAAACGTGGAAAAATCAATTCGATAAAAACATGATTATAGTTTGCACAGCCGCCATTCTCCATAAATGTCTTCTCAATGGATTCGTGAAGATAAGACAGATCAACCTCATGATCTTCGATGAAGCCCACCACACGAAGAAGGACCATCCCTATGCACGGTTCGTACTATGTATATGATATTTTTTTTTCTCAGATTATTTCGAAGACATGACTGACCCCACGGAAAGGATCATCAGGGATTCGTACATCAGGACTGAGCTATCTGAACGTCCGAGAATTTTCGGAATGACAGCCTCCCCCATCGATGCGAGAGGGAATATCGTAGACGCGGCACGGTAAGCTCGAGTACAACACAAAGGATCCAAGCCCATCACTCACTGTTGATAAAGGGAGCTTGAGATCCTCATGGACAGCAAAATAGCAACGACAACGAATTTTACGGCGCTCTTGCGCGCTGTAAGCCGCCCGCAGGAAGAGTTCTGGGCCTACCCGAAGCTCAACGAATCAACCACAACCCCTTTATTCCGGCTTTTGAAAGAGACATTCGGGGATCTAAAAGTCCTCGAGCCTGTTTTCCGATTTGCATGGAGAGCAACTTCGGAATTGGGAGCATGGTGTGCGGACTATGTGTGGACATACGCCCTGGCACAGGACGTGATCCCTCGCCTTCAAGCTAAAATTGGTAGGGATTCGTGCTCGGAGGATGAAACCACTGAAGGCATTGAAAGAAATATGAAGAGGATCCACGAGGCCGCACAAATCGTGAAAAATTACAAATTCAAGAGCCCCCTGGAACCGGGTCAGATCAACCCAAAAGTTGAGCTTCTTCTGAGAAAATTGTCCCAACACTTCGGCAGGTCGAAAGACACAAAATGTATCGTCTTCACAAGAAGGCGAAATACAGCGAAATCCCTCGGGCACCTCTGCAGTGTCATGAAAATTCCAAACCTCCGACCAGGAATACTTGTCGGAATTCGAAACCACGATATCACTGGGACTGTCACGCTTCGCGACCAATTCCTTGTCTTGATCAAATTTCGCCAAGGAGAGATAAACTGTCTTGTAAGAAAGATTAAAAACATAGAGGACAAAATATTCTGACTTGACCAGTTTGCAACGTCTGTCGCTGAGGAGGGGCTCGATATTCCGGATTGCAATCTTGTCGTCAGGTGAACACACCTCGCGAGTCAACTTAGCATTATGTTTCATCAACTAATAAGAATCTAGATTCAATCTCTACAAGACATTGATTCAATACATACAAAGCAGAGGACGTGCCAGACATGCCGACTCAACGGTACGTATTTAGTTGTTTGAAGCATGGAAGAGACTATTGACATGCCTAGTATGCCATCATGCTTGAACACGAAAATCAAGAGCAACAAAAACGCCTCCAAGAAGTCAAGGAAGGAGAGGTGGGTCTATCATACATCTCACTCCAATCAAATGAACTTGAACTTTGGCTTAACCTTAACGTCCTAGGTTCTGATGCGATCCTTTTTTGAAAGACTTCCCAAGGACAGATTACTACATGGAAACGAAGATATCCTTGAAAAGACCATGCGAGCCCAAGAGGGAGAGCGGACTTATACAATATCTACTTCTGGTGCCAAGCTGACTTATCCCTATGCTATCGAAGTTCTGGCTCGTTTTGCCCATTCTCTGGTAAGAATATCCGCCCACTGTCATTTTGATTCATTATTAACCCATCCATCAATATTAGCGATACGAGAACGAACTTGCCACGGATGTTGCCTACTTTGTGACTTCCAGCGACAGAAAGTTTCTGTGTGAAATCATCCTTCCTGAGAAGTCACCTATCAGAGGAGTTACTGGGAAGCCAGAGGCAAGAAAACTTATAGCGAAGCAATCCGCTGCGTTCGACCTTTGCCTTCTTCTCCGGAAGAACCACCTTCTCGATGATCATTTTCGCTCGATCTATCACAAACGCCTCCCAGCAATGCGAAATGCGAGGCTGGCAATCATATCAAAGAAAACAAACAGCTACAAGATGCGCTGCAAGCCCTCAATCTGGACGCAGGAAAAGCAAAGTAACCCAGAGTTACTCTACGGAACAGTCATTGAATTCAATCCCTTCATGCCACTGGCACGAGAACATGGAAGCCTGATGCTTTTGACAAGAGAAAAACTTCCCGAGTTCCCAAGTTTCCCAGTTTTCCTGGAGAATGACAGAGAAACTCAAGTTCGCACTATCTTCCTTGAACCGACTCTTTCGGTCACTTCTCAGGAATTGGAACAGTTGACAGGTTTTATGGTTACAATATTCAGCGATTTATTCCACAAAAGCTTCGAGGCTGTTTCAGAAACATTTCCATACTGGTTTGCCCCAGCTAAGGCTACAGCTAAGAATGGGACCTCCACAACCAGCCCTCGGGAAATAATCGATTGGGACACTTTGCAATTTGTTCATGACAATCCTGAGATATCATGGTCCAAGAAAATGAATCCGAAGTCTCTCTGCAACAAATTCATCTATGATCCTTGGGATGGGAGAAAGCGATATATCTCAACTGCCATTGAGTATGGCCTACGCGCATCCGACCCACCTCCAGAATGGGCACCCCGTCGAAAATGGATGGAAAACATCATGAGCTACTCGATGAGCCTTTCCAAAAACTCTCGTGTCAAAGTTTTGGCCGATTGTGATTGGAGCCAGCCGGTGCTCCGGGCTGAATGTATCTCGTACCGAAGAAACTTTCTCGACCCAGCGACGGAAACTGAGAATTCAGAAAGAGCGGAGTGCTGTATCTGTGTTCAGCCAATTAGGGTCTCACCGGTGAATATCACTGTTTGAGTTGATGATGGAGGGTGTTGACATATGCTGACCACTTTCACAGATTCCTTTATCAATTGCAATATCGTGCCTAGCCATCCCGGCGATTATCACGAGACTTGAATCCTACATGATCGTCCAAGAGGGCTTCAAGTTTATCGGGCTCTCCATGAGACTGGACTATGCACTTGAAGCATTTACCAAAGATTCAGACAATACCGAGGACCACCGAGCCTTGCAGGTTCATATTCAGCGCGGAATGGGCAAGAACTACGAGCGACTGGAGTTTCTAGGAGATAGCTATCTCAAGATGGCAACATCAATAGCGCTTTTCTGCCAAAACCCCGATGATGATGAATACGATTACCATGTCAACCGAATGTGCCTTATTTGCAACAAAAACATGTTCAATGTCGCCACAAAAATCGGTCTCTACGAGTATATTCGCAGTCGTGGCTTCTCTCGGTACGTTGTAATTATTAATTATGCTTATGGAAAAGGAAGTGGCTAATAAATACTGCAGACATAACTGGTATCCTCCTGGTCTTCAGCTTCTGCGTGGCAGAGACTACATCAGGCATCTCGTCACAGAAAGTTCCCACAATCTTGGAGAAAAGACAATCGCAGATGTATGCGAGGCATTGATAGGAGCTTCATTGCTTTCGGGGGGTGGGGAAAACAGGTTTGACATGGCCACCAAAGCAGTCACGGTCTTCGTGGGCAGTGAAAGCCATTCAGCAACTTGCTGGGAAGGCTATCGTCTGTCTTACACAAAGCCGGCATACCAGATAAAAGATAGTGATGGATTCGAAAAAGATCTGTCTCAGAAGATCTTTGAGAAGCTGGGATACAGGTTCAAATATCCTCGTCTGCTACGATCTGCTTTCACCCACCCATCTTATCCACTCGCATACGCCAAGGTGCCTTGTTATCAGCGACTAGAATTCATAGGGGACGCTCTTTTGGATATGGTGTGCGTTGAGCACTTGTTTGAGAGATTTCCGGACAAAGATCCCCAGTGGCTCACCGAGCACAAGGTAGGTGGCTTGAACTGATTTACGGGCGCCCTCGTGTTAGCTAACGTGATTTGAAAGATGGCTATGGTTTCGAATAAATTTCTCGGAGCGTTGGCGGCTAAATTGGGGTTTCACCGACATCTTCAGCATTTCAGCAACCCGATACAGACGAACATCACGAGCTACGCCGAAGACATCCAAACAGCGGAAGATGAAAGCGAGGGCGCAATGGACTACTGGCTGAGCACCAAGGACTCTCCAAAGGTGTGTTCTGCCGGGGTAGAAGAAACAATGTCATCAAAACGCCGTAACTGACAGACAATTTTGCGATTATAGTGTCTTCCAGATATGATCGAAGCATACATTGCTGCCATCTTTGTCGACTCTGACTTTGACTATTCTGTGGTTGAGGACTTTTTCGCAACTCACATCAAGCCATATTTCGTGGATATGTCGCTGTATGACACATTTGCCAATCGGCATCCGACGGTGAGTACAAGACATCAAATGTCGATTTACATTGAAATCACCTTGAAAAATAAGCTAAGAAAACCACAGACGTACTTTTTCAATCAGATGACCGAGATATATGGATGCACCAATTACTGTGTCAAAGCCGGCGAGCTTCCTGGTGGAGATGGAGACAAACCGCGTATTCTTGCCGCAGTCATGATTCATGGAGAGTCAATTGCGGAAGACATTGGAACATCCACTCGGTATGCGAAAGTCCGGGCCAGTGAGAAAGCGTTGGAGGTGATTGGAGGCATGTTGCCGACCGACTTTCGTCTCAGATTTCGCTGTGACTGTCGCCCGTCATCTGACGATCAAGGAGTGAAGACTGGGGACATCGGAACCGCCATATGAAAGGGGACTACAGAGTAGCGGAGTAGATGGCCAGATGAAAGAATGAAATACGAAATCCTTCCCTACCATAGTCGCAACGCGTGGTAACTGTATACTATTCCCCAGACCAAGACAATGGAAGCGGGTCAGGAACCCGCGCGCCAGCCGTCACAGTCACATGGTTAGGCGTGGGCCCCTAATCCCAATCCAGTAAGGTGCATCTCCCCTGAGCCCATCCAAAGAAGTTGGGACACTTTGGAGAGTGTAGAGGACAAACACACCGCGTCTTTTTATCGACCACCGCCAACTTCTTGTCGACCCGTTTTTCTCTTCTTTTACCTTGTAATCTACATTATTTTATTCTATTTCGCGGCTCGCCCCCATCTTCCCTCCCTCCCACTCGACGCGACAACCTCCCGTTAACATTTAATCTTCTGCTCCGATCGCGCTCCGCTTCTTTGAATCGTCCATGATTTCTCAGCTCCTATCACTATAGAGTTTGAAACAAAGATGGAGGTCGCCACCCCCGGCGTGCCAAATGGCGTGCCCACAACGGACACGACTGCTGTGGTGGATTCGGGTACCGTGATCCAGTACCTGACAGAGGTGCTTCAGGTGACACTGGGCGCTCTGAAGTCTGAGCTGGAAAGCGCGGGGAGCTTGCTCTCTGCTGCTAAATACAACGAAACTGCGCAAAGATGCACGCGTTTTGCCTCCGAGTCGCAAGTTGCGCTTTATGTGCAGAAGGATATCGCGGCCGCGGAGGAGACAAACGGCGAAGCTGAGGGTTCAGGTGAGTCGGATCCCGAGGTTCATTGATACTGCCTACCTATGATATCTAACGGTACTATTTCATAGAGTCAGTGCATTATGTCTACACCCTCTCCTCAGAGATATCCTCCGCCTCGACCACCGTAGGTTCTGTCGCCTTCATCAAACGTCCTGCTTCTATCGACCCCTCCCTCTCGATTGCATCGCAGATCCAAGTGATGAACTTACCCGGTCTGGCATCACTCAACAACGCTCCGTCACAGCAAGGAGCTTCCATGTCGCCCTATCAAATCCTGCACCTGCTCCTCCACCACGGCCTCAGCCCCTACTTCGAAGCCTATACGCGCAACCAAGAGACGATCACCGGAGCGAAGCCAAGAGGCGACACGGAAGCGAAGACCGGAATTCCAGGCACAAAGAAGAAGTTTGCAGAGTTGGAGCTGGGTCTCATGCACCTGCAACAGAATGTCGAGATTCCCGCATTGAACCTTCCGCTTCACGAAGTCGTCCAAGCTGCGCTGAAGGAGGCTGAAGCCAAGGGCATCAAACCTACAGTGGAGCTGATCCCAGCGTCCGTCTTGGACAGCAGTGCTTTCACGAATAGTATTCAGAACACTGTGAACGGCTGGATTCGGTCCATCCAGACCATCACCAAGATGTCTCGGGATCCCGATGGAGAGTCTGCCGCGCCAGAAGTCAACTTCTGGCTATCTATGGAATCTGCGCTGGAAGGAATTGAAGGACAGCTAGCAAGTGACGGAGTGCGACTTACTATGGATATTCTGCGCCACGCAAAGCGATATCAGCCCACTCTCAGTTTCGTGGCAGATACTGGGCTGAAAGACGCCTCTGAGCTGGTCCAGAAGTACAATCAGCTTATGCGTGATTTCCCCCTGGACGAGCTTCTCTCTGCTACCTCTCTGCAGAAAGTGCAGGAGTCACTAGGCTTGATCTTCACCCACCTGAACAAGAAGCTTAAGATCTGCCCTTACCCCATCAAGCGTGCTTTGTCACTTGTCGAGTCCATTTCTGGGGATCTAGACAAGAAGATTCATGACCTGATCAATGGTCGTGATGTTCTCCACCTCGACTACCGCGAGTTTCGGTCACTGATGAAAATCACCCAGGCTATCTGGCGGACATGGGACGAGAATCTTAAGGAATTCACCAACGTCGCTCGTGAATCAACAAGACGCAGAAATGAGAAGTTCATCCCGATCAAAATCAATGCCCGACACGACAAGACTCGCGAACGTCTCAAGTACATTGATACCTTCCGAGTTAACCACGAGCAGCTCCAAAAAACCATCATCAACGTTTTGGGGCCGAAGAACTTGTCGCCCGCAGAGACCGGCGCTGGCGTGGACTCTGACGAGGCTATCATTGTTGAGGAAATTGGCGATGTGGATGCCGTGGAGGAGGTTACACTGGCATATGCTGCCCTGAAGAATGTTGATGTTTTGGATGTTTCCCCAGAAGGAGCTCGCACCTGGGAACAGGCAGAGATTGGCTACAGTGAGCGAACATCTCGAGTCGAAAACTCTATCATTGCCCGCCTGCGCGACCGTCTTGCAACCGCCAAGAATGCCAACGAGATGTTCCGTGTCTTCTCCAAATTCAACGCTCTTCTCGTTCGCCCTAAGATTCGTGGTGCGATTGGAGAATATCAAACGCAGCTTATCGAGAATGTCAAGCGTGATATTTCAGCTCTCCATGAACGTTTCAAGCACCAGTATGCTCATTCCGAGGCACACGCGATGGCTCAATTGCGTGATCTTCCGCCTGTGTCTGGTGCCATCATATGGGCTAGACAGATCGAGCGACAGCTTGACGGCTACATGCGCAAGGTTGAAAATGTTCTAGGAGAGGACTGGCACTTGCATACTGAAGGAGAGAAGCTGCAAGCCGAAAGCAGTCTGTTCCGCAAGAAGCTTGACACTCGTCCGGTCTTTGAGTCTTGGCTCTGGGATGTCCAGAGACGACACATCACGATTTCTGGCCGCCTTTTCAATATAGTGCGCAACCGCGCCGCTGGAAACACCCTGGAGCTAACAGTCAACTTCGATGCCCAAATCATCGCCCTGTTCAAAGAAGTTCGAAACCTCATTTGGTTGAATTTCCAGGTTCCTCATGCCGTGAGCAACATCTCTAAGGAAGCGAAGCGTGTCTACCCCTACGCGATCAGTTTAATGGAGAGCGTGCGGACCCTTCTCCAGACAAATCGTACTATCGCCTCGATGTCTGATGTTGCTATTCTCCTGAATGGCTATGTCAACGATTCACAAGCTATGGTCGCGAAGGGTATCCCTCTTAGATGGGAGTCATTCGTTCACTCTTACGAACTCCATGTCAAACAATCTGCGCTTGCCAATGGCGCCATCGACACCGCCATGCCAAACCGTACAGAAAGCAAACATGTTCAGTTTGTTCGCGAGTTCGCCGGCTCAGCATCCGTTCTCCAGTCCAAGACAGCCGTTCTGTCATCCATCAATGAAAGCATTCAGAAATCTATCCTTGAGCTCAAGACTTGCCCTTATGATTTTGCGGCATTCAAGCAACGCCTCGAAACCATCCAGAATGCCGTGGATAAGCTCAATCTCGAGAATTACGTCAACTTGGACTTCTGGGTCTCCGAATTAAACGCGAAAATCCAGGCCATCTTCCAAGAGAGACTTCATCGTGCTGTTCGCGAATGGATCAGCACTTTCCAGGTATCTCGCAACCCGGAGGCAGGTACATTCCAGTCACAATTTGCTGTCATCGAGCCGGAGGCTACAATTTATAAAATTGAATTCCCCGAACTTTTCCATGAGATTTCCATGAAGAACCAGGTTCTACATCTCGACCCTCCACTGCAGTTCGCCCGTGCCAGTTGGTTTGAACACTTTGATAACTGGCTCGGAGTCATCTGTAATCTCGAGAAGATTAAAGCTTCCCGATACCAAATCTCGATCGATGTTCAGGCCGTTCGTCAGTCGGAGGCATGCTTTGCGGATCTCCCCCAACTCTGCACTGATGAACTCAACCAAGTCTATGGAGTTATTGAATCTAGATTGAAGGATGTCTCACAATACGTCGACAAATGGTTGCAATTCCAGTCTCTGTGGGATCTGCAATCCGAGCAGGTATATGATATCCTGGGAGATGACCTGTCTCAATGGCTCCAGCTGCTCCAGGAAATCAGAAAGAGCCGGGCCACTTTTGACACCTCTGAAGTCAGCCGAGGATTCGGAAACATCCGAATAGACTACGAGCAAGTCCAAACCAAGGTCAATGCCAAGTACGATCAGTGGCAACACGAGATCCTGCTGAAATTTGGTGCCAAGCTCGGTGGCCGTATGCGAGAGGTACATTCGGACATCGCGTCTGCTCGCCGTGACCTGGAGGGGCAGACCCTTGAAGCCTCTTCTACCGCACATGCTGTGTCGTTTATCACAATCGTGCAACAATGCAAGCGCAAGACTCGCGTGTGGGAGCCCGAGGTCGATCTTTTTCGCCAAGGTCAAACTACACTATCTCGGCAACGATACCAATTCCCTAGTGATTGGCTTCACGTGGAGAATGTTGATGGTGAATGGGCCGCACTCAATGAGCTTCTTACTCGGAAGAGCAAGATCGTTCAAGACCAAACCGAAGGTCTCCGTGCTAAGATTGCCGCTGAAGACCGCGTCATTGGCGACAAGATTGCTGAAATCATTGGGCAGTGGAATGATGAAAAGCCTGTCTCCGGAACCATTCCTCCCGACGAAGCCTCTCGCACCCTAAGCTCATTCCAGTCTCGCCTGGAGTCTCTCCAGTCTGAATTCGAGATGGTTTCCAAAGCCAAGGAGGCTCTCGATCTCCCTGCAAGCACAGAATCCTCACTCCCCGCTATCCTTGAGGAGGTTCAAGACTTCATGTCAGTCTGGGCTGCATTGGCAACTATCTGGAAGAGTCTCGAGGATCTCCGTGAAAGTTTGTGGGCCTCCGTCCAACCCCGCAAGATCCGTCAATCTTTGGATGGCCTGATCAAGATGACCAAGGAGATGCCAAGCCGAATGAGACAGTATGCTGCGTTTGAACACATCCAGAACGTCCTCCGAGGGCTGTTGAAAGCCAACAGCACACTGTCCGATCTGAAGTCCGAGGCTGTCAAGGATAGACATTGGGAAAAGATCTTCAAGGCTCTGAAACCTGGAGAGCGACCCGGCTTGAACAATCTCACTCTCGGCCGGGTCTGGGATCTACAACTAACAGCAAGCGATGCTATTATCAAAAGCATCCTTGCCCAGGCCACTGGTGAAATGGCATTGGAAGAATTCTTGAAGCAGGTCCGAGAGACTTGGCAAACTTACTCCCTGGATTTGGTCAACTACCAGAACAAGTGCCGCCTCATCCGTGGCTTCGACGATCTATTTGCCAAGTGTAGTGAGAACTTGTCCTCCTTACAAGCCATGAGAAACTCTCCCTATTACAAAGAATTCGAGGAAGAAGCTGCCGCCTGGGAAGATAAATTGAACCGTGTCCACGTCCTTTTCGATGTTTGGATCGACGTGCAAAGACAATGGGTTTACCTGGAAGGCGTGTTTACCGGAAACGCTGATATAAAACATCTCCTACCTCTCGAATCCAGCCGCTTCCAGAACATCAATTCCGAATTCTTCGCTGTTATGAAGAAGGTCTACAAATCTCCTTTTGTCCTCGAAGTTCTTGCCATCAACGGCGTCCAGAAGTCCCTCGAGCGTCTGGCAGAATTGCTTAACAAAATCCAAAAGGCCCTTGGTGAATATCTGGAGCGCGAGCGTGTTTCATTCCCTCGTTTCTATTTCGTTGGAGATGAGGACTTGCTGGAGATCATTGGTAACAGCAATGATATCTTCCGAGTTGCCAAACATTTCAAGAAGATGTTCGCTGGTCTATCGGGTCTCCTGATGGATGACGACAACAATATCATTGGATTCACCTCCAAGGAGGGCGAAGAGGTTCGCCTGAAGAAGGAAGTCAACCTTCTCAAGACTCCGAGAATCAACGACTGGCTCACAGCGTTGGAGAACAACATGAAGTTGACCCTCGCCGAACTTCTCGCTGAAGCCGTTGAGCAGTTCGATACACTTTACAACGCAACAGAGGTAGATCGTACAGCCTTCAGCGATTTCCTCGCCAATTACCCTGCCCAGATTGTCGTCCTTGCCAGCCAGGCAGTATGGACCAACTCGGTACAGAAGTCTCTGGAAGAAGGCGGTACGAACCTCTCTGCCCTGTACGATGCCGAGGTCAGGATTCTTGAGCTGCTGGCCGCCACCGTTCTTGGCGATCTTGATGCTATTGCTCGCAAGAAGTGCGAACACATGATCACTGAGTTCGTCCATCAGAGAGATACCATCTCAAAGCTCATGGCGTCCAATGCTACCGCGCCCACACATCATCTATGGCTGCTGCAGATGCGCTACGTGTACAAAGCAGAGGGTGACTTCTTGCAGCGCCTGTATGTCTACATGGCAAATGCGAAGCTCAACTACGGATTTGAGTACTTGGGTGTCCCAGAGCGTCTTGTTCGCACTCCTCTTACCGATCGTTGTTTCCTTACACTTACCCAGGCGCTTTGCCAAAGACTCGGTGGTTCTCCCTACGGCCCAGCCGGAACTGGAAAGACCGAGTCCGTCAAGGCACTTGGTTTGCAGCTCGGTCGTTTCACCCTTGTGTTCTGCTGTGACGACACTTTCGATTTCCAGGCCATGGGCCGTATCTTCCTGGGTATCTGCCAGGTTGGTGCCTGGGGTTGTTTCGATGAGTTTAATCGTCTTGAAGAGCGTATCCTGTCTGCTGTCTCGCAGCAAATCCAAAATATCCAGATTGGTCTCCGAACGCGCGACGAAGACGAGAACAGTCAAATCGAGCTTGTTGGACGACGCCTCGCTGTCAATGCCAATACTGGTATCTTCATTACCATGAACCCTGGCTACGCAGGCCGATCAAACTTGCCGGACAACTTGAAGAAGCTGTTCCGCAGTGTCGCTATGTCCAAGCCCGACAAGGAGCTCATTGCGGAAGTCATGCTCTTCTCTCAGGGGTTCAAGCAAGCGAAGCCTTTGTCAAAGCAGACAGTTCCGTTCTTCGACCATTGTGCATCTAAGTTGTCTAAGCAGGCCCATTATGATTTCGGTCTTCGTGCCTTGAAGAGTGTTCTTGTTAGCTCCGGTGGTCTGAAGCGTGCACGTGTTGCCAACTCCGGGGGTGAATTAGGACCAGATGAAATCGTCGAGCCTCAAATCATCGTCCAAAGTTTGCGAGAAACCATCGCACCCAAGCTTGTGCAAGAAGATGTTGAACGCATGCTCGAGATCCAGGCAGAGGACTTCCCCAGCGTCGATTATGTGCCCGCGAATTACGAGAAGCTCACAAATGCGATCCGTGAAATTGCTACCGGCAAGGGAAACCACTACGTCGATAGCGAAATGTGGGTCACCAAGGCTCTGCAGCTGTACCAGATCCAAACCATTCATCATGGTGTCATGATGGTTGGAAAGTCAGGAGCTGGTAAATCCACTGCCTGGAAGATCCTTCTAGAGGCCATGCAAAAGGTGGATGGTATCGATGGTGTCTCTCATATCATCGACTCAAAGGTCATGTCGAAGGAAGCTCTCTACGGTAACCTAGACAGCACTACTCGCGAGTGGACCGATGGTCTTTTCACTGGTATTCTTCGCAAGATTGTTGACAACCTTCGTGGCGAAGATAGCAAGCGCCACTGGATCGTCTTCGATGGCGATGTTGACCCCGAATGGGTTGAGAACTTGAACAGTGTTTTGGATGACAACAAACTTCTGACTTTGCCAAACGGTGAACGTCTGAACCTCCCGCCAAATGTTCGCATCATGTTCGAAGTTGAGACTCTGAAGTACGCAACACTCGCCACTGTCAGTCGTTGCGGTATGGTCTGGTTCAATGCCGATACTGTCACTCCTGCGATGATGATTACCAACTACGTCGAGGGTTTGAAAACCAAAACTTTCGAAGACCTGGATGACGACAGTGCTCCTGCTGGGTTGGCCGCGGTGCGAACGACAACTACACAAGAAACACTTTCCACCATTCTCAAGCAGCTCTTGGAAAGCGACTATCTTGTGCCCAAGGCCCTTGAGGAGGCGAAGAAATACAACCATATCATGGACTTCACAGACATTCGTGCCCTCAACACTTTGTTTAGCTTGCTGAACAAGGCCTGTCGCAATGTTCTGGAGTACAACATCCAGCATGTTGACTTCCCTCTGGATCCCGAGCAAATCGAGTCTTATATCTCCAAGAAGCTCTTGCTCACCCTCGTCTGGTCATTCACTGGTGATTGTCCCCTCACGGATCGCAAGGCGTTTGGTCAATTCGTCACCGGAATGTCAACCAGTGATCTTCCACCAAATGGCGACTCGTCGCTCATTGACTACGATGTGACTCTTCCAAAGGCAGAGTGGACAAGTTGGCAGGACCAGGTCCCTACAATTGATATCAATACTCACTCTGTCACTCAAACCGACGTCATTATCCCCACTGTGGACACTGTCCGCCATGAGGATGTCCTGTACTCTTGGCTTGCTGAGCATAAGCCACTGCTACTGTGCGGTCCTCCTGGTTCTGGTAAGACTATGACATTGTTTGCTGCTCTGCGGAAGTTGCCAAACATGGAGGTTGTTGGCCTCAATTTCTCAAGTGCTACGACTCCCGATCTTTTGATCAAGACATTCGAGCAATACTGTGAATATAAGAAGACACTCAATGGTGTAGTCATGTCTCCCAACCAAATTGGTCGTTGGTTGGTCATCTTCTGCGACGAAATTAACTTGCCCGCGCCTGATCGCTACGGAACCCAGCGAGCCATTTCCTTCTTGCGTCAACTTGTTGAGCAGAATGGATTCTGGCGAACCACTGATAAGACGTGGGTTACCTTGGACCGCATCCAGTTTGTCGGTGCTTGCAACCCTCCCACTGATGCCGGCCGTACTCCAATGGGAGAGCGATTCCTGCGCCATGCTCCTCTGATCATGGTTGATTACCCGGGTGAGATCTCGCTGAACCAGATCTATGGTACTTTCAACTCGGCGGTTCTCAAGATTCTGCCCTTGCTTCGTGGATTCTCCGACGCCCTCACCAAGGCCATGGTTCAATTCTATCTCGAATCCCAGGCAAGATTCACGCCCAAGATCCAGCCTCACTATGTGTACTCTCCTCGTGAGCTTACTCGTTGGGTTCGTGGTCTCTACGAGGCCATCAAGCCGCTTGAAACCTTGACTGTTGAAGGTCTTGTACGAATCTGGGCCCACGAAGCCCTGCGTCTCTTCCAGGATCGTCTAGTCGACGAAGACGAAAGAGCTTGGACCGCCGATGCTGTTCGCCGTATCGCATTGGAACACTTCCCAAATATTGACGACGTGGAGGCGCTCAAGGGTCCGATTTTGTTTTCGAACTGGCTATCCAAGAACTATGTCCCAGTCGAACAAGAACGCCTACGTGACTTCGTCAAGGCTCGTCTAAGAACATTCTGCGAGGAGGAGGTTGATGTTCCCTTGGTGCTGTTCAATGACGTCCTCGAGCACGCGCTCCGCATTGACAGAGTCTTCCGCCAGCCCCAGGGCCATCTCATTCTCATTGGTGTCAGTGGCAGTGGAAAGACTACATTGTCCCGATTCGTTGCATGGATGAACGGATTGAGGGTCTTCCAAATCAAGGTCCACGGAAAGTACTCTTCAGAAGATTTCGATGATGACCTGAGAAGTGTACTCCGTCGGGCAGGTTGCAAGGGCGAAAAGATTTGTTTCATTATGGACGAGTCCAATGTTCTGGACTCTGGTTTCTTGGAGCGCATGAACACGCTACTTGCCAACGCCGAGGTGCCTGGTCTCTTTGAGGGCGATGAGTTCTCTTCCTTGATGACAGCCTGCAGAGAGGGAGCTCAACGTCAAGGTCTGCTCCTCGACTCCCAAGAGGAGCTATACAAGTGGTTCACTCAGCAAATTGTTAAGAACCTGCACGTGGTATTCACTATGAATCCACCCGAGGATGGTCTCTCGTCGAAGGCAGCCACCAGTCCCGCACTGTTCAATCGTTGTGTCCTGAACTGGATGGGTGATTGGTCTGATCAGGCACTGTTCCAGGTCGGCTCTGAGCTTACTCAGTCGGTCGATCTGGACAAGCCCAACTTCGTCTCGCCTGATAGCATCCCAGTGGCATACCGTGAACTTTCATTGCCAGCTTCGCATCGCGACACGGTGGTCAACTCTATGGTGTACATTCACCACTCTCTTCACCGCTTCAACCAGCGTTTGCAGAAGCAGCAAGGCCGTGTGACTTTCCTCACCCCTCGCCACTACCTTGACTTTGTTGCTCAATATGTCAAGCTGTTTAATGAGAAACGTGAGGATCTCGAGGAGCAACAGCGTCACTTGAATGTGGGTCTGGAGAAACTTCGTGATACTGTGGACAAGGTCAGCGATTTGCGAGCCAGCCTGGCGCAGAAGAAGACTCAGCTGGAGAGAAAGGATGCGGAGGCAAACGAGAAACTGCAGCGTATGGTTGCTGACCAGCAGGAGGCAGAGCAGCGGAAGCACACTTCACTGGAGGTGCAAGCTGCTTTGGAGAAGCAGGAGAAGGAGGTTGCTTCCCGAAAGGAAGTCGTTTTGGGAGATTTGGCTCGGGCGGAGCCTGCAGTGATAGAAGCACAGAAGAGTGTCAGCAGCATCAAGCGTCAACACCTCACTGAGGTCCGATCAATGAGCAATCCCCCAGCTGGTGTCAGACTCGCCATGGAGGCAGTCTGTACTCTACTCGGTCACAAGGTTGTTGGTGACTGGAAAGCTGTCGGATCTATTCTTCGAAGGGAGGACTTCATCGCTAGTATCGTTCATTACAACAACGAGAAGCAGATGACTCGTTCCCACCGCATCAAGATGCAGAACGAGTATCTCTCCAAGGAGGAATTCACTTACGAGCGAGTGAACCGTGCCAGTAAGGCATGCGGTCCCCTGGTTCAATGGGTCGAAGCGCAGGTCAACTACTCCGCAATTTTGGATCGCGTTGGGCCTTTGCGTGAGGAGGTTGATACACTGGAGGAACAGGCTCTTCAGACCAAGGCCGAGGCTCAAGCCATTGAGAATACCATCACGAGTCTCGAGAACAGTATTGCAGGCTACAAGGCCGAATACGCTTCCTTGATCAGCGAAACCCAGGAGATCAAGACCGAAATGTCTCGGGTTGAGTTCAAGGTCAACCGAAGTGTGCGCTTGCTCGACAGTCTGGCATCTGAGCGAGTGCGCTGGGAGGATGGCAGCAAGTCATTCGAAACTCAAATCAGCACTCTTGTTGGCGACGTCCTCATTGCGGCCGCTTTCCTGGCCTATGCTGGTCTTTACGATCAGCAGTTCCGTAAGGCGATGATTGATGATTGGGTGCACCAGCTGGGTCAATCTGGCATCCAATTCAAGCCACATAACCCGATCACAGAATACCTGTCCAATGCCGACGAGCGCCTGACTTGGCAAGAGCACTCTCTCCCCGTCGACGATCTCTGCACCGAAAATGCCATCGTCTTGAAACGCTTCAACAGATACCCCCTGATCGTCGATCCCTCTGGTCGGGTCACAGAATTTTTGCAGAAGGAGAGCAATGACCGCAAGCTCACTGTCACTAGCTTCTTGGATGATTCCTTTGTCAAGCAACTCGAGAGCGCCCTGCGTTTCGGAAACCCCATCCTCATCCAAGATGCGGAGCATCTGGACCCGATTCTCAACCATGTTCTCAACAAGGAGTACCAGAAGACTGGTGGACGTGTCCTCATTCAACTTGGAAAGCAAGAAATCGACTTCTCGCCATCGTTCAAGCTGTTCCTTTCCACCAGAGATCCGTCTGCTACATTCCCCCCTGATGTTTGCAGTAGGACAACCTTTGTCAACTTCACGGTCACACAGAGCAGCTTGCAGACTCAATCATTGAACGACGTTCTGAAGTTCGAGCGACCGGATGTGGATGAGCGCCGTAACAACCTTGTCAAGATGCAAGGTGAATTCAAGGTTCACCTTCGTCAACTTGAGAAGCGTCTGTTGCAGGCACTGAACGAGTCTCGTGGAAATATCCTCGACGATGACAATGTCATCGAGACTCTTGAGACTCTCAAGAAGGAGGCCGGGGAAATCTCAAAGAAGATGTCCGAGACGGAAGGCGTGATGTCCGAGGTGGAGAGTGTCACCAACCAATACAGCATTATTGCCCGAGCCTGCAGTGCTGTCTTTGCGGTTCTGGAGCAGCTTCACCACATCAACCACTTCTACCAGTTCTCTCTCCAATACTTCGTGGACATTTTCAACTCTGTTCTCTACCAGAACAAGCGTCTTGCACAGGAGAAGGACCACTCTGCACGCGTGCAAATAATCATCCGAGACCTCTTCATCACCACCTACCAACGCACATCCCTCGGTCTCGTCCAGAAAGACCGCATCACGCTGGCAATTCTTCTTGCTCAGGCCACACCATTCCCAATGGATAGGACCATCCTCGATCGCATCTTGGACGAATCTGTTGAAGACGCCGATCTCTCAAGCACTGGCACCACGCGTGACGAAGTGATGAGCAGGTTGAACAGCATGTCTCTATTCAAGGAACAGATTGCCAATGTTACTGAAGAGCAGTGGGATCGCTTCTTTACCGAAGAGCTCGCAGAGAATGCCGTTCCGGTAATCTGGGATGAAGGCACATCACACCTTGACCAGCTTCTTCGATCCTTGTTGCTTGTCAAGCTTTGCCGGATGGACCGATTTGTTCCTACCGCTGAGCGCTTTATCGAGGCTGTGTTTGGCCGTGAGCTATTCGAGGGCAGTGGTGACTTGCAGGATGTCGTCGAGCAAGTCACAGCTACTACGCCAATTTCCCTCAGCTCCAGCCCTGGTTTCGATGCCAGTTACAAGGTCGATGCCCTGGTGCAACGGACGAACGCAACATGCGCCAACATTGCCATGGGTTCGAATGAAGGTCTCGAGAGCGCCGACAAGGCTATCAGCAACGCTGCCGCGACCGGTAACTGGGTTCTCGTCAAGAACGTTCACCTCGCTCCTTCTTGGCTTCAGAGTCTCGAAAAGAGATTGGATTCGCTCAAACCTCACAAGGAATTTCGTCTTTTCCTTTCCATGGAATCTAGTCCTAAGATCCCTGTCAATCTGATCCGTGCCTCGCGCGTCTTGATGTTCGAGCAGCCTGCTGGTGTGCGCGCCAATATGAAGGACTCCCTATCTTCCCTGTCCGATCGTGCCAGCAAGGCTCCTGTTGAGAAGGCTCGTGTTTACATCTTGCTCTCCTTCCTCCACGCCGTGGTCCAAGAACGCCTCCGCTACGCGCCTAGCCTGGGATGGAAGGGCTTCTGGGAATTCAATGACAGCGACGTGAGTAACGACCCTTTGATCTATGTTTCTACCTTTCTCTTCTTTTTACGCAATGCTAACTCCTTACTTCAATAGTACGAATGCTCTGCTTATATCATTGACCACTGGGTCGACACTGTCGCCCAAGGCCGTTCTAACGTTGCCCCCAACAAACTTCCCTGGGAGATGATTCGTACACTCATTGCGGAGATGTACGGAGGCAAGATCGATGATGCTGGCGACTATCAGCAACTGGAGAGCCTGGTGCACAACTTTATTACCGCGGCCGCGTTCGAGGACGAGTACAAGCTGGTCTCCGGCGTTGAAAAGGATCACCTTCTGGTTCTGCCCAGTAGCACCAGCATGCGTGATTTCAATGCCTGGGTCAACAACCTGCCCGAGCGTGAGCCGCCCACTTACCTGGGTCTCCCTGCCAATGCCGAGAAGTTGTTGTTGGTCGGCCATGGCCGTAAGATGATTGGGGACTTGTCTCGGGTTACCACTCTTCTGGATGAGGGCGAGCAGCTGATGGTTGATAATTAACCATTCTGACTCCCTCCTCTCCTTCCTTCCTTCCTTCCTCACTCCTTCTTTTTCTTTGTCGTCGTTTGTTTTTTGTTTGTTTTCCTGTTTTTCAAGGGGTGGAGTTGAGGTGGTTCACCTCTAGACTATGGTTTCATGGGAGATTGCATGCATTCTATACCCCAAAGACCGCTGGCGGATGCTTTTTCCCCTTCTTATTTCTGTTGTGAATTTTAGATGTATTTTATCATGAATGCTGTTTGTACAGAGATTCTACCCTAGATGCCCTCAAGGCTATGCCCTTACCACATAATAATTCTCTTTAACAAATCACTCTTTGACCGTACTATCAGTCCTGTCCGTCTTGCCTCAAGTGGATGGGAGAGTGCGCTTCATGCTCTATCTTGAAGATTTTCTTTAAGTACGAGTGAGAGAAGTGAATCGTAGAGTAGAGTAATTTAGTTAATAGCATTAAGTATCCAGTATACAATCTGTGGAATGTCTGGTTCGCGCGGGAGCCAATCTCGACTGCCCTCAGTGTAATGTAGAATAACTCGAACAAAAACGCCAACAAGTCCCAGAATTGGGTGATGTTCCTATGTACGTAGGTCGTGAATAGAGACTGCCTTTATCGGATTTAGGAGATGAAGGTCGACTCTGAGAACAGGAAGCCCTCTTCGACGGTCTCGACGCCGCCGATGTTGAGCTTGAGGGAAAGCTTCTCCTTGGGGGAGTACTGGGAGTGGAGTTAGGATGGGTTGAAACCAATGCATCACGGAGGGCGGGAAGGAGAAACATACCTGGAAAATATACGGGCGGGTACCGGCGACACTGCCAGCGATGGTCTTGATGAAGCCGGGGACTTCACCCATGACATCGACACGGTCCAGGCGCTTGCCCAGAGGACCATCGACCTCGGCGGTGACGTCTTGGCCATCGGCAGACTTGCCGGACCACTCCCACTTGATGGAGGTGGGCTCGGGCCACTCGCTCTCGGGGTCCTGCTCGCTATTGGTGTGGGTAACTTTGTTGTCGGTACCAGCGTAGATAATCTCGCCATCCTTGAGGATACCGCCGACGGTGACCTTGGTCGAGCCGTAGGATGGGGGAGTGGTGAATTCCATCATGATAGCGGAGAAGGTGGGGGTCTGGAAGTTAAGGAAGTTCCAGCGGGCGGCTATAATGTGTTAGCTTGTGCTGGTTGTTGTGTGCAAAGGTATACATAATTCATACCGGCGTGGTGAGGCTTCATGCCCTGAAGAGCGGGGATGAAAACACCGCGGCCTGCCAAGTCGTAGGTCTTAGCCTTGGTGGTAATAGTGCCCTCGACAGCACAGCGAGCCCAGAAGGAATGGGTCATAGAGCCCCAGGGGTTCTTAGGGTCGGTTCCGAAGTAGGAAGTGCCGTTCTTGCCGGCAGCGAAGCCGGGGGCTTTGCGGGTGATCTTGAGGTCAACAACGCTATCCGGGTTGACGGTGGACTTGATGGAGTAGGAGTCGCCCTCCTCGTTCAGTGTGATGGCCAGGTTGTCGGCAGCGAAAGAAAGCATCTTCTCGTCGAAGATGATGTTGGAGAGAGGGTTCGTGTTCCAGATGTGCTCGCCGTCGCCTTGGAGGTTGAAGATCTTCGTGTTGAAGTGAGCGGTAGTATGGATGCCCCTATACAGTTCGGAGGATAGCGCAAGCAGTTAGTTATGCCCTGGGAATGATATACAGAGCCAGGGGCCCGTTGACAGCGGTGGAAATGCATCCGATCAACTTACGCAATGTTGCTGTAGATCAGCTGGACCATAACCAATGTGCCGTCGTCGGCGATGATGTAGAAGGTCTGGGTCTCGACATTGGTGTATTGGTAGGCCTTCCAGCGCAGATCATCCTTGGTCAGGACAGAGTGGGAGGTCTCCTGAGCCTGCTGAGCGACAGACTGGATGGCATCAGGGCCATAGATGGGTTCTTGCGTACCCACGGCCGCCGAAAGACTGCCCGCATTGATCATTAGTTGCCCCACCACATATTGAGGAGTATCGGAGAATATGAACATACGTTGACTTGAGCCAGTTCATTGTGAAGGAAGGTCGGAGATAAAAAAATTTTATCAATATGGATGTAGCGATCAGAGAAGAAAAAAAAGAGCAGAGGGAAAGGGGAGGTGAGAGAGAAGGGAGATCGACACGCGGGGCCCAGAGTTTAGCTCGGATGCGAATGGGACGAGGAGCCGCCGAGGTGACGAACACGAATTTGGGCCTGAATAGGACCAACGATATCTTTTTGTTGAAGATTGGTCAAGGGATCGTAGATGGAAAAATACAATAAAAAGTTCACTTAGTTTTGAATTATTAAATCCAAACTCACGAGAGAGAAAAAGGGAAAAAAGAGAGAGAGAAGCGCGATGACGGCGCTTGCAAGCTCGCTTGGTGGGTTCTTGGCCAATCAGCGCGCGGTTAGGAAAATCTTCCGTCTTCAGCCAAACTCGGCGGTCTTCTTCTTCTCCGCTTGGTTTAGCAACTCTCGACCATCATCCCCTACATTCCTTTCCACAATGGCCAGAAACGTGTTATCCAAGGATCAGTTCGTCAAGCTCATTGTCGGGGCTGGTCAAGCCAGTCCCAGTCCCCCCGTCGGTCCGGCCCTGGGTAGTAAGGGTGTTAAGAGTATGGACTTTTGCAAGGTGAGCTACCACCCTCCCCTCCGCCTCGAGCATTGATGCTCCTGGATGGGATGGCCGGAATCAGATAAACTAATAGATGGATTGCTTTAGGAATTCAACGCTCGCACTGCGCACATCAATGTCGGCGTCCCTATCCCCGCGCGCGTCACCGTCCGCCCCGATCGATCCTTTGCCTTTGATCTGCGCACTCCGACTACCACCTACCTCCTGCTCAACGCCGCCCATGTCGAACCCCGAAAGAACCGTCTCCGTGGTTCCATGCGCCCTGGTCACGAGAGCTGTGGCACGATCTCCCTGAAGCACGTCTACGAGATTGCCCAGATCAAGCACTCCGAGACCCGGTTGTCGGGACTGAGCCTGCAGGGCCTGTGCAAGAGTGTCATCTCGCAGGCCAAGTCGATTGGCATCAAAGTTGTCCCATGATCATGAGGTGATGGCATCTTTTGTTAGGCGCGGGATTGAGTTCGACTTGTAATACCACGAACATCGTATTAACACGGTTTGGCTGGCCCCAGTCTGTCTGCACGGCGACACTGTGCAGATCGGATCCGGCTATATTTGGCTGTATCTTTCTTCTTTCTTTCATTCCTATGGTCTTTCTGGCGTTCTCATCTAGGGGAGAAAGGACATTCTCCCTGCTGTATTATATACCTGATCATTTGATGCATGCGACTCGAGCGATGTATGCATACAACAATGGAATATCTGGCACGGCCAGTCATATTATCAATTCTTGAATGTAGGCAGGAGCTGTAGGTTACCTAGGTATAAGTCAATGATGTCTTCTCCGGTGCCGAAGAGTGAGACTCAGATCTCATAGCGTATACGCCGAGATGAATAAAGGAGTATGCCCTCTACACCCAGACACTGTTTACTAGTAGTAGTCTCAAGCTTGTTTGACTTTGAGATCTTCGGCAATCTCGTTATGTCTAGTTATTTAGGGGGCATGTTACTCTATGGGCAAGCACTAGTATTGTACCTACTAGTATGTAACCCATTGAACAAGATATCTTTCAAATCTCAATTGAAAGGCATTTGAACTTCGAGTGCATAATTATTAAGAAGCTATAACGGAATACAGAGTGGCCTCAACCTTCTCTTCTCATTCCAGGCTGTCGGTAGAAGCAGTGCTATACACCCCATGTCATATTCTCATTATGGCTTCGGCCACCAGGGGTGCTCATGTCGAATATGAGTGTGGTCATACTACAGGCAAATAGACATCGTCGCTAGTGATCTAAACATCTGTGCTTGACACCCCTCCTGACAAATGATGTGGCTGACGAATGCGTCGTCCTGAACCAGCTACCCCGGACCCAGAAACGGTAAGAAACTGGGTCGGCGGGGATCAGAGCCTCGGGGGGGAGGGATATGAGTCGTAATTCAACGGGGAACTAGTTACGCAGTGCTACATCTACATTAGGTTGATAATATGCATACTATTACACACCGTGGATTGTAGTGGTGCATACAATATGTAGGGAGTTAGCGTGGATGCATGTCCGGCGCTGTGTGACCAGGCAGGCCGGCACATGGCCATCTTCCGATCGAAGGACAAATAGTTAGTTACTACTAGTCCACGGGTAGTAGAGTATGTAATGGAATTCCTGGTGCCGAGTGCCAAGTCAGTTTGATGCCACCCGGTGATTGTAATTTCTGGGCACAGGCGTGTTGTTGAGTACTCTTGGCTGGTATGAATAATGGTGATGAGGATGATGATGACGAGGAGGACCTCTGAGAAAGACTAGACCGATTCAGGTATCCTTCCAGATCACTGGGCGAAGACAGCGGCAGCCAGTGGCGGGCGCAGGTGGTCCTGTTCGCGGGAAGTCGGCACGGTCATCGAGGCCGACATCATAGGTCCATAAGCCTCCGCGGTCTTCCGAGATGTTGGATTCTTTGATCTGGGTATTCTGAAGGATCCCACCAGTAACCGCACAGCATAGTGAGTAGATGAGAACGGTGGTATGTATAGTGTAGAGTGCAGAGAGTGAAGAGGAGAGGGAAAGAGGGAAGGAGGAAGGTGAAGGGCGAAGTTGATGAGTCTTGGCCCTTTCCCTTGGCTGTTCCCCCACCGGTTTTTGTAGTTATGGAGTAACTAGAGCCACTGCCCTAGTGCTAGAGTACTACTAGAGTACTAGTAAGTAGTCATACCTTCCTTAGGTCCAGGCCGAGACCAGAACCCCAATCTCTCTGCCAATCTCTCTTTCCTCCAACTGCCACCCCTCTTCCCCCCCTCCTCCTCTCCTCCTCTCCTCTCTACTCTACCATTCCCTCTTCTTTTCTTCTCCCTCTATTTATCACTTCATTCCCACTTTGCACATTTCCACTCTCTCCTCTCCCCTCCTCTCCTCGCTGAGATCATTTCAGAGATTCTCGTTGCGGGCTTATCGCACGGATTCGGCGAAACGAAAACTTAGAAAAGATTTGCCTCCACGTAATCAACGGTTTTCACGGCTTTCCATTCTCTCTCTGCTTCCGGCTTTTCTCCCCCATCGAGTGTTCGCCTTCACCTCGCGACAAAAAGAAAAGAAAAGAAAAATCAACTCCAACCTATCTCTCTCTCTCCGAAATTCAAATCCCCGAGGGGGCATGCCGTCCCACTAGGTCCCGAATTGTTGGTGTCGAATGAGTATGACGTCTGAACAGGCCCATTCGCCCTCACCCACCAACCCCAACGCCAACGCCATGGATTCAGGTATGTCTTGGTCGGAAAAACAAGCCCCTCCTTCCCCTTTCCCTTTTCAAAGGCCAAATGAACTCGATGGCCCTTCAAATTCCACCCCTTCTAACTCCGCATGCTCCAACGCGACAGGCTCGCCCGTCATGCACTCCCCCGCCAAGATGCCGGCTCAAGCGGAGACCGGTGATTCCGACGCCAAGTCAAGATCTCAGCCTGGCCAAGTTCGCTTCTCCTCCGTCACGCAGGAGATTGAACCATCTCACTCAGAGGCTACTCCTGAACCGGAACAGCTTCCGACCGACACTCGCAAAAAGACTGACGAAGAGGAGCTGCGGTCGCTGGCCATGAGCTTGCAGAGCTCCCAGCTTCAGGAGTCTCGTCTACGCAACAACTTCTCCTTCGAGCCAATGTCGCTTCCTTCCTCGAGGGTACGTTGACAACCATTCCCCCTTTGCCTCGCTCACTCTCCCCTGGATCGTGGAAGCTCTCAAGCTCCGTGGCTGGATTCGCCACGGAGGGTGAGGTTTTCATCAGTATCTCCTGATTTCTACTACCCCGGGCCCATGAGCCTGGTAGAACCCCAATTTCAAGGCCAATGATGCTAACCTCCACCCTCTCCTCTAGGTTGCGTCGCGAGAGTCGAGCGATCGGAGTGCTCGAGAGGGCCCTGGCTCCTATGTGACTTCGCCCCATGCTTCTCCCCCCCACCTCCGCTGTACAGTCGCCTCCCCTAACCCCCGCCGTCACCCAATCTCGTGAATCCCGAATTGGTGAAAGCAGCGCATCATTGAACGCTGTCAGCAATGCTAAGGCATCGGCCATCACCCCCGAAACATCACCTCCCGTCTCCTCTAGCGACCAGAATGGCAACCATCAAAGTGCCCCGTCATCACGACCCGGGTCCACCGACCGTCTCTCGATGAAACAGAGCGGTGCCTCTGAGCCTACAGGGATCATCACCTCCTTGCCGAAGCACCGCGCCCAGTTTTTCATTGGCAATGATGCCGGTTCTCAAGAGGAGAGTCCTCCTCCGACCCCGCGCGACTCCCATACGCCACCCGGGACCATCACACCGGTAGGCGAACCCGACGATCCATACGCTCGCAGTAAGCGACCTCCGCAATCGAAGAATCTTGCTCAGCTAGATCCGCGGTTCATCTTTGGGAGTCGTGACTCGAAGCGGACATTTCGTCCGGGGACACCACGGTCCGCAAGTGCAAGCGATGTCACCAAGTCTAGCGACAAGAAGGGTATGTTTGGAAGCAGCAAAAAGGACCACGACCAAAAGAGCGGTCATGGTCATGGTCATGGTCATGGCCATCACGGCTCAATGTCCGAGCTGAAGCGGTTCTTCAAGATGGGCCACCGTAGCAAACGCCCGGATTCTCCTACATCTGGCAAACGGTCAAGTCGGTCCTCGGGCAAGAGTACCCCGTATCAAATGGCCCCGGATAATGTTCCTTTTGCTGATGACCATGGGTTGAATTCCAAGTACGGGAAAATGGGTCGGGTTCTTGGTTCTGGAGCGGGTGGCTCGGTGCGACTTTTGAAGCGGAACAGTGATGGTGTCACTTTCGCCGTCAAACAATTCCGTGATCGACACAGCTGGGAAAGTTTGAAGGAGTACTCCAAGAAGGTTACCGCCGAGTTTTGCATTGGTTCCACCTTGCACCATGGTAATATCATCGAGACCCTCGACATCATCCAGGAAGGAGAACACTGGTACGAGGTGATGGAATATGCTCCGTTCGATCTCTTTGCGATCGTCATGACGGGCAAGATGAGCAAGGAGGAGATTGCGTGTTCATTCAAACAGATCCTCAGCGGTGTTGCCTACCTGCATGGAATGGGCCTAGCCCATCGGGATCTCAAGCTGGACAACGTGGTCGTCAACAATCGCGGCATCATGAAGTTGATTGATTTTGGAAGTGCAGTCGTGTTCCGCTACCCTTTCGAGAACGACATTGTTCCGGCCTCGGGCATTGTGGGATCGGACCCCTACCTGGCCCCCGAGGTATATGATGAGAAGAAGTACGATCCGCGCCCCACGGATGTTTGGTCGCTGGCGATCATCTTCTGTTGTATGACTTTGCGTCGCTTCCCGTGGAAGCAGCCGCGCAGCACGGACAACTCTTACCGATTGTTCGTTGCCACTCCCACGCCTGGCACACCGGTTCCCGACATTGATCCTCGACGCCGGCCTAAGTCCAACCCCGACCTTCCATCTACCGTTCCTGAAAACAAACCGCTCGAGCAGAAGCAGGTCCCTCCCACATCAAATGGACCGACCTCCCAGTTACCAGCCAAACTGACTGTCCCTGCGCCGGAGCAGAACGGTACGAAGCCGGACAGCTCGGAGAAGCCTGAGTCGCCAAAGGACAGCGATAGCCCTACCGAGGCCCAGAAACAGATTAGCCAGTCCAGCACCAAAAACAACAAGCCCACGCGGACCACCAGTAAAGAGGCCCCGCCTCTCCCGCCGGGCGCTCCGCAGCCAGCGCCCAAACAGGAGGTCATTAAGGGCCCCTGGCGACTCCTCCGCATTTTGCCGCGGGAAAGTCGATTCATCATTGGCCGTATGCTCAAGGTCGACCCGAAAGACCGTGCGACCTTGGATGAAGTCCTCGCCGATGAATGGGTGCGCAGTATCTTGACATGTGAGCAGAAGGGTACTGGCGAAGTTATTCCTGCCCCAAACCACAAACACGTTCTCGAGCCCCCTGCCCAGAGCCCCGCGGTTGCCAGTAAAGCCACCAAGGCCAAATAATCTCACCATTCATGTATCAATTTCTTCAACTGTGCATATTCCCCCATTCAACGACTCAAAGCGAAATGGCCGACTTACTTTTTTCTTCGCCCTTTCGCCATGCGGTCTGTCCCATATCAACAAGGTCCATTCTGGGGTGATCCCAGGACACGAACTCCACGCGAATGGCCGTCGACATTTGTGTGACTTTTGTTTCTATTTTGTTCCATATTCATTGTCCATATGATGTGTCCCACTAATTTTCCGCGATCTTAACACTTCCCCGCCTGTTTGTCGCGCGTTTTCTTCTCCAGCGGCCGAGTACCACGATGAAGCAGCGTTTTCCAAGGCGTTTTGCCGGAGAGAATCGGGTCTGTTGGCAAAGCAAATTCGCCGGCCCAGCTGTCCAGTATTAGATTATCATCTCGTTAGATATGTGGCGGGCTGTCCGACACGGGCTCTTTCTGCGAGTCTTTCATGTTCTGGTGGCTGGGCCTTTTTGCGTGGGTTCTCCTGTACTTATGGTGTATCCCAATTCAGTAGATACAATTCCCTGAATATAAGAATATAAAGTCTTTACTTTTATTAATTTTTTGGAATTAGAAAAGGAAGAAAAGCTTTGGGAGAACATACTCGTAGTGCATAGAATTCAACGGTTCTCCAGTGATCGGCTTGAGAGTCAAAGTCCGGTCCGGCGGTATCGGAATGGTCTGACTGTCTGACTGCTGGATCTGCGTCAATTGCGGAGCTCTCCTCACGCATTCTTGCGCTTCACCGGGGCACTCCAAGAACAATCCTCTGCTCCAACTCTCCTCCCTAATACCCCGAGTCAATTGCCAAATACAGCATGCTTGCGCGGTAGAAAAAAGCCCTTCACTCCCACTCCCACTCCCACATCTCACCTCGCATTATGTCCCAACAAGCCGAGGGACAGGCACCGGCCTCACTCTGGACGAGGTCCCTCCTTGTAAGAGAGCAACCCTTCAATCCCAGTTCTATCCTAGCAAATCACTAACTAAACCCTCCAAAAAGTCCGGTGCCGTCGCAGGTCTCACCGTTGATTGCTCCCTCTACCCCCTCGACACCATCAAGACCCGACTCCAAAAAGCACGCGACCACACCGCACCGCAAACCTCACGACTCACATTACGCCAGACAGTCCGCGGAATCTACGCAGGTCTTCCATCCGTCCTCTTCGGCTCAGCCCCCTCCGCCGCATCCTTCTTCATAGTCTACGACGGCGTCAAGCGCTCCCTCCTCCCCTCCACCCCGGACTCCGCACCCGCTTCCCGCACCCATGTCTTCTTCACACACTCAATCGCCTCCTCACTAGGTGAAATCGCGGCCTGCGCCGTGCGCGTTCCGACGGAAGTCGTTAAGCAACGAGCTCAGGCCGGTCTCTTCGGTGGCTCGAGTCGTCTCGCGCTAAAGGATATCCTCTCTCTCCGCCACGCACACACCACCTCAACAATCCCAATCCCGGCCGCAGGCACAAATGCAATCATCCCCGGTTCCACTCCCACTCCCACTCCCCAACCCCGTACCGCGAAGGGCGGATATGGTCAGGTATTCCGTGAACTGTACCGCGGAGCTGGAATCACGATCGCGCGCGAGATCCCATTCACCGTCCTCCAATTCACCATGTGGGAGACGATGAAGGAGAACTACGCACAGCGGTATCTGAGGTTCAAGGACGCTAGCTCGGGGATCGTGAAGCAGGAGCAAATCCCCGCTTCGACCAGTGCGATGTTCGGTAGTGTTGCCGGTGCGATTGCGGCTGGATTGACCACTCCGCTGGACGTGATTAAGACCCGGGTCATGCTTGCCCGGCGTGGTGATGGTGGCTCTGACGGGCCGATTCGAGTGAAGGATATTGTGAGGGGGATTGCGCAGGAGGGCTTTGGCGCTTTTTGGAGGGGTATTGGGCCTCGTGTGGCTTGGATTGGAATTGGTGGGGCTGTTTTCTTGGGTAGTTACCAGTGGGCTTGGAATAGCCTTGAGGGGAAGAGGCAGGAGAAGCAGGAGCGGGAACGGGAGGAGAATTTGTGATTTTGATTGTTGTATAGCTTTGTTGGTTGGGGTTCTTGTATATTACTACTGCCATATCATAGAGGATCTAGAGTGTATAGACTTGGATTGATAGAAGTGGTTGTTTCTCGACAGTGGTGTTTGCACTTTCTTTCTCTATCCTTTGAATACTAGTCGGCTGCTTGACCAACCAGTGCAGCAGGCTACACTTGATCCTGCGTCAGGAGAGACTGCCCGTGGTTTGATACTCGCCCTCCGCCCACCACCCCCCGCATTCCACATTCCATATTCGGGCCCACTACAAACGCCTCCATGTCTGCGTCTGCCGTAGGTCCCATCAGCGTGTATGATCATATATACACCCCCACACCCCGCCAATACCGCTATGCATGTGTGGTTTGCGGTCTGAGATGGAAAAGGCCTAGGGGAAAGCCTGGAGAACTTGGAGTAAGCAAGAGGTAGTGTACTAGCATGACTTTATTTGATGCACGAATCTCGAGTTCCACTGTCTGGCCATACATCTTGGATCGAAATGAATTTGGAATTTGATGTGGATGTCGACTGTTTCTGCAAAGTAGCCGCCTTCGGGGTGGGGGTGATCAATATAGGGTTATATTGATGCATATGGCGGTTGGAATACCTCGTTGAACCCTCTTCAGTCCTCTTTTAGTAACACGAAAAGAGATGGTTGTGAGACTAGAAGTAAGCTATTTCGAGAGTCTTGGAAGTACGTACCAAGCAAGAATCCCACTGGCAAGGCCCGGGTAATACGACCAGGCACCGGCTGATGCTGCGCTATGGCGTCGCGAACCGAAATGCCCCTGGCGGATCCCCCCAAACTTCCCTTCCCCTCACTAATCTCTGATCTGATCCTGCCGTTCCTTTCCTCCCTGCTTCTACTACTACTACTATTATTGCTCTCCTAATCTGTTGAACTCTTGACCTATTGTCTCCCCTTGTTTGTGTTGGGGTAGTCAGTGACGTCGCCCCCGGACCAACGTGTGATCGGCCCTCGATTGAGGCACAGATAAGCTGCTCCGCATCTCCTCCGCAATTTCACCCTCCCATCCCCAAACTGCATGTATGGCACGGAAACTGAGCCACCAGAGGGTCACCTATGGTGAGTTTGCCATACAAACAGAGGTCCAAGCCTAGACCTTGCGATTCTGACTGATCCTTCCCCTCCAGTGCTTCCTCTCCCCGATGCCCCCGGTGGGCACCGGTTGGGGGTCAATGGCCTAACTGTTGACCGTCAAAACTCCATCCTGTAAGTCATGATCTACTCTGTTCTAAACAATGAAGCTCTCGAGCCCTCGCCTCGTGGTCACATCCTTTCGCTGTTTCGCTGGGTGTCTGCACTGTCGCCTCGCCTGTGGGTTGCACGACTTGCTAACGTGACCTCTGTTTGCGCCTCCCCCAGATATTCCGCTGGTCGTGACGGCGTTATCTGCTCCTGGGATCTCGATTTTCCCCTCAATCCTCTCTCTTCGCAGAATCCCTTCTCGTCCGCCAATCGCAAGCCAGGCCCGACTCGATTCAAGACACAGGTCCAGGCACACAGCCACTGGATCAACGACATTGTCTTAACCGAGAACAACTCCGCCCTTGTCTCGGCGTCTTCGGATACTACCGTGCGGCTCTGGCGCCCGCACTCCGAGTCGACAGAAGTCCCCGAGCGCATCGGTAAACACGCCGACTATGTGAAGGCCGTAGCAAGTCCCGGCGGGCAGGCCAGCTGGGTCGCCTCCGGTGGTTTGGACCATAAACTCTATCTATGGGATCTGAATGGCGGTGGTGAGGTCCTAAACATAGACGCCGGTGGTGACGATACCACCGAGAAGGGTTCGGTCTACGCCCTGGGTGCCGTGTCCTCAGTGCTCGCCAGCGGTGGACCGGAGAACGTCGTTCGCGTCTGGGATCCTAAGTCTGGCAAGTTGGTAACCAAGTTCGTTGGTCACACAGATAACGTACGCGATATCTTGATCAATCAGACCGGGGACACCATTATGACGGCTTCATCGGACCAAACCATCAAGATCTGGTCGCTGACTGCCGGTCGTTGCATGAATACGTTGACTATGCATAACGATAGCGTCTGGTCTCTCTATTCTGATCATCCAGATCTTTCGGTGTTTTACTCTAGCGATCGCTCGGGCTTGGTCGCGAAGACCGACACCCGAAACTCCCCAGACCCGGAACAAGGGACATCTGTCGCAGCGTTACAAGAGCACGAGGGTGTCGTGAAGGTCGTGGCAGCTGGTGACTTTATCTGGACAGCCACACCCAAGTCCAGCATCAATCGCTGGCGCAACGTTGATACGGAGCTTGAAATCGAAGCCCAGCCTGACCCAGCGCGTACTATTGAGTCTACAACGGCCGACCCGGAGAAAACGCCGGAGAAGGCTCCAGAAAATGGACCAAAGAAGATCCCCTACAACGCTGCCTTGCAGCTGTCCGCTACGTCCTCGTTGCTGAGGGGTCCTCCGAATGGACGCTCTGCAGAGAATGGCTTGGAGCCTGATCTCACAATTCCAGTGCATTCACTGCCCGAAGAAAGTATCGAGGGCCAGCATGGCCTGATTAAGTGCTTGATGTTGAACGATCGAAAGCGTACCCTCACGCAAGATTCAGCCGGAGAAGTGGTGTTGTGGGATTTGTTGAAGGTAAGTCCGGTTCTCGGAAGCCTTTGGTGGCAAGAAACTGACCAAAATCGAAGTGCGTTCCCGTCCAAGAATTCGGGAAGCGGCATCTTGATGATGTGGCTACCGAGCTCAATACCACAGAAAGTATCTCCCATTGGTGTACAATCGACGTTCGAACCGGCAGGTTGTCTGTCATCCTCGAGCCGAATCGTTGCTTTGATGCCGAAGTCTACGCGGACGAGGCCGGGCTTTCAGAGACCGATATGGTAAATTTCAGAGATGATCAAAGAAGTATGTCCCAGATAAAGTCATCATCAGTAAATCCCTCATTAGGGGGCTAACAACATCTATAGTCAATCTTGGAAAATGGATTTTGCGTTGGCTTTTTGCCTCCTTGGTTGACGAGGAGGTTCGGCGCGATAGCGAATATCGCGAAAGTGCCGTGGCCAAGGCCGAAGAACTAGCCAAGCTGAACCCAGTACTGAGCACATCTGCACCTGGTGATGATATTCCACGAAGCATGGGGATTCCCATCCATGATCCCTCTTCCACGACTTTGCGGCCTAATATGGACTTCCCCGGGAGCCCCAGCACCGCTGGATTCGGGATAAATATCGGCACGCCATCATCCGCCAATTATCTCAGCACTTCTATGCAGAGTAACTCTCCATTTCCTGCCTTTGACGCTGAGACCCCAGATGTTCCTGGGTCTTTGCCAGGGAACCCCGATGCCGTGCCATCGTCCTTCTCTCGATAGATCTGATTACTTCTCTACGAGGCCATCTAATCCACCTCAGCCCGACGATAAGCCACCCATGTCTCCATCGGAATCGGGAGTACCCCAATCTCCCGCCGAGCCGGATAAAGAAGAGCGTAAGAAAGGTGGCTCGCTATTTGGAAAGAAGTTCCGTATGGAGTTTCCGAAGAGAATGGGCCGAACCTCGACGGATGCGAAGCCTCTGATCCCGGAGGAGAAGATTGAGGAGTCTGAGTCTGCCGATGTCAAGGAGGAGAAGACATATGAAGCTAACATCAGTGGCGTTATTGATCGGATTCGTCACGAGTATGATGAATTCCTGTCTGCAAACCCTGGCAAGGAATTGGCGACAGCAATCATCCCCAGCCTTGAGACCGAAACTCCTCGACTCAGCATCCCCCCTCGCACTGCGGTTTTCATCCAGGAGGAGACCGGCGATACCGCCGTAGCGTCGGATCTGTACCGAGGAAGTTTTGAAAATATAGGACAGGATATTGAGCGACTCGAAAAGGCCATACCTTATTGGCTTGGTGAACTTCTTTTGAAAGTAAGTTGCACGACTGCTGATGTTGAAGATATCTTTCTGACTGAAATTTAGAACCAAATTCCTTTCAAGGAACAGGTCAAGGTTGCATTTGTCTTGAAACCATTCGACGACTCTTTGCCTCCTGTTGTGAAGCCCGAGGTGTAGGGTTTTGCATGCAATTCCCCTTCCACGAGTCTTAAATGCTGACAAGATTCCCCATAGACCGACGGCAAATGGGGGACCTCCTCCTGTCAATGGAAATAACAGTTCTCGTCTGAATGCCAATCGTATGCTTCGTGCGAAGAAGGTCCTGGCTTATGTGGCTGAACGTATCGACCCTCCCAATCCGGATGAGCCCGAGGCCAACGTCATGCCGCCAGAGGAATATCTTGAACTGTATTGTCAAAAGATGGTATGATCAATCTGAGTGGCTTCCCCACCCCCCCCCCCCAAATCTCCCTTTCTGACATGACCATTTAGCTGGTGCCATCCAACATGACTCTAGCGACAATGCGAACACATCTTTGGCGCACTTCTGGCGATATGATCCTTCACTACAAGACAAACGGCAAGAAGGAGATCCGACCGCCACCATCGTTGATGGGCAACACTGAAAGTCACGTCGAGACGGGTGGCCCCACCACCCCCAACGTCACAAACGGCGAGACAACGGCCCCTCCCGGTAGCATCCATTCGATGACCACTGGTTCGGTCTCTGGCTCGATTGCAACCTAAAGGTGGGCCAACTGTCACGGTTATGTACATATTGAACGTATTTGTGTCTTCGGTGTCCCTTTTTTTCTTCTTTTCTTTCTCCCGCTTTGTTTTCTCTCTTTCCGCGTACATGCCAAGCAGTCTTGCTAGACTGGACTGCTAGCGACGATTTGTGTGGCTATGTCTTTTTCGAACAAACAAGCGAGGCATGCAGGTATGCAGCCATGAGTACATATGTGGAGGAGATATTCTCTGATTCCCCTTGCTGCTTTTGTTATTGTTTTTTCTTATCGCCTCCAATGACATGTTCCTTTGATACTAGCATTGCGCTGCGTATGGTAGACCCTCAAAAGTACCCTGCAGTTAGCATAAATTCCAAGGTATGTTCGCGCGACCTGATCTGACCTCAGAGTATGTTTTCAGTCAGTGAATTCCTGGGGAAGGAAATTGTAAATCTGACCAGTTTCCACCTGAAGATGACTGCGATTTCTAGATTTTCCTAATTGCGTTAGTGGATGAAACAACAGCTTTCTAAGCCTCGTCAGATGGGCGTATCCCATCAGCCAATACAAGATCAAGAAAATGCGATAATCTGGGGTTCCAACAGGACTTGCATCACCTAGTAGGCGGCCTGATCCGAGTCCCTTTTTATCTCAATGTCAATGTCAACGCTAATCGGGTTCTGCCGTGCGCTGTGGGAATGTGGTACGGTCCGGTGCTTGTGCGGTGTATAAATGTCGTGTCCCCTCATACGATCCAATCCTCTGCCGAGCCCCTCCCAACCCCAAATCTGCACCCTGCAACGTCCCATTTGGTTTCCCTTTCCCCCCAAGCATGGCAGAAAATACACCCATCAGTAAAACAATCGATTATGCATTCGACTTGGGCACTTTTGGTCGTACAATAACTACCAACTGTCCTGATGCTCAAATATGGTTCGACCGAGGTTTGATCTGGGCCTACGCCTTCAACCACAAAGAAGCCGCAACATGCTTTGAAAATGCGATCGCTCAAGATGAATCTTGTGCCATGGCCTACTGGGGTCTGGCATATACTCTGGGTCCCAACTATAATCAACCATGGGAATTTTTTGGTGCCAACCTGGCCGAAGTCGTGAAGCGCACTTTTGACGCCTCGCGGAAGGCCCAGTCTCTCGCTGCCAACACATCACCAATCGAGCAGGCGCTCATTACCGCGATTCAAGCGCGGTACCATAGCGACCAACCTGCCAGCATGGAACAATATGCACTTCAGAACAAAGCCTATGCAGATGCTATGGAAATCGCCTACGAAAGTTTCAGTGATGATCTGGACGTATCCGTTTTGTTCGCAGATTCTCTGACCAGCATCACTCCTTGGAAACTATGGGACTTGGTTACTGGCGAGCCCAGCCCGGGAAGCAGAACTCTAGAAGCAAAGACTGTGCTTGAAAAGGCGTTGAAACAGCAGGCTGCCTTTCAACATCCTGGCTTATTGCACCTTTATATTCATCTTATCGAAATGTCGCCCACGCCCGAACTGGGACTTGTGCCAGCAGACCATCTGCGAGACTTGATTCCAGAATCGGGACATATGCGCCACATGCCCTCGCATCTGGATGTGTTAGTGGGCGACTATCGCGCTGCCATCCGCGCCAATCTGAATGCCTGCGTTGCTGATGAAAAGTATATCAAGGAAGAAGGCGTTTTTAATTTTTATTCCGTTTATCGCATGCACAACTACCACTCTCTTATTTATGCGGCAATGTTTGCGGGCCAGAAGGATGTCTCTTTGGATGCTGTGAACCGCATGGAAGCGACCCTTCCAGAAGAGCTCCTCGTCACAATGGCCGACTATATGGAAATTTTCATGTCGGTTCGCTTGCACGTCATGGTCCGCTTTGGCATGTGGGAAGAAATTATCCAGCGATCGCTCCCAAGTGACCCAGTACTATACTCCGTCACCACGGCAATCACTCACTATGCTAAAGGTGTAGCATATGCAGCAACGAACAGGGTCTCCGAGGCCATAGCCGAACGTGAGCTCTATCGTGCAGCCGAGAAGCGCGTTCCGGAAACGCGCCTCGATTGGCCCAACAAATGCGTGGATATCCTAGGCGTTGCTTCGGCCATGTTGGATGGAGAGATCGAGTACCGACGCGGTAACTACAACGAGGCATTCGAACATCTCCGCCGTTCTATTGAAGTAGATGACGGACTGGGGTACAGCGAACCGTGGAGCTGGATGCAACCCGCGCGCCATGCATATGCAGCCCTCCTATTGGAGCAAGGGCACGTGGCGGATGCGGCAGATGTATACCGTGCAGATCTGGGTCTTGATAAGTCAGTCATGCGTTCGCGTCAGCACCCGAATAACGTTTGGGCTTTGCAAGGGTACCATGAGTGTTTGGTTCGATTGGGTCGTACGGCTGAGGCACAGGTCATTGAGCCACAGCTGAAGATTGCTGTTGCTGTGGCCGATGTTCCTGTGCAATCTTCTTGCTTCTGTCGAACTGATATTTCCAAGGCGCCGGAAGTTGCTACCGGCTGCTCGAATGGTGGCTGTTGTTGATTGGAGATGTGTCTAATAGTTGTTTTTCGGTAAATATAGTTATGTGAGTTAGAATATAGTATTTGAAGTTAGGCTGCTCGAGGTGATGAATGATATCCAGGGATCCGATCGTTGACCCTCTTTTTGATCTTCTTCATATTGAAGTTTGTTTTCTGCGCTGAATTGCATCGACAGGTGGAAGCTGATATCCATATCAGTTCAAGTTATAACACAAGTGCTAGACATAGTATGGAAATCCCTCATTATTTTAATTTAGTTGTTCCCTCGCGTCTACAAAGAGGCCGTCTATGAAGTTGTCCTGGCTTTTGAACGGAGTCTAGAAATAGTGGTCATGGGCGACCCGAGGAATCTGTGTTGAGGCGGAGGAATGAGAAAAAGGCTGAGTTTTCCATAGTAGAAGGTATGGAGGGTATTCAAGTTGTGGGAGGTGCGGAGGGTATAAACAACCCAATCACGTCAAATAACAACAAGGATAGTACCATTTAACGAGATAACCAAGCTGTAAGAATGTAGAGAAGTAATAAGAGGAATAGAGTGCGTTAAGGCTCAGAATTACATAAAGATATACTATTCATTCTATCTAGGATGAGAATTGCCTTTCATGATTGTCGAGGAGCCCCGAGCGAGTACTAGTACTACTAACTAGTAGTACCTTTGAGTTGGCAACCCTATATGAAAAGTGATATTTCATTGCGAATTGAAACATTTATTTAACGAATAAATTCAATTCACTAAGAATGGGTCAATGATACATAACCTTGGGGATATCCTGCATTTCAAAGGCCGAATTCACGAATATCAGGCATGAAAAGCGGCGACATTTCGGCGTTTGAAACAACGAAAGCCGAACACTCTCCACCTCCTGTAGGGTGCCCGCTGGCCACTCTTCTCCTTTGCACTGCACACAGTGGGGTAAATAGAGCCACTCATCTATTCAAGTTTTACTTCACTGCACAGTCTTCGATAGGAATTGAGTTTATTGCTGGTCTTTGCAGTCGTCGTGCTAAGATCACGTGCTTGGTGACGTTTCATCCGCCGAAACGCGGCCACCACCTTCACCTCCAGATATAATCATCCAAATGCCTAAAATTACGAAACCGCCTGTAAAGGCAGCCTGTCTGGCATGGTACGGATCCACTCTGAATTGGGAGGGTGCAATTGCTAAAATCATATGTACAGCCGTTCTTCCAAGACTCGTTGTGACGGCCAACAGCCCTGTAAAAGTGTACGTTTTTGGATGAATTTTTTTACTTGGAAACATGGCTAATGGCATCCTTTTCAAATAAGTGTGCCGGCAAAGAACGTATTTGTAGTTACCAACCTAGTCGCCGCGGCGGCCCACGCCGTGGCTTTCGTTACGAAGAAGCGCAACGGCATCGTTCTAACGATGACCCACCGTCACAATGTTCACCTTCAGGAATCATGGACAATTTCGGTGAGTGCATTATTCATCATTCGACCCAGTATTTGTGCTTATACTTAAGCGTATTGACCTTTGAGCTAACCAATTATCAGAACCATTTCTAGAAAACATGATGGGATTGGTCTCTCCCTTTGCCGGAGTTCATAACCTTGACTTATCTCCAGACTCTTCTTCCGATGCAACTGGAAACCGACAAATCTGGGGTCTACCAACTCCAAGTGACGGGCCGTTTGTTTCATCATCGATTCCGGATGTGGAAATGGCTTCTGTTCGAGCCTATCGAAGCGAAGCTGAAATGTAAGTTGAGAAATCAAACGAGGTATTTTGTGGTATTTAATTGACCTATGAACCTTGGAAGTGCCAACGCCTATTATATCTACATTCACCCATATCTCCCACTTCTACCCTCTTCGGTTGTTCTGCACCATGAAGATCAGCCGAGCGTCTTTCAGCCGCCGGGAGAATCTACAGAGCCCAGGAAGGCCGACCTTCCATACTGGCCAGAGTCTTCCTTAGCTCTTGCTCTATCCGCAATCCTAGTCCTGATTCCCCCATCCCAACATTCTAGTCAAATTGAAGAACCCAATTTCGCACTCAGGAGATCCTATGCACAACTGTTCGCCCAATCAGCGCTTATCAGCGTTGAAAAGGAGATTGACGACTTGGGCCCATCGTCAAGTTTTTACCTCGAGAACACTATGTTTCGAAGTTCTTCGCTTCATCCAGATCTACCAATACAGCTTGATCCTATTCTAGCGCTGGTAGTCCTCGCCATTTACGAGTACGTTCAGCGTGGCAACGTGTCTCGGATGCGAGCTCGTATCAACCAAGCTGTGACAACAGCTATGGATATCTCTCTTCATGCGCTTGGCGAAACTACAAATGAGTCCTCGGAGGCCCAAAGAAGGGCCTGGTGGATAACTGTAAGCTTTGATCTATGCAATCCTAAGTTTCGCTAACAGATCTACTAGATGTTTGTTGCCTACCTGTCTTCCAATGTTCATCTTGCCGTGAGTTGATATCTCATCGCCTACTAGTAAATTGAAGGGTCTCCAACTAACTAGATTTTAGCCACCAGTTATCGCCGCTGACGATACACGAATAACGACACCCTATCCCCTCTTTGATGTACATCTAGAGGTGAGTATGTTCTTAAAAGCCTGCATATACATTTGACTCATATGTAATAAGCCCTGGAATCTTATGATCCAGGCGCAGAAGACACTCTTTGCCACCCATCAAATGGCTCAGAAGATCGAGAGCTCGGTCGACTCTGCTCGTCCGGCTGATATTGGGACACAAATCAAACAGCTGGATGCAACTATCGTGTCTGTGATGATTGAGTCAGATCGCTGTCTTCGAACACATTTTGGTACCGAATACGAAGAGCCGATTGCGGAAAATATGTGGAGAGTCAGTCGAATCCTCATCTACACGTGAGTTCACTCGTCTCATTCTCGTTGAATACTATATTAATTACTCATTCAAATCCAGGGCTCGAATCCGCCTTCATCGTTTCAGAGCCTTCATGGATATCCCATTATTCTTGGACAAATACTGCGACCTCACGTCTATTAACAGCCACGGTCTTTCCTCTACGCCTTCGCCCATCTGGGTGGCTGATAGCGAGTCGACCTTTCCCTTCACTGAGCAAGAGTCTTCAACGATCTGTCTCAAGGCCTCTCTCGTCGTCGCCACTTCCTTTCGCAACCTTCCTTACCCAATTATATCCAGCATGGGGCCTTGCGAAGGAGCCCCTACTCGCAACTGGCCCCATACTCTCCCATACTTCGTCTGCTGTGCAATGCAAAGTTGCTATACACTTCTGATGCTACTTCATAAAGTCCGCGCATTCCTTGCTACCGATCGTCTAACTAGCTGCTATCATTTACTTGACAAACCCGAGCCAAAAACGGAGATTTCAGACGCAGAGAGGTTAACAGAGGAGTTACGTCACGGTGTGAAGTCTCTCGGAATGTCTCTGAAATCTGATATTGTTTTTGAAGGTGTCGGTGGTATGGGACGAGAGATTGAAAGCGCATATCTGGCCGCATTTCCAGAATGCCTTGAGATCTGATCATTCTAGTCAAGATTTCTATACAACTGTATAACATGACAATACGACAATCTTTATTACAAAGAGAAGATCTTAGATTCTATGCTGACATGTCTATTTCTTCATCAAGTGCTTGTTGACCGGAGTCAACGCCTCTTGTCCGGTTAAGACTCGTTGAATGTTCTCCATAGAAAGCCTCTCGAATCCGATTTGAGTCTCGGCTGCCCCTCCAGCTGTGTGAGCGGTCAATCTAAAACGGGTATATAATCAGTATAATCCACAGTAGATATCGATGAGACAAAGCACATACGTAACGTTTCTCATCTGAGTAAGAACTTTGTTGACGTTTGGCTCGTTCTCATGAACATCAAGTCCCACGGCGGACAGATGCCCCGATTTTAAAGCATCAACCAGAGCAGATTCATCAACAAGTGAGCCGCGTGCGATATTGACAAATTTGGATCCTTTTTTGAACCTTGCCAGTGTTTCTTTAGTGATGAGCTTCGAACCACCGAACGGGGTTGCCAAAACAACGCAGTCTGAGACGGCCAGTAGCTCGTTCAAAGTTTCACAAAATGACGCGTTGATGGCTTCTTCTTGCTCTTTCGATTTACGATAGAGATCTTGGTAGTAGATCTTCATCCCGAAGCAAGCGTAAGCCTTACGCGCGATCGTGCTGAGTTTGTTAGACATATGGCTGCAGGAGAATTCGCTTTTGATCTGCATACTAGCCGATATTTCCCAATCCAATTATTCCCAGAATTTGAGTGTTTGGGTTGTGCGCAGTGGCTGCTGTATTTTGGTGGGCCTCGAGCCAGAGCTTAGGGTCGCCAGAGCGGGCGCCATCCATAGACCACTGCATATTTCGAAAGACTGAGATGATATGGAAAATGGCCTACATTGATGTTAGTATTGGAATAGGACGAGGTCCGAAAACCCTAAGAGTTAGAACGAAGCTGTACCATATCCGCCACGGCCTCGCTTGAAGCCTGTGCGCCATTGCAATACAAGATGCCTACATTAGAGCCACTATAAGAGAACTCATATCCAACTTGAAGAAGCCTGAAGCAAACTCACCATGCTCGGCCAAAATATCGACATCCATCCAGTCATAACCCGCACCTGCACTCCCATACACCTTCAACGACGGCGGCAGAAGTGGGATCAATTCTGCATCCCATCGTCCCATTTCCCCTCCACTGTTCCAAAAAGGACGGAAAATGGCCTGAAAGTCCCCCCATTTCTTTTCTCTGAGAGCCTTCAAGAAGGCATCCCGCTGTCTTTCCTCTCGCGAGGGTCGGATCACTGTAAAATTATTGGCGATTTGGGCATATAATTCTTTATTAAACTCAATAGGATCTCCAAGGTGGAGGACGATCGGCTTTGTAGACGCCATTAAGGTGACCAGTAGGCAACAAATGATATTTCCAAGGTTCCAAGGTTACAGATGCTAACAAGGATTCCAATAGGAGACAAGAAATCAAAAAAAAAAAAACACCCCTTCATTTTGTATACATCCATGCATCCCTTTCCCCGCACCCCACGGCAAAATGGTCCTAGCCTAGCTCGTGGGGGCGAGAAAGAGAGAGTTTGAGGTTATCCAGTCGCCATGGATGAGCCATCGGGAAGTTCCCAAAGGGGCAGTTAGCCGAGTCCGATAATGTAGTCTGATGGCGGGGAAGAAGTGGAGGCTTCTCCATTTGCCCCAGTTTCTGCGTGGCGGTCCCGGAGAGTTGCCGAGCCCGACATCAGCCAACGGAGGAAGAGAAGTACCCCGGCATCTTCGCCGAATGCTGACAGTCGATCGCTAACCTCCTCAAATATTCACCATGTTTCATCAGTGGGAACAACATCCGCATCTAGACCGGCGGAATCGTCCACGAACGCGTAATGGCTGTCTGACCTGCCGGTAAGGGCTGAGTCCTCTTTTTCGAGGGCATTCTCTCGTGGCTAACATCCTAGTAGGCGGCGCAAGGTTCGCTGTGATGAGAAGCGGCCTGAGTGTGGGCACTGCAGTCGATTACAACTAGATTGCTCTTGGCAGCAGGAAGATGGTCCCAGGTTTGGAATTCGAACGAAGAAATTCAGACACCGTCAAAAGCTTCAATCCGAACAGCCCCAGCCGGCGATCGAACTCGCATCGGCCTCAATCGCAGCAAAAGAAAGTCAAGGGACTTTACCGGCGGATGATTCGTCCTTTAACCAAATCTTCAACTATGCAAGTTTCATGTGGGATGACTATCCGCCTAGTCTCTCCCCAACCTGGGATATTCTCGATCTGAGCTCGTCGCAGGATCTACTCCCATGGTCCGATACATCTCTTGCGGTATCATCTCCACTGGATCTACATTTCCCTCCTTCGATCGTGAGTTCCACGACGCTGCTGGAACGACCCTCTAAAACAACAATTCCTTCGCCGATGGGATCATCGCATGTCGCAATGGGATGGAGCGAGTCTCAACTGGCTGATTATTTTGCTCGCTCTGCCGCACCTCCGATACTTGCAACGGTGGAGACCAGTTCACGCTGGCTTTGGATGCGAAAAGAGCTGACATCAATGACTTCATCGTCCCGGATGGTCAAATATGGTGTGATAGCATTCGTGGCTCTGGAACTCGAGTCATCGGGCACACTGGAGCCTTCGACCTATACACAATATTATCAGACCGCGAAAGCGAAATTACAGGAGTGTCTCAGAGACATTTGCCAAGATCGGAAAATAATTCTATCTCAGCTACGACATATTCTAGCCGTCCTTTTCCTGCTGTCATATATCGATCTACTTACAAAAGATGTGTCAAATGCGCATGCCAATTTACGAGAAGGCTTCAATACCCTGCAGATGGTGGAAATGGAATCCCTCAGTGTCACTGGTAATGAGAGGTCGAACCCCAACTTTCGTGTTCAATTGCTGATATATTTCTCGTTCAGAAAAGCGCCTACTTTCTTGGTTACGACTTTTGGATGCGCGTGCAGTCAGTGCTGGGGGCGAGGGCCTGTTTTTGACAGAAGAAGACAGTGCCATTAACACTGATCTCCGATCCCCTGATAGCGCTATTACAGAAATCGATGCCGGCCTAGACGACGCGGAGGCAGCACTCGAAGATTATATCATGCGACCCGCTTTCTTTTTCTTCCAGAAGGTGCAACTGTTCATGGGTCGAATATCTAAAATTGACCCTTGGCATCGACGCCGCGGCACAGTTGAAGATGAAACAGAGGTAATGTTGATATCCGCTGCCATAAGTCGAGACATCAAATCGCTTTGGCAGCAACGACCACCTCTCATGGACCATGCCGTTGCTGGAACTCTCGCACCGCTTCTGTCCCCTGCACTGGCCGAGACTATTACACGAACCATGAGGGTGTATCATGCAAATTACTACGCCAGCTTCATTCACTTGCACCGAGTTTCATATAAAAGTAAGGATTTATCCTATATTTTTGATTCCTTATATCTAACAGTGACCCTAGATCTCCCACGAACGACTGATGTTCTCGATGCTATGGATGAAATCCGTCAAGTGACGCGACTCATTATCAATACCCCATGGACATATTCTCCCCCGGACACATCAGTAGTTAGCTCACCAACCAACTCGACTGGGGTCGGCGCGTGCCTCCCAGTGAATATGTTATGGCCTTTATTAATGCTGGGTGTCGAAAGCGAGGATGCCGAGGAACGGGCCTGGGTTATCTCTTGCATAAAAGGGATGGAGAAAGTTGCCTCCAATGCAAGAATGACAGCCGAGGTACTTGATGAGGTCATCCGGCAACAAGATGAAACGAAGCAGAGGATGGACATTCGAAAAGTGATGCACGATACTTTCGATCGGGTCTTTGCTATTGTATAAATACGGTATTCTATGTATAATGATCCAATGCAGTCTATGAACGTCATGATTTTCGTTTCAAGTTCAAAGCCCCTTCTCTATAGCTTCCAGTCCCTTGACTTGCTTGGTGATCCAAGCACGCTTCTCCTCATCGAGAAACTTGGGATAAGGTCGACGGCACCAAGCACTCTCCTCTGGGTAACCCAGATATTTGGCGACAACCCACTTTGTGCCGTTGATACCACCCTTGCCAAATCCCCATTCAACAACAGCCAATTGAATTTGTAGCTGCTCAGCCTCTGCTGTTTTTCCGGAGCTATACAAGTCGAAAATCTCCATGCATGCCTATTCAACAATGATCAGCAAATTAACGCCTTTGGGTGCTTGGGGTTATTAATCACCTTTGGGTACAGGTTAGCGAGTCCCGTAACGGATCCAGCACCACCAACACTCAGGCAGGGAACCAGCCAGTCGCTTTGACCTGCAAGAGCAACGAATTTTGGGTTGTCAATAGCCCGGCCGAACTTGGCGACCGATCTAGCGACCGAGGCAATTGTTCCGCAGGTCAACTTCACGGCGACGATATTCGGGTGCTCGCCCAGGGTCTCGAGCATCTCTGAGGTAACGTTGAGACCGGCAGCCACGCCAGGGAAGTTATAAATCATAACAGGAATGGGCGATGCCGAAGCTACCTCCTCGAAGAATCCCACAATGGCGGCCGCGTCAAGAGCGAAATGGAAAAATGATGGCACAAGAACAAGCGCATAATCGGCGCCTGCATCGGCAGCCAACTTCGTGTCTTCAATGATTGCCTGCGTAGACCCGCCGAAAGTACCACAAGTAATTGGCAAGCTGGGCCGGTCGAGTTTCTGGGCTGTGGACCGAGTAAGGGAAACAAGCTTAGATTTCTCCGCCGGTGTCAAGGTAGCAGCTTCACCATTTGTGCCAGCGATCACAATGCCGTGAATTCCACTGCGAACAAGAAATTCAAGGTGTTTCTCTTGAAGCTCCCAGTCGATGGATTGTGTGCTGTCCGGCTTAAACCACGTCAGGCAAGGGACGTGAATGCCGGGGGGATACGGTGATTGAATGGAGCCCATCTTGATAATTGTAACTTGAAATGAGAAATTATTCCTTTTAATCGACTGAATAGAGAGAACTTACGATGTTCATAATAAATAAGAACCACTATGGAGTATTCATCCCACTACTTGGATTCACGACCCGACCCGACCATCGGTGATTCCCAAAGAGGAAATCAGCCGAGGGGCCCTTTTACCACGAACCCCATTCAATTAGTGAACCATGGAATACCGGTTATGAATCAAGAGAATAAGAATAGAATGCGTTGAAATGCAAAATACAGGAGCATAGTAGCTCGTCTCCAGGTATGCATTTGTTTAATGGGTAATTTCTAGCTAACTTGGCCGGATCATATGTTTCAAATTGACTAATAGCATCCAAATTCTGGCCTCCCTGAACGCCGGAACTATAACAGCCTTGTTCTTTCTAAAATCAGCACATTAGACTTTTGGTGAAATCCAATATCATCACAAGTCAACACATACCTAAGTGATCAGAACACGCTGATATGCGAGACCAAAGAGTCACTTCATGGTTTAATGGGCCGTCTATTATAGTGTTCATTTCTTGCCACAAGAACAAAAGGAATTCCACTGGAATCAGGTAGAAGATATGTAGAACACGAATTCTAAATCCTTTTCTCTATGCTCCCGAGATTCCATTCTCGAGGTGTTCGGGCGGAAAAGAAGCATTTGAAAGATGGAATTCATCTCAAGTAGCTTTATCATACCCGCCTTGATTCTTGATTCGATGTAACTATATCTTTAAATGATGATTTCTTTCTCCGGAGTATACTATGTATCATTTTCCAGGGAATGTAATTGAAATGAAAAATAAATAAACATGAAACGAAATATAGTTATGAAAAAGCTATATCAATCACGTGACTCGGGAAGCCGACCCGGCCGCCCTTTTGACCAGCATCAACTGGCTGTTTCAACCAACCTGCCTCGATGTCGAAAATCATCAGCCCAGCCCTTTTTGCCGAGCATTTTCGACGAGCATGGCTTGGCGCCCGGGGCACACTTCGCTACGACCGTAGAGATCAAAATGACCTCATCCAATTGCCACACAGGATCGGTATGAACTGCCTTCAATTCCTGGGGGAATCCAGTACATAGCTTGGCGTACTAATATCTTTTCAGGCCTTGCCGTCAGTGGCGGCGCCGATTCGATGTGCCTGGCGTATCTTTGCCAGAAGTTAGAGAAACTTGGTGTCCATGGAACCATATCAGTCACTGCATTTGTGGTTGACCACAAGGCCCGCCAAGAAAGTAACCACGAAGCAAAGACTGTGGCGGGCTGGCTACGGGATATGGGTATGTATCATATCTTTCATTTCATTTCCCTGTGTTTGCGGGGTAGAATGAATTGATTTCTCAATCCATCAATCCGTCATACTGATATCAATTAGGCTTGGAAACGGAGATTCTAGAGTTAGACTGGTCTCCGTCATTGGATAGCCGGGAGAAGCCCAAAGAAAGTGGTTCAAAGGCTGCAATGCCAACCGCTTTTGAGACTCATGCTCGTCGATTGCGATTTCAGGCGCTTGGGAAAGCCTGTCGGGATCGTGAAATCGAAACCCTGCTTCTAGGTCACCACCAGGATGATACTGTGGAGACCACCATTTGGCGGCTAAGCACTGGCATGCGAGGTGCAGGTCTTGCCGGTATCCAGGGAATAGCAAGAATCCCTGAATGCCGGGGCCTCTTTGGAGTTTCCGAGAGTGGATCTTCCATCATCCTTCCCGGAAGGCAACGCAATGCCTCTGTTGAAGCGCAGGTTCGTGTAAACAACAAGGCCAGTGCGACAGTGACATTCGTTCCCAATGACAACAATCAAAAGCGCCAGTCTCGTAAAGTGAAGCCGGTGGCCCCCACAGAAGTTTCTGTTGCAACCGGTGGCGTTTATCTCTGTCGGCCTTTTCTCGGATTCCCCAAGAGAAACATCCTCGAAACCTGCCACACATTCAAGATCCCTTATGTCTCTGACCCTAGCAATTTCGACCCTACTCTGACTCCGCGCAACGCAGTTCGCAGCTTGATTAGCTCCGGTGCCCTCCCTCATGCATTACAATCTCCCTCAATCCTCTCCCTTATCAAAGCAAGCGACGATATCCTCCAAACGTCAAATCAACTTGCGGACCAATTACTTTCATCAAAATGCCGGATCATCGATCTCAATCTCAAGTCCGGGATGTTGGTCGCACAGTTCCTCGAACTCCCGGCGTTCCTAGATTCTTTCCGATCTAACTTGTCTGAAATTCGAGCCAAAGAGATCGAATGCCTTGCCCTTTCGTCGCATCACGGAGCTAATATCCCCTTGCCCCGCAAATCAATTCTCATTGCGAAGTTTCGAACCATTCGTTTCCAGGGTCTTCTCGCCAAAAGACGATCAACCAAGGCACGCCTTCACTCTAGGGGGGAGTCAAATTCATGCCTTTGGACGTTACACCTAGCCCGCCCTCCTCAAACCCGGCAGCCCTTCAAGGACTAAACCCCGGAAAGGGCAATTTATGGCTACTTTCGCGCCAACCATTTTTCAAGAACCGGGCTCCAGTCACACACCTAGAAGTGCCTACTCATTCTTCCACTCCAACCCGGACCAAGCCCTCCCGAACAGAATGGACATTGTGGGACGATCGGTTCTGGTTCAGGGTCTCGCTGTTTTTGAATAAGACGAAAATGGACGATCCCACGAAACCAGTTTCATTTGTATTGAGACCATTTAGAACAGACGACTTGCAGCAAGTCCGCAAGAATTTCGGTCCTGGGAAGTCCGCCTCAAATGGCGGACATCTACAAAGGAAGCTCTTAGGGGATGCTCCTGGCGATGTGCGATATACAGTCCCGGTTCTTGCAGTGAAGTTCCCATCCAAATCCGGTTCGAAAAGCGGCGAGAAGGATGTCGAACACCTATTGGCCTTGCCAACATTTGATCTGCTACTTTCTGGTCGAAATCCGCAATCCGACTGTCTCAACGAGATGCGACTTCAACATGACAGTACGGTTTGGACAGTGAAATGGGAGTGGATGTACAAAGAGATTGACACTGAAACAGTGCGCCTTATGGGCGGGCCACTGAAAGCTGAAGATAAGATAGTCGGCTAATGTACAGTAATAGTAATAATAATAGTTGTATCATCTGAACAAAGAGAAAGCCCTGTAAACATGATCACCGGTGCTATGCATGGTCCAGAGCCATATGTGCGTACATGGGACTCAAAAATGACAAGAAAGGAAAGAAAGGAAAAACCCAGTAGTGGGAATCAGAAGACTTGGCGCAGATAGGCTCAAGAAATGAACAAAAGAAAAGGAAGTTGGTATGGTATCAGGATGAGTAGAAGGACTGGAAAAGGAAAGGTAATGATGAAGACGCGGTGTGAAGGCTGTGTATCGCCGACAGATTCAACCACAATGACTACTATTCGCTCGCTTTGAGCAACGCGGCCCCTGCTTGCTGGGCTCGAAGTCCGCCAACTTCCCTCTTCAGACGTAGGTTCTCTTTCTTGAGCCGACCAATTTCTTCCATCGCGATCTCAAGTTGGGATTGCAAAGCCCCTTCTCCGTTGCCGGCTCGAACGTCCTTGGCGATTTTGCTGAGTTCCGAATTGAATCGACCATACAGGGCCTCATTTTCGGCACTGGCCTCTCGATAAAGGTCATCCAGTTTCTTCACGCGCCTCTCACTGAGTGCCAAGGAGGATTCCAGATCTCTTTCAAAGGCAGAAATGCGGCCGTTGTATTCACCAGCAAAGTTCTCGAATCGCCCCTCAAGACTGCGCAAGCGAGCCTCGAGTAACGATCGTGCGCTCGAAGGTCTCGGGGAATCTAAGCTCCCTACATTTCGTTCCGGGCTAGATTGTTTGGTAGGATTAAGCCTCAGGTTCTGTAACTCATCGCCAAGCGCCCGCAATTCGTCTCGCATGTCGTCTTGAGAGGTGGCCTGGGTCCTCTTGTCATGTTGAACACGATCACGAAGTTTTTGTGGGCTCTGCATACGCAACTTCTGCGTCTTTTGGGGTGATGAAGAAGACTGCGGTCGCTTGCTCTCCGACCCGTTAACAGTTGACCGTTCACGAAGCCCTGGAGTGCGTTGGGGAATGCTCGTAGTTCTTGACTGTCTTCTACTTTCTTGTGTTGAAGAGTCTGAGAGGTCGGCCTTGGTCTTAGTAGACCGATCTGCTGTGTGCACTTTCGGGTCGATGTTTTCCTTCCTGCTCGGGGTCGAAGGACGCGGGGGCGACATTCTTCGAATCGGGGATCCAAGTCGAGCAGGCGAAGTTGCCTTGGCTGGAGACGTACTCCTTACTGGTGAGACTGCTAGGTAGCTGCTTTGCGGTCTTGATTGGCTGTTTGGTGTTGTTACTTCACCGCGTGGGCGGTTGGAGGGAGTGACTGGGCGTAAGGGGCTGCCTGGAGAGACATTAGATGCATCAGAAGAGGCTGTCGGCGGGCGGAAATCGGAAAGTGAGCTTCTTCTTTTTCTGCGAACTTTCACGACACCATCGTGGGATATGCCTCGAATAGAGGACAAGGAGGGCGGTTGCCCATGAACCGGTCGAGAGATTTGTTCTTCGGACGCAAAGCCACTCGGGCGATCACGAGATGCAGGTCGAAGGAAACCCAAACGAGTATCGATATCGGTTGACTTTGACCTTATCAAAGATCCCTTGGGTGTGTTTGGTTCCGAGTCGGCCGGACTTTGTCGCTTGCTCAATGTTCGCAGGATAGATGCAACTTTGCTCTCTCCTTCACTTTTGTCACTCTTCTGGATATCTTTATGTAGACCAAATCCAAAGCGCTTCCGGAATGATGAATTATTGGACCCCACTGAACCAGTATTTGCATGTGAAGGGTTCTTGGTCTGGTCGCAGCTTAGGGTTCCTTCAACTGAAGCACCTCCTGGGATAAATTCTTCGAAAAGACCATCAAAGTCTTCAACCAGGCGGTCCAAAAGTGAAACATGATGGACTGGGTCGCCTTCTTCGGTTAGGACCTCCGCAAATGCCATTGTTAAGGCTCCTCGGTCCCCGTCGTTGCCGGATGCATCAAGTAGCTCAGCAAGAAGCCGAATGATGGCGGCCAAAGCACGACGGTTCTGTGGACTTGTCTCTGCCAAAAACTTCCGGAATTCCTCGTCGAAATCGCGAGGCAACATTGTATCAAATTGATTCTGAAGCCTTCTCAAGGATGGAACGTCCAAAACCGCGCCCATGCTATCTTTCCACGCATTTTTCATGAAAGTCTCGAAGGCAACAAATAAGGTGTCGACAGGTACCTCAGCAGCAGCTTGTAGTTTGGTCGGATTCTCCAACAGAATGTTGTAAAGTTCGTTAACCGGGGAGCGGTCTGCGTTGTCTCTGGAACGAAGCATACGTCCCAGGATGTTGCCGCTTCGGGACTGCAATGACAGCACATATGCTGCAAATGTTTGTTCCAGAGACCCAAGCTGGCTTTCTGGTGCTTGGTTATCGGAAGTGCCAACTACTGAGATCTTGCTGGGGGTCTCTTCTTTCTGTTTGTCTTTGTCCTTTCCAGGGAAAACTGATGGAAGAGTATTGGATCTTGAATGTTGAGGTCGCGGTGGAGGCATTTTTGGAAATTCACCAAGTATAGTGGCTGAGCTCGGTCCTTTCAAAGTAGGGACGTTCTCGCGACTACCGCCTAACAGGTTCGAGAGTAGCTTGGTAGGCGAAGGCGGCCGAAATCCCCTCGAAGACTTGACTTGGGTGATCAGATTGCTGGCGATGAAACGAATGATAGCAAAATTTGAATGTACCAACGGCTTCATCAAGCTTGGGTTCCTGGGGCTATGCAAGGGAGGTATTATATTTTGCACTGCGAGAAAGTTAGTGAGTAGAAACTTAGAAATCGGGTCAGGTATGCTTACATCGTCTGGCAAGAGTAGCCACAAAGGTATCCGCTGAAACGGAATCAGTGGATGATGTGCCTATCACAGTCTCAATATCCAGTCGGAACTGGTCGCCATTCGGTGGCGAAAGAGATAAAACAACATCCAAGTTGTCACGGGTGAGAATCTGGGAGCACATAGCCCTCGACGTGTTGAAAATAATTCGGACGGAGGATGATCGAGTGTTATCAAGGGCAGCTGTTTCTCCTTCTTCACAAACGCAGGCCAGAATGCTGGCACACCCTGCAGTACCAGCAGGACTGCGCAGGGTCCATTTGCTACCCTCTCGCTCTTTTTCCGAGAAGCGGCCCTCAATCTTTGCTTTCGTGATTTCCTCAATCAATCGACTCGCTCTTCCTTCGTACATCCCAGTAAGCTCCAGAGCAAGAAGATCAGTACTGCTGTCAAAGGCGCCCGAGTGAGATTTGTACGCTGCGGGGATAACGAATAGCATTCGACCACATGCCGACTGCATACAGCGCACAACGTGAAGTTCCAGTATTTGAACGACTTTAAGCTCTGCAGATGGTAGGGGCATGGACATGTCATTGGTAGGTGATGCTGCATTATCGATGTCGGCCAGTAGTCCACGCGCGGTCGTTCGGCTTTCTGCGGGTTTTGATAGTATGACGAGACAGTTTTTAAAGACAAGCAAAATCCCAGCTCCAGAATTCGAGGGTTTTTGATCTAGTTGATATGGAGGCGTGACCTCATTCACGTCGACTGCCGTAATCAAACGCCCATCGGGGAAGGTCTTCGCTGGCCACACATCCACGAGCTCTCTAAGGCGCTTGAGACTTTGCGTGTGACTAGAAGGAGAGGTGTCGTCCAGTGCGCATATATCTTTCACAATGTCCCTCGCTTTCAGCAATGGCCGAACTGCAGGGTGAACTAGCGGCAAACTTCCCGTCATCGTATCGATCAACAGACTGTATCGAGGGAGTCTTTGTACGGGTTCCATCAGCAAAGACCGCAATCTTTGTTCGCCAGTCTCATACACCCGCTTCGAAAAGCTGGAATTCTTGTCTTTCATAAACGAATTTAAGATTTGCGCGAAACCGGTATGCGCCCGCATGTAGTCGGCATAGGGCTGTGAGAAACGCGGCAGCCAACTAAGCAATGCTTTTGCAAATGCAACGGCTCCAATGGAGTCTTTTGTTTCTCTGGAGCTGCGGTGTGGAAGTTCTGTATCTTGGCTGATATCGGTCAAGGCGTCTTTCTCTGTCTCGTCGAGGACCTGGCGAACGTCATCCAAGAACCCAAGATTGACTTCTAGGATCTCGTTTAGGCAGGGGGGAAACAACTCCGCCAATTGCTTCTCGCTCGGACTAGTACTTGATGGCCCTCTGCTCTGGGCTTTTTCTCGAAACTCATCCGCCACCTCGTGCACAAGCGAGTACAGTTTAGCAACGTATCGTTCCTCGGTATCCACGAGTTCACACATAGTTAGTCGAAGGGCCTCCTTTTGGCTGCGTGCAAAAGTCCTTGACTTGCTGACATTTGTTGGCTGGGAGGGGGCGCGCTTCAATCTTGATGTCGGCAGGAACATCGGATCTCCCAAGGCCATTATAAGAGGCGTATAGGGGCCATATGGGGTCGATTCCGCATCATCAGTATCAAAGTCGGAGCTCTCGCGTCTTGACGGGGGCTGAATGGTGCCTGCCGGTAGTACAACATCGATATCGGTCCAAGGAACACTGCGCTCTTGGAATGCACTGCGGAGGTCGCGAACAATTTCTGACGAGTCCTCCACTTTGATCATTCTGTTTGCAAGATCCGCCGCATGCATCTCGTCGAATAATTTCGAGGGCCTTGTACCTTGACGGCCATCTTGGGGGAACTCCGATAAACGACGCTTGAGTGGATCCGATAACTCAGAGAAGTACTTTAACATACTAACAGCAAGTCCTCGGCACACTTGATCGCCTTGCTTATCGCGAGGAAGGTGATTGACGGCTGCATATAACGGTGCAGCGGGAGAAATTGTAATGCGAGTATAACTCTGAAATCCGGCGGGGGTGAAGATATGCGCCTGAATGCGCGAACTGCTCACAGTCGCATTGGCAGTGGCCACCGGGCCATAAAAAACAAGAATAGAAGAGAGATATGTATCCACAGTATGGTAAAGACTGAGATATTCCAGCGGAAGGTCTGCAAATGTAGTGGCGGGTGCCGCTGCACTGGCCGCGCTGGCCGCGCTGGCCGTGTTGACAGCGCTGACCGCCATCGCAAGTCTGGGTTGTAGTTTCCGACAAGAAGGTTGTAAGATAAGAAATGTGTTTGCGCGATAGGCGAAAAAATATGAAGGAGAGGTCACGCGAGAAGGAGCGACACGGGGGAAGACGAGGGCGCCGAGGTTCACGAAGAGGGAGAGGGTGACGATGAGGGTGAGGGTGAGGCTGGAGGGGAAGCGGCGGTGGTCATCAGGTCGAGCGGGTTGCGATACAGAAGCGAGTGGAAGATGCGCAATAGAAAGAATCACGAATAACGGAGCCCCTCCATGAAACAATCGAATGAAGCAGCACCTCACTCACAGAGGCGAGCTACAGGCGTACTAGTATGAAGGAGGGGGGAGTAGTAAGGAAGGTGAATGTTTTGGCGCGGGGATGACAAAGTGATCCCAGCGCAGATAATGGGAGGGCCCCGACTTCATATCGCGATAGCGCGCGATAACTGGGGCCTTCCAAGTTAGCGCCTCCAAGGCTCGGGGCGATCGCAGCCCGCCTTGTTTATGTTTGGCGGGACAACGCGTTGCTGGCCCCAACCAGCTGCAAGGTCCATCGGACGAGTCATATTGTGCTAGCATTATTGTAACATCGCCTAAGCTCCCTACATACGAGTATAGAGTGTACCATCCATGGATGGTATCCTATGGTCTGATTCTACTTATTAGTACTAGTACGGAGTAGTTAGCCCACTATTAGTACGATCTCCATGTTTACCAGTATGGAGTAAGGTAAACACTCCAGGGCTACCATGGATGGATAGGGTGGATCTCAGGCTCTAAGCTTACGAGGATGGAACATTCACGTGGGATAGAATATAAAGTTAGCCTTGGAACTATAAAACCTTTGAAAAGAATGAAACTTTAGAAGACAAAGCAATTATCAAGGTACACGAGCCCTCGGGCACTATACTCGTAAGCCCGGGTTCAAGCTTGAAGTGTGAGAAAAGTCAGGTGTCTCCCGAGGTCACAGAGTATACAATATATAAACAAGGAGTTCAAGTTCAAGTTGCTGCACAACAGACTAGTGCAAAATTCACCTTGATTCCAGGCAATAAATGCCAGTGTGCCACCTGAAGAGAAACATATTATTATTTCCAAGCTAATATTTATTAAATATATGTCGATGGACACATTCACACTTTGTCATCGAGTGTCAACAGTCATGGTTATGGTAATAGTCATGGAAATACTGTAATAAATCAATTTCCACCAATTATAACGGTTAAATACCGGACTTCCTGTTACGGAGTTTGCCGACCCCTGATTAAGGCGGTGAGCGGGCAGAAACCCGCTAATCCGGATGAGGTAACCTGCAGCCCATCCAGAGACCAGCTGTTCTAGTTATCTCCAAGGTGTTCTTCAATTCCAACACCGTGCAAGGTGACACCACGAGCGCATCTCCCGCTCGAGATGCCCGATTCTACCATGTCGGACCCTCTTCCCATCGCCATCGACCCCGTGGCCCTGGTGACCACCGAATGTATCACCGTCACCTCGTCCATGCGGAAGCATGCCCGCTGGGCACACTCCTCCGTTTCTGCTATTCTTGGTGGCACTGGAGGGACCCGGGTTTACGATCGGGATACCTCGGCACCCCCCAGCCCGCGCAAGAGTGGTCAATCGGCTCGCGGTGATGACGATCACGCTCTGGCCAACCGATGGGGTCTGCGGGGGAAGAAGGGCAAGAGCATGCAAGACAACCCGTTGATATCGGCCTTCACTCGTCTACGGAATGACCTTAAGGGTTGCAAGGACATTCGCACATTCGATATGCCCGCCCTCCTCCATCCATTCCTTCAAGTCGTTCGTTCCTCCTCGACCTCAGCCGCGATCACCTCCCTCGCATTACTCGCTATTACCAAATTCTTTTCCTACAACATCATCAATCGTGACTCGCCGCGACTTTCCATGGCAATGCAGCTTCTTTCAGCTGCAATTACACACTGTCGATTTGAAGCTAGTGACTCCTCAGCCGATGAGATTGTGTTGCTGAGGATCTTGAAGTTGATGGAGGGCATGCTTTCTCGCCCCGAGGGAGAATTGTTGGGCGATGAAAGTGTTTGCGAGATGATGGAGACGGGCTTGAGTATGTGCTGCCAAGGTCGCCTGTCCGAGGTGCTGCGGCGGTCTGCAGAGATGGCCATGGTAAACATGTGCCAAGTCATATTCATGCGACTGACACATTTGGACGAACTACCGCAAGGGCCGGTCCCTTTCGCGGCCTCAGCTCTCGAGAAAGATACCTCAACCATCAAGATGGATCCTTCCGTTAACGGGAATACTGTGACTTCACAACACCGATCCGCTATCAGCGCAGATACTGCAACAAGCGAACGGAATAGCTCAAGCCGAGAGGGCACACCTGAACAGTCAAGCAATGGAGGCGCGGCTGCAGCAGCATCGCCAACCCCTCAGGATGATTTCGAGGGCGAGGTGCAACCATACTCCCTGCCGTCGATTAGAGAACTTTTCCGAGTATTAATTGATTTGCTTGATCCACATAACGGCCAACACACCGATACGATGAGAGTCATGGCACTTCGTATTATCGATGTCGCTTTAGAAGTGGCCGGTCCGTCTATCGCTCGGCATCCCAGCCTCGCGGCTTTGGCGAGGGACGATCTCTGTCGTTATCTCTTTCAACTGGTCCGCTCAGAACAATTGGCCATTCTCTCAGGCTCCCTCAGAGTCACTGGTACCTTGCTGTCGACGTGTCGACCTGTACTGAAACTGCAGCAAGAACTTTACCTCTCATACTTAGTGGCATGTCTTCACCCCCGCGTGGAAATTCCCCGAGAAGCCGGCATCGATCCGTCTCTTTACGAAGGAGTTCCACAAGCACCGAGCCTGGTGAAGCAGCCAGCTTCACAAGCAAACAGTGGCAGGTCAACACCGGTCCCTGTCAAAGATCGACAAAAGCTGGGGCTCGAAGGTGGTTCGCGAAAGCCCGAGGCTAGAGAGGCAATGGTCGAAAGTATTGGAGTCTTATCGCGGATCCCTAGTTTCATGGTTGAACTTTTCGTTAATTATGATTGTGAGATTGACCGCGCGGATCTTTGCGAAGACATGATAGGACTGCTTTCTCGCAATGCCTTCCCCGACTCAGCAACCTGGAGCACAACTAATGTCCCGCCTCTGTGTCTCGACTCTCTTCTTGGATACGTTCAATTCATTTATGATCGTTTGGATGACGAGGCTGTACAAGGAGATTACCCTCCACAGGAACTTCTCCACAAGCAGCGAACAACCAAGAAACTGATCATCAAAGGTGCTTCAATGTTCAATGAAAACCCGAAGGCTGGTATTGCCTATCTTGCTGAGCATGGAATCATCGAAGACCCGAATAACCCTGCCTTGGTTGCAAGTTTCTTGAAAGGGACAACTCGCCTGTCGAAGAAGATTCTTGGTGAATTCATCTCCAAACGTGGCAACGAAGAAATACTGGGTGCTTTCGTGGACCTCTTGGATTTCCACGGCAGCAATGTGGTTGAAGCCCTCCGTCAGCTACTGAGTTCTTTCCGTCTGCCCGGGGAGTCACCTTTGATTGAAAGAATTGTGACGATTTTCTCGGAGCACTACATGGAAAAAGCGAAACCAGAAGAGATTGCGGACAAGGATGCTGTTTATATCCTGACCTATGCTATCATCATGCTGAATACGGATTCTTACAACCCCAACGTCAAGCCCCAGAACCGCATGTCATTCCCTGCGTTTGCTAGGAACTTGCGGGGAGTGAACGGAGGTGGTGACTTCACGGAGGAGTTTCTCCAGGAGATCTATGACTCTATCAAAGCCAACGAGATCATTCTGCCCGACGAACATGAGAATAAACATGCTTTTGACTATGCATGGAAAGAGATGCTTTTGAAGTCGTCTAGTTCAGGCGAGATGGTAGTTGGAGAGACCAACGTTTATGATGCCGAAATGTTTGAGGCGACGTGGCGCCCCGTTGTCGCTACGCTTTCCTATGTTTTTATGTCCGCTTCCGACGATGCAGTCTATAGCCGAGTCGTCAACGGCTTTGATCAATGTGCTCAAATCTCTGCTCGATACGGCCTGACGGACGCTTTTGACCGCATTGTGGCTTCACTGTCATCAATCAGTACATTGGCGACTAGCAAGCCACCAAGTACTGCATTAAATACCGAGGTGCAAGCAGGCAAAAAGAGCGTTATGGTGAGCGAGTTGGCTGTGAAGTTTGGAAGAGATTTCCGCGCACAGTTGGCCACCGTAGTCCTGTTCCGAATCTTGACAGGCAACGAGTCAACTCCCAAACAAGGGTGGGAACATATCACTCGCATCCTAAGCAATCTTTTCATCAATTCCCTCATCCCACCGCTCGACTCTCAGCTTACAGCAGAGCTCGACGTCTCTCCTATTCCTCTTCAATCCCCGTCACAGGTTGTCGACCGGGATGGACGTGGTAATGACAGCGGCTTGCTATCCGCATTTACATCTTATCTCTCAAGCTACGCCGCCGATGACCCTCCTGAGCCTTCCGACGAAGAACTGGACAACACCCTTTGCACAGTGGATTGTGTTACCGCTTGTTCGATCCCCGAAATTTTGACCAACATCAAGTGAGTACTGACCGACACCTGACCTGCTGCATGATGCTAATAGTTTCCAAGATCACTCCCTGTTTCTTCCTTACAAGTCCTTGTGGAAGCATTGATGTCCCAGCTACCCGAAGATAACACACCTGCCGTAATCGTGGTTAAGCCAGAGCGGCCCCGTCCCGTGTCAAGGAATTCGAATACGCGCGCCGATCCCAACCAGCCGAAGTACGACCCGGCGATGATCTTCATTTTGGAATTGGTGACTGTCCTTACTCTTCGTGATGAGAATACGCTAGAAGCCCTCGGCGAAACGTTGGCGACCACTCTCCAGACCCTGGTACGCGATGCAAAGAATCTGCATCCACTGACTGTTTCCCGAATCGTCTCGTATTTGCTCAACCTTCTACGACTGAGTCATGTAAGCTGCATACCATTGTGATACCCCACCTATCTAGAAACTGACAACATATTCAGGATCAACACTTCATGCGGGTTCCTGTTGTCCTCCATGCTATCTCCGGATATGACCAAGATGTCCTCGAGATCGTGGCAGTACCGACTGTCAAGGGACTCTCACGATGCATTGCGCATCCAGGACGCCTGAGAAACGAGATAACCATCTCTCCAGATTTCTGGTCTATTTTGCAAAGACTGCACCAACACGAAGATGCTGGTCCCATGGTTTTTGAACTGCTCCAGAGCATCATGAACTCCATGCCAGATATTGTGACAGCCGATAACTATGAGTTTACTGTCAGCCTCGCCAATGATTTTGTCAGTGCCGGCCATGTAGGATCTCGTGATGAGCGTCAGAAAGATGCCCAGGGCCGCCGAATTAAAGGTGTCAAGAAGCCCAAGTCTAGGTATGGTGGTGCCATTTTTCCCTTTTCCTTGGTCGAAAACTAACAGGCAATTAGTGAGAATCAAATCGTTGCCCGTGGTGTCAAAGCTATTGGCTTAATTTATCACTTAACTGGCCGAGTCCCCACGCTTATCAAACAGTCTCATCTTGAGGAACGTGAAGGTAAACAACCCCGAAATTTCCAGGACCCTACAACAGAACGAACAGATTCTAACCTATTCATCAGCCTGGGCTGCCTACTGGTCCCCCATCTTTCAGTCTCTGAGAAGTCAGTGCACCAATCCTTGCCGCGACATCCGCCACCACTCCATTTCTACACTCCAGCGATCTCTTTTGTCGGCTGAGTTAATATCCAGCGATGGCAAGGAGTGGAGCAGCATCTTTGACGAGGTCCTTTTTCCGCTTGTTCTGCATCTTCTCAAGCCAGAGGTCTACCACTCTGACCCTATTGGAATGACCGAGACTCGCGTTCAAGCAGCCACATTGGTCTGCAAGATTTTCTTGCGCTTCCTTGACCAACTGCCTAACAGAGAGGGCATGCTTCCTCTCTGGTTGAAGATTCTTGATATTCTTGACCGCATGATGAACAGCGGTCAAACGGACAGTTTGGAAGAGGCTATCCCGGAAAGCTTGAAAAACATTTTGCTGGTCATGGCCGATGGCGGCTATTTGGTTTCCCCCGACCAGGATTCAAGCAAAGAGGAAATGTGGAATGAGACCCGCAAGCGCCTCGGTCGTTTCCTGCCTGACCTCTTCGGTGAAATTTTCCCTGACGCAGGCAAGGAAGCGGAGAAGTCACAGCCGCCCTCTGCTGTACCCTCTGCTGTACCCTCTGCTGTATCGTCTCCGCAGCCAAACGCTGATGCTGAATCGAAGCCCGAGGAGGCAGCTATTCCATCTAATGACGCCGAAGAATCTAAGGAGGCTGATGCTGAGACAAAATCACCCTCGCAGGAAGATACCTCATCTTAAGGACCATAATTGGCTTCACAATTCAATCATAGCTTCTATCTCTTCCTGTTCTCTTTTGCATTCACATATAGAATAGCGAATAGGATACGGTTTGGACGTGTCCCACAAGTCTTCTCTTTCGTTCTTATGATGCCTGTCTGGGCTTATGTAGATAAATGTGATGGTCAGAAACCGGCCCTGTGCCAGTGTATAATAAAATTATCGATCGGTCAACTAGTTCAAAAATCAAACACTGCCTTCAAGTTTGTATGTTGAGTTCCATTGCTTAGTCGTTCAGCGGGTCAAAGTCAGACAGACTACTACTACGTAGTACTAGACCCCCAAGTCTGAATCAGAAGTTCACGATATTAACAGATAGAAATTAATTTAAATTCTTAACAGTATGAAATCCATAGTTTCGTTTGCTGAAACTGTGATCTCTTCCTAACCTTGGAAAGCTTCGTCGTGTTCTGAGTCTTTGTAAAGACCATGTAGGTTCTGCAAATAATCAGTCGAAATATGATCCTTTGAAAAAGAATCTTCAACATCTCTGGAAATAAAACTAACTCCGGTTTCTCTAGGCTCAAAAATAGACTCTTTGCCTCGGCGATGCGAGTTGGCTATTTACCAGCAACAGGCAAAGTCTCGATACGACCTTTTACCCAGGCCTTGCGTCCCTGGAACTCCGTCACATCCGCCTTCAGAACATAGAACGAATTTGCCTTCGCTGGACTCCGGTAATCGACGCTAAGGTTTGCCGTCACACCAACCTTTTTGTCGAATGCCGGACAGCAACAGCGTGCTAGGCACTCGTCCAGTATAGTGGCTAGTAGTTCCCCATGAACGATCCCTGAGTAGCTGCAAACATCCCCGCCAAGATGCATTATCATGGTCATGTTCTTGCCTGCTTATTCGAAGACATATGGCGGGACAGTTATTTTTTGATGCCCGGCAAGTGCTCCAGTCAAAGAGGTTCTCGCTTCGTAAACTGCTGGGGCGTCCAGGTGTGGTCGCGACTCGAGATACTGAGGATTTCGTCGCAGGGCCATTGTTAGCGGATGGTGAAAAATGAAGCGGTCGATCTCATTGATAGCATCATTCGTGGGGCAAGAGGCGAGTCGATAGACCTTTGGCCTCTTATTTAACTTTGTAGAGACGATTGTTGCCATGGTGCGGGTTCTGGGAATGGATATCATGGAATTAGATGTAATAGTGATTTCAGTTTCAACCCCCGGCTTCTGCAGAGAAATAAGGGGGATATGAATAGTATTGCGTCAATTAGAATAGGCTCGCTTTGTAAATTTCGAGAGCGGTTCACGTTCCGCGAAATCACCGCTTCATTCCAAGGTTTGTTGCAATATCTTGCAAGTCAATCATTTGCGATAGGAAAAAGACTGCGTCATGTTGACCAATCCAGTTGAATTATTTTAAACGAGATAGAAGACGACTAGGCGCTTGTACAAGAATCACTTCGCCAATTAAAGTGGCGAGCCCCGGTTATATTATCGGTACTACCCTACCTTGCGCTGCTACCGTGGATCGGCCGATGTTGTGCATATTCTTGAAAAAGATAGGCAAAATTTGCGTAACCCACATAAATCCCTTCAGATACCCACTCAACCCTACCAGCTGCAGACTCGTGGGGAGTCCGGGTGGCTGGGATCGTGCAGATGCGGCAGGAAGAGTATAGGAAATAAGATCCGGGTCGATCAGCCCAATAGAAGATTTAATTGGCAGATTGAAGAGCGTACTTGAATACTTGAACACTTCTACTGTTAGTTTCAGAGGTGAAGTATACTGTAGCCGCAGATTGAAGGTTGCACAAGTACCATCCGTGGCATGGACACCTCACCAGAATGCTGCATTCCTATCCATTTCTAGAAAACACGGCATACGGCTCTTGTACATGGGCTGAACCACTCCGTCATTAGCTCGCTCATACCTGTGATCCTAAAAGGGACAAAATTATCCAATGGAGGATGTCGGAACGTCGGTGAGAAGACGAATCTGCGCAGAGGTGATTCCGCATGAGGTCCCAAATCTATTTTCGTATACACACATTGGATTTTGAACGATTTTGCTCATCTTCGTCCTCGAATGAAGCAAGGTGACCATTGAGACTGTACTCTCAGTTGACTATCAGATAAAGAAGCTCGCTCAAAGTCTCTTCGATTGACTATCGAGAAATCAAGGAGGTAATGAACGAAGGAAATAAGGGAGGATAGTTTAAGTGGCGAGGGGAATGCCTGAAGAAAAAGGGCAAGTGCCTCAAACGGTACAATGATAAGTCTCTTTTCAGGAAATTCAATTCAATTCTCGGGAATCTGGGGGATTCAATCCAACAAAAGAGAAGCCAGTGGGAACCAGACAGTTATGACAAAGAATAACACCAAATAAAAAAAAAGATAGAATGGAAACGATGTCCAGCGCAATGGTACTTATACGAGAGGAGAAAAAAATACTAGACACATATGTTGATGAATGGAGTTGGCGAGGAGCGTTCAGTCCCTCATGGCTGGATAGTCTTTTTCAGAGACAAATGGACACGCACGAACGTCTGACCGAAACTCTTTCTTACTCGGCGTCCATATCATCATCAAGATCGATAGCATCGGGATTGGCCGGTGCCGATGGTGCTGCTTCACCCGCAGGTGGAGGGCGGTTACCACCCTCTGGACCATTACTCGCAGCGACGAAGCCAACAGGAGCACGGGCCTGGCGTTCGATCGCTGCCATAGCGTCGACTTGATCGGCGTTGTCGTCGCCACCCTGGGTCTCCCCGCCATCTTGGGCTTGCTGTTGACTCCGAGCGATGGCTTGCGAGGCAATAAAGTTGACGTCGGTGCTGTGAAAATGTTAGTGAGACCTTTGGTGCATTAAGAGAAGGATTGTTATCATACTTGTATTGAGCCTGGACACTTCTCTTGATGCGGAGCATCTCCTTGAATGTGTCTTCGTTGCCGTGTTGCACCTCGAAGGACTCCCACTTCTGCCAGAAGGGGGCGTTTGTGCGAGGATCGCAGAACTGCGAGGCGTGACCATAGATAGCGCGAGCACGGTCAATCTCGCCAAGTCTACGCTCCATCTCAGCAAACTTGAGGCACATTTCTTTGGCCTCTTGGTCTGGCAACGCGGCGATAGCCCGCTCATATATAGGCCGTGTCGAGGTGAGGCCAAAGTTGGATGCGGATTTGGTGATGTAGAACTCGAACATCTCGAACCTGTCTTCGTCGGACACGGCTCGGGTGGCACGCTCGTAGATGCGCATTGCGTGGCGCGCAAGTCCCCGCTCTTCTTCCAAGTTGCCATACATCAAGTAGAGCGGCTTGGCAAACTTGGGTGGGCATTCGTCAAGAGCTTGCTCGAAGAGATCTCGTAGTCTCTCGATTCCGATCTTGCGGTCAACAGCCTTGGTCAGATACAGATTCCAAAGCTCAAAGGCCACTGGGTAACTGAAAAGATCCAGACCACGCTCGTAGACCTTGAAAGAGTCCTCGAAGTATTTGCTCTCTTCCAAGAGGTTTGCGAAATTGACGACAGTTTGAGGCGTGGCAATTCGAAGCTCGAAAATTCGATCATATACCTTCTTCGTTTCCTCAAGAGAAGATACACTCTCCACGAGGTCCACATAGAAACTCCACAGCTTCCAGCTCTTATGCACACGCTGCTGGGGCGACAGGTTCTCGTCGAAATAGTCGACGGTGGATTTCTTGGGCGCTTGTGTTGCTTTGGCCATAATGTCGACGGCCCGGTCAAAGTTCTCGCCGCGAAGTTCCATCTCAGCCCATTCACACCATGTCTCCGCAAGCTCTGCCACGGATTTGAACGGGACTTTCACGGCTTTGTCAAAGATGACTCTGGCAGTATCCAGATCTCCACCGTTCTCATAAAGCTTGGCGTAATTGACCCAAAGCTCTGAAAACTTCCCGTGGGCCTTCTTAGGGTTGGTTGCCGCAATAGCAGCCGTGTAGGTGTTAACAACCTCTTGTTTATTAGCACCCCACAGTGCCACTCGCTTCTCCCATTCAATAACGTTATGAGGGTTCTGCCTTAAGAGAACATCATTGACCAAGAACGGGCGTCGATCCATCAACTGTTCAAAGCGAAGCATGCGGAGGTCCAAGTCGAAATCGGCATCCTCGTCGAGTTTGCCTTTCTCTGAGCGCACTGCTGCCGCTTCCATCAGGTTTCCGATGATGGACTCTTCAAATTCAACATAGGAGTCGAAAATCATTGTGAAGTCGCGGACAGTCATCACGGTGGTGATTCCTTCTTCAAAGACGTCCCTCGCCTTCTCAAAGTTGCCCTTGGTAATCCAGTATGTGGCCAAACCAGCCCAGAGCTTTCCACGCTGGTCGGCGAACCTATCAATACCGCTATGGAGAATGGCATCAACATCGATTCCAACTTGAGGACCAGTGTCAATCTTCTTTGCTTTTGAGACCAACAAGTCAACCATCTCGGTCCATAGCTGGAAGCTACTCTTGCCGTTCTTGGATTGGAATCGTGGGTTATCAAGGATTTGCAGGAACACCTTGACAGCCTCCGTATATTCTTTCATCTCAATCAAGAGCTCGATGTAATCTTCCGCATTCTCAGGGTGGATCTGCATATACCGAGCCCAAATCTTCACAGCCGTTTGTCCGGATGCTGACCGCGCAAAGCCCTTGTAGAGTCTCCAGATCCGGTTATGTTGGGTCACTGGGAGTGCGCGCAAAGCCCGGTCGAATGTTCGCCGGGTGAGGGTCACCAAGGGCTGTAGATGAAGAAATGAGAGATACATCTCCCAAACCCTAGGCATTTTATTCAGAAGAATCAATGCTCGTTCGAACAGAGCATTAACCTTCTGGAATTCGGCCCGGTAGACGGTGGGATTTCGGCCCTTTAAATGCTTCGTTCGAAACTCAAGATACTATTAGAAGACTCAGTTAGTTAACTATTTACTGCGTTGGGCAATTCTTTCAAAAGCATCAAAGACTCACCATCTTCCACAATTTGTAGGATCGCGGTAATTGTCGGCAGGCACGCTCCATGGTCTAAATTAAGGGTATGTTAGCAGTGATAACCAAATATTTGAATGTTTAGGCGCAGACGTACAAAAGCTTGCTCATAGAGAGTGCCATGTTGGTGTTTGAATTCGATATATGCGAGCCATGGCTTGACACTACCCGCATCGCGGAGCAGGTCTTGTTCGTAAACCGTATCCTGGTCGGTCTTTGAGTGAAACAGCTATCAGTAATGGCTTTGTCTCAAGGAGGTTCAATGGATGCATACAATCAGGTAAAAGTCCGGCCGGGACGCAGATGTTCGATCCATCTGTGCGTGCTGCCGGCTTGATCTCGGGGGCAGGAGAGTCCCTGGCATTGCGCCACTCTGTTCGAGCGGGATCAGATCGCACAGCAATAGTTCAGCATAAGACAGTGGCACGGAGCGGGGAAACACAAGTCGGCGCGTCGCCGTGAAGGATGAAACGACGAAGTCATATGGCACTCACGTGACCAGAATCCTCCGCTTCGAGTGGGCGGTGGAGCTTTATCGGCGTCATATCAATGCGTGGCCGCATACCCTCATAAGCTAATCGTACACGCCTGGAATTCAAAGCCGTCGTCATGTCGGGTGCCGTGGTAGGTCTTATTCTCATGCCTTTGGGATCCCTCTTTGTTTATTAACAATCTATTGATAGGGCCGAGAACCAGTCTTTCCGACTCGCCAATCACTGGGGTTGATGAAAGCCAAGTTGAAGGGGGCAGAGGTAGGCCACAGCTTGTTGAAGCGGAAAAGTGAAGCATTGACAAAGTATGTACATTGTCCTCCAACTGGGCTTGGCTCTATAACTAACATCTCTCGCTCTCAACAGGCGTTTCCGAGGTACGGCATCCCAGTTCAGCTCAACACGAGAACCCCCACACCCCACACCTGCTAATCATGCGGCACAGAGATCACACGGCGCATTGATGAAGCCAAACAAAAGATGGGACGGGTCATGCAGATTGCGGCCTTTTCCCTAGCCGAAGTCAGCTATGCAGTCGGTGGAGATATCGGTTACCAGATCCAGGAATCGGCCAAGCAAGCTCGCTTCCGTGTACGAGCGAAGAATGAGAACGTCTCGGGTGTTTACCTTCCTCAGTTCGAGAGCTACACGGAAGAAGGTGTCAATGACTTTGGCCTGACTGGTCTGGGTAAGGGTGGTCAGCAGATTCAACGCTGCCGGGAGACATACGCGCGGGCCGTGGAGACACTGGTTGAGCTGGCCAGTCTGCAGGTAATTAGAGTTGCAACCGTTCGAATATGAGCTATGCTAACCACTCCAGACTGCCTTCTTGATTCTTGATGAGGTTATTAAGGTCGTCAATCGTCGAGGTAAGTTTACTCCATTGTACTGTGGCTAGTATGATAACTAATTCCTGACCATCACAGTCAACGCCATGTAAGCCATCAATCGTCTAACAATGTGCAAGGCGCCTGGCAGAATCAACTAACGTTTATAAAGCGAGCACGTTATCATTCCTCGAACAGAGAATACCATCAAATGTTTGCAACCCTTCTATCGCATTCAACAGGCCCTCGCTAATATATATCAAGACATCAACTCCGAACTTGACGAGCTCGACCGAGAAGAATTCTACCGTTTGAAGAAGGTCTCGAACAAGAAACAGAGGGACAACGCCGCTGCAGATGCGGAAATCCTAGCTGCCAGAGAAAGGGCGGCCGAGAAGGCAGCGCAAAACGGCACGCCGCCAGTTGCAGAAGCCGAAGAACCTGAGACGACCGATGTTCTTGGCGACCAGGAAGACAATGATGTTATTTTCTAGTCTTGCCCCCTCGCCCTGATCTCTCTCTCTCATTTATTTCGGACTATTGTCCCCACTGGCATATGACTTCGCATCTGTATCAATTCTTTCGACTACCAACCCGTGTTTTATGTGCTTTAGCTACTTGGCTTTATTTCCGGAAATACATATTCTTGACTTCATTCGAAAGTGGGGCCCAAATGATGCGGGCAGCAATTCATTTAGACAGTAGTTCAGTTCTTCCGTATTGCAAATACATAAGTGATAGGCAGGACCCTCCAAACGCCAAAAAAGAATAGTGAGAGGTTGTTTTGGGGCGTATGTATCACAGAAGCGATCACTGTCGTTGGTAGGTAACGCGGATTGGCTTGCCCTGTTCTCCCATAGGCATGTTTGTGGTAGCCTCCTTTGCACTGATAGCACCAGCTTCGGCATCGTACTCGACGAATGCAATACCCGTGCGACCTGGCACCAATCTGACTTCCTGGAATCCCTCGAAACGACCGAACACAGCCGAGAGACCCTCTTGGCTAGCGTCATCTGGCAGGTCCCGTAAGAACAGAATCTTGTTGGGAGGAAGATATTCGTCTGGCACAACAGCAGCGGTGGCGCCAGATGTAGGCTTGAGACCAGCGCCCTTTACGGTTTTGGCCGGGCGTACGTTGTCGGGGACCGCAGCGGCGGGGCGCTTGTGCTTCTTCTGTGCTTCGAGCGCATCATGGGCTTGTCGGCGCTCTTAGTGGAAGAAAGGATTATAGTCAGCATGTACGTCTCTTGAAAGTGGAATGAGAAACTAGGATAAAAGCAGTGATTCACCTTTCTCGGCGAGACGTTTCCGCTTGTGAGCCTCCAGCTCGTCCGAGCCACCCTCGCGCATTACAGTAGCATCGCTTCGGGTCTTCGCGTAATCCAGAACCATAGGCTTTTCAAATAGATCGAACCCATTGGCTTCATCGATGGCGCGGGTTGCCGCTTCGATGCTGTCATAAACGATGAAGGCCTGGCCCTTGGCCTTTAGGTTGGCCTTCGCGACGATCTCGAGCACATTGCCAAACTCTGAAAAGATCTCTTCAAGAGCCTCTTTCAGCTGATCGACCTTGATTGACTCCTCCAAATTCCGGATCTGTATGGTCAGAAAAGTCAGTCAATGGTCCGCGGCGGGCGAGGGGATCGAGGAATGGTGGGTGAGGAGGAGGGATAGACTGCGTACGTAGACACTGCAAGAGGATGTTAGTGGATGACAAAAATAGGGATGATAGTGCCAGGAGGCTCACGTAGAATTAGGCGGAATGCCACTTGTAGATATACCCTCAGCCGCCATGGTTGCGACAAAGATGAGCTCTGGAAGCTGTGAGCGCGGTTGAGCTCTGATTTCCTTTGGCGGAGGTTGCGATAGGCCAAGATTTTACAGGGCTATGATTGCAAAGTTGGGACTATGTTGTATCAACTAGCATCATTGGTCTAGTGGTAGAATTCGTCGTTGCCATCGACGAGGCCCGTGTTCGATTCACGGATGATGCATTCTTTTTTGACGATGACATTTGTTATCCCGTTATCCCTTGCTTATTTTTCTTTTTTTTTTGTCTATTGCAGGTGCTTCCTTATTTTCTGATGTACTAGTATGTTCTTGAAGGGATATCATGATGGAGCCGCTGTAACATTCAGCCCTCGTTAGGCAAAAAAATACATCCAAGTGTCACTAGGCTAATTCACAGGAAGTAGTTCGGCCCTCACGCCTTCTACTTTCTCTTTTAAGTGCTTCGGTTGCTCCGACCAATTCACATATCTGACTTTCTCGGAATCGGTCAGAAGGAAGAGATATTCCGCTGCAGTCGATCGAACCTAGGAAAGCACAGAAATCCGTCAATATAAGTATAAGCACTCATGGATAGACACACTTACCCTTGGGAAAGGATGAAGGAGCAGCCCGGTCAACTTTTTCAAAGTATCTGCTTGTAATGAGCCCAGTCTGGACAAAGCAGCGTATACTTTAACAGCGGCTTCGATGCGGGCAATATTGGAGGAGCGGAAGTGTGATTTCTGAACGAGAATAAAGACCTGTCTAAAGATAGGGTCTTGTTGCTCTGAGCTGGAAATTGCATAGTTGTCTATGAGAAATGAGATGAAATCCACAGTTGGAATTGCATAGCGGTCGTCGTGAAGAGTCTCTGTTAAAACAGACGCCAAATCTTGGAGTATGGTGATCAAAACATTTTGACGTTCGGTAGGTCCGTGGGAATTGACAAACTGAATCAGAGCTGATCTGGTTGCTCGCACAAGTCCGTCAGAGCCTGCCACTGCTGATGTAGCCAACCCCTTCAAGAAAGGCAGGCGTACCCAATCAATGTGAAATAAAGTGAATAGCTGATCAAAGTATCTCTGAGAGGATACTTGGCTGAAGTGCTCATATTTACTACGTCGCAGTTAGCACTCATCGAACTGATAGGGCCACTAGAGGCATGGTCACCTTTGCAACTTGGGAAAATCGGATGATTCCCAATAACCTTGTAGGCAAAGCCAAGCCTGTAATCGAACCTTGTCAAGCTTTTCAGATGCAAGTCGACAGAGACATCCGATCAAGTGTTGGGTAATTTGCGAGCGTGGTGACACCCCAGCACTTTCCTTCAAAAGAACTTCTGCTGCTTGAATTGCTTCTACTCGGATAAGTGACCCGATATCGCCTCTTCTGTCAGTAGTATAATCATCCAGGAAGTCTAGGACATTGCTTGCAATCTCCGTAGACGCCGCTAAGATTTTGTTAGCTCGGGATTATTTCCTACCCGCGATATGAAGGGGCAGCATACCTGTGTTTGGCAGGACTTTGGTGGCTAGACATCTCACGGAAGCCACTCGCTTTTGAATAGGTTCTGCTCTTCCTGCATAGCGAAGCAATTCTGTGATAATGCTCTGGCGTAGATTCTCATGTCCTTCAAGTTTCTTGAAAACAGCACCTAGCGCTAAAATCTGACCGCGTCCACTCGGCAAGCTTGCTGTAGCGCGTAGGTGGGAGAACCATGCTTGAATCGTTTCCTCTTGTTTGCCTGATGGCAACAACGGAAACAACGCGGCCAGTGCATTTGATGAAGTTTCAATGGAAATATCATCGCTTCGGGAAACGCAGAGCGAAAGAATCTGGAGTGACCGTTCGAGCAAAGCATCAGGTGGCGCTGAAATTCCAGCAGACACGATAGACCGCGAAAGTGAGGTGATCAAGCAAGCAGATGCTTCTGCGGTCAGCTCAGGTCGGGAATTTTGTTGAGTCAAGTCCTTATCAGCAGGGCCCAGTGAGGACGCCAGAATCTCCCAGAGCCCGTTCACCTGAGAGGCGACGTCCTTTTCTTCAGGTGTGTTCCTCATCTCTGGAGCAGCTTCCCATTCACCGATATAGGCATCTACCGTAGAGGCAATCGACAAAAAACATCCGTGGCGCGCCTCCACATCACTTCGAGGAATGCGTGGGAGTTTCCGCAGCAGGCGTTCAAACACCGTAGTCATGGTTTTGAATTTTTGCTGGGTACTCAAAATTCCAATAGACTTCGCTGCTTGTCTTCTAGACTCAGCATCCGGTGATCCAATTCCTCTCCATTGTATCAATGCCTCGAGCAAAGGGCTCCAGTACATCGGATCTAATGAAGCGGTGGCTTTAGCAACGTCGATCATGGCACGAGACCGCCGTGCAACAGAATGGTAATCAACAACCTGCACGAGGGGGATTCCTTCGGTGATAGTGTTGGGGTGACGACCAATCAACTCTTGTAAAGCAGCGGAGGCACCCCGTCGAATATTTCCCGAAGGGTCTACACAGGCCGAGCAAACAAGCTCAACAGCAAGCTTTTGCAAGACATCCACTTCGTCTGTTCCGGACAGTGAAGGGATAACTTGCTGTTGCAACGCTTGCAACTCCGACGTTGCGTATTTCCGTGACAACGCCCAGATACCAAAACATGCGGCATCTCGAACACCCGTTCCCATTGAGCTTCCGGTAGAAGACCTCTGTTCAAAGTCAAGGCCAGACACAAGAGATTGGAGAATTTCGGGAAGTTGCGTGATGGGAGGTGCACGTCGAAAAAGCAAGTGGGATAATGTGAGCATCAAGCCCTGCCACCGCTGGGCGTCCACGCCGCTCAGATTTTGCCTCAGCCTATGGGTCCCGATCTTTCTCGCTTCAAATGGTGTCACCAAAGTGCCGTCGTCTTTCTCGTACAGGATATTTTCCCCTAGCGAACCAATCACGGCCTCTATGACCTCGGCACCCATCTCCGGGTCCAACTTCAAGGTAATCACACTAAGAGCTTTGCTTGCAGCAAAACGAACGGGGGTGTCTTTGTCTGCCAAGGCGATGAGGAAGTGATCGATAGACTCTTCCAGGATGTTTGACAGCTGGTCATCTGTGATCCGACTGTCTCCTCTCTCACTTAGAGACAAAGCCATGACGGTTACGTTGCAAAGGATCTTGACAACGGTCTTCTTAGCCAGCGCAGAGGACTGTATCGTTGAAGATATATCCGACTTTTCCTGCGCCACTCGGAGTATTTGATCAAACATGCTCTGTAGCAGAGGAGCAAGATCTTCCACTTGGCCCGAACCACCCAACCGAGCAATGAAAGAGAGCACCCCGATGCAGGAGTATACAGAAGGTGGTTCCGCGCCTCCAACCGGCAGAATAGTAGCAAATGCCCATTCTTTGAGGCTTTTCAGAAGTCCTAGTGCCTGCATATCTCCACGCAAGACAAGTCGGGCAAGGAGGGCGGTCGCAGCCTCGCGTTCTTTGCCCGGAGCGTTGATATACTGTAACGCCACCGATAAAAGAGATTTCGCAGCCACTGGGGTATGAGATGAGAGATTGCCCAGCTGTTGCAAATTGTCATAGGGGATCGGGATATCGTCAGATGATAGTGAGGAAAGATCAAACGGCGCGAGAAGCAAATGTGAAATCCAGACAAGCATCACATAACGTTCTTCCCATTTCATGCTCAGTGACTCGGCCCCGGGAAAATCATCCATCGGGGCTGAGGCCTGAGCTTCATCCCACTGAATGAAAGCTCGTAGCATGGATTCGAGGTATTTCGGCTCATTGTTCAGGAACCGGCTGATTACCTTGACTCCACGTACCTTGCAGAAGGTGTAAAGCAATCTGCATATGGCCCGCGGAAGTGGATATAACGCAATACCCTGTGCATTACTCGTGGCTTGCATGCTGTATTGGCCTCGATGCTTGATCAAATAGGCCAGGAATGCATCCACTAAAGGAGGCAGCAGCTTTTGGAGATGCGGGTCTAGAAGCTGTGGCCATTCTTGAAAGGGCTCGAGCTGCCATCGGAGTCAGTTGCGTGGTTAATGTGGATTGATGATGCCCTGTAGACTTACGAGGCTGACAAGCTTCTCTGCCTTCGACTCTTGCGTCCATTTGCGTGGGGTACGGTGAGGGGCACCATTTTGGGATTTCCACAACAACGATGGCAGCTTGGCCGAGAACTCCGAAACTAGGTCACTAGATGCCCGCTGGAGTTTGACATCACGGTCCTCTGCTGCATCCATTGTGGCGAACTGAATATGGTAGATGGCTTGGGGTGAATGTTGTGAAAAGCGTCAAGACCGGACGGGATCATGTGACTCGGCCTTGCCTGGATTCAATCTGGGAACAACATTCAAGTTCCAAGGTCATTCTCTCTTTTTCATGTATCACTACTAGTATTCTGAATATCTGTTCACGGGTAAAAATGAAAGGTAATAGTCCTCTTTTCAAGTTCTAACTCCAAGTCAAACTTCATTGAACAGGGCTGAAGTTCAAGTTTAGGTTGTGGCCATGCTGATACTGGACAATATATAATGAAACCGTTTGAACACTGCCAGTGGCAATGGGCAGCCTGCCAAACCCAACCAACTTGAAAGTTATCAAGAAATACATTCAACGAAGCTTGCTAGATAAACACAAAGACAGAAACTTCTATGGAATAACGGTAAACTAATCTCTAAATCTGGAAGTTGAAAAAGTAGCAAATTGGCAGCTCTTTTGACCAAGGCCGAACAACTAATGGCTCCTAGGAGACTGAAATAACGCCAAAACACGAAAAGACAGCAGATCGCACCTCCCTTCCCCATGGTAATCATCTGGGAACCAGTCATCAAAATCAGTCATCGTCACTAAAATCACTGTTTTGGCCGCGGAAGAAAGGTGCCCGAGGGCCTGAATACGTAGCAGCAAGTTTCAACATAGTCTCCCGCACATGAATCACTGAAATAGCCAAGGCGAGAGAGTTCCAGACATCCTGGTCGGGCTCAGTGAGATCGAATTGACCCATATATTTCACTCGTTTGTCAACAGGTCCACTCCAGGCGGGGGAGCTGGGGTTTGAATCGAGGGACAGTATAGTGGCAATGGGCCCGCAAATAACATATCCGACCAAGGTAGGCCAGTATACATCCTTCGCACTTTCATATGTGCTTCTGTGCTGAAGCGCCAGTTTAGTGAGTTTCTTAACCATCTTTGTGACAGTCTCGACGGTGGGCTGTCCGAGCTGTTGAGCGTAGATGATGTGAAACGGGAGAGTGTCGGAATTGGTCTGGAGCCCGGCATCGTCGATAGCCCAGCGAATATACTTTGCAATCGCCTTCCTTATCACCTCCGGTGGATAAACTGCTGTCAAAATACCGCAGTCTCGGACCTGTCCACCCAAATCCAGGAGTTCTTTCATAGCTTTGATTGCATGGAACTCAGATCGCGTCTTTGTTTTGAATATTATTTCCTCTAACTCGGTGGCAGGCGGTTCTTCCAAAGAGAAGAGTGACTCGGGTAGCGTAGAGAAGTCTGTTTTCCAGTGGTGATACATCACCGGTTTGCAGCCACGTAGAGCAAGCTCAAGGTACAAATTTCTTTCCCCCTCTCCCATCTTTGAATTTGTCGGAACTCGTACTGCTTTAGCCATACGCCTAGCTTTCTCCTGTGTAATCTCGTTGACGAGATTTCTACGTTCAACCCCTGCCTGGGATTTAGCATGTTCTTTGGCGAATTGTGCTTCAATTTCGAAGTCGTCGTCTGGTGATCCATAGTCTCGATAGGTATCGTCATCTCCATCGTTGTGTTTCTTTTTCCGATTCCCATCCTCATCCTGGGAATCTGAAGAGTGTTCAAAAGAGTCCGATGCACCAGTTCGTCGAGAATTAGTAGAATAACCGATCCGAGGAGGGCTTTTGCTTTCGGTTTTGACGGAATTGGTTCGTATCTGGGTCGTCTCGCGCACTCGGGGCGAATCTGCCACGGGCAAATTCTTGTGTGTTTCTTGTTTTGCTTTTGGCTTGCTAGGTCTTTTGAGTCCTTCCTCAATCTTTTGACGCTTACTTTGACTGAGACTGTCCAGAGCCCTGCCACGTTTACGCGGGCCTCCAAGATGCCTCGGCGAAGTCGGAATCAAATTTGGAGGGGTGCCTCGTTTGGAACTCATGGTGACCCAAGTAGAGTTTGAAGACGAGAGGGAGCTGCTATGAGAGCTGGAGCGAGTTTTCAAATTCCGAGGACGAGGACGAGGGATCGCGCGTTCAAGTTGATCGGGTTGGATGACCTTGGCTGCAACGAGCCGAGGAATGAGCGCGCTGGAGGAAGCCTTAACTCTCTTTGCTGGATGAGTTGGATCTTGTAAAACCATTAACCAGCGAGTGGAAGATAACTTAAGTGGTGAATCTCTTGATATTCAACGAAGAAGGGTGAGTATGGTGGGCAAAGGTAAAGGTAAAAGGCAAAGGGTGGATGGGGAATGGGATAGAGGGAGAACGACTTGGGCTCGAGTCCATTGTGTATGCGGAGTCGGGAGGCGCCAGCATTGGAGATGCTCCATTGGATTGGTTGGATTAGGTGAAAGAAAGGCTAAACCAAAGAATTAAATCGACAATTCACCAAGTGGAGCAAAGGTTCACACAAAGAAAAAGAGGCAGAGGAGTGTCCAAGCCTAGCCTTCTATTATTGATTACGATGGACAAAGAGTTTGATGGCCGAAGCTGGTCAAAGGAAACATCTCGACAGGACAGTCATTCAAGTCAGGGAAATGGTAAAGAGTGCAGGATTTATTAGTTCGTATTTGCATTTCCTGCCCAGAGCCATGGGAACCAGATACTCATCAGCAATATGACTGCAAACTATTTCCCACAGGCACGGCGCCAGTTCCACCGAGAACCACACAGACCGTAGTCTTTCAAACATTTCGAATCATTCCTCAAGCAACACGAATTTCTTTTGTTGAAAAACACCCCCAACCCCCATCCTCATCCCCATACCCGTTCGTGTGGTCGTATGCCACCGAACGGCCATGACCCGGCATGGCGTTAGAACAGTCGTCAACCGACCAGTCCGCAAGAAATAGAAATAGAACTCGCCCATTTAAGAATACGCAAAAAAAAGCAATTTAGATACGCAGGACAGGAAAGAGCAAAAATAAGAAAAAGCAATAGCAACATAGTTGCCTCATTACTCATATCATTCGGCACAACGAATCATACTTGGCGAAACGATTTGCAGTCAGCGTCTACGCCGACTTTCGATCAAACACACAGCTGCGATGGGTATGTAGAGCAGACTGAAGAGAAGCACAAGCGTGAAGCTCAGAAGAACCCGGTCATGACGGGCGTCAGACCATGGCGCACCGAGTCAGTGTCGAGTAGACACGACATAGCGCTAGGTCCTCGATGGAAAAAAGTCAATTTTCGCGGACTAAAAAACCACCCGGTATTAGGCAAAATCGGCGGTGTAGGAGAAGCCCCGGAACTCTTCCTGCATAGCCTGGGAGAGCACTGGATAGAGAAGAGAAGGATTAGTTAAAAGTATATTGAATGTTGGATCCAGAATATTCTTACCAGATTGGACTGGAGTCAGGACTGGAGTCACACTAGTGAACTCCTGGTCGAAGTTACTGGTATCCGTAGGGCTGCTGATGGTGGGGATGAAGGGCGGAGGAACACGCTTGTGGTAGATGTCATCCCAGTTGATGTTGCGGAAGAAAGCGTGAGACATAACTTCCTGGGCATCGGTAGGTCCAGAGCCAAGTCGTAGCTCAGGCTCACGAGTCAAGAGCTTCTGCAAAATGGAAACGGAGTCGCGGGGCATATGGATGGGGTAGAGGGGCTCGTCTGCAAGAATAGCATCGTAGATTTCATCCTCATCCTCACCACGGAACGGAGACTGCTGCAGAAGCATCTGGTAAATGAGGACACCAAACGCCCACCAGTCAACTGCTCTTCCGTACTTCTTGTCCAACAAAATCTGCACACCATAATCAGTACACGGGGATTTTTGAGCTGAGCATACTTCTTAGGAGTTGAACTTACTTCAGGTCCCATGAATTCGGGTGTACCACAGAAGGTGCTAGTGGTGCAGCCGTACCACATATTCTCCTTGCAAAGACCGTAATCAGCGATCTTGATATGACCATCCAAGGTCAACAAGATGTTGTCAAGCTTGAGATCACGGTAAATGACTCCATTCTCGTGGAAGTACTTGAGAGCCAAGCAGACTTCCGCAGCGTAGAACCTAGAATAATAAGTTAGAACGTCGAAAGTTATTACGCAATATTGTGCAATTGTGTGAACATACTGTGCCCTCTTCAATCCAAATTGTCCGCGCTGAATGTGCAGCATAAGATCACCACCACTGATATACTCCATCACGAAATAGACTCGGGTCTCGGTCTGGAAACAGGCGTGCAAGTTCAACAGGAATGGGTGGCGTTCCTTGTTGGCAATCAAGAAAACACGCTTTTCAGACTTGGTGCTCTCAACCTCATCGTTCTCAATGATAAACTCCTTCTTCAGAACCTTAATGGCATACAGCTTCCGCGAGCTCTTCGTCTCAGCCAACATGACCTTTCCGAAGTTACCCTTTCCAAGAACAGCAAGGAAATTGAAGTGATCCAGCCCAATGCGAGACTTTGATTGAGGAGGGGCAATATCATCTGCTGCAGTCGAGGGCAAAGGTTGCGATGCAGGCTGCATGGCCTGCATAGGGGGCTGCATCTGTTGTTGCGGTGGCGGGGGCATTCCATAAGGCGATTGAACAGGGGCAGGCTTCGAAACCGCCTGAGCCGGGGGTGGGTGTTGGAAAGTGGCATAGACAGATGGGTCATAGTGAGCATGGGGAGGAGCTTGCTGCTGTTGTTGTTGAGGGGGAGGAGGCTGCACTGGAGGTCGGGACATTTCAGCTAAAGCTGGAGTGTTAGCATATGGGCGAGATTAGAAAGAGACCATAAGAGTAAATGCATACTAGGGGTTTGCTGAGGGCTACGCAGACTTGCCGCGGCGGCGGCGGCAGCCTGGGCAGTGGACCCAGACGTAGGCGACTTCGGCGGCAGGGGTTGGCGCTGAGCATTCTGTGCAACAGCTGTTGGTGACTGTGGAGTCATATAGGAGTTAGTCGCAGCGCTTACCGCTTCAGCCGAGGCTTTTCTGGGCATTGCCCCGTAGGGACCCTCGGCAGGCTTTTGGGGATAAGAAAGGGCGAGGTTATCTTGAGGGGGGTGCGGTGGACCGCTTGGTCGGAGGGTACGACCGCTGAGACCGGAACTGACAGAAGTAGACTTGTTGTGATTCTTGGCACGAATAAGAGTTTCCAGGATTTGGTTCGCCGCCTCCATAGACATGCCGCAGAAGTCAGGGACCAAATGCGTACAGTGAGCGTGACAAGTAAGAGCACATTCTATAGGAAGAAAGGTCAGTTCTGTCAAGAATTAATTTGATAATTGTCAACATACCACTGCAGCGTTTAGCATTTTTGCGTCCAAATGGAAGAAGATAACCACAATGGCAACACCAATTGGCGGAAAGGTTGGAAAACCCTTCGAAGCGATGAGGAATGCGATGGTTGATCTTCTCTTCGTCGGGGTCGGTTTCGTAGTTGGCCTTGCTAATACACTTGGTGACAACCTTCGAGTAGCACTTTTTGTGACATGTGTACTTGCAGTCGGCACATTGCATACCCGCAGCATATTTGAGAAATTCTCCACACAGCGCACAGCGCATGATGTTGTAGAACTGTTGGGTGACAAACTTGTGGCCCTGCTTCTCGTGAACCTCCTCCTTCTTTTGACGAACGGCACCTTGACGGTTGAGACCAATATCGAAAGGACGACGGTCCTTCAATTGTTTGGCTATATCGAAGCATTAGCATCTTGTGGTCGTAAGCAGAAAATCCACATGAGGCTTACCAAAACTCATCGAGAGATGGATCCGACCAAACGGTTCCAAAGCAAACCATGAGTCAATCATCACTGTGGGGGGGCGCATTCGGGTTCTCAGGCATCGCGCCCTGGGGAATAGCCATGTTGCCAAAGCTACCCGGGCCATTGCCATGGGAAGAGCCCATGGGCGAGCCTGGATGATCGGATCGAGGTGTACTGGAATCACCAGCCATTCTGTCCGCAGATACCCATCCGGAGTTATTGAGTTCGGACTCAATCTTCTTGCGACGCATCTCCTCTGCAATGTCTGAGATGCGCACCCATAACATACCAATGGGCGTGGGGCGATCTCCCGACTTGTCGTAAACCGTAAGCTCAATTTCATTCGCCTTGTCAATATCGATCGAGAAGGCCTCATCCACCCATTTGTCGATCCGGCTGGGTTTCGTCCTAGCCTTGATTGTATCTTCCACCTTGACAACGATATAGGTTTCAGGGCCACGTGAGAACCTGGAGCTCGCGGCGTGGTCCACATCATTGACGGCATGAATCCGCATCGTTAGAAGACCAGTCAATGGCTTGCGCATGTTAGGGCTGCTAAGACTCTCGTCTATGTTATTGTTAGTTGCCAAGACATGGAAGTCAATAAGTGCTATTCAAAACCGTGACGTACCATCGGCGGCATCGTTCGACTCAATATCGACGTGGAGATCCTCGTATCGCTTCAAGGCCTGCTTTAACAGCTGGATCTTCTGGTTACTCTCGATGCGTCGGCTTTCGGCGTCCGCGCGACTCTTCCGATCGCCCTCATCTTGATATAGCCGGACCATTTTTTCGATACCCGCCTTGTATTGCTTCTCCACACTCAGCTTGAACTCAAGCTGGGACAGCATGAGCTGAATCTTCGGTCCGAGATAAGCGGTGTCATATTTGATGAGATCTGAAACATCCGTCTAGTCAGCATTCCAATGGCCCCAAAAAAGACGATCGTTCGACCGAGATATTTCCCCAGGTCCTGGGTGAGATATGGAGGGGGGGGAGGATTCGAGCAAAGCGACGTACCGAGCTTGGTGTAATTAGGGCGCGCCTTGGGGATGGGAGCATATGGGCGGGGGTCGGGAAAAGGGGCACCCGATGGCATCGAACCGGAGCCACCCTGAGGATAACCAGCTTCATCTTCGTATCCGTCCTTTGGCGGCGGCGCGGGCCCGCCTCGCTGACCTGGCGAACCACCACCTTCTTGCTCGATCCGGCGAATTTGAAGCTCCCGCATCTTCTCCTCAAGGTAGGCGATATTCTTACGGCCATCGCGGATATTGACGTCGACTCTCTGTTGCACGAGGGGGTTGTCGGTCGACTGCCGCATGTTACTAGCGGCGGCGATGAGGGCCTTCTCTCGCTCTATCTTGCGATAGACCGAGGCAATAAGCTCGTCGCCATCCATTATGGGAGGTCCGAGGGATCAAAACTGGGTTGTTGCGCCGGACCGTGGGGGGTGAGCGGGGGGAGGTGTAGGTGGGAGAAGGGATTCGCGGGGCTCTTGTTGACAGGGAGGGGGGGGGGGGGTAAAAGGACGACGGTAAGGATAATGCCACTTCGGAAAATGTACTAGGAACATGCAACAAGGCGGGGATCGTCACGATAAGGCCCAGCTGAAAGTGAATTTCAGCAGATCATATTAAGGGAAACTACAAGTACAAGCACAAGCACGAGTTACGTCAAATAATCCCAGTAGTGCTAGGCGCGAATTCAATACCTTGTGGCGAAAACCGTGACATCTACACGTGAGACCTTTCCGCCCTCCTCTGCTCTGACCACACACTTCCACAGTGTGGAGGACTATTCTCCTCCGAGACACCTGGCCCCAGTTGATCCAGTGGAATTCAATGACCAAACAAAAAGAAACACACACACAAACAAGAAGCTGCCATTGAACCACAAAAAGAGCCTTTGAAGATTTACAACCAGAAAACACCCACCCAAACTTCCAATCGATGACCACAGCCCCAGCCGAGCCCGAGGGGCCGTGATTGGTAGAGATCGGGTCCAGAATGTCTCAGCATGGCGGCGATGCCGTCGGTCGTACAGAGTGGAACGAAATAGATTGGAACGACGATGCCTGCGACTCGTCACCGCACGCTAATCGCTTCAGGTGTGCGACCGTTCACTCTCCTTGCCGCGTACATGGGGCAAGTCCCCTCGACTCGATTCGACTCGACTCGACTCGACTCGGTTACATTGCACACATTCTTCGCACAATGGCCTTGTCCACCTGTCTCGATATCATTCGTTTCTCAGTGGTCGTAAAACCTTGAAATGACCTGATCCCAAATCGTAGAGTCATCCATGCCAGTGCGCTGGGTAGAGTGGACCTCCCAAGGAAGTGTAAAGATGAGCATTATTATACGGCCTATTCCTCGCGAACTGGCTTCCAAATTCATTCCAAATCTTATCCCGAATCAGTAACTTTTTTTTTATCCAACTCTATTCAATTCTTATTCTCAGTCCTAGGGTCTAATTCATGGCTTTGTTGATAACATTGTGGAAAGTAGCAAGACTCAGCTAGTCATGTACTGCTGTGCCCAACTCCATCAGCCGGTCGAAACGAGAATACAGGCATCACATCACTCCGACACCTCACAATGATTGTGAATTGCTCCCGAGCGAGAAAAATCCCGATACTTCCAAGTCCGGCCATATCAAATCATGCACAGCCACATCTGAGTTCAGAAAGACCCTTACTCGGATCTCTTCGAAATCTTCGGCAGCAACAACCAACTCGTAGCCATCACCCCATACAAACCGATACAAATCGGATGCAGGACCATAGTACCCACATTCTGCGCGAGGATACCGGTAAAGAAGGGCGAGACCGCTCCACCGCTGCTACCAAGGGCACTGATGAAGCTTAGACTAGACATGTGCATACTTCGTGGCAGTAGCCTCGTAAAAACCACCGTGGCACACGGATACACAGCTCCAAGCAAGAGACCTAGAATTGCAACCGTGACAGCTTCTCCGATGACATTAGGGATGAGCCAAGTCAGCAGCTGAAAAGCCACAGCGCCGGCCACCATCAAGACTACTGCTGTCTTTTCACCTAGTCTCGCGGCCGGATGAGTGAGCAGAAACCTGCCAGCTGTTATTCCAGCCCAGAACCCTGCGCTGACGTATCCAACCCGTGAGGGGTCGCCATTTCGGTAGCTGATCAGGAAGGAAACCACCCATCCAGAGATGGAAACCTCAGCTCCTTGGTAAGCGAAGATAAACAAGGCACCAAGCAGAGTAGTCCGGTTCTTGATAGACTTTTTGAGGATCTGGGCCCGAGTCAAAGTTTCGCCAGCAATACTGGTGGGGCGAGAAGTTGTTTGATGAAGAGGTTGTTGCGGCGCTGCTGGGGTGTCTTTCTCATAGCTGAAGAATGCCCACGAGGAGAACGCGAGATTGAAGAGACAGAAAGCTAAGGTAATAGAATAGAAGATCGACCAGCGGATCCCACTTGACACCATGGCAGTTGCAAAAAGCGGTGCAACAGTACCTCCAATACCATATGATCCATGAAAACAGCCCAGGGCTGTAGTTGCATTTGCTAGATTCGCGCAGTACACGTTGCTAAGAGCCAGACTGAGAGCCATCCCGAACCCGAGAAACAAAAAGCAGGTCACGACCACCGGGAAGGGTGGCTGGCAGATGATGACCACATAGCTGACGGCCAGACAAGCCATCGCAAGTATATAGCTCTTCGAACGGCCTAGCTTCATGTCCAGCGCATGTGTAACTGGCGCCGCCGAGATAAATCCGAGGGCATTGGTCACGAAAATCAGCGAAACAACAGCGTATCCGATGCCATAGTGTTTCTCGATATAGGGAATCAAGGCACCCGGGGCACTATCGTTCATTCCATTGCCGAAACTGATGAAACAGACGCTCAACAGCCGCCATTTGGTTTTCCATGAAGGATTGGTTCGATCTGGGGCCCACTCTATGGCTTCATTCTCGGCGTCTGGGGTTGATAGACGGCTTTCCAATACACCTGGAGTAGGGGTTGGCGTGGATGCACCTGTGTGTGGTGAAGATACTGGCTCAGCAGTCACTTGAGTTGAGCTGTTGTGTGGCTGTAACTCATTGAGTTCATAATCTGACGGAGGGTGCGTGACGCCTTGCTTATCCTTCCGCACTGCAGGCGGGGGAGTGGAGATCTGCGAGGAACTCTCGATCTTTAGAAAAGCTCCCAGATTGGAGGCTGCCATGTTCACCCGGTATTTTGGGGTTAATCACCACTGCAAAAGTTTTATCGGGCCAACGATGGCTTGGAGACTTAACAAAGAGGTCTGGTGAAGGAGAAAGAAGAATGAGGAGTTGGACTTCACTTGACTCAATGTGGGGGAAAAAACACTCCGGTCAAATGATTCCAATCTGCAGGAGTGCATTATCCGACCACCTCTGGCGATACATCTTACAACTAGTAGTAGTAGTAGTAAGTCGGGGACTTTCCCCATTAGGTGGGGCCCCGACTCCACGACTACTCGTAGGGTGTCTTTGGAGGGGAACTTGTGGGTAGTTTGTCATCGTGCGGAAGCCCCGCCGATAAGCCCAACGAGGAAATTTCTCCCACTCCAAAGAGCTCGACATATTCCTACAGCTCCCTTATAATCGCCAATCCTCACCAATCAAATCACAATGGCACCGCCTCGTCGAAAGGTCCTGGCTACGGCCGAGGAAACCATGTTCCCACCGAATGAACTGGCCGAAACCCACCACATCGTGCGAGGACTCAAAGGCACCGGCAACAATATCTACCAAATTGAATTCCCAGACAAGACACAAATGTTGGCTGAGCTGCCAGCGAGATTTCGATCGACCTTCTGGATTAAGCGCGGTTCATATCTTCTAGTCGACACCAAGGCACAGGAGGAACGGGACAATAAAATTGGCGCGGAAATTATCAACATTGTGCGGGATGAAAAGGCCTGGCGCAAGGCCCCATTTTGGTAGGGGATCATTCTCTCTTCTCTGCTACGCTGGTTTTTACAATAGATCGCGTTTTATTAATTCGCTCTTCCTCCAGGCCCAAGGAATTCGTGAAACAGCCAATTGTGACTGCCAATGCCAATTCCGACTCCGACTCCGAGGAGGAATCTCGCGTGGGAAAAATGCCCTCCTCTGATGAGGAGTCTGACGCTTGAAAGAACCTGCCAAATTCAAAACGAGGATTCAATGCCTATCGTCTATTGAGAACGGGGTGCTTTTCCACGCTCACCGCCATCCACCTCCCCGAGCCCGCTGATGAACACGCCAAATACCTGAACGGCAAGGGACAAGACCACCGCTGCCGAACTGGCGTTGGTGCTTGGGTACACGTTCCAGGCCCATTCCTGAACCGCCCACAGGATATAAATCAGAACGGGGTGGAAGTTGGCCTGCCACAGGAGGAATGGGGAGGCCCAGGCCAGATATGCGAAGAACTGGTAATGCAATGATCTGGCGCAAAGCATGCCGATCGCCAGTGAAGTCAGCATCATGTTCATAGTGAAAGTTTTGGATAAGGCGATGCGAGGTCTCCATCCGCGGAGAAGGTCACGGGCAAAGCTAAAAATTTTCATGCCCGATGGCTTGACCCAAATGGTTGAGAAAAGCCCCAGGAGGGAGAGGTGCAAAGCCAGCAGACCCAACGAGAACTCCTTCGAGAGGAAAGTTTCTTCTCCGACAAACCTCCAGTTAACGGTCCACTTGAACATAAACTGCCGGGTTAGCTCAAAAGCCCGATTAATGTAGCCCGTGTAATTTTTGCGAGTGAAGGGTCTTGCGAGCAACATCTGTAGAATTTGTATCAGTTTGCTGCCATCGATGTAGAATTTCCGGGGAATCTTGACTCACTTGGGGCTGGAAAGCTACAATCGCCTGAACAACGCTGCCACGCAGACCGTTGTCAAATGCGCTGAGGACGGCAATGGCTGGTGCGAGCAGAACTAGTGTCATTTTGACAGAGACCCCAAGAGACCATGCTGTGATGCCAAACAGGGGCTTCTTTTTCATCCAAGAATAAATTGCAAGCCACATAAAGAAGGCTGCAATGCCATCATTGAACATGCGGAGCATGTAGATGCTATGAAGCCGCTTGGACAAGACGAGGAGCGGGAACAGATATGGCGGCGCTTGAACCTGCCTATAGCAAGCAATGACGATAATGAGAGTCGCCAGGTAGATCGCCGCGAAGATGATCTGTCCTAGGAGGATATCGCGCCCTTGATCGGTGATGTAGTAAAGAAGGGCATAAATGTAGACGTGGCCGGCAGGATAGACGAGGGGGCCAGTCGAGCCTTCGATAGAGGGATAGTTGCGTTCACCATCGAGATATAGCTTCACTTGCTGCATGTAAGTCGTCCAGTCAATCTCGGTATCTGTCGTGGACGGGGTGCGATTAGCTTGGCCTTGTCCGCGACGCGACAGGATGAGACGCGCACTCACAGGAGATCTTCCAAATGACAAGTGCGCACAGCACTGCATCACCTAGGATAAGTAAGGGCCCGATCCATTGTGTGTGCCTTGGGTGGGTTAGCACATTGTATATAAAGCGCGCCCAGGGGCCCATTGCGATGCAAGTGTTTGAGGCGGAATGTTCCAGGGTGGCTTGATCCGGACTTTTGATGTGGGGAGTGCGACTGGCTGTTGACTACCCTAAAGCTCTACCAAATAAAGACCCGCTTGTTAGGTACAAAATTACCTCTAGCTTCCCTCAAGACCCCAGATTACTTTGCACTTTTTTGGTCCTAAGGGAATTTTAAATTTTTTATATATTCTAATTACTCTTCTTAGATATCAAGCCACGCACTGTGGTGGCAGACTCTTGTTCACAATCCTGAATGACATACAACGAACCATGGAAGAAAATGCCGAAATCGAGTTGGGTAACTTCAACCAAGTTGAAGGTCATATAAGTCATCAAATAAAGAAAAATCCAAAAGAAGATCAATCGATACCATGGAAATAGGAATCTACCAAAGCACTTTTTGGCCTACCGCGCCTATTACGGCGTCGGACATTCCAAATTGGATCCAATACATCCATCATTCACATCCATGAATCCTTTTCCTCTCATCTCTTTTCCTTCTCCTCTTTCTTCAATATTCGCTCTTCATTCTCCATATTTTCTTCTCAACCAACCCACATCTTCCGTGTTTGCCAATATACTAAACGATCGACAAGAATCGCGAGTATTACGCACGTCTAGTTCGCCCATCCGTTCTCCTTCTAAATATCAAACGACCCAAATGGCTCCCATAAGTGTGAAACACCTCGAGGACGAAAGCCAGTGCCTGTCTCAGCTGGGGGTTTTCTCAAAGCTACCAACAGAGATCCGTCTAGTGATATGGGAAGCCAGTTTTCCCGATTCAAGAAAACCGCAGCCCAATCTCACATACCGTAGACCTGTGCCTGTGAATAAAATGGCCAACATCCTATGCAGCAGCCGTTTCCTCTATCATGAAATTGCACCCCTGTTATAACGGAATTTCAAGTTCAGATTTATTATCAATGACGATGGCCCTTATGAGATCTGGATCAGTTTTCAGGCAACGTCTAGAAGATTGCATATTAACCGGACCTTTTCAAGTGCGACTGCTACAGAAGAATTCCTCTCTCGCTTCCCTTTTTCAAAAATTTCGAGACCACATTTTGAAATTGAAATTCACGGTGAAGAGTATCTGCTGGTTGATTCGATCCTCCCGTACTGGATGAAAGTCAACAGTGTTGTCGATTTTTTGAAGAACTGCCGACTCCTCCATATGTCCATGTGAATTTCGTGAAGTATTGGGTTTGGCGAAGTGGATCTGTTAGACAACATATGAACTATTTCACATGCAATGCCACTGGCAGGGAATGGTACTCTTTGGCAGATCATGACGTCCTTATTCTGCCCTTTACTTGCTTCACTAACTGGCATTACACTTTACCTGCCGACCTGAGAGTCGCAATATTGAAAGACCCAGAGGCACTCGAGCAGACACAGTTACACCTCTTCAAGCTAGAGAATCCTACTGAGGCTGATGGATCTAACGAAGTCTATACAACATTCGACAATTCAGAAATGAGCCAGACACACTACGTCTATGAGCCACGGGAGACGCCACGGATCAAGGAATCGGTTAGAAAAGTAAACGCAAGTCATAGGGAGACCATGCAGTCTCTTATAGACCGGTACGTCGATGTCGGAGTTGGCGATGAGTCTCAGGATAGACAACTTCTCGTTACCTATGACAGGATTTGGAATTTGCTATTCCCTGCCACTCGCATTTCTATTTAAAAGTCTAATACCCGGGAGCCTTTCAACTCATTTTGTGCCCGGTCAGAACGGAGGGATTCATTTACAACCCGAGAACCAGAAAGGACACAATAGGAGTGCGATCATCAATGGAGGACATTCGATGCACAGGTAACCAGCCATGTACCTAAATTGCTTAAATGAAATCATGGAGTGCTGGCTCAGTAAATGGCTTATTGATTCTTCGGTTTAATTTATTTTCTGTTGTACAGTTTATACACGTACACATCTCAAGTGTAGCTTTCGCTGCGGTATATCCATCCCCAATACCCGTAATATTCGAACAACCATCGTGCGAGGCCTTATACCTCAACAATTCCAAATCCATGGTATCATTAAACAAGTGACGAAAAGAGAGAATATGCAAAGTTGAATGAGAGACAAAAGGAGAAGACTCAGAACCAGTGTGTTCTTTACTGATCTCCCACGGGTGCCTCTGTTGTCTGGCGCTGCTGGTCTCCGCGAGCATTGCGGAATCCCAGAAATTCGCCAATCACACCCTTCGGTTTTGGGATAGGACATTCGTGATTCGCTTGTGTCAACTTCTGAGCCTCCGCTTCCATCTGGAAGAACGTGGAGACTTCCTCATCCACGGGGCCGGAGGAAGTCGGGAGGACAGGGTGGGCAGTTTCCGCGTCCATTTCGACTTCCTTTCGCCTCCGACGGCGAATGCGTGGTAATTGTTGACCATCGGCTGTGATTGTCATTTCTGAGTCGGCGAATGTGCGTCGAGGGGCCGGGCAAGGGAAGACGTGTGGCATGCCAACAACTAGCAGGGATGCGAGGAGAGTGCCGGCGAAGAGGCCGGTTGTAGACCGCGAGCGGGGGTGAAGATGCGGCGGCATTGTGTGGAAAGGAATTGATCAATGTGAAGGGCGAATCCGGGGGGGGGGAGAAGGAAAGCGTAGTCGACGTCTTCGACTTTTTTTCGGACTCAGGCCATCGAACGGCTCAGGGTGAGGTGGAAGCACGGAGCGAGATGGGATGGGATGGGAGGGTGGAAGAAGCGCTGTAGAGGCCAATTGGGAAGATCCCACGAGCCCGCAGTAGTTGACAGGGTCTGACAGGGCTGTTAAGGACGATCCGGGGGTGGTTGATGATCGCGACAGCGGAAGACGAGGAGGTTGAAAGGTTCTGGTGGGCATCTAATCTTATCTGCCTTCGGCGTGATTGGCCCGCAGTCCAGCGCAGAGTCAGATACGCCCACGTCCAGCCCGGTTCTGCCGCTCTCCGTTGTCTCGCGTTGCTCTGCTCCTGTCTCTGCTTTGCCCTGCCCTGCTTTGCTTTGCTCTTCTTTGGGATATGGCGCAACAATGAATCTGGATTTTTCGCGCGAAGGAGACTGACTGTCTGTTACTGCCCGCTGCTTCTGAGGGTCTTGTTTGCACCCCCGCCTCCCCTTTCGCTATCCGCCTCATCTTCCCTCCATCCACCTTCCTCTTAAACAGCCACCATGAGTGACCTTGACCGGTATCGATCGCCATTGTCTTATTCCCCTCACTCTACCTGATTTACTGACCCATCTTTCCTTTACAGTGCGATCGAGCAGCTGCGGGCTTGCCGACTCATACCCGAATCACAAGTCCGCGAACTCTGCTACAAGGCTCGCGAGCTCTTGATTGAAGAAGGCAATGTCGTTTCTGTCGATGCGCCAGTCACAATTTGCGGCGATATTCACGGCCAATTCCACGACTTAATGGAGCTATTCCGCGTGGGCGGCGATGTTCCAGACACTAACTACCTATTCATGGGCGACTTTGTCGATCGCGGCTTTTACTCACTTGAATCCTTCCTCCTCCTCCTCTGCCTCAAAGTTCGATATCCTGATCGCATGACCCTAATTCGTGGTAATCACGAATCGCGACAGATCACAACCGTCTATGGATTCTACGATGAATGTATCCGCAAGTACGGCAGCGCCAACGTCTGGCGGTATTGCTGTGAAGTCTTCGACTATCTCGCTCTGGGCGCGATAGTCTTGGGCGCAAGCTCAGAACTCGAACCGACTACAGCTTCCGCGAACGACACAACACAATCCACCATGCCAATAGATGATACCGAGCTAGAGACCGAGGTGCTGAACTCGCGCGGCGAAGTCACTATGAGCACTTACCGTCCGCGACAGCGTTCTTCTTCCGACGCTTCCACCGACTCGCGAAACATCTCCCCGCCGCGGGATATATCCGCCACCCCTGGTCAACTAGGCGCGCCCACGAGATCAGGCGCACCTGGTACAGGTGCCGGTGGGGACAGCAACGGCAGCGCGCCTGGGAGTCGCACGGGCGCTGTTCTCTGTGTGCACGGTGGTCTTTCACCATTAATTGATTCAGTCGATAAGATTCGACTGATCGATCGCAAACAAGAAGTTCCCCACGAGGGAGCCATGTGCGATCTGCTCTGGTCAGACCCAGACGAAATCGAAGGTTGGGGCTTGAGCCCGCGAGGTGCAGGTTTCCTCTTTGGCGGTGATATCGTCAAACAATTCAACCACCTAAATGGCTTATCACTTGTTGCACGTGCCCATCAACTTGTCATGGAGGGTTACAAAGAGATGTTCGACGGCGGTATCGTTACAGTGTGGTCTGCTCCAAATTATTGTTACCGGTGCGGGAATGTTGCTGCTATCTTAGAGCTAGGCGAGGATACAAGCAGTGGCGGCACTGTGGCCCGCAGTAATGGAGAATATGGACGCAGCAACGGCGTCATGGGAGCGGATTCACTGAGCACCGTTGTCAGTCCCGGCCGACGATACCGCGTGTTTGAGGCTGCGGCGCAGGATACTAGGGGTATGCCTGCGAAGAAGCCCGTCGCCGATTATTTCTTGGTGAGTGAAACCTGCTCCCCGATCATGTTCCAATTCCTCTTGAAGAAATGATGCTAACAGTCGACCTAGTGATACCATCCTTTGCATACATTTCACTGCTATCTCTCGTCTATATGGTTTTCGGAAGCTTCTTGGGTCGAAACTGCATTTTGTGAATTGGTGTTTTTGTATTTGTTGTGACTAATGATTGATCATGATGGGAAGTTTTCATCTCTCGAGCTGTGAATCTCGACTTGCCAATGCACTAGAATTAAGAGAGGAACGTTCTCTTACAAGAAGGGCAAGCCAGATGCGATAAACATAGTATCTAAACGCCATCAAAATAATAAACCCCTCCCAATTTGTGGTATCATGGAACACAAGCATGAAGTAGATACAAAATTCCAAAGCGTCAATGCTTCACTCTGTGCATGATGCTGCTAATCTTGGAACTCCGATAAAACCTCTAATCGTTAAAATATGCAAAGGAAAATATCATTTATCACCATGGGCCATCAAATTTGGGTGTGCCGTTCTCTGGCGACACACTGGAATTGTGCATCCCCATTGAGGCCTCGGCTTGGTTTGGGGGACCGTTTACAGTGTTAGATTGCGATGCCATAGCCATGAGGTTGACATGGTCATCGCCGTACTGAAGATGAGGTGCTGGGGTCGGGATACCAGGACTCCAAGGACTCCAATTTTCGACTCCAATGTCCATGGTGGTAGCATTGCGAGACCACCAATCTTGACTCTCTTTAACTAGACTTTCAGGGGCCCCAAAATTAGTCATAGATGAGAGGTTAGATGAGGTAGGCTGCGTCTCTACATGGGCCCCGTTTGCATCGTACCAACCGCCTGGGATGGGAGAAGGAGCGGATGGATTTGAACCTGCAAACCCCGTAGGTACTTGGTAGTCCATTTGTGATAGTGGTCGGAGATACGTCGGTTCTGGTGGCGGAAATTCTGGTCTTTGGGCCTGGGCTCCGAATACCCGGCGTGCTATACGCATTGGTGGAACTGAAGTTGCCATGGTGGTCGCTGGAGGGTATTGAGGGGCCATAGACACCCCCGACAAAGTCGCTGTGTTGGTTGTGGTGGGTTCCGGACGTTGCACCGCAGGGGCCTTGTTGCCCCCGGGTGAGAAGCGCCCTGGGCTGTTCATGGAGGGGCTCAAATTGCTGAAAGAGGTTGCCGCAGATTCGTCTGATATGGATGTGGGTGAGGTAGCTTGGTCCCAAAGCCCCCAAGACCCCCACTTGTTATGAGTTCGTTCGAAAACAGCACTGGCTTCGATGGGGAGATGGACCTGCCACTTGTTGGCGGAGATTTCAAGGATGCGCAATGTGCGACGCGCGCACAGCCAACATTCGGCCATTTCCTCGAGGTTTCTCAGCCCATGAACGATGTCTCGTTGAGCATTTTTCTCGGGAAGATTCAAAAGGTGAATGGTGCAAGCAGTATGAGCAATGTAAACAACCACGTTACAAATCTGCTTCAGACCATAAGTCCGTTTGTACATTCGCAAGAGTTTAGATATCGCCGATGCTGCTTGTGTGCATATCTTGCGTGGCGAAACATGTGAAGGTAGAGGCGTGTTCGTCTTGGTGTATTTTAAGAATGGCCGATAAAGATGAATGAGTAGGAGTTGGTTGAACATGCTAGTAGAATTGTGAGTATGAGGTTAGAGAGAACAGGATTCTGGTGGACATACTGCATGACTAGGACTTGGGGTAGCTGTCCTTCCTTTGGCTCGAATTCTCGCGGTAACTGCTTTTTCCAGGCTTCAAGTCGAGTATGAACATCGCTAAGCTTTTTCAACTCTGATTGTTTTGGTTGCGACTTTTCTAACTCCGATGGATGGTAGAAGAAGGCAAGGAGATCGCCGCTGATCTGACAGAGTATCGATATTTGTAACGCAACAGCTCGAGTCCGCGAAGCTTGACTGTGGTCTTGGCTTGCACCTGCGTCTGTATATGGTGCCCAAAGTTCTGTTTCCTCGCTCGGAAACACCTCAAATTTCGGTATATTCGTGTTCGATGAGGATAGCTGTGGCTGTCGCCCAAGGTAATTTGACCAACATCTAACATACATTAGAGATGCTCAAAAAATGCCGCAAAAGTTCTCGAACACGTTCGAATCAAATAAGTCAAAGGAGAGATAGGGGGGGAATAAACTTAGGAAACTGACTTATCGATGAGGTAGCAACCCCAGAATGTGATCCTCCTTGCATCAATTTCTTCTTCGGTTAAGTTGTGTGAGCCAGGGGTTGTGGCATCGACATTCAAGCCAAGATCAAAGGCCATGCGGAAGCTGAGCCCGCTATAAACCCAGCCTTTGCCTTCGCGGCCACACCCAGCCTCGCGCACAGACATGAGAGCAAATGCCTGAACTGTACAAAGCTTCGCATTCTCGTGCTCATCATTCTCGAGAACCATTCGCTTAGCTTCTTTGAAGAAATGGTCACCGGCGGTTGCAAGGTTGTTAGGATCGGAAAAGGCCCCCCGCCACGTAGTGAAATGACACCCCAGAGCTAGCATGGCATTGACCAGCAAGGCTGAGCAATATGGACTTGACACACCACGAACATAATCCCGATAGAACATGTCCTTAGCCAGGATTGTGAAGAATGGGTAGTGCCATGTAAAATACATCGTCAAGAGATGACTAACGAGCGAGTCATCTTCCGTGACTTGTGTCCAACGTCGCACAGGTAGCATATCATTGGTAACCGAAGCAGCCGGGGCTTCTTGAGGAGACGTGAACTCGTGTAATTCTGAGCCAGGTGGAAGGAAGATGAGATTGGACGTGCCGCCAATGAATTTTCGAGAACCATCTAGTAGGAGTTCGCTCATTCTACCCGATAGTTCTAATTCAAATTGATCGACTTCAGCCGCGTTCTCATTTTCGGCTATTTCCCCCACAGCTTCTGTCGTTGGTGCTGGAAGCCCTCTATCTCGGGTGACTATGGATTGGGCGACATCTTCTAGATCATCACAAGATCGGATTTGGCGCACAATTTCAAATGCGTCTTCTTCTTCATAGTTTAGCAACGCCTGAATCAGGGTTTGTAGCGTGGTGTGCTTAGTTCGCAAGGCATCGGCATCCTTCTTATAAACACCCTTGCGTCGGTGATCAGAGTTTGGGTCATAGACACCTGATATCAAGTCAACAAAATTGGTTCTTGGGCAAGAGACAAAAGGTTCACAAACATGGCGTATGGTAGACCGAGGAGCATGCAGCACAACTAGGGAGATTCCCATCGCACTGAAGGTCCAAAGATTAGTGGCGCCCTCGCGTGATATTTGGATAAGCCTGACAAAACTCAACGGACCTTAGATTTTCGCCTACGACAGGCGATGCAGGCCGTGCTGACACAACGCCTTTTAGGCATACCAGGTTCTGCAGACATGGTATCGAGTCCTGCAATAGGTGGGTTCCGGGACTTCAGGATCTGAGGGGGGGTGCTTTTTCCGCGGAATGTCATCCCGTACTTTAACGTCGTGGTCGCAGATCAATGGTCCAATTTTGAGTGAGATCGACACGAAGGGTTCCCATTTTTCATGAACATAAAAGAGAGCAGGAAATTCTCGACGGACCAAGATAGGAGGGTGAAACACGCGCTGGTGGCTACGAGCTATGAGAGATGTCAGTGCACAGGAGCAAAGGAAGCCGGTCAGCCCGGAAGACCAGCTGTGCTAACTAGAGAGGGAGAGAGCCAGGCCTTACGTTGAGATGCCAAAGTCCTTTCCAAGTCTAGGTATCAGAAACACATGCGGCTACTGAGAGTTGGGGAGCTGTTGACCCCACGGGAGGACCGATCGACCCACACTGGAGGCGGGGGTGGTTTGAAGAAACAGAGACACCTAGCCGATCTAGATGCGGTCTCAGTTCGAAATGCAGTTCAACTAATTGGACACAGCTGCGAACAGAGTAGGGGTTATCGCCGGTCTCTGATGCGTCACATCGGAGTCCAATCGGAGAGGGGGATGCCCGCGCGCGGGACGATGCGATAAGCAGCTGACTAATTACGGGAGATTGGGTGATATATCAAATCACGTGACTCGATTCTTACCTGAGGTGAGACTCGATGTTTCGGGCCTATCCTAAGTATAGATTCTACCGTACTCGTCCAATTTGGATAGAAATTGACACACCGAAACAGGGCTTCTTCACATGGACCACCGATGCGCAATCAGCCGGTGAGAGTCAGGGGCTTGAAAAAAAGAGCCACTACCAATACCACACACCGCATGATGTTGACCGCCCACACCACCGGAAAGCAGAAAAGCCGCCAAGAGACCAAACAAAAAATAAACAGTTTTTAGTATAGAGTCTAACTGCAGTAGTTACCGACACAAGTACGCTAAATACAAATTTGTGCCACATATATTACGAGCCTAATAACAACAATACCGTCGAACAGGAGAGAAGAGGTTGGGTCGACAAGATAGGTATACACCGCTGCCTCTCTCGCTTAAGGGGGAGGTCCACTGTGCCACGTCGTTCTCTTCGCCTTACCTTTTCAGAGAGCCTGCAGCCACCCGTTGCCCCGACTGGACCGTTCGATCGGTCGATGCCGGCGGGTCCCGACGACGCATTCGTAAACGATATGTACCAGCAGTTTTAAAATCAGCCGCGGTAATCCCCTGTTTCATTTTTCGTGGGAAAAAAGGTAAGAATTAAAAATTTAAACAAAAGTAATACAAGTACTAGTAACAAAAGATAAATCATGGGGAAAAGGATCGTCCTTTCGGAAATGAGACGGGGTAATTTTTATTCTTTGCAGTCTAGTAAGTGTTGGCTGTGAACGGCGTTGTTTTTATCTGCAGGCACGGCACTAAACCCAACCTTAAACGACCCACCCAACTTGAAAGGGCTGACCTACAAGTCGATAAGTGTGTATTGTGTGTGTGGTGCGTATATTATTTATTCATTTTTTTTTCTTCGTGTTGAGGGCCAAAGTGGATGTGATGAGTGGAATCAAAACAAACCATGACTAACTTCAGTGTTGGAGGGCGAATGGCAGTGCCTGCATATCTGGATACATACTAGCGCGACTGTAGAGGAAAGAGAAAAAGAAAAAGAAAAAAGAAAAGGAGGGGGCCACAGGGCTTTGATGGATTCGATGGATCCACCGGGCGAACATTCCACACGCCGGGGTCCGGAGTACAATAGGAAAGAATTCGATGTAACCATACACAATACCGTACACACACAATACCCTTGAAGGACCCAAGGGATCCCCAGCCCAATCATCCGCGTGCTGCGTAACCCTTTCCCACAATTACCGTCACACGCGTACCTGCCCAATACATCTTATCATCCTCTGAGATCACCACTTTCCTTATCTGCCTTCGCTCCTTCCCCATTCTCTCTCTCCTCTCTCTCCTTCCCTTCAAAGCATCTCTCTTCCCCTTTCTCTCCTTCTCTCTTCCTCTCTTCTCTCCCATCTCTCCCTTCTCGATATATACCCCCAAGTGGCCCCCTCGACTTTCTACAGTAAAGGGTCTGTCAGCACAGCCTACTTCCACTGCACCTCACCAGCCTCAACTTGATTGACTCAGTGGCTGGCCTGACTCCCACCGCGGCGGGAGTTCTCATCACCATTTCCCCGTTCAATGTATCTCGCCCAACACCTCGATCAGAGTGCCTCGTCTGGCCACCGCCTTGCCTCAAAATACCAAACTAGCATGACTCGATATTTCACCTAAGATGATGGTCCCAAGAGCCTTTTTGTTCACATCATCTCAGCCCCAGAAAGCCATGCAGCCCTATGGGTCAAAGGAAGAAGCCTCGCGGCCAGCTTTGCACCGCTCAGGCTTCTATCCCCCCATGCAATCACGGAACCGGCTTGGTTGGTGCCGCACCTATGGTCATTCCCCCAAAACGTGACCCTCACACCTCGGTCCGCCGTGATCCGCGTTCTCGCCCCTCAGCCAAAACATCCGCATCGTCTCGTCGCTCGTCGTCGTCTTCTTCGTCAAATGATCGGAACATACCCACCTCTGTCGCCTCATTGCTTAATGCGACGGCTATCCCCGTTCCGCGGCGGACATGGTCCACCCGAAGGCCTCGGAAGGTTCCCCGAGGCAATCATGTGGAGGAGTTTAGTAGGATGCTGAAGGAAGACATCAAATCAAGGGATGATGACCTGATGAATTATGTTGTAAATTCACCTCTGGACATTTTACTCAGTCCACCTGACGAGGAAAATGACAAGGAATCGCCGGGCAACGAATCCGAACGCGAATCGCCTTTCTCTCTAGGGTCGGCATCAAGCGACTCGATCCCAGCACTCGATCATGACGGGGCATCACCATCTAGCTCCATACTTCCACCAACTCCGAATTCCCACAAGAGTCTTTGTGACCGTCGCTGTCTGCGTTATTCGCCCTCTGAGGATTGTGCCTTTGACCACCCTCTTCTCGAAACTGAGATTGAAGAGGATGAATTTATAGAATTCGTGACTCACGATGAAACTATGATCCATGAAGGACCTCGTTCAAAGGGTACCGCCTCCATTGGATCTTTCCCACGTCTACGGTCCTCATTCAAATCAAACCTTACTGCGTCATTACGAGCTATAAGATCTGCAGCACAGTCAGTTTCGACATTTGCTACACCCTCGGTTCAACCGGAAGATTTTCTCACTCGGAACCTTTTCACAATCACCCCCGAACTCACAGACGATCGCCGACCGGCACCCATGCGAGACCCACCATCTCCCGCACTAAGGCGTTATCTAAACCCGACCCCTATCTCCCCAGCAGAGATGTACGTCTATCATGATCACCCCCATGATAAACTGGATTCGGTAAATGCGTGCCCGGTTTCTATTCAGATGCAAACTTACCGCCGCTCCCGCGGTCGGGGTAACCGGCGCAATCATTTCCACGTGGTCGCCCCGAAGAATCGTGATCAATACATCACCTTCGACCCGGAAGTTCCTCCCATGTCCCGCCAGCGTGAGCCCCGTGAGAACAGTGACTTCCTTCGCATGGTCGTGCTCGAGATGAACATGCGCCGCCGGGGCAAGCTTCGTGAGGACATCCCCACACGGGCCCGCATCTGGCTTCCACCACGGAAGAATAATCCGCATCGTTTAACAGGAGAATACGAAGATGGTGAAGACAATGTCACCGTCCCTTCTCGCTGGGTTGGCGTCTCAGTCTAACTGGCTGCTATCAAAGACATTCCCGGACTGACGCAGAGCGCAGTTTAACCGGCTGTCTAGTACATACACACAACCCTCTTTTCTACGACCCCCTATCATACAAGCGCGGCGTTCTACCAAGACGAAAAGTGCCCCGGTTGGCACGACTCCTTCATTTGCAACATACCCTTTCAATTCCCTTTATTTAGCTTCTGCTTCTTACCTCTATACCAAGATATCCCAACAATGAAATCGACAGAATTCTCTCAGCTCCTGCTAGCCTTTAGCGTATATTCCTAGTGTGGTACTTGTAAATACTCGGTAAAGGTCTCGATCAATCGAGTCGAGAGGATTTACTTTGGTGGCTGCGGGATGATATCACGCCGCGTCCATGAGATCATCCCCAAATGGTCAGCCTAGATCCCCGCATGAGCGATTCGCCAAATCATCCCCCAGCCTAGCTTGGCCAAGCCCTGTCTCGTGTCTTCGCAGATAGACTATCATTCGCAATAGGATAGACATTATATCTGGTGCTTGATGAGGTTTCAGTGCTTGGACCCTTCTCGGGTTGTTCTCATTACCAGACAGTGCTGACGTTAGGTCGATCCCGGCACCCGTCCTTAGGGTATGCAATGGTCATCGATTTTAACTTTGTCCGATCAGTGCCACAATGGGAAAGTTATAGCATACTCTGCATTTAGACGGACTTAAATTGTAGTTTATTGACGTGATCACATGATGCTCAAGTACCTCGCCCTTAGGCAGTGAGTGTGAGTAGTGCGTGTTTAAGAATGAGTACTGTTTGAGGCAGATATTTCACAAAGGAAGACGAAGATCATCGCATTACGCCCAGCACCGCACCTTAATACGCTGAATTAATTTGACAAGACAGAGAAACATTCCACCCGCCTGCACGCTGCATGCAAAGTAGATAAAGAATGGTTCGTGCTACCCGACTCTTTGAGACTGTTCATCAACGGAGTGCCTGGAACCCTGTGTAACGTAGGAAACGCATAGATTAGACATCGCTCTAAAGTATTTGATCGAAAATATATAAATGGAGGGCAGAGGGGAGTGGGGGAGGGAGTCACTTACGCTCTTCGTCTAACAGAGTGCTGCTTTTCCAGCTCTCCTCAACCCACTTGGAGGTGACTAGATGCGGCACTTTCCGACCCGGCAGAGCAGCCACCGACTTTCGCAAGGAAGCGATATCCGCTGATGATGCGGTCTCTGGGTTCACAATGGCATGGGTGATGCCAGGGGCTTCCAGAGAGGTGGCGATGTTTGCTCCCGCAAAACGAGCGGTATTTTGTAAGAGCTTGAGACTTAGGTCAAGTGATGAAGTACCATCATCCTCCCCATTTTTCTGATTGACTGGCGAGAAGAGGAAGAACGATAGATCACGGAAAAGCCATCCACAAGGTGCTGTGTACCCTGAATGAACCTTTTCTTGGATTCGAGCCTCGATTCTTCGCGATGTGGATGCATCGAGTACAATTCTCGCTTCCTGCTTGGCAGTTCCCATTTGCTGAAGAATCTAGGTTTTTTTTGTTAGAGAATCCGAATCGCGCAATCCAATTGGATGTTTTGAGATACTTACCTCTTTGAGCTCTTCGATGCTGGTGTCACGGGCATAACTGTCGCCAAAACGGTCTGCATTGATATTGATCTCGTCATCTCGGTCTTCCATGATAAAGAACATATGTCTATAATTGATGTAAGAAATCAGCTCGTTTGCTTCACGAGAAGCTATAATTTACCTTGGCTCAAAGGGAAGGATCAGATCTGGTAGTCCAACATCTTTGACATTCTGCTTCACGCAGTCAATCAACCAGGATGGTCTGATGATGTTGGTGTCGCCGACTTTCTGCAAAGAAGCCACCTTGACCGTTCCTATGGCTTATGTTAGTGCGCTCCGGGGGAATAGGTTTCGAAACCCAGATATCACGAAAAGCATACTTCTCTCTGCGACGCAGATTGTATCTAGAGCGGCAGTGTTAGTTTGGTAAATTCTGCCTCCGTTGGCTTTGACCAACTGTTCCAACTCCGCCTTGGACTTCTTTTCTGGGAAAGTTGACTCGGTCATCACAACTAATGCGCCGTCAGTAATTGCCTATATCAAAAGAAGGATTGCCGCAAGGCTCACAGAAGTTCAAGTTGTCAAACACATGGCCCGAGGGGCCTGAGTATTGTGCATTGCTCTCTCCGTCGTATCCAGCAATCTTCAACGGCTTTTTCGTTGCCCGCTTAAGACGCTTCTTCCGAGAGTTATCGACATCAAATTGCTTCTCCTGCTTTTCCTGCTCGGCATTTGATTTCAGGTTCAAAAAATCCTGGACTGAAAGAGCAGTTTTCCAGTTCTTGTCTTTGCGTAGTGTCTTGAAGCGTGGAAAACGCACTGTCATCCCCATGCGGAACGAGTCACTTTGGGTGACAGAGGCTGCTTTCACACAAAGAACAATAGAATCGCTTGGCTTGATCCACATATCAGGTCGTTCATTCTGGGCATCACCCCCAGCCAACTCTATCAAGTGTGTAGGTGGCTTTTTGGTGTCCCATTTGTTCCACTTTCCATCTGTAATGTGGCGTACTTCTTGGTAGTCAGCAGCAGTAAATCCTCCTCCAACCTTACAAAATGACCAGAATTTCGAGGAATCCGTATTTTGCGAAGATTCGTGGTCGTCGACGCGCAAAGCGCAAAGAAAACTCGCTAGAAAGCCACCTCTGCGGCCTTGGCCATAATAACCACCGACCACGGTAAGGTCAAGAGACTCGCCGAACTCAGTCATGTAATCTGGCTTGACCTTCATCCAGTCGTCATGGCGCTCGTTGAGACGATAGGGCGATCGAGGGTTCTTGAGAACAAGACCTTCAGACGCCTCTGCAACGACCTTGCGCAGACACGTTTCTACCTCGGCTGCTGTAGTCGCTTCTTCATAAGGAAGAATCTCGAATCGACGATGAACTGGTTGAAGGGCTTTTTGCAAAGCATTGCGACGGTCGCGGAGAGTATATTTGGTCAGATCTGCGCCATTCAGGTGCAGAATATCAAATACGCGGAACAAGGGTCGCGGCCCTTTCGAGAAAGGATTGCGTTGCTCAGCTATCGCCGCAGTCTTCAGAGTGCCAAATGGAACGAGGGCGTCTTGCTCAGGGTCCCAAGTAACCATTTCTCCATCAAGAATAACACTTCGCACTCCATTCGAAAATGCATCTTTCAAATGCCGCGTCAGCGCACCATTTTCATCGTGAAGGCCATTTCCGTACAGATAGGTATAATCTTTGGCTTTGCGGGACCAAAACGCGAATTTCCGGCCTCCAGGGACAGATTCATCAGGCGCCATATGGAGCTGGATACGTTCACCATCCATCTTCTCCTCGATCCAGAAGACTTGATCTTCCTCGGTTGGTTGCATCCGAGCTACCATCTTGTCAAATGAGTGCATTTGAAATTGGGCAAGTTGAGGCTGGAAACATTGCATTAGAGCAATGCCACGGTCATCTCCCTCGAGTCTGATATTCGGATCATGCAACTCCCAGCATACGCGCCGCAGGCTGCTGGAAATGTTGTACAAGCTCTCAGCATCTGGGTGCCATGCATGGAACATGGTACGCTCCGTAGCCCCAACCTTCATCTGGCGTAAAATGATACGAATGAGCCATGTGAGCTCTTCCGGATTCATTTTCTTGTAGAATTCTGCTAGAATAGGCGTTTGCTCCTCTTCTTTTGAGGCGATTGAGAGCTTATCCAGCTTCTCGTTGACCTCCTCGATCGTCAAGTCACCCGGCTCTGTCCGGAGCGGCCGCTTCGCGAGAACTTCATAGCACCGTCCTGCAAAGTCTCCCGCCATACGCCCTGTGGATTGGCTTGGAAGCTTCCAATTCAGAAGAGTCTGGCCGTCTTCTGATTCCTTGTTGATTTTCATGATCTTCACCAGCATCTTCCCGATGACCTTTTCTTTCATGCCATACATCGCACGATCTCTGTCTTTATCTGGAAGAATGAGTCTGAATGCAGGGTAAATGTCGTCGCCGACATCTTTGCGCCAGCGTGCGATGAAGCGAATGATAATATCACGACGGAGCTCGAACGGACTGAGGCCTGCTGCTCCTTTTCCATGAGGCCCAGCCTTTCGACGGGCTAGACTTGAACCCGCAGGTTTCTTCCTGATTTCACTGAGAGGGTTGAACAGATTGAGATAGAGCTCGTGGAATGGAAACGTTGGGCCGCGGTTATGGGGCCGATTTGGATACCTGTGTTTTTGAGCGGTCAGTAAGCTTGCAGACAAGGAATCAAGTGGCAATTACTTTTCATCCAGATTTTCCCCCAAGTCCTGGGGATTCTCTGGCACGATCTCGTCGGAATCCATGGTGGATGAAGCTCAAAGAAGAGAAAAAGGAAATCCCCAGGTTTTGGTTGTCCTAGTAGGAATGTTTCTAGGCAGCGTCGGCGATAAGATAAGGAGTGGAGGTGGTGCCTGCCGGCATGTGACATCATTGGGCAGCGTCCCATAGCTAGCAATGTAGATGTCCAATATGGAAGCATCATTTTACGGTTATCCTATTCGATGAACTACTCGTAGTTGCCTGACAGATCTTTTTAACTATAGCTAGCGGGGTATGTCTATCAAGAAATAAGGAAAATTATCCATCAGCGAGCATCCAAAGAAGTACCATGGCCCTGCTCCATATCACGATTCTGCGACATGATATCCGCCAGCTGCGTTAAGGTCGCGATCAGTTTCTTCGATATACCCCACGCCGTCAGACCAGATAGTGTTTCACATCCCATTCGTAGGATCCGCTCTGGGCCCTCGGGGGAACAAATATCCCCGACGCCAGTCACATTACCCCTCATCGCATATCCTTCTCGTACAAAAAGTTGAACGAGCTCATCATCGCACGGCCGGTCTAGATGAATAAAATTTGGCTCCTGCGATACATCCCCTCGATTTGACTCGGAACGCGGACTGGAATCCTGAGACTCAGTTGTGTGGCAAGAACCATATGCCCATAGTGTCAGCACCGCGAGGAAAGCGGCTACTGGTTCGTGGTAGGCACTTGTTGAATATCGTCGAATGTGCCAAAGAGTCACACCGGCGTGGATGATAGACAAACGGGCCTTATATTGGTCGTGTTTTACCCATCGCCAGATGTATTGCCACTCGAGTACTTGCTGTCGTTTGTTCCATTGTGATCTGTCCGTGACTAAAGAATTTGCCAGAGAACGGATCTCGCGGAACGGTGCCAGTAGGACGAGGCGTGCAGTGTGAAGATGGAGCACGGTGGGATGTTCAAGGCCAGCAGCTTTTGCAGTGGTGCTGTTGGCTGTCCAGTGTAAAATATCTAGACAATCACATGCACTATTGCGCCATTTGGAGTAGGATGGAATCCCCGGTAGCCATACAGAGCCTGTGGGAATTGCGGTCTCACAAGACTGCTTTTTGGCAGTGGGGTTCCAGAATGAAAGAGGCCGACGAAAGTAATCGCCAACTTCCCACATCCGTTGGTAGAGGGCGTGAATGAGAAGAATATGGCTGAACTCTCCGATTCCCGAAACAAGTCTTTTTTCAATGTACAGAATATGTACAGCATCATAGAGAGATTCATTGCCTAACAAGTCAGAGTAGACCATGGGCTGGAGAAATGAGTGAAAAGTACCTATTGAGTTTGCCCATTGCTGCTTCCATGCCTCCGCGGAGTTCGCTTCCCACAGCCTCTCATGTGCGGGTAGGGCAGCCTGTCCGTCATCTAGTGAGAGAAGGGGACGCTCTTCAAAGGAATATGCAAGTGTGCTGTCCAAAAGCTTCAAAATAGTTGTTAGTGTTTAGAATTTGCGCTTTCGGACGGGGTCCTCCTACCCAAATACAGTATCCAGTTCGTTTGCGGACCTCTTCGTGGGCCCACCGGGTCCAATGGGCGTCATCTGAAGTCCTGCTCGACGTTGGTGTCTTTTTCGAACGGGAGGCCAGTAGCCATTCGTGGTTCGAAAGCGCCACCAGATCACTGAAGCTACTCATGGCAGAGCGCTGATCTCCTTCATTGCCACTATACAGAAGTCCTATGCAATTGAGCAGCTTGGCTTGGATCAGATCGAGAGCATACTGATTTGGGCTGCCTATGTTCTTCTGTTCGAGTAGATTGATAAGTAAGTGAAGACACGAGAGTACTAATAGATTACTTACCTTGGCTAAGAAGGCTCGGCGTATCATTTCGTGAAATGCAGCAGTACCTTGATCAGTCTCAGGGGTGCCTGAACAATGGCATCCAGTCGCCACGATTGCTAAAGTCAAGAGCCAATGACATTGGTTTGGATCGAATGTGGGAAGGTGGAGCATCGGATAAACGGTTTGGAACGAATCAAAGTAGAAAGCAATGTATCGATTGCATTCATCTGCAGTTGGAAAGTGCGTGGACTCAAACATTTCAAAGAATGGATTGTCGTTGCGGCATAGTAGAAGAAACTCGCCGTATATTTCATCATATATAGGAGGGTCGATTGGCCTCAATGATCGGATGGTACGTTCTGAAATGTTCTCCACGCGAATCTCGCATGAAATTGGAAATCCGAATTTCCGCGGAGTCCCCTCGGGCAACGAATTCCCGGAGTGGGGGGGCTTCAACTGAGGAGATGGACCACGAAGCTTGCTTCTTTCTGTACCTAGGAAGTCGAGCGCCAGTGCCATCAACATAATACTGCCCTGATAATTTTGCTGAATCCACTGAATCGACATTTGCTGATGTCTCGCTAGTAACATTTGAGAGTCTCCGATGACTGCCCAACCCCGTCCCGAGTGATATATTTTCAGACGATATTTGAGGGACATTTCCAGACAACGGCGGGCTGATCTGTCTTGTACCGATAACCGGTGGCTGCCATGTCGCGTCGGCGGCATAAGAATTTGAAACGGGAGGCTGGCAGTATTGTGAAGGGGCTCCAGATCCTTGACTCTGATCCCTAGGCGTGAAGAGCTCGTTGGGCAACCAGTTTATTGTAGAGAGCATGGACTGGTCGAAAAACGATGGGTCAAATTCCATCGCCATCTCTGAGTTTCCGGTCATGTCAAGATCCATCTCAACTCTTGAACCGGGTAGACTTTGCTGAGTTTGTCTCAATCCGGAGCTCATGCTTGTTACTGATTCGTCTGCGTAGAGATTCGGCGGAATAGGGTTGGCAAGCCCATTATATGGCTGAGGGCAGTCATCCTTCTGGTAGACCGTCGGTGGTATCTGTGGTGTAACTGAAGTTTTGTTTGAAGGTGGCGCATAGAGCTGAGGGTTTGAGATCCCCGCCACTGAAGCCCTCCCATCTGAATCAGTCAATTGGGATGGGGTGTTTGCGGGATGGTCCTGGCCTGAAGTAAGAGGCGTCCGTTGTGAATCGTTCATATCGTTCACAGGTAGCTGTGTTAGCTGGAATGACATTGTACCCTCCATTATTGCAGAGTCTGTGTGGTCTGCGTAGGGCTTAGGTGACAAGGGCTCATTGGTTTGTGGTTCATTGTCCTCCGTGACAGACAGGCGCCGTGAGGTTCCATTTCGAGCCTTCGCTTTTGAACGTCGTTCAGTGGGATACTGACACTTAAGTGAGCGGGTATCACATCTTCCGCATGGACTGCCACCACTACAGCGCACTCTAGCCATTGCACAGCCATAACAGGCCCGAAAAGTCTTGACAGTGATTCGATGAGTGCGGTCCTTGCCCCCATCGCCTCCTTGTGTATGATGGCTCAGTTCGTGTCGATGTAGCGTATCACTGAACGAGCCGCATCGGTCAATTTATCCGAAGAGCTACTGTAGCTTAGGACCTGCAACTTACGTTCGAGAGAAGTGGCGGCCACATTGTGCACATTCGAAGGGTTTCTCCTTGGTATGACTGCGCAGATGTCGCTTGAGATGTTCTGGTCGCCGGAAGGTACTGCTACAAACCGAGCATTGGACACCAGGAGCACCGGCTGAATCTATCCGGTCCCCAGCACTGAGATGTCCATCTAGACCTCACAGAGTCATAGTCAGTCATGATGCCGGTGGACCTTTAGGCCTTTGGGATGATGCGCAAGCTTGTTCTTACCCGCCGCATAGTCAGTCTCCGATAGCATGTCGCCTCAAGGAAGCACATGCGGATCAGCATTTCCGGATTATGAGAATAGTCAGAGCATTATCTCCCCGGTTGCCTTGCAGGGCTGTGCAGAAGGGAAGAACAGGGGGGCAGCTTGAGGGTATAATAAATTGTTCCCACGCGCTGGGCTGCGGAGAAGGCTGGAGGCACGCGATTGGTCTTCATCTAAACGGGCCGGCTCGGTTAATTTGATCGAGGGGAAATCTGGGGTTGACCAAAATGCCCGAAGGGATCATCGTGGGGCTACCAGATGTGACTTAGGGTCCGGTAGGTGGTAGGTGGTAGGGTGGTGCAATGCGGTGCCATACGGGGCCTTGGAGACAAACTGTATATGATCCATCAAGGCGAGTAGATTCATCTCTAGTCTCCACTGTTGAGTATAATGGATGAACGAAGCGAAGAAGAGAAGTACTGAAGCTCGCCCAGCCCCAGTCGTGCACGCACCGCTGGTGGAGAACTCGGGCGTCATCGTCCTTCTTTTTTCCTGCAGTGCAACACCCACTCCTATTCTTTCTTTTCCCATCACAACCGTGGCGTGACCTGATCTTTAAACTCTCGTGTCTTCGGCGGAGTTTGCTTCCATGAATGGCGAGATCGCCGCGAATCCGCGGTTGGCTTCTCCGGCTTCCCGAAATGCCTCCGCGCTACAAGGCGCCTCCATCGCCTTTCAACAATCTCGTCCATCGTCTACAGTGAACAACCCTCCCTCTGCTGCTGCTGCAGCCGCCGTGGCTAGCAGCTGGAATCGCCATGCAGAATCCAATCGTTCGAATATGGATTCCGACCCTGCTCCTGAGGTTGGCTCGGTGCGCGACAAGATTGGAAGGTTGGCAACAAACTCCCTCTCCCCGCCTACTAGCGACCCTCGCATGAGAGGACGAACATCCCCATCCCCATCCCCATCGTCCCCCGCACCCGAACAGATTGCCGCCAGGCTTGCTGCCTCGAGATCGCCCGATAGGAGACAGGAGGCATCCTCCGCCACTGCCGCCGCGAGGCTCGGTGCAATGCGCAGTGCCAGCAGAGCAGCGCCGCCACCCCGACCCGCCGAAGAACGACGAGAACTACGCTCACCAACCCCAATTCGACCTACTCCTCCTCCTCCTCTCAAAAGTCCCGTGGACAGTATGCTTCCGGATGACCCTCCAAACATCGGTCTCGAATCCAAGATTCGGCGCCCGCCGTCTGTTCAATCCAAAGCAAGTACTGTATCCAGGGCAAGCAGTGTATATTCCACAGCCCCGAGTCCTCACCCCTCTATTACGCCTCGGTCCCCAGCTGTGCCCATCGAAGATTTTAAACCAGCTCTTCCTCCGCGGTCCTCTACAGGCCTCTCCTCTGCGTCGTCGATTGTGTCCGCAGCCGGGTCGATCAAAAAGAAACCGGTCGGGGCCGGTGGTGGATCCCTGGTTCGCGCAAACACCCCGAGTATGGGGTCAATATCGGTGGCATCTCACAACAGTAGCTCGAGTGCGGGCGGCATGAGCGAGGAGGCTCTATCCAATGCCATTGTCGCGTCCTCCTTGGCATCGGCTCGCGCATCGCCCGTATCCAAATTAGCTCCACCACCTCCCCCACAACGGCGTCGGGCGCGATCTCGGTCCCTCTTGCAGCAGCTAGCGCCTTCGCCGAAGAGTGATCTTTCAAGGACGCCAAGTCCACCCAAGGGCATGCCACAGACCCTGCGCGGCATACCGAAAGCCGACGAAGCCGAGGACCGTCACCGGTCTAGAATGCATTTGATCCACAAGCATCCACATAAACATCATGAAGGAGATCGGAAACGATGGCGCCGCGAGGTGACAGAGAAGGAACGTAAACGCTACGAGGGTGTTTGGGCCTCCAACAAGGGGTTGCTCATCCCTCCGAGCCGGGGCAATGACGGAGATCGACGACCGCAACCTGCGGAGATGGTGCTGAACCTTGTTGTACGGGAGATCTGGTCGCGCAGCCGCTTACCACCCGCCATCCTGGGACAAGTGTGGGAGCTTGTGGATCACCAGCGTGTCGGGTTGCTGACGAAAGAAGAATTCGTGGTTGGAATGTGGTTGATCGATCAGCAGTTGAAGGGCCATAAGCTACCGACCAAAGTACCGGAGAGTGTGTGGGACAGTGTTCGGTATGTGACAGGCATTCGATTAACCACGACGGGCAGCAAGGCCTATCCGTAGATTCCCAAACAGGAGGTTCGATGGATCCTCGCTCTGTGACGCGCAGGCTCGCCTTGGCAGGAGCAGGATGGAAGCGATGAGCAATGAGACATAGTGCATGCATTTACATTTACATTTACATTTACATACATCTTCATCTGATACTAGTATTTTATAATTGGAACTTGAAGTTTTCCATGTGCACCATAGAGCATCTATACTTTCTCTAGTACCCCTAAGTATATACTAGTACGCATGTATAGGTAGTTGCATCAACTAGTTGTTTGTACTTTGGATTGGTCATCCCCAGGTGTATAGCCCTATGTACGGAGTATTAGTACTCGTACTAATTGCTGCATATTCGCCGTCCCCCTTCTGTGTCTATCCCTCCCTAGCGGGCTCCACCTCCAATGCCGAGAACGAGATCGAGACGAACGTTGTTTGCGAGAAAAGTGACTATCCATACACACCAGTTCTAAATATCATTCTAATTATCATGCTTCTTCTCATGCTTATCATAGCTCCAAGGCATCGCGCCACTCTTTGCCACGTGATCCGGTAAAACCGGAGAAGAAAAAAGGAACAAGAAGAAAAAGAAAATATTCTTTTTTTTTAAAGGAGCCCCTCCACACCCGACCTGATGAAAACCACATACTACCTATGGAGTAATAGTAGGTGTATAAGGAACATACCAGATTACTCATACCTTTGTTAACCTTGGAATTACCAAAAATGCCCAAACCCCCAGCGGTTCGCATGTTAAAAAGGTTGACAAATTGCGGGCGTCTGGATCACCGCAGAGCAAATCCCGAATCTCCACGCCTCGGGATTTGCATCATCCATCAAGCAATCAGCGCACCGCGTCTGTATATCAAAGCTCTTCTTCTTTCCTCTGCGCGCGCTGACTGAGCCGATTTTTATATTTGATTCGTGGCTCGACGAAGGACCTCTCAAGTCCTAGGGCCTTTCTTTTGGTTTTTGATTGATTAAAAAAAAAAAAAAAAAAAAAAGAGGGTTTAATTACCAACTCGGTTCAAGGCAAAGAAACCAGTCTGCTCTTGGAGGGGGATCCAGCGCCAGCGCCATCTCCATCTCCATCTCCATCTCCAAACATCTAAACATCTCCATTCCAGCGTGTGATTCGCCATGGCCGACATTTTTCACCACGAGGGGGGGCTTGCTTCGACCGCGCCTCGACCGGTTCGTAAGAAGTTTGCCAAACCCCCCGTCAAAGTTGCATGTTTGCCTTGGTAATACAATCTCCTTTCGGTTATGCCCATTCTGACTACCCCGGGCTTTGCTAACACCCCTTTTTCTAGTCGCGCTTCTAGAACACGATGTGGTGGGCAGGAGCCATGCTGTTCTAATGTGAGTGAGTTTCCACTGTGGGATGTCCTTTCGGTTACTTCATATTCAAGTTGTCATGTTCTTTTTTATATACCCCCCCTCCCCCTCCTCTTCTTCGATGCTCTAGACTCCTTTGGGAATCGTTTGATGCTCGCTTGATTCCAAGGTTACTTACACTACTTGCGCGGGCCATTTACTAATCAAGTATGCTTTTTTAGTGTCTCGCCAAAGGCCGCAAATGCGGCTACTTGCCCAGCAAAAGAGGCGGCCCACGCAAAAAGAAGCAGAAGCTGTCGCCATCGCCCTCGCCGGACGACGAACTTGCACAAGATGATCCCTATGTGGATGTTTCCTCGGCGGACCTCGAAGAGTGTATGTTAATCCGTCCTACCTTCTGTGTCACAACCCACTGACGCTTCTGCAGCTCCGGGCATGTTTACACAAATCGATGTCCTCTCTCTGCCAGGCGCAGGGTTGCGTCATCTAGATTTCCCGCAAGTGGCCTCTATGTTCCAAGACTACTTCACGGGCGATGATAGCACATCTCATGTTCATATGGGCCCGATTCCATCCCCGTTGAGTACCACTCAGTGTCTGGTGAGAACCTACGGCAGTGAACCAGAAATGTATGCTTTCCTCAGCAGTCTTTTGACAACTAGTATCTAACCCCGATCGTCAGATTGAATGCCTATTATGATTTCATTCATTGCTACTTTCCCATTCTACCGCCGCGCGCATCGCCGCAATGTCAGGATCGCCCGTTGCAGTTCAACATATCTTCCTCCAATTCGTCACCAGAGCCACTTATGATGTATAAGCCTCGCTCGCCATTGAGCATGGCTATTTCTGCAATCCTTGCTCTTATCCCCCATCCTCGAGACCCAGAGTCGTCTTCGTCCGCGTCAGTCCTTCAACGCCGGACCTACGCGCATGCTTTCGCTCAACTCGCAAACTCAATCATCGAGGAGGAATGTGACCTTGAGCTTTCATCAACCGACCCAGGCCAAGCATTGTCCACCGCTCGTCCTTCTGTCGACCGCGAGAGGTTACATCCTCGGACCCCCGAAGATCTAGAAACTGTTCTTGCCCTACTTATTCTCTCGGTGTATGAGTATTCACAGCGAGGAAATATGTTAAAGATGAGGTACCGTGCTGGCCAAGCTTTAGCACTTGCTCTGGACAAGTCACTCCATTGCTGCGTAGAGGACAATGGTTTTTCTGAAGCCCGCCGGAGAGCATGGTGGATGACAGTTCGTTGCCCCTATCCCCCCCCCCCGGTTGGTCCGTCTGTGTCAAATCCTAACCCCGTCTTAGTACTACTGTGTCATCCAAGGGTCCATAGTTAGTACGACTGTAAGTTGATCTCATCGCTATCACCAGTCTATCAACAATATCTAACACAAGAACAGCCACCCACGATAGTCATCAATGATCCTCAATTCTCAACGCCATACCCTCGGTTTGCTGCTGATGCTGAAGTACGTTGTGACTTTCGTCACCGGTTATTTTATTGCACAAACATATTAACTAACTTGCATCTGTAGGGATGGTCCATCTTAATGCAAGCCCAGCAAGTGTTGGTATCGGCAACTTCATTCATTGCTGATCTCAACAAGTCTCTCTATTCCCAATCGGGCATGCACTACATGTACGAAAGGATGCAGCAGCTTGACTCATGGACCACATCTGTTCTCGCCCAGATGGACATGTTGCCCATGATCTCTCCAGAGTCAGACTTTGGCGACGGCCGTGAAACAGTTACCGCCCAAATTATTCGATCAATATCAAGAATCAAACTCTCCAGGTATGTATTGCAACCTCCGAGTATATTAACCCCTCCCCTAATTCATCCATTACAGTGCACAAATCAAGACCCACCGATTGCGAGCTTTCTCCGACATCCCCATTTTCATCAAACGACACTGCGATTTAACCGCCGCCGATCCAAGCAACCCACCACGCGAGGTGAAAAACTCACCATCGCACCAAGGAAATGGAAAGAACAGCATCGGCTGCTCCTGCAGCAACCTCGACCAATTCCAACGTGCCTCTTCGGCAGAATACATGACCCCATCTGACTCCTCCACATCGTCCGACATCCACCCCTCCATCCCACAGTACCCTCAATTCCCTTTCGCAACAGGCTTCCCATATAGCCCTCAACACTCCGCAAAAATATGCCTCCGGGCCGCTTTGACTATCTCTGGCATGTTCGAGGGTCTTCCATACCCACAACCTTTAACAGAGGCTCGTCAACAAGAGCACCAGTTGAATCGCCCACTTCCTCGCACAATGCCGTCTTTCGCCTGCTGTCTGATGCAAAGTAGCTACGCCATGTTTATGATATTCTACAAAGCTCGCGTATCGAAGCAAATATCGCCAGATTCAGAAAGTGAAATCGCGGCTGAATCAAACGATCAGCTTGTCAAGGAGCTACGGAATGGTCTTGAGCGGATCATCACGGCTGTATCAAATTACTCACATGCTTTTGAGGCGTTAGATGGAATGAGAGGTTAACCCCCCCCCCCCTCTTCAGTGCACAGTTAATAAAACAAGTGTCATGGCTAACCTTTTCTGAAGATGAAATTCAAGGTGCATATCAAACGGCGTTCCCTCACGCTTCCATTTAATTGTCAGAATACCTTCCATTCCTCTGTTGCATTTTCTGCGAAACACGTCTCCTCTCCTCACCCAGCGACATCGACTATTATCGACACCCTGCATAGCATAGCTTGCAACCCCCTCTTGTCCCAGAGGCTTCTTCGGGGCCTATGATTTTATGTATCTATCTCGGAATTTTCTAATAACACGACACTACAACCCAAGCCCTGGAGTGTATATATATCTAACACACAAACACGACAAGTATACGACCGGGAAAATTCTTCCTCTACATAGCATCTAGCATACAGAGCCAAATTTTCCAAGAATATATCGAGAAATTGGAAAGCAAAGATTTGTTTATTTCCTCTAGAATGTTTCGCTAAATTGCCCCAACGCTGAATATCGTACCAATCGAAAAGAAAAAGAAAACAAAGATAAAAAAAAAAAATCGTTAAGTGATAGTAGGTAGGATGCCCAAAGCTACCTACAGCTTCGACCTAATACCCTCAAGTCGGAACTTGACATCCTTCAAAACCTTACTGGTTGGTTTCCAGTCATCGAATTGGCGGAGAAGCTCCATTGTTTCGTCGTGTAATTGGCGTCGTACATGCTCCTCCTCGAGAAGACCCCGCATGGCGAATGGGAGGATGTACGGGTTTGCAGAAGCCAAGGGACTAGATCGTTTAATGTTCATTGTTGCATCTGGGACGCTGGATGTTTCGAGAGCAAATTGAATTGCCATGCTAAGATGGGAAATCATTTAGTTAGCGAAGAAGTCGACTTTTTAGAATTTCAAGAAAAATCTTACTAGTAGACGGCTTCATCGTCGTACAATCGAGAATGACCATCGCCGGTGTAAAGGCTGCCAGCAAGAGGGCCACTGAGTTCACGGATGAGACCATGGTCTGGAATGCCGAGGTTCCGGAGCTTGAGAGCGAAGCCGACAAGATGTGACAAACTAGATCAATATCGTTAGAATTATAAATACTCGCATGTCTAAGATATTGGACTCACAAGCTTGGGGCATGAACCCGGCCGTCTACAAAGACGGAACGGTAGATGTATGGATGAGCAATAGGGGAAAATAAGGAGGACTGTGAACTTCGGTTAGACAATGTTACTGGGGATACATGTGGATTTAACCATACCTCTAGAGAAACAAGCTGGTCATCTATACTTCCAACATAAGATATGCGGACGCCGAAATCAAGAGCACATTGCAGGGCGGCTTCGTAGTCCTTGGAGACTTTACTAGATGGGAGCTCAAATTCGAAAAGCTCACCAGCGGATCCACTGATCCATCGAGATCGATAGGAGGAGAATGGGCCCATATTAACACCGGCCATAGCACAGATGCCGACCCGACTGGCATCGAGGCAGCCAAAAGATATGAGTTTGGCAATAAGCATAATAGAAACCGGCACCCCTTGACTGTGACAGGCCACGAGGATGAAATCGGCTTTGCGGATTTCTTCCATCCAGTTCAAAAGAAGCTTCCACAATAAGTCCACTCGATCAGAAATGCGCCCCTCGCCTTCCAGGGAGATCTTTTCCACTTCGCAAGAGTAGCCATGGTCCGCCGTCCATTTGGTTATGGCCTCGGCCGCCATGTTGGAAAAGCGAATGGATGTTCCAGTGGGTTGACCGAGTACACTTCGAATCACCGGGGCAGGGAAATAGCCATGGACACCAATGGCTAGAGCACGTTTGATGCGAGGGGGGTTCCTTGACACGAGCAACATGTCTGTGCTCTGGCCCTTTGCTGTAATGCAAGATTCGTCCTAGACTCTGCAAGAGGGAAGGGGACTCTTCTAACGTATATGTTTCTTCAAAACGCGGAAGAACCTGGTTTGGCAGGATTTTCTGCAATTGTTTCGAAGCAGAAGTATCTGCTGGTTGGGGCTCGGTGGGTGCTGTGGTATTTGCAGATGTGGTTTCAACGATAGGCACGGCACCATCTTTCACTTGTCCATCCTTGGCCAGTTTCACTTTCAGGCTTCCCTTTTTAGTGATATTGACATGAGTTTCTGGGCTTGGTTCGAGAGATGTCGGTCGTGGCGATGAATTCTGGTCCAGTGTTGCTTCAACAGCCTCGACCTCTTGCGGCTTTGACGGTGCTACCCCTTTAGAGGGTTCTTTGGACCAGAACGACCATCCCGATGGTTTCGTGGCTCCAGCAGGCGGCTGTGGCTGTTCATTTGCCTCAGCTGGGTCTTCCGGGGGTTCCTTGGGCGCCATATCAACGTCTTCGTTCGCTGGATTTGCGGGGTGCGCGTCGGTTTGTTGAGCTAGTTCTGCTGTTGGCGGCTCCGCTGACCTAGTTGAGGGCGCCGATCCGTACCACATCTGCAGCCAAGACCTTTTATGAGCGTTTGGACTGGCCTGTGGTGTATTGATCGACTGGTCTGGTGCGTGCTCCGGCTCCGGCTCCTGTTGTTCCCCCGATTCGTTCGTATCTTGCGTAGCCGGGTCCGGACCAGCTTTATCGGGCTGTTCTTGCGTTGTATCTGCGGGTTCGGGCCCCCCTAGCTGTGCCTCTTTCAGTCGGAATAGGTCTATATATCCACGATAACCATCCGTTAGGCTGCTCGGTGGAGGTGGTCTCTTCGGCGTGCGACACGGGAGGCTCAGTTTGAGTGGTAATATCGTGCTGTTGGTCGGATGTCGCTTTCTCTATCGGTTTCCCAGATCCTTCACCGGGCGCTTCTTTATTTGGTGTAGATGCCCCGGAGGGTGTAGATGTATCGATGTTATCCAAGGCAGTTGTAGATGCTGTACCGTCAGACGCAATGTTTAGTCGGGTTGTAGTCACATCAGCAGGTAAAGATCTGGTCGAGTTTCCCGCCTTTTTGGTCAGATGGAAAGAAGGATGTCGAGCGTGTCTGGGGTTTTCGAGAAGGGAGGTTGTGGATTCTACGATGCCGGACGCTACGTTCTGCGCGACTGATATGCTCTCACGGGCAACCTCGGTAACTGGAGCTGCCTTGGAGGTTCGTGAGACGGTCGACCAGGACCCTGGATACCAACTCTAAGTAGAAAATCCCCGTTAGCTATGAAACTAGAAGAGGTCGTGATTTTGAGGTCCTAAGCATACCGCACGTCCTGAGGCCTGAGAGTCTGAACGGTCTCGGACAGCATTTTTCGGTGCCGCGGGGGACGGTGAGTCCGCGCCGGAGGGGCTGGGCTTCACTCTCTTGCGCGATCCCTTTGGCGTCATGGAAGCGGGTGCAGTGACATCGAGGCAGTGATCTTTGGAACCAAAGAGAACGGAAGAACTCTCAAAAGGCAAGGCTAAGCAAGAGCTACAAAGGCGCCACCGAGACTGGGGTTCGATGTCTGATATCACGTCACATGGCGGCCTGGTTCCTGGGGTGGTGGCCTCAGGCATAAAGGCGGTGAACCACGGTCGACTTTTTTTTTTCCTGCGGCGCCGCCGGTCTGGATGGTATACACTCCGTCGCCTTTTTTTTCTCTGTACATTTACGGCAGACTGGTCTTGTGTAAGACCGCCTGTACCTCGAAATGGCGATCCAGAAGAAGGTATGCGCCCTTTCTCCCTGACTTATCTAGTGAGCATCTGTACTGACTGCTTCAAGCACGGAAAAGGTCGTTTGGATAAATGGTATCGGCTGGCCAAGGAGAAGGGATACCGATCGCGTGCTGCTTTCAAGCTTGTTCAATTGAACAAGAAGTATGGATTCTTGGAGAAGAGCAAGGTCCTAATCGATTTGTGTGCTGCGCCTGGTGTAAGTTCCCAGATCAAGAATCTCCTCCGTCTCATCCTTGGGGATCCAATTCTAACAAGACCTCCAGGGTTGGTGTCAAGTGGCGGCAGAATGCATGCCTAACCAGAGCATCATCATCGGTGTCGATCTCGCCCCGATCAAGCCCATTCCTCGAGTCATTACCTTCCAAAGCGATATCACAACGGACAAGTGCCGCGCTACCATCCGGTCTCATGTGAAACATTGGAAAGCGGACACTGTCATTCACGATGGTGCGCCCAATGTCGGTTCCGCTTGGGTTCAAGATGCCTTCTCTCAGGCGGAGTTGGTCTTGGAGTCGATGAAGCTAGCCGCGGAGTTTTTGGCTGAGGGCGGAACTTTTGTCACCAAGGTCTTCCGTTCCAAGGACTACAACCCTTTGCTGTGGGTGTTCAAGCAGCTCTTCGCATCGGTTGAGGCTACGAAGCCTCCTTCTTCTCGTAATGTGTCTGCCGAAATTTTCGTCGTTTGCCGTGGCTATAAGGCCCCTAAGCGCCTCGATCCCAAGTTCCTTGATCCCAAATATGTTTTCGCCGAACTCTCCGCTCCAACTCCTAACCACGAAGCCAAGGTCTTCAACCCCGAAGTGAAGAAGCGTAAGCGTGATGGTTACGAAGAAGGAGACTACACCCAGTTCAAGGAAATCCCGGCGACCGAGTTCATCAACACTACAGACCCTATCGCCATCCTTGGTTCTTACAACAAACTCAGCTTCCAGCAACCAATGGGCGGAGATCTCGCTATGCAGACTTTGAACAGATTGGAGGAGACTACAGAAGAAATCCAAACCTGCTGTGAGGATCTTAAGGTTCTTGGAAAGAAAGAATTCCGAAACCTGCTTCGATGGCGCATTAAGGTCCGTGAGAAGTTTGGCCTTGCGTTAAAGAAAAAGTCGCAAGAGGACGAAGCCGAGGAAGTCGCGGAAGTCGCCCCGATGGATGAAGAATTGGCGATCCAGGAGGACCTTCAACGCATGCGCGAGAATGAAACCACTCGGGAGAAGAAGGAGAGGCGTAGGGAGAATTCCAAGAAACGAAAGGATATCCTGCGCTTGCAAATGCACATGACTACGCCGATGGATATTGGTATGGATCAAGTTGGTCTCGGAGGCCCAGACAGCACTTTCTCCTTGAAAAGAGTGGATCGAGCAGGTGCTCGCGATGCTGTCGTCAATGCCCGTGACCTTCCCGCTGAAAGCGAAAGTGAGGAGGAGGAAGATGAAGAGGACGAAGAGAGCGATGACGATGGCGACCGTCTCGAGAGAGAGCTTGATTCCATGTACGACCATTACCAAGATCGCATGGAAGACAGAGACACGAAGCTTCGTGCGAAGAAGGCACGAAAGCCCTACGAGACTGATGAGTGGGATGGTTTCTCAGAGGACAACAAAAGCGACGATGAGGACGAGAATGAAAACTTGGAGTCGGCTGCCGCTGTGAACGATGCCCCTCAAGCTGGAAACCTATCAAATAACGCCTCCATGTTCTTCGACCAAGACATCTTCCAGGGTATGGACGGGGAGGAGGAAGAAGAGGAGGACGAGGAGGACGAGGAGGAAGAAGAAGATGATGATGATGATGATGACGAGGAAGAAGACGACAACGAGGAAGATGATGTCGAGGAAATGGACGTCGAAGTGCAAGAGAAGCCATCCAAGAAGAAGGACAAGAAGGACAAGAAGCCTCCCAAGAAGGATGAGGAGGAATGGGTTGACTCAGATGAGGAGCCTGTGGAATTCGAGGAGCCTCGGAAACCCAACGGTCAACTTGGTGAGTTCTTACGCTAAACACTTCACGCGCATGCCTTTCTAACTTTGGATCTACAGACATCGATATTATTACAGCCGAGGCTATGGCTTTGGCCCAGTCAATGGCGACTGGTGAGAAGAAGTCATCTGATCTTATTGACGATGGTTTCAACCGTTTTTCGTTCCGTGACGTCGACGGTCTGCCTGATTGGTTCATGGACGACGAGGGCCAACACAGCAAGCCCAATCGGCCCATCACCGCTGCCGCTTCCGCTGCCATCAAGGAGAAGCTGCGCGCCATCAATGCCCGTCCCATCAAGAAGGTGATGGAAGCCAAGGGTCGCAAGAAGTTCAAGGCGGCGCAAAAGCTCGAGAAACTGCGCAAGAAGTCCGCTCTCCTGGCAGAGGACGAAGCGCTCAGCGAGCGAGACAAGTCGCAAGCCATCACCAGGATGATGAACCGGGCTACAAAGAAGAAGCCCAAGCAGCAGGTCAAGTTGGTTGTGGCCAAGGGTACCAACCGTGGTATCTCCGGTCGTCCCAAGGGAGTCAAGGGCAAGTACAAGATTGTGGATGCGCGTATGAAGAAGGACATTCGTGCGGAAAAGAGACTGGCAAAGAAGAAGAAGAACAAGTCCTAGATGTATCTTTAGTACATAGTCGACGGAATGTCATCGTGATACCCTGTGTATTGACCCCGGGTTTTTATACTAGTAGTAGGAGTGAGGTAGTGTAGTAACTAGTACCACGGAGTCACGGCAGGTACCGACCAAGTGGCACGCGGGCTTGGCAAGTGGCGCTTATCGATCGCGCTTTCCTTGCGCCCCATTTTGACCCTCTTTCCTCTTTCCTCTTTGCTCCGACTCTCTTGGGCTTCTCCGATCGTCCTCTCTCCTAACTCCGAACATATACACGCCCTCATGTTTTTGCGCATATATTAGTTCTTTTATTGGTTACTTTTCTTGTTCATACAGTACATTTTCACGCACATTCCACCCCCATGGGGTTCTTTGATCACCTCCAGAAAGGAGGGGCCTTCTCTCTGCAGCCGCAGAAGAACCAGATCCGCAAAGTTGTTCAGACACGACCAGCCCCCGCGAAATCGGCTCCCAACACCCCGAACTCTCGGTCTCCTCGAGTCCAATCCTCGTCGGAGCGGTCCCGAAAGACACATGCGGCCCGATCTGTCTCGAGTGACCCCGATGTCCGCCCCTCCAAACGACTGAATACCCCAACGCGCGTGCGGAAGCGTCCAACCCCCGAGCAACGACTTTCCAGTGACGACGACGCCAGCGATAGTGACGCCTCATTTGAAGTACGGAAGCGTGCGAGGACCAGCGCCAGTGCGGAGCCTGATCCGGAGCGTCGCGTGCGCTCGGTGAAGGCATTCTCGGATGAGGGAACTCGGCCGTTCAAAATGGTGCATGCCACCGATATCACATCGACAGAGAAGCCACGATCATTCAAGCCGGCATTTGGTGCTGAAAAGGCCAAGGAAATTCTTCTGCAGTACCCAAGTGCATCGCAAAAAGAGAGGCATGGACACCCGTCGTACCATTTGTCCTGAAGCGTGCTAACAAGTTCTTTTTTTCTTCTCTGTGCAGATTCGACTGTGTCGTTCCTCGAGACAGCGGTGATTTCCGGCCCATCGACGACATTGTACAGGTCATCGAAACCGTTTCCGATAACTATATTCCGAGCGAAGAGGCGGACGAGTTCAATGACGAGACAACCGGGATTCGACGAAGGCTGCGCCGAGCGTTGGCAGTCGCCTCAGAGACTCAGTTCCGAGACGCGGTGGACGATTACAACAAGGCTATTGAGCGGTTGAGGACTGGTGGCAGTATTGCGAAGCAGCTGGATGCGACGCAGCGGATAGGTCTACCCTGGGTAGAACGCATCCTCACCCAAACGTATGCGCGCACGGTATCCCCTCGAGTCGAATCTCTCCGGCAATATGAGAATGGGACGGACAACGTCTACGGCGAACTTCTTCCCCGATTCATCAGCAACATCTTCAAGGAAACGAAACTCAAGTCCGGCCAAGTATTTGTCGACCTCGGGTCTGGCGTCGGAAATGTGGTTCTCCAGGCTGCCCTTGAAATCGGTTGTGAGAGCTGGGGCTGCGAGATGATGAACAACGCATGCGATCTCGCAGAGCTCCAGCAGTCTGAGTTCAAGGCCCGCTGCCGGCTCTGGGGTATCGCACCTGGCAAGACCCATCTTGTTCGGGGTGATTTCTTGGAACAAGAGAGCATCGTTAGCGTTCTCAAGCGAGCTGATGTGGTTTTGATCAACAATCAAGCGTTCACGCCACAGCTCAACAACGAACTCATCAATCATTTCTTGGATATGAAGGAAGGCTGTCGTATTGTTTCCCTCAAGTCATTCGTCCCAGCTGGCCATAAGATCCAGTCACGCAATCTCAACTCCCCCATCAACCTTCTTAAGGTCCAGCAAAAGAACTACTGGTCTAATAGCGTCAGCTGGACCGACGTTGGTGGCACATATTTCATTGCAACAAAGGATAGTTCACGCTTGAAGTCCTTCATGGACAGCACTCTATGAGGAACTGGAGCTGTGAACCAGAGTTTGGTATTTCAACACCATCGGACAGACTTGGTCTTTGGACACTGATCCATTCCTGTACATTAACATTTTCTCCTTTTTTTTTTTGTGTGGACATATCCATGGATTATTGTATGATACCAATTCAACCTGTACAAAATAAGATTCCATCTAATCTAGCCTCTGGATCTAAAGGCGCATTTCTCTCTAAGCGGACATGCCTTTTCCATTTGATCATGTTAAGCAGGTGCAAAGGATTTGTTCTATTCTGCTTGTGAGCATCATGAAAACTTAGAGGCGTCATTCATAGCATCGGCTTCCTGGCCCATCCTCGCCATCCAACGATCAACAAGCTCCCTGTTCTCGCGTTCAAGCCTGGCAGCCTTTTGCTCGGCCATGTTCATCTGAAGATTCAACGCTGCTATTTCATCTTGGAAGTCCTGAGTGAGGCGGATGTCTCTGTTAGTTGGATTCTTGGTATAAAGACTCATCCTTTCTACCAAGCGATCTAGGAAGAAGGGGTATAGGGGATAATACATACGTCAAGCAATTTGGCCTTTCCTCTCAACTCTTCATCGACATCTTTCAGACGTTTCTGCTGTTGCGCCACTTCGCCTTCCAGCGAGTTTATTCGTCGGCCGTCTTGGCTGATCTTCTTTCGGAGTTTTTCCGCCTCGTTAGTAGTCTGGTCCAGGCGATCTCGTAGTTCAGCGCGAGAACGCTGTGCTTCAGCTAATTCTGTGCGAGTAGTGTTCAGAAGGTCTGTTATTGACGGTCCCGCTTCTGTCTGATGTTTTTTGGCGGCCGTGGATTGAGAATGGGCAACTTTCTGGGTTTCATTGCTAGCTGCGAGCCTTCTCTCGCCTGATAAGTTCCCACTTAGTTCTATGGCAGGAGGAGCTTTGGCCGAGCTATCTGCGAGTCGGGTATCTATTGTGGTTGGAGTATATGTCAGTTATAAACCTGGGAGCTTCAGTGGAACTGTGAAGGCACACACAAGCATCGTAAATGGTGAGATTGGCCTTTTCTCGATGATCTCGCACTGCCAGTGCAGCCAGGTACTCCTCTCTCCAATGGGCCATCAGCCTTCCCGATGTGAGGAATGTGTCGGAGATGCGATGATGTCGGTCGCGGCGCTATCTTGTTATCACCTGCCCACCGCCCCCCCCTCGACCGCCCGGCCCATGTGCATCATCGAATCCCGCTGCGACCCAACTCCAACTCCCGAGCACTATCTTCCCTCTCTCGTCTTCAACTCTTTCTAGGCTCTGCGACGAGCTTACTAGTACCTTTTTGTCCTCTACACCTCTGGTCGTCGATTCTCTTCTCCCTCAAACCTCCCAGGCAGACCGATACCATGGCGTCACGGAAGAAGGTTCTCCTCAAGGTACGCTCTCCGCCTCCGCACCAGCTCCGAAAGACCACTCCAAGTCAAGTACTAACATAAGTGACCTTGCTTATAGGTTATTATCCTTGGTGACAGTGGTGTTGGTAAAACCAGTCTGATGAACCAATATGTGTGTCCTCTTTCAACCCCCCAATTCAGCTCTGTCATTGCCGCCGAGCCCCCCCAGTCTGCCTCATTCCTTCAGCGTCGCTAATATATCACTTTTTGCTCTGTGACATAGGTCAACAAGAAGTTCAGCGGAAGTTACAAGGCAACCATCGGAGCCGATTTCCTCACCAAGGAGGTTCTCGTTGATGACCGACTGGTCACCATGCAGGTAAATCCCGCCCCCCGACAGCTTGCAGAGATCGCCATGTGGGTCGGAAGCGCTAACTGATTGTAAATAGATCTGGGATACCGCTGGCCAAGAACGTTTCCAATCATTGGGTGTCGCCTTCTACCGTGGAGCCGACTGCTGCGTTTTGGTCTACGACGTGAACAACTCAAAGAGTTTTGAAGCCCTGGACAGCTGGCGGGATGAATTTTTGATTCAGGCAAGCCCGCGTGACCCCGAGAGCTTCCCATTTGTAAGTGCTGCCCATCTCTTATTTCTGCCCGGCGGTAGATCTTGAGTCGCTTTTTGAAATTTGTATAAAATGGCCATCATGCTAATTGTCTGTCCAGGTCGTTATTGGTAACAAGATTGACGTGGAAGAGAACAAGCGCATGATCTCTTCGAAACGAGCCATGACCTTTTGCCAGTCAAAGGGCAACATTCCCTACTTTGAGACCAGTGCCAAGGAGGCAGTCAACGTTGAGCAGGCATTCGAAGGTGAGTCAATATTTTTGCCAATCACTATTGCATCGTGACTGTTTGCTAATGCCCCTTTCTAGTGATCGCCCGGAGCGCACTCGCACAGGAAGAGGCAGAGGAGTTCAGTGGAGAGTTCAGTGACCCGATCAACATCCATCTGGACAATGAGCGCGATGGCTGTGCCTGTTGATACCCTTGCCTGCTTCTCCTGACGTTTTAAGCGACTGTTCTCATTTCCTATACTCATTTCTTTTCTCTTCGTCACATACCAATGCTGGTGGTTCTCATCTTCCCTGGTGGGGTTTTGTAGAGATGGTCATTGATTTGCTTGTTTGAATTGTTTCTCTGTCTGTAGATGTTTTTTTTGGCTTGGGCTATGAATTTTGCAACTGAGCTATAGGCAGAATTGACTAGTCCTTGGTCTCCTTAATGAATGAATCATGCATGTTATCTTTGAGCTTATTGCAAGACCATTTCCAATATTGCTTTCAAAGTCCGCGATACTCTATATCTACTCATTACCCTAGGTACTGTCGTAGGTATCTCCATTTCAGGTGTGGTCAGATATTATACACCAATTTAATGGCATGAACCGAAGTTCACTCCATTATCCTTTCACTAGGTACTCCGTACCTAGAAATCATAGTAAATACGAAACAACTATGAAACCAGGGTCCTGGTGGTTGAACGGCATCCGGTGGAGTCCGATGTATTCAATACTCCGCATGAAACCTTAGGCCGCAGGGGAGTTTCTTATCGCTGCCAGTGCCGATCCTCCCACAACCACTACATTTGAATGCGCGACCTTCCACCGTCCTGCCGGACAGGATTCCCCTCGATCGCCCTGGGCATATATCCACGGGTATCCGGCTCAAATACTATCGCGTGATCGATCTCCCGCATACATATGATCTGCATTCCTTGTCACACTTGGCGAAGCTGGAAGTCCCCCCACGATTTGATCACACGCCGAACCCGCCCACAACTTCTCGACACCCTTTTTTTCCCACCACCGAATACTCTGCTCCCAGATCAGCACAGAGTGACAAGATGACATCCTCCCGCGACTCTCGAGAGCCGCAGATGGCCGGGTTTGCCAGGCATACTGTGGGAATGGGCCTGCTCTTGGTGGTGGTGGTACTCTGGACGGCCTCGAATTTCCTCGGTAGTGTACGTTTGCAAGTTCCCCGTGTACAGGACGAAAGCAATGAGACCAAACCCTGCTGTACGACTGTTGCTTACACATTTCTGTTCGTCAGACAATCTTCGCCGACAATACATACCCAAAGCCTTTCTTCGTCACCTACGTTAACACGTCGCTGTTCATATTGCCACTATTTACCATTCTGCTCGGTCGAACATGGACGCTATGGCGCTCCAAGAGATTGTCGCAAGTCACCTCTTTCCGGAGTTTGCTGCGCCATTTAGACTCCGAGGATCCCAAGTCCGACGAGCAAAGTATCCTGCGTGGGGGATCATTCGACAATGAATCGCGCGCCCATGATGTCGAAAACCCGGTGTATGCAAGCGCGACGAACGGTGACCAGAGTTCGAAGCTGGGGCTGCGAGCAACAGCAAAACTCAGTCTTGAATTCTGTCTTCTATGGGTAAGCAAAACGTGGATATTTAGATATAAAACAATTCGCTGACTGATCATAGTTTATCGTATGTCGTAACTTCTCATGGAGAGGCTTTGAACTGAAAACGGACCCTTCTAACTTGCTCTTTATTTAGGCAAACTACTTTGCTATGGCATGTCTCCAGTTCACAACAGTGGGTAGCGCGACTATCTTAACCTCGACTAGTGGTAAGTCAAGCAGCCAATATATTCCTAGCCAAAAACCGAAAACTTATGCCGATAACCCTAGGTGTTTGGACCTTGATCTTCGGAGCCGTGATTGGAGTTGAGAAATTCACGCCCCGCAAGCTCCTCGGCGTTGTCGCATCCCTCATCGGCATCATTCTAATTTCCCGCGTGGACCTGTCCAAGCAGGACACCGACACGACCCCGGCTGCTATCAGTGGCCGGGATGGATCGTTCCCGCATAAGACTTCCGGGGAAATTGCCCTAGGCGATGCAATGGCGGCATTCAGCTCCATCATGTACGGAGTCTATACGATCGTAATGAAGAAGCAAGTAGGCGACGAGTCACGCGTGAACATGCAGCTCTTCTTTGGGCTGGTGGGTCTATTCAATCTCGTGCTTTTGTGGCCTGGATTCTTCATTCTCCATTGGATGGGAATTGAAACGTTCGAACTGCCTAGCACAGACCGGGTGTGGACGATTATTCTAGTATGTCCAGCCTTTTCTCTTTTTCTATTGCTGCACTACCCCGGCAGTTACAGGTGGAGATATTTCATTGCTGACTGTTTTATGAATTAGGTCAACTCATTATCCTCTTTCATCTCTGACATTGCGTGGGCATACGCTATGCTCCTGACCACTCCTCTTGTTGTGACGGTCGGTCTAAGTTTAACGATCCCGCTGTCCCTGGTCGGTCAAATCTTTCTACAGGAACAGTATGCTTCCCCATTATATTGGTTTGGCGCAGCTATTGTATTCTTGTCATTTTTGGTCGTCAACCACGAGAGTAAGGTCGAAGAAGAGGGCCCTGGCCCTGTTCGACATAGAGTTTCCTCTGGCGAATATGAGAGCATTCCTCGCGATGAAGTCCGTTAGCATGGATTATGGAGTTCCCTTTGTCAACCGACTTGTTTTTCTTTTTGCATCTTTAGCCTACAACTACATCTCTATTGAATTTATCTATACCCTGTCGTCCCTGGGGCGCCTAGTAGACTACAGCCATGATCGGTTAATTCAGAAACCCAGATTATTTAGTTCAGTAGATTATTCAAAGAAGCTCTTACGGATCATCTAGCATGGGTTTTGCTTTGATAATAATTCTATCAAGTAATACGGCCCCTGCAGTGAGGCAATTCTCAAACTCGAGGTCTGCGGTCTTTGGCTGTTCATCCGCTCTACAAGGTGGTCAGCGCCTTGGCGTTGTGAGTGAAGAAACACTAGTTATCCCAAGCTCACCTTTGGAGTTCATATCTTGGCGATTTATCAGTGGTCTTTTTGAAACCCCTGTAAAAAAGACTTGGCAATTCTTCGAGGGTAGATATTGTGATCTTAAAGTACCTGTATGGTGGGCCCCTTCTCGATTATATGGTCTTCGATGTGACAACCTGATAAATTTAATTTTGAAGCTCCGCATATTCAAAGATCGGAGATACCTACTCAAAGGCCAGTAAATGAATGGAATCTCCCTGTGATTGACTGTATGAAACGATAAAACAGGACACATACTCGGACTCTCGGATAGCTGAAAACTACTAGTCTCTCTTTCATTCGAGAGCTCTTTGTAACGTACAGCCAAACTAGTCCAATATAGTATTGAAAATTTAGATTAAAATAACGAAGCTAATAGATAAACATCGCTTCAACCTACCTCCAAATAATTTTAAAATCATCAACACAACTGACTCTTATACTACCTTCCACCAATCGGATACTTTTCACCATGGCTCAAAACCAGGAACGAAATGTGGACAGGTATGCCCCAAAGCCGCAGGACCCGGCTACACGGGCACGCCACATATCCGAAGCAAAGATCCATCTTGATAGAATCTACTTCTCGGATACATTTGTCGAGCTCTTGCGAGAGGGCCTCGAGGATGGAACCGGACTGGCTCGGTACATAGTCGAACACCAGCGTCTCTGCTTTAATGACGAGAAATGGCGCAGTCTCTTCCAGAGCGCTTTGCGTAGAAAGTTTGAATTACAGGAGCCGGAAGAAGGAATGTTTGAGAGCCCCGCAGCTGATAAAGAGGCCTTCAATAGTGTTCTCCAGAAGGTCTGGGAAGATTACTTCCCAAAGGAAGCGCGTGATAATCTGGAGAGCCGCAAACCCGACTCGGAGGTTTTCGGCAGTGTTTTGCTCGCGGGTTGGCCAAAGGTTCCTGCAGCATCTGTGACGCAGCTGGTCTTGGATGGACCTCTAATTGAGACGTTCCTGGACATGCTTAGGAAGAAAAAAGCGCAAACAGAGCTCGTATACAGTGTATATGAGCCAAAGTTTACCAAGACTATCCGGGAGCTCATTGACGATCCCTTGTTCGCGAAACGAACTGACGATCTCAGTCCCGAGGATATTGCTAAATTGGTGCGCCGTAACGCTTTTCGTACCATCCAAGACTGTCACTTCAACTTCGCCGAATACGATGTGGGAGGACCTGCTTTTTATGCCGTGAAATTTGAGATTGGCGAGGAGTGGAGGCGTATGATTTCCTTCCAGGGTCGACTTGGGACTCTTTTGTCAGACGTTATGATGGACAGCACCCTGTGGTGTATGAATGATGAGGAGCGCCGAGCGTTGAACGCTAGACTTTGGTGCAAAGCGTTTGAGAACGCTACTTTCCGCGCACAGCGAGAGGCAACTAAGCAGAAGTCAATCGAGTAGGAATCAGTTGAGCACCAGTGAATCCAGATCATCCAGTTTGATATAAGGCCATACTAGTATATATCCTATAGAGACTATATATAAGCCTTATTGACCTCTAGAGTCTAGTATCAAGAATAGAATTTTAATTCCATCAGGTTATATAGAAAGTTATCTAGTTTTAATCAATAAACATTCGAAGCAGAAAAGCTCTAAAGTAGATAGATATAGAAAACTTTCCTCTGAATCTTTCACTTTCCACATCCTCAATATTAATTTGATGAAAGTAAAGGTAAATATAGATAGGCTTGCGCGATAGGCACTGCAAGAAAAGAGATCGGCTTCAAGTTGTAAGGACTTCGCCAGTTGTCCATAAAGAAAGGTATATAACGCCTGGTATTTCTCAATGACTCCGGTGCTCCGTCTATCGGCAAAGGAGTAAGAGAAAAGCGCTCTCAACAAAATGGGTATATTCAGAAGGAAACAAGAGTATATCTCAAAGTGAAAGTATTAGCTGATGAACATGTGTAGGTCATCTGCGAGAAAATGAGGAGACATGAGAATGAAACGGCGATGGGGTGGGGAAGGGGGAAATGAAAACGAGATTAAAAAATGAAGGATTTACGAAGCGCTCAAGAAAACAAGAGTGAAAAAGAATGCGGAGTTTACGCCGCGACAGCTGGAGCCGTTTCGAGCTTCTTGCGCGCAGCAAAGATACTCTTCATCGCGCCGAGCCAACGCGCGAGCGATTCCTCGTCCGGAGCACAAAGCCGGTACGTCTTTTCCTCGCCGATGAGCTGCAAGCAGAATCTCTTTGATCGTGACATCGGATCGACCTCAGCCGCATCAATGACATGAGACATGGATATGATTTTGAGAGCCGAATACTCCTGATCATCCTTGTAAAAGGCTAGCGTTTTGGGTCGAAGCACGACCCAGAGCCGCTTCCACTGTCGCACAGTACCCTTTATTCGCAGTCCCTGTAGATATCCTTGACAAACGACACGTTCCGGATCCCGCAGAATGCCTAGATCCGACTGCCGGCTCGAATCTCGCGGTAGAGACGAGGAGACTAGCTTGTCTTCGGGGGCGGATATAGACAGGGTGTGAATTGAGGGCATGGATCGCAATCGGCTGCTTCGCGTGGGCGGTGGTCCATCCGAGAGCTCTGAGTAGGAGGTTATTTCATTCCCTGAGTAATCCTGCGTGATAGGAATAGGGGGCTTCCGGGCGGCGGCCCAGGGGCTGGAGCTGGATCCCGCGACCGGCGATAAGGCGCGCCCTAGTTCGGGAGAACTGGCACGGGCAATTGCATCCTGGTCGGAATGGTCGGTCGTGTCGTCGACGAATTGTCTTTGGATAGTTGGGGGTTCTCGCTTGTGCGATAGGGCCATGAAAGCTTGGTCGTCCTCGTCTCTAGGGGTCTCGGCGCGAATACGGTCGATCCAGTCCTCGGCATCGCGCTCGGAGGGGGCTTCGAATCGGTAGTTTTTGGACGGGGTGAAGATTCCGAAGACGTGCTTGCGGTTGGAGCGAGGCGTTTTGACTGTTGCGACGGCCGTCACCTCGGAGAGAGTGATTGAGACGCGGAGCCGAGTGGTCTCTTCATCCTTGTAGACGGAGAGGAGGTTCGGGCGGAGGACGAGATAGGCAGATTTCCAGGAGGCACGGAAGACATGTTTGTGTTTGACACGGCGGAATACTTTCCCAGTCTTCAGGACGCGATCGAACGCGAAGCTGCCATGTTCATTGACGGGGGAGAAAGTGTCCAGGATTACTTGGCCATTGCGCGAGGGCGGCGCGGGTCCGAGATGCGAAGGATGAGGGAGCTGAAGCGTGGGGGTTCTTGGGTTCTCGGAGACCGAGGAACGAGCCAGCACTTGATTCATAGCACAAGAACCGCAGACACGACTCGGTCCGGGAGGATGGCGTGTACGTAGTTCTAGATTCTAGATGAAGAATGAAAAAAGGGGGGGGGAAAGAGGAGAGGAGAACCCCGCGGTGTTTTGGCCATGCAGCGAATCGACGATCGTTTCCCATCGACCGATAGAGACCCTTGGAACACAGGTGGAAGTGAAGAATGACCGTGACGGTGACCGTGACGATATGGGAGGGTCACATATCAATTGTCTGAACCTCTGATGTCAATGTGGGTGATATCCTCGAGACCCTCGGGGTATAAGTACCAGCAAATGGGGCGCCTCCGGGGGCCATGGGAAGGGCACGCCACACATGCTCATGTGGTCGCAGGCAGGCGGAGGAGTGGGAGAAGTAGGGTTCTGTAGTATCCATGGATATGTATATGTATATGTATATGTATATACTACTAGTATCAGTGCTCAAGAGAAGCCTGGTGGAATCTTGCAGCCTGCCCAGGTGCCCAGCATTCCTTCCCCAATTGCAGTAAGCGATCACACGAGAACAAATGGGATGAAATTGGAAGGGAAAGGAAAAGGGTCCAGACCCAGTGGAGCCACAAAGGGCCACATATGTATTAACCAGAGTAATGTATACGAATGTCTTTACTATACCTAGGGTATAGTGCATCGACGATGTCTATAATTAGTACTCTACTTAGTACTCTACTTACACCTGTGTATCTACTGTGAACAGGCTATTACTCTTATCATTACCATCGCTTGGCTACTACTCCGACTTAAGCATGGCGATTCCCGCCTTAACGGTCCCCGGCCCGTCTTGGACCCTTTGATCGCCAGCCGCTAGTACCGCGCAACTTCATGCACGGTTATATTACAGAGGTTGCAATCTCTCGTATTTCCAAGTCCATGAATCTCACTCTCACTACTCCGTACTCGTAAGCACTTCTCACTGCTTATACTTGTAGACAATTGCCAGTGTCCACTCTTCCTCACCACGCTGTGTTTTGTTCTAGAAGGTAAGCATCGACCTGTCTCCTGGGCACCAGGCTTGTTTCCTTCACCCTGCTGTACTCCGCCTCTGGTGCAGCGCAGTGTTCATACGCAGGGGAGCGGGCCAATGACCGGCCATTCCGAGTCCCTTTACGGTGCGTACACAAATGGAAGAGCAAAGATGAACCCTAGGCTTCAGATCCAGTTCACTGGAGTACTAGGTACTGAATATTGAGTACTTAATCAACTAGAGTATATGTTAGATGATATTTCTCGTAAGTACGGAATACATAAGTACTGCATGCTACTGCGTGCCCATGTGTTCAGAGTAAATTAAATTACCATACCATAGTCATACTACCGCCATACAGTAGCCACCCCAATATCAGCGCCACCACGTATCCATTGGGGCCAAAATAACCGTTTCCGTGTGACGCGACGCTTGCGCCTCCTGGTCTTGGCAAATCTCGCCCCGTATCCCCCTTCCAGGTTCAATCCTCTCCATCCCTAATCCCCTCCCCCCCCAACCTTCATTCACCCATCCTCAACCTCTCACGCCCTCCCTTGGTTTGGTCGTCTGAGTTACTCCCTTCCTTCCCAAATCTACCCGTTTCTTGGGCCCGAGAAGGAAAGTTGGGGGCCCCCACAAAAAAAAGGAAAGGAGGCTCTCCTCCGGCCACTCGTTTTTTTTTGTCTGGACATCGGATCGTCCTCGCCTCACTTCCCTCCGATTACCATTCTGACCTGGGACTCTCAATCCTTCCCATCTCGATCGACCTCGCAAGCCAACTCCCAACTCCCCAGCTTGGGGTCGTCAACGATTCTCTGACCCTACTGTCCGGGTCCCATTGATTTGGCCACCGTGGGGTATTCGACGCGTACCGACACCGCATCCATGAGCTTCATCCAGCGCATCGCGAAGCGGCTGCCCAGCGCGCCGAGCCTCCCTATTGAGGATGCGTCCCGTGAGAAGGGTCGTGCGTCTCCCCGATTCGCCTTCTTCCGCCGGCGCATTCGCTTGAAGGGGAATTCATCCATTTCTATACCCCTGGGGTTTGTGTTACTATTTCCATGCCTTGTAATTCTCTTTATTCTCCTTCTATTCGTCCGACACCCTGCATCTCCCGGGGGGGATTCTAATTCCAGCGGGCACTCCACCCTCCATTCGGTATGTGTCCCCATTAGCTGCATGGCCCAATAACTCCGGATGGAGACTTCCATCTTCAGATGGACTGTTGCTAACCGTCCCTCCTCAATAGCAAAATCAGCGAGAAGTATGACAAGGTCTTCGCTACCGGCTGCATGCCCATCAGCCCCGATGTTGACAAGGAACCTCGTGCCAACGCCGCGTTCGTCGTTCTCGCCAGAAACAAGGAGCTGGACGGCGTGATCCAGTCGCTCAAGTCCATCGAACGGCATTTCAACCGCTGGTATCACTACCCCTATGTCTTCCTGAACGACGGCGACTTTGACGATGACTTCAAAGCCACTGTGAAGAACTATACCAGCGCTCCTGTTGAATTCGGCAAAATCGATAACGCCATGTGGGGTTTCCCTGATTGGGTCGACCCTGAGGTCGCTAAGGAGGGTGTTCGCAAGCAGGGTGATGCTGCCATCATGTACGGTGGCATGGAGAGTTACCATCACATGTGTCGCTTCTATTCTGGGTACGTACACGTCAACTTACGATCTGACAAAACAAAGGTCGAGTACTAATCAAACGGATACAGACACTTCTACAAGCATCCTCTCCTGATGAAATACGAATGGTATTGGCGCCTGGAGCCCGAGATCAAGTACTTCTGCGACATTACCTAGTAAGAGCCTATTTCTATCCAATATGACCTGCCCAATTACTCACAAGAATTGCAGTGATCCATTCCAGAAGATGATCGAAGCCAACAAGACATACGGTTTCACCATTGCAGTCAAAGAGCTGCGCGAGACGGTCCCAAATATTTTCCGATACGCATCCGCCTACAAACGCAAGAACAACATGAAGTCCAAGGGACTCTGGGAGATGTTCCTCGAACGCCCGGCCGAGGAAGATGCTCTTCCCGAGGAGAAGAAAGAGAAGCTCCCCGAGGAAATCCTCCAATCCGAACCCGGCGTCAATAACCTTGACGATATCGATCCTGAGGCAATGGAAGGCGAGAGTTACAACATGTGTCACTTCTGGAGTAACTTTGAAATTGCTCGTTTGGATTGGTTTCGCAGCAAGGAATACGAGGACTTCTTCCAGATGATGGATCGCAGCGGTGGATTCTGGATGGAGCGAGTAAGTTGATATGCTATCGTACCCATGATTGACCGTTGGAAACTAACAATCTGCTATAGTGGGGTGATGCTCCTATCCATTCCCTTGCTGCCGGTGCTCTCCTCGCCCCGAGTGACATCCACTACTTCCGTGACTTCGGATATCGTCACACGACCATTCAGCATTGCCCGGCCAACGCCCCCGCTCGACAGCTTCCCCGCGAACCTTACCTTGAAAAGACCACCGATGATGAGAAGAAGCGCATTGAAGAAGATGAGTACTGGGCCTCCCCTGATCCAGTCAAGGAGAATGGCGTCGGCTGCCGATGCCGCTGCGATACCGACATCGTGGATGTCGAAGGCAAGCAAGGCAGCTGTCTTTCAGAATGGGTTGAGGTGGCTGGTGGTTGGGCCTCACCATAAACCCAACCTGATCACTTCGGTCGTTCCCCGTATTGATTCTCAATACCTGCTTCTTCATGCCTTTTTTTACTCCAGCTACGAACAACTTCTAAGGTTCGCCCTCGAAGTTATTTGCTGAATCTTGCATGTCATGCTGGGGCACTTTTCTGGGTGGCGTTTAACGGATCTGACGGCTTTTTTTATTGGGAACATGGCGTGCCATTTCCATCATGTTGACATATTCATCTAGCGTGCTATCCTTGTCACTGGGATTGGCTGTCTCTTACTCTTGGTTGATCGACTCAGAGATACCGATGGTATATTTACATGCGGCTTTGCCTCGCCTGTCATCTTCTCTAGCCTAGCTCAACACTGCATGGGCCCTGCCAATACGTCTTCGCTGCATGAACATACAGCCTAGTCTCGGTGACAAAGGAAAGCCGACATCGTTTTGAAACGGGGGCGAAGCCGGGAAGAACGCTGGCAACCTATCCCGCCTTTTTGTTTGTTTTTTTGTTCTGTTTTCTTCTCCTTTTTTTGTCTTTACACTCTACCATGTTACTACTAGTATCCCCCTCCCCTCCTGTTACGTTTCCGCCCAGCCCCTTCTCAAGACTTGTTGTGTTTCCATCATGCATTCATGAAATGTACATACCTGTTCTTCCCCAAACACCACTGTCCCTGTGGCACACAACATCACCTCGGGCTTCTCTCCCCCTTCGCATTGTTTCTTAACCCGCAAATACCAGATTCAGCATGGATGTCTATAGAGTATGGAATAATCACCCGGAATTACGCGAAGAATGAGATGATTATAATGGACTTTGGATTCTCCCTACAATAAACTCGATTATCAACCTTGGAATAGTATGGTATTCACTACTCACGAAAGTCTTACCTGCACGAGTCAGTAGATCTAGAAAGTCGATTATTGAGATCGAGCCAATACAATGCGTTATCGAGGAAGGTAGCGTTTGGTTTACCTAGGTATCCTCCATGGTTACAAACCCAATCAGCAGTGCCCCTTCAATGTTTTGCAGCGTTGGAAAAGAAGGTGACATTCAAAAAAGATTTTAAGATGAGGAGCCGGAAGCCAAGCTTTTGGAAGTGGAAGGTTGATATACTAGGCTCGTAACCAGACAGCTGCTGAGTGCCCGGAATCACGATAACTCTACCAACCGATCCAATGTTCTGGTTGCTTCTTGTTCTTGGCCTGGTCGCCGCCTTTAATAACCCACCTGGCATGAGCACTTGGTGTGGGAAAGCATATCTGCCCACGTAAGTAGATCTGAAGGCCCATGCAACTCTATCCAAGTTCGACCACGGATGAGCTTGTACATTCCCACCAATGTCAAACGCTTCTTTCATCGTGGAATCACAGTTCTCATATACCCACGGGGTTGCCCGGGACTACACCGAAGCGCAAGATGACGGCAACTTGAAGCTCGAGATAACTATCGAGGGAGAGAGTTTGCACCTGCATCACTAACTCACCGGTAGTGTGACATCGAAAAGCTTGGAGGAAGTGCCCTTTTCCCTCAAAAATCTGTCTCCTCGCTTCATTCCATACAGTGTAACCCTCACAGTCAAACGTGCCAGTGCGCGATGGGTGTGCAACGCAACGACACAGCTATTCTATCTTCCACCACGAACGGACGGGGCAGCATTACCAAGGTCGACAGTCTCCATGGCGGGCTGCTGGTACAAAATTACGTCAATGGCTCATCAGCGTGGTTTCCTCTACTGCCATATTCTTACCACTCCACATTGGCAAATGCGCCTAATTCGCAGGCATTCATCAATCAGAATACAATATCATCCACCTCATCCCAGATGTGACGACGCTCACCCAGACTTTCAATTTGACCGCGCTCAATACGATTCTCAATGCATGCGAACAAGTCGGGCTTTGGGTAATGTACGAGCATAGCCTACTCCCTGATCAAGCTGCTGGATCCCTGGCATCCGGTATCGGTACTCTTGAATTGCTATAATTTCTATTACGGCAACTACTCCGCTGGTGCGGATATTATACTGTTCGATGTGTACCCCATCAGGATAAACACGACCTGGTCGGTGGTCTACAACACACCCTGCAATAAGACGTACGGACGATGTGGAGGTGACGATTGTGACGGGGTGGTAGAGGACATTTCCACTCGACTGAACCACTTCGAAAAGTATCAGACTTGGCTGGGCAGTGCTCCAAAACCTCTGTGGGGTGTTCCGCAAGCATTTAGGAACCAGAATTTTTACAACCGGACTCCTACCGCGGCCGAGGAAGTAATCATGACGATGCTCAGTTTGGATCATAACGCGAAGGGGATTGACATGCGGATCTGGCCGACTACCACGCAAATCAGCAACGTGACTAAATAGCTGGGTACTATTCTTGTCAATAACAGCGTGACGGCGTTTATACTTGGAACTCGAACTTTTAAGTTGACGGCAGTGGGACAGACTGAGATGGATGTAGCGGGATGGAGGCTTGGTAGGCAGATGTTGGTCAGTATTTTGTCTCTGCAGACGCCAAACTGGACAAATACTGTGACAATTGAACTGCCAGTTGCAGGCGCCTCTATTACTCCGGTACTGTGGGGTGCTGGACCATGGGGGTTGGTTAACGGGACTCTAAGTAAAGTTGGTGGGACTGGGTTAAGCACTGACTTGATCATTGTGCAGCTTGCGTCTAAGAAGGACACTGATGGTGTACGTGGAATCGAAGATGGCGGTGGACTATGAAGGCTATAGCCACTCCGATATTCTGGTTTGGATTGGGAAAAAGCTTACATCACCATGGACCAAAAACCTTGGAAAATATGAATCATTCAAGAGAGCCCTAGGAGAAAATGCATAAATAGTTGCCGTGAGTCTCTCAAATATAGATCGACCGTCACTAGTAGGATTATTGGTATAATTTCAGAGAACCAGTTGGCTATGATAAATTGATTTGAGAGACGGTAGAGGAAAGCCGTGGTGGTCTGACTCCGTCTGAGCTAGTACTATCTAGATAGAGATAGCATGTACTCCAGTGCCCGATTAGGTGGCGATCGGTGGGGCTCGGTGGGGACCTAAGTGGGCTGGAAGTATGTACTATACTGATGCTTGGATAAGATGGTGAAAGATGAGTAGTGAATGTGGTAAATGTAGTAATGTATACTATACTAGTGTACACTATAGTACTATAGTAAGGATGGTGCCTGACAGCCTGAGCCTGACAAGAAAGTTTGGCAAGTGCCGAATAAATGTAGCCAGAGCAGCCATGGCAGCTGCGACTCGCCTGCACCCCTCTTCTCCTACAACGGTCATCACTCATCACTCACCACTTATCGCTCATCACTTTCTTCCCTCCTAAAGCTTCCCCTCACTTTATCTTCCTGCCCTTCGATCCTCCCCTTTGCCACGCTTTCTGCTATTTTGGATAAATCCTGTCGAGAATACAACTCCCTTGTAATCGAACCCTCCCTCGCCCACTTGCCAGCTGACGGGCGACTTCACCCCGCGGACCCACAACCGGGGCACATGCCTACATCCCGCCCATCTGCTGCCTTGTAGGTGTTTCTGTTCCTTCCCTTCGACCTTTGCCCTCCACATTTCCATATTTCCCCTCCTCCGTTTCTCTCTCTGGATCCTTCTCATCGATGTACCTCTACGAGTCATGGCTGACCTTCGAGAGTCGCCCAGGCGTCCAACGAGCGCCCAAACAGCCTCGCATCTACAATACCCGACCCTCCCGCCGCTGACTGCCTCAGTAGAAGAGTGGTTGTCCCGCTCACGGCCAACAAACAACATGACGTCAGACCACATCGCTGATTCTCCCCCAAAGGTCCTCAGCGAAAGTTGGGCGACCCTCAGTGTGTCCGACTTACACTCCGAGGATGGGAGCCGTTCCGAGCAGACAGATATCGGTTCCCTGCTCGATCAATCTACCCCCGACGATGTGGCTAGCCTGGACGATCAAGACAGCGGCAGCGATGAGGATAACCCGGAGCAGGAATACCCTCTTGATTATGACAACCGGGACCAGGAAGAGCTACATGCCCTCGCGACATCACAACAGTTTCCATCGCGATTCTCTCATACAGGATCTGCTATTGATGATAGCAACCTGACCACCCGACCCCCCCTTCCGCCAGTCCCTGAACTCGATTGAATTTTTAGAGCCAGAGAAATGGCCCGAGATGGAAAGAGTCGAGCTCAAGCATACCATCCATGTCTTTGACGATGAAACAGCCTCGGAGATGACGAGCCGACTCCCATACAACCCGATCAACTCGATTCTTCTAGCGACGGTCCAGCAAACCATGACCAAGCAAAGCCTTGATCTCGACAAACCTTTTCGTGTTCTCTACCTTGGGAACTCGGAGTACCGGAACATTATACTGGATAAGATCGGCGATGTCTTGGTGTCAAGCTCAACTACTGGGTCGCAGTCTAGCTCTGCCGAGTCCTCTCGATATCATGTTGTACCGACTTCATTCGGAGTTGGAGCAGTTCCAAATTTTGCAGAGCTTCTTCCCATTCATGTTCAGCTTGTGGTAGATGAATGCACGGAAGCTAGCTCCGACGCTCATGCGGACCGCCCGAGCACATTGCATTTAAATTTCAAGAACCGCCCTCCATGCCGTTCGCAGTGGCTCGACAACAGATATCAAGTCTCGTCCCCTTCTGAGTGGACTTTGCCAGATGTGGCTATCATCTTCGTATCCACCTGCGATAACGCAGCCGCTGTGAAGACACGACGTCTCGCTCATATTTTCTTGGAACGACATGCGATTCCGGCAATGGTGATCTCGGAAGAGCCTATCTGGAGACGAGCCGGTGAGGCTATCCCTCTTAACCACCACAGCCTCCATACTTGCCTGGAGTCACGTCACGCGGAAACTGGGAAGACAGCGGTGCTTAAGCGTTACCCCATCGATTTGACGACGTTTGAGAGCATCACGCCGAGCCAGCTCAACCGAAACCTGGCGTCCCTTATGGACATATACCCGAAGAAGACACTCAAAGCAACCTCTGATCTGCCTAAGCCTGCAGCGGGGAACTCGCTTGCGGACCGCGAGAAGTATTCACGCAACTGGATTCCACCAACATACGCCGCCTGGACCCGCGAATTGGGACCTCTCCTCCGCCTTGTCACATTGACCCTCATCTCGGCCGTGGTCCTGTCAATTGGCTACTCGGCGTTAAAGGCAGTCTCTATCTTTTTTGCACAACTGATTGCTGGTTCAGCACTGTCTCATTCGTTGTCTCAGACGTCAACCACCTCGATTCCGACAGCAGCCCTGAACTTGGAAGGCGTGGGACAGACGGCGCTGTCTATTCGACCATCCGGAGATGTCGAGTTGGGAAATGCTGCAATTTCTGACTTGATTGTTTCTTCGCCATCGGCTCTTTCCATTGCGACATCAGGCTCCTCTTTGGGTACTGATGACTTTGAGATTCAGGTCGTTGGGGACTGTCATGTAGTCATCAAGCCCCCTCGCAGCCTTTCTACCTTCAGAAAACAGCGGCGGTTCGACGTGAGTGTCCATCGGAATGGTAGATCTCTCCCTCATGAATTATCTCGCCTCTTCGATGGCGTCTATACGCTGAGGTTGGATCGGGAGGACGCCTATGGCTTGGTTGATGTGACCGTCACATCCAAGTCAAATCATCCAGTTAACCAAACCATGACAATTGACTTCGGAACCCCGGGGCTCAAGATTGCCAACTGGCGACGAGCGGCACAGAACATCTCTTCTCAAATTACGAAGGACTTGCAGGTTGCCCAAACGGGGCTCAGTGAAGTCTATGGCCGTCTCACCACCGATCTCCAGGTAATTATGGGAGATGTTGTCAAGCGATCACACTTCTTGTGGGAAGATGCCGAGAATTTCCGGCGTGAGGGCCTACACGCTGGCGATATTGTTCTGGCCCGGTCGAAGCAGCTCTCGGAAGTCATCACCCGTAATGCTGTGCAGCGATTTCAGAGCGTTTCCTCCGTTCTCCAAAGCCGCTCCGTGAAAGTGAATCGGGGGGGCCAAAGGGATCGTGAGTGATGCTTGGAATCGGTTGGGTAAATCTACCCCGAATATTGATATTCATTGCTCGTTGGATCGAGTACGAAGTGTGAGGAGCGCGCTAGATCGGGCTCAGACTCGGGCTCGCCACTTCCTCGGACGTCGTCAAGAGAAGAAGGCGGATTGTTCGGGGCGTGAAAGTTCGAATTGCTGAAATGCTAACCTACCCCTTATTTCTTTTTTACTTCTCAATACCCTAGGTATCCTTGCTTTTTTACAATTTGGCTAATGAGGGCGGGATGTGTCAATGTTTTGTTTGTTTTTCTCCCTGGTTGGACTGGTGTTTCTCACGAATAGTTACGTCGCAATGCAACTCCATTCCTTAACTGTGTAGTGTTCTGTAGAGTTTAGATGTCTGTGTCCCCGTAGACGAATGGTACATAGTACACTCTACCTACGCCTCCATCAATAGTATATCTGATAGTATATCCGGTAGTTCCTTGCAACCCCTCGCGTTCTGGGAAAAAAAGCGGTGGGGCGATTCTGCCCGCGCCCACCCAGACTAATATTTTTCCCCCCTCATCGAACGCCCCCCCAATCAACAAACCCAATTATCACCCCCCCCCTGATCATCATTGTTGCAGGTGTCCTGCCATTTTTTAATTCCTCCGCCGTCGCAAATTTTCCCCCGAGTACCACCCATTCCTCTATTCGCCATGTCTGACACCGCGGATACCAAGCCCGACCCCACCATCACTCCTGAGGCCGCGAAGCCCGAGGAGACCCCCGCCACTGGCGAGGGTGAGAAGACCGTCACCGAGGCTGCCGCCGACACAGCCAAGGACGCCGCTGATACCGTCAAGGACGCTGCCGCCAAGACCTCCGACAACGTGTTCTCGATGTTCGGTGGTGGCCCCAAGAAGGAGAAGAAGGAAGAGACCGACGAGGGTGCGGACGAGCCTTCCGGCTCCTCCAAGGCCCAGAAGGAGGGCGAGGTGAGCAATTTTTCGTCGGAGGCATATCGGGTCAGATCTGGGATTGAGGAGTTGGCCTTTTTGCGACCAGACAATGTCAAAACGCGGGGTGTTCCCTCTCTCCCCGCCGCGCGCGTTGTGTGGTCTTCGCACAAAGGCCATATCCTCCAGTCGTGATCTTCCGGAAACCCCTCTTTGAGACATATAGCTGAACGAATAATTAACATTCATGTTCTATAGAACCCTGAGGATGATGCTCCTGAATCCCCCGAAGTTCACTTCGAGCCCGTCATCCGCCTGACCGAGCGAATCGAGACCAAGACCAACGAGGAGCTCGAGGAGCAGTCCTTCAAGATGCGCGCCAAGCTCTTCAAGTTCGACCGTGACAGCAAGGAGTGGAAGGAGCGTGGTACTGGTGATGTTCGTCTGCTCAAGCACAAGGAGAACCAGAAGACCCGTCTCGTCATGCGTCGGGACAAGACCTTGAAGGTCTGCGCCAACCACTACAGTAAGACACCCTACACTTGCTCTCTTTTTAATCAATATCCTTTTGGCTAACCAAATACGCGTAGTCGTCCCCGACATGAAGCTGAGCCCCAACGTCGGCAGTGACCGCAGCTGGGTCTGGAACGCGGCCGCCGATGTCAGCGAGGGTGAGCCCGAGGCTCAGACCCTGGCTATCCGTTTCGCCAACAGCGAGAGTGAGTTTCAACATATTTCAATACAATAAATCCAATATAGGCTAACCGATCATCCCCAGACGCCAACCTGTTCAAGGATGCCTTCGAGAAGGCCCAGGAGGAGAACGAGAAGCTCTTCAGCGCTGAGAAGTAGAACCGCCCTGCGCTGTCCACTACCCCCTCGTTCTCCGACCAAATGGATTGCAAAGTCAAAAAAGAGTGATTTGCACGTCGCCGATGACCTCAGTCCTGTGGAACAGAATCTTGCTCTCGAAAATTCGCTAGATCCCATCCCCTTCCCAAACCCCCAACACACACATCAACCAATTACACAATATCCCATATTCCTTCCCCTTCCCTCCCCCCCCTTTTTTTTTATTTCAACCCTCCCCCTTCCCCTACGACGTGACGAGCAGGGCAGTAGTGATGAAGATGCTGCTCGCATATTATCGTGATGTGATGATGAAACGGAGGACAGTTCCCGATATCTTTGGTTCCACTGTCGGCAGTAGATAGACATTTCTCCATCGAATATACACCTTGCACATCATTGGATGCTACTAGTATGTCTGTAGTAAATTATGTCAGTTTTTCCAGCTGATAGACGTGGATATAACCACGTTGTATTGGGAAGTTTTCTCATTCAGTCAATAACTTGAAGAGCATCCAACCCGGTGCTTCATCTGAAAGGGAAGTTTTTCTTTCTTCTATTTCTGTCTCAGTATTTACCGAACATCAAACCTCGCGAATAGGACAAGCAGTGAACAAGCCTTTAGGAGCCTTGGTGGAAAGGCTCTCCACCAACGGAAGGGAACCAAACCAAACCAAACGGGCCGCCGCTGTGGGCGGTCTTAGACCGATCTCCCCGTCGACCTCATTCCTCCCCACTCCCCGTTCAGGTCCTCTTTTTGTGCCCATTCACTAGCTCTTGCCAATGCGCTACGTCTTGCGTTCTATATACCTTTGAGCGCCCTCAAAAGAAAAGAGTTCCTCATATCCATCCTCGCCTCTGACCTCTGACCCCAAGGAGAATTCCACAGCTGAACCGTCCGCGCAAGCTTTCACGCTCCCCGACCCTCCTTGCGCGCCTCCCCTCTCCTTCTTCAAACCTACCCCAAACCTCTCTGAAAGAGTAGGATTCCGACGACCGAATACCACAATGCCCGACGTGAGTTGAGTTCAATCCGCTGCTGTCTTGTTTTCAAACCTTTTCATCTCCAATCGCGGTGTGCTACCCACTGTGGACGCAAGCGCTATTCACCGCGCCTTGATGGTTGCGCTGCATAAGCTACGAGAGAAGCTACTTCTACAAAAAGAAGGAGGGGGAAAATAACAGCCATTGCTCCGACAACACGTTTTGCCGAATCATCTACTAACTGGCATTTCATGGATAGGTCAAGCGAAACGTCCGTCTCGTCACGGAGCAACATATCATGTACGTGTGCTCGCGCCCTACCCACCATCCTTTCAGACCCTTCGCGAAAAGCCAATCATCCGCCATCACATCACACCTCTCTTTGATCTATACCGCGAAGTTTTGTTTCGGTTGGGTTACTCAGCTGCGCTGAAAGCAATGCGCACGCGAGGATCGAATCCGGACGTGCTAGACCGACAAATATCCCATGAACTCTGCAGGCATGAGATATAAGAACCAAAGGCTAATTTTGCATTGTTTTCCCCGCCAACAGTGATAAGCCTTCCGAAGTTGAGGGGTTCCCGCAACGTGAATGGTGGATCGAGGTCTACCTTGTCAACGACAAGGGCGACTTGGTGCAAGCCAATCTCTTCGACAAGGTGGTCTATCACCTGCACCCGAGTTTCGGACCTCGTGCCACGCAGAGTAAGTCTCCTCTGGTCTCGAATTCTTCTGCCTGGGCAGTCATCGTTTGGCTGCGGGATGTCTCTCGCCCTCCGGTAGGGCCATGGCTGATTGCATTCGTGATTTCCAGCTTTCAAGAACCCTCCGTTCCGCATTCAAGAAGAAGGATGGGGTGAATTTGACATGCAGATTGAATTGGTGGCGGACAAGTCCCATTTCATCAACCATGACCTGAACTTTGCTCAGGAGCGTTACGAGTCCAAACACGTCCTGGTACGTTTTAAAAAGTCACCTACCTGGAAATTACTGCCATTGAATATAGCTGACTGAGGGGATTTCGGCACAATAGACATTCAAAAACCCCAAGGCAAGCTTCCTTTCGGCTCTGCGTGAAACCGGTCCTGTTCCGGGTGACGAGAACGGATCGAAGAACAAGCGCGGTGCCGTTGGCGAGGAGAGTGCCAAGAAGAAGAAGTCGCGCACTGAGAAGAATGTAAGGGATTGCCAATACCGAATTTTTGACCCGGTTGACCTACCAACTAACACGTTCCTCTAGGTTGATATGGACAAGCTGGCCGATGGCCTGCAAAAGCTCAACGAGGACGACTTGCTGCAAGTTGTGCAAATGGTTCACGACAACAAGGCGCCTGATTCGTATACCAAGAACGATATGGAGTGTGAGTCCCCTTCCCTGCCCTTCCCTCCCCCTATTCCTCCGAACTTATTATGCATATGCTAATTCCGTTCACGTAATCAGTGGGCGAGTTCCATGTCGACCTCTACACGCTGCCCGATTCCCTCATCAAGATGCTGTGGGACTTTGCATCGGACCGACATGCCCTCTAATACTTTCCCATCCAAGAAGGGGGGAACCGATATGTCCACATTTTTTGAATTAGCTTATGTTCGGGTACTTTGAACAATAACTGGCTACGACCTCCTTTTTTTCTTTCTCCCTCTCTTTCCTATTTATCTCTGTCGTCATCTATTCCATCTCTTTTTCTCCTGTTTCTCTTGCTGCTTGTGCTTTTTATGCCCCTGCCCTCTGGATATTGGGAGTTCGTGGGCCCCTTCGAAAAGAAACCTGGCTGGGTCTGTTGTTTCGTTGCCTCCCCCCCCCCCTTTATTTTGCGTAGAGTCAGATACGATATCGATGATTCAAAATAGGCAATGCGCACTGGAGTGAGGTGGCATTTTCCTTGTTTTATTTCCTAGTATCTCTTTCTGTGAATCGGGGGGAGACTATTTGATACCGATTGCCAAATACCGTATTTTCCTCCCCCAGGCTTCTGTGGCTAGTTTTCGCTTGCGTTGCTTTGGTGCTTGATACATGTTGAATTAAAGGCGTCGTCCTAGAATCTAGGTTCAATCAAAAGACTGACACGGAAATTGTCTGTTCGATACTAGTAGTAAGCGCCAGTTTGTATTTCTATGACTAGCTTCATGAAACTCTGCTAGAGGCATCACCTCCAGAGTCAAATTGCCAACTAGAGTCAAATTTTACGAGAGAAAATAATATCATGAAACAAAAACAGCATGGGATATCTCAACTAAATCAACATCGAGACAAGAACAGGCCCGACCAGCAGGACGCAGTCTAGTCTTCGTAGACTAAAGGAAAGAGGAGAGAGAGAGAAACACTAGGAAAGACGTGGAAGACAGTGAGAGGGAAAGCACAAACAAGAAAAAGGAAGAAACAATGTCAACAGACAAGCAAGAAGTAGTAAAAAACAACCAAGCAACCCAGTATCCCACCCAAAACGGAGCCCAGATCCGCATTCTATCAAATTCTCCGACGCCATTGAAAGCAACATCCACCTAGACCGTCTCTTCTTTGGTATCGACAAGATAGCAATTGTGAAATATGAGATAAAAGACATGGCTAGAAGAGAAGAGATGAAAAGAAAACAAGAGAAAAGAAACAGTAGGGATAGAGAGATGAGGGGGGGTGGGAGACCAAGACCAAGACGCCTATTGCTGTGCAAAAATCACTTCGATCCGATCAACGGAATATTTATAGCACGCGGTTCCTACAAGGGGTAGTCAGTATATGATAGAATAATGTGATCGGGATGTTTTCGAGGGTAAGACATACAGCTTCAACAGATCTTCCAGGCTATCAGCGCTGCAGCTACGACCCTTGGGAATGCTGCGGATGACATTGACGATGGTAGCGAAGACATCACCGCCACGGTAGGCTAGGAGAGCTGGGGCCTGAATGTGGTTCATCTCGGCAATATCCTGGTGCAGCTTGACGATGCGGATGGAAGATTGTCTGCGGGCAATGGTGACGAGGCATTCTTCCACGATAGCGCTATCATCAGACTAGACGGAAATCAAGGTTAGAATAAAAGGATTGCAATTGAATATGCAAAAAGACAGGATAGGACAACATACCTGCGGGTCATAGATGCAAACTAAGACGACAGTGTCGGGGGTGACTTTCTCGATAGCATCGAGGTACCCCGTAGCATCGACGGTCTCAACGGTGCCGTAGTGGCGGCCGCGTGGGGAAGCTCGGCGAGGACGACCTTGAAGTTCGTGCATGCGGGAGGTCCGCCACTTGCGCATAAACCGGTCCTCGTCATCCTCGCTTCCCGAAGACCCCTCCGCAGGCGGCGGGGGAGTCTCGTCACGGGTGGCCTTGGAGCCGAAGCCATTGGAGTCGAAGCCGGCAGCGCTTAGGAGAGTCTGGCGGAAGGACTTCTTGCGGGCACGCTCAAAGGCCTGGGCGTCGGCGATGACGCCCTTAGGGCCGGTGTTGGCGTCGTAAACGGTATTGGGGATGTGGTAGTTGCGAGAGGAGACCATGTTTCTGTCTACTTCGTCTTCGTCTTCGTCGGAGGAATCAACGGCGTGGCGCTGGCGCAAGTTACGGGTAGAAGACTCGTCGTCGGAGAGGTGGGGCTCGTCGTCAGAGTCGATATCCTCGGGGTGACGGGAGGCTCGCTCGCGATTGCTGTTGACCAGCTGGTTGAATTCTTCCTGGGCTGCTGATGACATGGTGGCACGAGATGGTGGAGATGGGGGGGGATTTTAAGTTGTTCGGGGTTTGGGCACTGCAGCTTTTCGACTGGGGCAGAAGGATGGGCGCTTGGGACGTTTGGTCAGGCGGGAAAAAAAAAGAAAAGACCGAGCAGAGATTGGTCGAACAGTTGAAGAGCCCCTGAAGCAAGACGAAGAATGTCGACGGAGTTGGGGCTGAGCTGGGAAGAGATCGCCAGGGTGAAACGGTGCAGCCCCTTTTCGACGGGGGTTTCAGCACAATCCGGACCCACCGAAGAGCCGAAGAAGGTGATGGCATGGCAAGATGCATTTGGTGGTATACTCCGTCCCCCATACTCCAGCCCTGGAGAGATTGAGGTTGCCCAGGGTGCCCACAGGTAACTACCATCTAGGCAGTCACATTGGCATTCACAACCTCTCCCAGTCACATTGCTGGCACCTGGCATCGAGTTCATACTACCCTAGGGTAGCCCTAGAGTCTCCCTTTTGCGCATGGGAAATGAGGCAGAGGAGGCAAACATATCCACGTGGAAACCAAGGTTTTTGGTCCACGCGAGTGGTTCGTGCGACTGAACTCTGAACTGGGCATGGATAGACAAAGAAGGCTGCTGCAGACCTCAACCAGCCCTGTTACGTTTCATCATTCCGGTGATGTCTTTGGGCTCTGAAACTCGATCTGCGGATCGAACAATCCACTCTCACTGGCCCAACACTTTTCGTTTCAATTTGCTCGGTCGAACCCGAGGGCCCAGCCGTTCGACGGCCATTCCTCTCTCAGGCAATGGCCCCGTTCGTATCTCGTATACCTTAAAATAAACAAAAGGACATGGGTGATGTGGAGTTGTCGATCGAGGATCTGCTCCACTGCTACTAGAACAGTTTGGACCTGGTTTTGTTGACCCTTTTCCCGAATGAGGATAGGTTGATGATTCGCGGGCTGCTGACCATCTTAGCTTCGGGGGCGAGATGTACTCGTACATACTCCGTAGTCCGCTTGTTTCTGCAGCCAATTTTGACCTGCCAGGAATACTCGTCTCCATGTCCAAGGGGGGGGGGTCAGGATGTCCATGTTTCATGCCCACGAAAGGTGCGTTGTCGAGGTGGAATCTTCCTGCAGGATATCCCGCTCCGGTCCACGTCACGAGCACCGTCACTGGCCGGAGGAGACGGTGAGAAAGGAGTCTAGCACATTCCTGGTCAAGTGCGAGCGAGTGGGAATGAGTGGGAATGAGTGGGAGAGGAGCATTGCGTGGCCGATTGGCATTTATTCTCGGCCATGTCCCGACGGGCATTCTCGTACATTTTGTACATTTTGTACATTAGTATCACCACTCCTCCCATCCTCGTCCCTGGTTGCTACACACTTGCACACTGCACACTGCACGCTGACTAGCACTGACTAGCATCTCCTGGAAAGATGGATGAACATCCTACACATTTACGCTACAAGTGACCTAACATCGTTTACCTCCAAGTAGGAATGGACGGGACTGATGAACTGGAGGCCTTGGGCGAATGCCCTATGTCTGACGATCAGGCCACATTTGCAGACGCCTAATACACAGCGCAGAACCAGGAAGGCCGCGAGTTTGAAGAGGAGGCGAGGAGCTGGATTCCTCAAGGGAAACATACACGAAATATTTGAATCACAAATGGAAATTGGAGTTGCTGGAAACAGAATCACATCCGAAGGATGGTTTCCACAGGGGGGCGCAAAAGGCAACAATAGGTACAGACAACCCTTCTTTCTTTCACGGGACGCAAGGAAATAGGTCAGAGATGAAAAAGGGGAAATAAGATCAAAGAAAAGTGTTGAAATGAGAAATGAGATGACGCAGGTAACGCAGAGAATAATATCAAGAGGGAAATCATGGCCAATTCCAACAACGCAAATCCTTTCCTTTCCATCCCCAGACAATACATACCGAGAGGAGAGGCTTTCCAGAACGAGAAGGGGTAATAGAAGAAAAAAAGGGGGGGGATCAAAAAAGACGTCAGGGAGAAAGGTAATAAGAAGAGAAGGGAAATCAAGAAAAAAAAGGCATCATCCAGCAGGAGGAACGGACAATCGACGAAGAAATCGCCACGGAATCATTGGAGCGAACCTGCTGCGGTTTTTGCAGCACTGGTTGGTTCACTGCGCAACGACCACGGACGCTCTCGTCATGCCCAGAACATTGTGTCGTCGCTTTCGTTTCTTCCCCAGCGTCGCGCTCGCCTTCACCATACACTTTCCGTATCGCATGCGACGAACCCGATTGACTGCGCCGTAATCGCGAGAACCACCTTGCGAGATCCCCACGATTAGCTGATTATTATCGTACAATGGCGGTAAATCGACCCATCGACCCAAATAAAATTTCGAATAAGAGCATTGCAAATGATCGACACGGGGTATCTTGCGTTTGTTTTGTTTTATTTTTTGGTTTACCAGGCCCAGACCTTGAGCTATATTTGGGCAGCAGAGGTTAGCAGACGTTTCTCGGGAATCCGTCAACGTCAAAACAAAAACTTACGAGAGAGTCCCAGGATCCAGTGCACAGGCTGATGCCGTCGTTGCTCACGCCCAGGCAGCTCACGCGGTTCTCGTGACCGCTGAGTGAGCCAACCTTGTCGCCACGCAGAACATCCCAAACCTGTGGATTTCGATTAGCAAAGATCGGATGATAAACCAACAGATACAAGATGTGACGTACCTTGCACTCAAAGTCGTCGTATCCGGCAAACAGAAGACGACCCGATACGGAGAATGCAACGGAGGTGATACCGCACAGAACTTGCTCGCTCTGCAATTTCAGTTAGCTTTGGCTCACGGAGAGGAAATCGACTTGTTTTTGGTCGCATTCCGATGGGAGGCGGGGGTGTAACGTACCTGGTAGCTGTTCAGTTCACGGTCGGCACGGATATCGAACAGGCGGCAGGTGGTGTCGTCGGAACCGGTACCGAAGGCGTTTCCATCGGGGAAGAACTGGATAGCGTTGATGTCGGACTCGTGGCCGGCAAATGTCTGCACAGCCTTTCCGGTACGGATATCCCACAGCTTGGCGAATGCGTCACAGGCGCCAGAAACGAAGATGTTCTGGTTGGTCGGGTTGATGCTGATAGACATCACGTCACCCAGGTGGTCGGCAAACTCGGTGACCTTGGAACCGGACTCGATATCCCACAGCATACAAGTCATATCGCCAGAGGAAGTGATGATACGGCGGTCATTGATAAAGCGACAGCACGAGAGGTAGCCGGAGTGACCAGAAAGTTCGCGTGCAACGCGAGTTGGGCCTTCGCGCGAAGACAAATTGTAGATGGAGCAGATGTTATCCAAACCACCACAGGCGACGTAGTTGCCGCTGGGCGCGTAGGCACAGGTCATGACCCAGGATGACCGCAAGGGAATGGCGTGAACTTTGTTGGTGGTGTAGGCATCCCAGATAATGAGCTTTCCATCCTGCGAGGCGGAGACGAGGTGACGGCGGTCCGTCGACCAGTGCATGGCGTAGATCTTCGCAAGGTGACCCTTCAGTGTGCGGCGCGGCTTCATGCCGATTCGGGGGAGGGCTTCGGTTTGGTTTTGCGCAACTTGACGCACTGCAAGTGAGATGTCAGCAAGGTATTCTCACGGTCAGGAGTGATTCTCCCAATTGATTATCTCTTTCCCCCTTTCATAAAGGCATAGGGTCCAGGAAGAAACTCCGGAGATCGGTTCCGAGAGGTGGTGAGGAAGAATCGAGGTAGATGAGGGGGGAGGCAATGGATGGGATGGGATGGGATGAGATGGGATGAGATGGGATGAGAAAGTCGTACGTGAGGTGTCGGCCAGTTCATCCTTCCGGCGCTTGATCTTGTCCTTCAAACCCTCAGCTTCGCGCCTGGCCGCGGTGATCTTTGCTTGCATCTGTTCGCCTGACATTTCGGATGCCATGATGCCGGTCCCCTAGGTGTCGAGATTGGAAAGGAGGGGAGAGAGCAATGTCCAAGGGATGGAGGAGATATGAAGGAAGGAAGGAGAGGGGGAGCTGAAAGTGGATCGAAGGCAGACGGGATGAGGCCTCAAGCTGTGATCATAATACGTCTGTAAGATAATCTTAACAAGGGGGGGCGAGTGGAAAGGAACTTGTACGAGGCGCGGCGCAAATTGGAGGGAAAAGGAAGAGCGAGTCGAAGGTCTAACTGGGTCAGGGGGCTTTGGGGGGGGGAAGGGAAATGTAATACCCTAGTACAGAGTGAGTACACTCACTTAAATACGGGGCATTCCTACAGAGTAAGTGCAAACCAAGTCAAGGTACTTTGTAGAGTAAGATAGTTTTATGAATAGCTATTACCTTCTACGGTATACTACGTGTATTTGGAAAATTCATAATTTAATACTCGACTCCATATTATCTCCTTGATTATAATATTTCCATTTCATTTCATGGCGGTACTGACCCTCTGCCTCCGGTGGGGAATACACCGGCAATACAACAATACAACAATACAACCCACAGGGGGGAGAAACTCCCCCCAAGTTCAAGTTTACTCAAGAGTTTACTCTTACTTGTACGGTACTGTGGCTTCCCCCTTCATCTTCCTTTCTTTCATATAATAACGCAAGAGATTCCCCCGTGCCAACCACTGCATAACAGGGAATCCCATTAGGGAACCCCAATGGCTTATTATACGGCCATTGGTCATTGGCCAATCGGTAGATCTAGCAAAGTAAAGGAGCGAAATAGGGATAGGACGTGGCCAGGGCTCAATAGTGTCCAGCTCTACGGAGTAAAGAGAACAATAAATGTAACCTGCTCTGTCCATTGCGGAGGGGAAGACCGGAACGATGGGTCAGGTACTAGTACTAGTACTGTGAGCAATCGAACCCCTGTCTCCACGACTCTGGCAGAGAATGCCTAGTTTATGGAGTACGGAGTACTCGTACCGTTCTTGATCTCGGCGCTTCGTCCATTTTCATCCCCTGGCGTCATGGAAGATCATGCTTTTATTCTTCTTATTCTTCTTCAAGTTCTTTTCTTCCCTGCCTCTGCGTTCTCCCTCTTATTTCTGTACTGTTTGGTGCGGGATCCGAGCTCCGTAGCTACGAGTAGTACTCCGTACTCGTACCTCTCTGATACACCTCATACTCGTACACTCTCTCTATCTCTCTGCTTCCCCTCCCCCTTGCACCCATCATGGTCGAAATGGCCAATGCCAGGTGTGCCACGACTACCTCGTCTCTATCCCAACCAGCATGTCCCCCGAACCCTCTCAGCTCGGGGCTGCTGTGCTACCCACCCGGTCCAAGCTCTCTCTCTTTGTCTCCGTATGAGTACGAGTGCTCCGTACACATTCAACGGTTCAATGACTCCACCATGAGAGAGAACGGGCTTACTAACCCGCATAATCTCCAAGCTCCCTGGATCCTGCCAAACCTGCGAGGCTCTTTTTAGGGATTTTCGACTCATCACTTCCGCCCTGGCGGGGCCAACGGTTGGAGCCAACTTCTTGTCGCTCGCCTTGGCCGAATCGCTTCGCGCTCTTGTTCCTCGGCGCGCGTCAGGAAGATGAAGTCCCCACCAGACTTTACTTTTTGGGGGACCCCCTTTTGCGCCGGCCCCTCAATCCCGACTCCGGCTTGATATTATTGCCGTTGGACGATCATCATTTGCAGGTATTACCCTCAGCACGTCAGGCTTCGGAGCATTTTTCGGTCTTGTCTTCACGCGTTTCTCTCCCTCTTGAAGCAACACCTGGCTTGATCTCTAATGTCAGCAGTACTACGGAGTAGACTTGGACCTCTTGGTTCCCTGCACGTCATCTAACTCTGCACTATATGTAGGTTTTTATTATCAATGGCCCACCTAATTTGGAACGTGCAAACCCTTGCCCCACCCGAGGATCGACAGGAATAACAAAGGTCTTTTAAGACAGAGGACAATATGAGTCGCCGTTATTAGGAATTTGCGATGGACTTGGCAATCTCTTCTTGGACGGAGCCACAAGTCCACATACTAACGTCAGACGCGAAACGCGAGACTGTTTGCTCTTCTGCAGAAGCGTTGCGGCTGAGTCAACCGTGAAATGAAGCAAACCAGATCAATTTACTGAGAGCTATACTTGACTCCTCATCCTAGCGGTTCAGTAAGCTACTTTAGTAGTACCTACGAAGGTAGCTACTGAAGTAATCGTACCGATGACTGTAATCTCCGGATTCGGTCCGATGTTTTGACTCCTTCAATACGTACTAATACCTCGTATACAGCTATTAATATGTCCAGTGCGGGATGGCAGTCGATACTATTTCCTCCCACCCCACGATTTAGGATATCAACCCGATGCCATGACCAGGGAAAAGGGGGAGACTGTGCCGTGCTCTGGGGAATATCGGCGGAAACATGATCGACCCCTGTTAAGGAGACACTAGAGGGGGCGGGTTCTGGCCCTCGGCGTTCACGGTCCTCTCCGGTCTTCTTTTGTGTTGTCCGACTTTTGAAGTCTGGCCCCCAAAACGGATGACCTGAGGATTATTTCTTGTAGTGAGCGTCTTAGTATGACTACAAGGACCCTACGGAATACTTGTCGCTATTCATGGATGGATAGATGAGAGACCCCCTTTCACAAGGCCTGCGGTAAGAACTGTAGTGACTATCTCTGCCCTAGACCATCGCCCCGTCTACCTTGGGGGTTTGGAGCAAACTATCTCTTTTGATGAGTCTAGTCAAAGGTGCCGAGTGGATATTTGCTCATATCTTGTGATCTTCGATAATGATATTCACGTCAAAAGCGAATATAGAGCCACGATCCATAGATCAACCTTTGGAATATATCAAGGCCCTGCATGGCTCACGAGTCCCGGGGTTATGCAGGTAAATGTCCAAAATGAAGATTACAAGGCAAAAACCAATGGTAGGAATATGTGAGATGCATGATCATCCCTTGAAACAGGCCATCTCCAACACTTGGACACCTCCACTTGGAATCGTCAGGCCGAGCGCAGGTGGCGGACCTCTGGGGCTGCACTGCACTGCACTGCACTAGAGTAGTTCGCCACGAGGGGATCGGGTAAATCTGGGGAGAAGTAGGGTCACCAAGATGAAGTGAAGGGGGGGGAATTTTATCAGATGAAACAAAACATCTGCACTCCGTATACAGAGCAGAGCCTCGAGAGCGTGTAAAAAATAGAAATAAAAATAGTAGCGATTCGGGTGGCGGGAAGTAGACCGGGCGGGTACCGTAAATTATTAAGGAGACGCCGCCTGACTTTGTGACTGTGACGCCTCCTCCGCTTTCGAAGGCTTTTCATTCCCCTCTCCATCGCCATCGTCTTCACCACCATTCCCCTTGGTTCCTTTCGTCTGATTCCCATCGCTATTGGGAAGACTGTACTCTCCTTTATCCACTAGATTCATATCTTCCCCTCCCTGTCAATCACTTGACAGCCATCGCCATCTCCAACCCCCTCCCCGGCGCTTCGCTTGTCCTCCCTTTCACCTCGTGGAGGCATTACCAACCACCCTCCCCTCACGCACTAGAGTTCCCATCGAACATCATCAACAGGAACTCTTCTGTCTTCCGGATGCCTCTGAATTAAACACTTGGAAATTTGCGACTACCCATTCCATCTCGTCGCTGTGGGTGCTATCCCCGCCAGGTTAGGGGGCACAGAAATCCCACCATTCGGCCAAATCGTCAAGGTCCTCGCCATCAGGGCTTTTCAGCTTTCTCTTCGACTTTCTGGATGATATTCCATCCATTACGATCCTATCTTTTTTAGTGCTTACGATCGCCCCGATCGCTTTCGCCGATTCATCATGCGGGAAGTCAACTTCAGCATCCCCAATGTGAACAAGGCTTCGGTCAACATCACAACCACCCTCTACGATCGAAGAGCCCTTGATTGCACATCCACTCTACCGTTAATCAACTCCCTTAATCATCTCGCATACCTCACAACCTCATCGGCTCGGATTCGGGATATTCTCACCGTCGATGGCGGTATCGAACGGCTCGTGTGCATCCTGAAGGAGGGCAGGAGCAAGGATTTGATGGAGATGTGGAAATGGAGTCTCGCTTTCCAGTGTGTCGTCAACATTGGAGTACGGGGCTCAGAGAGCGTGCGAACCAGAGTCGTTGAAGCCGATATGGTTCCCGTCATCGCCACCATCCTGGATAATTACATCAAGGTGGTGGACAAGGTCCGGTCCCGTGCCGATCCTGAACCTCACAAGCACTCGTCGAGTCGTCACTCCGGCAAGCCCAGTGCCTCTACCCGCGAGGTCGCTGGACGACCCGCCACTCTGGATGAAACTCCCAACGCCGAATCCCGCCCGTCTTCTCGCCGCCAAGCGCCTCCTCCCAGTATCGAAATTCCCCAGCAATACTATCAAGAGAACCAACCGACCGACTCTGATGCAATGGATGTCACCTCTCCTCCCCGCGCCCCTATGACCTCGCCCCCCAGAACAAAATACGCTCAGACCCGACGCTCACAACCATCGGGTTCACGACGCTCGATTTTCACGGACAAACCATCGCCTGCGAGCCATGCAACCGCTTGCCACCGCCGTTCCTTCGATCGATACCCCTGAGGGATTCGGTCTTAGGCCGGTGCGCGATGCGGAGCGTCTTCCTAGCATGCCTCCGGGGCTACAGACCGGCATTATCTCGCAACCCGACTCCCCAACAACCCCGAGCGGTCCAATTCTGTCTCAATCCCGAAGTGTCCCCCAAGCTGCCCCTCCCATCCCACGCCCTGCCATCCGCCAACAACTTTCTCAGTCGGGTGAATCGGACGATGCCAATGGGGAGGACTCGACGATGGGCGATGACAATGTCCTGGGACAGAACCCTGAGCCTATTGTTGGCCTGCCGAATCGGATGGAGATTGATAGTGTTGATGAGCAAGCCACAACAATGATTGATGATGTCTCTGCCGCACATGATCTGACTGTGACTGACCCCACGGCGGAAGGCCAAGAGGCTGAGACGTTCAACATCGCGCATCGCTCCACTGTTGATGGCAGCATCATCAACAACAATGGAAACACTCAAAACACTGGTGGTCTTGGCCTTTCCCCCGCCCAGGCCACTAACAACCCAAACTCTCCTACCCTCGCACCCAGTCCCTACGCTATGTATCTCCGTGATCGCAGCACGCCCGCCACCCAAGGAGTCTTGACGACTATGCCTCGGGACGAGGACGTGTTGATGTCATTGCAGCTCCTGGCTTATGTATCCAAGTACTGCAACCTTCGCTCCTACTTCCAACGCTCCCATCTCGTGCCAAAGCTCAAGATCGATCGGGAATTGCATCTGCTAGATGAGAACGCCGATCCTTCTACGCCAGTCGAGATATCGGAGGACGAGGATGAGTATCTGCTACCCGATGATGTCAACATCTTCCCACTGGTTGAGAAGTTCACTGTTCGACACCACTCCAAGGACATGCAGTACTGGGCTTGCGTAGTGATGAGAAACCTCTGTCGCAAGGACGAGTCGCGTGGTGGAATCCGTCAGTGTGCTTACTACAAATGTGGCAAGTGGGAGGAGTTCCAGCGCCAGTTCGCCAAATGCCGCCGCTGCCGCCGCACCAAGTACTGCAGCAAAGACTGCCAAAAGGCAGCATGGGTGTATCACCGTCACTGGTGCCACACGTCCCCTTGATACGACCCAACGACCTCGAAGGAGTTCCTTTTCTGATTTCCATGCATACTGGCTCGCATAGCGTCATATCCCTCACGCATCTCCCCGCTTCCCACATATTATTTCAAAGTCTTATGTCCCTCACTCGCACTCGCACACATGGCATTGCAAATTTGGCGGCGTTCCATTCAACCCCCGAAGATACCTTTTACATGTCGTCTTGACTTCTATTTTATTCCCAATATTCTTGATTTTTACCCGCACAGCTCCCTCTTCCATGGTTGTCTTTTACTGATGCCTGGTCCTTCATCCTGGAGCCTTTTCTCTTTTTCACATATCCCACCAGCCGTCATGAGTGTACATCTTTTTTTCATCCCAATATTTCCATCATATTGGCCTACGTTTCACCCATTCTGTCTCTTTTTTGACTCCTGTCAGCTTGTCTCACATACCTTAATTGTGTTATCACGAGTTTCTTATGTCCGTAGATGGACAACATCATCGACACGTCCGACCACCGCACGGTCCCTTGAAGCATTGATTCTCCTTTACCTCTCTCTTACTTACTGCACTCCCATCTATCATGTTACCTATGCTTGGAGGACTCGTCTTTGTGTCTTTGCACTTTGCCATCCCGGCACCGGCGTTCTTCTACACTCATTGGCCCGTCGTTTCTCTCAATGAATGAACCATCTGCATCTGAATTTACAATTTCTCTTCACGACCTCGTAGATCCTAGTACTAGCCACTAGCAAACCGCGATCTAGATCCGCTATCTATACGAGAATCTACCTTTACTCCTTCGTAAACCCATACGTAGCCGCCAGTCTCGACTCCAAATGCTCCGCCGCAGTCAAAGGTCTCTTCCCAGGCTCCAAAGTCCCCGCACCACCACCAAAGCCTACAACACCCACACCTCCAGCCTTAGCCCGATGGCCCTTAACAACCTCACTAGGCACAGGAACAAGCTCGGTCGCATCAACAGGATGACAGAAATAAACAAGCGTATACCGATCCTGCGGGTTCGGACTCCGCTGCTCCGCCAACGGGAACACAACCCGGTGCACGGTAGACTTGAGCAATCCATCCGTCCAGTAGCTAAGTAGATCTCCGATATTCACTAGGATAGGCGGGAAAGGGAATGCAGAGGCATCATTACCCGGGACGATGGGCACAGGTGCCCAGCTCCCATCCGGCGTGAGAATTTCCAGGCCCGGCTGGCCGGGTTTTTGGAAGAGGAGCGTGATGCTGCCGTAGTCGGAGTGTGCGCCAGCGCGGACGTCCTTGTCGTGCTTATAAGAGGCTGTTGCTGGGGAGAAAATTGAAGGGTAGTATAGGTAGCGCAGGATACTTCCTGTTGGTCCGCCGCTTGGGTCGTGGCGGGTTGTGAAGAAGTCTTGGGGCATCTAGGGATTTGGTGGGTTAGTTTGATACTCTCAGCTCAAGCTCAAGCCCAAATCCATATGTATACTTGGTTTTGTACATAGGCGATGATGATGATTATGATGATGGGATGAACGAACCTCAAGGCCCAGGGCGAGCAGGTTAAGAACTCGATTGCAGGTTTTATTGCAAAGGATAGCGAAGTCGCTGATTTCGGACTCGTGTGGTGCCAGGACTGGTGGGATAGGTTGTTGCGCTTTGCCGGCTTGGAAGTCACCGAAATTCATGGCTCTGTTTTGAGCATTCCTGTTAGTTGTATCTTGAGTGGGTATGAGGGTTGAGTGGGATCATACTCCTTGAAGTCACCAGTCTATGAGATATGATGAACAATTAGTAATTTATTCATTACAATATAGCAGGGTAAAAGAGGTGGATGTCAACTTACGCGCTGGTGCTCGGGGTCAAGGGTTTCTGTGTGCATGCCTGACCAGCCACGGTTCTAGTTTATTTAGTCAATGGTGTTTGATAACTCAACTTCAATGGTACTACTAGTACTTACATTAGGCGTGATACGGCATGTCTCCTTCTCCGTAGCGGGGGATGCAAAGAACTTCTTTGACTAGATGGAGGTCAGCGTCAAATCCTATAGAGATACTCGGGGATGCATTATCCATCCTTACCAGACCAAAGGCATGATCCACGTCTTTCGGGGTAAAGTCAGAGCCCTTGCTGTTCACATAGAGAAATCCATACTTGGCGGCGGCGTCGAGCATCGCCTTCCCCACGGCGGGGTCATGGGGATCGGAGATGTCAATGACCGGCAGTTCAATCGGTGCCGCAACGTCGATTTCGGCCATAATGAAGGGGTCAGAGAAGTTGTGGAGGGGTTGTTTAATAGAAGTGGGACTATCCGACTATCATATAGCTCCGAGTCTTGGTGCTAAGCTGCGCTAGAACGATATCGGTGGGAAGCAATCTCGGCCGACCTATTGCGGATCTGGCATATCTAAGAGCCGAGGATTGGGTCCCACGGTTTCCACAGGCGATATCCGACGTGCACAACCCCGCGATTATCTAGAATCGGGAGATGCTGTGCTCCGAACGTCCGAACTTGATGGTACTACTAGTAGTACCTACCAAGGTAGGTAAGTCTTGAACCTACTGCTACTAGTAGGTGGAAGTGCCGAGACATATAGTATCGGCTACTACCTAGGTAGGTTTCTGCAAAGTTCGTGAGTAGATAGCTTCAATATTTAGAGTAGTTCTACTAGTAGTAGGTACTAGTATCACACATAAGCCCTAGAAATCAATATCTCCAGGGCTAATACCAAATACTAGTAGTATGTTGATATCTTCCTACCTAGTATAGCATGACATCGATAGTACTAGTATGGATATCCTAGATTCTAAGCATCAGATCGATGAACTTGAAGGATATTAATAATTTCAGTTTTAGCTATAGGACCACTTCATACAAGTTTTCAAGAAACTCAATATATGTCTGGGATACCAATGGAAGTTGAAAGTATCCGAATAACTTGCTAGTTCAAATTCAAGTTCCAGCAAGGTTGATAGATTAGATCTTCCGTAGGGTTAGGGTAATACCAAGGGTACTAGTAAGCACTGGCAGGTAAATACTAAGCCTTCTCAAGATCTATGACGCCAAAAAGGGTAGATTCTAATATGAGCTAAGTCATACATTAACTGCATTTTGTCTAAGATCTAGTTTATTGCTAAAGGGATGTTCATTTGGTGAAATGTGGCATCTCAGTAGTACTAGTAGTCACACCTTTCACCCTTAGTAGAACACAAATAGAAAATACCGGAATTAAATAATTGTCCTATCCTTAGAGCTAACTCAAATAGTCTACAATGGTTAACTGTCTTACGAGGGAAGGGGTGTTTAAAAAAAAGAAAAGAGAAAAAAGAGAAAAACATTGGACCAGGCGCCAACTCCGCTTTCCCCCTCGACGTTTCGCAACATCGCGATCCTCAGCTCCCGCGACCTCCTCCTCCCCTCCCCCCACCACTTACCTGGGCATTATCATCATCACCCTCTCCCCAGCTCTCTATCTGGGTCTCAATGCTCGGTAGCTAGCTGTGCTTCTTGCCTCTCAGCTCCGCAACCATGCCAAGTAAGTCCTTCGCACCCTCACAGCCCTTCAGCGGATCCCTAACCAGTCATTTCGTCCTAGTCCGTCCCTTCGATGACTGGGTCGTAGGCCGCACCCAGTCCCTCCCCTTCTCGGCCCTCAAAGGTGCTGTCGTCGGTATCGATGCGTCGCATTTTATTGAGCAACATCTGATCAACGTTTCGACCCGCGAGGCCTTGTTGGGCGCACTGGGTGGTTTTCCGTTTGCCTTGAGAAGCAACATCGAGAAGGAGCTCCAGACCTTCAAGAATATCGGCGTCGGATGCATTTTTGTGTTCAATGGCCTAGAATTTGGAAAGAAGGATAACCTCACAGCCCCCCAGTCCGCATCCCGCTCCTACGCTCAAGCTTGGGAGCTCTATGATCAGCAACAGGCCGATCGGGTCGTTGACGCCTTCAGCAATGCCGGTATGATGACCACCCTTTTACTTGAACCAGCCAGCCCATGGACGAAACTTCCACCGGCGATGCTCCCCTACCACTTCTGGTCCCAGCAGGCGACTATACCAGACACTGACTATGACTATCGCGAACCAGGGACCCCTCCCCCGGAAACTCTCTACAAGTTCCTGCAGCGAATCTTGAACCAGAATGGTGTCTCTTTCATGGTGGCTCCCTACAGTGCTGCTGCTCAGGTAGGCCGGACACACGGGATTTGTGGTTTCTCGACTCAAGAGAGGTTCATTCCACTAACCAGATGAACTACCATAGCTCTCTTACCTTGCTCGCGGCGCCAATCCCGTCGTCGATGCCGTGTACGGACCATCCGAAGCCCTTTTGTTTGACCTAGAAAAGCTAGTGACCCGCATCGAAACGGAACCCGCACAATTTACATGGATCACGAAGCAGAATGCCCAGGAGGAACTCGGGCGCCTGACTAACGAGCAATTCCTCGATTTCTGTCTGCTCCTGGGCTCTCCCTTCCTGCGAGCTTGTCCTCTCTTTGAAAGTCCCGCCTTCCCCGGCAAAATTCCTTCCGTCCGTGATGCTTTGCCTATGTTTAACGCCACTGGGCGAAGTGCCCTGACACTTTGCGCCCAATACGAGGAAGATCGCCGCATGCAGGAACTTCAATACACAGACCGGTACAAGCGAGCATACATGATTGTGAAACATCACGTTTATATGGACATCGATGGCCGCGTTGGCCCTATGGACCAAGAAACGACTTCTTCGGATATGCACGAGCTCATCGGACAACGACTCCCCGAGGAGCTATACTTCTACCTCTCCAAGGGTCTTTTGGGCCCAGATGTCCCCAACTTCCTGACATCAGGTGAAGTGCGCATTTCATTGCCTTTGGGCACTGAAGATTCCGAAGTCTACCGTCAGCTCGTGGGTGACACCCTCACACCGATCCGATCGCAGTCAATCTGCCTGCTTGCCAATTCCCTCCACCGATTCTACCAGACCAAAGTAATCCATATTCGTCCTTGGTTTGATGAGAAATCAGAGAGAAACATCACCCTCAAGAATATCCCGTCGGTGAAGGAGACTATCCAAGCCTGGAAGATTTCTAGTGCCCAGCTGCCCGAGAGTGTCAAGAAGCTACAATTGCCTCGCGGATCCCTGAAGTATGCCATTCAAAGTGCTAGCACCTCGGATTTCACATCCAAGTCGTTTGCCACTAAAGAAACTCCCGTATGTTTTCATATACGCCTTTTTTTCTCCACGTACATAGCTAACTATGACTTTAGATCTTGTCGACGCAAGAAGACATATTATCCAACGTGATGTGGCGATTCTTGCAATTGCGTGGCTATATTGATGATAAGCACAAGCTGACCGTGTGGGGCAAATGTCTTGAACAAGCGCTGTCAAATGTGGACCCAGCGGACAACCTCGAGGTGGCCATTTTCATTGCCATTGAGATGCTTCGCATGGATCTCCTTAACACTAAACAATGGTTCTCCCATGTGTCCGGAGGACCAATGAGAGGGTCTGGTAAGTTTGGTCTGATGCTGTCGTGCTTGAGAATGAATGGAGCTAACTAGCCTGTGCTTTTTAGAGGAAGACAAGTCATTCAATATGCTGGTTTCCCGAGTGGCCTGCATTGCGAAATTGCAGCATAAGCCGATTGGCTACTCTGGTCCTTTGAGCCGACAACTTCTCTGTTACCGTTCTCTAATTTCGGAGGTGCGGTCTGCACTGAGAAATCTGATTGAGGTGGTACTGGCTGGTCTGTTCCTCAGCGGCGATGCCGACCGTGAACGTAATGACTGGACTGAATTGGCAATCAAGTATGTATCCCTTGATTTGCACCACCTCTGGAAGTATTTCTAACACCTTTATCTCCAGGCTTCCTTTTATTGACGATAATGACTGCGGCCTCGGTATCGCTGTCCGCACTTACCTGGATGACCTGCCTCTACAACCCAACCCCACCTCACCTGAGGCGCGGGCGGAAGTGAAGTCAAAGGGCAAGGAATGGTTCCAGCACAGCGAAAGCTTCACCGGCAACCTGGATCTTGCTTTCAAACTCTGGGATGCGGTCTACAAGGGAACCCAGAATGCCGGTAAAGAGGTTAAGGATGTGAAGCTGTGGAGTGATGCAAACACGTGGTTGTCGGAGCGCCGATGAAGGGACGAAGCCGAGACTAATAGCTATTCTGGCGTCCTCATCTCATCAGAGAAGTAAAGGCCTCTGCCTTCCGACCTCATGTCTTGCCGAGCTGGTTCTTTTAAGGCTGTTACATCGAAATATCAACGAGGGGATTTCGGGTCTACCATATCGACACGAACCGCACCCGAAGCGCCTCAGCCTCTTTGTGATTTGATGACTCCAGTAGGCTGCATGGATATCTTCAGCATGTACTAGTGGTGAATCCTCGTGTGTATTACTATCGACCTAGTCATCAACAATAAAAAGAAGAAAAGGCCCATTTGCGAGGAATATGAAAATCACCCGAGTAGGTAGTAATACATCAACAGCCTCGGGACCCGACTGTGTAGCCCGAAAATATTGTCCCTGGCCGCAGCTTGTATATTACGAGCTACATTGAGTACTTACTCGTATATGTGTAGCTACTAATTAGCTACTAGAGTTGGTGGTATGTAGTATGTAGTATGTAGTAGTAAAGGTCCGCGGTGTGGATGATCTGCGGAACTGCGGAGGCAAAGTGGCCTTTTCGGGTTGGGGTTGTTTTGTCATCATCCTTTGTCACCTTTCAATTCCACTGTTTTCCTCGAAGGAATTGGACCAACATACCTTCAACTCCATCTTCTTCACCAGAATCACACAGAAAATGGTTCGCTTGAGCTCCGTGCTGGTGGGCGCCGTTACCGCGCTCAGCAGCTTCACCAATGCAGCCTCCGTCGTCACCGACCTGATCCCCAGCAACTTCGACAAGGTCGTTCTTCAGTCCGGCAAGCCCGCACTAGTCGAATTCTTCGCCCCCTGGTGCGGTCACTGCAAGACCCTTGCTCCCATCTACGAGGAGCTTGCCCAGGTTTTCGCCCACGCCGAGAACAAGGTTACTGTCGGCAAGGTTGATGCCGATGAGCACCGCGAGCTAGGCAAGCGCTTCGGCGTTCAGGGTTTCCCCACCTTGAAGTGGTTCGATGGCAAGAGTGACAAGCCGGAGGAGTACAAGGGTGGTCGTGATCTGGAGAGCTTGTCCGCCTGGATTACGGACAAGACTGGCATCAAGCCCCGTGGCGCGCAGAAGGAGGCAAGCAAGGTTGAGTTCCTGAACGACGCTACCTTCAAGACTACCGTTGGCGGCGAGAAGGACGTTCTGGTCGCATTTACTGCGCCGTGGTGTGGCCGTGAGTTGAAGCCTTTCTTTGTTCCTACGAATCTTTGTATCGATGTGCCCTTAGCTGACTGTTTTGTTTTTACCCTATCTAGACTGCAAGACCCTCGCTCCGATCTGGGAATCCCTCGCCATTGACTTCGCCCTCGAGGAGAACGTTGTGGTTGCCAAGGTCGACGCCGAAGCTGAGAATGCCCGCACCCTCGCTAAGGAGCAGGGCATCACAGGATACCCTACCATCAAGTTCTTCCCCAGGGGAACTACCGAGCCAGAGCCCTACGCCAGCGCCCGTTCCGAGGAGGCTCTCGTTGAGTTCCTGAACCAGAAGGCCGGCACCAACCGCGCCGTTGGCGGTGGTCTGAACCAGAAGGCCGGCACCATCGCCGCTCTGGACAGCCTCGTTGCTGAATACGTGCCCACTCACAAGTTCGAGAAGCTGGCCGCCGAGATCAAGAAGGCTGCCAAGGATGCCCAGGACAAGTATGCCAAGTACTATGTTAAGGTTGCCGATAAGTTGAGTCAGAACCAGGAGTACGCTGTCAAGGAGCTGGCGCGTCTCTCCAAGGTCCTGGGCAAGGGTGCCTCTGCCCCCGAGAAAGTCGACGATATGGTCTCTCGCAGCAACATCCTCCGCGGCTTTGCCGGCGAGAAGGAGGAGGCTGGCAAGGACGAGCTGTAAAATACCTTTGTTTCGTCTTTATAAGTCTTAATTGACTTGGGTCTGAGGTATCCATGTTGAAATGGTGTTGAACTCGTGATCCATGATCAATAGCGCAATTGGAATTTTGCCACAAATCTTTCTTAGCATGATGTTGTATTTCACGAAGATTGAAGTACTGAATGAATCCCATCGGGTCTTGTCTCATTTGGCTATGAGGCCCAAATATGTATACAAAAAATGATATTGGACTCGGGACTCTCTCGTAGTCACATCTTCTAGATGCTTTGTCCTATCGGAATATAGGGTATCGTCGCAAAAAAATAAAAACTAGTAACATAACACAGGCTAACCATTATGTGGAGGCCATGTTCGTGTTAATGTAAGTGCCAGCACTAACCAGTTCCTTTCAAATCGCCACCTGGTTGCGCGTAGCATACTCCTCATTCGCACGCAGGCTTCTGTCTGGATTTCATTCTATTTAGTTGGTGTCGCCGATGTTGATTCGTTTGCAGATCCGGCCATAGAGGCCTCCAGCTCGTCCAGTCGACGGGTCATGTCGTCCACTAGGAGATAATAGTGAGCAATTGAACACGGTCATATATGATGGGCGCTAGCACTGCCAGGCAATAAGGACTAGCCGGAATGAGACATACATTTCCCAAAAACCTCCTTTGAGACATGATCGAACTTGCCCTGTAATTGATCGAGGAGCTCATCGACAGCCACAGTGAGCTGGCCTTGGGCATCGGAGTTCTGATATATCGGTGAGTTGGGGAAACATCGTCCAGTATTTGGTGTTGACAAACGGGTTGTGACAGGAAAGACTCTTCGGCAGACGTCTTTTCGGGAGAAGCTTCCTCAGCCATGGTGAAGTAGTTGAGTCCCTTGGACGTTGTATGTGTTATGCGGGCGCAAGACCATGGATCTTGGACCTTCGCATTCCCGCCGCAGTGGAAGGTCGATAAGCACGGAACATTTGTTGATCCGAGGGACCTTATCGCCAATCTAACCAAATTGGGACTGGTCCGAGTTCAAAAAAATCCCGTAGAAGTCGAGCCCGGCCGCTCTTCACACCCCCAATTGTCAACTCCAATTCCCCCACGACTAGACATCATGGTCAAACGAAGCAAGCTTATGCAAGCGCTTGACGCCCACAAGGGCCGCGACTATGATGCCGAAAAGCAGAAGAAGCAGGTCAAGGCTGCTGAGAAGCGAAAAGGTGTGAAGCACGAGCCTGCTACTAAGAAGAGCAAGAAGGCTGCGCCTGTAGACGAAGATATCGAAATGAGCTCCGGTGCTGAGGAGGATGAGGAAGTCCCCGAGGAAGACGAGGCTGAGGAGGCCGGCGACGACTCTGCCGAGAATGAGGATGAGGGCGAGGACGAGGACGAAGAAGAGGAGGAAGAAGATATTCCACTCTCAGACCTCGAAGAGGACGAGCGCGAGGATGTTGTTACCCACCAGCGCCTGACAATCAACAATGCCGCCGCCATCAATGCTTCCATCAAGCGCGTTTCCTTCATCACCAACCAGACCCCATTCTCCGAGCACAACTCCTTAGTGTCGCAAGAGCCGATCGATGTCGAGGACCCCAACGACGATCTCAACCGCGAGCTGGCTTTCTACAAGGTCTGCCAGGCCGGCGCTCTCCAGGCTCGTGGTCTGCTGAAGAAGGAGGGTATCTCGTTCACCCGCCCCGGTGACTACTTTGCCGAGATGGTCAAGAATGACGAACACATGGACAAGATCAAGAAGAAGCTATACGACGAGGCTGCCGGCAAGAAGGCCGCCGCCGAGGCACGCCGCCAGCGTGACTTGAAGAAGTTCGGCAAGCAGGTGCAGGTCGCCAAGCTGCAACAGAGAGCCAAGGAGAAGCGTGATACCATGGAGAAGATCAACACTTTGAAGAAGAGTAAGTTACAAACAAGCCCCGTCTGAGCCAATGATATCTTTCCTGGGCAAAAGAAAAGTTCTCGAACTAATATTTTCTTTTCTACTTTACAGAGCGCAAGGCCGATTCTTCTGCCCCCACCGATGACTCCAAGGATCTCTTCGACGTCGCCATTGAGGAGGCCGGCCAGCCCGAGCGCAAGCGCGGTCGCACTGACGGTGGTCCCAACAGACGTGCGAAGAAGGACCAGAAGTTCGGATTCGGTGGCAAGAAGCGACACATGAAGAGTGGCGATGCTGCCTCCAGCGGTGACCTGTCCAACTTTTCTCACAAGAAGATGAAGGCGGGTGCGAAGCGTCCCGGCAAGAGCAAGCGCATGGCCGGCAAGCGCTAAGGAAAGGATGCTTTCTGTCTGAGAGAGTAGAGGGAGGAGTGGAGAAGGGGAAGAGAAGAGGAGAGAAGAGCGCAGGGCTGAGTGTGACGAAGGCGCCAGCAAGCGCACCCAAAATTCCTAGGTGGTCATCCACCATTGCTTTGTGTAATATCTAGAAATACCTTGCATCTGCACATTCCTATTGAAAGATTGAAAATTCAAACAACCCCCACGTCGTAATTATCGTTCATACGAGTTCACGCCATCCGGCATCTCGTCGAGAAACAAGCGTCTTGGCTCTCGTGGCGAGGGCGCCGAATAGGAAATTGGTCTCTTATTATTAAATTATCCGATCAGATTAGATTTTGATGAATCCAAGGGTACCCTATACTTTCCATGATCCCCAATGTGACCCTTTAGACTCGAGAGTTTGTTCTAAATACCAACTAACTCGTCTTTTACCCCTCCTCTTTTACTCCTTGTAGCAAAGCTTCGAAGTCTGAATCACTTCACCATGGCCGAGTAGCGCTATCTGGCCGTTGGTCACCCCCAGTGGGTCGATGTTCGTGACAACCCTACTATCATATCATATTCATGACCGAAGTCCCCCACGATAGAGCAACTAAGTAAGGAACATAGATCTAGTTCCCCAATAATCTTCCCCCTAATACTCGCCGCGTGTCCATGAACCGAGACCGTCTGGAGATCGTTCCACAACCTGAGCTGAACATCCACGAATTTGATATTCCCGCACGAGATGGACATTCTATCTGCGTCCGAGCATACAAACAATCGGGTCAGATCGACCTGCCTCTCCTAATGTATCTGCACGGTGGTGGCTTTATTACAGGAGGCCTTGAAACAGACGATGTCTCATGTCGTGCGTTGGCAGCGCAGATTCCCGTACTTGTATTAAATGTCGAATATCGACTGGCGCCAGAGAACCCATTTCCAACTGGCCTTGAGGATAGTTTTGATGTCTTTCGCTGGGTAAGTGTTACATACAAACGAAAGCCACCTAAATTTGAGCAGAGAGCTGACTTCCATCCAGGCTGTCTCTCACGGATCCTCCCAGCTACCCATTAACCTGCAGCGAGGTTTCATTCTGGGTGGCACGTCTGCCGGCGCCAACTTTACAGCCGGCATTGCCCATCTTGCAGTGCAAGAAGGGTTGGCACCGGCACTGACGGGGCTATTGTTCTTGGCAGGTAGCTTCTGTCATCCCGATGTACGCCCAGAGGAGTATCGTGATCGGATCCTCAGTGTGGATGAGATCAACGATGCGCCGGGACTCACACGAAAATCCATTGACTATTTTGCGGCCAAGTATGGAGCTCCGCCAGAAGACAAGCGTCTCTCGCCACTTCTTTTTGAATCGCATGCCAATCTGGCGAAGAAGGCTATCTTCTATGTTTGTGGATGGGATCCCCGACGCGATGAGGCGTTGTTGTTCGTGGAATTGTTGAAGGAGGAAGAAATTGATACAAAGGCGTATGTCTATCCGGGACTGCCACATGGCTTCTGGACAACTTGCCCTGACCTAGATGTACCGAAGGATTGGCAGAGGGACTTGATCGAAGGTGTTCGATTCCTCTTGGAATAGTAGTAGTTCGGTAGTTTTGAATTTGGATGTGCTCTGAAGAGTATCTAGTTATGTGTACATGAATCAAGTAGTCTTTCGACAAAGAGCCCTGTGAGGGAGCAAAAAGGTAAATGAGAGATCGATATTCCAAGCATTTTTCATATAATATAGGCCAGCATATTCATCTTTTGAAATACGCATGGCTTTTTTACTCCTGATCCTCAGCCTCGGTCTTGGCGACTCTCTTCTCTTCCCATGCCTCGAGGAATTTCTGTACCTTGGGGCCCCAGACTTCCTCGCCCGCATCAAGATCCTTGTATTCAATAATATTTTCCGGCTCGAGGGTGTACTCAGCTTGTCGACTGCGCACAAGCTCGCTCATCAGAGCGCAGCTACCAACGGCCTTACCTAGATCGTGTGCAAGCGACCGCACATAAAATCCAGATGTCACAGTCATGGAGATCTTGACTGCGGCGGGCTGAGTCTTCGGCTGCTCTGTCTCAGTGGTGGGAGCTTTAGCTGTTGCGGGTTCTGGAACAGGAGGCTCAGCGGCAGCAGGCTGGGCGGCGCCATCCTCAGAGACCTTTTGCTTCTTGGTAGCATCTTGATCACCCTCCTTGGGAGAGTCCGCGGCAGGAGGTGACTTGCGTTTCGCAGACTGCGCCTCCGCGTTCTGGGAAGCTTCGCTCTCTGCCGAAGGGACCACCGGCAGCGTGGCATCCTGCTCGAGGAGTTTATCTGCGACGAGCTTCGCATCGCCAGAAATCTCTTCTTCCGGCCACTTGTGCTCGTGTGTACCAGGCTCATACCACTCGACGATGTCCATGTTCAAGACCTCCACTGGACGAGACTTGATCTCGATGGGCGGGGCCTTGCCCTCACGCGCATACTCGTACAATTTCTTGCCCTCCACCTTCAACGCCGAGAAGATCGGTGGGCGTTGCATGATCTTGCCGCGGAATTGCTCGAGAGCCTTCTCAACGGCCTCGCGCGTAATATGCTCGTAAGGTGCTCGGCGAACAATCTTGCCTAGTCGATCATAGGAGTCGGTCTCGGCACCGAAAATCACAGTTGTCTCGTAGGTCTTGGTGCATGCCAGGAAGTCGTTGAGCGACTTGGTACCCTTGCCCACGCCGGTAACCAGAACACCAGTCGCAAGCGGATCCAGAGTACCACCATGGCCGATCTTGACGTCTAATTTCTGAGTGCGCCGGCGCTTGCGCTGGTACTGGCTCTCACGCTTTCGACGGGCACGTTCCTCCTCCAGCCATGGCCTGAAGAGATCGGAAGGATTGAAGTGGTGTTGGAGCTTGCGAATCACGTCGGCCGAAGTAACGCCCTGTGGTTTGTGAACGGCTTGCAAAAGTCAGTTGTGAAGTTTCCAGGTTGGAGTGAAGGTAACTGAGGGGGTAAAGACATACCGAAAACGCCCTCGAAGATCTTCTCGCCAGACATTCTGTTTGTGCGGAAAGATCGAAGAACAGACGGGAATACCATCTGGTGTCTAGCTGTGGAATTGTCAAGAAGCTCAAGTTCGAAAGCGAATGGAGTCCGAAACTGACCCGGCGAGTCCTATGGGACGTGTAATTTTGGTATCGATAAGGTATTGGTAACTTACCGGCATCTCCCACTGCCACTGCCACTCCATTTCCAACTTAAGAAGGGACGACCCTAAGGAAAATACCTTGAATCAACAACCTGAACCTCATTCACACTTCTCTTCCCCGATCTCATCATCGTGGAAACCTCCCTTCTCCCCCAATCCACAATGCTGCGACCGCGATCATGACCTCCCGCGAAGAAACCGTCCTACCTCCCATTGATACCTCCATCGGCGACGAGAATGAGTGGCCCGAGTTCGAGCTCACCGATGCGAAGGTCTTGCGACCAGGGAAGATGCTTTACGCGAACCTGCTGGAGGCATCTGAGCAGACCCCAGTTCAAGTCATTGGCTGTCTAGAGCTCAAGAAGGGTCAAGAACAACTACGTGCGTCTACTTTCTTTTCCCTGTCTCAGTCCGCTTATCGCGACGGCGCACCGGCGCACGCGTCGTGAGTCGTGACTAGGGTATCAAGCTTGACTCTGTGGTTACTCATCCCATAATTCTCTAGTACTCGATCCCAAGAATCTCAACCCTCGCGTCATACTTGATAATGTCACACATTATGCCTACGGTCAGATGGAAGATCGAAGTGTTGAGCTGTGGGCTGCTGGTAAGTCGGGTTGGTACAAGGTCTCACCAGCCAAGCGATACCTACCGCATTTCAATCGCATCGTCCAGGCAGTCGACGCCTTTTATTTCTTGATGGATAAACACCAGCATGGCAGGAAACAACTCAATCCAACCTTCAAGAGTCTCTGCGAGCAGGTAAGAGCTCTCTCGTCCGACTCTGCGGGAGTGGCCCCCACTAACCAATCCCGATTGATCAGTATGTCTTTCACACACATGGTGCTTGTGAAACAGCGGTGGAATCAGCAGACGTGTTTATGGGACATTCTTCTTTTCTACTCCGCTGTATGATCGAAGAAGATGACGATGGCGATGTGGAATGGACCAAGACCAACATCTTCCTGCATCTCCGCAGGCAGTTTAAGGTGCGCAAAATAACACATTATACCTCTGCATTGCTACATGAACGATTACTGATTCATCTCATCCTTAAAAGCAGGATGAATACGAATCCCTTGTAGATCTTCATTCTCCTAGGAAGACAGATATGAACAATCTCTCGGAAGAACCTCAAGCGTCAACTCCGCGCCACGAACCCACTGCGATTGCGAAATCACAAGCAAATGTCGTGTATCAGCTGATTATGGAACTCAAGGATGAGGGTCACCTGGCGAAGCGTCGACTTCACATTGATCTTCTGACAGAACGCCTGTCAGAGAAATACTCTTTCAGCGAAGAGAATGCTCGCAAGATCGTCGCGGCGAGAGCAAATGCTGTGCTAGAGATGTTAGACGAAAACGACACGCCTAGCTTTAAATGGTCACGATACGTAATCCATCGAGAGCTTGTGAATGCTGCCTCACAAAACGTCACTTTACCGCCAGGCCTTCTCACGCCCTTACAATTGGCCGATGACTCCAGCGACGACGAACATCTAATAAGGACCCAAAAGTCCGTTCTCCGTCCGAAGGGGAATTCTTCCGTCTCTGGGAAAATCATGGGCAAACGTAATCGCAATGCCAATGCATATCAACAGAACACCCAGTCTGGCATCGAAGCTGATGCTGATGCCGGCAGCGAAGACGAAGAAGAGGATGAAGTTATGGAAGACGTCGAGACCCCGAGTAAGGTTCGGGGCCACGAGCTGATCCGAACACCTCTGGCATCTGCCAAAGCTCAAGATCGCTCATTCCTCGGCAATCCTCAATCCGCAGCCGCATCCCTTCTCAAGAGTGTTCTTTCCGCAGATGTACCAAAGACATCATCTGCGCTTGCATCCAAAGCAACAAATGGAAGGTTGAGCTTTGGCATTGGCCGACCCCCGAGCGGTGAAACGAATGGCCTGGTCGAGCCTGAAACATGGACATGCCGTATCACTGGATGTTCTAAGACTATTACCAGCAAAGGGGAAGAGCGCAAGCAAGAGATCTCCGATCATGGTGGGGAGCATGATTGGGATTTCCAGATGCAAGTTGAATTGGTCGAAGCAGAGCGCCGCCTGCAACCAAATCACCCTGTCAGCAATATGATGCAGTATCTGCTCAACCAACACAACCAACAGATGCGTGCGGCGTTCCCAGAAATCTACCCACAAGAGGTAGTAGTGAATGAAACGGCCGACCAATCTGACACCACCTCCATCGATGAGGAGCATATCCCCGAGCCAGAGCCAAACCACGACCTGTCTGCTGAATTAGACCTGAGTGTAAATGGACATACAACCTGAAGGTGTTGGAAATGACCAACCATCCTCACGATCATGATGTACCGAATTTTCACGACTACCGTACGAAATACCACCGCCAAATAGGCTTATGGTGACGCCGAGCCTTTATTTGCTGTTTGGAAAGGTACGCCTTGACATCGTTTTTGTATAACAGGTTCGAGTCTAACACCCCATTTGCAGATCCACAGCTGTACACTATTTTCCAAATCAATTTGAATCCCATTTATGCTAAATGGTCCCTGAGATGGTCTGCGTATTTCCTGGGGGTTGTGCCCTGCAAGTTCGCCCATGTAACCCTACCCCAGGGCAACTACTTCGTCCCGAAGATACAACGTGAATAGCCTACCAGTGCCTTGTTAGGTATTCTGGGGGATAAAGAATTGCACCGAGTGGTTGAGATACGCTACTATAGTACTAGTACTACCTAAGTACAGGTATAGAAACAATAAATTCACAGGCAAATTCTTCTTCCACTAATCGTGAAATTTGCTCGAAAGAGCGAGACAAGTATGGTATGGTCATACAATGTACAATTCCGCACAAGGCCACTGCTTCCAGTTGCGGTTGCGGCCATACTATCCCAGGAAAGAGTAGCCAAGGCCCGGCGGGTCATTGGGAAGGAGAAGCTATTGAATACAAACTCCCGGACCCAAGAGGGTCGATGCAAGACAGAGCGCACGTTCTGACTTCACCTATTCATGGATTTGGGAGGAGAGGTTGAATGAGAGAAGGAAAAGAAGCTTTTTGACTTGGAGGGGTATACCACGAAAACATGCCACATATATCACGCACATACAGGATGAGGACGAGAGAGAGAAAAATGAAAAATGAAGGAAAGAAGAAGAAGAAAAAGATAGAAGGGAGAGACGGAGAGATGAAGGTCGGTGAAAAGAAATATGAAAGGTTAGTGCAGGAATGTGAGGCAGGAACGCAAGGTCTAGCTGGTTGAGATGGAAGGAAAATGAAATCGCGTATGCAGAAAAAGATCATAGACGTAATGATCAATGTGTTTAAAAGGATATGAGAGGGGAGGAAGAAGAAGAGAAATGTAATCAAGGAATCCTGTCCTCAAAAGATCGGGAAGGAATCATTGTTGATGAACAATGTGAGCGTCGACAAGGGCTGGGACCGCGGAGTTAGCAAATATAAAACGAATTAGGCGTAGTGATTAAGATTGACTTACTCTGAAGTGCAGACGATTGTCCCTGTCGCGATTCGCAGGCGCACTGAAGGGTGCTGCCATCCAAAAAGTCCAGCAAAATGCTGTTAGGCAGCTCTTGCATGTCCTCGTCAGGAAGACAGGGAGTTCGGAACTCGCTAAGATGGTATCGCTTGGTCATGTTGCGAGCAGTGGCATCAGTAGTGCCAGGCGCCAGAACAAGGAATCCGTTCTCGTCGATGCGCATTACTCGGCGCTTCCAAAGGAGGGTATCGGGGAATTGCACGTTGACTTCACCAATTTCGATAGGGTTGGAGAGATGGCCATGGGATGGCGAGGGGGAAATAGCAGACTCGTGTACAGAGATAGGGTCAATGTCTTCCTCCTTCACTGGCGGGGACAAGGCTCCGATGATGCTACGACGAGAGTTTGAGGTGATGGAGGAGACGCGACGCATGAGGCGCGAGGCGCGAGAGCCCTTCTTTTCATCAACAGGTGAGGAAGAGTTCAAGTTCTCCTCGGTCCTAGAGCGCGAAGACAAGGAAAGTCGACTGCCTGGACGGGAATTTGGGGTAGCAAGTCGGCCGGACCCAGCAGATGAAATCGACATGCTGCGGTCCTCCGGGCGATTGATAGCAGTCTCGGAGCTCGTGTCTTGAGATAGAGGGGGCTCCGAGGTCTCATGCTCCACAGTCAGTGGACTGGCCTGGAGATTGAGAACATCGGACTCCGAAGGCTCCAGTCCAGAAGAGCCGGGAGATAAATCTGAGTCGCGGACTATACGAGCCGTCACTGAGATTGAGTTGGTGCGGCGGGTACTAGTGGAGGCAGAACGCGAATCCTGGCGGCTCAGGCTTGGTGCGCGAGAAAAGTCCGGAGTGCTGCCACTAGGGATAGAGATCGATGCACGCTTGCGCAAGTTCTCGAAAGACGGCGAGGCTGAAGGGGCCGTCACAGTGACTGTTGAACCAGCTGGAGCGCCTTCACGGCTAGAGAACTTCTCCAGTGCCTTGATACGAGACGAAATGCCGGAAGATACGTTGATTTTCTTGGCCATCATCACCGGGGTCGGAGGGCCGTTCTCAGGATAGGAGCTAGATGCGGACCTGCCCACTTGTAGTGCCTGTAGAGCGGAAGGAGAAGCAAGGCCGTGTGGGCTGGATACAGCGCGGGAGCCTCTCCAGGAGTTCTCACCACCGTTGGGCGACTTGACCGAAACTGGTCTGGCCTCCTGCACGGTAGCCGATCGGAGCTCTTCCATGAAAGAATCGTCCGACAGGAGATTGTCGTCGTCAGAGAATTCGTGGGTTGGGACGTGGATGGGCTCCAGGTGAATATTTCGCCTTTGGTCTAGAGGAAGCGGCTCCGTCTTGGGGCTAGGGGACTCTTCGGGGGCAGCTTCAATCGACACCGAGACGGGCGCGACCGAGGCCTCCAATGGTTCAGCCACGGGGTTTTGTAACGGGCTTGTGGAGAATGATATGGCAGGCAGGGTAACTGGTTCAGTGGCCTCCGGTAGGGTAGCTTCGACGGCTTCAGCCTCCTCTAACTGCTGATCTGCCGCCAGTGAAACTTGGGGTTGTTGGAAAGGAGCGGCTCCTGGTTCAGGCTTCGGGTCTGAAACTTCGGCCGACTCCCTGTCAAGTGGAGATTCGGCAGAGACGCTAGGTGGGACTAGGTCACCCTTAGTCTCGTTTTGGCCAAGGATTGCGGAGTCTTCTTGATCGGCGCCTGTTTCATGATCAAGGACCGTCTGTGGAGTCTCGGATTGGGCATCTTCAAAAACCGAATCAATATGCATAGTAGAGAATGTGGTATCGGCACTAGGCTCCGAAGTATGTGATGAGGGTTCGCCCTCGGAATCTGATTCGGGTACAGAAGTGGAGGATTCTGGGGCAGGAGTTTCCACAGCGGGCTCTTCGGATTGGGAAGGCTCGTCGGGCTTGCTAGGTTCCTCAGGATGGGTAGGCTCCTCGGGCTTAATAACCTCCTCTTCTTTAATGACTAGTTCACGGACTGAAGTCAGAGATTCCTCTTGATCGATAGGAGCCTCTTCCTGAACTGGTAATTCTGGAGCCGAAGAGGGCTCAGGGACGGGCTCAACAGCTGGTACTTGCGGTTCTGCTTGGGTTTCCACAGGACCCTCGAGACTTGGCTTAGCTGCAAGCGGTAGAGACTGGTCCACAGATGGCTCTTCCTCCGTGGCAGGCAGAACTAGAGCCGAGGCGGGCTCAGTGACGGACTCAGTGACGGGCTCAGTAGCTGGCAATTGCGGTTCTGCTTGGGTTTCAACAGAACTCTCGAGGCTTGGCTTGGCTGCTAGCGATAGAGACTGATCCGCAGATGGCACTTTCTCTGTGACAGGCTGCTGTTTAACCTCTGGCTTCTCCGGCTCGGCCTGCTGAAACTGCGGATTGACGTTTTCTTTATTGCCCTCGTAGGTTTTGGCAGCCAGTTCCTCCGCTTTGGGCTGCTCCTCTACTTCTGGTATATTTTGTTTCTTCTTGTTCTCTGCCCGCTTCGCCATGTTTTTCTTTCTCTGTTGCAGCGCCTTCATCAAACGTTCCTTCTCGGGAGTCAATCCAGACGATGTTGACAATGCACCCAAAGACTTGGCGCCGGGGGATAGTTGGGGCCTGGAGATAGGAATCGAAGGCGGAGGAACAAGCAGGGGAGGAATTGGTGGAGCTCGGCTGTTGGGTCTACTTGCGAATGAACTTCCTTGGGAGCGTGGACGAGGGGGGTCGGGGGCGGCGTTGTTCGATTTCCGGACCGAAGATGAGCGCATGTTGGATGGTAAGGATGCGACGGGCCGTTGATCTGGGTTCCGCGAACTCCCCGCAGTACGAGGCCGTCCACTTTGATCAACAGACGGACGTGGACCTAACTTGACCTTTGGAGAGTAGCCCGCTGCCCGTTCCAATTCCCTGAGCGAGGGTCTTGCGGACTGGGTTGACATTCGTGCTTCCTCCGATGGCCGAGGAAACTCATCCAGAATGTTGCGATACTTTGTATATTCCGAACCAGAATCGGGTGATCTGGGGGACGTGGTCACCGATTGTGTTTCACTGGGGCTTCTTCCACGGGAGTGTGATCTTGAACTCGCTCGGGACGGTGGGGGCCGTAAATCGGGTGACGATGTTTCAGGGCCAGGAGACGTTGTCGTTGTAGGGGGGGATGTTGGCGGCGGCGGCGGAGATGTGGCTGTGGGTGGCACCACTGTAGCCTCTGATTTTTGACTGCCCGATCTTTGACGGGCCTCGGACCTTGGAGGTGCCACTGGGTATTCTTTTGTCTCTTCCTTTAATCCATTCTCGTCGGCATCCTCGGTGATCTCCATCAGTCGACGGCGACGCAGGGAGCTTGACGAAGAAGTGATAGACCCAGAAGCAGTGTGAAGAAGGCATGCTGATGACAAGGAACTCTCGTTGAGATCCGACGCCTGGGTCAAAAGGAGGACGGTGTCGTTTGGCGTGAACTTATCGGTAACGGATTGAAATTGAACATTGCTGCGGGCTGTAGTCGAACATTCCAGTCAGACGATCCACTCGCACGAAGAGTAATCTCGCATTTCCCCTTGACCTTGACCTACCTTGAATCAACCGTGACAAGCCCTCGGGCATGTACCGCAGAATCACCTTCCTCCGCCGGTAATGCAGGAAACCGTATAGCGGTGACGTTTCCTCGTAGTTGTCGATGGCATTGCGTACCTCGGGGACCCCGCCGGTACCTCGATGAAGGAGATCGACCTTATCCCTAGAGATATAGTGTAACAGGAACCTGAGGGAAGCAACGGGTTAGCGATGTCCAAATACAATTTTCATGTTGACAGATTGCGCGGCGCGTTGGGCGCAAAAGGGGGCCACTTGACAAGACGGGAGAAAGTAGGGGACTTACCATCCGCCGGCGTCGGCCAGTGCACTCTGGTAGGCTTCGACGATGACGGGATTCTCTAGCCCATTGAGAGACATGGCGCGAACGACATGGAGGCAAGTCGAAAGCGTGAGTTGAGGAAGGAAAAGGAGGGGAGCCGAAGTCTGGAGGTGTCTGGACGCTAGGCACACGGACACTAGGAGCAGGCCAGAGGAGCCAGGGCCACGGGTTAGAGATCTCGAGATCGAGAATCAGTCCAATCACGAAGGCTCGGGAGGAGCGAGAGGGGGCCAACAGTTGAATTGTCTGATAGGCTCTGCGGCGCGAACCTCTGTGGATGGTACCTTGTTGGGTTTCAGGGGGACCATCCGTTCGGTGGTTTGACTCCACTCGCGGCTATCCCAATTTAAGTGGGCAAGCTGAAACACTCGCTCGGAGTCCGTTCTCTTTATAGCATGGTTGAATCCTATCTGTCAGTGAGCCTTGTTGTTGTGCTGGTAGCCCTGTTCGTATGCGCATGACAGGACAGGGCAGGATAGGTCCGGGACAAGGTTGCTGGTAGATGTATGGCAGTACATATAGTACAGTGTACAGAGTACAGTGTACACAGTGATACTTACTTGATACCCCTAATTAGCTAATTAGAGTAATGCATGCATTATCCCATACCAGTGATCATAGTGATCATAGTGATCAGTGGATTCACCATTGTATGCATATGCATAGAGATACTTCCTCTTCATCCATGGGTATCCTAGGGATATAAACTTATCAACTGATCAATTTCTCCCGCGGATCCCCGCCTCGTCCTGAGGACACTCGGCGACCCCCGATGGCGGGGACCCAAGAACCATTTCTACTTAATACCAGTATTCCACGCACTGCAATTATTCTCTTTTACTCGATTTGACTTGACTCGCCCCCCTCATCCTCATCATGGACCTCCCCGCTCTCCCCTCGCTCCCCTCGTTGCCACAGGAGGCCCAACTGCGGGTGCTGGACACCCTTTTCGAGCCCTCCCCCCGAACTCCACCAACTGATGCTGCCTTTACTGGCGAACCAGACCTTCAACTCTTACGCGTCACTCATCGATGCCGTTGGGGGGCCGCATGTCCGCCCTCTCCGCCGCCAACTCCCCCACTGACCGGAATGTTCTATTCGGCATTCTGGGCTCGCACCCTCGGCTCGGACGGCCCGCCGCTAACCCCGAGCATCTCAGCGAACTGAGCAAAAAGGAACAGGCCCAGCTGCAGACCGGCGCCGAGGAACAAGCCGAGAAATTGCGCGAATTGAATGCCGAGTATGAGGAGCGATTCCCCGGACTGCGCTTTGTGTAAGCCCCTCCTCCCCTCCTCCTCCCTCTCCGATCCTTTCCTCTTTTCTGACAGCGCCGATCTTCTCCGGTTCCAGGTCCTTCGTCAACGGTCGCACTCGCGATGTGATCATGGTGGAAATGCGTCAACGTATTGACCGAGGAGACAATGACCGGGAAATTGCGGAGACCATCCAGGTATGTGTCGACAAGCTAAAGGAAGTCAAAAAGTCAAACTAACACGAATAGGCCATGTGTGATATTGCAAAGGATCGAGCACGTAAACTACAGGCGCGCATCTAAAAAAGATATACCGAGAGATACCCCAATTCCAATCTATGTATTTACGATCATGCCGACTGTTCTCCATTTATAAGCACTAGCCAAGTCTTAGCGACGCTTGTCACCTGTTTCAGGGTCCAGTCTCGCATTCGTAGATAGTAGCCAGACTTCAGACTAAGACTAAGACTAAGACTTGACTTAGGGCTCCACTCAATCGCCCCGATTTGATGTCATCTTAAGTGCCTCTCCGGCCGGTGCCGCTTAACCTATCGGCAACTTTTTCTTTCAGGATACCTCAATTTCTCTAAGCCTCGAATTTTTCATTTCCATTTCATATACTTGCCATTTTTGGCTTCTTCATCTCTCTCCGTTCTCACCCACTTCCATCCAATGCGACCCGGATGCGCGCATTGCCATGGTGGAGGGAAGCACGGATTCACTGACCCCCGCGATGGCCGGAGATAACCCGCCACTGCGATCCTCGACATTGAGTAAGTTCCTATCTGGCCCGGTCGCTTTGTAAATGAAAATGCGATGTGATACTAGGAAGGGTGGTCCAATCGATCAATGGGCCAAATTTGCTAGTTCCCTCCATTCTCTCCTCCAGCGCGGTCGATTTTGGTTCTGGGAGCATGCGCGCTGATTATCACAGATTCGGCCATATCGGATATCGCGTCAGGATCCAGCAATAGCCAACAAGATGTACAACGCACATCGCGTCGTGTGCCACCTCCCGTCAGAAATCCCACCTCCCAAACGCTGCAGGAGACCCGCGCCGAAGCCAGCGCTATCGATCCGTTGTCCCAAGTAAGCGGCCCCCGAATATCCCACACGAGTACTCCGTGCACATAAGAAGATAAGAACTGCGAGAGACTGGGGTTGGTCGCATTGAAAATCCTAAATAGGAATACGAAGTGTGGCCCATACTGCCCATACTGCCCATACTGCCCATACTCAGCCGCATGGACTAGTATTGGGACTATGCAGATACTCTGCAGAAGCCATGGGTAAAACAAGCTGACATGCGGGTTGTAGCACATCATCCAGCGAACCAACACGCAAAAGTCAATTCCCCTAAGGCTCCTTGGCCGCGCATCCTCTGAGGCCGAAGCCGGTAGTTCGGATTACGGCCTGTCGGAACAAGGCGCAATACGGGGCGGAGGCGGAGGTCGGGGTGATGCGTCGCCAAACTCAAAGCCCAAAGAAAAGAAGTGAGTAAAGCTAAACCCTACTACGCTAAAGCCTACGCTGTGTGTGTCTCATGGTTGCGCCTGCGTGATCGTTCCTCCCGCGGGACTTTGGTGGCGGTCTCTCCGCGGGGCCCGGTTGACAATACAATTTTATTGCATTTGCTGACTTAAATTGCTTGTGTCCCCTTTTCGCGATGTCTAGAAAAGGTGTTTCTTTCCTAAGCCGCTTTATCGGTACAAAGAAAAAAGATCCGCTGCCAGACGCAGAAGATGAGAGCTCCGAACCCGAGCCTAGCCGCATGTCCATCGATACTTCTCATCCAATAGGATTCATCCCGCGACATCCTGCGCCGCCCAGGTATCTGCGAGTTCGTACGCATTACAAGAAAGACAAGGAGTTTGAAAGGGTCTTCCTGGCTCAGGAGCTTGCAGGCATCCCCGGCCAGCAGCGTGCCGCGGAACGCCGGATATCAACATCTACTTCTTCCCAGAATGGCGAACATACGGGTAGGGCTATATGGGCCCTGCAATTCTCAAAGGATGGCAAGTACCTAGCTGCCGCAGGTCAGGATAAAAAAGTCCGGCTATGGGCAGTCATATCAACCCCAGACGAGCGCGAAGCTGCGAACCATGACGATACCGAACAGCCCCGCAATGAGCAAGACCCGCCACGCCTGAAAGCACCCATGTTTCACCCCAAGCCGGCTCAGGTTTTTGAGGGACACACTGGTAGCATTTTAGACCTGAGTTGGAGTAAAGTAAGTCACGGAATGAACCCCAAAGGCGATATCCTCTGCTGACTTTTGGACTAGAACAACTTCGTTCTCTCTTCATCTATGGACAAGACCGTTCGACTGTGGCATGCAAGTCGACCCGAGTGTCTCTGTTGCTTCCAGCATAGTGACTTTGTCACTTCCATTCAATTCCACCCTCGGGATGATCGCTTTTTTCTCGCTGGCTCGCTCGACACTAAGCTCAGACTGTGGAGCATTCCTGACAAGAGTGTGGCCTTTGTAACGGCTGCACCCGACATGGTAACCGCGGTGGCATTCACGCCGGATGGTCGATACTCGATGGCTGGATGTCTGAACGGAACACTGAATATCTATGACACAGAAGGCTTGAAGCTTTCCGGACAGATCCATGTTCGATCTGCGCGGGGAAAGAATTCCAAAGGCCACAAAATTACAGGGATTGATACAATGATCAGTCCACCGGGCGACCCCAAAGGCGACATCAAACTGTTGGTAACGAGCAATGACTCTCGAATCCGACTCTATGATTTCCGAGATCGAGTCTTAGAGGCCAAATTCCGTGGAAATGAGAACAGCTGCAGCCAGATTCGAGCAACCTTTACAGAAGACAACAAACACGTCATCTGTGGAAGTGAGGATCGCCGTGCCTATGTTTGGCCGATTGGGACCGTAGAACGTGACACGGACAAGCGTGCTTGCGAGATATTCGAGACACAGTCTGCCATTGTGACGGTAGCCGTGACCGCTCCAACCGCGACAAAGCAGGTGCTGGCTCTGTCTGAGGACCCAATCTACGATATCTGCAACCCCCCGCCCGTCGCACTTATGAGCCCTGATGAATCTCCCGAAGCGCCAAAGCAGGAAAGCTCAGGAAATGAATCTGGGAGCAAGCATATCCGGACCGGATCTGCGCCGCGACTATCGATTGTTAGCAAAATGGCGCATGACTCGCCGTCATACCTTGCTCGATCAAAGCATCCTGATGGCAACATTATCGTGATGGCCGATTACTCCGGTAAGATCCAGGTACTCCGACAGGACTGCGCCTATGACAAACGACGATTTGAAAACTGGAAAGCCAACTCAACAATCTCACGACGGATTATGAGACGGTCGAATTCAGCACGTCATAGTGTGGCATCTTCAAACGGCAAGGAGTCAACCCACAAGACGCCGTCTGAGCGGATTGTCTCCTGGCGCAACTCTGTTATCCGCCATGGGCGCACGAGCACAGAAGGTTCACGTTCCGGCCTTAGAACCCGCAGTCCATCGCCCCACCATCACCGAGCCGCGGCGTTTCGTCTCACCTCATCACGCCCGTCAAGTATGGGCCCTCACGAATCCCTTTCAGCAGCCGCCACGTCCCCACCGTCATCCCCACGTCCATCTGGTGCTCATACGAGACAACCAATCGAGAAGAGATCCGGCCTGAACGGGCATGGCCCTGTCGTTGGCTCAGATCTGCGAGCGCTACCGTCTTCGTCGGCCGGAATCATAGCCAGTGGCAAGGGAAATGACAATCCGCTCTGGCTCCAAGGCGATCATAGCTATGCGTACTGGAACAAGATAACACATGATGCGATGGCGATGCGGTCTCGGAAGTCAAAAGACTTGCTGAGCCCCAACTCGATCCGATCCGATGAACGCAAGCTGAGCACGACCAGCAGCATACTCAGCAGCGATTACGCCTCGTCGACTAGTGAAAAAGATGAAGATAATCTCAAATGCGACCACTGCCGTGGTTCAAACTTCCGTGGAGTCAAGGACCGGGACGGTAAGCAGAAGCTGATATGCGTTCAATGCAACCGGTCTGTTCCTTGAGCTTCAAATCTGTATTAGTTAAGTTATGAATAATTCCGTTCACGTTTAATGGTTTGATATTTTGCGGAGGGGTTGGGGATTCTTTGGACATATTTGCTTACATATCAGCGTGCTTTCACTTATTTGGGGTCATTTGCACAAAAATAATTCGCTGTGTTGTTGGGCCGAGTAGTATCTGGGCTTCAATGGTGGAGCTTTGGTTTCTTACCAGCGTGTATGATAGTTATGAGAAGGACATGTTACGAAATTGAAGACACGGAAAAAAATGAAAGTAGAAAAGAATGAGAATGAATACTTTATGACAATAATATTTCCCCTTTTTCTGCAATCATGTATGGATAAGAAGAAAATGCGAGTGATTTATCACAGACTCCCTGATCTGATCTGATCTAGTACTTTGGTGCGGAGTCGATGCCAAGACTGGAAAAAGTCCGGCGCTGATACCTGCGGCCTTTCCACCCCGGATCTCCTCTCAACCACCACCTTTCCCCCAACATCTTTCATTTCGGTAGCAGTTTCCGTTCCGTTCCACAGGAAACACCCCCCCCTCAAACGACAGATCCATCCATTTATACCGAATCTCCCCAAAATCCCCTACAATTGCGCAGTCTCGATCTGAACAGCGCAGCAAAAGCGAGACCGGCTCTCGCCCACCACAATGACCTACCTTGAGACCTCCCAGGCCTACCTGGAGCAATCGGCCCAGCTTCTAGAGGCATACCCTGAGACGGTAAGACCAAGCCCATCGAACTCAGCCAGAACCGGCGACAATCAAGTTGCCCGCATAAAGCTCGCAATGAACAACATCACACCTTCCCACGCCCCACCCTAACCTAACCTAACCCTCATATATTCGAACCCAACCCGCCTCATGCCAAAGACGCTGCAAATATAAATTTTCACTAACAAAGAATCCAGACCCGCATAACAACAAAATACAACTTCCCCACAGAACGCCCCGCACAAGTCCTCAAACGCACAAAATCACAAGCCAAATCCAACAAGCCCGCCTCAGCCTCCACAGAACCCCCCCGCCGCACCCATCGCCTCCCTTACGCTGAAAACCTACAACCCCGAATCCGGAATCACCATTCAATACCGCACGAACAAGCTTCAAGAAGTCGGGCGCTTGATGACAGGTCTGGGAAAGCTGGCTGCGGGCGCGGACGTTGCTAGCCTTGGACTTTCAGCGCCGGCCGGGGCTGATATTGAGATGACGGATGCGCCGGAGGAGGGGGCTAGTTCTGCGCCTGTGCCGGCGGCTACGAAGGGTCAGGCGCAAGGTGGGAAGGGGAAGAAGAAGAAGGGTGGTAAGAAGTGATGACGATTATTATGCATGATGGGATAGTATGAAGCCGGATAGGGCTTTAGATTATGCCTGCAGATAGATTATGTCGAATCTGTCAGATCTTTATCTTTTTAGACATAATGACATGTTGCAATTATGAACTGGCTGGGCTATGTACAGAGAGAAGTATTATTTAGGATCCATTTGAGATGCCGAGCGATCTATGCCCAATGCGATAATTTATTAAACAGTGAAAAACTACTACCAGAGACTACTGGTACGATGCTGTTGCAGGAGATACACATAAAGAAGTGATTCGAACGTTTTAGATACACATATCCACCATCCATCCCATATTAGACATTGCGGGGAAGTCTAGGACAGACCAAGAAGAGAGAAGAGAGAAAGAGAATAAACGCCATGCCGATGCGTAACCTTGGGAAGAAATCCCGTCAATCAAGAACGAAAATAGAAAGTAGCGTCAAATCGTGTGGAAAAAAACACCACGGGACAAGCCCATAGCGTGAGGGTATAAAACAAAACGGGGAGAGGGGGAGATGAAAAATCAACGGTGGACATCGTTTAGAAGTCCTCGTCAAAGTTCAGGCCATCGCTGGCAGTGGTCTGCTCGCCATCGGCGTTGGTCTCCTTCTTGGTGGATGCCATGACACCGGCCTTTTGGTAGTCACCGACACGCTTCTCGAAGAAGTTGGTCTTGCCAGCCAGGGAAATGGACTCCATGAAGTCGAAGGGGTTGGCGGAGTTGTAGTACTTCTGGTTTCCGAGAGCGAGCAGGAGACGGTCAGCGACGAACTCAATGTATTGGCACATCAGCTTGGCGTTCATGCCGAGCAGACCACAAGGGAGAGCATCAGTCAGGAACTCTTGCTCGATGCCGACGGCCTCAACGATGATGTCCTCGACAACCTTCTTCTCGGGACGGTTGTTCAGGTGAGAGAACAGGAGGCAGGCGAAGTCAGTGTGGAGGCCCTCATCGCGGGAGATCAGCTCGTTGGAGAAGGTCAGACCGGGCATCAGACCACGCTTCTTGAGCCAAAAAATAGAGGCGAAGGAGCCGGAGAAGAAGATACCCTCGACAGCGGCAAAGGCAACCAGACGGGAGGCGAAAGTGGTCTCACGGTCATTGATCCAGCGGATGGCCCAGTCAGCCTTCTTCTTGATGCAGGGGATAGTCTCGATAGCATCGAAGAGGTAGGTGCGTTGCTTGGGCTCCTTGATGTAGGTATCAATGAGGAGGGAGTAGGTCTCGGAGTGGATGTTCTCCATCATGATTTGGAAACCGTAGAAGCAGCGAGCCTCGGTGACCTGGACCTCAGCGCTGAAACGCTCGACAAGGTTCTCGTTGACAATGCCGTCAGAGGCAGCGAAGAAAGCAAGAACGTGAGAAACGAAGTAGCGCTCGTCATCATTCAGGCGGTTGTGCCAGTCGTGGAGATCCTTGGAGAGATCGATCTCCTCAGCAGTCCAGAAAGAGGCCTCGGCCTTCTTGTACATTTGCCAGATCTATAGAAAAAGACGCGTTATCAGCCATGTGTTTCTGGGGCGGGGGTGGTGCAGAATGCTTTCACGTCCGAACCACTTTACGCGTGGACGCGTCGGCGACGTGACTTACCTCGTGGTACTTAATGGGGAACATAACGAAGCGGTTGGGGTTCTCCTGCAGGAGGGGCTCAGTGGCCTCAAGCTCCTTCCAAGTAGGAGCAGCCTTGGTAACCTCGAGGGGCTTCTCGGCGATCTTGTCGGTGGTGGCGGCGTCGACGGGCTTGAAGTTCTCCTTGCCGACGGACTCGAAGTCGAGCTTCTTGATAGGGGAGTCGCTCATCTTGAGGTTCTCGAGGGAGGAAGCAGCCTAAGAAAGGACGCGAGTTAGTGAAAATGGTTATCTTGAGACGCGTCTTGTCGCGAGAGGCGAGAGTCGTGACATCACGTACCTGCTTCGAAGGGGTGAGTTGGGCGGCCATTGAGACTTGTGTTTAAATGTGAATGAAGGTGAGAGATAAAACAGATGCAGGTCAAACACAGGAATGGTCAAAGTCTGAGGAATGGAGGGGAAGAGAGTGAGGTGCAAGCTGGGAGGGAAAAGATCGGTTAAGTAGTTTGGCGACGTGAATCTTTTAGCGTGACTTAGCCCGTCACGTCGCACGTGACCGCGCGCCGCGGGAAGCAAGGCAAGTCGCGTCCAGGGAAGGAACGATGGAATATGGGGCAAATGGCCAAATGGGGCAAACTCACACCACTTCCTTTCCAGTAACTTCCGACGCTAGGGCAAGTCGATCCATGGCCGTGCCGGCGGTAGCCCCCTCGACGCTGCATATTACAGAGGTTCGCTGCCTGTTCCTGTTCCATTCTTGATGGTCCCTAGATTTCATCTGCCAATTGAACTCTCCATGCGGATCTATGGTATCTACACACTACAATATTCAAACAATATTCAAATAAACACATGTTTTGAGGAATTATGGAGCCAAGACCTCAGGATTCTCGCAAACAACATGGCCCCAGCGACGCGTCTCATCAAGTTTTTCAGCTCAACGTAATATGTGCCTCGGGCTCCACCTTGGCTGAATCACGATCAGATAAGCCCAGGCAGACGATCACCACGCGCTTGACCGACGCGACACCGGATATACGGAGCAGGGATCCATCAACTGAGACTAATGTACGGAGTAAACCAGAAGGAAGCTCCTGCTAGCTGCCTGATCACTGGCCAGCCCAAGATCCATATAACCCCAGTCAGCCCCTTGAGCTATGTATACATAATCTGGAGCGATCATCCGAAGGGGGCTATTGATGTACATGCTTACAATTATTAGATACGGCGTAAGTCAGCTGTACAAATATCTAACTCTCCCAATTCCAGCTGTCACTTGAAATGTCAATATGCAAATGCACTGTTAATCCTCCGATCCAGGCCACAGATCCCAAGCTCTACATAGAAAGAATGAAGGAGCGTTCACCCAATACAGAAACTTCGTGCAGTGGAGTCGATAAAATCTCGCGCGTCGGGCAATGTGCCGATGCACCCAGCTCGCGTGGAGCTGGGGCGCGTACGGAGTGTGGGTATGTACTCGTACCTGCAGCTCCATTGCTTGCTGGGGAAACAACATTGACAAGGGTTTCAGCCTAGCTCTGCACCAATCCGTGTTTGATCCCTTCCGCCTCGGCGTGAACGCGTCTCCACCTGCCAACGCGATGCTCTAGCAACCCTGCATATGCGGTGAACTTTCGGTCTGCATTGACCATCATTCGCGCCCCAAACAGTGGCAATTCAGCCTTTTAATTTGGCGGCTCTCGGCCGCCTCCCCCCTCGGAACTTGCCCTTCCGTTCTGGCGTATTTTGAATTGGATTTCCGACGCGCGGAGCTGCACGCGACTTGGCCTCTGGATTTCGCGACCCTGCCTATCCATATAGCTTGGCAGCTAGCTCCGATTTTCCTTGATTTTTCAAACGGCAACTATTTTAGTCCGCAGTAGTCCTCCAATTGCAAACGCGGGGTGCAAATCCTTCCAGGCCTTGGAACATGACGCGTTTTGGCTGCAACAGCAGAGAGCCGGATATTGGCGTGAATCGGTAGCATTTGCGCCCAAATCACAAGTTCGTCAACTCTGTTCCTTCCATGTACGAATTGAATTTCAATCAATCTTCTGCGTATAGAATAGGGTGCAATTTTGGAAATTTATCATAACTTTACTACTGGCACAGCTGCAAAGCATGTATGAGATCACGATTCTCACAGCATATAAGTAAGATGATACCAGTTAAGAGAGCCCTGCTCCCTCTCTTTCGCAATATCAACATCCCTGAAGCAACCAATGCCAGCTACGGCGAGCCATTTTAGGGCTATTTTGAAGTGCAGCATTGGGGACGTAAAGTGGCATTGAGTCCTCCCAGAGAGAGTCCGTCAATACTTGCTTGTTTGAACCATCTGCATCCATGACCACCACCTGACCATATGGCTGGAAAGTTTGATCGTATAGAGCGCACTCATACTGGAAGCCAAACATGCCAGTGGAATACGCAATGCGGCCGTCGTGCGTCCATACTGCATGAGCATCGTTTGCACCGCTACTAGTCAGAACCTTGATGTCGGTGCCATCGGACCGCATAGTGCAAACGTCGTAGTTGGTATCGCTGACTTTGCGGGTGAACACAATGCGCTCGCCATCGGGAGAGAAGAAAGGCAGGTTATCCCATTCGGTAGTTAGGACGGAGATCTTTCGCGTCTCTAGATCCAGCATGCGTAGACCGAGCTGCGACTTATCACCCTGGGTGGAGTTATAACCCCACACCCGGAAGACGATCTTCTTGCCGTCATGCGAGAAACTGGGGAACCCGGAGTTTATAATGCTGCTGTTCGCACTGAGAGTGGTGGTGCTTTCGGTAAGAACTTCATAGTATGACCCATTGGCTGTAGCGCGCACCAACCAGCCGCCACTCTCAGCGCGAGTTTGGAACCAGAAACCAACGCCAAAGGTAAGCCATTTCCCATCGGGAGACCATGAAGGCTGGAAGGCTCCAGCCAGACCTTGTGAGACTTCTGCTGTCTCGAGGAAATCAGTTGTCATGTCGTTAAAGACTAGGTGCTCGTTGGTTCCGTTGGCATTCATTGACACGATGGAGGAGTTTCCGAGTTGCTTTTCAGTCATGGCAAACATGTTCTGATTGGATAGTTGAGGGAAAACATCTGTGAAGCGGTATTCCCATTCTGGATCCCAGCTGTAGAGCTTCTTGTCCATGGGGCGGATGTCCCATTCGGTCTTTTCATAAATAACCTTCTTTCCGTCGGGGGACCATGACGGAGAACGCACTGTGGCGCTGGAAGTGTTGAAGAAGCTACCACCGGTAGTGTAAAAGCCCTCCTTGCCGGTAGCTTTGGTGAAGTAGGCAATATTGTCACTGGAGAGGTATTGAGGAAAGATCTTGACACCGGCTCCCTGTACTTCAACGCGACGAGATCCTGTCTCAAAGTCCACGGAAATAATTGTCGAATTGGCCGAGTCGATTGATTCGGGACGATGGGAGTTCCAAGTGTTCTCTCGTGTCATCTCATAGAAAATAATTCGTTTGCCATCGGGCGACCACTTGGGTGAGCCCTGGGACCAACCGCTCCTGGAGGCGACTTGTCGGAAATCAGAGCCGTTGGGTCGGATGGCATAGATCGAGAGTTCTTGAGTATGTTCCCAGCCGCTCACGCCCATGAAGACGGGATCACCGTGTCCATACCAACCCGAGTTTCGATCCGAGGAGAAAGCAATCCATTCGCCATCTGGTGACCAAGAAGGACGGAAATACCCATCTGGTAGAGAATTGTTGGCCGTAGTCGAAGCAGTATCGGTGAGGTTCCACTTCTTGCCACTATCGATTTCCATCACCCAGATATTGGCCTTGTATCCATTCGCCGTTGATACATAAGAAACGTATTTTCCGTTCGGCGACATGACAACTGAGTCTTCGATTGACGAGGTTGCAACCAGTTCCTCGAGATCAGAGCCATTGGTTCGAACTCGATAAATATCCGAATTGCCGTCTCCGTTGCGCTCGCTGGTGAAAGTAACCCATTCTCCATCCGGGGAGAAATCGGCGTGATATTCGAAGACGGGGTTGGAGAGAAGGGGGCGTTCATTCGTGCCATCGATGTTTGAAATGTATAACTTAGATGTTCCCGGCGCAATGCGGTTCATATAGAAAACGCCCTTTTTGTCCGATGTGGGTATATCACGGGCTACATGAGGATGCGGTGGAGGTGCTTGTCTCTTGTCGATACCCAACTGTGCGGCATATGGGCACAGAGCCAAAGCTGGCGTCAAGGTGAAGCACAGTAGGGCGGAGGCCCCATAAAGAAGACGCATGGCGGGTAGGGCTTAGGCAAAAGAAGACGCTGAAACTCGACGCCAAGGTCAATGGCTCGCCTTGAGCGGCACCAGACATGTCTTATACAGAAGATTATTGCTCGTTCTAGAAAATCTTTATCCGGCATGATCGATCATTTCTCCTTCCGGTTGGTGACAGTTAATTTCCATTCTGCAAGAGAGAGGATTCTGCCCTAACATGCAACACACTTTGCCCATCCTAGCATCTCAGGCCGAGAAAGTGGGAATGTTTCGGAGACTTGGCAAGTGCCAAGAACCAAAACCTTTTATCTCATCTGATAGAGGGCATGGTGAAGGAGCAATTCTTAAAAGCGTGGCTTTGTATGGCTGTGCCAAGCTGGTAGAACGTTGTGATCTTCAAGGAAATGGCCGATTGGGGCAGATTAGACCGTAAGCGAATGCTCGGAGTCGGATTTAATGAGCCAAGACCTCTTAACGTGGGGCAGGTCGTTATGAAACATTTCTTCAGGCCTGTGTCTTGCGTAAATCAAGTCTTGATCGAAATCATAATTACGCGAGTAGTTGAGGTTACATCGAATGAGGTTTCTTCGATATGAAATCGGTAGATGTATTGGATGATTCTCCAAAGGCTGCAAAGTGGACGGCTATGAGGCATGAAGATTCAATTTCATGGTTACCTCAGGGCACATATGATTATCTTATCTGATGCTTGCGGGGCCACCGAGCGGAAATTGACAGCTGCTTGAATGGCCCCATTGGCTTCCTTCTCGGTGGAGCAGAGTGAAATTCCATCGTCTGGACTGGCTATTTTACCCAAAGACCTTGCTGAAAATAGACAAAACTAGGCAGCTTGGAGCAAAAGTAGTAGGTTTTGTGGCTGATACGATCAGCTTTGGTGTCGAAGACTAACAGATGGATCGATCTCGAAAATGACCTTGGAATAAGAATCTGACTTTATCATTCTCAGTGTGATAACTCTTCCGACTATAACGCATGCTATATCTTGCAAGATATACACGATTGTAAATAAGTTAATGAAAGGCAGAAAAATCGAACTAATCCGAATACATCCATCTTCACCATGGAGGTAATGGAGGTAATTGTCATCCTTGGAACATCATATGCCTTCTCAAACCCCTCGCCTACGTTTCGGGAACTGGGTTAAAAAAATTTCTCGTCCCTTGTTTCGGAATGCCAGTATCAGACTTCAAACATGTAGTTATTTGCTTACAGCTGTGTTCAGGATGACACCTTCAACACCGATGGACCAGCTTAGAAAAAACCAAAGGGCTCAGTAATATAGGTATCTCTTGTACGCGCTATACTGTTTTATACATATAGCCCTGGCTTATAGTATATGAGTAGAGCAATATGGTAGAGCCCTGGCAGGGCATTCATGTGTTTTACCCAAGATTTTCACCTTCCTCTCTCTTAGCCTTTGGTAAAATCACGAGACCCAGAACAATATTGATTCTCAAAAGCCATTTTAGCCTATTACATCTGTTTTAAAAGCTGCTCTCTGGTAGCTGCTCCGAACCCTTTGAGTAGTAAAAAGAAGATACCAGCGATGGAACAAAAATTACTGGCTTGATAAGTAGTGCCAGACTAGTAGGCACTGGAGCCACTCGGCTGGGTTTATACCTAAATAGAACTTGAATGAAAGACCCCTATAGTGTGACTCTCGATAATACAATGAGACCATCTTTAGAATTTCCGTATGTAGTAAATGAAGACTGTATTAACATCAACGATTTGTCTCCCTATATACAGATGTAATTTTCGGCTGAACAAATCCCAAAAAAACAAACGCCCAACTCTATGGTCAAACCCGGTATCACAAAAGGCCTTGACGCCGCAGCTGAATGCTAGGCGGCATATATAGAAAGACATGATGGCAATGCTGCGAAGATTCTAGACTAAATGAGACGAAAATGTATATAGTGAATCTATCCAAACACTCTATTCCTTATATTTTTTCGCGGAGGGAATCAGAGAGGAATCGGTCCTCGGCCCGACGCATCAGCTTGTTTGTCTGCTCAGCCAGACTCAGAGTGATGATCTGGAAGTTTAAAGTCAGCGCTTCCATATTAAGGTGCGTTAAGTGTGTGCAAACTTACAGTATGGGGTAAGATACGGGCCAAATGGGCGAAGAACCCCTTGTAAATTGCCAACATGCCCTCTGTACGGATGGTCTTGTACAGACAGTCAAACACACCTTGGTATAGGTTACCAGTCTGGTTGTACATGCGAGCCATGATGGTGTCTAAAAGATGATTTGTCAGTCGGTCAACTTCGCCTCCAATTAATGAGCGATACATACCAGGCGGATGCATGACGCAGCAGACAACAAAACCGGATGCCGCGCTACTGGCTAAATGAAGGGCGGGCCCCTCTTCAATACCCAAATGCTTGCTGAGGCGACGCTTGGCAAAGAAGTATGTGGGAAGCTGAACCGAACTGCCAAAGCTCGTACGGATCATCGCAGCCCCAACACCGCGATATATACCCTTGATACCCTCACCGCGGTAAATCTTGCTGAGGCCGTCGATGGAGTTCTTATAGTTATGCTGTGTACCGACGGGAAGGAAAGGTGAATAGGATTGGAGACGGGTCTTCACTAAAAAGAATGGTGAGCCGGCAGCAGCACCGATGACACCGGAGGCAGCGCCGGCAAAGACGTTGGCACCGAGTGACTGGACCGTGGGGTCGTTGTAGAAAACAGAGGTGACGTTGGAACGAATGGGCTCGTAGAATCCCAGACGGCAGCCGTTGAGCAAGACCTGGTAGACGTACTACAAGTTCATTTTGAATCAGCATGATCCCGGGCAGAAATTGAATTTCAAGGTCGTGGGGCGACATACCGCAGATCCGATACCCCGGAACAGGCCCTTGGGGCCCTCATTCTGCAGGATAGTCTTGATACCATGTAAGACACCATTGTACTTCTTCGCCGCATCGCCCTTCGCCTGCAGTTCACCCTGCAATTGTAGTCTGCCATGGAGTTAGTGCCATGCGACACACCAATGCGCCTAAATTCCGTGCTTACCGGATCTTGACGGTCTCGAAACTGTGGGTGACAGTCACAGCACCGCACGCTGCAATACCTCCGGCAAGGAATGAGCTATTCGAATGAGAGAATGGTTAGTGAAGGCATTCACTTCCAATATATATATGAAACAAGGGTCATACCCGATTGTGGTAGACATTGCGACTGGTTCGGATCGTTCACGCCGGCACTTGATGATGGAGTTTGTTGGAGATCGGAGGGAGATCGGAGTAGAGTGGAGTGGAGTGGCGACAATGCCAGGGATCGAGGCGGTCCCTCGAGGTCAAAAAGAGGCCAAATGAAGGGAATGCCCGTGCTGCTCAAGAGCGGATGGCTTCGTAAAGTCTCGAGGGTGACGATGTAATTGTTCTGCGAGTCGTAAGTAAGATGATCGGGGCCGAGGGCGGCAATGACCGACTAAAAGCTTACATACGGCTAATGCTGGCCGAATCTGACAGAATCCCGCGGGCGGTGATTGGCCAATAATGGGGGACTTTCAACCTTCCCATCGGTATCAGCTCCGGTACTCGGGGGCGGTGAAGCGGAGCATAGTTCATCCGAAACAAACGCGAAAAAAAGGGAAGGCGCGTGGGGGGGAGCTGATTCCCCGAAAGAGGAAGGGACGAGGGTGATTGATTGTGCTTGCGATTGTGATTGCGATTTGGACTGGCGGGCGCTACCTTAAGGTCCCCTCAGAATTGTTTGCTCTCCTCAATACCAGGGTTTTTTTTCCCTTGCCTCACTTCTCCTAAGGCTTCTTTCTTCTTACTTTCCACATTCCCACACCTACACTCCTCACCCTCACCCTCACCCTCGGTCACACTCACACTCGCCATGGCAGACAGCCAGCAGCACACCCCGGTGCCCCAGACCTCGACGGGAGCTGCCCCCCCAATTTCAGAAGCTTCCAGACATCATTCGCAGTCACAGGCCTTGCAAGGTGAGCTTGAATCTGATGAGTCCATATCTTCATCGACCAACAGACTAACTCTCAACTCCAGTGCTTCCGGAACTCGAAACCAGAATCCTCCAACTTCGTGACGTCGTTAGATTTTAACGACCAGGGTGAGCATATGGTCGCCGCCTGCGATGATGAAACCATTCAGATATTCGACGTGAAGGAAGGAAAATCCACCAAAACGGTTCCTAGCAAGAAATACGGTGTTCATCTAGCCAGATTCACCCACCATCCCCGTCAAGTTTTACATGCGAGTACCAAGGTCGACCGTACGTTTCTGATAGAAATCAAACAAGCAAATCCAAAACTATGTGGTCGCTGACAACGAGGTAGACTCATTGCGATTGCTCGACCTTCACAATGAAGGGTACATTCGCTATTTCTCCGGCCATACAGACAAAGTGACTTGCCTAGCCATGTCCCCAGGCAGTGATTCCTTCATTTCTTGCTCCAAGGATGATACTGTGACTCTCTGGGATATTGGTTCGCGCAACCCCCAGGGAAAGCTTAAGCTCGCGACCCCATACCTCGTGGCATTCGACCCATCTGCCTCCGTCATCGCAATCGCCTCGCAATCCACTTCATCCGTCCTTCTCTATGATTTCCGCAATTTTGATAAGCCTCCATTCGCCACATTTGACCTCACTCCCTATGAGGAGACATACACCCCCTCAACTAGAGGTCGTGCCTGGACTCGGCTAGAGTTCTCCAACGATGGAAAATACTTGATGGTCGGCACAGATTACCACGGGCACTTCGTGCTAGATGCATTTGACGGTTCCATCAAGGCATTTCTGACAGGAAAGGGCGGTTCGCCGGGTCGTGCTGCCCCAATTTCTTCAACTGGAAAGCCACTAGGGCAAGGTGACGCATGCTTCACCCCGGATGGTCGATATGTGCTTGGCGGCAATGGAGACCAGCAAGATGTACTTGTCTGGGATTTGCAGCAGGAGCGAGAATCTAATGGCATGCTTTTTCCTATGGTCAAACTGCCCCACCGAAACAGGACAGCCCTCATCGAACATAACCCACGCTACAACATGATTGCTACCGCTGATAAGGAGACTTTCTTCTGGCAGCCAGATGACCCCGCTAAACCGTCAGAGAAGTAAATTGTGATGGACCAGCTCAATGAATAAGAGGGCCTTTGATTTCAGTCATGATAGTGAAAGTGATCTATGATTCCAAAATCTAACCACATCCCTCCATCCATCTGTTTCGTGCACATACCCACCAACATTTAGCACCCGTTGAGTATCTCCAAGCTATCATTTGCGGCCTTTATCTTTCCCCACCAAACTGCGAGCAGTATCGCAAATCCAAACCTGGGGACCTTCGACATCATCCTCATCCACCTGCCTGCTATTCTCAATCGTGACCTCGATCTGTTTATCGATCGTCCGATTACTAGAAATTGTTGTCAGGCTAGCTGCCCATCCATACATGAACACGCTATGATTTATATCCGACAAGACTTGCGCGACTTCGTCGGATACTGGGGGAAGCTTTCCCTCAGCTTTTGCTGCCTCGATCGCTGGTTGCGCATCGACTATCCTAATAGGTAGTGCCCAATCCGCCGGAACCTGCCAGTCAGACAAGCTCTGGAATTTTCGAATAAGTGACTCGCGATCAAGCCGATCGTTTGGAGCATTTCCCAATACGAGGTACATTCGTTCTTTCTCCGTTGCTGTGCCAATAGTCTCAACGATCTCGCACATTCGCTTTGCGGCTTCCTTGGTGCAAAGAAGCTCACGGGCACCCATCGCTGGCCAAAGCTCTGTTGGAAGGAGTGGTTGTTCCTTCTCGACCTCGATCTGCCGCACGATGGCTTTATGAAAACTTGGCAAGATGACGATGTCTTTTACGTGGGATAGATCGGACACTATGGCGAGTAGCAGGGTGCAGTCGATATTCACGGCCGTGGTGAAGTTTCTGAACGGCTGGGGAAGGAGAGAACTGAGCTTTTCCTGGCTGGCATTCGCAGAAATGCTGTCCTGGCACTCCACCTTAATTCCATAGCTCCGCATTTCCTTCAGAACATCGTCGATTTCAGGAACATTTCCCTCCTCAATTTTTGGTAGAACAATGCGTAGCCGAGGATGTCTGTACCTCACTCGTGTAGCATCGGCCGCTTTCCTTAGATCGCGTGCCAGTTTAATGAGCTCCAGCTCATCATCATCCGAGTCTTCTCCCGAGTCCTCTCCATCGAAGTTGCGTAGGACAGTTCTCTTCGGCGACCCCTCACCGTCTTCATCAGAGAATGTATCAGAATCACTATCTCTCTCCCAGCCTTTCTTCGCCATGTCAAAAAGCAGTCGGCTCTCCGAGATAGTTGAAACCTTCACCCACGATTCGCCGTCATCCGCCACAATATCAACAAACACACTCTTGCGCTTATCTTTATTGGGCTGCTTGTTCTTCTCCCACGACCCATCCCCCTTCTGCGCCTTCTTCTCTTCAAGCGGCCACGCCTTCCGGTCCCAGTAAAACCGCTTCCCCAGCGCAAAAAGCCCGGCACAGGACCCGCGAGCTATGCTCCACACGGCCTGGTAGAAAGGCAAATTGGACGAGCGCAATGCGTGCAAAAATCGCATCTCGGTATCAGGATCCCGCTGGCCTCTATCAGGTCCATTAGAAGCTTCCATCTGCTCTTCCAGTCTTTGCAGCATCTTGAATTCCGAATTCACATTTGATCGGAACTGGCGCAGCTCCACGATTTGTGGATTGCGGAGGGTGCTGTTGAGCATGGATTGAAACTCGTCTATTTCTCCAAGAAGATCGACGCATTGTTGGCGTAGCTCTTTAGAGGCTTGTGCGCTTGTCTGTTGGGAGTCGCGTGTCTCGTTATGAGATAGTGGGGGGTCGACGTCGGGCGTCATTGTGGAAAGTGAGGAGGTTGAGAGCGCAAGAAGTGTCGATGGATTTGATTTGAATTTTCCAGTATCTGCGACTACACGAAAGCCGATTGCTTTGTGAAAGCAAAGTGTCGTACCTCTCCAACCTTGGAAAGTTCTCCGTCTCGCTCAATTACTGGCGATGGAATATGTTGGCTGTTGTTTTGGTTGAGCGGGGTGTCGCCTCTATATTTTCAATTGTTTGACCTGGACAAACCCTTGGAGCAGGTTCAATTGAGGCCCGTAAGGTCAAAAACTTGGTTCAAGCTCTGGATATAGAAAAGCCTCCAGATTCTCGGGTTATGCGTTTGTTCGAGTGGATTTTTAAACTTGAAAAGCAATGGCGGGGCCCTCGCTGTGGCTTTCGGAGATGACTCAAGTTGATTGGGGCCGTCTTCCACCGGGTTCGGCCAGAGACTTTTTTTTAGGAATTCTGCCTTCGTTTGATTAAGTACTGAAAGTCTACTTGCCTAAGGTTGGTTTCGAATTTTCTCTAATAATGATGTTTGTATGCTTAGTGAATTCGGCGAATTTCATAACAAATGAGGTGCCAGCTAGTATTCTGAGTATATCCAGGAAGTAAGATACTACAAAAAGAGAAACCTAATTTAACCGGATAATCACCAACAAAATAATGGAGACAGAAAAAAACAAAACAAAAGCCAACGCCGTAAGATGCCTGTGATCATCAAGCCAATTTGCAGACGGAACTAGAGGTGTCGCGCTGCTAACAGAAATACATCATTCCCCAATTAGAAGGGCACATTGTTAGGCACGCCAGAGGAGCCAGATTTTTATCATTGTCTTAGTGGGTGAGACGTTGTCTCTCGCCAGAGCTACGAGGAGACTCGTCATCAGACCACTTGTCCCCATCTTCCTCGCCCACCGCGAAGATCGTCTCGTCCTCAAGGGACTCGCGTTGTCGGGGTGCCGAAGACACGGGTTTAGGGGGGATGGGAGATAGATCGCGGTGACCACCGGCAGCCGAGCTACCTGGATACTCGGGAGGTGCATCAAAAGCGTCCTCTTCGTCAAGACCGCTTCCGAATGAGCGGATCTCAAATCCATCATCATCTTGCGCAAGCTGTAGATATGATTAGCATGGGTTTCATTGTTACAATCGTCTTTGGGAAAGGCATATTTACCTCATCACTCATTGCGAATCGTCGGTTGTTGGCAGTTGGACGCCACAGGTAAGCCACGAAAGCAATATCGAACAGATATACGATGTTGAGCCATCCATCGAGCACAAACCACCGCGCCTTCCAATGTTCTGGCACAAAGCTGGCATCACTGTGGCCAGCCATGGCAAAGGAATTAAGGAAGAAGAAGCCAAAGATGACGATGATGCTACCAAGAATACACCACCAGAGTCTCTTGTACATCATTGCCTTGACTTTTTGCTTTCTGTCGATAAGATCCTTCATCGTAGCATTGAGAGAATTCAGCGTCCAGACATAGAAGGCAGTCAAAGTACCCGCCAGAGGGAGGACAATAAGAAGCACCAATGGACCTGCACTGTCTGGAGTGATCGACAGAGTGGCAATTGAGTAGACAAGGGCGAAGATGAAGTGAGCGATAGCCAAGATGCGCACATAGACCATCGTTTTACCCAGTGAAGGCTTGACGACACCGTAGCCCATGCAGACAATGAGTAGAAGGAAGAATGAAAAGGCGTTTCGAGCGGCATTGAGAATTGCGACAATAACCATCAATGCCTTTCCCATGGCATTCAATCCGTGTCGATTCTGATAGTCTGGAGAGAAGTTAGCTTGAGTAACTGCGGCACACGTTTACATGTGCATCATACCATAGAAGCCCCAAGTCATAAGCTGCTCGACAATCAAGAAAACGACTATAGCTGTGATATAGTTTTGAACGGGCACTATAAAATGGTTAGCGATGTATATGATTTCAGAACAGCCAACTTACAGATGTCAAAGCGGTTTTGCACGTAGAGGAATGCCCAGAAACTGGTAGAAGATTAGTCTCTCCGTTTTCAAAGTGGACCGGGACGTGAACAGTCAATACTTACACGCCAATAACAGCGTAAACGATTGTCATAGCTCCGTAGAAAGGAAGCTTGGCGATTTGGGCAGCGGGGAGCTCGCCATATGCATTGCGGAACTCAACCACCGAGTAATAGTCCTCATCGGAGTAGGCGTAGGTGCTAACACAGTAGAAACCGGTCTTTTTGACAGGGTACTTGATAGGTTCCGGGTCGTTGAGATGAACTGCCTTGGAAAGGATGGGATTTTTGGAGACATCAGTGGCGTTTTTGGTGAGAATAAATGCCCCGATATCTTCCTTCGAGCAGAGTCCTGCATCGACGCTTCCTTGTTCACAAATAGTGTCCTTTGTCTGTCGTCCATCTGTTAGCCTTGAGACGGTACCAGGCTGCAGTTTGTATGCATGGGTACACCTACGTCGGAGTCGCCAGACCGGTACTCCCCAATCAATTCCTCGTCGTTCCATTCAAAGATCACCAAGCTGGCAAGAGGATCGCCTTCCTCAGTTTGCGCCTTGGAAAACTTGACCAGGATAAAGGGGTCCACATTCCCTCCCCAAGCCTTCCGACTGTACATCCCTGAGCATCGTTGTCGGTGCGCCTCGTCGGATTTCTAAAGATGGATTCCATTAGCGTTGTGCAATAGTCTACCAGGCCCGACCCGACGCGCGATGGCTTACCAGTTCGACCTCATTCGCAAGTACCGAGCTGGCTAATAAGGCCGTTAGGCCGAGAGTTTGGAGCCAGCCCTTCATCACGATCGTGGATCAGGGGTAATAAAGGCTCCAGTAGATTGTGAAGGAATCGCCTTTGAAAACCACGCGGCATGTAATGGCGAAAAAGGCGCAAGGAGAAAGTTCGCGCGGATCCACGATAGCTCGACCGGAATCGTCGAGCTCAACTTGCGTGGCCTTCCCAGTTCAGACCGGGGAACCCGGGGCATTACTAAGCGGGCGGTACAACCATTGCGGGATGCCGACCTTTTTTTCTCTCTACCATGTTGAGGATCCCCGCTTCGAACCAAACACGCGAAAATGCCTGCTAAAGAGCTTTCTCGTCCTTGCATGGACTGCAAGGATGCAGAGACTGTCTTTACGGTTCGAAAGAGGCAGCTGTGCAGGTATGTAATGACCAAAGGTATAGTTGGCAGACCCCCACTAACCTTCAACTAGTGATTGCTACAAGCACTTCATCGCATTCAAAGTGCACAGACGAATGGAAATATATCGACCCGGCAAAACTCAAGAAGTTCGACCCAAAATACTCCTCCCATTATCCCTCGGTGTTTCCTCCTCCGTTCTATTGAGCATTGTCGAAGCCCAAATTCAACATCAACTCGCCAAGCCCTATGGCAAGGTATTCTTCGACCTGCATGTCCTTGTGATCGACCCCTCGTCAATCAATCCTTCAAGCGCTTCCATCGACGGCAACTATAAAGCTTTACTGGAGACATTTCAATCGCCCGCCCATACCAGGCTCTCAATCCACGACATATTTGATTATGTTCCAGATATGAAAGAAATCATTCACGAATATGCGGGGTCTCAATTTGCAGATGACAGTTCGCTGTCTAATGAGGATCGCCTGTCTGCTTTCCGTGCTTCGATATCCACAGCAACTTCCGCAGCTGACCTGGACTATGTTTTGCTGACACGACTCGTTGCTGCGGTTGCGCAGAAACACGGCTGCCAGTCTGTCTTCTGGGGCGATTCGGACAGCCGTCTTGCGGCAAGAGCACTTGCAGGAGTTTCAAAGGGTCGTGGAGCCTCGATGACTTGGCAGGTGTCTGATGGCATGTCTCCGTGGGGTGTGCGGTTCGAGTTTCCGTTACGAGACTTGTATAAAACCGAGCTCCTTCAGTACGCGAGTGTGTGTCCAGAACTTTCTGATATCGTGATTCCTGACGTACCGTTATCAGACAATGTTCTTACCAAGAACTTGTCCATTGATGAATTGATGATACGATACGTCCAAAACCAGGGTGCAAAGTATCCCGGCATCATGTCGAACGTTGCAAGAACAGCCAACAAACTCGAATCTTCCTGTCTTGAAGGTGGTGCATCATGTGCCCTGTGTGGTGGCCCACGGGGAAATGTCAAGGGCAACACAGGCGTCACGGCCACTACTCAATCTGGTGATTCGGAAGGCTCTCGATTTTGCTACGGATGTATGAGGTCACGTCCCGATCTCAAATGCTAAATTAAATTATTATGGAAACGCAGGAGAGATAAATAAAGAGGTCGGTCCCCCGGTCGGCGTCATGCGATAAACGAAGAAAATGGCTTGCAGATTGCACGATCGAAAAAAACCACGGAAACCCCAATCTGAATAAGTTCAGCGCCCTCGCTCGAGGTCCTCCTCGGGGTGGCTTGCTCCTCCGAACCAACGGCCGAAGCCGCGACTGCTTTTGGCCTGCCTGGCAGGTTCTGGCCTGGTCGGAGCCCGACTGTCATTGTGCGAGCGCTGCGAGCGCGATCTTCTATGCTCTCGGTATTCTGGTGGTGAATTGTTTGCCACCCCGCTCTCTTGTTTGTCCCATTCCTCTGGGAGGCTGTGATCGACCGTATCAACCGCATCGAGAGGATCGTTGGTCAACTGATCATGACCGCTGGGTCGTCTGCGTCGTTCTTTGGATTGCCTCCTGGTCACCTTATGACCCTTTTCACGCAAGTGTTTCTCAAGTATGACCGCATTCCGAGTATTGCACTTGTAAACTGCATCTGCCAGATCGCCAATGAAAGGCACCAGGCCGATGACGAAGTCGACCAGTACATTCATCAACATCATCATGCGCAAGCGCGATGGAAGGCCGCCATCGATTTCTTCGCAATTCCTCACAACCATCATGGCAAGTCCAGCGTCAGCGGCATCACCAATGCTATAAGAAAGAGTTGTTAGGTTGGGTAAACAAAGGAGCACAGCGTGGTTTGACATACAATGGAACGAGACCGATGACACTACCCCAACCAAAGCGAATACCACAGAGATTGAAAAGAGCATAATCCAATCGGTAGGCTCGGCGCTTGACTTGTGTAAGGATTTTGGTGTCCTTCTCTGATAAACCTGGAGGGATGGCTTTGCGACGCTTCTGGGTTTTCTTTCCCATGGCGCGCCCGAGCCGTGACGCCGGAATTTCTTCAAAATAAGGATCCTGGGGATAATATCTGTGATCAGTTCTATCTCTTTCAATGCAAATAGTCCATATACCGCACTCACCTCTGTTCCAAAGTGGTTTCTGGCGGACTCCGCTAGAACCCTTTTCCCAACAAGGGACCATAGTACGCCTGACATGTTGGATAGATCGAAATATGGCGGTACTCAGTAATAGAGTGATTCTAAGTGATATGATCGAAGGATTGCGCGGGGTGATGCTTATGATATACTGATCGCCCAGGGGGCCAAAAATAGAAAACAAGCCTTAGCTTTGCTTGGTCTGCAGTTGGCGGAAGCCGTTTCGAGTAGCGCCGGGAATCGTTTCAATATAAAACACCGAGAACGAGTCAGGGATGAAAGGAGGGAAAGAAACAGTTGCTCCACAGGTAGGAAGAAAAGAGAGAGAAAAGAAAGGGCGGGAAGCCACTGGAGGTTGAGAGAGATCAATCAAACCACAATCCTGGATGGGCAATCCGCCAGCAACGTCACCGCGTGCTGATCTCTTGTTGTGTACCCAGGGACACGCACAGCCACAAGCCACAAATGTGGCGGTGGGGCTGGGATCAACAGCACACGCCACATCCAAGTCAGCTGATACCAACCCAACTCGCGCCCGGACCTGCCCCAGCTGTCTGACTGCCCAGCTGTTCGCCCGACTCCGATCTCAGATCGTTCCCCCAGCACTGCACATACGAAACCTTACTGGCTGTCAACTTTTCTATTCGACCTACGCTAAGCCATCTCATAACCTGTGGAAGCTGCTCTGTGTTGCGATCTGTCGCGCCTGTAGCTTCTCCGAGCACCTGGTTTCGGTTGGTTGTCCGTGCTGAAATGCTAAGCTCCGTCTCCCAACATGACCGAAACAAAGATGCAATTAGAAGACTGTGAGCTACTCAAGGTTTCTTGACAAGTGAGGATAGGAAGTACTGACTGAGGCCTTTGGGCCGTAACAGGGCTGGATGACTTGTGCGTCCGCTTCATCATTAACCTCCCGCGCGAGGAACTCGAGTCTGTGGAACGAATCTGCTTTCAGGTAGAAGAAGCACAATGGTTCTACGAGGATTTTATTCGCCCGCTCGATCCTGCACTGCCATCACTCACTCTGAAGACATTTGCCATGCGCATATTCCAGCACTGTCCTTTGATGTCGCAATGGTCTACCTATCATCACCAAGCAGCCTTCTCCGAGTTCCTCGCCTACAAGACACGCGTTCCTGTTCGCGGGGCGATCCTACTGAATGAAGATATGGATGAGGTGGTCTTGGTAAAGGGTTGGAAGAAAGGTGCCAACTGGAGTTTCCCGCGAGGCAAGATCAACAAGGGCGAGAAGGACTTGGACTGTGCTATTCGTGAGGTCTACGAGGAAACTGGATTCGATGTTCGTGAGGCCAACTTGGTCAAGGATGAAGATTCGGTGAAACACATTGAGATCACAATGCGTGAACAGCATATGCGACTCTACGTCTTTCCTGGTGTTCCTCAGGACACATACTTTGAGCCGCGGACCCGCAAGGAAATCAGCAAGATCGAGTGGTACAAGTTGACAGAGCTTCCGACTTTGAAAAAGAACAAGCAGCATGACGAGGGACTCGCAGTGGCAAACGCAAACAAGTTCTACATGGTTGCTCCATTCCTACACCCGCTAAAGAAGTGGATAGCACAGCAGAAGAAGATCAGCTCAAGGGTCCAAGTTAGTGCGAAACACCCCTCTCAAATCGAAGGATATTCCTCGATGGACGAGAATGCACCTTATTACTCCAATGGCAACATCCACCTGCCACGAACTACCGATTTGCCCATCCCGAGCGATCTTCCTGAAGTGAATTTGGGACAAGATGCGTCATCTCATATCAAGCATCTGTTACAGATTGGCGGCCCTACAGCTTCTAGTTACATGCAACCCCCCGGCCCTGATCAGCCCCCTCCTGTTGACCAGCACAAGTCAAGCGCACTGCTAGCGCTTTTAAGACAAGGATCTCAAGACAACGTCCCTCAGTTTCAGAACCAACCCGTTCCCCCACCGAATGCTCCCCACCATGCTCTGCCACCTTTTGAGCAACCATCTCAGCGGCCACCCAACTTCTTTCCTGGATTCCCTCCGCAACAGCAAATCATGCCATCACATCTCCCATCACACCCCGGTCCTCCGTTTGCTGAGTCTCAGATAAATCCTCACCAACAGCCTCAATTTCCACCAATGGGGCGACCCGAGTTGTCTGAAGCACCTGCAGTGCAATACCCACAGGGGCCCGCATCGAACTACCCAAGTCAACCCCCCTATGCCCTCCAATATTACACCTCCCAGACACGCTATGGCTCCTTTCCAACAGACTGGTGACCCTCTGATGTCCCGGTCAGCCCAGCCAGCTCCAGGCCAGGGCGTAGCTGCTCCACATGCGAGCAAGCTGCCTCCTCCGAAGCTCACTAGCCATTCACTTTCGCTTCTGAACTTTTTCAAGGATGATTCTTCCAAGACACCGGTTGGATCTCACGCAACACCAGCGTCTGTAGCTCCTGGACTGGCTCCACCACAGGTTCCTCAGCAACCTCGCAAGACCTCTCATCATCAGGATAGCCTGTTGGATCTCTTCAAGGGTCCCAAGCCCGTTGCATCTCCTCGCCCCGTTGAACTGCCAGGCCAGCCTGTACCTCAAGTTCAGTCCCAGTATGAAAAGCACATCATCCAGCGGGCACATCAACACCCGGTGCATGATCTCCAACGAGGGGATGCGGGTCTCAAGGCCCAATCGGGCCCCGGTCGAACATCTGCTACTGTGTCAGGCCCCTTGAATATGCCCAAATTTGAAGCAGTTGGGAAAACAGCACCCAAGAAGATGGCTAGTGGACCGAGCCGCAAGAACCAGGGAAATCGCCGAGAGCAGCCGCAGTCGCAGCCACAACAGCTCTCCTCGCCCATCACAATTCTCCCCCGTCCCCAGTCGGCCAAGCGCGATGCACCTATGTCCGGATCATACAAACAGGCTGCACCGGGCCCCTCTCCATCTCAACCCCCTCAACCAGCTCAGATTGGAGCACCCGCGCCAGTCAAGCCTTTCCAACCCCAAATTCTTCGACGCTCTGAGAAGACAGATTACGATCAATCGATGGCCGCTCCGCAGAAAACGGATAACCTGGACCGAAAACCAAGCCTACCTGGCATCCAAACGGACACGGCTGAACTTTCTCCCCAGACCAGTTTCGACCGCCGACCTAGTCAGAACGCTTCGCAGAAGGAGGCACTCTTATCACTTTTTGGAAAGCCTGCAGCTTCTCCCACCCCTCCATCCACGACGCAACTAGACTCACAAGCGGTGAACCAGCATCTTCCCCATGCTTCTGGTTTGGTCAGCCCTCTTTCATCTCTTCATCTCAATCCTAGCAGCGGTGGTTCTATTTCTCGACGCGGTACTCCTTCTGAGGGTGATACGGGCCCCTCTGGCGCAAACAACGTTTCGTCACCGAGCAACAAGGCGTTCTTGCTTGGATATTTACAAGGAGTTGCCAAAGGCAACAAATGAACCTTGGCACCCGATCGGCTTTGTATAATACGTAGGCCGGGATTCGGCTATGATGATAGCCCATGATAATTGAAACTCACATAACTTTGCATAACTCTTCATGAATGATCCAGTAAAGTAGTTTGTTTTTTGTACATCAATAACTGGTCGATAAGAATCACCTCGTTTAACGTATCCAGGGATTACCCCTCATCGAAGCCACAAGATACTCTTGATCAATAACAGGGTCATTGCCAGGGAAATATTATGATCTTCGTTTGACAGCCGATTACTTGAAATTGGCGATTTGAGTTCGATTGGATACGTCGTTGATCTGGTTGGTCGCTGCGGCTCCCTCCACCGCCTTGAGATTCGGTTGGAGCTTTCCCCGACGGCGCTCCGCGGTGCGTCATGTACAGAAGTTAAGTACTTTCTGCGCTCGCCCTCAATCATGATGCGCCCTCGCGTCTCGATATGTGGCCGCTGTATCGCGCGCAGTAGACTCTTTACGACAACATCAGCTCAGTCCGAGCAGTGCCAAAATGCGTCCCTCGTTCCCCAAACCGGATATGCCCGCCTCACGAACCGCGGCCTCATTTCGATCACCGGAGTCGACAGCGCTACCTTCCTCCAAGGCCTGATCACACAAAATATGCTGGTTGCAAATGATCCTAGCAGAAGCATCCGACGCACAAGCTTGTATACAGCTTTCCTCAACTCCCAAGGGCGCATATTGAACGACGCATTTATCTACCCGGTCCCCAACGCCGAAGGCAATGATCTCGACCGAGAATGGTTGGTGGAGGTGGACAAGAATGAAGTTCCAACGTTATTGAAGCATCTAAAGAAACACAAGCTCCGGGCCAAGTTGAAGCTCCGAGCCCTCGAGGACGGCGAGCGAACCGTGTGGTCGTCGTGGAAGAATCACGCCGAGCCCCGGTGGGCTGCATACAACCTTGAATCCGAGACCGCGTCGCCTTTCGCGCCCTCTTCGAACGTTGTCGGATGTATCGATCTACGAGCTCCGGGCTTCGGGTCTCGAATCGTGACTCCAGGCCCGGAGGCGCTCCGCACCTATCTTCCCGACGAAGCGCAGGTCTCCGGGGACGAGGTCGGATTAGATGCCTACACCATTCGTCGGATACTCCATGGTGTCCCGGAAGGACAGTCAGAGATTCTCCGAGAGTCGTCACTCCCTATGGAATCGAACATGGATATGGGCCGGGCTATCGATTTCCGCAAGGGCTGTTATGTTGGTCAGGAGCTGACGATTCGCACACACCATACAGGTGTTGTACGCAAGCGTATTCTACCGGTCCAGCTATATACGGGTGATGCACCCACGGGAGATAGTCCAGTTTATGACCCCTCGACTGAACTTGCCCTGCCTCCCGCCGGCACAAATATCAACAAGGCTGGCGGCCGCCGGGGCCGCAGTGCTGGAAAATTCCTCAGTGGTGTCGGTAATATTGGCCTTGCACTGTGTCGTCTCGAAATGATGACTGATCTCGCGTTGACGGGAGAGGGGACACAATTCACACCTGGAAGTGAATTCAAGGTCTCCTGGGTGGCTGAGACAGAACAACCCGCTGAAGTCAAATTGCAAGCTTTTGTTCCCGCTTGGACGAGGGAATTTATTCTTGGAAGCATTCGCAAGCCCACTACCCCAACAGTTGATCTTAGTGAGCGGGCACGCGAATTTATGGAACAGCTTGAGGAAGAGGAGGAAGCAGTTCAACGACGGGACTAGATTTAGTTCTATGCCACTATGTAAAACATGACAACCTGTAGCGATATAATGTACATAAAAAACTTATCATCCCGGTCCTGTCCATCTATAGCTATAAAAGAAGTAACAAGTCAAGAGTTTCATCAACATAGCCACTTGTCGGCTGGGGTATCTTAATTTAATATCAATAAAAACTATTCTACTTAGATCCATTGGCATCTGCTGCCTCATCTTCTTTGACGAGATCTTCTTCAAGAGATTTGCGCTCCTTCTCACGCTGTGCATTCTTCAGGCGCATCATCACAGTTTCTTGGAAGCTGGGCATTCCTTTACCAGATGTCGCCGCAGACGCGAAGGAGCCAAATGAGGGAGTCTTGCCAGACTTAGGGGCTCCTGAATTGACGCCAGGGAAGCTGAAAGAAGGCTTTGCTGGCCGCTCGGATGCCTTGGTATCTTGCGTGGCAGACGGAGCAGGGTCCTGTTGTTTCGGGGGGAGTATCTTGTTTGGAAGGTGCAGTTTCGGCAGCCTTTTGGCTGGTGACGCCGGGGTTAAAATCTGGAGGGGTACCAGAAGCCCACTCGACAGACTCGATATGAGCCCAATCCCCATCTGGGACGCCAGATTGGCGAAGCTTCTTTTCGCTGTCCACGACAGCTGCGTGCGCGCCCACGATGGATTCAAAAACGACCGCGCCGGTTGCAAGAGTAACTTTCTCACGTTTCCCTTCAACACGCTTCCTCTTGTCCTTGAGCATGAAAGTTCCCTCCACCTTTCCAAATGATCCAAAAAGGGCTTTCAACCGGTCCGAATCGAGATCGAGCGCTTCGCGCTCCCAGCGCACCTTGATTGTACGATCGAGCTCAGGAACATTGGCGCCACCATCCTGGGAGCGATCGACGCGCTGAGAGCCACGGTCCGCTACCTTGCGAGCCTCTTCCTCCTCCGCCTGTGCCATCTGCTCCTCCTCCTCAAGCTCACGCTTCAGTTTATCCCCAGCCTCACGACGACGCCGTCGCCCATCCTCCGCAATCCGCTCAATTTCCCGTTGTAGTTTGACCTCGGCGTCATCATCAGCAGATGCCCATGATCTCTTCACACCCCTTTGACCCGCAGCAGCAGCAGCGCCAGCCCGTTCGGCAGCTTCAAGGTCCTCGCGCATCTTACGCTTCGCGGCGCCCATTTGCTCGCGCTCGCGCTGCTTGCGCAGTCGTGCCTCACGCGCATTATCATAGAGTTGCCGGATTGAGGCATCTGAAAGAACATCGTTCGCGATTTGGAGCAGGTGGAACTTGTCGATATCTGCTGGTGTTGGGTTTGCGATTTTATCGGGGTGGTATTTCAGTGCTGTTTTGCGGTAACCGCGGCGGATCTCGGAATCTGTTGCGGACGGCGAGAGATCTAACAAAGCATAGAAATCCTGGTTGGACGCAGCGTGCGCCTTGAGGTCGTCTGTAGACATCTTGGCGGATTTATGTGATGAATCGGAGCTTGGGAAGGCTTAGATTGGACTGGGTGACTTGATTGAATTTTTACGGTGGGATTTAGGCACTAAAAGCGCAGTTGTCTCCACTGGCGCATTTAGAGTTGATACGAGTTTCTTTCTCTTACTTGAAATAATTTCTTAAAGAAACAACTTGAAGTTGATCCGATTCGTTCGAATACTTAAGAGTGCCTAGGTGAATGCCTTTATATTTGGTTGCTATTGGGCCATTTGTTGCCTGGTTCCAAGGTTGCCAGTGGATAACTCCGAAATGCACACGTTTGGCTCGAACTATATATTCCTGCTAAATAATGAAACAATGGTATTATAAGTCAAGTACAATATCGAGTATACAACATTCAAGTTAGTATTCAAATTCGATTCGAACATGATTCGATCAGTTTTATACCAAATAGAAACCTCCATCAAGTAAATTATCTACTACGAGTACTACTAAGCCTGACCCGGCACGTGCTCTCCTGCCAGCCCTGGAGTCCTACAGCCGGGTTTCATTTTCCTTCTACACCCTGCACACCTGTGGACCTTACGGATGGCTCCCTCAACAGGCCCACGGGCAACGATTCGACTGGACCGGGCTCACTTGGCACTGGCACTAGCCATTGTCAAAGACAAACCTCCCGACACCGAAGTCAAAGGTCAGTGATCCGATTGGTGCTTCACCTTGCAGCAGACTAACAAACCTCCCACTGGCACTGCAGATTACATCTCCCGGATCAGAAATTTCATTAAATCTCAAAAGGAATTGGATATGTCTCGCCCAGAAAAGTTCTTTGACAGTGTCAACTTCTGGAAATCCGCTTACGAGAAGTCGGAGGCCGAGCATGCTAAGCTGCTCAACGCCATGTACGACTTGGAACAGCGCAACTTGAATCTTCTTACGAAAACAAAATTGACTACCTCTGGCGAAAATACCTCTGTTCCCTCGTCAACCAAACGCAAGGCATCCGGCGTACTTGTGCCTGTCGCTCCGTCCCAGATCAACAGCAAACGAGCACGGTCAAACCTCTCCAAGAACCCTTCACGCAAGGACCCCGGTGCCGAACGACAGGATGCAGAGTTTACACATGACGAGAAACGAAGTAAGGCCACATATCGAAATCGATTTCTATATCTGCTAATTCTCATCAGCAACTTCCTTTATGAGACAAATTTATAATATGCAGCGAGCCCTGCAAAAGAGACGGAATGAAAAGAACTTGGCAACCAACGCTGTGATACTGTGTAAAGAAGCAGAGCATTCTTTTCTTGATCTCATACAACTCGAAGTCAACTCAAAATGCCAAACTAACAGCTCAGACCTCGTCACTACGGAGCAAAGCACTAGTGCCATCTTTGGAGGTGTGGAGCTCGCTTTTCATCTTGCATACCGAGCGCTCCACAAAATTAACAACGCAGGCGATACCCCTGGCCAGGGTAAAGGTCAAATCATCTACTACATTGTATGTCTTTTTGAGTCGATTACGGTTGGTCTTACTCAGTATTGCACGGCCATATCAAATCCCAGAATTGAAACCGAAAAGACCGACCAGCTTCAAAAATCAGCGACTACCCAAGTCCGAAGGTCCAAGACAGAGAAGAGAGCCCAGACAATCACTCAATCTCATATTCCAACAAAAGGGAAAGATGAAGTTGCTCAAGAATTGACCAAGCTCCTATGCAAAATGGCGACGTCACTGGATCTGACCAAAGAGGATGACCAGAAGATCATGGAGGGATTTCTTTTCATCGTTCTCGGTCGAGTCGGCAAGATGCTGGCTCTTTTCGTCTTTAAAGATATCCAGCTGCCACTCGAAGCTTGTCCGGAACTGAAACTTCCCGAAGGACTCGCCTCAATGCACCAGGAAGGGTTATCACCGGACATTGGAAAATGCGAAGCGAGCTATCTTGTCAAACTTCTCAAGGGCCTATTTACGAACGAGGCATCTTCTACACCAGAGTACTCCGCCACAAAAGCACAGTTTGTCCGTGGCATGAAAGATCAATTTCAGGAAACTCTTCTGCAAGCAGTTTTTGGGATGGATGAACCGCTATTCCAGGGTGGCTTGAAACGTCCAGCCACGCCACCGCCTCAAGATTGTGATGGCAATGGGGGTGAAAATTTCTCGTTTTCAGAATGGTTTACACAGGAATTATGGTCCCTAGTAGGCTGGGATATGTTGAACAGCATTGTGGATTGTCGTTGAGCTACCTGATTTCATATTTAACCAAAAGTCTGGATTGTTTGAGACGAAGTGCGTGGGAATGGTGTGACATTATTTACGCTTATATCCCATGATAGATATAAAATACGCCTATAGCTAGATAGATCATTGCACTTGCTACTTCCTTATTTAAGATCGAGAATGCGTACCGCGTTGCCTCCAAGTACTGCGGTAACTGAAGCCGGATCTTCCTTGAGTGTATCATCGATAGCCGTGTAATTGGTAGTAACACTCAACCACTTCTCATTCTCGTCTCCGAGGGGTGGAAAGAAGGGATGATCAGTTCCTAGCGATCAATTATATTAGAAGCTGCAACTTGAAGCGAAGATACCATTCTCACAAACTCACCGAAAAGCAAACGATCGGTACTACCAGCCGCGATAGCTGCCTGAAGCCCAGCTTTGCCATAAACGACAGCATCAAGATAAATATTTGTCTTGAGAACCTCCCAGATACTCCTCTGGGGCCCAGGAACGTCCCCACCATTCTCCTTGAATTTCCGCTCATGCGCAATGCAGCTCTCAATCCTTCCAGCTAGAAAAAGGGAGCGTTCCACCCGAATGAGCTAGCAAGATCCGCAGTCGGGGAAAGCGATCAAAAACCCTGCTCAAAAGCATCCGAGTCACAGAGATAGTCGTCTCTAGGGGGAAACCCAGGGCGAGTGGGAGGACATGACCGTAACGAGCCGTTATCTCGGGGCCTCCAAATGCTTCATCGGGAAGACCATAGTGTGGGTGTAGGAACAAAACTTGCTGAGACTCTTCCAGTGCTGCCCATACCGGATCAAGATTCGCATCGTCGAGGCCAGAGCCCAACCCTGATGTCCCCATAATGACGCCCCGGATATGCGGCAAACTCGAGAGTCGGTGGATTTCCTCCACGATGATATCTGGAGTCGGCGCGCTTAAAGGTAAAGCGCCAAATGCAAAGAGCGATCTCTTTTGCTGGAATGGAATGGTATTATCTGGATCAGCAGTGCGATTTACATTTGCACAAGTGGAGTTAAGATCATCGTTGATGAGCCGGGCCCATGTTTGGGCCTCGTCCGGAGACAGGAAATCCAGCCAGGGATTTGCGAGGGAGATCACGCTGCAGTCGATGTCGTGCTTTTTCATGAAGTCCAGCTTGACATTGATATCCGAGTAGGATGAGTCCACGGGCCGACCGCGTTGATCGATGGGGATTGCGGGGTCATCGTCGGAGGAGAGGATTATCAACCGCGGCGTGCCCTTGTCGCTGGGGTCATGAATATATGGCACCGTCTTGCGATCGCGAAGCATCGCCATGTACGAAGGAGGGTAGACATGGGTGTGGATGTCTACGACGAAGGGTCGTGCCATGGTGATGATAGGTAAGATGGGTAGTGAGGGTAAAGTCAGTCTGAGAAGAAGGAAATGGCGGGTTGTCGTGGTTAGGCTGCGGTCGTAGATAAGACATGCAGATGGCATGCGGGGAGAGGTAGGAGAGGGGTATCCCATGGTTGCATTTTTGGTTATTAGGCTGGGCGAGGGCTGTCCCTTATCGTGGATTGAAGTATGGAAGACTTCTTGTTCCAAGGTCATGTTTTACGTTCATACCTTTTCTTCCGGAAGTATACAACTCTCAACGCAAGAACTACCTTAGGAATAGGGCATTGTAGCCATGCTGTCAATCTAGACAGCTCTGTACAATATTGGATTGAAGCATTTCCTAACTTAAGTCAATGCGGCATTGGAAATGGCAGAATAGAACAATCATCCGAACAAATAGTTCTATCTATCTAACATAACAGTTGTCTCATCACGGCATTGGTATCATGCGGCATTGCTTCACAGGCGAAGGAAGCATTGACCCCTTAATTTCAAATCAGCACCATTCAAAATTCACAACATCATGAAGCTCCAAACTCACACCAATAAATCCCAAATTTAGGACAGAGCGGGACCGCCCAGAGTGATGGGCTGCTTGTTGGTGAAGTTGGAAATGTCGGCAAAGATCTTGGGAGTCTTGGGGTCTTGCAGAGCAGACTTGATATCCTCCTCGCTCTTCCATTCCAAATTGGCGGCAATCAAGAACTTAGAGGGAGAGCCATCGAGGGCAGTGGTGTACTTGATGATCTTCCAGCTGACGAGGCCGTACTTCTTCCAGATTGACTCCACTAGAGGCATGTGAGTCTGGAGGTAGTAGGACTCATCAAACGTGATATCATCATCGTTGGGGTACATGACAGAGGCGTGGTAAGGCATGGTGGGCAAAGAGTTGAAGATTTTGAAATTGAGAAAAGAATGGAAGAATTGATTGAAGTGAAGGGGAGGAGAAGAAGAAGAAGAAGAAGAAGAAGGAGTAAAGAGTCAAGAGTAAAGAGGGGCATGTTTCGCAAACAAGCCGAGGATCGCGGGAGCTCATTGCTTATTAATGGGGAACGTGGAGCCCCTCGTGGAACAAAATGCAGTGGGGCCTTGTCCATAATATAATCACTCCGAGTTCCGTACTCGAACGCTTGCTTCATTGCGACCAAATTATGGTCTACTGCTGCTACTGCGACTGATACTGCTGCTACTGCTGCTACTACCGGTCCGTTTGCCTGTCAGATGGATACGGCAATTCAGGGTCCATTGCATTCCCCATGCGGGGAGCTACAGGGTCCACCAGAAAAGGGGCCAGACAAGTCTGGTCCTAACGATCTACCATTCGACTTGCCCAAGTCGTAGGGGGCCCCGGAAGGCAGACTCACAAGGATGTTTCACACCACACATTCTCATCAATCCCAATTCCTACATGTGAACCTTACTCCATCATGGCTCCAGCCAGCCTGCAGCCAAGCAGGCGAAGCTTTCGTCTGGTTCACGGGACGGGCCTCGTGTTGATTCTCGCCATTTTCTACAAACTATTTATCCATGATATTGTTTTCGAAAAACCAACCCCCATCCCAACCGACCGGAATGTCGGTGGCTTCTCCTGGAGATGTACACGCCTCGAACATCCTCTCATGGAGGGATGCGAGCACCTGTGGTTGGATCATAAGAATCGAAAGCTCTACGGGACGTGCTCCAACTTTTCAACGCACACGGATACTTCCGTCGAATCCGATTATCCAACCATGGCACGCAGAGATCATGTCAGTGTGATGGAGATTGACTCGCCGCCAGGGCAAGATAATGCCTACAACCTGCACCGATTAGAGGTCGCAGATGGCTTCAAAGGAGAACTGGACCTTCACGGGCTAGACGCACGCCGCATCGGAGATCAGCTTCGTTTCTGGCTGATCAACCACAGGCCATTCGTCAATGCAGACACAGGAGAAATCATAGAAGAGAAAAAGAACTATACCGTGGAAGTGTTTGACTTGGACGAGGACGCTGGTGCTCTTGTACCCGTCAAAACAATATCAAGCGAGCTCTTGGACTCACCAAACAATCTAGCCGTGGACACCACAGGAGACGGGATCCTCGTGATTAACGATCACGTCACAAAAGTCGGACCCTTCCGAGGCGGGAAAGAGGTAGTGGGCGATGCGAATCTCGCGGAATGCCAAACAGATTCGGGTGAATGTCGTCTGATTACTACCAAGGGCTTTGGGTATGCCAATGGCATCGTAATCGATAGCCAGGAACACATATACGTGCCTGGCGTCTCCGGGGTAGTGCTTGTCTATGAGATGGAGTACGGAGAACTCAAACTCTTGAATTCATTCAGAACGTCGTTGGGAATCGATCGGATCTCCGTCAATGCAGAAGATAGCATCGTCATTACTGCGTTTCCAGATTCGTTGGAGCTGATAAAAGCGTCGACAAACCCGCTGGATCCAGTGCCTGGAGCAACTTTGCTTTTAGCCAAAAGGGAAACTATTAATCCAGAGCAGTCAGAGGAGCAGGGGTATCAAGCCTACTTTTTGATCACAGATGAAGATGGCGAGCTCATGCCCTCCACTACTATCGCTGTGCATGATGTCAAGACGGATCGCCTGTTTCTGACAGGAATATTTTCGCGTGGCATCAATATCTGTACACAACGAGCAATGAAATGAATAGCAAGCCCCAGCAGAGAAATTTACGGCAACGGAAAAGTCGCGTATGTCACGCAATTACTGTGACGTGCATTAAGAAAGGCGAAGTAGACTTCAAGCAGTTCTTAGCAAAGGAAACCATGCTACTTTTGAATTCGGTCATCAAATCTAAAGCACAATCTTGGAAATTACAACACAAAAATCCTACTCCCAGGCACCTGTCGCCGAAAATTTCCTACCCTCCAGGCCTGCTTCCCCACTCTGATATTACCTAGCCTGCTTGGTAGATAGCAGGCCCAGCGATGACGTGAGGATTGATCAGGCTCAGGTTGAAGGGCGTCAAATATGGATCGTGGTCGGTAATGGCAATGAACATAGTACCATTGATCGCGGGGTCACCTTGGTAGGTTTCCAGATTGGGCTGATGAGTGTAACCACGAGATCCATGGCCAACACGTAGCGGCGTATATGTCACATTGAGTTGAGAAACCCAGACAACATACTTGGGTCTGGTTGCCTGTGATGTGGTGATATAGCTGTTGTTGGGGCCAATTTCTGAGCCCGGGCTGTCCCATTGCAATGTAACTTGACGACCAGGGAAAGAGAGAGCTGGATAGCTCTCTGGTGCATATCTGCATTTCCAGTTACGGCGATACCAGTAGCGGCTCGACATTGCGCTGACCGTACTGTTCCAGTTGTTTGAGCTTCCATTCAAGATGGTGGGTTGGTTGATTATCCTGAGTTCCGGGAAGTTTTGCCAGACCAGACGGGTCTGGTTAAATGGGCACGAGCTTATATAGGGTGCCAGAAGTGACCATGCCCAGGATTGGGGAATACCAGTCTCAAACCACTCGGGCATAGGGAAGAGCCCTAAGAACTGGCGGAAGATCAATTGTTGTCGTGCTTCGGTTGTGATCGACTGAGTTAGTAGTGTGGCCGCCTCTCGAGAATCCAGATGTGCCAAAAACCCGTAAACCCCAGCTTCGCCAAAGCGAGTGATTTCCTGACAGAGATCGAGAAACTCTGTAACGTTGCGGTAGGGATAATGGTAGGTGCATTGCTGTGGGGCCTGGGCACCGAGAATATTGCTCAGCATTGTTGCGTGTCCAACCTCTTGCTGCGCCATGAAGGCAATTAGATCCCGATCTGTAGAGGTTAGACCGGCAGATTTGAAATCCTCTACCGAGAAACGTCGTAGCCCGTCCAGGAAAAGATCAAGCTCAATCCATTCCTGATACAATGCAAGTGCCTGTTGTACTTTATCAATAACAGCGTTGCGCTCCACGACCCTGGACAGGATGAGTACGTACAAGGGATTCATAGTCAAAGTCACTTTTGACATTGTAGACTGGAATAGATCCATTTGTCCCGACCCCTCCGGCAGGAACATAGGGGGCGGGCTCAGCATTGTGAAGTTTTCCATCGCTGGGGTAAGTAGTAGCCGCCGGGAGAACCTCTTCGCTTGAAATGCCCTGTCCAACAGAGGTGGCAGTCAGAGCACCGGTGGTTGATGGAGTGCCGCTGAAAGGAGTGTGAGGTTGAGAGCTAGGATGGGATCGAGTCGATGGACCGGTAATCAAAGCCTCAGATACCGAATCCAAATCCGTAGTTGTATGATGCGAGTTCTTGTGTGAGGATGCAAATGTGAAGGGAAGTGAGCCTACTAGGCTCAGTAGAAGCAAGGGACCCAGCATTTTAGCTGCACATAAACGATGATATACTAGTAGTGTTATGTAGTATCTCACGGTAATAGAATCTTCTTGCGTCTCAGGATGCTCAACTGCAAAGGTGGGTGTGCTGCAGGTGAATGGCTCACCGGACGGCACCGGAGACCTTCGAGGATAAATATATACTAGTAGGTAACTAGGAATAAAATGCATTATTACCTATGTATCTCGTGAGATAGAGTTGACGTAAGTGACAAGCCTACCAGATAGTAAGGTTAAGCCGGATGTTGACCTCAAGTATCGATGCCACCAAGTCGGAGAGTTGTAGACTCGAAGCCGATAAGCTTAACTTACGGTATCACAATCCAAATGCGTCCTATTCCACCCATGAAACTTAGCCAGCTCATGATTATCGAGCTGAGAATGCTTCTGCAGTGATCGTCCTGGAACAATCACTGTGCCCAATGTCTAGGAATATACCGCATCGTGTGAAGGTATGTGTTGTCCATAGCCCTGCAAGCAGCTTTTCTGCATGATTGGATACCAAATCCAGGTACCATGGATATGGAAACTCACTCCTTGAACCTAAGCTTCAATTTTCGAATGCCTTTTAGAACGACGGATGACCGCGGTAATGACGTCGACCTGCATACGTACGTGGTTTCGCCGAGTGGGCACCTGTTGGTGATGGAAATCAAATCCGACCCCGGATGTTTCGGATCATGGACCAGGGACAAAAAATGGGAAATTGCGGATATTCTAGTCAACTGGTTAATATTTTGTACCTGTACCTGCCTGCCCTACGGCCAGTTGAGGCCGAGGAGGTCATCACGCCTGACGTCAAGAAGGCCGTGTTAATTTAGGACTCAGAGCAACCGGACTATATGATTATTATATTTGTGCTTTGACATGTTCGTCTTCACGTTCGTATTATCCTTTCCTTCTTGATAACTCCTGCTGCTTCGTGAAATACGAAAGGGCAGACACCAGACGGTGATATTTGCACTGCTTGAAGAATCGATGTTCTGAAAACGGGTTCCTCGATGGGCTAGAATTGACTGATCGGCAAGAACTCCGAAGTGAAAATGATATCCCATCGGCCCAGGTGTATTTATTTTGTATTGCACATGAGTTCGGATCGGCGGTGCGCCGACCTCGGGGACCGGTGGGGGGGAAGGCGATCGCGGGGAAGGGCAACCCTTACAGTTCAAGTTCCCGGATTGTGCTACACCGATAGGAAGTGCACCCCAAATCTTCCCCTCCTTCGTAATCCATCATCCATCCCTTCTTTTCTTGCAAATATACCACCTGCAATATGTCCAATCTGCTCGCTTCCAATCTTTTCTCGGTCCAGGACCGCGTGGTCGTCATTACCGGTGGAGGTAGTGGTAAGGCATCACCTAACGGTACTCCGCGGTTGGGGGTTGATGCTAATAATGCAATTCCCTTCTTCAATAGGTCTCGGTCGGACTATGGCCCGCGCTCTAGCGGTCAATGGTGCTGCGAAGGTGTTTGTCCTTGGGCGTCGTGTCAATGCCCTGGAGGAGACGGCCACTCAATCTACTCCCGGCGTGGTTATCCCCGTTCAGTGTGATGTCACCTCGAAAGAGTCACTCGAGGCCGCATACAAGACCGTCGCTGAGCAGACCACCCACGTTGATATTCTCTTTGCCAATGGTGGAGTCCTAGGACCATTGATGCGGCCGTCTCAGAAACCAGATGGAACCCCTCCTTCTCTCAGCGAGCTACGCGAGGAGTTGTTTAGTAAACCAATGGAGGCATTTACCGATGTGTTGAATGTCAATGTCACTGGATCTTATTACACCGTGCTGGCGTTTTTGCCATTGCTGGAAGCATCAAACAAGCGGCGACCAGCACCTCAAGCGGGGGTGTTGAGCCCTCCAACTGCACAGGTCGTCATTACTAGTTCGATCGCAGGGTTTATTCGCAAAGTGCCGTTTAGCTTTGCGTACAATGCGTCTAAATCTGCCACCACACATCTGGTCAAGATGCTCGCTACTACTCTCGCCGATTACGATATTCGGGTGAACGGCATCGCACCTGGTCTATACCAGTCCGATATGGCCAACCATATTTTCGAAGACAAGGGCATCGAAGGCAGCGGGGTCAACGAAGGCTCGTTCCCACGAGAGATGATCCCTATTAGACGCAGTGGAAGTGAGGAAGACTTTGCTGGTCTAATAGTGTGGATGGCAAGTGCCTCGGGTGGTTACTTGAATGGCGCCATCATGCTTACCGATGGTGGTCGCGTCAGTGTAGTCCCAAACACATATTAGGGACCTCTGACTGCCCTGCATCATCTAGAGTTGAGTTTACAAGCTGAATTGGAGCCGTTGAAAGTGAATGATTTTGTATAGACACTTTTGATAAATAAATGAATAAATGTGCTGTACTGTTTGAACAGACTGATCGAGATGGGTCGACATGGAGTTTCACCGACATTTGGTGTCCCATCGGGTACCGGCTGCAAGGGTACTGGCGAAGAATAGAGTTCCAAGGTTGATGATCAATATGTCTCTGTTAGTCGTTGGACTAGATAGTCGCCCGCGGTAACGTCTGTGTACTTTTTTGCGACATGGATATCTTCACCGTACGTTCCCGGTAGGGCCTTGATGACCTTATTGTTGTTGGGGTTGCAGAAGTATGCAATGCTGTAACGTGAAGGGTAGATGTCGAGCGAGCTATCCTCGCCCTCGGGCTGGGGTGGTTGTATTACTCGATGGCGGGTACTCTTAATAGTATCATTTGACCAGCGCGCGAGCAGGTCGCCGGCATTGATCACGATTGTATCGGCGATTGGAGTGGCGTCAACAAACGACCCCCTGGGGCTGCGCACTTGCAAGCCCCCATGTCGATCTTGGAAGAGCAGTGTAACAGAGCCATAATCACTATGTTCACCGGCGCGAACTTGCTCAGGGTTCTTCTTGAAGACATCTTTGTGGACGGGCGGATAATGCAAAAGGCGAAGGTTATTATCACCATCACTTACAAATTCGTCGAAAAAGTGCCCGGGCAGGTTCATACCAAGGGCGATCGAGTTCATGACCTGCTTGTGTAGATTTTTGCACATCTCAAAAAACCCAAGCATTGTTTCCTTGAACCTTTTGCCTTCGTCATCGAGATGGTCGGGCCAGCGGTTCGGCAAGCTATCTACGTCCTCCCGGCCAATCTCCATAGTCTCCTTGATGTCGGGTACAGATTTCCGGCGAGTATCTATCTCACCTGTTTCATCAAGGGTAGCAAGCTTTTCTCGGCCGATGGCAACGTATCCACGATTTGATTGTGGGGTTGTCCATCCTAAATCGTTCTTCTGGTCCTGGGGGCGATCGAAGAATCGAGCAGATGAAGAGAACACCTGAGACACAATCGATGGTGGTATTCCGTGATTTTTTAAGTAGAGAAAGCCAGAGTTTTTGAGCGCCTCGGTGATGGATAAGGCGACGGCATGCTTGTCAGACGGAGTTCCCGAAAAAAAGGGACCGAAGTCTATCAGCTAGAGGTGTCTCGAGTGAGCCTTTTCAGTATCCTAACATCTCAACTCCACCGACCGACAATCTCAAGGGTGGATTTACAGGAATCACCAAATCATCCTTGTTCACGGCCATATATGTAGGGTGGAGCTGTTGAGGACTGTTGGCCATGATATCGTATGCGTAGGCGATGGGGGACCGGAGTGGTTGAGGAGAGTATTGGAGAGGGGACATGCAGGGAGGGGGGGGAGTGAGAGGGGATGAAGATAAGGGGATCACTTCCTACTAAATAACCTATGGTATGCACGCATTTACCTCGTCTGGTTGATTGCCAGTACTGGTCCCGTGCTGCACTGATAAGCTGCACGGAGGCGAATATGCCACCGCTTCCCCGCCCGCATTGGGAGATGCAGATGATCTACTATCTGGGCATGTACGTGCTAGAAGATTTGCCTGAATGAACACCTAGGCTCTATCGGTATGAAATGAGGGGCTGGAATTGCATTACCACTGCATAATGGCTATATACGTCGACGGTCACTGTAAAGAGACTGTGTTGAAGCTGGTTAGTACTGATTCTTCTTGGCAAGATGTAAAACCAGGCAATTCCAAGTTGCAGATGAAACTTAGAAATGAAAATTGACTTATTTTCGATTTGAGAAGAAGTATACAGAGACAGAAGCTAAAGAAACCATTTAGGAATTGGGGGATTCCTTGATGGTTCTTCCATAGCTGTATTATGTACGGAGTATAGTGCAAGCATCGCTCAACTCCGGCTAAACGCCGATCCGCCGATCCTCGACCTTTGCTCTCCGGCCAACTCACCCTGATCTCCAATCTTCAATCTTTAATTCTTCCCCCACACCACCCAAATCCACCCATCATGGACACACCCAGGAATAGAAAGCAGCGCCGTGCTGCAGCGGCAACCTCTTCACCATCATCAACCTCGCCAGTCCCCGATATCGATATCCCTCTTGCTCATCCCCCACGCGATAATCCACCCCAGAAAGCTAGCGAGCGAACACTATATGACATCATCGCAGAGCGCCAAAACGAGCTTCAGGCAAAAGCAGACAAGGCAAACAAGGCGAGAGGAATGCCGGGAATACCGCTTGGACAAGAATTGCCGCCCATGGGGAAGGGAACGCGGTTCGTAACTGTCGACGCGTCTGGGAACATTGTCGAGACAGACGGCAACATCGACAATGATGAACTGGTGGGTGAGGATTCACAGAAACATAAAGCTGGCCGCAAGGTCCAATCGTCGATCAAAGGCGATGCCAATGATGAGGATAGCGACGTCGACAATCCCCTCCCGCCCTTCATCGATACCGTCCTCCTTTCGATGCCCCTCACAACACTCCACGGCACACTCTCCTACCTAGCCGCATACCAATACGCCGAATCAACGGATGCCGTTCGAATAATGAAGGATTCTATGATGTTCACATTCCCTCTCTTGACATTCCTGGTGCATCTTGTTCACGGCCACATCTTTTCCTTCCGACTACGGAGCACTTCCAACCTTCTGGCCGACAGTGCGCAGCCCATTTCGCTCATACCGATTACTCGAGACAAACTCACATTCTCCTTCTTGCGACGACTACTCTTTCCACCTTCCATTCGCACTCTCGTGTTTCTGCCAATCTCTATTATGGTTGGAGTCCATCTGATTACCGTAACAAACGGAGAACCCTACTACGCTGTTATGAAAAAGGCACCCGCATATGGAACGGTTTGGATTTGGTTCGTTCTGGAGTTGTCTTTTGGTCCAGCAGTACTGGGTGCACTGGGTCCCTTAATTTGGGGCGTTTGGTGGAAAGGATATGGCATTGTTTGAGCCGTTCGCATTTGGTGGTGGAGTATGTATGAGCCTGTTCAATTTTGTACATTGCATTGCCTCTGGTTTCGGGAAATTTCTCTTCTTGTAACATCTCAAAGCATATAAGGTTTCAATATTTCCTCTGGGGTGTGTGGTCGTAACACCTCGACGATCTCCTGCCATACCTTCTTCTGCATAGCCTTTCCCTGTACGCTTGTACATGATTCACCCATGCTAGACCTCCGGTTAGCGAAATTAATCAATAGACGGCTTGGTGTTGAACGTACTCGAGAAACATGTCGGAGTTCCACAACTTGCCATGGCCCTCAGGGCCCAGAATTGCGCCGCTCACGTAACTCCTTGCTCCCTGTTCGGCTGTACGGAAGAAGACCGACTGGAGCACGATCATCGGAAGCTGAAGGATGGTAGGGAAATCGCGACCCAGTGTTGTTTTGCAAGGGCCAGGACAGACCGCATTGATGATAATACCAGGATCACCCTGGTTAAATTCAATGGAGCTTGTTGTTCCTTGTACGAGACCCTCCAAAATGTACATTTGGAACAGTTTCGCAATCTGGTATTGTCGTTGTAGACTAAAGAATTTGGCTTGACTAACTTGGTCCAAGATTGCGTCATTGCTTTGCGAGAAACAGTCGATCCTAGCGGAGCGGCAAGCAATGCTTGCTACTATCTCGAGATGGGCTGGAGTTTTGGACATTTTGGCCCATTTTCGAAGCTGTGGAATAATCAAGACCGCCAGTAGCGCCGTAGAGAGAACCATGATCTGAACTGTTATCTCGTGACCTTCCGGACCAAGGCGAAATGAGGGAGATGCCACTCCTGCGTTTAAAATGGCAATGTCTATTCTCTCTTCCTTGGCGATCGCCGCAGCAAACCGTTTAACAGAATCAAATGTGCTCATGTCAAGCTCATATAATTGAATGTTGTTCTTATCAAAGCCGGTCTGCCGGCATATTTTAGCACGAGCGACATCGCCTCTCAGGAGAGACCGGACGCCGAATATAAGACGAGAGGCGCCCAGTGTCGCGAATTTAAGAGATGCTTCAAATCCAAGTCCAGCATTGGCCCCGGTAATGAGAACTGTCTTGCCGGCAAAGGACTCGGTGGGGTTTGCTGGAGGATGGCGGCCGGACCACCATATCATCGCTGCGTCTCCGTCTGGTGGTGATGAGACCATTGTGAATTTGTCTGAATAGAGGAATATAATCGTCGACGCATATGATTTCTGGAAAATCACTTGATGCTGACGGTGGTGGAAATGCCCTTTATAGGGTTGACTGGTTGACTCGGCAAATCCGAAAAACGTTCCGAAGTCACACCGGACACATGACATCAAATAATGCTCTTAGACAGAGTTCTGTAGCCGATTGAGAATAGATTTGAGCGAATCACAGTGTCCCCTAGGCTGGTATAGTGGAGGTTGCTCATTGGCTTCTTCTTCCAACATAGTTGATAATATTCGAGCTGCCTTGCCCTGGGTCAGCATCTCCCCCGTGGGCTGAAGAATATTGCCAGCAAGGCCAAATCTTGATTCAATCTTTCCGAGCATGTCGTCGCTTATTTGTACTAGAATCTTTACTTGAATATCAAGTCGAGCCTCCAATTTGAAGCCCCCGAGGTTCATACCAGGGAACAATTGGGGTATCGGATGTTGTATCCCCAGAAGAATCGGGAGACAGTCCAGTACGCAAGATAGAATCGTTCGATAGATCCGTACCAAGCCAATGTAACATGAAAGCAGCACGAACATGGTCGGTGTATCGCAAGTCAATTCAAACGGCGCAGAGCTGGCACAAGGCTGAAATTGATTCAGTATATCAATCAAAGACGTAGAATAGTCTAACATCCGCCCGATCATGACATTTTGACTCGTGACAGGGTTTAATCCCGATGAATTAAGTGCCTCGGGGCACTTATCGGCAGTAATGCAGCACTTGACAGTCTCAAGATCGGCAACAACACCGGCTTGAAGAATGCCTAATTTTCTCAGGCAATCATCCCGGGCCTCGGACGATGGAGTCATAGGCACGGGATCAGGTAGCGCGGTTGAAGTAAGGTATTGGCCATAGTTTTGCGACCAGAAGTGATTGAAGTCGTCCATATTGGTGGGAGAGATGAGTTGCGGCAGGGCCGAGTCGGACTCGGAGGTATTGATTTCAGGGGGGAGTAGCCAACGGCAGCAAGTTCGCACCTAGCGTTGAAGCCACAGAAGAGAGCTCTCTATGGTTATTGGGGGATTGAATATGGGAATTCTCCGCATCGCTCAAGTGTTGAGGGCGGCCGGATCTGAGAGCAGGGCTTGTGAGGCATTCGGCGTTGATCTTTTCGCATCGGCGGCACTGCACCGCATAGCCACGCTCACAGCGGAGCTTGTGACGCCTACACCGGTCGCATGCTGATCGACGGTTTCCCAAACATTCGGCGACCATAATGTCAGTCGGTAAGACTATTACTTTGGTGATGGGAGTTGTAGATGTTTGATTCGGAACGTTTACGGGTGGAAAGGTGGAGTTCGGAGACAAGTGGAGTCCCCGCTTCGGGGCTCCATCGGACTCGGCGACCTTGACTGCATAAGACAGTACAGCGGATAGAAATAAGATTGATATTGTTTTCTGTTTAAAAACAACAATTAGATATTAAAAGAATTGAGTATTCCATTGAGAGTGAAGTTGATTCGTTATACAGCTGTCCCATCTACGTGTCAAAATCATTAGACCAGCATTCCGATATGATATCCCCATACTCATACAATAAGGACTTCAAAACCTGTCCAGCTTCTTGAGATCCTCCAATAGTTACCTCGAGAGATAGAAGACCCTTGATGAGACAATCGATTTGGTCATGCCATAGATCACCTGGGAGACAATCGGGGTCATTATCAAAATCCCCAATTCCAGCCCCCCCTCGAAAGTTGGAGTCGGGCAAAGTATACCACGGCTTTCTCGATACTCGTTGTCATGATCCTTGGAGTAACATGATAGGCGGTGATTGGAGCTTCAGACGCAAGTCCATTTTGAAGATTGAACGCCTCTTCAATGGGCAAATCAAGCACCCGTCTAGCTGTTTGTGCGACGGAGAAAGCCGCTTCGCGCTGATATCGTCGTATGATTTCACCGAAGTCTTGCGCATAGTCGTTGAACACGGAATTAATATGAGGTCTCAAAGAGTCTGCGAGGACAAGGATCCCCATATCCCATGGTACAACAAGGGAGACTGTTACCACTTATCAGTGAAGGGGACATGGATGGCGAGGTGTTAGGATCATACCGCAGGATACTCTTGATGGCATAGAAAGATCATAGAAAGCTCCTCTGCAGCGCTCGATGAAAGGTCGGACCTTCTCATTGAAAGTTCCAATCAGATTTACCACAGAATTGACAGAATCGAGAATTTCGGAACCAAGACCCTGGGGGTTCTTGTAGGAACGCTGAAGGTCATTCTTTAAATCCGCAATCCGCCTCCAAATAAAGAAAGCCTCCGCTGCCATCATTCGACATATTTCAGGGATTTTGCGATCGAATTCTCCCGGACTCTCCGAGAAAAATGTTGATGGGACTGAGTTGTCACGATTAAACGCTGGGAGGTCTTAGCACTGTTCTGTAGTCGAATTTCTTCGGTTTGATCTTGAGCTCACTATTGGTATTGCGAAGAGGATCTGGAAGTCGGCATTGATGATTTGACGTCAAAGCAGCTCCGGTGTCACGAATGTATCCACTCCAACGCACTAGAGTGAGGCTGGCTTCTGCAAGAGCAGCGTATTGAGAGAATGGTCCTAGGGCAGTGCAGTAATCCTGAACAAGCTTATCTAGTTCATGTAACTTCTGCAGACCAATAGCGAGAATTTCATGTTCTCTACTTGTCTCACTCGAAGTATTGCGAGCGCTGATTGGGATGGCGGTTCCGTCGAAGATAAAGGCTGCAAAAACAGCTCTAAAAGACCGAACAGATCTTGCCTCATCAATGGCCATCCGGGCTTGATTCCATGCATCGGCATAGAACTCACATGGCGAACTCCGTGGTGGCCTTTTCTCGTGAAGTCTGGCAACGGTGGCGTCACTTGGAGAAGCCCAACGATCGACTTCAGACCCAGTGCTAGGTAGCCACTGCAGAGCGAACAGTCGCAGTGCAGCTCTGAGGGCCGTGTCAGATCTTCGTTTCGAAGCTTGGCTCAGTCTATTTCCATAAAGATCCCCAAAATGGTCCAGGAACTTTGCACATCCCACAATCGTCATGCCGTTGCCTTCTCTGTGCGTCTGACCCCCCGAGAAGCCTGGTTTCATCCGAGCCTGTAATTGGTCCGACGTATTGAAGTAGTGCGAAGGAGAGCTAGTTTCATCTTTATCCGAGGGGGATAGATTCGTGGCTGGTGTTGGCCCATTCGAGCTTCCAGGCCTGCTGCTCTCTATCTCGTAACGAATTCCCGTTGCATATAGATTAGTGTCGCAGTCCAGGAACCGTTCCGCAGATCCAGTTAGAATCGCTTCGTATATGCTGATCAGTCGCTCGTCGAGGATACTGGCGTCTAATTTTGAATTTAATAAATGAATGGGGCTTCGGGGCGAGCTTCCCGGTAAAATTTCTCTCCTCAAGGGGAGACGCTGTACTGCCTGCAATCCAATCGGCAAAACAGAAGATATACTATCATTTTGCGACTCAGATGGGATTTGGGGGCCTGACAACGCTGGCTCGGGTGTAGAGGTAGAGTGTAAATCACTCGCCAAGTAATCGTCGATGTCAAAATTGAGCCACGCAACGAAATCATCATGGGTGTCTGTAGAAGTGAATTGAGATGTACTGTTCGGGGATCTTCGAGGAGTATCCACCGAGTCATCGAAGGGTACTTGGTCGTTATCAGCTGGAATTTGGTTGGGCCTTGAATTCAAGTTATTTTCAAGTTGGCGTTGTCGTCTTTTTGGTCGAGAGTTCACCCGGGACGAGGCGAAATTAAATGTACATGTATGCCCGAGCCGTGTGCAATGCGTGCAGGAGGAATTTGCGTCGGTGAATGTATGGGAGGAGAAAAAGCAGCGGCGTTTGGAGCGCCTACATGGATCGCAGCTAGAATTCTGTCGACGCTGCGGCTCCGATGGGATACCAGCCCCTTGAATCGACATGTCGGACAGAGCAAGTCGAATGTAGAGCAGCCTTCACCCCTCGGCGGGGCATATAAGCGTAATTATTAAGATGAGACTGTTACCAGCCCTAAGACCGACAACTTCGCATGATATGGTCAGAAGCTACTTCGATTACGGCTATTCGCGCGGATCCAAGCAGGTCCGAGTTCACTAAGCGATGCCTTGATGCCTGAATCATGACGCATCGCCTCAAGAGGTTCAGCTATTCCCCACCAGAAAGACCGAATTTCAAGTGGAAAGACTACAATGTCGCAGAGATCATAGGAAATTTTTCCTGGATGTAATTTTTTATCTCAAGAAACAATTAGTCCCGTTCTGATCAGATCGACCTTCCATCAACCTTATTGAGCTGTAACTTTTCGTAGTTAAAGTCATCCAACATCCGTACCTAGATTTCATTAGAATTAAAGTGCTCATGCGATCGGAGTTGGGAAAACCTACATTCACGACAATAACAGGATCCGCGCCCTCCGAAAGAAGAGGAAAGTTCTCTGGGAGGCGAATGAAGCAGCTACTCCCACACTCTCCACAAAATTGGTGCCAAACATTTTTCGTGGCGAATTGATACTCCTTCAGCGAATCTTGACCTTTTTCGAAAGTAAAGTCCTTGCGAAAGGGGTAAACAAGTAGATACCCATTCTTGGTGCAAATTGAGCAGTTACATGCATTCACGGGATACTGGAAAAGAGGGGGAGATATATTGAACTTGAAGCGCACTGTGCCACAATGGCACTGGCCAGTGTGAGAGGAGGATTCGGAGGTTGGGGCTGGTGGGAAAGGCATGATGATGATCAGATTCTCGAACTTTTTTTTACAAGGTACTCAAATTGGATTCTCAGGGGCTATTTAAGGCCGAGTATGCGGTGTTCTTGCTTTTTCCACTTCCGGATACGCAGCCTTGCGTGTCTTGAATTCGGCTGCGGCCTAGATTCTACCCCTCATTTAGTAGTAAATATCACTTAAATCCATTAAAGTTACCACGATTCATGCAGCCAACCTAGGTAGTAAATGAAGTTTTATCTATTGATGGATAGTATATACCACAGACTTTATTGAATACATGGCACCCTCCTCTGAGCACTCAATCAAGGGCTCCTGTTTAGACAACCCTTACTCTTTCGATCACCATGATGGATATTCAAGTTTCTGCTGATAGGACTATATGACTAAACAACTTGGTAAGAACTGGAGAGCGCGACTCAACCAGTCGCTGCACCACACATTGTTATAGCTAAATCACCTCGCCCGCCGCTCTTCGAACGCAATCCACAATATAGCTTGGGTTGCTCAGGAATGGTGAATGACCTTCATCGCATCGCTCAACATGAAATGCACCGTTTCCCTGTGCTACAATTCTCTCTTGCACACAAGCCGGCAAAGCCTGGTCCTTTTGACACACAATGTACGTGCTCGGAATCTCAAGATAAGCCGTGTAAGTGACTGGAACAGCTAATGGGGCAAGTGGAAATGATCCCAACAGAGAAATTGCTTCTTTCACATCTCCAGGGTCACAGTCATTGTACAGGGCAAGGCTGCAGACATCTCCATCGAGTACCATAGATCCATCCTAAGAAAAACGATCAGTCATTTTCAATACTAGATTCAATTTGACTCTTGGAATTAATCCGGTTCAAAGCAAAGTGACAATCATCATACCACAATTTGAATCCCGCCAAGTTTTTCTTGCAGCTCATTTCGCTGTTTGTCCAACTCCTCTTCTTCGGGGGTTGCTGGCACCATTTGACTTGCATAGCTTTGTCCTTTTGGCAAAGCCATCGCACACATATAGATCAGTTGACGAACTGAAGATTCGAGGCCTTGCTTCTCCCGGTCGTCCTTCCCAAGCCCTTTCACGGCTTCAGCCATGGCAATCCCGCCAAATGAATGAGCGACCGTAATGACGTCCTTGCCAGCATCAAGATACTTCAAGATGACACGACGGGCTTCTTCGGCATCCTTCTCCCAGGTCGAATGGGGCGGACTCGAGTCGATAGAAGGAAGGTCCACGCCTTCCACTTCATATCCCAGCTTCTTGAGTCCATCGATGACATAGTGATAGTGCTGAGGTCTGTGCCATGCGCCAGGCACAATGACGATAGCTGGTTTGGTCATTTCAAGGCCGGTAAAATAGTAGATGGGAAGTTGTAGAAGGGAAGTTGAGTTGATTAAATTGGATTCAGGAGATGCAAGAGCTTAAATATTTCCAATTTGTTCATCACCAGGCTGTCCAACCCGCTACTGTTTTGCGCCTGAAGGTGGGTAGGTCCGTTAAATCTTACAGTTTAACCGCTCTCATTGGCTGGAATTTGGAACGGAACCGATATACATCGGCTCCGCCATGCTGACTCCACTCCGGAGGGTAAGAATGAACAAGTCTTGCTCCTTTTGCGCAGAGAGATTTTTGCTGAGTTATTGTAGTGCGATACAGACTTTTTTTTCTACGATACAATTATGCAGGGTTGAAAGAAATGCGACAAGCATCTACCGCGCCAAATTGTATTTTGATCATTCCGGTGTCTGGTGTTTATATACTACTAGTACTAGTACTCCTTTCTCAAAATGGTGGCGGGTTCAGATCCAGTCCTTCCACAGTCAGCTTAAACGCATCATTTCTAGAATAGCTACCGGCAACATCCATGTCGAGTCTGCCACGCTCGCAATCTTCAAGGTCGATTTCATGGATCAGTAGGCCATCCTTGCTGGAAACATTGCTTGAGTCCGCCGATTGGAGCTTGTCATCAACGCAAGTCTCCCAAGTCGGGTCGGCAATAACTTCACCGAGTGGTCCGACGATGCAAGATCCGCCGCGACAAATATATCTCTCTCCTGTGTTCGGCAGTTTGTTAGAATATTGTGGTACTTCATGAAGGAGTCGTTGATGAGGAGAAATCTTACCGTCGGCTTTATCTTCGGGCTTCGCATGGTCGGTTATCCAAGAAGGAAGCTCATTGTATCGCACACACTGGTTGGCGGAAAGGACAAACGTACGGCCCTCGCCTCCAATGGTTCGCATGAGCGGCAACCATGTGTCACGGCTGTCAGCTGTCGGCGCAAGATAAATATTCACATTCTGCGAATAGAGGCTCTGACGAAGCAAAGGCATGAAGTTTTCCCAGCAAATTGCGAGGCCGAGAGTCAGCTTGACACCGTTAAGCTCGGTAGTAACGGCCTTCAGGCTGGAGGCTGAGCCTTGACCCCAGACAAGACGTTCGGAGCCGGTCTGAAAGATCTTAGCGTTGGCCTTCTTGATAAATTGGGTATATGGGGTAGAAAGGTACTTACAGGCATAACCTTTCGCCTTTTCCCGATGACTCCAGAGGTCGGATCCACAAACACAGCAGAGCAGTACAAAGTACCACCGGACTTTTCGATCAATCCAGTTGCAATGAAGACACCGGTCTCTCTAGAGACCTGTTCGAGGAACTCTCGTGTCCCATCTCCACGGCGGTCAGATCCCTTGGCTACAGGGAGCTTGCGCTCGACCCAGTCATCGCCTGCTCCGGCGGGGGTATCGCCGAGGTCCACGGCGGCCTTGAAATATTGGAGAAATTGCTCCCGGCCGTGAGGAGCCCGCGCACCAAATGCGGTGCCAAAATCGCAAGTTCGAGGATATCCTCCCAGATAAGCCTCGGGGAAGAGCAAGAGCTTCACTCCTCGAGATGCGGCATGCTCGGTAATGCTTTTTAGAGCGGCAAGTGTAGCTCCGAGGGATGAAAGAGTCCGGGTCTGCGCCACCGCGACGGTCAGCTTTTGAGGCATTTTGGTGGTTTGGAATTTAGTGAGTAAGTTAAAGAAGAAGATACCTCGCAGGAACAATATCTAAAATAGCTCAAAATCTCTGGGGCTTGAACTTCGGCAGTTGAAGTAGTCCACACGAGTCATCATCGGTGCGGGGACTCCGATGTGGGGTCTTCGGGGCCAAACGTCCGACAGCGTCGATGCTATCGACGTCCCCAGGTTCCATGGGATACAAGGATTACAAGAAGGCTTGAAGTATTTAATTAAGCAAACAATGCTGCTAGAATTCAGCCGAGCCAAATAAAGAAGGGAATATCAACGAGTCATTGAACGACTCATATTCACCTTCCAATCCCCCCCATGCTTGTTATCGGATCATGGAACACAGTCCCCGGAAACAAAGAGCAATGCTCGGAACAAAAATGCTCGGTACTTTCCTGAATCCCACTTTCTTGATCAACCGCTTGGTCGGAAATTCCGACAGGACTGGAGGGAAAATCTTCGTTGATCATCTCATCTAGCATCCGCAAAACTCCACGATTCTTGACAACGACTCTTAACCAATCCATTTGGGATTTGATACGAGTAACTGCATTCGCAGATAGACACCGTGGGATCAATTCCACGCTGTGTAGAGGAATTTCCTTGGTCAATATGTCGAATATGTCGCGAAGGGGCTCGGCTTGAACCCAACGCTCAGATAGAATTGCTAGGCTCGTTGAGCAGGCGCGTAATGCTTCAGATACCTCTGGAGAGCTGTATTCGGTTGATCGATGGGAGATCGGAGTCGCCCAGAAGCAATATAGAAAAGTGACACCAACATTAAACTGACTGAGAAGCTGCAACATATTTTAGTCAGATTCGCCTGGTCATCTTACTAGTATGGAATGTCTTACCCCAGGCCACAATTGGGCAGTCTGTCGATCCTTCTGGAACTCTCTGAAAGTCAACATTATTTGGACACTAGCTTTTACCGACCGCTCGCCGAAAATGCCAGACGCGTTCTCTTTTGTGGGTTGATGCAACAAGAGAATTGTGTAATTGTATGCCATGCCAACCCATCGATCACTCAAATAACCCCTGGATGATCTGTGGCTAAGCAATTGTATCTGGGTTCTCCAAGACTCTAGCTCTTGCAGCATATGCTGTCTCCATGTGGGGGAGGCATCGATCTTGTTGAAGTCAGATCGCATCATTGTGCTAATAATTCGCGATTGAATACATCTGCATCGTATAAGATGTAGAGCTGGGGATATATGCGTTCTTTGAGGCAAGTCAGATGCCTGAGCTTGGCCAATTATTGTCGTATCTGAATACAGATGGGTGTCTTCGACATTCGAGAACATCTGGTTGCATTAGTTCTCATGTGGATCTGATGTAGCTGCTTGTACTCTACCTCAACAGTGATATGCTCATCAATGAGATTGTTCGGAATGTGATAGATCCAGCTAATCAATCGATCTAACGCGTATGCAGACCAGAAAACCCTGCGGCGGATCTGTATTTCGAGCGAGAAAGCTGGAAACGGCACATTAGGCTCAGTTTCGGCCAGATGAAGCTGATTGATGGCACAGTGGCGCATTGTTGCTGACACCATCGACACAATCATCTGTGACGAGGGAGAATGAAGAGCATGCAAAGTCAAGACTAGATAAGCCTGCACATGCAAAACTGGACTAGAATATGCGAAAACAAATGGTAGAAAATTGATCGCCGTGTTGTACAATGCCTGGCATGTCTTCAGCTATTGCTCTATAAACTGGTAGAATAAACTTACTTGGGAAACGGCAATATCACTCTGAGATACTTGCGGAGTCAGAAGTATACTGACGGCTTGCACCTATTTTGCGGTTAATCACCATTGAAGCATAGCACGGGAACAAGGACCTATACCATCACCACGAAAAAGTCTTTCCATCGGTCTCTCTGATATGCAGTAGGCTCGGCTTTCCTGGATGCTTTCCATGACTGATACCATTCCAAAAATGTATCAACATGAAGAAAGGGATATCGTGGATTGACTCTTTGAAGATAAACCTCGATGAGCGCATTGCTCGCAGAATCAGAAAGGCAGATTGAATGCCTCGGGGAGTTTAATTGAGCTGCCTCAGATGAATGAATTCGTATATCGCGAAGACTATCGTTCTGAGGTGATTTTATCCCACAAGGATTTCCGCTTGAAAGAGCAGCCAGTATGCTAACCAATAGGGATGAATGGCCGCATTGATCGCCAGCTACCAGTTGCTGACCTGATGCTTCGGGACGGAGAAGGGAGGAAAAAGGAACATTGGAGGTCGGACATGTCGGGAGAATGAGATTGCGAGTAATTTCTGTTTCTGGCCTGGATAAACCTTCAGCTGACTGTTGGGAAGGCGTGCATATCCTGGGTGTGTGGCGGATTGAGTCTGAATTGGTTTGCAGTTCGAGGCCTTCGCCACCAATCCATGAGCCCCTTGCAGCACCATGTCGTACAACTGGAGAGTCACCCTGTGCTGTATCCAGCGATTGAGCTTCAAGCTGTGAAACTCTTTCCTGGAGAGATCGAGTATACCTACCAGAAACGCATTAATGGATAACGCAAAAGGATGACGTATTTACTTACTCGAGACTGAACCGGTGTCTCCGATCAACAGGATCGCTGGAAACACACTCTATTGAAACTCAGACAGGATCTCATGATGAACTAAACCCAAAAGTACGCCCACATACCTTTGTTCGCTTGGGTGCAATTCTCGCACGGCCGCGTCTCGCTGCACTAGTGGAATGTCAGCCTCGCCCATCGCTGATGATTATCAAAAGCTACTTTTTGTTTTCGTGATCGACACCTTCGACAAGACAATTTTTTCTGTCTCTTTGCTGGTGATTCCATACTCTTGCGCTGGCATGATACTCTCACGCTAATTTCATCACTTGTCGGACTGTCGGCTCCGACGATCGGGGTGAAAAGGGCCGTCGGGTCAAAATCTACCGATGACAAATTCCCCTCCGATCGGGATACATCACGTGGTTCTCTCGTCGTACTTTTGTATACTAAACCTAGACACTATAGCAAACCATTTACGGAGTACGGAGTACATTTGTGATGGATGTTGTAGGATTGGGGCCAAAACTTTCCAGGTAAGGATTTACAAATTTCTGAGACCAATCATGCATGCCACCTCAAAAGGTACTGACCGGTTGATATTAACAGGGCCAAAACAAGGCTGCGATTGGTGGACTTTTCAACTGCGGGAAGTATAGCCGAGTCAGCGAGAACTATCGGACAAGGCTGGGCTGGGCGAACAACCTTGGAAACTGCGAAGGTTTTGGACACGAGCACTGTACTCCGTACTTCGTAGATCTAGACCCTATCCCAAAGTGCCAGGGGCTGTGATTTCATCTGTACGACCCTCTGCGGAGTATGCACATACATAGGTCCTCTCAAGCTGAAACCTACCTCGCACCAAATTGTTTCGAGCTTAGACCCCTTCGGAGATACATTAACTCAAGCAGCAAGGTTCCAGGAACCAGGAAACCGGCTATGTTACACAAATTCAATCTTGACCCGGCAGGACTAAGAGATCCCGCGTGGGCGCACGGAGTCTGCGGCGGTGTGCTGAGAATTGCTTTTTTTTTTGCGAATCCACCTCTGATTCTGGTTGTGTCATGACAGCGGCAGGGAGATCTATCCTGCAGTGGGGCTGCATATGCTTGCTAAGTACCCCTCTACGCCATGCATATTACAGGTAAGAAGGTTGCTTTTTCAAATCATTATGCTTTCATGATTCCGAGATGAATTGGCGATCGGTGAACGCTTATTCTGAGTAGATGTGCATGTGCATGTGGTATCAAAATCAAAAAAAGTAAATCGCAAATCCTCCCAGTCCCGTCTTCCGTGTGGTTGTGTAATAATAATAGAAAAAAATCATTAAATCGTAAATCGCATGCGACCGCCAAATGTGAAAGCCATAACCATTACTTCAGAGTAAAGAAAAAATCCAAACAGTAGCCTTTCTCAAATTAGATAGCCCGAAAATTCCAACCCCAAAATTCCAAACCCAAAATTCACCAAAAAAAGAGTCCAAACGGGTTGCTCTTCTGGGTTCATGACTGCCTAGACAGCTACGGGTCCCTCGGGAACAATGCCAACTTGTGGCATATCGGCACTAGAGGGTAGCGGGCGTAACACAGACGTGGAGCCACCACCGCTTGGCAAACGTGATAGGAGGGATGCAATCATGTTACGATAGACGTTCATCTGGGACAGTTTGAAGCGCTGGATCTTGCCGCTAGGCGTGCGTGGGATCTCCTCGACGAAAATGACACCACCGTCCAGCGCTTTATAGCTTGCTAGACGCTGCCTTGTAAAGTTGTAGATCTCCTCAGCTGACAGTCGACTGACAGATGGGTCTCGTGATCGCACAATAAAAGCACGAGGTACTTCACTGCTGCGATCTTTCAAGTGTATACCTGTCACAGCGGCATCGCTGATCCCAGGGTGTTGCAGAAGAACCGCTTCAATCTCAGCGGGGGCGACTTGCCATCTGTTGCCAAACGTTAAGATTTCTTGCTCTTATGTTATGTGCCATGCTGGATCTTTGTACTTACCCTCGAACTTTGATGAGTTCCTTACTTCGGCCAACGATAGTATAGAAACCATTCTTTTTATAGGCAATATCTCCAGTATGGAACCAGCCCTGGGGATCCTTCGCATCAGTTCGGCCTTTGTAAGCCAGAAGTAACCCGGGACCCCGGAGTTGTAGTTCACCCTTCTGCTCATCATTTTGCACGAGGGAGCCATCGTCGTCAACCAGTCGCACCTCGTATCCCGAGAGCCGAGTGCCGATACTACCTGGATCACCATACTGACCGTAGCGAGTTTGGAAGGTTACTCCAACCTCTGTCATTCCCCAAAGTTGACAAGCGAAGGCCATGGGATGAAGATGATTGCGGAATTCAAGCATCGAAGCCGCATCTATAGGGGCTCCCGCGACGCCAACATAGCGTAGCGACTGCAGATACTCCGCGACGGGGTGTGAGCAACGATTCAAGGAGTGAACGATGGCCGGTACCAGGTAAGTCTCCGAGATCTGGTATTGATGAATGGTCTTGAGGAACTGCTTTGGCTCAAAGCGTGGCAAGACAAAGAGTGGGTGGCCATATCGGACGGGAAACAGATGAGTCCACAACGCACCAAATAGATGGAACATAGGCAGTGACATGAGCCGACTTGCCAAATAAGGCACCTCATATTGTATAGAGCGATGATGAGACACGATCGCATGATGTGACAGGATAGCCGCTTTGGGAAGACCACCGGTGCCACTAGTCGAGAACATGGCGGCGGGGGTATTCTGCGCAACCACCGGGTCATTGAACATTATCCAACCACTTTCACCAAAACCCAGGAGATGGGCCAGGTTCGAGTGTGGCGCATTCCCAACAGCAATCGAGTCTCGTATCTGAAATCCCAGCTCGAATTGCAAAAACAGCCGCGCACAGTGATCGACTGCTCGATCATCCACCAAACACACGCGGCTTGGGTGTATTCCTCGCTCAACAGCAGCACTGACGACCATGGGCAGGGCATCTGCCGTGGTGAGGATAAGCTTGGGCTCAGCCAGACTTATGATATGGTCCAGTTCTTGCGGTTGGCTGCGGGGATTTGATCCCATGTATACACCACCGGCACCGATAATACCGAAAAATAGGGCAGGGTAGAGGATCTAATGGAAATCGGACTGCGTCAGCATATGGCTAGATAATTCATGATTCGGGCTACCACTCACGCTGTTCCCCAAGTGCAGCAGCACGCAGTCACCCGGCTGCACGCCATATGCCTTGAAGCCGGCAATCAACGTCCGAACTAGCTGGCGAAATTGGGCGGCTGTGAATGAGCGTGAGGGATCCTCAGCGTCGATGAAGAGTGGTTGGTTCTGATTATATGGAGTTGGGCCACAAAAAGTGAAAGTCAAAAGATCTGTATAGGTCGTTTGTTGGAGAAAAGGATCTGCGACCACAGGTACGGGGGCCTGGGAAGTCCAAGAACCCATCGTGACGATGGACTGGAATGCACCAGGGTGACTCGGAGAGATTAAGGGACAGTATAAAATAACCCTTGGGAGGGAGAGACTAAGGAGGTGGTGACAATATGAGAAAGACGGAAGATGGGATGGGGTGAAGTGGGGGATTAGGTAGAATAAGTAATGAGTAATAAGTAAGATATTCCATTCACTACGAATACGCACTGGCATGTTTCTACTCAATACAAAATGATTTGATTTCCTGAAGCAAGCGCGATTCCTGCGAGGTGTGGAGGCAGGCACGACTGATTTGGAATATTTGGAATACTTCGCTTAGTCACGATAGACTCCACCCGGATCTCTGGTTCTACCGGTTCATTGGTTCCCTCGTTCCTTGGTTCAGCGCCCGCAGTTCTTCAACTTTACTTCTGGAATTCCAAAAGTACTACGGAGTACTAGTACGAGTACACACAGTATGCCTCAAACTAAAAACCACTCATATGGATTGAATTCTTATCTGAGCTCATCCTCTTTCCGGAGTTGTCCGACGAAGCTACCCTGTTTGGGGTCCGAGTATCTCCAGACCCATCAAACCCAACCCCAATGCCAGCCCCAGCTGTTCGGCTAGTACTACGGAGTACGCAGGAAAAAAGTTGTGATCGAACCCATAGCCACCGCATCGGTTCGTGGCTCCACCTGTTCGACGCTAACAACTAGTGGCGCAACTCATGCGGGTGCCACTAGTTTTGTATTGACGGCCAACCCCTTTCATGCTACTTGCTCCAGCTGAGCCACACCCTCGGGTTCCTTCTTACAAAATTGCGGCGCGTGTGCGCACGGAGTACGGAGTAAGTTGAACTAATTGGTGCTTTGCCCAGGAATCGGGATCTGCCATGATCGCCTTACCTGCTTCCTCCATCACCCCACAACCCATAAATTCATTTTTATTATTATTTTTTAGAAAAAATTTACCTTTGGATCTCTTCCTGTCAAGATCTGCTCCCCCAATGGCGATTGCCGATCACTTTTGGTCTAATCAATGCTTCTCCACGAGATGAAATCCGGTTCAGATCTGGGAAACAGGGATCAGAGCGTGGGCCCGGAGCGGCCCTCGCCCACTACCGCAGTGATGTGGCCACGGGCCAGCTGGGCCGTCTCTTGCCAATCGAGACCCTGGCTCTGTTTTGCATCAACCTTCCAGTGGTTCTAATCCGTCTCCACCCGGCGTCATGTCAGCCTGACGTCCCGCCGTCGATGCGCGATCGTAGAGCTAGAGTTCTTTCCCCTCTCCTGCCATGGCTCCGCAGGGCCGATTCGCAAAGTGAGCCCCGCCTTCCAGAGGTGGCAGATTGATTGCAAGCTGAGCTGATCCCACCATCTCGAGCGGGGAAAAAAGCCCAGCTGGAATGAACACTATTGAAACCCATTTCCTCTCCTCCCATGTGACGGTCAATCTGTGAGCTCTCATCGGTGGAGAAGATCAGGATTTCCGTGAGGAGAAGAGAGATCGCTGGATTGAAGGAACCTCGCTCCGCTCGCAACTAGTGATAACTGTGCGCCACCAAGACGCAGTGTGCACAACCCTCCCGTCCAGGACCGCGGGTTGCAGGAGGATCATGATCCACTCCGGTTATCGGGAAGCACTGTTCCTCCCAATGCATGGAGGTTGCCGCGGGGCTGATACCCCCACTGCCTGATATGATCGACTGCACAGGTCTCAAAGAAAAAGAAAAACAGACACTCGGCAGCGATGCAATGCACGGGAAAGATAGCCGCCACGTTCCAGGAACCCGCTCTATTGTCTCATTTTGCAGGGGGGAATAATGTTCCCTCTTTGAGACTAATGTTGCTTCTGAAGGATGCGTGGCTAACGCTAGATATCCCTCGTTCTCCGATTGCCCGGCGATGGAGTGTTCTTGCCTCCGGTGAATATGATTGGAAGCTTGCCATGCACTCATATTGACTGGGCCCTCGCTTGCATGCAACTGTTGCCCGGTAGGTCTCGCACTCCAGTGGCAACGTGCAGAATGATTGCGAGCAAGTCCATCCTGGTGCAAGACTCGGATTGATGATCGCAAAGGAAAGCCGTCTTTGATTGGGTTACATTCCACAGCGGGGACAATGGAGCCCTGTGCTGGCATCCATCGTTCCCTTTCCGGTCCACCCCGTTCCCCGACAAGTAATTGTCACAGTCCCACACGGAGTGGGTAATAACTCTCAGACAAGAACCCATCATGACTTGATCCATAATTGTTCGATCTGCTCCGATAGAGCTGAATGCAAGGGTGGAGGTGGTCGGCGATGAACCGTCATTGGTGACAAAAAAAGTACTGGACTCAGACCGGATGGAGCCCCGGTGATGATAGTGTCATACACACCGCATAGTGAAACCTTGAGGGAAGAATTGGCGAGAATAAAAAAAAAAGCGAACGAGGCTTGTGACGTGACCAATGCAGGTGAGAAAAAAAGGGAAGCCGCTAAGATATGAGCGTCCCTGGGTCTTTCCTGCTTGGGACTAAGACGAAGGCGAAGACGAACTATGTTGCAAAATCAGGGAAAGACGAAGGCGAGGGGAAAGGCTGAGCTAGCACAAAGTGCCAATCCAATATCAATAATTGGGAATATGGCAAAAGCTAGAGAGAGAGTGGGGGGTGTGGAGGGTAGGAAAGAGGGAAAGAAGGAAAGTAGTCATTGTGGCTACCTCTGCTTTGCATTTTGCATTTGCATCTGATTTGGGACAGTCGTGGTTCGTGCCTTCCCCAAGTCCGAAGCCGAGGCAGACAAGCCCAACTGGGAAAAGACTTTATTTCCATCAATCTTCCCCTTCAAGTTGGGTTTATATCGGTCGAGTTACCAACTTCATCTCCTCTTGCTCTCCTTATTTAGTCATCTTTTGAACCGACTCTGCCAGGCTTTCCTAGCCATGTCAGTCTCGGAGAAAACTCATCATTCCTTGCCTTCGCCCATGGCGAAGGCACTCGTCAGGGAATCACCTAGCCATAGTGAAGAGACTCTCACTGATGGCAGCTTTGACGAGAAGAAATATCACGGCCGAGACATCCGTGACTCGATGGGCTCAGGTTCCGATATCCCGACCCCAGGACGGACTATCGATGTTGAACCAAGGGATCTCGAGGCTCAGGCCATTCAAGGTCAGCCTAAACGATTCGCCAATATACGATATGCAGTTATGAGTATATATCGTCGACTGTTCACACTGGTTTTCTTCGCAAATGTGGGAGTCTTTGTCTGGGTCATGATCTCGGACCACAAGCTTGTTACCCTGGTCAATGCAACGGCTGCCAACCTTCTCGCATGTGGGCTTGCACGCCAGCCACTAGTCGTCAATGCTATTTTTTGGGTGGTGTGTTGCATTCCTCGGTCGGCACCGTTTGTCTTGCGCCGTTGGGCGGCCAAAGCCTACCACTATGGTGGCGTGCATAGCGGCTGTGGGATAGCAGCTTTGGTCTGGTATCTGGGCTTCGTTAGCCTGATCTCGCAGCAGTATTGGGGGCTATCTGCACCCGCAGCTGATGCATCAATTGTCAACTTTTCAGCCGCTCCCATCACGCTGGCTTACATCATCCTCACGCTGTTGGTGGCGATTCCCGTTGTGGCACACCCCACGTTGCGGATGAAGCGGCATGATTATTTCGAACTCACCCACCGTTTCTCGGGGTGGCTGGTCATTGCATTGTTTGTTGCGCTCCTGATGGTGTTTGCGCATGAGATCACGCAAGCCGAGGGTCTTGCATTGGGTTATTTCCTTCTCAGATTGCCCGCCTTTTGGTTCCTGGTGGTCACCGTGATCGCCATAGTTCATCCATGGTTGTTGCTGCGTAAGGTGCCGGTACGGGCCGAGGTCCTTTCCACACACGCCGTGAGGCTGCATTTCAACTATCGACCCACCTCGTTCGGCAAAGGTATCTCGCTCTCAAGACACCCTTTGCGTGACTGGCATGGCTTTGCAACGTTTCCCGACCCCACACCAACGGACAAGGACGAAACTCCGGGCTTCTCTTGTCTAGTTTCGAAGGCAGGGGACTGGACTACCGACTGCATCCAGAGCCCGCCAACCCATCTATGGAAGCGTGGGGTGCGCATCACTGGCTTTGCATATGCCATGCGTGTCTTCCGGCGAATCATCGTCGTGACGACGGGATCTGGCATTGGCCCCTGTTTATCTTTCCTTGGAGACGAAAATCGACCAGCTCTGCGTGTGGTTTGGCAGACTCGAGCGCCACTCAGGACATACGGTGAGGGAGTAATGGACCTTGTACGCCGAATGGATCCCAGTCCGATCGTCATGGACACGAATGTTTGTGGACGCATCGACATGGTTCCCATTGTACAGCGTCAAGTCCAAGAATTCGACGCCGAAGCGGTGTGCGTGATCAGTAACCCCATGCTGACACGCCGAATTGTGTATGAGCTCGAGGCGCGCGGGGTCCCAGCGTTTGGGCCGATTTTCGATTCATGAAATTCCTTTTGATTTGTTTTCTGATCAGTTTTGGTCTGCGTGATTTTCATCGGTGATTTTGTTTCAGCCAGATATCCTTTGCAATCCAGGATGTTGGGTGTCGGTGTGTTGAGTTTGGGTAATTTTCGGATTTGGTTTGTTTTACCTTGATACCACATTATTTTTGGCGCTAGGTTTTTTTTTGCTCCCAATAATATTATAAGTTCATCTCAGGTTCATATTCAGACGTTGGCTTTGTCTCCTCGTTGAGTGGGATGGGTTTTTGTCATAATGAGTTCGGGGGCCCCAAAAGGTGGGTTGCCTCCCCATAAGAAGTCTCCTCGTTATGATTTGGAATCACGGTCGGTAGGGCAGAGAGGGGGCACATCACACCCCACTAATCGGGTGTATGATGTACGTACATAAGGCAACCATGCAAACAAAGAACAGAATTTTGTGGCAACTCGTGTGATACGTGATATCCGTACTTGAACAATTCCAAATCGTCCGGCTCCACACAAATGTGGGGGCCGCGCATGATTGGCCCCTCAAATTCGCCGGAAATCAAGGGTCGGGCTATTTCATGAACGTTGGTATCAAACTCTACTTATTTGTCGAGGCCAGCAAGTTTTGTTTCACCAGTCTTGAAGTTCTCTAGATTAAAAGGACTCTTGTTTCGGCCGTGGGTAGATGGCATGGCATATAGATGCTGCGGTAAGACCCCCGCTAATGCATCAATTAGAAGCTACTCATGTACGAAAATCAAATCACACTGTCCTATGGCAAGCTTCTTTTGCTTAGTGCTGATATCTCCCACGTTCAAGTTTCCTTGAGGGGTTAAGTGGGAACTGTGCTGTGATGCTGTATCGTAATGTTGGCTTTTGTCTCAAACTTGAACAAATTGGGCATAGCATTCCAAGGCCTACGGATATGTTGGAGTTAAATCCCGAGGTTCGGAACCCTGCAATGACTCTGAGTGGAAAAATACTATGTTTATAAACCTGGAAAATAATTTTACGTACGAGCGTTTCCTTTAAAATTAAGGTCGTTTGGAAGGAAGTTTAGATATGCTACCTACTGGTATTCACCTCCGGGTCTATACAAACAATATTATTTCGGTTAATGTCCTAGTAGTACATATTGTAGTGAGTATCCTGTCCCGAAAAGATGTTGGATGATCAAACTTAATGCTAGTATTCAAATGGGGTCATTCGATGAATCGTACTTAAAAGTCTATGGTGGGATGTTCTATCCGAAAACTCCAAGTCGAGTTAGGTAAAAGAAAACTCTGTGAAATACTAGTACACAACATGATATTTCTATGAGAATATATTTACATATATTCATATTCTGAAGGCCGAGGCCGTTTATCCAGACCTTTGATCTATCATTCTACAGCCACTTAGTCTCATCCGCACCCAGAGGCTTAGGCATTATATCCCAACCAACTTCAACACCTTGGATCGAAGCAGAATGTCGAATGGCAGTCATCTTTCCAAGGCATGTTTCACGGGTCTCCAAATATTCCTCTGGGATATCGTTGGTGCTTGTGAAGTCCGGTGTCTGGAAAATTTCACTTGAGAAATATGAGCTGATCTAGCCTCAGAGGGAGCCCCTACTCTTATTCTGGCAAATGCGCCTATTTGGAGTTCTATGAGGTTTGAATTCAGCCCCTCTTCACCCCTAGACATATTCTTCTGCTAACATGGAAGCATTAGCTCCTCGGTATTTCTGGGCCCTTGGAGGAAAAGCAGGTCGAGGATATTTTTACCTTCCCTGATCCCCCATTGTATGCACAACGTCAGATACACGATGGATCGGTTTACGTACCAGAAGAAAATATTCTATTTGTGGCCGAGTTGTTTTCTCCCAAAGAAGGATACTCTATGGAGGCGATCCCCTACATTTGGAAGGTGGACATCACAGATCTGGTATTGCCAAACATAAGCAAAGTGTATCCAAACCCACCCTTGACAATTGCCAACGGAGCGTATCACTTCAATGGATCCGTGTACTGGGCCCAGGAGGGAAACATGACCACTCCTAGCTCCATTGTCCGGATGGATCCTCACACCCTGGAGACCAAAGTTGTCAAGAACAACTTCTACGGCCATCGATTCAATTCTATGAATGATATCGTTATCTCTGAAGAGGGTGTTGCATACTTCACAGACGGATACTATGGCTGGGACAATTTCAATGACACACTTTTTCCTGAACTTGCCAATCGTATCTACAGGTGGGACATGCACACGGGGAATATCAAAATGGTTGCTGGCGCGGTCGAGGGTGCGTTCTTTAATCCCAACGGCCTCGCATTCAATCACGATGAGTCCAAGCTCTTTATTTCCAACCGTGGGAATTCTAGCTCGGATCCCGATGGTGCTCGCACAATCTATATCAACAATGTCACCTCTGACAGTCTGACAAATAGAACTATGTTCTCATATTCTGACACTGGATTCCCAGATGGTATCAGGACTGACAAAGACGGTCGAGTCTATGGTGCCGTGGTCGGATCAGTCGACGTGTACAATTCTCACGGCACATTCCTTGGGCGGATCAAGGTAGCCGATGGCGATGTGGCAGTGAGCATGGCATGGGCTGGCAACTGGCTCTATATATTTGGTCGGAATAAGATCTACCGGGTTGAGCTGGCGACTATGGGTCGCTAACTTGACATCCTGATCTTGCTTACTTCATTGATCGTTAGATTAGAACTGGCCTCGACTGGTCAGCATAAAATTATCTATCTTCGTTTCCTTAAATTTTGCACTGGGACTCTTCAAGTTTAGAAACGCTTGTCTGCCACGGCTCCAGAGGTATCTGAGCAAAGTGCAGATGAGTAAGAGGTATCGATAAACGTATCCAATTCCGCATTGATCTACGGCTTCCGGGGAATGTCCAAATTGCTATCTTTTCTTGCTGTCCGATAGCTAGTTCCATATAATTTAAGCAAACAGAATACCTATTCCACAAAGGATCAATTAGCTTCGCTTCTTGAATAGACTAGTGGCATTCTTGCGACTTACTCCTAAGTATCAACTGGAGTCAACACAAATAGCTCATTGGGGCTCTGGTCCCATTCAGCGGTTTGGAGATTCTCAACATCAGCGCGCAAGAAGTATCCGCTTTCCTTTGAAACAAGCTCATAACTTTTTTCACCAGCTAGCTCAGCGACGAAAATCTGTGGCTCGTCTCCCAAGAAACAAGGAGATTTAATTTGTTCTCCACAGTTGATATAACCAGCACTAAGAGTACTGTTGATGAAGAATTCACGCCCATTGCCGGATTCAAGGAGATTGAAGTACCAGGCTTGGCTTCCATATTCGTCGTTGTTGAGAGAAAATATCAGGGATGTCCCATCCTCTTCGTTTACATTCAGAAACTTGTTGCTTTGAAGACTTGCGGACCCGATCGTATAAAACCCCTGGTCAAGACCGAAAACGGAGTGGCACAGAGCTGCCAGGGCCCCAAGAGCAACGAATGTCTTCATGTTGAGAAAATATTAATTTGGAGAAAGGAATATGTGGATTGACAATTTTGGAGTTGCTTAAAATGCTGTGATATGGCAGCCACAATTTGGGGATTTCCTTCTCATTTATAACTTTGCTATGTTTATGTACAGGGTGACTATTTTGATCGAGGATCTCGTGGCAATCATTGAAACGTGCATAGACTATTGATCTGCACATTTTAGTGGCTGCATTCCGATATTCTATTGGATGTAAGTGTTACACAGCTCTACCCCTTCATGCAGGGGATAGATCTACAGATTTCACAACAACCGAGAGCACGCCGATGACAGACAGCAGTCGGTGGTGGCTGGCAGCTTCTATATTGGTACTGTTGCGTATTAACAAAAATCTGGAGTATCGTCAATCCTGGTCAATAATTTTTGAACGAATTGCGATCGACTTTTGGACCTGAATATCGTTGGTGATCAAGCAAGACATGAGGGATCAGGATGGAATGGGACATCCAATCAAGTCCTTCAAAGGTCGTCGGGCATTTGCATACTTTTGCCTGACTGTAAATTTTTGGGCGCGTGCTGCTCCAAGTTTCCGTTCTCGTGTTATGCAAGTCCGCCCTCGAGAAATGGCATAGGATCTACATCAGTCCAGCCACCCAATTCCAATAGAATATGCAAAGAGAATCAGCTTGCCGATCAACTTGGAAATAGTGAGCGAAATATCAAGCCACACTTTATTGGATAATTATGCAATGCCAAGTAACTGACTCGGTATACGCCGATAGATTAGTGAACTGGTAAGTATGTACGGAGAACATCTACCCATAGTTACACGGTATCCTACTAGAAAGGTATGTCAGAATTAAAACCACACAATACGGTCGGATTAATAAGATTTTGCACTTCTGTGCAAGATTACTGTCACTTTTATAGCTTATGGTTACCTTAACGGCGACCACTCCCAAAGTTCGGTTTGGCAGTTCAAGTTCATTCTCTAGTGTTGAAACCTGGGAATTCTTGTCCTTTAAATGAGTTGCTATTTGGCTGCAGCTCTCGCCATCTCAGCTGTCTCAATATATTCCTTTGTGGTTTTAATCAAGTACAACTTGAACCACTGTATCTTTTATCTTACAAATATCCTCATGCCTACTAGGACCCAGACAGTTAAGTCGTGACGGCGAGCTGACGTCATATAAGGAAATCATCCCTACATCCTCACGGAACTGTGAACTGTATACAGAATGGACAAAGACAGAGTGTACTAGTGTTCGAGTTGATGGTTGAAGATTGATTGGGAAGACGTCATAACAGCCTGGTGAGTCTTGAAATCCACCGGCAGTTGGATATCTTCAAGTTGTCAAATGAGAATCCTGGCCTTTCGACCTACCCCGCATCCCCTGTTTGTTTGGGCAATAATCCAATGGGCAGAGTTTGACTTCCAGCCTTTTAAACTCACGTCCTCACGGGGATTGACTGAAAATGATCTAGAAAACCACTCAAAGAAAAACCGGAGTCTCAGCACGAATCGTCATATTCACCAAGTGCTAGTCATGGAGCAACCTCATGGCGAGCAAGATGCTTTGTCTACGGGCAGGCGAATCTATTTAGGTGCGATCATCTTTTCCCATTAGTAATGAACATTGCTTTTTTTCGACAAATCTGAGGCTTAGCTCAAGGCAACCTACCTTACAACGCCAAACCTTATGATATTGAAACCCTTCTCGGGGGCAGCGGATTCAACCATTTGGAAAACGTCCACATCTCGATTGACCCAGTCAGCGCGCGAAACCCGGGATACTGCTTTGTCGACTTTCTTGACCGGCAAACTGCCGACCGAGCTCTTTCCGACTTGAAGGCTTCCATCAACGGGCGACATGTCAAAGTTGGTCCCTGTCAGCCCAAGAAGCAGAACAAGTCCCGTTGGGCCAGCGAAGATGACCCCGTTAACAAACGTTGGGGTGATTGGAATTCCCAAAATGGCAACCCCAGAAGCATGGATCGGACTCAGAACGGTCAAGGTCCTCACTGGGCGCTGGATCACTTCGATGATATGGTAGACCACCTCGGGGGACGAAGACTATATGTCGGCGGGTTGGACATGATGGTCAACCAGGCTTTACATAACACAGAGATGACCGAGCTGTTTGCTGAATTCTGCCCGTATGTGATAGAGCTTTCTTTCCTGCAAGACATTTTAACTCACCGACTCCCCAGAACTGCGATTGGCAAAAGAATCACACCACATGAGAGTCAAAGATCTCTACCAGGCCATCATCACTACTGCTTCGTTGATTTCGCTACTAGGGAACAGGCAGCCAACGCGAAAAACGCACTAAATGGTCAGCCCTTTGGAGAAGAAAATTTGAAGGTATCAATTGCAAGGTCGATACCGAAAAAATTAGTGAATAGACATACGGTGACGAGAGAGGATCATCCGGGGTGCGATGAAAAAGTCTTCTATCGTCCCAGCAACTCTTCTTCTGAAAGTAGGGCCCAAGAATCCAACAACTGGCGCAACAAGAACTAGATTACCAATGTCCCACCAATCTGTCAAAAAAAATATCATTCTGTTCCTAAAGCCAGCTGGGGCGATAGAAACAACAGCCATGGTTATTTTAATGGACATTTACAAAATCTGTTTTTTACTCGCGGTGGAATCAAGTTTAAATTAGTCTCGGAGTATTGAATTATTCCCACAATTGCAACAACTTGAGCAATAGTTGATATTCAATACGCTTGGCAGCCCAATGTTATATCCGAGTAGAGTCTGCATGACCTTATCGACAATATCGCCGTCAACGTGCTTTGTTCCAGGATTTGTCAGAGAAGAATTACTGAGTGATGAATTGGAGCCAGGCTATAGAAATATAGCATGTTTTGCGAGCCTGCCTGATAAGCTATGACGATTATCAAGACTAAGCCTCCCTGTCAGCCTCAGCCGACGCAGGGGCCACTTTCAAATGTGGTATGCCCTGCGGCGGTCGATTTAGCACCCTGGCCTCGTGGTCAAATCACATCTCTGATAATAATAGTCACCATAATTGAACCCAGAAAAGATTTTCAAAGCCCCCCCCTAAGATCATCGTCGACGAAGTGGTTTCCAGGCTGGCCCACAGGTAGATATTCCCAATAAGGTTAGCGTCCGCGGACCCCCGCGGGGCTGAGAAGAGTATAAATCAAATCATCATTCAATTCCAGATCTCACTCATCCCAGTAAAAAATCTATCAACATTTACCTCTAAACAAATGGCTCTGCAACGAAAGGTATTATCCATCCCTTCCACATGCCTTGATAGCTCCCCATGTCTAACACACCACCAGGCGATCATCATCGGGGCCGGTCCGGCCGGACTTGCAGCCGCATTGCGCCTGCATCAACAAACAGACATAAAATGCACCGTGTACGAGCTACGCTCTGAGCCCACAACACTAGGCGGTGCAGTTGGAATTCAGCCCAATGGCCTACGCCTTCTTTCCCGTCTTGGCATCTACGAAAAGGTCCTTGCCCGAGGCTTCGGTGGCTCCAATGTCACTCTGCACTCCTTACAAGGCCGTACCATCGGCTCGCAAGACCACGTCGGCTGGGCGCGTGAACAAATCGGCTTCAGCTACGTGCGTATCAAACGGTCTGATCTCGTGGACGTCCTCCTAGAGGCGGTTAATGAGGCTGGGATCGATATCCGTTTCGATAAGCGGGTCACGCAGATCGATGATGGTGCAGACGGCGTGACTGTCACTTTTAAAGATGGTTCGACTGATACGGCGGATGTACTACTTGGCTGTGATGGGATTCACTCATTTGTTCGACGTTCCTGGGTTGATCCTGCTCAGACTTCCGAATATTCTGGCCTTTCTGGTTTGGGATCGGTCATTGCGGATTCGGATTTAAGCCCTGAAACGAGGGCACAAACGTTAGGCCTTGAGGTTACGATGACTCAGGAAGGAATGATTGCTGTTACGAGGTGTACGCAGTCTACGGGTGACTTGTACTGGTTCTTCACCAAGGAAGTCCCCATTCCTGCCTCGGGAGATCGGGATGGGTGGGAAGTGCAGGGCAAAGACGAGGTGGAAGGGTTCAAGGCGCCTCTTCTTAAGATCCTGGAAAAAGCCCAAGGTGAATGGGGAGATGCTTTGAGGGAAATTGTCAGCAAGACCTCTGTTGTCAAGTTTTACCCCATCCATCGCCTTCCTCCTGGTGGCACTTGGTCCAAGGGCCGGTGTATCCTTGTCGGTGATGCTGCTCATGCGATGTCACCGCATGCTGGGCAGGGCGTTTCAATGGCTCTGGAGGATGTCTTTCTTCTGTCACGTTTACTGAAAGACCATTCTCGACCCTTAGACCAGGTGCGGGACAAGTATGACGAGATTCGCCGTCCAAGAATCGATGAGATCTTCGAGATGGCGGCCGATAATGGGAAATCACGAAAGAAAACGGGACCTTGGGGGTTGTGGCTCAAGGAGTCGGTTGCTTCGATTGCTTTGAGTATGTCATGGGCTCTGGGAGTAGAGCGGCTCGGCTTTAAACAGAAGCACTTGGTCTACGACATTGATGAAGTTGAGCTGTGAAAGGGGTTGGGCACCGTGAAAGAAAGAGCGAATTATTCCCGTCTTGTTTAATCAATATCATATTGTCATAATCCATAGCTGTAATTTAGAGAATGTACATGCAAATATCAACGTCCATCCATTCTACCGATCTGGGTCTGGTTCACTCTCTTGTAGATTGGAGTTGAAGCAGCTCTTATTTCACCTTGATAAAGTTGGGCAATTGCCCGGCTTATGCATGCATTCTTTTGACTGTTCTTCTGGATATCTAGATATCTTTTGTCTAGAGGAAGTTATCTACTTCATTGGCTTCTATTCTAAAAAATACTACATGCAGGTGCGAGAAATAAAACTTCAATGTCACCAGACTAATGTCAAGGTATCCGCTAACTATTGGCAATTTACCCTAACATAAGGTCCGAAAACAAGTCCAAATTTAACCGAGACCTACCTACTAGACGAGCAGAAAACCAGATCCGATTTCAACGTTGCAGGAAATTATCAGAAAGTTGGTCATCGCGTCCACCTTCCGAAGTGACTTGGAAAAAATTCCGCTCCTGGCAGACATCTCATCTTACGACTCGATCTGATGGGGGAATCTGGGAAGGAAGTATTGCGCAAGCCCAAGTGAACAGCAAAGACACAGTATGAAGTAAAACTATGGCAAATGTAGATGGAAAAGTTGACCGCTACTCCGTACTCGATTCTAGAATTGAGGGACAGACTCGCCCGGGAGGACATGCCGTTTGAACCGGCGTTCCGAATTTGTCAAGTAAACCCGGGCAAAAAGGGCGGGCACAGACCGTGATGTGTGATCAGGCCACCGCCTAATTATCTAGCCGCATAATGCGGCGATCACCAGGATTCGGGCTAGTAGCTTGGTGGTGGGGCTGTAGGGGTCTGAGGGGGGGCAATCGGAGATTTGTATGGGGCTATAGGATTGAATTTAGACATTTACGAAAACAGTTATTTACGATGATGCAAGTGGGGACGTATTTAGTCAATGTATTAGATGGTTTGAGTAGCGAAGCTCGTTGTCATTATTAGAGTGAAAAATAAAATAAAAACCAATCAGCTATGGATGGCAACATGTCTAACAAAGGGAGAATGTGATGTGTGTGAAAAAAAAGAAGACAATTATTATCTTTTGGGTATAATGCAAAAAAGGTGGATCGAATGATCGTCCGTCCGAAAGTAAAGAGTCATGCAAAGAGCCAGTTGTTTCTTTTTTTGCCTAAAAAGGCCATTTTGTCTTTTCCGTTGAAGGAAATCATCAACGCCGCTGGACCGAGTAACCGATGGAAATGAGAAAGGTTCATGAGCCATCCTCTAAGGAGGATTATCGTAAATGGGTTGAGACAAGGAGAATAATGTAGACTGTATTTGGGGAATCTTTTTTGTGTCGTTGAGATCGTGACGTCGTGGCGTAGAAGTAAAGAAAAATAGAATAAAAAAAGATAAGATGAAAGGCAGGATTGCGATGGTTTATTGGCGGGTGGAATCGACCGACGGGGCGCGAGAGGCGACCCGTGAGACAGGCTCGGAGGGAGGAGGTGTTTGTTCGGTCAACAGGTCGTCGGAAGTGAAACCCCTGCGGCCGCGAATGGAAGGAATGGATTGGTTGGAGGAGTGAGTTGAGTCACTGTCCAAGCGCAGAGATTCCATGCGCTCCAAATCCTCGTAATCGGGCAATGGAAGTGGGGAACCAACATAGTCCTCCATAACGCTGCGAGCATCATCGGCCTTGGGGTAGGCAGGAGGGCTGGCGGGAACATCCTCATAGACGGGAGGCATTTCCTCGTCCCAGCTGATGCCGAGACCACTGCGCTCAGTGACATTGAGGTTAAATTGCATACGCAGTACACGGGCTGCGCCGGTTGGGGTAATAAGTCGGGTGTTGCGGTTAGGGCAGAACTCCTCAGCGACAATCAACTCAATAACCAAGTTGTGCTTAACCTCGAGGCCAGCAGGAGCCTCTATATCGCAAACGGGGTTCGTAGTTGGGTTGATGCTGGCATCGAATTGCATAGAGATTTCACCGCCAGCAGTATCGAAATCGGTCTTCCAGCCGGTCTTCTCCTCGTTGTGGCCAATGATGCGGGTTTCTTGGTGGAGGACACCCTTGCCTTCACCACCGATCTTGTGAGAGTGCTTCTGGCAGGCAGTGGAGACAATCTTCTGGTGTTCCTCAATGCGCCACATCATCTTGCGCAGACGCCAGCGAGTCTGTGTTTCGTCGCCCTTATCCACGACACCACTCAGGGTCATCTCGACAGGGAAGTTTCCGATGGGGTGAACAACGGAGGGGAGAACGATGCGGCCAGTCAGGTTGGTGGGAGGGAAGATGCGGATCGAGGACTTGTCGTTGCCGGGGAGTATAGCACGGCGCAAATTCAGAGGCATCTTCAGGGTAAACTCCTCACCCACAATGCTCTGGGCCTGTGCCAGCAGGAAGTATTCCACCTGTCCGAGGGCGCCATTGCAAGTGGCCGGGAGGTGACCGGGGAAGAGGTAGCTGAAAGGGAAGTCGTGTTGGCCGCGCTTAAGGTGGAGAGACTCTGTGAGGAAGTTCCAACGGGTGAGTTCTTCGGTGCGGGTCTGGCAGTTGGGGCAGTGGCTGGAGACGGGCTTCTTGGTGGTGGTTCTGGAAACCAGGCGGACGTCGAAGTGGTTGAGAATGACCTCGCCGGCCAGCTCAGTGACATTCACACGCAGGCGGCCAGAGAACAAGGCACCGGTTGAGTTGGAGGGATTCCCGTAGCAGACAAGCGGAGGCGATTCCACGAGGACATCTAGCTTGATGGGCGGCACGGCGAGTTCCTCGCGGGTGAGGCGCTCCTTGGATCGTCCGGCGCGAGCGAGACTCTTGCGCTTCTCCTTGTCCTTGCTGTGATCACGGTGCGGGTGGATGAGGTGGTCCATGGAGAAGGACAGGCGGCGTTCGGGGGAACGAGCACGGTCTGGGGTGCCATGACCGGAGAA